GGTTGATGACTGAGAGGAGGTTGTAGTTATATGATGGATGGTAGTAGTGGAGTGAGTAGGTGATATCATTTGGTTGTGTGTAGTTGGTAAGTAGTTCAAGTGGTGTGAGCACGGCAGTGCGCAGGTGTGATTGTAGGTGTAGAACGTCGAGTGGTATTGTGAGTGAGTATGTTAGGTAGGTGATGGCGAGCAGCCAGAAGGTGAGGTGGAATAGTGGGTAGTGGAGTGAGTAGGTATTGAATAGAGTGAGTATTACATTACGGTTTGAAGTACAATGTAGTAGGTGCGGGTATATTGTCGGCGAGTAGATGCAGTGGTAGTAGGTGAGGTGTCGAATAGAGTGAGTATTAGATTACGGTTTGAAGTATGTGACGTCATGTGGTTGTGGGTAGTTGGTGAGTAGATGCAGTGGTAGTAGATGGTGGGTGTAAGCGAGGCGCCAATGCGAGAGCATGTGGAGGAGGTCCAGGGGGAAGAGTAGTGTGTAGAGTAGGTAGGTGATGGCGAGTAGCCAGAAGGTGAGGTGGAATAGTGGGTAGTGGAGTGAGTATGTGAAGTGTCGAATAGAGTGAGTATTACATTACGGTTTGATGCATGTAATGTCATGTGGTTGTGTATAGTTGGTGAGTAGTACTAGTGGTGATAGCACGGCAGTGCGTAGGTGTGATCGTAGGTGTAGAACATCAAGTGGCATGAGTAGTGTGTAGAGGAGGTAGATGATGGCGAGTAGCCAGAAGGTGAGGAGGAATAGTGGGTAATGGAGTGAGTAGGTGAGGTGTCTAATAGAGTGAGTATTAGATTACGGTTTGAAGTACAATGTAGTAGGTGCGGGTATCTTGTGGGCGAGCAGATGCAGTGGTAGTAGGTGATGAGTGTTGACGAGGCGCCAATGCGAGAGGATGTGAAGGAGGTCGAGTGGTATTGTTAGTGAGTATGTTAGGTAGGTGATGACGAGTAGCCAGAAGGTGAGGTGGAATACTGGGTAGTGGAGTGAGTAGGTGAGTTGTCGAATAGAGTGAATATTAGATTACGGTTTGATGTACAATGTAGTAGGTGCGGGTATCTTGTTGGCGAGTAGATGTAGTGGTAGTAGGTGGTGGGTGTAGGCGAGACGCCAATGCGAGAGCATGTGGAGAATGTCCAGTAAGAAGAGTAGTGTGTAGAGGAGGTAGGTGAGCACGGTGAGCCAGAAGGTGAGATGGAATAGTGGGTAGTGGAGTGAGTAGGTGAGGTGTCGAATAGAGTGAGTATTATATTACGGTTGGAAGTATGTGATGTCATGTGGTTGTGTGTAGTTGGTAAGTAGTACATGTGGTGTGAGCACGGCATTGTGTAGGTGTGACCGTAGGTGTAGCACGTCCAGTGGTATTGTTAGTGAGTATGTTAGGTAGATGATGACGAGTAGCCAGAAGGTGAAGAGGTATAGGAGGAAGGGTTGGCGGATGTGGGTGAGGAATTTGTTGATGAATGAGAGGAGGTTGTAGTTATATGATGGATGGTAGTAGTGGAGTGAGATCATGTGGTTGTGTGTAGTTGGTGAGTGGTACTAGTGGTGATAGCACGGCAGTGCGTAGATGTGAACGTAGGTGTAGAACGTCGAGTGGTATTGTTAGTGAGTATGTTAGGTAGATGATGACTAGTAGCCAGAAGGTGACGAAGAGGTAGATTGCGTTGAGGAGGTTGGTGAAGAATTGGCCATCCTTTCCCAGATTCAATAAATTGTAGAGTTCCGTGTAGAAGTCTTTGCATTTGCGTTGTTTCGTGGGTTCACCATCGGTTCCATTTAATGCATCGGTCATTGAAAATGTGAAGCCGAATTTGAAGAAAAGGGGTAGGACATTGTGACATTGGACGATGGATGGACATTTACATTGGTTTTGGTTGCCAACGTTAATGTGACAATTCTTGTCGGGTTTGCATCCTTTGTTGCCACAATTTTTGCAATTGAGTTTTTTGAAGTCTTCTAGTAAATCTTCAAGACCATCTTTGAGGACATCCGTGAGATAAATTATCCATTTCAAATAAGTATCCGCGAAGGATGCTGAGATGTTGGAATAGATAACGAATGACAGGGGGTCGAGATAGGAACCACAGGTTACGCCACTACCGCAATCACTCTTGTAGAGGCTGCGGAGGGTGGCGACACCGGTGTGGTCACCGGTATGTTCTTCGGTTTCGTCAGACTCATCGGTATGGTCATTTTCGCCGCCAGCTAGGTCATGGGCAGCGGTAGTCATGGAGCTGGAACCATCGCTCCATGGTATATTCTTAGATTCGGTATTGATGGCAGTTTCCATATTCTCACCAAGATACAAGAAAAACCCAAAGAGATCACCCACCGTTCTTGGTGTTCGTTTACATACAATAAGCAGGCATAAAGTTATATTGTATAAACTGACGTAGTTAATGTTGTCTTCGGTGAAGTAATCCAACATTTTGAAAAGGTAGTTGCCGGTGCGAGGAGTAGTTAATTTACCTAGGCAACCAGTGAAACCCATTGGTACAGGGCACCATGTGTAGATAGTGGAGGTGTGATTAGAGTGGTCAGTGTAAGGTGGATATTTTTTGGTTTCACCTGATTTTGGACATTTAAAAGGTATTAGGAGATCGCATAAAAAGGCTTGGAGGGGGGAGTGGTAACCATTGGTACCACAATTGTTGTGGTTATCAGGTTTGCAATTGAAAGCGTTGGTGCCACACTGTTTATCGGCGTGACCTTTGTTAGTTGATTCACTTACACAGAACCACGATATAGTTTCACCTTCATTACGGAGTTGTGAACCATTGCCATATTTGCAATATTTCCAACCGCCATTGTAGGGACAATTTAGACATTGCCACATGAGAAAATAAATTTGGGAATAGACAGCCGAGACAATGTCCCAAAGCATGGGAAACCACTGTGAGAGACTTTCTGGATAATAAAACTTGAATTCATAATTACAATATATGTTATGTAGGGAAGCATCACTGCTTTTACCGTGCAACTGACCCTCGAAGGCAGAGAGAACAAAAGCAGAATAAAAACGTGGTGTGAGGAGGTAGGTGGGGATGGTGGGTAGTTGGAAGTCAATTTTTTTGTCTTTGTCAGTAACGAATTCAATAGATTCTTTGTCTGTACCCAAGTACTTCTTGATACCACTGGGGTTGTTACTCAATTGTTGAAATACTTGGGTGTAGGGAAGGGCCATGAGCCAGTAGAGCATTTCCCGGATGGTGGTTGGGACATGGGTACAGTCTTTCTGTTGGGTTTGTTGGTATTGAAAATAGTATGTTGAGGAGAGGTACAGGAAGGTGAAGGGGTTATCTTTAGCAGTTGTGGCATAGTCCACATTCTGTGTAGTATTATCTAATACTTGTTTGATATACTGGGAGTAATTACTGTTGGACACATCGGCATCTCTGGGGAATAGGTCGTTGAGTAAGCCGGGTACATCAATTGCTTCTTTACCATTGAGTTTAGCATGGTCGTAGCCGGAACACTCGAAGTATAGGCAAACGGCCTTATGCTCCTCGTTGATTTTATAGGCGGTGAATGCAGGCTGAGTATTTGACCTGGAAGAATCCCAAATATAATATCCCTTCCAACGAGGGTTATTTTTATTAGAACCTTTCGTCTGATTCCTTTGTGCAGCTTTCCAGTATGGATTGGAGACCCACATATTGTCCTTACCGTCATTACATTGCCAATATAAGTAACTTAATCCACCGAAGATCAAAGGAATACAGCCTAGAAATATGCAGGCGCACAGTTCACCGTCTCTCTTAACAGCATTGGATGTATAAGTGTCTTTTTTGTGGGAGGAGAAGTTACCTTGAGAGCCTTGCTTGGCAATACCATCGATGAATTTATTTAACGTTTTTGCCATTTTAAAGATCAATTGATCCGCTTTAGCAATTTTGTTCAACTCCTCTTCAACCTTTTCAAGCATATTTTGATCCTGATATTCATTAGGAATCTGGCCAAGAAGCTGCACAACTTCTTGTCTAAGCTCCTGGGACCCATCTCCACCCTTGCCACCATCAAGGCCATGAACAGATAGAATCCAATCTATAGCTTCTTTGAGGTTACCAGGCGGATTCTTTGTTAAGGAGGCATGCTGCTTAGTCGACATTGTTTGAAGACGTATACAAGAAACGATTTCATATTCTTCAACAGCTAGGTTGTAACAGTGTTACTGTACCACAAAAATGAAGCCGACTGACCAAGTCAACCAGGCGCTTCATCGTGTTGATGTTTTAGAGAGCGACAGAATGATAGAAACGGTTGCTTTTCTTACACAGCATTGCCTTTATGCTTTGGACGAACTGGAATGAACATTCCCCATGCCCTTCATCAGGGCTAGAAAATAAAGGGGTGCTGCCGGGAAATTACGTGTCAATATCTACTCGAGATGGCGACCACAAACGTTGTTGAACTGAGGATATAGCAGGTAAGTGTCAGACAGGGTGACTGGTAGTTGGTGTCACTTTGCAATGTCACTATATCAGGTGAACAACCGCAGGAGGATTTTGTTGACTTAAGGAAAATATCGAAATTTATGACATCCGTAGACTTTTAGATCGCTCCAACATATGACGACAGGGCTATCGGTTACGCATATCACAGAGTGGAAACTTCTTCTACTGACCGCACTGGGATATGGCCTGTGATACTCTTGGACGCTAGCTGAGCTATTGGAGGTCAAAACGAACAATATGGCAATTTTGTAATATTGGCTTCTTAACTCAATTATCGACACTCGTAATATACAGAAAACGGTTATACACGTCACTATCACTTGGTTGCATGATGTAACATGTTTCTAGTGGAATTTGCCAAATGACTGACCTAGGCTGTTTATATGGTTATACTTGGTTTATTGTGACACCATAACATACAATTAATCCGCTAACATTGCCGCACTAAGTGCCACTATACGTTCTTTAGTAATGTGGATTACATATACCAGTGGGTTATCATGATTCGGTAAGAATGCAGTTATTGGTAGTTACAGTAACTTTGTATGTTGATATTTGGCATATATATTACCTAAAACACGACACAAGTGTACTTATATCATTGTCAATCACCGCTGCATAGTTTATATAGTACACATTGATATTAAAATACGGAGAAACACTGACCGAAGATCGTTGGAATACACAGTATCATAGTTCAGCCACGAATGTACGTTTTTAGAGTACCTTAACTATGTGAGAATGATATAAAACGCTAACAGATGCCATACCATTGCCAATAGTGGGTTAGTAAACCAATGTGTACAATATCTTTGTAATGTGTATTGTACACACCTCTTACACATGCAAGGTTCTTTTATACCCATTAGGATACATTGACCTTCTGTATAATATTCAAAACAAGAATGATATTAATTATCTGAATATTATCCTTTAGTTCTAATTTACAGAGTGCGTTGCCTTCTAAAGGGGAAGGATGTCAGTGAAATTGCAACTATGTTGACACATGAGCTTATATTTGCAGTTTTTAGTAACCTATGAAATGTATGAGGCCAGGTGACGGGGTTTCAAGTAACGCCGTAATATAACCTACTGCGTAGGTGCGGGAGCTGACGTCACGGTAGTTGCCTACATAAAAACATTGATGTGTCACAGCAAGCCTGCATATGTGAACTTGACAGTGACAGTGTTTGTTCCACGTCAATAGAAGGCATCTTCTTATTTTTTACACGTTGACACTAACTCCAATATATATGTTGGTATTTTTGTATTCTAATCAATTAGTTCAACGTTATTGGCACCAAATAACGTACATCTGATCTCAAATGGTATCGGCGGGTGTACTTAGTAATTTAATGTCATCTTATTGACTTGCTGATACCAGTCAATATGGTTACAATGTAATATTGCAGAAATCTTCATTGAATGAAAACGTAATACTATTGTGATGTGACGACATTCCTTTAGAGCAGCTTTATAATGATATTGCTACAATTGATGGAAGCAAGGATTACCTCAATGAACGTAGTTTCTTTGATAGGTTTGTTCTGCCTACGGAATCAATGAGATGTCAAAACCTATAACCGTATACCAACAATCTGAATTATATTAGTCTACATGAACTTCTAATATCACTAGTAGTATATTTAGAATATTTACCTCAGCTATTGTTCAATGATTGTACCACGAGGTATGTGAGACTAATAATAATGTGACATGGTAACACCAGTAGTAAGGTAGCACGGCTGTACGGTGTCTGTGCTGGGGACAATTGCTTTTTGTGATTGGTTGATTTAATATAACATGGCAGCGTTCTGTTCGAATTTTTCTTCATTTCATTATTTAAGGTTATTGCCAAGTTATTTACTACCAGCGCTTCACCTGTAACGAATTCTCTTGCTCCGCATGTCTGGCGCAGAAAATTTTAATCACCTTAATAAAGTAATCTCATTTTAAATGCTAATTAATGATATTTCGTCTTGCCCACCATTGGCAAGTATAATCCACAGTGTAGCTGCGGTCTAAGTTTCCATTTTACAAAGGTCATGCTACGCGGATCTGCGCATCATCCATCGTACAACTATCTGCAGCGCAAGTCATTCTATTTACCTCTTTGCTGCGACATACGGCCTAGATCTTGAGGCCCAATGCAAAATATTAAGGTGACGACTTCCTATGATAATCCTGTCACTCACACTTACTTATAAGCACGCGTGCTGAAATATTGAACCTAATTTATCGTGACTTACCATCCAAGTTCTATGGACCAGAGTAATAGCTCCCCTGCGTAGCAGAAACCATGCGGAACCTAACAAATCATTCCCTTCATAAAGAATAGATTTAGATGCCCGTCATTTGTTAATAGTTTTGCGTTGATAAATGTTGCCAATAATAAATTTCGGACTAATTTAATGCACATTTTTGAACAACACAGGTAGTGGCATGCTATGGTGAAATTCCGAATATTACGAAGGCAGCACATTTCGCATAATGCTAATGGCACTGCGTAAGGTCTACAAAACTCTTAGACGCTTCTGCTCCCATGCTTGACTTATTTTGCCGGTGAAACACTCGCTTTATGTATGGTACTAACCGTTTTGTCGCGACCAAGTAATATATAACAGATACACATACAATAACGAAAATGGCTAACAAAGCCATTTGCCAGCCGCTCATACCGCAGTTTTCTTTTTTAGTGACCACTTGAGCGATGCCTGTGATGACTCCCCCAACTAAGAGTATGGCAGCTATAATAAAGTATATTTGCATACCATTGAATATGTTTTCCAAACTCGAAACTACTTTTGCTACATTTACGAAACCTTGAGCAGTCACTGAATTGGCACTGCTACCTATTACTGCGAAAAGGAATCTAAATGATAGCACTCCACTGCGTCCCTTGGACTTGGTGCGTGAGACTTACGACTCCATCATATTGACTAGATTTCTAACAACCTCTTTGTATATAAAAGTACGGTTCGTGTCGTATTATCGATAGAGCTGACTTGTACTAGCAGTTCTTAGATTTCGTATTGTTGTCCATTCTTAGATGTTCATCTTCTATTACACATCACTGCTTCGTCTACCGATGGATGCAAAATTCATCTCAGAAGCATCACATTCTGTGAAAGCGAAGCATTAGAAGGATGTATCAAATGCAGTCACCAGCTCCAATCCTTCTGCGCCCATTAGGATCACTCGCCAATACTTTAGGTTATGGCAGATGATTAGGATTTCACTATTATACTTGTGTGATAACCTAGTGGCGTCTTGAGTAACATGCCTGCGTTGCTCAGTTTGTGAATCCAATTTCTGAAGAATAGTAGTTCGGAGAACGTAGGGAAGCGCCTCGGAAATGGACCGATTGTATGTTGAACGAAGTATCACATATAAACACCTATTTCAATATCTCGATATATTTGTTTTTGATTTTTTGTGGGCATGTGTAACGCACATCTCGGCAATGTGTATGCACATTGAATCTTCGACATCGCAGCAACCAATGGAGTAGAGCTGTGAACGGTCAGCAGATGTCAATCATTTTGACGAGGTGTGATAATTTTCGCTTCAATGACTCACTATATCCATATTCGAGTTATTGTGTGGGTGCAATGTTATACGGCAGGTAGTAGACTGAAACGGTTCAAGTCTCGCACACCGCTAGATTTCTTTTGACTTCGTTGCACATTTACACTTTAAAAATGCGATGCACGCTTGCCGTCAATAGTTCCAGCTCCACTACGTTAGTGGACTATTCTACCGGCATTCGGCTGCCTCATTTCGAAACTCGATGTTCTGCCGCTTCATGAGCGGTTCTATTAGAAATCAGCACACACATATATTCTGTTGCATATCGTATTACAGTTACCGTATTTTTGGAGCATATTTGAGGTGTTCGATAGTCTTTAGTTGTGTGTGTACTCCCAAATATGCTAGTCGGAGATAAAACTTAGACAGAGTCATATGCTTTCATCCTCCGTGTGTCAAATGTTATTGTTGATCTAGAACCACCAAATGCATCATATTTATGGGTTGCTTGTTGCCAATACTCTAACATGTTGTTGTAGTATCTAGAATAGCTATTAAGTGATACAATATGCAGTTCTTTGACATGTCGGTGCCACTCAGTGGTCGATATGCTTACGGCCATACCACTTACGCGTTTACACTGTTCTGTTATTGATCATGAGCATCGACATCAAGCGCTATATCCATTTTTGTACGGCAACATTTGCGCCTTTCATTGTCTAATGCCTAAGGCAGTAGTCATCATACACATACCTCATTTCGCTTAATTCATACAAAAATTAAGATATGTTTGTATCGTTCTTAGCTGCTACTCCAAACCTGTTTATTCCCATCATTGCAATTATTTTAGTGACAGATGGGCGATTATTCGGATCAGCCTGGAAGATTGCTTCAATCAGTGCCCGGATATTAGCAGAATAACATTGTGGAAGGTTCGCCAAGAGCCATTCTTTGTGCCGATCAAAGGCTGCAAAATTCTCTACCATGGAGTCCTCGGAGCAGGGGTTATCAAAGGGATGCGACAGTGTTAACAACTCATACAGCAAACAACCAAGCGCCCAAACGTCACTTTGGTAAGTTGTTGCTGTGCCTGGTTTGAGCAATATTTCTGGTGCGGTGTACATAAGTGTACCGGGGTAGCACAGACGGTCGGTAGCCATGTGACACGTGTCATAATCTGCCAATTTGACGATAGGTATGTATTCATCCTTCAACATGACGTTCGAAGCCTTTATGTCCCCGTGTACCACATTGTGTTGGTGAAAATATTCCAGACCCAGGCAAACTTGCAGGAAAATAGTACTGATTAGTTCTTCATCGAAATATTGCATACCGTTTTGGCGAGCCTCCGATATCAAGGACCACAGATCACCTCCAGCACATTTTTCATATATCATCACGAGATAGTTATCTTGCGTAATAAAAGAGTCCTGTATATGTAAAATATTGTCCTTGCCCACGTGATCGCTTAGACACGGTTGTGAGTACATTTGATGGACACCATAGGCTTCATGGTGTCTACCACCTTGTATTCTTAATCTCGGACTCGCGTTTTTGTCCTTTCCGTCTGTAAAGCTTGGGTGAGGATCATGACAGCAATGATCCGCCAGATGTTCGGCGATTGCAACCTGCTGAAATGCTTTTGACCTGACATATTCACCATCGCATTTTGTCAAGTCAAGCACCTTTACGAAGTATTCGGTGGCAGTTGCAACAGATTTTATGATGTGGTATGTGTAATAGGAAGAGCTGGAAAACGCCGTCACAGCCTCTCCGCAATATTTGTAACCATTCATATGAAACGCCTTTAGAAGTGAGTTCGTATGATAGTCCACGATAGACTCTTCTGGGAGTAATATGGACAATTCATCTTGGAGGCAGCAGTTGTCGAGATAATCATCAGAGTGTTCAACTATGGGTACTTCTGTTGATTGACTTCTGATATGTTTAATGTTATTATCTGCATGATCTTTTATGTTCCTAACAACGTAAAGAGCTGCAGTGTCAAACATGGCTTCTTGTACGATAACGCACAGCTAAAGTTATAACAATATTCTTGCTTGTGAACAGCCATAAACCCAATATCGAACAACTGCCGCATACAGCGACCAATGACTATGAAGCGATGGCTATTGAATTCATTTTTGGAGTTGGATGCTGCCTTGTGTTTCCAGTTCACACACCTTGTCCCCGTTCAAGGCTCCAAAAATGCGAACACACACCAGATACCCAGATCATGTACGCGTAGTATTGTACATAAGCATTATTTTTGTATACCTCGTTGAATCTTCGAGTAATGTGTGCGTGTCCAACGGTACTGTTTGCAGGAACGTTGCCCAGATGTGTGGGATCCTTCGTCTTCTCCAACCGTGACTCCAGCTCCGTTACCTTTAATATTATGCACTATTTTATTGCATACTTGGAATTTGTCAACATTCGTTGCTACGGCATCTGGCGTGGAGTTTTACCGCCGCACATATACACATTGCCTAACAGCATGAACAGTATATAGGCTCTATAACACACCATAGTTGGTTGTACTCACTGGTATATCATAATTTAATGATGTGTCTGCACATAGTTGGTGTTACGTTGTTATGGTTGTGCATTTGATACTTTAGCTATGTCAGAGGTCAAACGCGGCGCATACGACAAAGATATTGAGGGCCCACCCCTTAAGCAGTCGAAATGTGAGAATGATGCTTCTACCTCTACGGATGCTGCGTCATGTAATGAGTCATCGAATGATGTTGGACGGTCGGTACCTGCTGTTCACGTTCCCAAGACCAAATACGCCATAGCATTTGGGTATGCATTCGTTTTGATGACCATCATATGGCTCTCAGTTACCTAGGTACCAATTATCATGGATTCCAGATCCAGTCTGGCGTAAGCGTCGATACTGTGGATACAGTGGAAGCCCGCATACTGGACGCTCTGCTGTCGGCAGGCGCAATCTACCATGAGCATTGGAATACTTTAGGAAAGTTGCAGCTCTCTAAGGCCTCTCGTACGGATAAGGGTGTACACGCAGCATGCACGTATATCGGTGGCCGTTTCGAATTGACACATCTAGCTACTGGCGAGCCTGCTGTTTCCCGTGAGCCATCTCTAGTTGCGAAACTTAATGAGCTTCTTCCCGATGACATTAGATGTTTCCAGATTGTACGAGTGACTCGTGGTTTTTGTGCGAGGTATGTCTAAGTATGCGTGTCCTAAGCTGTGTGCCAGGTCCATGTGTTCTAAGCGCATGTACGAATATGTGTTGCCCATGTGGCTGTTGAATCGACGCTACGTGTTGGACACAGATTTTAAACGTGAATCTTTCGCCGAACTATCTAAGCAAATGAGCGATCATATAGAATCACGCCAACACGTTTCGTGCTCACGACCCTCCAATGGCGAGGGTCTTGAAGGTTGTACGGAGGAACGTGACTTTGACCGGGTATGTTATCTAAAATTATACCTCCATGTGAATGTGATGTAACATGTACCTGTAGGATCTATTTGAGTCGATAGTGAAGGCCTATTGCGGTTCTCACGACTTCAAAAACTTCACCCAGCGTCAGAAGGTATCGGATCAGACAACTCAGCGTTTCGTTCACGATGTTAAAGTGAGTGTGATATAATGTGTCGGTTACGTCAAATCTGTTCGTAGGTGGAAAAGCGTTCTTTATCAGGTGTTGACGCTGTGAGCGTGGTTATTACAGGACAGTCATTCTTGTACAACCAGATCCGCAAGATGCTGGGGCTTGCATATGCCGTATATCTTGGAACAGCTCCGCAGTGCGCTATTAGGTTCGCCCTTTCTAAGTGGCATACAGTTCACACACCACTCGCCCCGGCCGAGGGTCTCTTTCTGCACCACGTTGGTTCCTTTGCTACCGATTTTTACGTTGCTATCAGCCATACTTCGACGCCTATAACCGGCGCTGCTCTCCACCTCAGACCCCTTTCATCGAATATGATGACGTCGAGCCACTAGTTGAGGAGTTCAAGCGCACACGTATATACCCGGAGATAGCCTCAAGCTTTGAGGGTGATGTGTAGGTGTATTTGAGTTTTATGTCAATTATTTTAGGTGGAACACTTGGTTAACCAAGCTGCTTCGTAATCCTTTTTTCCTGGAAAACGCTGATTTCAATCTCTCTGGGGAGCGGCCCGCTGTCGTCCGCGTCACGTCTGCTACGCCACCTTCGCCGCCGCCGAATGCCATGAATACATCCTAAGAGTGATGTATCGTAATTCACTATGACTGCTGGAGGTGTGGATGAGTTGTCTAAGGGTGAAAAGTCACTTGGAGGTCCGCCTTATTTGACGGATTACATGACGAACCCCGATAACCCGGTCGTCTTCCTTGATATCCAGGTAGGATCACATCCTATAGGTGTGTTGGTTCACGTATGATTTATATCCCTCCTCAGGTCGTCTTAAAATTGAGTTGTTTGCTGACAAGGTTCCACGTACTGCTGAGAACTTCCGTCAGTTTTGCACTGGTGAATTCAAGCATAATTCATGTTCTGTGGGCTACAAAGGCACGACATTTCACAAGATAGTGGCGGATTGTATGGTTCAGGTGTGTTGTCTTAGTATTTCCTACAACATTTTACAGGGAGGCGACTTCGTGAAGGGTGACGGTACAGGGTCCCTAAGCATCTATGGTCACAGTTTTGCCGACGAGAATTTCGTCTTGAAGCACACTCGATGCGGTATGTTGAGTATGGCTAACACTGGGCCGGATAGCAACGGCTGCCAGTTCAACATCGTGACCAAGGCATGTGATTGGATGGATGGCAAGAACGTGGTGTTCGGCTGTCTAATCGACGACGACTCCACTTTAGTTTTACGTAAGATCGAAAGCGTGACAGTTGGGGATAACTATCGCCCTAAGCTTCCAGTAACGATCGTACAGTGCGGGCAGCTGTGATGGCTTGATCTCAACATTTCCTACAATATTACAACTGGTGTTTGTTAAGCCACTGTTTGGCCATTCCCATTAGTTTGTTACCTTCCTTTATTGCCGTGGCTATCCCGTCCTTGATGTTTTGTACGGCTCGTTCCTCGAAAGTGTCAGGTGTCGAGCGTGTCCTGGTGGGTCTGCCGAAATACTCATCGGAAGACAGGCTAGTTTTGTTTGGGTTCAAGTTGACGTTTACATGTGCGGTGTTGCTGTATGCTCCTCGGCCAAATACTTGATCCGACGATATGCCAGTTTGCCCAGCGAATCGGCTCATGTCAGGAGGGGCATATGAGGGTGCCGAGTTTTTTACGGTTGGCATCCCTGCAGAGCTATTGAACGACTGCAATGTCATTGGAGGAGCCTGTCGGTGTGTCTCGACTTCCGTTTTCGACTTTTGTTTTGCGATTGTGTCTTCCCTCTGTGCAGCTTCACTCATGATTGACTTTTCGAATGCATCAAAGTCCACATTCACTCGTCCGCTGAACCCTGTGGATGTATTCCCATAACCACTAGAGCGTGTCGAGAAGCCACGTGCGCCTTTAGTCATTCCTGGTGCAAGCGTCATTGACTTTACAGCATTGGGTCTTGTAGTAGTGTTTTCGACAATAGATGACGGAGCTTGTTGCTGTAGCGCTTGCTCATTTGCCTTGTTTTCTTCACCCTCATCGGCTAGGTCCAGTAGATCCTCGTGCACCGGCTTTTGTGTTTGTGAGTTTACTTTGGCCTGTGTGACTCCCAGTTCGGCATCCAACATGGCGGGGTACTTGAGAGCCATGGGCGATGAGTAGTTGTATGGGTTTTTATTCTGCCCACATTGCCTGAAGAACGCTTTTGCTCGTGCGTTTCCTCCACGTGTCATTCGCAGGAGTTGTTCTCTGGTGAATTTGTCCATATCGGCTGACCTAACGAATGATATGTGTGAACCAAATTGCCTATGTCTTCCAGAGCAATTTAAACACAGGTGTACGGCATATGTGATCGATACCCATGTTGGATTTCTGGCGTCGCAGTCGATACACACAGCATTCTCAGGCTGTGCAAGCAGCTGTCTGAATACTCTGTCCCTTGCCTCGTAAGAGACGTGCCCCCGGGCATCTACACTAAAATTAGCAATATCTTCCATTTTTTGAAAAACGTAGTGCACATAAAAAAACTATTTTGCGTCTATTCTGCACGCATTGCCGCACGCGCCCGCCGTATGTTACCTGTGGCGCCACTATGTGATCACGAGGTCATTCACGTTATGTAAACTACAAGGTTAAAAACGGTTTATTCGCTGATCCACTGGTGGATAAATGCCTCCATGGCTGATGAGATACGTTTTTCGTAGTCCCCGTTTAGGCACCTAATACAAAAATCTTTCATACCGGGGGAGTCGTTCCAGCGCTGTGACGCGAAGGACAGCCTTGTTGCTTGGATTATAGCCTTGAGTTCGACGTAATAATTTGTGTTAAAGCTTTTGAAAGGCGGCTTTCCTTCTACTAGCATGTACAGCATTACACCAATGCTCCACATATCGGCGGCTGTTGTGATAATACCTTCACCTATTTCGGGAGCTTGGAATATACTGGTTCTCAAATCCTCTGGCGCTTCACACCCGCTTGTGCAAATATTGTCAATGTTTGATATCTTGGCTAACACTTTACCGTCCCGCATCTTTTGTATTGCGATACAGTCCATGTTAAGTCCTGCCAGTACCATGCCCTTCCTATGAATGTAAGCCAATGCCGCGAGTAGCTGTTTCACTATGCTCGCGATGAGTGGCGCTTTGAATGTATTGGGGTGGCAATCTTGGTAGAATTCGCTAAGGTATACCGCATCCTTGAAATCCATGAGAATATAGAATAATTGGTTATCTTCTAATATTTGAACGACACGAACAAAGTTTGCGTGCTCATTGTCACACAACTGTTCATATATTTCTGTGGCTGCATGATCCCGTGCTATTAGTTTGAGGCTGAGGGCGCGACCCGTGTCCTTTTCCACGCAGTCGTATACTTGTACAGTCCCACCAGTCTCCCTCATACGAATGAGTACATAGTTGATAGCATCCACGTCATCCCTGTGTCCTCTTCTTACGATAGCTGACGGTGCGAATTCGTTTGATCCAGTTCTTAAATACGGTTGCGACCTCTGTGCTTTGTCATGGGCAACGGACCTCGGTCTGAATCGAGCGTACTGTTTTGCTATATTTTGTGGTCTCACAGATGCATCAAAGCGTTTGTCGAGCCTTTTGGTGTTAGGCGTGTCGCATACTATTCCTACAATGGTACACGCATGCCTAGCTACATTGTCGTTTGGTTTTTCTGTTACCTTGTTAAATGCGGCATCGTACGCTTCCTGCCTCAGTGTTTCTGTAAGTATTTGTGTCCACCTCTTGAATCGCAGTTCCCTGATGAGATGCATCCATTGCGACCCCTTTTTACTTCTGGATGAATGCACTCTCACGGACACTATTGCATGTTGCCTAGGTGAACTTCCTACAGTCTGTCTACTACATGTGCGTATTGATGCATCTACGCATCTGCTTGAAAGTTGTATGCTATTGTACCTCTGTTCCTTAGGTTCTAGCGTCGTTCCTATGTTCCTAAAATTGAGGGTGCAGTCGAACATGTTTTCGAGATCTTCAGAGCCCATGTCTGGCCACGAGCCGGATCTTACAATTTCGTTGGTAGCGCTAAAATCCTTGCTCCTTCCTACGTATTCATCGGCGACAGGTATGTCGGCGATCTGTCCTATTTCAAAAAGGCTGCTTCGTCGACCGCCTGTGCTTGGGAGACGACTCATTCCCATAGCAGCTGTCTGTTGTGCAGTCGAACCATCCAATGTGTTGCACATGACTGCTAGTGACGACATATCTCTTTCGGCTTGACCTGTTTCGTTGGTTTCCGGCAGTGCGGTAGCGTAGTCCTTCGAGCCGGCTCTCCTTGGCCTGAGTCCCTGTACAGCGGCAGAAGGTACGGAAGACCTATCCATATTGATTATAAATCTGTTGAGTCTTGATAATTAGATATATTTCGGTTTGTTGTTAGAGTTGGAGTACTATTCCACCACCATGACGACTGTAGGTTTTTGCGTCTAACTTCATTCCATTGTGCATTAGTTTTAAATGCACACGTCTCCTTTGCATACAAATGTGTCGTCCAAATGCAGTTCCAGCTTGTTTTATTTTGCGGTCGACCTGGTTAGAGCTTTGCTACTTATCCCAGTGAAGCGTATCTATTTACGGGAACGAAGGTCGGCACTGACAATTGGCCATCTACGATGTACCATAAGTCTTGAATTAGGTCTCCTTTTCTGGTGTGGGAGACGTCGTTTGAGAGACGTTAATCCGGAGTTTGGTTGGTGCGTCGTTGTCGTGATTGTATGTAGACTTTGCCGTCACGCTTCTTTCGTAGTTTTAGAAAGTTTACCCGACGATATTGCTTAATTTTTAAGCATCCGAACATATGACAATTATGCTGTAAATGGTTTATAACTAGCCGAATCTCGGTGATGTCGGGCCTGCGCTGTCGAGATTCTACATGTATGTTGTCGTAGGCCTTGGCTTTGGGTTTTGCATGCCTCTCGCTTATATAAATTGAATTTATTTGGAACGTCATCCGCCCCCCTGTGTTGAATTATGACTCTACAAAGCCTGCATCTCGGGAGCTCTGGTGTAGGCCTCCTGTGTTGTCACCTTTCCTATACTGGACCTTAACGGCCGACACATGTCACTGTTTTACATATATTACTTATTGTTTTGCGTTTTAAGTTAGGAAGGTGGTGTCAATTGCCACTTTTGTGCTTCTTTGGTCGGCTGTGTCCCTGTTTGTGATATCAATGCCGATATCTCTGTCATTGGTGGAAAACTACACCGTGAAACTCTAATTATGTTCGGCTCTATAATTGCTGATTTACCTACAAAAATATAGCTTTAACACCGCCAAGCTTGTGCCTTGTAGCACAGTTCTTTCATTTTTCATTAACTACCGCGTCGTTGCAACCTTCTACATTACTGATCTGATAATTAGCTCACTATGTTATTCTGTACCTTTTGTACGAATTTGTCGATTGGCAAATGATCTAGTTTGCTGTGGTTTTTAGCACCCTTTACGTATAGTCCCCCGTTGAGTTTCACGAGTTTGACTTCTTGATTATCTGCTGTGTACACACCACGTTTGATCCTGACCCATTTGATTGTGGAAGTGTGGCTGTTATGCCATTTTTCTAGTTCCTTCTCAACGGGGTCGTTGAACTGCGCTGTGTACGGGTGTCGTGGTTTGCCGATTGCCACTCTGGCCTCTGGTGCTGTTTCTTTTGTCTGTGTGATGTTGTGTCGTTCGTGTTGTTTCAGTTTTGGTGTTTGCTCGAATTTTGGGTATGCATTAGTAATTTTGCTTAAATCCAATGCCAAGTGAGGATACTCTGTTTCTTCTTGCTCTTGTATCGGTTCATTCTCTAGAGCTATATTGTTGTCAATTCCGTATGCGTTAACCGAATTATGAGCAGGATTCTGTTTTATTTCTTGTGTTTTGATGTAATTCGTGGTAGGTATGGCGTTGATGCATTTGTTTTGTTCTCTTTGCAGCAATGTTGCCGTATTGACGCCTGATTCTGGTAATGCCTTCGGTGGACTGTTCGCCACAAACGTCTGCGTGAGCATGGGTCGTAACGTCGTTACTGGTGTGGTTCCTTGATTTGTAGCGCCATACGCTGTAACGTTGCGTTCAATTATGTTCGTCGGCATATTTAATGTGTTCGTGGTGTTATGTCTTGTGTGTTGCAGGCCATTGTATACACATCTTGTGACATTTGGCACTTGTTGATGACAATACTGCCAGTTGTTGTAGTATGCATTTTCCTTATTGCTGTAGTAAGTGTATGGCGACATCGTCATCCCCGCCGTGATTGGCTGTTGTTTTCCTGCACATGTTATCTCCCACTTTTTCATTATTTACCTGGCACACTTGTAGCATATACGTTACTACTAACATTTTGACCCGTGTTAGTGTAGCTACCCGCTGTAGTCTTGATAGCATCCGGCGATATTGCATTATATCCGGTTATGGGCAAGGCGGTCGGTGTGCCTCGAATTGGACTGGCACCGTTAGGGTTCGCTTTGGTGGCTCCATATACATGGTCGTAGATGTATACTGGTAGCGGCATATTGAACTGGCTTTTGACGTCGTTATTGCCGGCGAGTTTCAGGAAACGTTTGTTGGTGGAGTATACGTGTTTGGAGTTCCTGTTCATTTTTTCTGTGTAATTGACATGCGTTTGCTGACTTTCTGTTACACTAGCATAGTTATATATGTGACTTGAGTGTATATGTAACGTTATCGTGTCCGTGAGCTTAGCACGTGCACAGCGGCTCCATAGACACCAATGGCACTTGTTTGTACCATCGCTGGTTTCTGTGGCAGCTTCTGATGCTATCAGCTTCTTAATATAGGTAAAGTGAGACTGAAGATCACCTTAATGAGGTGCCTGTTGTCAGTGCGTATTTCATTTGCGTCTAAGGCATGCTCTAACTATCGTCCGGGGCATGGTAAACAAGTTTGTTTCTCTCCCACTTTTGCAATAAATATACATTCTACTTTGCTGTTCATATCTTAAGCCTTGCAAATATTAATTTTTAAATGGTGTTTTAAATACGCCTAATATCCTCCGTGCCGCATGTATCGAATGGTACTGTGCTTGTTCCTAGTGCAAAGTCTCACACACTTTTCATTTACCTTGATTTTACATTTATAATAATGGATATGATTTAGCAATAACTTTTACAGCTGTTTCACAGCCTCTGTCGATCGATGTGTAAGCAGTTAGGCACCGGCTGACACACATCTAGGCGCGTTCTTAAAAAGCTGCTATTCACATAATACCTCTATTTTTTGGTAGTTTGAGCTACAATGGCGGTCACCGTTGCAGCTTCCGGCGGCTCCAAGGGCAAATCCACTGATAAGGGCCGTGGAGAGCATTTCCTGCGCCAGGAATCGCGAGTGGAGAATATGGATTATATGATCGGCCAACAAGTATGGATAAAGGTGGAGTCAGATGAGTTGTTTGCACTGGCGACTGTGAAGTCGTTTTCTTCTGACAAAGTGTCAGTGTCATACAATGGTCAACAGATGACTGTGCCGTTCAATCACTGCCTGAACATAGATGTGATGAACGCTCCTCTGGAAACGCATGACCTTGTGAAGTTGCGTCATGCGAACAGTGCTGTAGTTTCTGATATCTTGCGCACACGTTTTATGTCTAACATCATCTATACCTATGCGGGTAAGCTACTGGTTGTGCTTAATCCGTTTTGCCTAATCCCTAACCTATACGGCAAGAACGTGATCGAACGTTACCGTCGTTGCGACACTTCTTTAGGTTTTCCTTCAGATGCACCACCTCACACTTACGCTGTAGCGCAGTGTGCCATTAACGGTCTCTTACGTAGTGTCCAATGCCAATCTTGCATTGTGAGTGGTGAATCTGGTGCCGGTAAGACGGAAACTGCGAAGCAGTTGATGGACTTCTTTGCTCATGGTCCAGCACAAGGGTCAGACTCTGTTCAAAAGGTGGTATTGGGTTCCAATGTTGTCCTGGAGGCATTCGGTAATGCTAAAACGTTACGTAACAACAACAGTTCCCGTTTCGGTAAGTTCGTAAAGATTTTGGTAGCTCCCGAGGGTGGTCTGAGAGGTGGTATCATCTGCAGTTACATGTTGGAGTTATCTCGTATCGAGTTCCAAAGTGAGGGAGAGCGGAATTACCACATTTTTTACCAATGCCTGAAGGGTCTTAGTGCCGCTGAGAAGGAGTCCTTTGGGTTTCGGTCTATGGATTATTACCGTTTTTTGAGTGGTGGGAAGTGCTGCGACGCTCCTGGTATTGATGATGTTAAGGACTTTGCATCGGTACGTAATGAGTTGGAGCAGCTATTTCCAGCGGGTGGTTTTGACGACTGTATGCGTTGTATATCCGGTATTCTGTTGTGTGGTAACATTGAGTTCACTGAAGTGTCTGCATTGGGTGTTGAGAATGCGGCATCAGTGTCTACCCGCGGCGACTTTGAGCAGATGTGCAAGTTGCTGGGTTTCAACAGTGAGCAGGCTGAGCGTGCTCTAGCTACTAAGGTTGTGACCATTCAGGGCAACAGCATTGTGTCTGCGGTAACGGTAGCTGCCGCAGAGGTGAATGTGCGTGCTCTTGCGAAGGACTTGTATGGTGCCTTGTTTGAATTTTGCATCGACAAGATCAATAGCATTATCCAGTTCGATGACAATGCGCAGCGTTGGATTGGCATTCTGGATATTTATGGTTTCGAGTACTTTCAGCGTAACACTTACGAGCAGCTGCTTATTAACTATGCTAATGAGCGTCTGCAACAATATTTCATTAACCGTGTGTTTGCGTCTGAGATTGCGGAGTATGATGCTGAGGGCATTGACCATTCTTCTATTCATTATACGGACAATTCTGAGGTATTGCAAGTTTTAGACAAGCCCAACTGCTCCGTTTTTTCGTTTTTAGAGGAGCAATGTTTGATCCAGACAGGTTCCTCCGAGAAGTTCACAGCAAGTTGCAAGTCTAAGATCAAGAACTCTTTATTTGTGCCTGCGCAAGGTTCAGTATGCCGCTTCACCATTGTGCATACAGCTACGTCTGTGACTTACGACACTGAAGAGTTTGTTCCGAAGAACAAACACAAGCTGAGTATTCCAATTGTTGAGCTGCTACAAGGTTCGTCTAACAGTATCGTCCGCGCAAGTGCTGGTCGTATTCCTGCTGAGACGGGTAACATGAAAGGTAAGTTCATGGGTTCTAAGTTCCAATCGTCGATTGGTGCTTTGATGCGGACTCTTAATGAGACCCAGTCTCACTTCATCCGTTGCATTAAGACTAACCAGAAGAAGCAACCTCTTCTTTACGAGGCTGGTAACGTGTATGGTCAGCTGATATCTTTGTCCATTGTTGAAGCTATTCAAACTATCCATCGTGGTTTTGCTTACCGTGCACCTTTTGAGAAGTTTTTGAGTGACAACGAGTTTCTGAATTCTTATGCGAAAGCGTCTTCGTCTGATACTGCTGAGTTGAAGGTTACAATTGAGACTATTTTGCGCAGCCTCGGTATCCCTGAAAGCGATTATCAGTTGGGTCATACTAAGATTTTCCTTAAGAAAAATGGTTGGATGTTACTTGAGAAGGCATTTTTACAATATAACCAAACATCCAAGCCTCTTTCTGCTGCGCTTTACAGCATTTATCGCGTCTGGCGTAACCGCCAACACCTTCAAAATAGTCGAACGGCTATCGTTAGGATCCAGTCTAATGTTCGCCGTTACTTGGTTCAGGCAACCACTTTAGTTTTGAAGGAGCGTATAAACAACTTTGTGGGTCTTGTGTTGGTGTTTGATATGATTTTGAACGAAGATCCGCGTATCGTCTCTGCTACTATAATCCAATCTTGGATACGTATGCGTTTGTGTCGTAATCGTTACTTGAAGCTATTGGAGGCTAAGCGTGCTGAAGAGCGTCGTATCCGTGCGGTTGCTAACTTGCGTCGAGTGCGTGCAGTTCGTAATGCCATGGGTGCGTCTCACTTTTTATTGCGCATTGCAGAATTGCGTCGACGTGAGCGTGCTGCCACTACTATTCAGTCATGTTGGCGTATGCACGTAGCGATTCGTCGTTTGAACCACCTCCGTCTACGTCGTCTCACTAACTTTGCCGCAACGCTCATCCAGAAGCATGTGCGTGGTTACTTACAACGTCGCTCCTATCGCCAAACACTTGCACTGCGCCCTCACGTAGTTCGTATCCAATCCGCCTTTCGTACGTGTTTAGCAATAAATCATCTTGATAGACACATCGGCCCACGGTTACAGGAGATCAGGCTTCATCAACGGATGATGTCTAATCTACGACTGTTTCAAACAGTGGTTCGTTCAGCTATTTGTCATCGTCGTTTATTGGCCGCGAACAATGCTGTGTTATCGCTGCAGAAATACTTTTGGTCTCGTGGCTGCAATGAGGAGATGTCTCGTGTCCATAATGCTAGTGCTACGATAAAGTCATATTGGAGGAGTAACCGTGGTCGTTCTGTTGTGCGTGTTGAGCGTGAACGTCTGTTACATGATGCCGAACGCCAGTTGTTTGAACGTCTGAGCTGTGAGGAGACTGTTTGTGCGCACCGTATGTTCGATCGTTGTCGTAACAGTCCGAATCACCGGTTACTTCCAGTTCATGTTAACGTAAATTCTGATCATCGTCCAGCTTACGCTGATGGGTGGTCACCTTGTTTGGAAGGTTTGTTGACCAAGGGGCGTTCTTCCTTCCCATGCATATCTTCCGTTGGCATGTGTAGTAAGAGTAGCATTGTCGTATTAGATGGCAGTGCAGTGTATAGTTTCGGTGGAGCACGATATAATGGCACTGCTCGTGCCTCCTCGGCGGATGTCAAATTGTTGGCGTCTGTACCGCCTCCTCTAAAGGTTCTATCGGTACATTGCGGTGCGGATCACACTATTTTGCACATAAGTGACGGTACGCTTTACGGTTGGGGTGACAATGCACACGGGCAATGTGGCGTTACTCCTAGCAAAGGTTCTTTCGCTTATCCCTCTCTGATACGCATGCCAGTTCGCAACGGTTCACCTGTTCGCATCCGTTCTGTGAGTGCCGGGTGGTACCATAACTGTGCAGTTGATGAGTCAGGTGCAGTATTTGTTTGGGGTAGCTGTCGCGATCTGAACCTCCAATGTTTCACTGAAGACCTACTATTTCCTGTTGAGATACCTGCTGGAGCATGGAAGCAAGGGGATGTTGTGGATAGTGTACAATGTGGTAACCGTGTTAGTTACTTATTGACTAGGGGAGGTAGGGTGTTGTCTTTTGGTAGGACTACTAACGGTCAGTTGGGTCATGAGTTTTGCGAACGATCACTTCCTCGTGCTATTTTAATTCCCGGTCGTGTAATATCGCTATCATGTGGTGGGAATTATACTGTTGTTATAACTGATTCTTTTGATATTTTTGTGTTTGGTACGGTTTTGGGTGTTCGTGGAGGTCGTGAGGTTCGACAGCTGTTTGCTTCGCCCGAAGGTCTTTCGTATGATCGCAGTGCTTTGGGTTCACCTGCTATGAGCAGTAGCGTAGGTCTTTGGGAATGTAACTTGCTTACTGAGGATGGATTGATTTGCGCGTGGCGTTATGTGGTTCTGGATGGCGGTTCTGCTCGTCCTATACTGTATCGCTACTCCTACCTCTCAGGTGTTGTGTCACGTGATGTCTTTACGGTATTTAGTGAGTTTTTAACCGCAACTTTTGTCGTCCTGTGAGGTATGGTGGCCACCGCTTGCCATGGGTGTACGCGCCATGTGTGGCCACCTAATCTTTGAGTGGTTCAATTCCACATTTTGACCGAACTTCTTAATATCTTGCGGCATCGACACATCGATTTCCGCTTATTTTAATAGATCTAATAATATAGGTCCTCCATTCCTAGCGTGTTTCACGCTCGTGGCTGGTTCTCGTTGTTGCGATTCCAGTTTTACGTGACCTTTAAGGTCGCTGCACATTTTTCATTTTGTTGTATCTACCTAATTAGCTTTTGTGTGTGTGTCGGAAATTGACTCCACGATTGCTTTTGGATCATTTTTTTTTACCTTCATGACCATAAGTTGTGGTATTATCAATGTTTTAATTTAAATTTGTGACGTTGTTTTTCTGCAATCTCAACCACTCTACTGGTGTATAAAGGCCATACTTTACGAGTGGCCTCGCCAGGCTTTCCCGATGCGGATACACATTGGTCTCTTAAGGCTTATGTAGGAAAAAATTGTACAGTCAAATCTGTTGCGTTCTCTTCGGATAGACTTGCATTGCATCTGTTGGTCGATGATCTGATTATTGTCTTTTGTTTAGCGGCGCTACCATGGTCGCGAAGGATTTAGAACACTCTTTCGGCAGTACCAGCCAATCCAGCAGCGATGATGCGGAGGAGTTGCGCCAACCCGGTCTCCAAGGCGACTACGATCGTGTGGTTCGTCGTGGTAGCGCGACTAAAGTGGACATGCCAGAGAATCCCCGTGAATATACGGTATCTTCTACACCTAGCATAGGTCGTCTGCTGTTCAGTACCGATAATCGTGTACTTATGCACAAGATATCACCCTCCAACTTATTCTGGTTACGTTTTTACAAGGTTGTGTTGAACTCTGGAGTATTGCTTCTGGTTGTGGCGTACACTTTTTACATCATAGGTTTGTTTGAGCCTATCCTTTACTTGGATGCTGGTGAGTTCACTGACCCAGATTTGTTTCAGCCTTTTTATGAGACATTACCACATTCATTGTTGACTTTGTACCGTCAGCAATCTTATTTTACGGTTGCGGTGGCTGGTCTGTTTTCAATAACACTTCCATTTGTGAAGATGATTGTAACTGTGATTGCTTACGCCACTGCGGTTGCGCACCGTCGTATACAGCTACTTTTATTTTTTGGAGAGCAGCCTATTGAGAGATCGGGTGCGCTTAAGGAGGATGACGGTTACATCAAATATGCTCGGGAGATGCTTATATTTTTGAAGCTTGTGTCTAAGTTCCAGATGGTTGATGTTGTTGTTTTGTTGCTGAATGCAGTTTTTTTGCGTTGTGCGGTTTTATGGGCGCGTCCGGGGAAGGGTTTGTTGTATTTGATAATTTACTGTCTATTTTCGATTGCGGGGGCGCAAATGATTAACTTTGCGGTTGAGGGTGAGAAGGAGATTTTCGAGACTTGGTATGCGATTAAGTATGCTATTTTGCCTGAGGAGATTTCTGCCGATTCCTCCATTGCTACTCAACACCCTGACGGCGGCAGTGATAAGGGTGGAGGTGTAACAGTTAACAAGCGTTGGTTTGTGTCTGAAGATTTCATTTGTTTGATGGCATGTTTAAACATTTTATCATGTATTTCGCTGATGACCAACGAGAAATTGATGACCGTGTCGTTTACGATGGACCTTAGAAAGATTCTCGCCATAGACGTGACCACCATGTCATACAAAGAGGTATTGTCCAGCTTGCACGGAATGGACTATGGCGCGTTATCTATCTTCGTTTTATTGTTCTTGTGTATATTGTTTCCTATGATTTTTTCTGTATTGTTTTTAGCATGTATTTTCGGTTACAATTACTGCAAGCATAACAAAAACGGTTCTTTTAAATCTGTTGAGATAGCGGAATCCGACGATGAGGAGCCATGTCTGGAGTATGACTGGGATGTTCGTTGGACTCGTTTTGTTTTTAACTTGTGTAACATTGTATCTGAGTGGTCTTGTGGTGAAGTGGTATCTTTGGGTACTATGGCGGCTGTCACTAGTATGACCACCGCTGATAGAGTTAAGGTTACGATACCTCCAATGAACACTTGTTCTGCTTTCTTTATGATGGCGACTTACGGTATATCTTCTTTTGTATTGACCGCTGTTTTTTATATTTGGAATCAGAATGTGAAGTTTGAGTTCAACCACATCCGGATTTATGTTAAGTATTTGGAGAGTCCAAATCGCAATCACATTGCGCGTATACTTTCTAACAACAACTTCAATGAGTACATTCCTATGGCTCCTTGTGGTTCTTTGGATCTGGGTCGTCCTTATGCGGTTGATAATGGAGTCCAGCGTCGGCACCTTTTGTTACCTTATGTTGAATTTGTGCGTCGTATTCTATACTCTAAATGGTTATCAAGTCTGTTCTTCGGGTCTCTCACAGCGGTGACTATATTGCTTGCCATGTCGGCTTATACGTTGTCTCATCCATCTCCTCATTTACATGTTAAAGAGATGGATCGTTTTTTACATAAAGAGCTTTACGAGATTTTTAATTTGGCCATGAAGCAGGTTCCTGATAGTATTGGTGACTGTGGTTACTTAGCTCATCCTCCTGTTGTACCTTGTTCGGGTAATGCCGCTCTTTTTTCTACACAGAACAAGGTTCATTTCAGTTTGGTATGGCTCAGTGGTCTAAAGTCGATATCCCTTGAGGATGCTACGTACTCGTTGTCGATTGATCATCGTATGACTTTCAAGCTGCGATTTCATATTAAAAAGCTTCGGGCCTATGCACGTCTTGCTTCTGTGGAAGATGACAATTTGAAGAACATGTTAGCTGGTGTGATAGAGACTGATGGTGACGGTTTCACTACTACTGTGCAGTTATCTACCAAGTGCGTGAACCGTCGTCCACAGGTTCGTGAATTACGTGTTGACCGTATTACATTGGATGGTTTCCGTGCCTTAGGGAAGTTATATACAGTGTTAAGTTCGTTTGCTAATGTGGAAGAGGTGATTGCTGGTCGTTGCACTAAGGAGCTGAACCGTTTTTTGAGTGATCCAACTCAAGTGGTCGTTTGGCGTGGAGTTTCTTTTGACCTTGCTGAGTTTGTGAATTTGTTGATCTCTCAGAATTGGCCAACTAACTTTGTTTGTCCATCTCCTGAGAGATGATGTGATAAAATTATCATTGACTAATTTTCGATTGTCTTTATTTTTTCTATATCATTTCCTGGCAATGAAGTCAACTTAATACTTTTGGAGGTCCCTTTTACAAGCGTTTTTTGTTGCTGCTATGGCTGGTGCTGTGCTTCTTTGGCCGTTCGGTCCAAGCGCGTTTTAAAAAGTCTGTGCAGACAGTGCACCTGTCTACGAGGCTGCCTCCTAACTCTTCAGTATAACATAGACACTAAAAGCGTGTTTTTGTTAAACTTTGTTGCATGGTTGCGTTTTTACTTGATAGTTGCATGTTTATGTTTTGTCTTGCGAGTGTGTGAGGATGATCGGCTTCCGATCATTTTTAGCGGCCGCATTATTGGCCATTTTGGCTGTAGAGATAAACTGTGAGAATGTAAACAATTTAATAGTTTCATCTACTTCTCTGGAGGTATGTGTATATGTTTTGACTCATTCTTTAATGTGTGTAGCCTATTTTCCTGGAACTCCATGACGGCAGCAGTGCTGGTCGTCGTCGTCACAAGAAACGTAGAAGTAAGTTACTGTTTTTATTAAATTACATTGATGTGTAAATATGTGTTAATGAAAATTTAGAGTCGCGCCGCTCCGAGAGTTCTGGTGAGCCTGTGAAGTCTACAGAAAACTTGGAGTCTGTAAAGCCACACGAACACGAGTCTGAGAAGAAAGGAGATTCATCATCTGATTCTGAGAGTGAAAGCAAGGATCACGAATCATCTAGTACAAGCCCCTTGTCCTCTAAGGGTAGTGACACCAATTCTAATGAGGATAAGAAGACCGATTCTGATGAGCACAAAGATGACAAGGATGCTTCCTCCGTGAATGATAACAAGCCTAGTGATTCCAACGAGGATCACAAGGAAACTAACAATGGTGATAACAGCAGTGCTGCACAATCCACATCGGACTCTAGCGATTCTGAAAGCAGCTCTAGCAGCAGCTCATCATCCAGTGACGAATCCTCGGATGAATCGAGCCACTCCTCGTCTGGCGACTCTAGTTCTTCTTCTACTTCTGCCCCGTCTAGCGACACAAACGCTGCTTCATCATCTTCGAGCGACACGAGTACTTCTTCTTCCTCGTCATCTAGTGACTCATCTGCTGAAACTTCTGTTACCGACTCTTCCAATGCAAGTGAAGGTGAACACAAGGATGACTCTAAGAAGGGTGATGATGACCACAGTAATGACAACAAGGAGTCGTCACACTCAGATGCTGACAACAAGCCATCTTCCCACGATGGTGCATCCACTGATGAGAAGCACGAGACAGATAGCTCAAATGACAGCAACTCCTCGTCGGAACATGATAGCGGAAGTACCTCGTCTGCCTCTGAGCTTAAGGAACCAGTAGCGGTATCACTTTTGGAAAACGACGGTAGCAACGTTGATGAAGATGATATGGATTTTGACGATTATCATCATTTTGCTTCAGAAAAGCCTACTGAGGACCATTTGGTATCTAAATGCACTTCTGAGGATGGCTGCAAGGATGATGCTTCACCAAAGAGTCATGACTCTGACAATGCTTCAGAGAAGGTCACGGCTGATGAAAACAAGGGAGTAGAGGAAGATGTAAAAGATAAAAAATCAGAGCAAAAGGAGATCATCACTGAAAAGAGCGCTTCCGAGAATGTGGATGAATCCGCGCCCGCCGTATCGGAGTCCACTGAAACCACCAGTGTTGAGCATGCGGAGAATCACCAGGTAGAACAGACTGAGAGCAGCAAATCGGATCAGAATGTAGAAGAAAATGCACATGAATCTGACTCGTCAGCTTCCGAGACTATGAGTCCCATTTCTAAACATGAACCCAAGGCGGTACAGTCTGACGAGGAGAAGAGCGAGGTATCAGAGGATACATCTAGCAAAATGACGTCTGAAAGTGCTACTTCCACGTCCGATGAAAAGACAGAGTCCGTTCCTGTGGCTGGATCGCACGACTCATCTCCACGTGAGGGCAAGGTGCTGTATGAGTTACGCAAACCCAACAGGTCGTGCAGCATTGACTGTGCTGATGCTTGTCAAAGTGCCTTAGGAGGTAAGAACCAATGCATCAGCAGCGATGGCAGTACTCCTGTATGTTCACCATTTTCTAACTCTTCGACTTTGGAATGTGGTGACAGTTCTAGGTCCTGTGTGATGCCTCACGTGTCTGGTACCCAAGAGTTCGAGCTTCATTCCAGCATTGAAGGTTCACGTCACCCTGGAAGTTTTTCCGTGAAGGGCAGTAATTTCAATGACTGTATATTCCTTCTTTTGGCCCCTTTGGATGGTTCATGTGCTCGTGGTTCTTTGGAAGATAACATTGCCTCCACTCGTATGGTCCTTCACCCTGACTATGAGATCCACCAGACTGGAGATTCATTGAGCTTCTCTAACGTGCAGGTACATTCGCCTGGTCACTACCGCGTATGTCTGTACCAGCAGTACGAGCCATCGCGTAGTGGTTTTTCCGTATCTGCCCTTTTCGTACGTATGTTGGAATTAATCCACCTCAGGAAGCCCAGGGACCTTGTCCGTACTGTGTACGGTATTGATGCCGGGACGTTGTCTGTTCACTAGTGTGTACTAGGTTGAGCTTCGCACATACATAAAACTTGTAGTTTTCTAATGCGCTTAGTTGATAGGGATGTGTTAATACTATTCTCTATTATTGGTATTTTGCTAACGCTTTGTTACACCTTTTGTTGATTTGCAACTCTTTATACTGTAATTGTCTATTCGATACTGTTGTGGTCGAGGTGTGTCGTGTTTAATTTCGATTGATTGTGTTTCCAGTTAATACTATTATTTTACCATCTGAGCTTTCTTTTGTTGTTTTTAATGGTTAAAATTGTGTCTTGTGTCCCCCCAACGGTTTTATCCGAACTTTAACTCCTCACGTGTGTATCTGTGGGTGTGTTAGAAATAATATTACCTACTATTTTTTTCATTATTGCCATGGGGAACCATTTTAGCTCCTGGCGTCCATGTCATTCATCCGGTGGAGCTGGGAACAGTGAGACACATTGCCCTGATCCAGCGCCGCATCAGGCTATCGTCTTGGATACAACCTCAAGCAATTTGGTAGGTTATTTCGTTACTAATTGTTAATCGGCTATACACAGTATTCGATGAGCATAGGATTTGATGAAGAGCCAGAGAGTAACGCCAGTCGAGCTATATCAATAGGCCGGAGTTCTTTGCCCGGTGTCCGTGCTATGGGCGCGGCTATAGCGGTGCCTAAGTCTGGTATAGTTTTGGAGTTGGTGGGTCCTGCATATTGATTACATGTTATCTTTCTGCAGATTAGCAATTCTCAGTTTGTTTTAAGGTTCGGGTATACGTCTCGGGTACCCGTTACGGTTACCTTTTTGTTCCGCCAGCTTCACCAAGGTCTGAATAATGGTATTCCGATGTGAGTTGTTTTTTATTATTAATACCTAACATATACATGTAGCTTTTCATCACCTGAACTGAAGCTTGGTCCTTTCGAGTTGCCTGTGGGTGATAAGTTGACCTATCGTCTGGACCCTGCTGAGGTATCTCGTCATAAAAAGCTTACTCTTTCGTATTGCTCTTTTCAGCGAACGCACAAATTTGTCCCTATTCTTTTATTGTTTGAATCGAAGAATGCCGACTATGTCCTTTATATTATGGGCGGTTTGACTAATACTGAAGTGCACAATGAGTGGAGCTTCGTGGTGACTAAACAGCGTGTTCGCCAGGGCAAGATTGGTTACGAGCTACAAGAGGTGTATGGTCTAAACGCCTCAGCTTTATCTCGTCCCGGAGATAGTACTGATGATAGCGACAATCAGCAGTGTCGTTGTGTCGTTTGTTTGACTAATATGAAGGACACTATAATCATGCCTTGTCGGCATATGTGCCTCTGTCATGAGTGTGCTTCTGCTATGGCGCACAACCATCAGTTTTGTCCCATATGCCGTCGTCAAATATCGCACATATGCCAGATTTCGCAGGCCGGTGGTCCTTGACTGCATATGGTGACCACCCACAGGGCTTTACAACGTAGTTATTTCGCAACAAGACCTTCTAACAGATCTTGGTAAGCATGTCACACATTATATATATGAACTATTTGTGTTTTACAAATGTAACATATCGCTATATGGGTGTTTGTATGCCCAGATCACGGAAGACCTCGGCTGTTGTGTTGCGGACCGTTTCGGTTCAGCTTTCTTTGATGCATCTACGTATATTCCATGCGGCAACTATGGCTCCACATGCGTTTCCCACTACAACGGCGTTGTGCGATAGTAATGGGTATATACAGGTGATTGGTGCTCCCCTGAAATCTGCATAGTCCACGTTATTTCCATCCTGTCTCTTGTCACTTGCTATTGGGCTATACTTGACATCGTATAGTAGGTTGAGCACTAGTGACCACGATATTTCATTGTTTGTATGGCGTTCAATTTTCCTCATTATGAGTGATCCATCCATGGACCCTATGAAGAGTAGGCACGTTTTTTCGTAACCGTCGTATAGTTGCATGGATGATATGAGTCCTGAATCGCAAGTAAGAACTGCCACGGGTACCGATTTGAGTAATGCATAGCTCCTGGTATCCCATACATCTATTCGTATGTTTCCATATACTACTAGTGCGATTTCAAGCATACTTGAGAAGTGTATGCTGGTAACCCTTTGCCACCTTGCATCTATTTCAATATTTGAGTGCGTGTCCTTTTTCATGATATCTGCTGGTACATGTTTTTTGCAGTTTCCTGATGGTATTTCGAATACCGCGAATGTGCCGTCACCGTAGCCAACCCATACGTCGTTGATTACTGGTTGTACCTTTAGGCATGATATATAGGTCACATGTTCACTTCTTTTGATAGGTGTTTTGAACATTTGTTGTTGTGCAGGTTCATCGTATTCGTCATCGCTGGATACGGTAGTCATGCGATTAGTATCTGTTGCTTGTGTCCTCCCATCTTCTCTTTGCCCTTCCCCCAAATAATAAATTACATTAATGGGTTTCATTGATGGTAGATCAACAATGATAATGTGCCCAAGTTGGTTTCCTATGATAAGTGTTCTTGCATATTCGTCGAATGTCTTTACCAATTTAAGGAAGTTGATTTCGAAAGCGTTTGGTGCTCGTACGGATTGTTCTTCAGTGTCACTCTCTCCTGAGCTTTCTTGGGCGTTTCCATCTTCTGAGTAGTATTGCAAAGTATCTACTACAAGGGCACGTTCGAAATTGTCAATTTTGTATATGACTACCTTTCCACATTGCGTGGCGCATAGCGCACACCTTCCGATACCTACTACATGTCCGTAGGTTACATTAGTAATAGCATATGGAGCACAGCTGGTATGTTGCATCAGTTTTCCGTAGAATGAATATCGTTCCATAGAATCTGGTGTTTGCATGATAAGTGAGCAGTTTTCCAGTTTTTTGGCATGTCCGAAGAATAGTCCCATAGTAGGTCCTTTTCTCGTTGGTTTTGTTGGTATTTCATACGGGGGTCCCCAACCCGCGTTTCCCAATGCATCGGATAACGAGTTAATTTTTTTCATTAGTGCCTTAATGGCTGTCCATTGTTTCCTTTCATCACTATGCTTGATACGTTGGTTGATATTTTGTTCATCTGTTGCACGTCTTACACTAGTGACCGATATGAATGGCCGTCCTACAGGTTGCGTTTGTTCTGTAACATCACTGTTTTTACTTGAATTATCGTTTGCGCATTCCCGAGAGCTACCGCTTCCCTGTCGATCAACAGATGGTGTATCCATGATTGGCTATATATAGTATCCTTGTTCTTTTCGTGTATATCCAAGTGCCAATTAGTATTGGCAGTGCGATGAGTTACCTACGCGTCACCCTTTTCGGTGTACTGTGCAATCGTTTTCTGTAACAGTGTCGGTTTCATTTGCACATCGAGATTAACAAGTTTCATCAGTTTCGATTAACGATCTTTGAAGTGTCTGTTTCGGGCCGTGTTGTTTCCTGAGCGGAAACTGGCGTGCCTGTGGTGGGTGCTACTTATCCTTGTGTTTTCTTTTATATTGCCTGATTTTTTGTCATTAATTTTTTACCTAATGCTGAATAGCATGGTGTGACGTTGGAATCGTATCATCACTATTTGTTCAACGGACTATTTGAGGTCTCTCGTTGTATCGGAGCCTCTCTTCTGTTGGAAGCAACGTTGGTTGTCATTGATAGGAAATTAAGATTGACATGTATATTAGGTTTTTCCTACGCGAAGCTTTATTATCTACGCTGTGTGTATCACTTTCTCGTTGTTGAACCTTTATAACGGTGTTCTTCACAATGGCTTTTGGCAGCGTTGGCGTCGATCCTTCTGGATCCGTTGGCGACGTTCGACATTCTTCTAAGCGCAAGTTAGATATCTAGCTTGCTGCGTGATCTTATGTTTTTTTGCAGGAGTCGTTTTGACAGCCCTTTGTTGTCATCCACTGGAGCATCTGCATCGACGACTTCCTCGGACGTATCTCATGCTGTAATATCGCATAGCTCTGGCACACAAATGATGACCGTAGCTTCTACTATAGGCTCGAGATTCGTCCCGCCTCCTCCTCCACCTCCACCACCACCTCCTCCATCTACAATATCATCGGTTCGGTCCTCTCCGTGTTACATTTTCTCACATTTTCACATGCAAGGCATCATGTGTTGTTCAGGGAGTTGGATTCACGATTAACAACGGCTATGGGAAGGGTTATCATTCCGGTCATGTCGATACCTCTAGATTTGACGTCGATGGTACCGTTTGTCCCTCGGCACCCTTGCCTAGCTGTACAGACACTTCAACATTTGTACCTACCTCAATCGAGGTGACACCTTGTAAACTAGACACTTGCAATGTGGGTGTTATGTCATCTGTGTTGCGGAGATTGAAAAATGATGTTCGCGACACAGCGCCTTATTCTTTGGCGCCTGAGGACACAGAGGTCCCAGTGTTTGAACCGCCTCATAGCGTTTCGGAGGTTACTAGCATGAGGAAATCAGACTTTTACGACGAATTGGAGGAACTCTTGGATTCCCTAGAGAGCGTCCTTCCTGCTGGAGACTCTGGGTTTGATTATTCACGCCGGAAACAGTTAAACACGACCAAGCACCGCTCCATGCCTTTGAAAGTTGTGTCTGAGCATGATATTTTACGTCATAATGCGAGGTTCGTGGATAATATATTTTAATGGAAGTTGTATCATCGTCGCAGCGCCTCTCGTGATTGTCCCGTGGTTTCAGCAGGCACGAACATCACACCTTTTCGTACGTTTGGCGACATTTTGGAGCTACCGTAACATAGGCTCTGGCGCTTCTGGGTTTTCGTCGCCACCAACGGCCGCTGCATCGTCCGTTGATGATGCTTTGGAGTCGTTCCGCAAGAAGCGGGCCAGCGATTACCATGACCAGTTGGCCATGAAGTACTGTTCTTTGCGTGTTGATTACACCTGAGTATAGGGAATCTGCTCGTCGTGATCCGTCTTTGATGGTGGTTTCTTCACATAGTATCTGTTACAAGTGTAACCGACCAGGTCACCATGCGAAGGACTGTCGTCACATTGCTTTGTGACTGTCAACTGGTTCGTTATGGCGTCTCTGGAGTATTGTACTTTGTATAAGGATAAAGCTCATTAATGTAGTACTACGTCTATTGACAGCAATTAGGGCAATGTCAGTTGTGCTTCATTAGAATATCAATAGTATATGCACTTTCTCCAACTGTTTGTTCGTATAGGCATTGCATGTAGCTTTGTTGTATGGCATCTCGTATCGCTAGTGCGACCTTTGCGTGTGTGTCACTTGACCTGTGTTCATGTGTTTTTTGTCCCCTAAATCTGTGGGCAAGGTCCATCATCCGGTGTAGTCTTTGTATAGACGAGAATCCCAGTGCAGGTATTGCATCAGCATTTTTGTTCGTCGTGTTACAATATCGTAGAATAATTGCCGCTTGGTATATGTTTGTGAGCGTCTGGTGGATACGCGTTAATGCCCTTTCAGTCTGGCTAGATTCTATCTGCTGTTGTTCTGAATGTCCCATGAACATGGCCTCTTCTTCGAGTCCTTGGTGACAGTAGTATATGAGTGTTTTTACTTGTTTCAAATGGGTCTCCTCTAGAGTTCCAAGCATGTAGAATGTTGCTACCCGTCTCCAAAGCAGTAACGATCGTTCTCTGGAAGTGAGTTTCCGCATAATATGTGATTTTTGCAAGATATATCTAAAGCAAGTTTCTGCTGTAGATTTTGTATCCTCTTTGGCGAATAATTCTGACTTGTGGAGGGCTCCCAGGAGCGCCACTACGCTGCTACCTGTGAAGTTGCTAAGTTCCAGCTGCGATATCATCTGCCATGTGTCTTTGTTTCTAAGTTGTAACGGATCATGGCCCGCTAATGCGATTATAAAGGCCAGAGTAGCATCATTTCTCATTCTAGCTATTCTTATTTTCGTGGCTTCAGTACAATGATCAGCGGCCTTAATCTTAGACTTGAAGTTTGCATCGTTAGGACATATTCCGGCTGTTTCATGTAATATCCTTTTGGTATGTTTCGTAAACCGTTCCACTTGGTTGTAATTTGTCTGCGTTAATTCATTTGGGTCTATTCTTGATAGCGTGTATGCAGCGTTTTGCACTATTTTAAGTTGTTTTTGTGCGAACGCATATAAATTCACCCTAGCTTCATTACTTGAGAAGCTATGATCGATGCCTCTGAGGCTGCTTGCAAATTTTGGTTTAAGCATGTGTTGTTACTGTGGGTGTTGTAACAGCAGTGCTGATCCGTCTACCGGTAGACACCTCTGCCGTTTAGCCTCGTTGTTGAAACTATGTATCCAGTTCCAACAACCATGTGAGTGAGATGGTTAACTCCTTTAAGGCATATCATATTCCTTCCTTATTGTTCATCTTTAGAGATTCATTTCAGGGACAGCTGAGTATTTGGAGACACCATTTGTGTCATATATAGGCATACTATATTGTTATTTTCGCTATTACTTCCTACTAACTTATGCGATTTGTAGTTGTTGATACTCTATTGTCTATGTAGGTGACGTCGGTTTTTGTCGCAACCTTCCCAATGTTTCCTGTCTGGCTTCACTTGTATGGAATCCTGGTTAAACTGTGTATGTGCATCGACACATAGGTTCGTTTGTGCGATTTGAATGTTTTATTATCCTTTTCTGAGAGTTCGATTCGTTTTGAATATCACAAGTGTGTGTTTCTTGCTTTGCACAACAAAAGGCGTACCGGGTATCCGTACTGCGAGGCAGGTAATTTAGTTTCAACGTTTCCCTTTACCCTTTTGATTACATCGTAAAATATTTCGTTGTTTGAGCGGTGTGACTATGTTCGCTCAACGTTTCGGGCCGCAAGCGCTATTGCGCAGTGGCGGCCGTATGCTTGGCCCTAGCGACAATGCTATCGTTCGTAACATTGAGGCCTGTACCGCCATTGCTGATATGTTGAAGACATCTTTGGGTCCTAATGGTATGAAGAAGTTGATCGTGAGTCACATAGACAAGCGTTTCGTGACATCTGATTGTGAGACTATATTGAGTGGTTTGGATGTGCAGCATCCTGCGGCTAAAGTGCTGGCTATGGCTGTACAGACTATGCAGAGTGAGTTTGGTGATGGTACTAACACTTTGATTGCTTTGGCTGGTGAGATGTTGAATAATGCTTCTCTTTTATTGGAAGAGGGTCTCCATATTTCTGACATTCGTCTTGGTTATGAGCTCGGCTACAAGCGTTTATTGGATCTTTTTGAGAAGCAAGTTATTTGGGAGGTGTCTAATATACGTGATGAGTCTCAGTTATCCGATGTTGTTGGTACTTGTATCGCTGGTAAGCACATTTCACGTCCAGATTTGATAACGTCACTTGTTGCTAAAGCCTGTGCCTCGATTATTCCACCTGATGCTACTCAATTTGATGTTGACAACGTTCGTGTTTTAAAGATTTGTGGTGGTAGTTTGGATCAATCCACTGTGATGAACGGTATGGCGATCATTCGTGACGTTAGTGGTTCAGTAAAGAAGGTTGGCCGTACAAAGGTGTTAGTGATCGCTGGTGGTTTAGAGTTTGCTGGTACTGAGGCTAAGAGTACGGTGATGTTGCATTCTGCTGAGGAGCTTTTGAATTTTAGTAAGGGTGAGGAGGTTGAGATGGAACGTGTGATTCGTTCTATAAAGGATAAAGGTGTAGGTTGTGTGATCGCAAACGGTGCTGTATCTGACCTTGCACTGCACTATTGTAATGCCATGGGTATAATGGTGGTAAAGATAACATCTAAGTTTGAGTTGCGTCGTCTTTGTCGTTCTCTTGGTGCTACTGCCGTGGTTAAACTTGAGGCACCTAATGAGGATGACCTTGGTATTGCAGCTTCTATAGAGATGGTTGACCTTTCATCTCGCAAGACATTGATATTCCAGGCAGTTGACCATCGTCTTTCTACTATAATCTTGAAGGGTGCAACTCAGGGTATGTTGGACGAGATTGAGCGTGCTATCGATGATGCTTTATGCAGTGTGAGTGCTGCTATTCGTGACCCCCGTTATCTTCCTGGTGGTGGCGCTTTTGAGATAGAGATGGCACGTCAGTTATCTAAGTTTGCCCATACATTGTCTGGTCTTGAACAGCATGCTGCTCGTAAATTTGCTGAATCTTTTGAGGTGATTCCTAAGATATTGGCTAGTAACGCCGGTCATGATGCTACTGTTGTAATTACGGAGTTGTATGCCGCACACGATGCTGGCAATCCGTATGCGTGTGTTAGCTCTGACCTTGAGCATCGTCTATCTGATGCTCGTTCAAGCCGTGTATATGACCACTACGTGGTTAAATTATATTCTACTAAGCTTGCTTATGAAGCTGTGTCTACAATTTTATCTGTAGATCAGTTGATTATGGCTAAGCCTGCTGGTGGGCCCAAGCCCCGCGACCCTGGTCCTCCAGACCTTTAGACGCGATCACATTCCTTTAAATTTATCTAATTCTTATCTATTTTATATCTATGTCCGGTTTAAATTTCGGTAAGTCCTCTGGCCGGTTGATTGAGGAATCAGCTGATCAACTGTCAACTGACCATCTTTCTGATAAGCTTAGGTCTACTGTTTTACGTCCTCAGCCTGATAGTGTATCTAACTCTGCACTTTTTCAACGTTTTTTGGAGTTACTGACTTCTCAGTGTAGTAGCGGGTCAAGGTTTCATTGCGCGGCTCCTGAGGGTTGCTGTGCTCCATGTAGTATTTTGTATCGACATGTTCAGACTTATGTTGATGTTGCTACGTTAGATGAGATATTATCTTTGAGGAAGGATTCTGGTTTATGTGGTTATATGTTTTGCAACAATCGTGTACTTGGTCGTAGTTCTGGATGTCGCAATAGTTCGACATTTAAAATTGACTTATCTGAGCAACGTGTGTTTCTACGTGAGGTCTACGAGTCATTTTGTAGTGCCAAATGTATCGATAAGAACGCTGAAGTGCAGTCTTCTGCATCCAGTTCTCCTATGGAGACTGGTGTAATAACTCCACGTGCAGTGCGGAATTCGAACCCTGATTCCTTAAATGCTTTAGTAACTAATCTCAGGCAGCTCGGTCCGTGTGTTAAGTTGTCAGATGTGCTTACCTATCAACGGTCACCAATTCCGCCAACTTCGTACGAGCATAATGGGTCGGATTTGTTACAGGACAAATGTGTGATGTTTAATTACAAGCCATTATCTGAAGTTCGTCGAGTACGGTTCGCGATGCCTTTATCTACATCCGATTCTGTATCGTCAGTAGAAAGCATGAACGTAGATAGTCAATCGCAACAGGGTACATCAGTACCGTCTATTTCTGATCCCCCTGTTTGTAAAGAAGGCTCTGCATCCGCACTCGAGGATGCGGTATTTGATTACAGTGGCCTCTATGAGAGTTCTGAGTCGATGGGTGCTCGTGTTCCCTTGTTAAAATGTCTCAACGTTTTCTCTATTTTGTGGTATACTCTGAGCACATGTGTGACACCTGCAACTCGTGAGTTTTTACGCACGGGTAACGTTTCTGCCTGCAGCCTTAACGTGAGTTTGTTGTATATAGATGTTTTAATGTATGCCAGGAGAAAACTAGAGAATGGTATACGGCGCTACTTCGTCACGTCCCGGATTCTCTCTTGTCTACAGTATCTGGCCCACTTGAGTCTTTGCTATCTACTTTCAGTATCGGCACCAATACCCCTGCTCTAGATAATGACCTCTATCGCATTCTGACCTATGTGTTGTTGTATGTGCTGCTACGGAATGGTGAACGCGTCCTTATCTCAGATTGTGGTCCCTCCATATATGATGGGCCATTAAAAGAGGTTGAGCGTTACTTGGTGGATACCTGTACGTTGGACGTGGACTCTATCTCGGTCCTTAACGAGCTGCTGACGGAACGAGATTGAGAGGATTTCACCTAATAAACCAACCTTTTTAAATATTTCACACGAAATTTTGAGTTCGCATTTTCTATATAGTTTGAAACATTACTGTCCCGTGTTGGCATCCCATTTACAGAAAATGTAGTTCATTTTGCGTAGCACTCAAATACCTATTAATTGATCATGTATTCGCTGGTACATACCGATTTAAGGTATCTACTCCATGATGCCATTGAGGTCGTAACTTTTAATGTTCTTTGGCCACTGCATCTGGTGAACGCATTTAGTCAACGAGAGTGTCGTAGTAATCATCACTCTTGCTATCATTATCATCAACATGATGCGGATCAGTAACATCAGCACTATCAGTAACAGCATCAGCATCCGCAACAGCAATACTAGCCTCATCATCAGCATTGCCATGACCAGCGCTATCAGCATCAGTACTATCTGTATCAGTACTATCTGTATCAGTACTATCGGCATCAGCAACAGCAATACTAGCCTCATCATCAGTAGTATCAGTATCAGCATTATCCTCATCACCTAACTTTTCGGGGTGGAAGTATTCATTTTCTCTTTCAGCGAACCACCTTTTGGTGGATAGCGTCCCATATTTGCAAAGAACCTTTTCACATCCGAGGTCTGTTTCTATATAGAGTGTGAGATGTACTCTTTGGGCATGAAGCCCGTCGGGATCGTTAACAGTTGTATGCCTATGTTCGTCTTTTGGAAGCGCATCTTTGTATTTTTGTATAGTTTCCGAAATCAAATCGTAATGAAGGGGCTCCATGATATCCGTAAGCTTATATTTGTTATGCATGATGAATATATTGAGTTGTATTTCCCACTGTTCGATCATTTCCCAGACATTTTCTACAGTTTCTGTTCTAATTTCGTTTGTGATTACTGCATAATATCGTTATTTTATATTTAGCTTACATTTCATATGATCTAGTGCGACAGTAGCAAGGTTGTAGAAGGCGTTCATAATGAGTACAATCATTTTCTTGATACTGCAAACGGATATCAATGGTATTAGATTTGTGCTCACCCCTGTTGTATCTTTCCCCCGATTTCCGTTATATCGTAAAACATTTCGTCGATTTCATTGACCAATAAGCATTCTCTGTTCCACAATATTTGTTCAATAGTTTTTTGTGCTTCGTTGGTGTATGTTATCATCTGTATACATTTGTTTTTAGTTTTGGCTATTTCTATGTTACTTACCGTTGCTCTCACGAAATCCGCAGCCATTCTTTTAATTATATTCTTGTCTATATTGTTCAATACATGGACGTAGTAACTTGTAGGTGCTACGTCGCCTAGATTTGGTGCTGTATTGTCACTTTCATTCCCTGGTGCTTCTTTTTTATCTTCGCACAATAAGTTCATATACGGCTCAAATGTCTCATTCTCGTCGCATATATCATCTAATGTGAGATGACATTGGGCCCATAGCATGGTATCTCCCGTTTCTGTAGATGTGTCTTCTTCTGGAGGTTGTTTAGTTAGCAGTCCAAGAAATGATGCGATATTGGATTTAGTATCCGGTGTGACTGATTGTTCTGCGTGATAATATTATTATTGTCATTTTTTTATTGAGTTGTTAAGTTTCGTTTTAATGAATATAGCTACTTATGTAGCAACGTACCTTTTTCTTCCATGAAAATATGCATGGCAAGACCTAGTGTCATTTCCCTGTATATATTTCCATGTTTCTCTTGTCGCTTTGTCCTGATATCATCCCATGCATTGAGTATATATGTTTGATTTGTGTTTTGTTGTTTCATATTCCGTATTCTAGTTACCTCGGTCCTCCCGTATGTCCATATGTCTATTGGTGTTTCTGCATGTGTATAACATACTATACTATATTCGTCAGCTAGATCTTGATTTTCTGGATTACAGATTATTTCGTATAAATACCATCCATTGTCACGTATCAGAAAATGTCCATATTGTGTATGCTGATGCATTGCTAAGGTATTTGATATCGTGTATGCTGCCATTGCAGTCACCATGGCTATCCATATTGTCATCTTCTTCATGCTTCCATAAGTATATAAGTGTGATATCTCCATTCCGTATATATTTCTATGGGTTACTACTGCAGTTTATGATACGATGACACCTATATAGATACGGTGGTTGTGTTTTTTTTGTGTCCTATGGATTCTTCCCTTCCGTACCACGTAATTCTTATACACCACGAGATGTAGATTTCCGATCACGTATTTCGTTTTTAGTTGCTGTTCGATTGTTTTAGATGAGCTGTATGTTTCTATTTACTAGGTTAGGAGTGTGGTCTGCCTGGTTGTACCAACATTTGGCATTTTAAGGGTTACGTCCAAAGTTGTATATGTCTAGTTTATAAGGCCAGTTTTCGCTGCGTTTCATGTGGGTTACGGTGGTGCTACGAGTCATTTTCCTCGCAATATGAGAATGGTAAGACCCCCTGCACTATCTGTGTCTCTTTTCTCTTATGAACGGGGTCAACGAATTTCACAGATGTTTTTCTGGCTTACATAGACCATTATACAGCGTTACAGCTTAGCCTTACACATTACCGTTTGACGTAATATCATTAATGTTTCTCGTTATAAATGTGTAACGTTACTGCCGTGTTTTTCTTTGTGTGACAATGTAGCTTCTTCTGTTTATACACCGACTAAATTATCTTAAAACTAAATATCAGTCTTATTTTAATATAAGCTATCATTTATTTTGGGGTATATAACACCTTCTGTGTTGCTATATCTCTTAGGGCCCATTCCCCGTTGTGCGTCTTCTACGGTATCACCACTATTTCACCTTACCATTTTGTATTGTGATTTAAATTATATTGTATCGTTTCTGTGCGTAGAATGTCGCAGGATGATTCCGTTAGGAATGAAGAGCGTTCGACATTAATGTGTAAGCGTCGTCTGTTCGTGTTAGATAAGTCACATAATGAGATCTACATAACATCTCGATCTCCACTTTGTGTATATTATAAGCGTGCTATATATTTATTGCGTTGGCAATTATCTCGATTCCCTGAACTGTGCACAAGCCGTTTTGTACGTGAGAACCAGTTGAACAAGAAAACTGGCGTCTTGGGTAACCGTGCCAAGCTTTTAGCTCAGCACACTGAGTCTAACTCTATCTCGTGTGATACCACTTCTATCTCATCGGTGCTATCTAAGCGTCATGAGCCCGAGATAGACACTTGTGGCTCGGGTGTGATCTTGTATGGCACGGGTCGTTGTGTGACCCGTGCTCTTTATGTGTTACAAGATATCTATGATTACGTAAAGGATCTTTATATTGAAGCTCAATCTCGTTTTCGTGGTTGTTTTTTTCGAGTACTGTGCGATGAATGTTCCATTTCAGCCCAGTGTATTTCCGAAGGTCGTGTGAAGCACGGGCTTGAAGCAAGTTGCGCCGAGTGTGATTCATGTACAAACGCTGCTTTAGAGACCGCTGTGAAAAGGATTTTACGTGTTGAGATTACTACGGGCACTGTTTCTTGCAGTGATGATGTCTATAGTTACAGTGCAGAAAAGGACGATTTATCATCTTTTCCAGGCCCTTTTAATCCATTGGATTCATTAGATACTGAAGTTTCAGTGTCCAAACGTGAGCGTATGGTTTCATCTATTCGTATTTCTATTCGTGTAGTTGGTACTTAGGTGTGCTGATAGGTCGTGTGGCTACGGTATTAGAATGTTATCGTTAGTTAATCATCATTTGATGTAAATAATTATCGGTATTATTTGTTATATTATTTGTGGCTATTTGTTATCTGTTTCGGCTTTATTGTGGTCTTTGGATCTGTCGTCAGTTCAAAATTGAATATTCTGCGCGATATTTTTTTAGTAGTTTCCAGGATTCTGTCTAGATTCAATTTAATTGTATTGTGACGCCTATTATTTTCTCAAAGGTTTCGAGGTTACTACTATAAATTTAATACAATATCTGCATCGATGGCTGACCATTCGGAAACGTCTTCGCCTCCTCCTGAGTGTACTGATGGCGATGATTCCTCGTCTGGTGTGGAGGAACCGCTGGAAGTGCCCACTCTTAGTGTGAATGCAGCTGAAGTTGAGGTTCATTCTGATATTCATTCGGAAGCTCAAGCTTCTGGAAGGACTGTATCTATCGAGCATTCCGATACTAAGAAACCTCGAGTACATCGTTTAGTATCTCGTCATGCGGATGCATTTAATGGTGGTGTTATTGAGGGTGAAGAGGAATTTGATTTCAGTAATGCTTTTAATCCCGAGGCTCATGTAGAACCTTTCAATGAGGCTGAGGCCAACGATGACCCTTCTGCAGCGTCATCTTCGCGTAGTAGTAACAATTCGCAATCACGTAGCGACTACGAGGAGTTTGACATTGGTACTAGCAAGATACATCATTACGATGACGCTCCTTCGAGTTGCCGGTATTATACCGACGACGAGGAGATTACTGTTAAAGAGTCCGCTGGTGCTATGGCTGAGGATGACCCTATTTCGAAACGTCCGACCCTATTAGGTCGTAAACTTCAGAAAGCTGGTCACTGCGTGAAGTCGATGGCTCGTAAACCTTACGCGGCTGCTGCGAAGTTTACTAGTTACTGCAAGAAAAGATTGAGCTAGAACTCTATCTCACAATAACATGTACCTTTGTCATTTTTGTTAATTTTATTTGCATCGCATTGGTGTGGTGGTTGCATAAGTTCTGGTACCGACTACTGTCTAGCTGTAACACTGACTCCTATATCCATGCATTGAAAAGATCTATGTTTTGAATATGTCCGATATTTCCGCCATAATTTGCTTATATGTCTCGGTACTGTCGTCCTGTATAACATCTTTGTCATAATATTTAGCATTATTACCTTCAGGTCGATACCGAGTATCAGCACTACTTCACCTGAGTGCTATGCATAACATCTGTTGATTTGCCTACGGTCAAGTTCTAGAGCATCTCTCGTGCGTAGTGAGTCGCATAGCGTCTTGACAATACTGCGGGCGTACACTGCGTGATGTTCGAGTAGTCTAAGGTGGTATTAACTCTGACTTTAGGGCATTACCTGTTTCCTAACATGGTCCTAACGCTGTATACATCCGCGTGTGGCGTGTCTGCTGATGCACATATCTGTATATAACTATTTCCTTGTAATGTGACCTACCCAGCTGGCGACCTTGCCGCTATGCGTTATGAACAGTTGCCATGCGTTTGCAAATTTGATGAGCAATGCCTCATATTCCGTGTCTACAGACATTCCTGGTATCTGTGGAGCTATAACTTACTGGAATCCTCTGGTCCTTTGACGTTAAAACGTTTGGACCTTGTGGATGGCCAAGCGGCGTTAGCGCCTTCTGGTTCTACAGCGCTGGACTGCGTTACACTGTTATTTGCCATTGGTTGTATAACTATACAAATTTATTAAATGTGTGTGTACGGTTTGCATCGTGTTGTAAACTACGAGCAAAAAGTTCAGGTTCTATTATTGTGTCTTCCGGTATCCACCCTGTGGTTCCTATAGACTCTACGTCCTCAGACTCTGCTATACTGACATATATCCACTGATTATGTCTAGCTAGCATACAGACTTTGTCCGCAGGTTGCACTGTGATGGCGTTCTCCTCATTATGCGATGGAGTGTATGCTGAGAACACCGTGAATGGCACGGTGGTTGCATCGTTTTTTATCATTTCGTTCAAATGTGCATCCCTGACAACATTCGGGAATCCCAACGGTCCTCTATCATATGTATATTTGTTATTTACAAAAGATAGGGTATCCGTTGGATATTTTGTGTTTGCACTCCGTTTCTTGCGTAAATCGGTCATGAAATTCGCCACTAGTTCGCCACTATCGGGTACAACCTCGCTATGTGTCGTATCTGTTTCTTCAGAGTTATATTGTCGTTGTGTAGAGTAATCCGTTGGATCTCCACCGTATGACGCCGCTCCACTAAATGAGCTTGCACGTTTCGTCTTGGCATAAGATTTATCATGTATATCCCGTCTATATTCTGGTGCTTCTAAGCTTTTTCCTACCATAGCTAATTTTATAGCATCGCTTTTTAGGTATGCTAGATCTGCCATTCTCTGTGACATACTGCTAGGCGTTTCTTCGGAATTGCAGCTTCTACATATGCTTGCGTTTCCATCCAACAACGCACTTGCGTAAGTGTCAGTGTCCCATGACCCCCTTTCCATGTCGTTTTGTGTTTGAGGTGATTTGATGTCTTTGAAATCAGTGGTATATGGGTTGTTTTTCCAGGTAAAACCGTTTCTATATTCGGTCATCACAGAATTGGACTCGGGTGAAGTTGATGCAGTATCAATATCTTTTCTTTGTTGTCCAATGGCTACCGTATTTCGGTGTCCGGTATCATCCATTGCGTCAAATGTTCTGCAGACTGGTTGGCTTTCCCGTTTCCCTTTCAGCATCTGTGATAGGGGTAATACTACGTTGAGTACTTGTGCGTTACTTTGGAGGCCTTTTTGGTCATACTTTTGGCATACTTCTAGCATCTTTGCCTTGTTACGTAGTCATCCGTTATGCTTTATCCCTCCGATTCCCGCCTTGAAAATGTCAAATTGTGCGGGTTTCCGACGCCATAAGTCTCCTTTGGTATTTCTTCTATTGTCGGTGTGTTTTTATTTAGGTGCGGTCCCTAGTCGCTGGGGGCGTTGTATTCTTACGAGTCTGGGGAGCCGCGTGCGCGCATAACCCACTGTTCTTGTTGTAAAAAATCCTTGGAGATTGTTTGTTAATATGCGTGTGATTTCACCGCCCGAAATTGTTGTATACTTGCTATATAACTTCTTGATCCTTTCTCGAATGATCTCGCGCGCCTTTACGTCGCCTCAATCGTTGTTCAGAATCTCTGTTATATCGCAATCTTCGTAAATTAATATTGCGCTTCAGTGCGCAATATTTCACACTCGTTGTCCTACAATCTCGCTCTGTTTTGCACTAAGCCATCACGCAGAGAACCGGAGGTAATCTCGGTCCAGAGCCACCGATATGATCTGAACGAAACAAATACACTCTACACACTACGGAGTGATCGTATGGTAGTCGTTACTGTCCTACACACGGCAATATAGAAGTTGTCGACAGCAGCTAGCTATTATTAACTGATATCATGTTATAGTTTCTATCTAGCATTTAACATGTTTTTGTTGCATACTATGCATGCAAAAGTGCCATAGAGCCTTTTAATTACGCCCTTTTGGTCGCCCATACTTGGCCCAATCTGTATTGTTCAGTACCTTATTTTGTTTGGCTCGTTCATATTCATAAAATGGATCCAGCACATTATGCCTTTCCTGCTCCTCCAGGTCCAAACGATAGGTCGCAATATGTTCCATATGGTGCCGGAGATCTGTGTCTGGCACATTATCTACCTTCAATTTTGCATTATCACTGTTAGATATGAACGAATCATATTTCGAGGTCGTTGCTCGTTCTCTCCAAGTTTTTTCAACCAACGGGTTACGGAACCACGGCTTAACGCTGGATTTTCGCAGATTAGAACCACTATCAGTGATAGGGTCAACCTCTCTATGGCGCAAAAGTGCGCATTTCGAATTAACCTTGGATAGCTCATTAAGATATTCCAGTGAGTATTCGGCCACAGCTTTTACTTGGTTTCCACTAATTGTTGGCAGGTGGGTAAGGGCCGTCCCGTCGATGTTCCGCTCGACTATATTTGATTCGATGGTAAACCGACCATCAGCCGCGGCATCACCGTGTGTTGATCCATATAACTTACTAACCTCTTCCACATCAGATGCACTAACGGATACCACTTTATAACATTCCGATTCGTCATCCTTCACATATTTATCTGTTGTTCGCTGCATAGCGTTCTGGAGTTTGTTTTTTGCTTCAATTTCCCCTAGAGGGTTGAAAGCATGCCTCTGAAGTCCCAATCTCTTATTTTCTCCAATATTGTGGTCCCCAGCATTGGCATCTACATCCTTAGTTTCACAATGCACAACACCAGATGCTGAAGTGTCTACCTTGACGTTACCATTTACAAGACCCTCGACGAACTGGTACGCATTAGCTACATGTCTGTCAATAAACCCATTACCATCTGCCGATTTCACTGATTTGGGGGACACATCGATGGTTACAGCACCATCTGTGGGATTTGGTTTCACAAGTTCATGTTTTAATACTCCAGCAACCCGATGCTCGTCATACTTGTGTCCATAATAGCGATTTTTTGGCGTCATAGCCGTTATAGCAGTGTCCACTGAGTTACTACTCAACTTCGGTACCCTTGTTAACCCTGCAATTGATATTTCTGGCCTCGATTGTATCGTTAGGCCTCTGTTACCAACATGTTCATGAGTGTAGTTCGAATCTGTAGTTTTTTCTCCCATACTCGATGTCTCCACCAAATTATCCCACATTGGCGCTACAAAATGACTTGGTATAAGATTACCTCTTATTTGTACATTTCGATGTGCGCTGGGTGTGCGTATTCCTGCATCAATGCCATTTTTTTTGTACTGTTGTGCTCCAGCTGCACGTACAAGGTCCGTATGGGCTCTTAAAAGTGCTGATGATAGTCCATCCGGCATATTTATGGACGAAGCGCTATCAATAGAGAAGCTGTCACCTGTTCTCATACTTATCATCCTTGCAGTGCGTTTTCTATCGGATCCTTTGATGACGGTATTGCTAAGTCCTGCTTGATACTGCAACCTTACAGTGCTAAGTTTCCGTTCAAGTTGCGTCTGTATCCTATTGAGTTGTGCAACTATATCCTCATTATTTCTTGGTACTTGCTGCAGTTGCGGTGGTGGATCCTGGTCATCTTCACCTAGGCTTGATAGCGGTAGGCTATCTCTGTTATCTAGTAAGGCTAGATTAAGTGTGGGTATTCTTGGGAACTTGTCTGATGACGTGCGTTGTCTGATTCCTGGTGAGTATCCTGGGTTGCCATTGAGATTAGTACCGTGTAACCTAACATTGGTTTCATCAACTGGTTTCTGTACACTTCTATGTACACACTGTGTACTGTATCGTATAGTTGACGTGCTGGTACCATCTTGTGATGCTTGCATAGATAGCCTAGTGCTCCTTGACCCAGCTAGATCATCTAGATCACGCCTTAACCACCTGAGTCCATTTGCATCTTCTGATGCATCAGCCAGTGGTTTATTCCGTTGCATAGTCTCTGTTTGTACCCTTAATATTCTGTTTTCGCACAAGTCAGAGCTGCAAGTTACCAGATGCCCTTTGCATCATCCCGCTCCAAGTATCGATAATTTCTTCTCAATGTGTGGGCCCTAGCAGACACTATTATCTCCTCCTGAAATGTAGAATGCGAATTTTATTCTATGTCTTGTAAAATTTCACAGCATTTTACCTATCGCGTGATCCGATTGATCAGCGGTCATTACTGCTTGGCCACGTAGGTACAAAACCTACTCTTTTGTCTACAACCGAAGCTTAAAATTGATAAATAATAACTTGGGAACATTTTCATATTAACATGGTATATGTGCGTGCGATGTGCAAAGGTACCCTTGCTACACCTACCATGTTAATGTGGGTATTAGCCCGTCTAAGGTTCACTACCTTTCAGTAGCCGCTCCGTTTTCGGAGCGGCTATTGGCGTTCTAATGGTTCTTCAGGTTCTTCTACATGTTGAGTTGCACCTGCAGCTTCTCTTGTATGACTTTTCCAGTGTCTGTGAAGAAATGGATCCCTATTTGCAGCCCGTTTTCCCTACTCCCTTCATTCTTGGTTCACTACGCTTTGGGTTCATCTGAATCTTATTTGTGAGGAAATGGCGGAACTCAAGTCAGCGGCTTTCCCTTCACAAGGTATGTCTATCCTCTATGGGTCACATTTATGTTATTTGGACATCATTCCTTTTGCTTCTACACACTGTCCATGTGTACATACCATTGATCCACACAATGTTATTTTAGTTGGTTTTTACATTCTTCAGGTCGCACTAAACGTGCTTATCCGTCTGTGATTCCGAATTCGGCGGGGGTCATCAATAAGACTATAACTAATGAGTCTAGCCTGTTGCTCCGTTACCTTCGTGATCTTAAAGGGCCATGTACTGTTGACAACATCATTAATGGCTTGGGGTTGCATATTGACCGTTCCGAAGCTATGGACATGTTAGATTCACTTGTTGACCAGGGTCGCTTACGTTGCAAGAAGTACAATGCCAACGAGATTTACATATACAATGCATCTCACAGAACGGAACAAGAGCATACAGGACCATCTAAAACAAAGCGTCCTAGCAAATCTACACTTGAAAAAGAGGTATCTCGGCTCCGTTCTTCGATCTCCAAGTGTTCTGAGAAGCTGGGTTTATTACGTGATTTGAGTGATCGTAGTAAGGAGTTATGTGATTTACAATATCGTCAGAAAAAAGGTATTTTATACACTAGATTACACCTTTTACACTATAGCTGTTCCATATCGATCCTCTTTCATCTGGTTACAGCACTGGAGGAATGGCATGCGTTACTGAAGGCAGGTAATGACCTGCGTGCCTTGGCTGTTGCTTCTGGTGGCGATTGTGAGCGTCTGTTAGCCGCTAATAACGCCAAGTCTGCTGAGCTTGCGCTCCTTCAGCGACTATATGCCCATATTGTCGCTGGTGTCTGCGAGGCGGAAGGCGTGCGTCCTCGTGAGTTGTGTCAAAGACTAGGTATTGAGGCGGTTACTAACCCGCCTAAGTAGATTGGCTGCTATTTGCTCGTCACAATCTTTCATCTGGGCGCTATTTTTTATTATCGTCACTTTTTTCCACCGCTTTCGGCAATGGATATTTGAGTGATTCCACACATTTATCCAATCAACACGCCATATTAATATATTCTACCATATATTCGATGTTAATTTATGTGGCCTTCCTCGCTAAATAGCTACTACCGAGCGCTGTCCTTTTACACATGGCGGTCGTTATTGTGAGGCCCTTTGCACGTCCTTTAGCCGCATTCGCAGGCTCTTGGCCGCAATAACTATAGTTCATACCTTTAATGACCCGTTCATGGTCTAATAATAATTCTAAAGCAGCGACAATGGCTGTAAGATGGTCACTCGTTTTACGTGGGCCTGGCTGTACGCTGCATCATTGTTGTTAACTCATTTCCACTTCATTTTCACACACTGCGCTTCAGTTCGTAATCTCTGTGTCCCATTAGCCTGTTTTTCCAGACCTTGGGCTTTCGTTATATGGTCACAAGAAAGCTCACCTTCTGTAAATAACGCGGGTTCTCGTGATCTACGTTGTTTTCGATCATTAGCAAAATCTAGTGGCAAGGGTGGTGCTAAATCAGTAAAAAAGTCATCATTCAGTGGAACTTTAGCCGATCGTGATTCTTTGATCGAGCGATCTTTGGCTCTTGGGATCCCACGTGAAGATATAGACGATTGCCTGAAGCAGTTTGTTGTGATCAAGGGTGGTGGATCGAAGGAAAAACCCGCAGAGTCGTCCACTAGTGGCTTGTGCAGCGAACTACACATCGCTGAAGGTTCAGATAAATCGTCAGATAGCTCTGCTGAACCTAATCCCGCAGAGCCGGCCAAAAAAACACTACCAAGACGACTGTTAAGGAAACAAAAGTATCTACCAGAAAAGGGTGTTGAGTATTCTCTATACGAGGCTATAGACCGTATCAAGCTTATATCTGGTGTACGTTTTACGGAAGGTATAGACGTTGCGTTGCATGTTCCTTTGACCCCCAAAAAAATACGTGCAACTGCTGGACAATATGCAAAATTGATCACAATACCTTACCAGTCACTGAAATCACGTAGGTGTCGTATAGGTGTATTTGCTAAACCTGACATCTGTGAGCAGGTACGTGCTCTGAATGCTACAAAGATTGCATTTGTTGGAGGTGCGGAACTTATTGACAAATTTAAGGCTACCGAGGAGTATCCTGAGGTAGATTTCGTCCTTTCAGATCTTGCAACGTTCCACAAACTCTCGGCAATTGGACGGACACTTGGGCGTCGTGGTTTAATGCCATCTTTGACAGTTGGAACTTGTATACAGCATACACAAGATCTGTTGGAGAAAGTCCAAGACGTTGAGAATCGGAACACGTTCATATTACGTGCAGATCGTGCGGGTGATATCAAGTGTAATTTTGCTGATGTTACTATGCCCACTGAAGAGATACGTGAGAACTTACTTGAGATTGTGAAGTATCTACGTACAAATAAACCATTTTTTGCAGGATCACAACTATTATCTGCCGCTTATGTTTCTTCTAGCATGGGTCCATCCTTTCGAATCAATTTAAGGGACCTTGGATGCCGTAGCCGTACTAAACGTAAGAAGCATTGATAGGTTACAATTTCGCAAAGAAACCACACACATATCTACTGGTTATATTTAAAATAAGAAGGGCATATACCGCTTAGTGGCTTCTGGGACGCCGTATTGCCAAAGGTCATTGGATATTTTTATATCACAACATTATTAGTAACGCGATTGGGTTATTATACAACGGATATAGGGAATAAGATCGCCTTCGCCCTTTGTTCATAAGTTACCTACTGGCATTTTTGAAGATGGCAGAGGAACCGGCAGATTCGATCCCGCTGGCCCAGCGTATGGGCATTGATCGTATTTGTATCGACTATGCATCAACGGTTGTTCCGTGGCTGACCCAGGGTAAATACGAGAAACGTTTACGTATACCACGTCACAGGGACACCCCTCTTGAGTTTAATAGTGTACGTCCAAATTTCTGTTATTCAAGTTTTACCAACAACTACAATGGAGTATGCAGTAACCTTGCACATGCCTCTTTCAATCGTAACAAGTTCCCAATAGTAAGTCTTCGATGGTTTCCTAATGGGAAGACGCTATTGGCTGGTAGTCAGGGTGGTAAACTTATAATGTGGAACGGTTTAACGTTCCAATTCGATGATATCAAGCGTTACCCCGTGAGCGGAGGTAGTGTGACCGCACTTGAATGGTCACCTGATGGTGATTATTTGATATCTGGTGATGAGTATGGTAAGCTTGCGTTATTATCCCCGGCTCTGAGTCTACTGGATAACACGTTGTTTGAAGGTCTAAACAAACCAGTGTTGGATTTGTCAATGTCTCAAAACGGGTCCAAGGTATGCGCATGTGCGGATACATATTCTCCTCATATCTGGGATGTACAACGTCATGAACTAGAGGGGATATTAACGGGTGCACACGTGGACAGTTCCAGCGTATCCTGTCTACAATGGCACCCAACCAAGTCATTGATAGTTACTGGTAGTAAGATCAACGTTGTGTCATTATGGGATCCTTCTAATCGTCGTCAGATATCAACTATCCATGCTCACAAGGCGCCTATTTGCAAAGTGTCGTGGAACCCTGATGGCTATTCATTTTTGACATCGGGTGTTGACGGTCTTGTAAAGCTCTGGGATCTTCGTATGATGAAACAGCTATTAGTCTATAGGATCGCTAGTAATGTACCTGGGACATCCACGCTCAATGCAACTAACCCTACGCCACCTCCTATGAAAATGTTGACGGTACCGACTACCATAGGTTGGAACCCTGTGCAGCGAAATGTCTTTGCGGTTTGTGATAACAAATCACGTATGTTTTTCTTTTCAAGCCACTTTTCGGAACCTTTGGTTGTTATTAACCTGAACATAGCTGATGATCGTGACACTGCTACTCTGGCTATGGATTGGCATCCTATGGGTCATCTGCTTGCTACCTGTTCTGATGACCGTATTGTACGTTTCTGGAGTAGGCCCCATCCTGGCGGTTTGAATAAACAGCAACAGGATGCTAAAGAATTTGGTGATATCGAATTTGTTAAGTCATTCCCGTTAACACGTTTCCAATTGGATGGGAAGCTAGACATTTCGTCATTCACATCAGTGAATCGATAAGGATATAAGCTAGGCTTATATCTCATGCTGATTTACAACACAGTTATCTTTGCTAATGTTCTATACATTCATATGTCTACTGTTATCTAGATTCCATTCTATGGCCCTGTTATTGACCCAGTGCGATGGTTACATACCGATGGTAATCGCAGATATACACCACTCGCCACGGTCATTTGCGAACTATCAACGTGTTCAGTCGTGGTGAAGATCTCGTATTCTACACAGACCCAGAATAACGTCTGAACATGGTTACATCAGTGTAGTGCCACTTTCAACCGGCGTATATCCCACACATTGAACTATTTCGTACCCCTAAAATATTAGAGTTTATAGATATGAGAGATTATTCGGGTGATATGCCCTCCAAGTAGCAAGTGTCCATACCCCGGTTGTACCGCGCCTGGCAAGGCGCTGTATTCCAATATCTTTTTCAAGTGCCAAGAGACCTTCAGATATTGATGTGTACACTCCTTGGTGAGCTATTTCACCCTAATACGGGTCCGCATTATGTGCTCTCTACATAGACTTCCAGCACGGGGCAATGGAGTTACGCGCGACTACGCGCAAATGGCACCAGCTTGGAGAAAGGAAACTACAAAGAGAATCATGGCAGCTAACCGGTCCACAATGGCGTTGTTGTGAAGGTGATGCGTGGGCGGTAGCGCCTTTAGGTTGTTTGGTTGCTGTGGTAAGTAACCGTTTAGATCCGTCATCGTCACTACCTGAAAATGTAAAATGTCAACTACGTATCTTTCGTGGCGGCTCATGTGGATTGGTCACTTGTATCCCGTGGTTAGTAAGGCTTGAGACTTTGTTGGCGTTACAATGGACGGACTCAGCCCTGTTAGTTGCGATATTTGCCAATGCCTGCGTACGTGTATTCTCGGCGCACGGCGAGTTTGTACAGCACTTCTACCTCTTCTTTAGCGACAAGGAATCGAGAGGGGTGCCAATAGACCCCTCCGTAGTGACCATATGCACTTGGGGTGGAGGAGCTGTATATGTTAGCAAAGAGACTACCTGCCTGTACATACAGCGTGGGTTCGACGGACGTGATTGTACCCACTTTTCCCTTAGAGAATATTCACTCCACGTGGTAGCACTGGGTGTAGTACCACGTGAAGAATGGCTGGATTCAGTGTTGATAATATCACGTGTTGACGGCGCCTGTTTCATGGGTCTGCAAGATCTTATTAAATGTCGTGATTTGGAAGATTTCCAACGATATGCGCAGGAAATTCAACTACCCACAAATGTAGTATATGACGACATTATACTATGCAATCATGCAGTATCTCTGTGTGATGCGACGTACTTTGCATTCCGAGAGAAAACCACTGGATTAGTGGCATCCATGCGATATCGACACGGACGTGTTGATCTGCTATGGCACGGCAAACTTGACACTAAGGGTTCACTATACGTGGTAGACGGTGGCATAGTTGCACTGGTACTTAACGACAGTGTCGCCTTTGTCGACTCTGGGTCGACTATTATATCGGTGGATTTCCCAGTAAAGGCTCTATGTGCCAGTTCTGATGTTGGTGGCGGTTTGCGCATATTCACGGATTCCCGTTCTGAGTTTTTCAAGATTGTATCTCCGGATTCACAAGCGGTGTTTTCCGAGGCCTCCTGCTCACCAGCTGCCGTGCTAGTGCGGGCATACGAAACGGTTTAACGTTCCAATTCGATGATATACGTATTGCCAATGTATACAGTTACGTAACGAGATGTTCCATGCTGGTGATGTCAAAGCTTGTGAGACATTACGATTAATCCGTGATGATATGGCCGAAGCAACGAGTGTCTGCATCTCTGCTGCGGTAGATTGTTGGGATTTTGATACAGCTTCAATGTTGCTTGACGCGGCGGCATTTGGAACTTCGATGGGTTCAGTACAGGGTACAACTCGTGCTGATATCCTTCCAGCGATTACCGTGTCCGACGAGAAGATGGTAGCGACAGCTCTTGGTGATCTGCCACCATCTACAAGAGAGCACGGTGACACTATCGATCCCATTGCTCAAGACACACCCATGGTCATCGCAAAACCAGAATCAAGATACTCCCCTGTAACCATAGATACAGAATCGGATTGTAAAACGAGGTTCACAGGGTCACGAAGCACAGCTCTTGCAATGCTACGTGTGGCAAACGCACTACGGTCAAATCCAAGCGACATACGTACCAACGCCTCCCAACTTATATCTATCGGAGCACAGTTGCTAGTGGGATTGTTAGCCGCACAGAATTGCCACTTGTTGGCGTTACGGGTATCTGATTTTCTAGGAGTTGATAAAAATGCAGTGCTTATTCACTGGGTACGTACTCGTGTTAAATTAGGTGCACATATGACCGACATTGAACTTGTCGAAGCTATAACAAAATTACTTGATGGTTATGCCGGGGTTATACTGCCATATGCCGATATAGCTGCCGCGGCAGCACGGGAACGGAGGTCCAGCTTGGCATTGGCATTATTAGATCGGGAGCGTAGTTTACCACGTCGTTTCCGTACCCTTTGTTCCTGGGGTGAGCTTTCAAAAGCGGCATCGGTTGCCGCTGAAGCTTTCGACCTCATGTATGCAGCTGTAGTGGTACTGAAAGCACAGCAAGGTTCCAATTTGGATCGTATAGTTGAATTAGCAAACGGTAACACTTGCGTTCGTGACGTATTTGTGAAACAATGTCGGCTGGCAGGTGCTGCAGATGTATTACAGATATTCTTGGAACGTATCGATGATATATTCGGGGCCGGTGTTAACGCTGCTCGTCAAGCTCTAACTTTCTTACGCAAACCTGTCACCTCGGACACCAGACCAGCGATGCATCAGCTGGTGTCACATATATCGACACAGTCCAATACCCAAGCTGAAGATTGTTCTACTTGGTTGAAATTTTCATCAGATTTCTTCGGGTCTGTCGCAGTATCTAAAAATACAAACGGATCTGGTACTCCTGACTCTGCAAAGCTGTGGCATGAATGTATATCGCAACAACGTGAACTTTTGTCGGTACAACATGAACTTGAACGCTCGTCGACGACACTTGCCGATATAGGATTAGTTGGTCGGAGTTTAGTATTCACAGTGTTCTCACTATATCGACTGGATCGAGCAAAGGAAGCAGCTGCTCTTGCCGAACGATTTCATATGCCATTTAATCAGCATTGGCGTTGTCGACTTGCTGCAGCTCACGATGTACACAATATCAACGACCTTTTACGTATGGCCAATGACAAAACGGCACACGCACAGTATGTATGCTTGAAGAATGGAAAATCGCCAATCGATTTAGTTTTAGAGGCACTTCTGTCTCTAGGTGCCACTAGTGCAGTAGAAACTGTGGCAGCCACATTGAGATACCCGCATCAACAGCAGTGGCGCAACCGACTGAATGCACGAACGGGTGGAACAGTCTCACAGCAAACCGCCGAAGAGGCACCCTCGCTGCTCTCTAGTATATCCAAAAGGATTTGGCACTAACTATATTTCAACACATTATGCTGCACACAAACGTGACTTGGTGTTAATTTTTAAAAGAATATTTGCGATGCTAAGATACGTGGAGACATAGTCACGCACGTAAGCCCACATTTAATATAACATAAACTACGTTACTCCGTTCCACGGATTATCTCACCAATCTGCTCACCGGTGAGAGTCTCCTCTTCTAACAGCCGTTCTGCAATACGTTCAAGCTGGTTACGATATCGGCGGAGGATAGATGAAGCACGGAAATGGGCCTCATTTACCAAACGTTCAACCTCACGCTCAACCACCTGAGCAGTATCGTGTGATAGTTTACGGACGCCATGAGGTGTCTGTATTCCACCAATTCGACGAAGGTTTACTGGACCTAGCTTTGGACTCATACCCCATTCGGTTACCATACGATAAGCAAGCTCCGAAGCCGCCACTATATCGCTAGATGCACCAGAGGTCACATTCTGACGACCGAATACAAGCTCCTCTGCGATACGACCACCCATACATATAGCCAATCTTGCTTTCATTTGTGCCAATTTGTAACTCTGACGGTCATCTTCTGGAAGCTGTTCAACAAATCCAAGTGCCGTACCGCGATGCACTATAGTGGCCTTATGAACAGGGTCAGCATCAGGATACAAATGGTATGCCACCAAAGCATGACCGGCTTCATGGTATGCTGTCATACGTCGCTGCAACTCGGGTTGGGTAACCTTGCGCACAGAACCCATACCAACCTTGTCACGTGCTTCCTGTAGATCCGAAAAACCTATCAGCGTACGGCCATTACGTACGCAAGTTAATGCAGCTTCGTTTACAAGATTTTTAAGGTCAGCCCCGGAGTAACCCGGTGTGAGCTTAGCAAGCGCACGTACGTCTACATTCTCCTTGTCATATTTGACATTAGACAAATAACGACGCAAAATAGCTTCACGACCATCTAGAGAAGGTAAAGGGATGTGTACAACACGATCGAACCGTCCTGGGCGCAACAGTGCCCTGTCAAGTGCTTCCATACGATTAGTAGCGGCGAGCAATGTAATTCCTGTGGATATGTTAAAACCATCCATCTCGACTAGAAGCTGGTTGAGAGTCTGGTCATGTTCACGGTTCTGGCCTCCCATAGCTCCTGATGCACGTTTAGCTCCTATGGCATCGATTTCATCAATGAATACTATACATGGTGCCTGTCTCCGTGCTTTAGCGAATAGATTGCGTACCCTCTGTGCACCTTGGCCTACAAAAATTTCGACAAATTCGGGACCACTAGTGTAAATAAATGGTATATTAGCCTCCGTAGCTACTGCCTTGGCTAACATAGTTTTACCGGTTCCTGGTGGTCCTACTAGCAATACCCCTTTTGGTATCTTAGCCCCAATATCATGATACAATTTAGGTTGCTTTATGAACTTGACAACCTCCATAAGCTCCTCTTTGGCTTCGTCGATACCCATAATATCTTTGAAGTAGACACGTTCTAGGAGTACTGGTGGTCTCATTGGCGGTGGTGGTGGTGCAGGTATTTTAGTGTTCTTATTATCGGGTCTCTCCTTCGGTGTAACATGCCCGAAATCACCATCTCGAGGTAATAATAATCCACTCAGCACAGTTATGATTATACCCGTGAGGATCACCCCTGCTGCGATGCCCAGCACCTGCAGTAACAACCATTGACCCACTGATAGTACCATTAGACACGACTTGTAAGACCATGTGAGTATTTTAGTAAACCAAGACCCTACGTCGAATGTAGGTTCACTGTTTACACCTATAGCCGGTGATATTGGTGAATTCCCTGACAATACTACAGATGGTGTATCAGGTGGTATGGCTCTCGAGATGGTTGTACGAAATAACTGCCACTTGTTGACCAACCCTGTCCCAATGTTTGCTGCGAAGCTAGCTGTGCTTCCCACATCTGTTGCTGGTGACTTTATATCGCGGTCTTGGGCGTTCATAAGATTCGATAAACCGTATGGTAGTCTTCCGCGCTGATGGCTAGCTGAGGAACCTAAGAATGGCCTGTACATGGAAGACGCTTCATTATCGTCATCGTATTCACCATTATGTTCGTCGAAGGTAGCGTCAGCGTAAAGCGAGCCGCCCGGAGGCGCGCGCCGCATCCCTGAACCATCCATCGCTTGTCTAAACCGCCTTCTGGTTATGTTCGAGAATCTTCCACAATCAAACCACCAACTAGGATAGATTCTCTTTATATCTATGCCTTACCTATGGTCTCACACCGTTGGAATCCACCACAGCGAGGGTAGGGTCGCGTGATGTCGGCTAAGTATCAGTACTATGTGATTACACAAGATAACAAATACACATAGCTAAACTATATATTTACATATATATTCAGTTCTTATGGGTGTGTCAAGTCACAGGTAGCGGAGTATCGGATCCCCCCGGGGTTTATAACATCATCTCCATGTTACCATAGCGTTGCTCGAATTACAGCACACAGTTCATATAGTATAATTGCAAATAAACCCATAAACTAGTGTTTGATCAAAGAGATTTGGTGGTGACGGTGAAACACCCAGCTTTATATACCTAAATAGGTAGACACTGTCTACATTCATGGTGAAGTTCGATTTACCCTGTGTTGACTTTATACAACCTTATTTAATGTTATAAACAAATTTTTACACACAGAAGATCCACTATGAGCCAACACATGTAACCCGCACATGACAATGTGCCGCCCACCTCAATCCGACGCACGGTTCACGTGCCATCATGAGTCATTATGTGAGGTTTTTACGTATGTGACGCCACGAACATGGCACCAGTATATTCTTTTACGCACTTATACACTCGTTGTATTGCTGATAAAAAAACTCGTCTTATAACAACGTTCGCTCGTTATATAACTACTAAAAGTTCATTCGCTGGAATAGCAAACCCTAAAAGTGTGCAACGCAGCATAATTCACTCAAAGGCATCTGAAAAAATGGCGACTCGTGGATGGGCAACTCTACCCGAAAACCGACACAATGGAGTAGTTCAGAAAAACAACCAGGACAACATGGAAGAAGGCGATGACAAAAGTTTGCAACCATGTTACCACTTCGAAGAGGATACCGTACCGGAAAATCTTTTGGAACTAACAACAAGCTACTGGAGAAGGTTAAGATTTGCCAAACCACTAACACTCACCTATAATGTGGACAAGGCAGTAGAATGCCGTCTCAAGGACACTTTGTTGGCAGCATCAGTTAAGGTACAACCGAAGGTTGACGATAAAACTCCACAACGCGAAAAAACCGAAGAGATATCAGCTTGTTATATAAATATGAACGCAGCCGACGAAGAAATGGAAAAAATAGTCGTAAGTACTATCAAATATTGATCATATATTGATAGGATTCTGTACTATCAGCTGAAGAACCATTCGACGCTATAATGGTAGATATCAACTTGACAGGAGATATGCAGTCGACGAATGTTGCCCGTATGGACGAAATGGTATGTATACAATACTAAAATACACAATCTTGTAGCTATGTGCGCTAGCACCAAAAGTAATCAGGTTTCCTGCTGGAACGTACAGGTACTTGAGACTCCTGGCACCTCATGCAATAGCGAACAAATTGGAAAGGCACGCCACACTCTCTATTCTTGGACGATGCCATTTCCTCTCACAACGATACAATGCAGTCATCATCGATAGCGGTAAGCAAACACAGGAAGTACACAATATTCGAAACAGACATGTACCCAGTACTGATTGACGCCCGTGAAAACGAGGGTGCTGTGTTCTCAGAGCTACCCAGAATATTCAGAAAAGTCAATGGTAGGTCACATATACACAATGAAAATATGACGCAAATAAGGCTTCGATGTAGTGACGGGTGCTCTTATAGCAGCCATGATCTCCGTTTCACCAGGAAACCCAATGCTGGCCTCAATCACTGCTGTTTTGGGAATCGAGTACAGCGCTAAAAAATGTGCCGACATATCTGAAGGACCTGGATCTCTGGTTAGTAGTTATACACAAACTGCTCAATATACACAGGCTGTAAACTTTACAGACAAGATGCACACCATATCTGTATCACCGGATAACCTTCTTCAACACAACATCACGCTGAAGCTCTACAAGCAAATTGATGGACTACTCAGTGAAGATGAATTCGAGGAGGGGATGCAGTCAGATTTGGATTGTGTCATAGATTCACCATAAACATTTTTCACTTAATGCTAGTTACCTTTTTCATTGTACAAAATGCACATACATAGAGTGCTGCCACTAACGGTCCAGGTCCTGCAGCTGAAACGTATCAGCATTGGCAAATATAAACTCTTTACGAGATTGCACATCGCCACCCATTAGTAGTTCCAACATGCGTGAAGCACGCATACCATCCTGCACAGATATACGACGGAGGATACGTTTCTCAGGGTCCATAGTTGTATCCCAAAGCTGCTGGGCCATCATCTCACCAAGACCCTTAAAACGCTGAACTGAAAAACCACGCATGTCACCTTGCTTTAAAAATGATCTAGAACCAATAGTAATGGAATCGACATTATCATCGATTACAGAGCGATCATGAACATCTCCATCAACAACAGAAGAAACACCAACGTTACGCCCCAAAGATTCAGGTAACTCGGAATCACTCCAAGCATAGGTGTAAGCTGATCGGTTTTTGTCGTCACCCCTGCCACCAGCAACACGACGCAAATTCGTGATACGATATAACGGGGGGCAAGCAACATACACACGACCGTGTTCGTACAGTTGCGGGCAGATCCGGAATAATAGCCCTAACAGCAATATACGCAGGTGGGCACCATCGACATCAGCATCCGTAAGTAATATGATCTTGCCATATCTCAGGTGTAAGGGTGGTAATGATGGCGTAACACCATCACCATCAGGTACATCTAAACGCATAGAGTCACGGGCAGAGGTCGGCAACATAGTCTCGACATGGCTTAAAGTGTCCTGGCGCCATGTACGAGGGTTAACTGCGAGACCAATAGAGGATATCAACAACTTGATCTCTTCGTTCTCCATTACCTTCAAATCACTACTTATCTTCTCAATGTTCAATATTTTACCCTTCAATGGCAAAACGGCCTGAAAACGGCGGTTACGAGCCTGCTTAGCATTACCAGCTGCACTCTCACCCTCAACTATAAACAACTCCGTTGCATCCATGTCGTTAGAAGTACAGTCTGAAAGCTTAGCTGGAAGCCCGGTAGTAAGAAAATTAGCATTCTTCTGACGTACGAGCTCCTTAGCATGCTTCGCTGCATCAAAAGCTTTCTTAGCCGCTATGGATTTGTTATAGATGGCAAGTAACAGCTGAGGATGCTTCTCTAAAATCTCATTCATTTGAAAAGAAACTATACGCTCAACTGCAGTTCGGGCTACTTGGTTACCAAGCTTAGATTTAGTTTGACCGTCAAATTCAGCACCCATCAATTTAACCGAGATTATCGCGGTCAGCCCTTCACGAATAAAGTCACCGCTCAAAGGAGGAGCCTTTGACTTGAAGTAACCAGCACGACGACAACAATGGTTGACGGATTTAGTAATCGCCGCCTTAAAACCGTCGATATGCGTACCTGCGACAGTGCTCACATTATTGGCAAAACCTCGAAGCTGTGCTGCACAAGGCTCCATAGACCAACTTAATGATACTTCAACCTCAACACCACTAGATTTACCACGGATGTTGATTATATTAGCAGACTTGTACAATGGAGTACGATCTTGTATAATGTCCTGCAAAAACTCACGAGTACCACCCTTGTGCATGAACGACTCCTCCCAAAAAGTACCGTCATCATTAGTACGACGCTCATCAACTAGACGCAAGGTCAACATAGGGTTCACATAGGAAAGCTCCTCTACACGGGTACGGACAATATCGTAGTTAAATGCCGATATACACCCACTGCAATGACCAACTGGCTGATGGTCATGGTGTATTTGGAAGATGCTATCATAATCTGGCATGAAGGCGATTGTCGTACCCGTACGCTTAGCACATTTTGATACAGACAGAGGGGATACCACACGCCCTTCAGACAGCTCCATGGAATACGCTCGTGTCCCTTTATATACATCGGCACGCATCCACCGGCTCAGAGCGTTGACCACAGACAAACCCACGCCATGCAACCCAGAAGAATATTCGTAAGGGGCATCGCTAGCATCCTTTAGACGCTTACGCAGACCACGTACATGTTGCGATCTAAATTTTCTAGATATTTGTGTATCGTAAAATTCATCCTTCTCATCTTCGCGAGGCTTACTAGTGGCATCATTGAACTTCCCTCCAGAATGTAATACGGTTAGTACAGTCTCAAGACCTGACTTGCCCGTTGTATCAGATACATCGCAAGGGATACCACGGCCATTGTCAGACACCTCAGCAGAACCATCTTGGCGCAATGTTACCGTGATCCTGTTACAAGCACCCGCCAAATACTCGTCAACAGAATTGTCCAAAATCTCAAATAATAATTGATGCAAACCACTCTCACCAGTGTTACCGATATACATTCCAGGTCGCTTACGCACAGCGTCAAGACCCTGAAGTACGACTATATCATCTGTGCTGTATTGCGATCCACGTGGTGACGGCGTAACAGGAGTATCAGAGTCTGCATCCACTTTATATTCAACATTCACATCACCAGACATCTCAATATCACTCTCATCATTGCCATAGTCAGTCATGCTCTCTACAGGTTCTTCTGGCTGTGATTCACCATCTGTGTAGTTCGAATACAATGGATCATTGTGATAGACACTGCGTTCACCACTCCTAGAGGCAGCGCTATGTTGCGAGACATCTTTATCCGATTTTTTGGACGTGGCAAGGACAAATGCAGGATGTGATGGTACCACTAATGGGTTACCACATGACCAATTCATTACACAGGGACTCCATGTAGAACTCACGGTGCCAACAACCCTGTATGATGACCCCCTTAGTGCCAAGGCAGGTGCAATTATGAGAAGTGGCGCGGTCACAAGGAGAACGTACATGGCACTTGGTAAATTACCAGCAACGGTATGTTGCCATTCTCGTGAACTCATCACGGTTGCTCTGCCTTCATCTTAAGCATGCCCTTATGGTATAATACGAATCCAGAGACCTGAAGTACCTAACATTTAGCAACCGTGGCCAAATGAAGGAATTAAATCAGTCTTATAGTCTACTGTTTAAACATACAAGACCCATAAAACGTTCAATAAGTGACTTGTTAACGATCTTCACGAAGTAATTTGATTAAATTAAAGCAGAGCGTTGCGCAATACTCCTAAATAGGTCAATGTCTACAACGAGCCACTACCAATAGGATTCCACACCAATACCGTGGAATATCGATACTTTCATTCACATATGGCGATATTATGCCAAGATAGTGGACAAACGAGGTGATATGAGTTGGTTCAGCCGTTACTCTTGGGAGGCGATGTCGTGGAGGCTTACACACCACAGCACACCATGACGATGTTCCACAGCGTCACACACAACTAATCGGGAATTACGTATAAACAAAATTAAGTAACATCTAATGTGTTACGTGTTGTGCGTCACCTCAACCACAAGATAATCAACGGGAATGCATCGATGCCTAGTCTAGGTTTAAAGGCCACGGTGTTGTTCGCACTGTTTAATGTAACAGCGTTGACAACAGCCACTGGCAAACACCACCAGGAAACAGACGACTATAATTATCCAAATCCGTAAGTAGTCATACCATTATCATATACTCATCCTATATGCAGAAGGGAAAACTCATCCACGGGTGAACTGTAAGTAAAACTCAATGTGACTAGCAAAGGCTATGCAGAACGTACCCATACTTCAATGTCCACTACCATTTCAACAAATACGATTGGAACAAAGCACTAGATGACCAGCATAGTAAGTCCACGAAAATGACAAATATACATACACTCAGGAATAATCGCACTCCGTCAACGGCTTGCACAGATAAAACGTAGAATCAATGCAGACCATGTAAGTGAACAAAATATATATGAAGACATCACAAATCAGAGACGTACAAAGGATTTTCTAAATAAACAAAATGCAATGCTAACAGATGCCAGAGCAAACCTATTCCAACGAGCGCTATACAATACCACAAAACCGAGAAGTGAGTGACCACTAAGTTTAGATTCAAATTTCGTAGATGCTAGAGGCTTCAAAAAAACACCACCGGATATACACGACAGAATACACCTACTAAACGATGAATACTACGAACCTATACCCGCGAGTGACTTCATTAACATCAACGAACCGTACTATTTCGAGATGCTGGCAAACCAACTAAGATGAACATAGTTATAGAATTAAATATCGCATCGGAAACAACAATATTATGACGCTGGCAAAAGTGAAACGGAAATGGCTAATTCAGAAAATGAATGATCATCATCTCATACAAAACATCATCATAATAATGTAAAATTAAAATTAACAATATATACAGGTAGTTAAAGTAAATTAAGGCTTTGTCCTGTTTTGCGATTAATATACAACGCGCTAAGTGCTATTAAACAATAATCAAATCACCTAATGCCACCTCTTCACTATCGTCAACGAAGGGTTTAGTATGACGTGATTTGAATGTGCCACCCAAAGGCTTAGCATAAGATAGTGTTCTTAAGATAGTGTACACCTCATTAAATGGTATATCAAGTGGTGTGATACCAACGCAAATGTATCCACCAAAAATAGCAATATAAGGCATCATATCCGCAGTGGTTTGACTACGATCAAGAACATCCAAATGATATTGTAATCCGTAACGACACGCCTCACGGTCCATCCTAGGCATAGGGATATCAAGATCCAAAAGGGTAGAAAGCTCGTGAAGCATAAAACGTAAAGCACCTTTACAAAGATGGTTACGATGAACCATCTCTTCACGGGTCAAGTTGGACTTGTATAATTCAAAGCCACGGTCAAACAAATCCTTGACGGTAAGGTAATCTTGTCTATCGTTACTCTTAGATCCATAACACTCCTCTTCCTCCGTATCATCGACGCCGGCACGACTCAAGGGACCAGACTCCACTCTAGACGTAGGCTCGTCATAACCCTCAGCATCAGTTTCAACATCATCTTGAGGGATAGAAAATTGCTCCTCGAGCTCACCACTAGTACCGTCGGTAGTCTCAACAACAGGGAAGTCATTATAGCCACTAGAGTAACTCGTATCTACGGGAACTAAATTCTTATTAGCTACCTGTGGCACACTCACAGATGGTTTCTGTGAGTTGCGGAAAGCAATAGCCAACTCACGTGCACCATCAAAACCATGCTTGCTAATCGAAAATATCTTTTCTATACGCTTGCACTTCTTATACGCCTGACCAACCCAACCCATACGACGAACTGTCGAATTAAACCAGACGCCACGTACTTTAGGGTAAAGCTTACTTCGACGAATGTATTCCTGGCGTAACTCATTAGACAAAACACCAGTTTTAGTAAAGTTAATGAAATGTTGCCTCAAGGTACCATCTAAACTATTGGCAAACTCTAACCTATCTTTAGTTAAGAAATAATCACTGTTCTCCGGCTTCCAATCATATACACCATCACAGTTGGAAGGAGTAGAATCAGTACGACCAATTGTATCGTTACGTTGAACAGCTTGTGACCCTGTCTCACAACCAAATTCTGATTCAACGTCACTCATAACAGTTGAACGCTGACTAGCATCATCCGTAGTAATCAATTTGGTTTCCATACGACACAGAGCCGGCATTGCAACAGTCTCTGATAAGACCCCCTCATGTGATACATTCGACACAACATTTGCGGGGTGGGCATTATCGCTCCCATTGTAAACACCATCATGGAATGAGGGGTGTTGCAAAACAGACTTAGCATACGCATTATACTGGTTCTGCAACTCTACGTTGGATAATGCACGACGTTTCAGTGGTGGCATACCATGAGGGGCAATAATTGGGGGATCCATGGGTTTCACACCAAATTTATAGACCTCATTCGGAGGAACTCCTAACGCAGGTTCCTTCGCAGACTTTTGCATCGGCATCCAACCTTTGGGTTGCTGCATAGCAGCTGCTTCTCGTTGTTTCAATATAGTCAATTGCTCCTCTAACTGCTCCCGAGTCCACTTGCTAAGTGGCATAGAATCATAACCTATAGTTTCAGATAGGGGCTGTTCCTGCGATCTAACTTGATCGTATTGGTTTACACTCGGGTATCGTTCGACGTCGTAAAGCGGTCGCGGGTGTCCCCTCAATTCATTAAGTTTAGCATAGGGTCGTACAAGCATTAAAGAACGCGGATCGTAGCGATCACGGTTTATCATTACACCTATATCACTATCGATATGACTTGTATTGTTCCGCATCTTATCAATTAAGCAAGATATAGCCAATCTCTTTGATGGAAGGATGCTTACATGCAGTACAGAAACAACCGGGACCCTAAAACACTTGTTTATGAAACTGTGACGACGCTTTAACGTAACCTCGATACAGAAATTTGATAATTGATTAAATATTTATGGAAGGAAAGGTGAAATCAGCAGAAGAAACGTAGAATTCTTGGTGACGTGGTTTACCTCACAGAATCCTACATATAATATAATGCAGTATTATATATGTAGCCTTTTTTATGCAAAATTTGACCTTATTTTAGAACTCCAAAGACAAAATATGCCTTGACAAAACCTAATCAATGCCAAGTAGACCAAAACTTGAAATAGTTAAAAATATAACCATCAATAACACTCAATGGTCGCAACACGGAACCTGGCAAAATCCGATACTTTATCCTTGCAAGAAGCCTATATATACTATTAACTATACCAAAGATCGCAAGAACAAATGACGGCAGTAATAGACAGACGAGTGTGTAGGATGGATTTCGATGCCCAAAACCTTCATACACAGTATACGAACGTCAGGACACCTATCCCAAGTAACGATACTGTTGTTTAGAACACCTTCAACAGCAGCAGCAAGAGATGTGTGAACCCAGTGAAGAAAATCACACACAGTGTAGCAACCTCTAGAAGATACAATATGAAGGATTCACGGAAATAATGATGATATCAATGTGTAACCAATAGGTGTGCACAAGAAATATACTTATGAATAAAACAACGACACAGCGTCAGAACCGTTGTTATGTACCAGACAAGTGTGGCGATTCATGCACCGACGTGCATCCTCGATGTTGCTTGATAAGGAATGTTAATGAACACTGCTCCACGACACACGTGTGTTATAACCAAATTGACTCGATGTGTAAAGGTATCGACTCAGTACACCCATGTGTCAAGTGTGTATACGACTCTCATCAAACACAAACTGAATGTAACCTAGGTGTACAAATGACCGATATGTGTACCTCGGTGTACTCAAATATAGCATTAAATGTGTGTGTACTGGCTATAATACAGATTAAATGCCAATGTGTACGCTAGATATGGCAATACAACACATAAGACATGGCCATGAGATGTGTACCATGACGAGTCTAGATACACAAGCAACAACTGTATTTAAACAAATACACATAAAGTCACAATCACTAATGTTCCTTAGGAAAGTTCCAAGGCGTAGGAGTAGCTGGCGCCACTGAGTCCTTCTCAGATGCCTCTTGACGTTGCAACTTCCGACGCCAAGGGGTAAGGTCCATCTGCACAGATGAAAATGTATACAAAACAATAATCACACCTACCATAGTATAACGTTGATCTGGAACTATTTCAGGCTTAGTAGTACCTACATATGAACCTCCATGAACATGAGGTTCTGTAGGATCAGGACTCATACGAAGGTGATCGGAATCATCCGTTAGATCAGGATGCATCTCCCAATCATCATCTATAGTGTATCCATGATATAAATAGTGATATGGGATACTTACCTGCAAGCAGGTTGGGTAAAGGTAAACGCCACGAATATTCTCCTACTCCAGTTAGTGGGTCTTTACTCCTATCTGGTACATAACTGTAATCTTTCTTTTTCCCGTAATGAACGTTCTTCTTTGTTATAGCAGGGTTCACACCAAGCTCAAAATCACGACCCAGCATTTTTACCTCATCGGGAACAGAATGCTCAAGGGTTACTATAGCCTTCTTGTACATAGGACCGTTGCGATAATACCGGGGCCGACGACTTGCAAGGTCACGCCTTATACGCGGGACCTTTATCAAAGTGTTCACCTTGATAACTTGCGCTCCATATAACTTACGCAGATACTCACGGATCTCAAATTTTGTCAAATTTATAGGGACACGCAACGCCAAACGGTTACGCTCCAAAAAGGCACCAGAACGATGCACGCAGATAGTCTGCCACGGAAAATATATGTTCCTACATCAATATTACACTTAAAACGAGATGTGAAGCCCATCAAATAATATAGGCAACTATATACTTACCTGGGAGACTTCGGAGGTGAATGGAAGATCCGACTCAGAAAAAACATACTGGCGACAATTGGCAAAATGCCATTAATATAACTCCTTAAGTATTATTATACAGAATTGAATAACGTGATCATATATTAGCCTAAGAAACGAATGCCGTAACCGCATATAATGTAACCAACGGTACACACGATGCTAACATACACAACACATATAACATAACTGTTGATATTACACATTAGCAAAGTCTATTTATATACGTATATTGGCGACCTTCCATCCATTGAACTCTGCGATAGTACGTCGCCAAACTAGACATTCACGACGCCACTCGCGACGATCACCGTCAAAGTAGCAATCTGAAACGTCAGCCTCGTGAACCTCCTGAATATATATTTATATCAACTAGAAGATACTTACCTTGGTGGAACAACACAACAAAGGGAATACAAATGGTTCCAATGCCAAAAAGTCCATGTCCACTTCACAGTGCTGCTCACGCAACTTGGTAAACAGTAAAGTATCAGTTTCACTGGCTAACCCGCTAGTCTCAACAATGTGGTCGAGCATGACCACATTCTGGATGAAGCTACGGCCTGCAGGGGTAAGCTGCTTGATAAAACCCGGGTGACGCCAATCAACACAAGATACCCACAACTTGCAGTAAAAGAGATCACGTAGACTTAGGGTCATCTCTTTGAGTGGCAACGCGTCAAGGACAGTTACAAGATGGTGCAAATGGGACTCGGAAGCCAACCCTTTCTCCTCGTCGAACATAACATATATTAAAGTCGACGCATTGAGACAAATGCCAGTAACCGATTCCAGGACAACCCGGGAATTCTTACCTCTTAACATCTCATCACACAGATGACGTACGTCCATACCCAAACCAAACTCGGCTGCACTTAACAGTAACAACCCCAAGGCATTAGAAATATCAGTGACCAAAGGAGAACGCTCATCGTGAGAATATGTTATTGTGGTAGATCCCAGATTTAGTGATTTATCGCCACCACTATCCGCAGTACCATGGCCAGCCAGCAGTTCCATAAGCGACCCGTGTAACGCAGAGGTATAACCCAGTACTACCTCTCGGGGCACTATAACACCAGCAGCAGCACATGTATAGCACGTACGTGCCAGAGTAGAGATTATAGAAACTACTTTATGGGCATTCAGCCCAGTTACGGTGGCTTTACCAGACTGCAAAAGACCCAAGCAGTCCAATGTTGCGATAACATCGGCAACTGTCCCGGAACCCAAAGACCGCAAATGCTCCTTAACCTGCTTAGATTTCCTATGACGGTCAAATACTAGCGATTCTGTCAGCTCTGCACAAGAATCTAAGAAACTTGCAAAAGGAGGCGTAGACACAGATGATCCCAAAGAATCGGCACGTGGAGGCGAAGAGGGGCCGCTTTGAGCCCCGTCTAGATCTAAATATCCAGTAGAATCATTGATTACTGACGAATCGTGTGTTGAGAGGCGACGATATCCATTATTACGCGCTGGTCCGTCGTCAAGGAACGCGAGCGCGTTCCGGCCGATATTACGACACTGGCTTGCACATCGGGACACTCTCCCCGTATTTGTGCCGTAAAAACGTCTTAAAACATGTGACATAACATGCCTAAATGGCCCTGTTGCGATATTCATTATAACAGTAGTTGCGATGTGTCTGAAGGCAACAGCAGGAGGTGGCCTGTGTTACAATAGCATGGACACTATCGTGGCATTCAAATATCTAATGGTAGTATATACACAACGAGGTATTCATGAATAACAAAGCATACATAGTATGAATAAATGCAGTAAAAACATTAATACAAACTGTTAGATTTTCCTTGTGGCGGCTAAAAATCCAGAAAATGACGATATCACAACCAAGTTAGCAATATTGTACGAATGTGTTAGCCGGTATGAGAGTGAAGTTGTTTACCAGGCTGTACCGATTTGCAAAATACCCCGGCTGATATTCACCAAAACTAGTATTAGCAATAAGGCGTACTTCCACATGCTCGTTAAAAGTGACAGACTTCCGCTTGCGGTGTGAAGTCTCGCCTTTAGATGAAGTTGTCTCTTTCATATCCACCGAGTCACTGGGAACAGCAGCAGTACCTTCAGTATGATCCAATCCACATCGTAGCCACTCATTGCCCAATACAAGGCCAGCAATGCTCAGAGATTGGTCTGCGGTATCTACAACATAGAACAACTGCAACACCGATGTAAGCACCTGGTCAACCTTGGCTGAAGCGTTCGCATGCTTGAGAGCTAAAGTAGCCACCAAACTACTATGGCTATTTTTAACCAATAAATGCACTCCATCCAAACTCATGAGGCCACAAGAGCTGCGATATAGCGTGCAAAAACTAACCACAAAGAGACAAATGACAGTATTCACGCAAACGACAAATAATAGCATCCATCTCTGCAAATGTTCCATAATGGTACTTGAAAAGGAACTAGATTGAGAATCTAGCGAGCTGACGGCTCTAGGGCGTGGTTTTGTCATTGTGGAGCGCCTTATCAAGAGTTCACTCAAGGCCGCGCAAGGCCGAAACCGATACTAATACCTTAACGGAACCTTTTACATTCGATTTAACTTTTCAGACAACCGTTAAAATGTCTCAATTATAGTAATTTGGTACCGTCTAAGATCTAGGCCCAGAGATACTCCTTGATCACCGATGTGCCAACAACCCCCTTGACACGCGGGTACACTTCACGATTTCCAATTGTCTACCGGCACGCAAACGCAGCGATATGTATATATCCTAATTTTATACAGCTGTACTAACAATTTTCAAATGTGTCAATAAAATGATAGAGATTCAGAATGTTGCACCGAAAACGCCCACTCAGTGTGTAGACTATAAAGTTCTACTGTGCGCAAATAACGTTACAACCAAAACACTATAACTGTAGTTAACAAATGAATCTAACTGAAAAATATAACGCTACGCTGTTATAACAGAGACAACAGCTATGTGATTCTATGAATCTGCGCCATCGAATTTTAGCGCAAAGCTACAACGCTAGCCCAGCGTTGACACGATCCAACTCACGTGGAGGTGATAATAAGGGCTACGATACATATAACATTTCAATGAGCCATAGCAAGCGCCGAAAGCCTACCACAGAACCGTAAAATTATACATAGCAGAGACGAAAGATATCACCCCCTTTAAAAACTCTGTAATTAACAAATATAAAAATGAAAACGAATATATTGGTTCATCGTATAGCAGTGTGTAATCACCACATTCAGAGCTGACGGTTGTGTGTTCCCCTAGGAGAACCAGACGACTATCCGAAACTATTGTGCAACGTCATTTGTTCAATAGGTACTTACAAAGAGAGAGTCGGAAATATATATAACAAATTATCATATCGACATACGATATGATAATCTTCGGTGTAGACATCTATGAATACGTCGAGAATTACACATTCACAAGAGAAAGAGATTACTATACACCCTGTTGAGCCACTAAAATGGTGGAAGCCACGGTTTTGGAATGCTCTGTAGACCCCAATACTGTGGCATTTCTTGATGGACCAGAAGAGTTCTATCGCAAACTATGCAGTGGATACAGCGCAGCTAAAGTGAGAGCTGTACTGGCGTGCTTATACGTAGGATGTGGAGAATTAGAAAATGAATTGATTAGGTCTATTGTAAAGGCAAAAGAACGAACTGATGACCTAACAGTAGATGTACTTGTAGATAAGGCAAGAACTTCACGGGTTGGGCGATCAGGTGAAATAGTAAGCCCTCTTACAATGCTCAAACAATACCTCGATGACCGACACAAAACGACAGTCGCACTATTCCATAACCCACTATTGGGGAGGTTATGCAGCAAAATGATTAAGTCACCATATTGTGAAGCATTCGGAACCATGCATATCAAAATATATATCGCAGATGATGAATGCATTATAACCGGAGCTAATGCCGGAAGGGACTATTTCGTCGATAGATATGACAGGTATATGCTAGTCAAAGATCCACTATTCGCCGATCTTATGCATACATTTGTCAAGACTTTTCAAAGTGCAAGCTTTCGACTAACACACAAACTTACACTAGAATGGCAATCAGACATGGTCAACCCACTAGAGGATAATATGCTATTTCGTAAGCAGCTATACATACGTACTGAACAGATGGTACGCATGTGTGAAGAAGTGCTAAGGAAAAATCGCAATAGACCATACTGCTCTAAAAATAATGCACAAGATGAAGTACCAGCAAAATTCAGGGCTATAACTCCAAAAGCTAAGGCGAACGAAGTTAAAAGAACTCATACGGTGGTCAATGGAATAAACAATGGTACGCATGAACGAGGTGATGGTGTCGAGATAGCATTAGATGAATCCGACAGTGATGGGTTTCTTGCTAAAAGGCATGTGCGACAAAACGTATCGTCCTATCGACTTAGGTCACATGCAGAAGAATTGGAAAACTTGAAACACAAAAGAAAAGGTGAACAATCGGTATACGACGTAGATACTACTATCGAAGACAAAGAGGAAATGACTAACGGTATAACGTGTCATACTCCATCATCAATGGATCCCATAGAAATCGGTGAAAGTGATACGGAACACTATTGTTTCATAAAGATATGCCTACATCTACCATTTACAGAACCGCCGTTCATGCAGGGAGTTAATATGCTTGAAGAATGGTTACTAGGATATGCACGTGCTGGGTACTCAGCAGTAGTAGCTACAGCATACCTCAACTTCACCGATCGATATGTAGAGATGTTCAAGGAGATTCTAGACATAGGGAAGGCTAACGGCAAGCACCATCCGTTACAGGTGGTAACTTCTAGTCCTTATGCAAATTCATTTTACCGTGATGGAACGCTTAAACGAAATATCGCACTATTCTACAGTACAGCGGCTACTTGGTTGTTCAAGGCACTCAAGGATGGCAACAAATACCCAGAAGACATCTATATGGAATACAATAGACCAAATCACACGTTCCATGCTAAAGGAATATGGGTACTCAAGGACAGGGTACCAGTATCTGCTGCACACAAATCAGAAAAGGAATTCGACTCATGTGTAGATCTTCCATGTGCTACAGTTATCGGTAGTTCTAACTATGGAAAGCGGTCTTATGATAGGGATATGGAGATAACTTTACTCGTAGAAACCAATTCACCAGAAATTAGACGGTTCATGAGGCGCGAACTATACAATATGATCAAACATTCAGAATATGTCCCATTCGATGTTGTTGGATCACGTATAGGGCCTCATCAACACGTAATTGGTCATGTAATGAACTCGTTTCTATAATTTTATGACTATTTCTAACACACCTTAGCATCCACATGACATTCAGGGTACTATATCGGGGTTCCGGCCAGGCCCATTAGTGGAATCCGAGGTTAGGCTATCGCTGATGCGTCAGGGAAGAGAATTAAGATGGAACACAACAGCTCCTTATTAAAGAAATATCATAATAAAGAATGCATATGTGTCGCATGAACTCTTCTATGGGCACCATGTAACATCCCGCGTTGACCCAAGGATGAACGCGTTGCGACGCTTAACAATTCCAAGTCGTAATTTCTATCTGTTGTGGCCTTGGAACATATAAGACTGTTCCATTTGCCATTAAATTATATGGCGTTGCCGAATATAGCACGATTATTACAGAAGCCGCGAACGTGACGGCAAGGCAGTCTGTGACCGCTCATAAAAACGCTGGAATTGGTTTCCATGCGTGCTGGTTACATTCTAGTTAATTTAATTTGTTATTTTAGTCTGGTTTCTGCCTTCCTTCTACGGAAAACAACGCGAAATGCGGAACAGATACCATGTCTACGTGTCAAGGGCTTTAATAACGCTGGAGGGGAGTATTTATCTAATACACAGGCCTTCAATAGTACCCCGGTGACACTAATAGATGTCTCAGAGGTTAATAACGCGACAGGTACTGCAGAAACTTCAGCCATCTCAAGCAGGAACGTGCCAACTCTCGAGCCCGTAGCTGAGCTGATAGGACTTAAACGCAAGGATAAACTACCACAAATCAAGGTAGCACTTGGTAAAACTAAGCTAAGTTGGGCAGAGTGGGAGATACGCAGGTTTGGTTACAAGTTAGGTACCGCCAACAAACAGATGCGCAAACTTGCAGAGAGATACAAGGCCATGCGAAATACATTCACATGCTCCCAGGAAGATCTAAACAAACTTAGTAAAGAGAAACACGAAGTATCTATCAAAATTAGGATCTCTTCAAGGCTACGTAGACTCTTCATCACATACAGAAACGGACTACTGTCGGACTCTCAACCAAAAGTGCCGTACGTTCCGCTGAAATATAGAAGCGAAAATGCACCAGCGGAATTCTACGCACTTGGAAAAAGGGATTATACTGACACAAAAAGCAAACGCGAACTTAACAATAAACATCGACAAGTAGCGGAATCGGTAAACCAACAAGAAAACGAAGCCAGAAAAGAATACTGTCATATAGACAGATTACCCACAACCCGTGGGAAATACGTGTCTAGTGTAACAGAAGGGCCAAGGCATACATCTATTAACGTAGTTCCACATATACAGGACACAGACGAGGATTCAGTCGTGTCAACTAGAAAACGCAGCAAATCTCTTTTACAGAAAACAATCCGTGAAGAAAGGAATAACGACAACCAAAATTCAGAAAACAGATTACAGTGGGACCATCAAAACGAGAGAAACACAAACTCGAGCAAAAGGACAGGTGCAGATATCGAACGTGAAATTTTGGGACTGATAGCGCAAGCAAAGAATCAAGCTGTTGTTAAAAGGGGACTCGTAAATAACCCTGCTGTCGCAAAAATACAGGAGAAGTACAGAAAAAATACAAAGCTGCATAGACATCGCCCAAAAGCTCTTTAAAATGCAACCTGGACATAGTGTAGAAAAACAGGGAGAAGCGCCCTTTAGGTGCGACTCCGGGCAATCTAGTAGTGATGACAACTCTAGCAGAGCTTCGGCCATGTCGGGAATGGGATATATAATGCAGCAGCCATACGGAATGCCACAATTTGCCGGATGGCAAGCACAAATGCAAAATATGGGTGCACCTATGATGAGCTATTTTCCTGGTTTTGGATTACAAGTGCCACAATATGCTATACATCACTTGGCAGCACCAAGTACAGCTAGACAGCTCTCGCCATCGGCATACCAGGGTGTACCTGGAACTGGGATATCAAATTATCAAATGCTAGATCAGTTCCCTACACCAAATGTAGCACACATGGGACCGGCAGAGGATAATTCAAACAATATTCTAGTGGGATATGGAGGATCCCATCTGAAGTTGTTACCATGCCTGGATGACCCATTTGGAATACCTACATATCAGATCCAGACTTCCACGCCAACTGCTAAAGGTAAACAGGGAAGAAGACGGTCATCCGATAGCAAGAAAGCACAAGGGCCAACTGCTCCACAAGGTACGAGAAATGCTAATTCTGATTCAAGGACGCCAACACGTACTGCACCTTCAACCAACGAGAATTCGTTTGCACAATCACCGACCCCCGTAAATCCTCCGGTATTGCCTTATGCACCATCGTCGCGACCAGCTACCACCACTCCGTTGACACAAACACGGGCCACACAGCAGCAGCAACAACAACCCAAACAACGGAGAAGAGCTGCTCCATCGGTAGCACATGGTGAACATAATGTTCCACATCATAAATCCAAAATGTTATTGTCACGATATGAGGACCGAAAGATTATAGATGAAGAATTTGAACAATTGTATGACCGGATGCCAGATAATCCAGATGAGGTAATAGCAATGGCCAAGCCTCATATCGAGGTAGAGCTTGACTACTTAACATCGCTGGGAGGGGTTTACACTGACTTCTGCGATGAAACAGAAGCTTTACTGCGAAGAATAGAAGTTGCACAGAAAAAATTGGCAGAACTGCACTCATCCATGGGAAGGAACATCCCAAACAAACAACAAGATCCCATAAAAGTACACGAACTATCGGTATGGGACCCTGTACTCAAGGAGATGCACGATTTCCAAGATTTGGTCTGCTATGAACATCGTGAAAAACGACGAAGGTTCAAATCACTCTCAGTTGCTGCACAAAAACAGGCCGTTAGGTTCGACGGTAAAAAGATGACGGTGGAACATGATGATGTAAAGCAGAAACGACTTGTGTGTAAAACCGTAGCTAACGGTGTTGCAATCTACTGGAAGAAGATCGAAAGGTTCGCATGGGAACGTATGAAGAGAGAGTTGCAAGCAACGCTTATTGAAAAGAAACGCATGAGATTGGATAAGTTTGTTGAAGATGCAATCAAACTCTCCATTACAAAGAATGACAATGTCAAACCCGGAACCAAAACAAAGAAGGATATAGTGGCTGCTAAACGTGATAATGAAGATCAAGAGTCTGGTGTGAAGACAGAAACTGATGTGGATGAAGCAGTATCTGGACCTTCGAAGTCTACAGTGAAATCTGAGACCAAGGGTGAGGTTAAAACCGGGGCTGTTGACGAAGACGAGTTCGTTGTTTCAGAGGAGATGAAACGAATGGAACATGACGATGCAGTTCTCGATATTGCCATGGAGAAAGAGGAACAAGATGCCGAATCTAAAGGAGATCACAAGAAGGAGCTGAACGCACTAGAGGATGATATGAACGTCCCTATCGAGGAGATACTCAAACGGTACCGTGAAGATGCAGAGAAATACCAACAAGAACATGGTACTGTCGAAGAGTCGGAAGAAGAATCTGATACGTCTTCAGTATATAGCGAAGTTTCATCTGGTGCAGATCAAGGCAGCGATAATGAGCAAGTTGAGTCGAAACCGCTTGCAACAACGCGAAGCAAGCGTAAACGTCCTGAAGTCCAAGATACAGAACTCGGTGACAACGCGGAAGATCAAGAGGCAGAGTTCACTCTGGCTGATAAGATGTTCAAGGAGCAGGAAGATGAAGACAAAGATCTGGACGAGGCTATTAGTGATGAGCATTCGGACAACGAGGATGGCAAAAAGGAACGTGCCAAGGAAATAACCGCATTGGAAGAGGAAGCTAATATGCCAATTGAGGCGCTTATTGCAAAGTACAGGGAATCTGGTGGTTATGATGAACAGGGTGATGACGATGTGTATGAGGGCTCCACAGAAGAGAGTGATGCTAGATATCAGTCAGATGCTGATGTCGAGCGTACAGGTCTATCGGATGAAGAGCAAAATGATGCATCCGTTTCAGCATCTGATCAGGTACAGGTACCTCCACTTATAAAGGCGGTACTACGACCGTACCAGCTTGAGGGTTTACGATGGCTTGCATCTTTATATCGCAAGGGATCGAATGGTATTCTAGCTGATGAGATGGGATTGGGTAAAACATTACAGACTATTGCACTGTTGGCACACCTGGCGTGTGATCATGGTAACTGGGGACCTCATCTTATTGTAGTTCCAACATCAGTACTGCTCAATTGGGAAATGGAATTCAAAAAATTCTGCCCAGGGTTCATGATACTCTCGTACTACGGGTCACCAACTGAAAGAGCAAAGAAACGTATCGGATGGAACAGGGAATATGCCTTTAATGTTTGCATAGCTTCATATGCGACGGTTGTCCAGGATGCATATATTTTGAAACGTAAGAGCTGGGTGTACATGGTTTTGGATGAAGCTCAAAATATCAAAAACTTCAATTCAAAACGATGGCAAACACTTCTTACGTTCAATACCCAAGGTCGACTTCTTTTGACGGGAACGCCACTCCAAAACTCACTACAAGAACTCTGGTCGCTGATGCATTTCATTCTACCTGATATATTTACATCACATACGGAGTTCAAGGAGTGGTTCAGTGACCCTTTGACGGAATCAATTGAACGAGAACAAATGGGTACAACTGGTGCCATCGCTGACTCCCAAACGTCGCAATTGGTGAAAAAACTTCACACCGTCCTTAGACCATACCTACTGCGTCGATTAAAGAAAGATGTAGAGAAACAGATGCCCTCCAAATATGAACATGTGATAAAGTGCTACTTGTCGCGTAGACAACGGGTGCTATATGATGAGTTTATAACCAGCCGTAGCGCCGTAGAGATCTTGAAAAATCCAAACTACAGGTCTATGTTGTTTGTTCTGATGCAACTAAGAAAAATTTGTAACCATCCAGACCAATTGCAGTCACGCTCAGTGGAGTCACCATACTACGATCCTGGGTTTATGGAGGATCTAATGGTGCCATCGATGTTCATATTGCCCGATTCTAGAAGTGATATGAAGCTCTATCATTATGAAACTTTGTCTGTTAAACCACAAAAGCCTAGAATGTTGCCAATCACTTTGGATGCCAGAGGACCTGTAGAAAGAATTGCGTTACCCATCTCCTTTTTGAAGTCATTTGGAGGTTGCAAGGTACCTTTACAACAGATATATCGTCCTAATACTAACACTTATGACGAAAATACTCGTCAACTGCCTGTTGTATCCAGGATACCTGCATCCAAGTGTATCGCCACACGCAAATCGGGAGGGAAACGAAAAATAAGGTTATCTAATACCCTTGTAGAAATGATGTTATCGTACGACCCATATTTACCTCTTAAGCGGGCGTGTACTTGGAGAAACGGGGTTAGTGGTACATTTGTCACGGGATCCGAAGCAAGCAGTGGTGTCGTGGCATCACCAGAAAGCTCGTCCATGATAGGGTCTAAAAAAATAGGTGCAAGAGTAACTTCGAGTGTCGAAAATGAAGCCAAGAAGATTGATCTTGTTACACCAAAGAACACGGCCACTGATGTTTTGCAAAAGGGGGACGGTAGGTACCCACTTCATATACACAATTATTTTGCAGATGGTTTGAGAGAGGTTTCCTTGAGCGACGGTGATACCTTCCAATCCTCACGTAGCTGCCAGAAAACGCCTTCTACACTGGGATCAAAGATTGATTCATACAATTCAGTAGTGGAAACTATCGATTTTCCGCCAGCAAACATTGGGGCGGTTGGTGAATCAGATACTTCTGTTATAGTGAACCGTCGCGAACTTCTTGATGTGGATGATCGTTTTTTCATAGAACGATTTAGTATAGAAAGGAGGCCTAAACCAAAATCGCCAGCTTTCTGCACACTGGTACAACCTACCGTGGATGACGTTGTGGACAAGCATTGGTGGTTGTTGTCACGATTTGTGTGTACCACTGGACGCAGAATCGAATGCAACCCAAGACGAATTGTAACGGTGGGCCCTGGCGGAATAGTTTGGAATCGTCGACAAGAAATCACAATAGAGAGGGTACAAACCAAATTGTTGCACCGTTCGTCTTTCAAGTATTTCAAGGGTTCAAAGCATACCATTGAACATGTTAGGGGTATGCAAAAGGTTCTATTTCCTCCTAGAAGCCTATTACATGACGACTGTGGGAAATTCCTAGTACTGGGTCCTTTGCTGAAAAAGCTGAAGAGCGAGGGGCATCGATGCCTGCTATATACACAATTTTCCAAGATGTTAGATATTTTGGAAAACTGGATTAACTACATGGGGTTCACATATGTTAGATTAGACGGGTCAACAAAGGTCGATATGAGACAACGTATAGTCACGCGTTTCAACGAGAATGCCAAGATATTCTTGTTCATATCGTCAACCAGGGCCGGAGGTGTAGGTCTAACGTTAACAGGTGCAGATACTGTTATTTTCTACGACACAGATTGGAACCCTGCCATGGATAGACAAGCTATGGATCGTTGTCATCGTATCGGCCAGACCCGGGAAGTGAATGTATACAGGTTGATTAGTGAGCACACTGTTGAAGAGAATATTTGGCGCAAACAATTACAAAAACGTAGATTGGATGATATTGTTGTGGATAAGGGGCACTTTGACACCGATACCCATAACTGGTTCTCTAACGTAAATACACTCATGAATATTCTGAAAGAACAGACTGGTGATGGCCCCTCCAGCTCTGTCGATCAGGAGGATATCTACGGTAGGCAAGTGTTACATGAATCCGAGGCACCTGAGGTTGACGCGCCCGGGGGGCATGGTCCTCCTCCAAGGGTTGTCAACATGCTAGCTGAAGCAGAAGACGAAGATGATGCTACCGCTTTAATGAACCGTAGGAAAGAGGTTGGAACTGGTAACAAAGATTTCCAAGATTTCACGGGCGATATCATATCGACAATGCCAGCTCTTGTCGCATATTCCATCAAACTGCTTCTCAACTATCTGACGCCGACACTTATCGCACAACGTGATGAGATGAGGCTCAAGATTAAAGTAGAGACTCTTGATTCTACCTATGAAGATGAAGGATCGTCAGAAGAGTCACAGTACATGTCAGGATCTGGATCAGAATCCGAACTGAGTGGCGAGTAGACGCCTAGTAACAGCGTAACCCGCTAATTTGTAATAATGCAATAACATGATAGACAAATATGTGAATTTGCGTTACATAAATGTTGAAATTTATGGCACGACGATCCGGCCTGAGCTACGTTTACGCCTGTGGTAGGCATGCCTTAATCTGATCTTTCCAGTGCAAGGCTGCCTGTGCGGGGTTTGGCGCATCAATGATGGCACGTGATATGGGTACGATAACACCTGTGCCCTCCTTGCTAAGTGCTGCGGATAGAATGAAACATGAGGGAAACCGTAAAACATACCAGCTTTCATAGCAGCACCTAAATCTCCGCCCTGTGCTCCTACTCCCGGCATCAAAATGACGCAGTCCGGGTGGGCTTGACGCACTGCCGCCAGAACATCGACACAGGTCGCACCTACTACGTAGCCTACTTTTGCAGTTGTGACATTGCTGCTTTTGTAAAACGATTCACATGTCTTGATGATCTCCAAGTACACTGGGGTAAGGTCGCTCAAAGTGGCACCTTGTATTTGCTCAGATGATGGATTCGAACACTTCGCCAAGACGAAAAGGTCATGGACATACTGGCCCTGTCGATCGGTGGCCATTACTGAGAGTACGTCGGTACCGAGTAGTGTGTTTACGGTGCAGCTGTCGGCCTTCAATATCTCGAAGATGAACTTCTTGTAATACTCCATTGTGGAGCCTATGTCGCCTAATTTAGCGTCCAGTAACAGAGGAAGGTTCATCCCACGAATCACCTCGCAGATGTCCATAAGTACCTGCGATGAGTCATAAAGTGGTCATGGTAACAACGCGAGGTCTAATATACAACGGAGGAAAACCACGTTAAAAACAGCAACAAAAGTATACACATGCAATTTATGACCTGATTTTAACCTTATAGAGACATGGATAATATGGAATCCGATGCCCATATGCATATGCGGTCGTGCGAAGGTGTTGATAAAATATCCGCACACTATAACAACAAGACCTTACACACAAACCATCGTTAGAAGGTTACGGCAATATGAAGGCATCCTTTGCAATAAAACTATTCGGAAAAAACGTACCTGAATACCCTCAGCTCCATGCGCTAGGAAAAACGCCAAATTAGGCTTTACGCAACAGACGTATTGCGCCGTAGATTCCAAAATGAAACAGCAATACAACTTCAGTTTTACATATAATGAACCTATTTCACGACTACGGAATCCTTCCATGGTACAACCGCTAACATAGCGGTCGTACAGCAAAGTATACAAACCAGTGTGCGAGAAACGTTCGATAGTCTCGTTTCGGGGGTCTAAACCCAAACAAAGAGGGGCTCCCACCTCCTGGGCACGAGCTGCGACCTTCTCAAAGAATGACATCATTAGCACCTTGAAAATAACATATGACGTAACGCTAGCATAGCTGCAGCTAATCCCCCACCCATATCCCCTATGTCACGCGCCCACACACTCACCCTACCGGTTGGATACGATCTAGCGCTGTAAGATCAATACACAACCAACGGGTTTCTTGTGAAGGGTTGAATTTTTGCTTGATGATTTCAGGTGCTTTGGTAGATATGGCGTAACGGCGTGAATATCTACGCGGAGAACCCCGATTGGAAGGTACTTCACCCAAACCATATAACAGCTCACTATAACCGTGATTCTCCAACCATGTATTCACCTGTTTAAGCTCCTGATCGTTGTTAGGGTCGCTAGTTTCACCAGGATGCCCTGAGGAATCGAGGTAGGCACCAGACAACGGGGGTTCTATACGGGGCTGTTCATCACCAGTTACCCATACAGTGTGACGAGCCCTGTAGTCTATGACCTTACGCTCGTATCCCAGTGGGATGTGATATTTACCGCAACCGGATGAGTTCATCTCAAGCGAGTATCGCAGACGCTCTCCTACCACCACCCGATAACTCCCTACACCTTTAGACACATGCTGTTTCGAACACAATCCTGGGTCACTGGTAAAAAAGTAAGGGGTCAGAGGAATATCCCGTAGAATGCGTAAAGAATCCTCATCGACACCAGGAATGTCGAGATTAGTCAATGTATCGTTAGTCACCGTCATCATCACAGGGCGATGAGGTGGTCGGCCCAGGGTAGGAAGGTAATCCTCCACCTTAGGTTTTGGCAGGTTAGCAGCCACGGTTCCTTCATAAGTGCCGGTCTTTTGTGATAATGAAAGTTCCAAGCTTGATTTCACAAAACGGGCCAAAACTTCAAGCTCCTCCGCACGACCAGTCATCACATTAGCCAAAAAGAAGTAGTTGTCGTCGTAACTTCGCGATTCACAGAAGTAAGCTTGACGGGAACTGTACCAGTGGTCTATCAAAGCAGCTTCATCGGCACTGTGACGCTTAGCCCTCGGGGGCGGTGAATTGGAAAGCGTGATACTAGCCTCCCCTAGACTGTTACCGGGAAATAACAAGTCTAAAGTATCCGGACCGAGAGTGTCGTTAACAGCAGCAGCTATGAACTTAGTGCGTGCATAATAAGGTAAAATAATGAACGGCCTCTCGCCACGTTGTAACATCACCTGCAACACTGCGTCAATCTTGCGCAAGTTCATAGGGCTCATAGATTCACGCTTATTGTAACCGATATTCTGACCATCTAAAACACACGTATAACCTTGGCCTTCGCGTAACGGTGCGTGTAACCATGCATAAAAGTTAGCTAGACGAATTATCTCGGGATAATTATAATCATAGATATGCTGGAGCCACTTGGTGAAAACAAAAAGACGCTTATCATCAGAGAGGTCAAGCAGTGGCACCTGGTGCTCACATGAAGCACAGCTGCCGTGAGTTTCGTTATAGGCAGGTAACATGCGGTTTGGGGAAGAACCGGACTGTAGCTCCATTCCATAGGAACCATATGTGTTCGGATATCCTGAATATCCGGCTGGGATCGTCTCCGAAGAAATAGGTGGTTCAACAGGAGATACGTGTGTGAATTTTACAACGTTCGGGAAGCTTTTAGAAAACACCGAAAATATGGCGTAACCCAACCTAGATGAAAGCGATATACGGTTACACGAATGCTTCTGGTAGATATCCAAAGCATCGCTTAGCTGACGACGCAAGGTCGCATACATATCACATATAGTTGGTGATGCTTGCAACACAGTCGCTTCGGGATGGGTACCAGATACCGCAGTTGTCCCAGAAGCGTCATGGCCTAAGGAAAACAGCTTGTTTCTAACCGATAAGCATATGGTCACGAGAACACGGGTGAAAATAAGACCACTCACAGGCAATTTTGCCTTCTCCACTATGTGATGCAAGACCCGCAGCATACCTTCACCGTCCCAATGTTCTTCAAAGTATGTTAGCAAAGGTTCGTAACTACGGTAACGACGGCGCTCACCAGCACTCCACATACGCTCAATGTACTCCAACGCCTTATCCGTACGACCAAATTTAGCGTGTATCATGGACATCGCCTCGTACATACCCTTTAACACATCTATGCCAAGACGTGATGCATCACGACAAACGATGGTAACAGTACGCAGGTCATCCAATGTCGATACTTTGCGCATCATACGGCCCATGATGCCAACACAACGCTTTCGGTGGTGCACTATCAAACGGCAAAATTCACGTGGTACCCTGGGCTTAGCCGCAACATGCCACCGTCGGCAACCATCCGAAGAAGACCCTGTGTCCTCTGTGTATTCGTAGCTAAGAGCTGACTCAGAGTGTTTGTTCCGTTTCTTGTCCTTAGTCTGCGCCTCTGTACGGTGGTCATCAGTTCCGGACGCTAAGTCATTGTCAGGATCAACGGATCTTGCGTTACCCTGTACTGATGCATCCACCAGGGTACTAACCGGTAACTCTACCGGTTCCTCGAAAAAACGTGAAAAAAACGTTTCATAAGCTTTCATGTATTCAGTAACCGCTTTCACAGTGGACTGAAAATCACTGTTATCACAGGTCCTCATACAACGTTCGAACAAGATACCAAGCCGAGAGGTCACCTTTAATTGCTCATCTTCACTCGTTTCCGATCCTACTGTGTTGGTATGTGGTTTGATAGTTTCGGTGTTACCCATATGCAATGACCAGCTGCGACCACCAATGTTCATAATACCAGGCATGTAACTCCCAAATACAACAGAAGGCCTGCTAAAGCTAGATGACGGGTCACCACATGATGATATATTAGTGTTTTCCCGATTACCCCGTACATCAAGACGGCCATTAGCTAACACGAACCCCCTGGGTAAATGGGAACCACCGCACCTGTGTCGCTGCAGCGACCGGCCCAGTACTGTAACCCATATTACAATACTCAGGGTGAAGAAGCACCTTATAACCGTAAGATAGTTCTCCATACCACGTCTATGTTTAATCCAGTTATGGATAACGGCTCCAGTTCTTGAGTACGATGCTCCTGGCATCTTGTCCTCCCAAAAATTCCTTCATCTAGCCCGTTTAGAAAAACATACACAATACCAAAGCTTCATTATCCAAACACTTAGTCTCGTAAGGAATAGTCCATGAAATATTGCACAAAGATAAAAGCATTAGCGAGATAGGATTTACATGGCTCCAAAACTATATATGAACTTTAGCAACCAATCTCTAATTTAAGTGTACAAAAACAGAGCAGCATGTCATATGTAACACTTAACCTGTTAGAAATCAAGCTTGTCTGTGGTATTATGTTTGCGATCAGAATTTGTAGCCTCGCAATAGCTCTGTGAGATTCCACAGTTTATTTATAGCAATTGACGATCTTCGTCAGACTTATACAAATTGATGCTTGTAATAAACATAAAAATAGTGGTGATGTGTAACTCAATGAACAGATGAAACGCGTAAGCAATGCGCGGGATTCCACAATACGGGTACCAACCCCGTAAATGTCTGTCAAATCCCCTGCATCGCACACACTGGTAAATTAAAGTAAAAATGATACTAAACAAGTGTAGTGTCAATGAAAGAGATGATATCACAGCTCACCTCAATGCGAAAGGACGTGGCAATGAGTACACCTATAGGCTTTGCGCAACTTTTGCCAGCTAGCTCTGTATGTGACGATATAGTATCCAATTTTGTTATAATATGATATCACACAAGTTACATTGTGGTATCTGGATGACATATCAGACATATCAAAGCGTTAAAATGGCACTAACGCAGAAGGTCACAAGTTTGACAACTGCAATCATCAAGGAACGATGAACTCTTACAGCTCAAAAGATGGTTCATATTGGTCCTTACGTGCGCTACGATGCTATCACGGACGGTGACCCGTTCACGTCAGTGGTTGCAGCACACGGTAACATAATAGTTGCAGGGACGCTTTACGGTGACTTATACCTGATATACGGTGACAAACGTGAACTTATATACACGCATCATGGGTCAGTTGTCGAAGTTCAGGTCAGGAAATGTCATCTGGAACAACTTAGTGACCACGTCTGTGTTGTATGTGCCACATCACTCGGATACATATACGCCCACCTGGTATCGCTGACCAAAGTTTCAGATTCCAGGGTAATATATAAACTAAGGACGGGTCACAATGTTATAGGATTGGCGCTACATCCCAAATTTGTCATAAGGCACAGAGTCATACGTGATCGCAGACCACGGGGGCGAGTATCGACTGATCTACCACAGCGTAACGTAGACGGAGGAATAGAACTAGGTGCTAGTTTGATAGGTTCCAAAGAGATTGGTGGTGAAACGTCAAACGAGGAAAATGCTGACACGGACATATCACCAAATAACGTATATAAGGTCGCCTCTACACGTGACACCGCAACCACCACGACTAACAAACGAAGGGAAACGTATGATTTGAGAAATGTTATCATGTCATTAAAAGAAAATCGTAGCAAACGTCTTGGAGATATGAAATATACAGATTCGTCTGTGGTTTTTGCACTGCAAAATGGAGGTGTATACCTACTCATGCTAGACAAAATAAGCAGAAATGGACCGGAACGGGCATGTAACCTTTTACATAAATCCACAGAGATGTACAGGGGCATCCCAATGGTGTGGTATAGAGACATGATAGCATGGGCAGACGAAGATGGGACACACGTGTTCTTGCTCCCCAAAGGTGTTACACTGGCCTTCCTACCACATCAGACCCCTTTGGAGACGAACGACGGGAAACTAGGTTCCCTAAAAGGATGTATACATCTGCAAGAGGTTCTAGATATGGACGAATTCTATGTCACATCAGATGAATCGGAAGTGGAAGATACGGAAAAAGGTTGCACAGATAATGCCATCAGTAATGAAGGAAAGGATATTTTGGATCAAATCACTGAAATGCGTACGGCTGCCGAGTGTCTCCAAAATCTCTCTTATTACAAGTATCCGAGGAAAGTCGTGTCTCAACACACCATAGAAGAGATATCGATACCGCAACAAATGGCGCATTTGAAGTCGAAATCAGTCCACACTCTCCGTACAGACTGTGGTAGTTCCGACACTGATATTTCTACATCAAATGGTTCTAAAGAAAGAACTGATGGCTTCGGGATCACCATCAGAGGGGATGTAGATAGTAACTCTAAGCCTGTTGGACAAAGAACTACGGATGCCGAGTATGCAATAACCCAACCATCAAATTGCTCTACCAGATCAGATACGTCAAACAGTACTTCATGCGCGAACGATTGCGATCACATGTCTAGTGAATTTCAGAGCAAGGGTGACTTGGGGGTTGAAGAGTATCTATCAGAGACAGCTATCCCGGTTACATGTAAAAGAGAAAAATACGTAGCGGAAGTGGACTTAGCCGATGATAGGAATGAGGTTTTGGGAAACAACAAAATGTGTACCGCAATAAGGTTGCACGGCATACCATCAAATTTCGATACGTCCCGGATACAACAACGTGAATCTTTGGGTGTAGTCATATGCTGGCTGACACGTAGGAAACTACTAGTTGGGGTAAAAAATGTGTTGCGTATCGTAGACTTACTCCCTGCATGTGTAGAAGAAATGGATGATGTGTTCAATAATAATGCCGTCAAAGGACGTATCAAGCTCCTCGATATTGAAAAAAGATCTAACCAAACGGAAGCAGGTGGTATAAGCCAATTGGTATTCATGGTAAAGAAAAGGGAGACACGAGCTGTGCCTTTGAGAGGCCGCCTTTCTTACACCTTCACTGGGCCGCAAACATACCGTATAGTGGCAATTATGAGACACCCTAACATTGGGAATTTCTCTGTGGCATATGTAATGGATAAGAATCTTTCTAGAGTCGAAATATCTCACACCAAAAAGGGCTATGGGTGTTCTTCCTTTGAAGTGGTCGACCGCAACGAGGTTGGAGCAAATCCGAATGCATCGGTGTCTGCTGACCTAGAATACGATGGTCAATCGTGTTACACTTTTACCGCGTTCGATGTCTGCTATAGTGATCTATATTTAAATGATACGTTTGTGCGATGTCTCAATACGAATGATGGGAAACAAGTGATCAGGCAACAGGCATTCTTACACGTTTCGTGTAGGATAACACGACAGATATTGGATATATGTAGCACAACACAAGTTACTATGAATCATTTCTGCTGTAACGATGTGGGTAACGTACAACACTGCCTGGCGATCAAACAGACACCAAAGCGGACTTTTTCAGACCGACCTATCGATGCTTTGTTGCGAGGTAACAATAAATCAATGGACCGTCATACCGGGAATAATCTAATTGAGTGTAACATTCCTTGTGGAGTTCTCCATTGCTTCAGTGACCCTGAAAATTTCGAAGGGATCTGTCTGGTAAATCGTGGATTGATCTTGTCAATCACAGGAGCTACGATGACGCAACATTTCAGCCAAGAATGCGAACACGGTAATTACCATCATGCTCTCAAAGAAATTATGCATATTTCGCGATCTTTCAACGTGACATCGAACTGGGAAACTTACGTACATGACCATGTTCAGCAAGGGCTGGAATCTATGCTATCATCTAGGTATCTAGATGTCAAGAAAATAGCGTGTTTCATTATTTCGTACCTCCAATTTTGCATTGAACTAATGGATAGTCGTACATATGTGTACCGCGTGAGGGAACTTGTCTCAACATTCGCAGCCCACCGCAGGCTCAACGTCCTACTAGGCTATGTACTCCAAGGGCAGATGCTATCTATTACAAACCAACATACGATCGTATCTAACATTGTCCTGCCATCTGTTTTCGATGTTCTACAAGTGGATATGCCCTTCGTATTGCTAAGATTGGCAGTTACCAAAAACCTCAATGTCGAACAGATACGGCTCATGCTTCGTTTATTGAAAGATTTTGTATCAGACTTGACGCACAAATGTTATTTTGATAGTGTTAGAAGAGATGAGGGATGTGAGTACAAATTTTGGAACGTTTACGGTCGAGTAGAGGTTGGTAAATGTGACGGCGGGGCGCATTGGATTTTAACTACGAAACCCATAGCTATCTCTGCGTTTGATCCAGAAAATCTGGATTACAAAGAAACGAGGCAGAGTAAAAATCCAAAAACGCAGATGGGATATACCTTATCTAACTTGTTACCGCCTCTACAGGGCGATGTATGTCTGCAAGAATATGATGGTGCACGGTATTCCCGGCTCTACAGAACTGGCAGCCTAATTTCCGTGAAAGCGATTGTGGAACACAGCGTAGACGTCTATGAATGGTCATATGGAGGTGCCCAAAGGTCAGAACTGTTGCGTGCAGTGGAGGAAATCGATTTGGAACTGGTTGATGCAACGGTTTCTGACAGCGTAGCTATTAATGAGATTTACAGCGATTACGAACTGCTGAGATATCTAACTCATAGCTCGAAGGACTTTTTGGAGAGCTCCAGCCATATGGATTATGGGCCACGGGGGAGGGCTGCAATGATGGCTATAGCAGCGTTACTCTCTAAAGTGGGACGGCATAATCAGGCATTCAAGTTTCTGTTACTTGCACAGTCTTCCATGGCTGTGGAACTTGCCAAAATACTTTGTGATATGGAACCAGCTGCATATCAAGATGTCATGCGTGCGACATTACAACTCTATCGCATCCATCCACAAATGACGAACGAGATGGCAATAGAGCGATTCAACACACCAGATTGCATCAAAGTGGTGGTAAAGTCACTGTCATTGGAGCCTCGATTTTTGTTTAGTTACCTAAATGGGATTCAAAGTGAAGCGAAACTGTCGCTTGAATACCTACCTTTGTATTTCGGTCTACTTTGCCTTTTTAAACCAATAGAAGCCACAGTTTTTGTAAAACAGTGGTATACATTTTTGAAGTCGGACCAGGATCTGGTTGATCATTTTATTAAGGTAATAATGGAGGCTAGGCGGATGCTCGTAGCGTCGGATACTGGTGGTAAATTCTCAAGCTTGGAGATCCAGAAGGAACTATATTTGGCGGAATCATTTTTGAGATGGATTGGAGGTCAACCCTGGGATCAGGTTTACAGCTCCGTCATGTTAGCATTACGTTTGGATTTCGTGCACCGCGACGATAGTTCATGGGAACAGGCCTCTGCTAAGGATATCCACAGAAGGCTTTTGCCTTTATTGTGCAAAACATTTGATACAAATGCAGTTGAAAGTGTATATCATCGTATCGTGAAAGAATATGCTGCGAAAGGGAAGGCCGACAAGCGGTACGCCGATACTGCGATGGAGCTGTACCTTTGCCACTTACGGTCTAATACGAGCATCCTCTCAGCGCAATACACGTCATGCGTAGGATCGATGAGGCGCATTTCCAACCTGTTGTTGAAAGCATCCAAAAGGGGTATTGTTTTCTCTGGCACCCAAAGGACTACCGCGTTTGTCGATTCGACTCTCGATTACAACGAAGAACAGCAAGTCGCTGAGGACTACGGAAATGGAATTGCGGGTGGAAATACGCCGGTGATGCGCGTTATGGCTAACGGCAGATTCGTAGGTCAAGTGGATCCTGCGAATAATGGCGAGATGACGTCTCGGGTACGTGTTAAAACGTTAGCCACGCCAAAAGTTTCAAATGTTTACGGCATATGCAATCGCTTAAGTGATGGTGATACTTTAATCAGCAGCACTAACATATGCGTCGTCTGTAACTCGTTGGTACTTGCTACCCATTGGGACATGGGTAATGCAGCCCACATCGTTGACACAATTCGAGACCACCTTGTAGTATCAGCCAGTTATCTGCAACAACCTACAAATTCCAATATGATCTATTTCTTCTGTGGGCATGTGATGCACGAGTTCTGTCAAATCAGACTCATAAACCAGGCTGTGTCACTGCGGCTGCGTGATGGCCGAGAACGAGTGGAAGCGGCCGAACATACCGGAAGTAGCCAAATTGGTTCGTATCGATGCAAGAGCGGGCAAAGTGAGAATTTAAGATCCGCTTGTCTAGTCTGTCTACATGACTTGAAGGGGCATGCATGACAATAGGTCCACTTAAAACCTTTATAAAGTCTATCACTATAATATAAAAATGTAAACGCCGTTTATTTCCGTGTTTTCTGCTGAGTATAGGTAAAATTATACGATGTTGATTTTGGATGCCATCACTGCAGTTTGACCAAATCTGTAGACACATCAGTATCCTGAATGGATGCACACTCTGCATCCTTGCAATCCTCAGTTTCGATACGTAACACTTTTAAGTGATAGGTAACTCCCTCATGAGTGATCTGAATGGTCGATCCTCTAGTTAGCGTTGAATAGTGCTTCAAGTGCTCCTCAAGCACTGCCTTAGGCGCCGGCAGTGAGAAGAACGACTGCTCTATTGGTGCAAGTCTCACGAAAGTAGCATCATTTAGTTTCAATTGCGTTAGGTATACTACGTCATAAGGCCTAATATCAGTATATCTGCTATATGCGTGGGAAACTCACTGCAACTCCAATGATTCCATCATCCAACGTGGCAGGAAAATAAAGTTATCCTGTGGCCTAAAGTCCAGTGAAGAACATGCTAGACGTTCCTTATGTCCATCGTCTGAATTATATACAATATATTTAGGGGAACACGTACCCTTGGTAAATAGATCATCCTTCGTGCTCGGTAAGCCTGAGACAGTTGGTGAGGAATCTGATGCCAGCTTTGACCGGTGTACTTTCTGTATTAAAAACTGCCATGGAACTGAGACATCACGGTCCGTGAGTTGTGCCAAAATGCTCTCAGGCAACGATGCTTTATCGCTGTTGCCAGGCAGCATATGGCTGCCATCCGCTGAACGGCAAGAACGCGAAAATGGTTCACCAAGTTCCAACACAACAAGCAGGCGCTCTATTACTGGGCGTTGTTGCAAAAGAATGTTGACTTCCCGCACGTAACCCTCCACCTAAATGGATGTTCTCAAGCACCGGTATAACGTACCCGAGCCCGGTCAAGCGATCGGCGAAACCTGTCTAAGAAAGAGAAGGCGTATTGATAACGCCCATCACAACGAAGTGGATGGAACGAAGAAACGTTGCTGTTGCGCGGAATGCGATGCGATAGGCCTCCAGCGATGCGCAATGATAATAGTAAAAGTGCCAGAACGGCGCGCCGCAAGGCGTGCTGTCTAATCATGGTCCATATTATTTATGTGTACATTTATTAGATATCATTGTGGCCCAAACGGCCACATAAACGGACGTTGGAGCGCAACATCCAACCCGAGGGACACCGGAGAACAGTAGACAGGGTCTGAATTATTCAACACAGCGCGACTACAACTGCAACTTCACTGCGGCAAAAAACAGATACGACCGACATCTAAGACAATTTGGGGAAATAACTCAATTCTCAACATCATATCAACTAGAAAAAAATTAATTCTACGTTGCCAACATCATAAATGGTTAGTCAAAGTATGGCTATTTTTGTAAACATTCAATGGGGGCGAAAATCAATAGTGCACGTAAAATGTTTCACGGGTGTATCGCCCTTACCATCCAGCGTCACCACCATCTCCTACCACACATATTTCGCCGCGCCGCTTCCTATATACGCGACACACAAAGTAAATAATAGTAATTCCGCAACAAACTTGCCATAAGGTACCATATTGTAGAGTTGTGGACGGCGCGCTGAGGCGTAAGGCAGCAGCAGCGAAAATGGCGAGCGCCTTGCAACCTCGAGGGGGCGCTAGTCACATGGACACTGGAGAACACCACTCATCTAGTGAGCAAAGTCAGTTGACAGATAGTGATATCCTTTCATACTTCATCACTAAACGCAAAATGAAAATCACGGTTGAAAACGCTCCATCAAGAGCCGAGATACGGCGTACCGTTGCGAAGGATGTTGGAATTGCAGCAGTGTTATTTACACTTGTTTGCACATGTTTCATCATATACCAATACCTGCAGGAGTTGCTTATGCGAATACCAATCGCGGGAGGAAAAAAATTTGATTATCCAGTATTTCTTACATTTATTTGTTTCGCGACAAACTGCATCACAACATCCATCCTCATGGGGGGTATGCAAATCAAGTTTGACAGGGAATACAAACACCAAAGCGATGAAGGTGAGGAGAGGAGGACAGTGTTTGATCAGTTTGACTGGAAAATTGCAGTCCTAGGACTTATTGCGGCCACATCAAACGTCTGTGCCATGGTCTCCTCCCTTACTGCCGTAAAATATGTAGGTGTACCGACACAAATCGTAATCAAAAGTGCCAAGATGATACCGATCCTTATTGGAGGATTTATCATCTTTAGAAAAAGGTATCCGTGGTACGATTACGTCGCTGTACTCATCATCACAGCGTGCATCATATGTTTCAATTTTGCTAAACCCAATAGTAAAATGGATGGAGAGAACACGCCCTGGGGGCTATTCATGTGTTTCTTCTCACTATTTTGGGATGGTGTTACCGGACCAATAGAGGATAAAATGCTATCCCTCAAAGACCTCCACCCATATATGCTGCTATTCGTACTCAACGTCTTTGGATTCCCATTGGTCACAGCATCAGTTTTTATTTTTGAAGGATTGGAACCGTTCAATATTATTGCTCAGGAACCCAAAATCTGGGGATATCTAGCTTTGCTGTCTCTAACTGCAACAATTGGACAAGTAGTCATTGTAATTTGTCTCAAGTTGTACGGGAGCCTTTACACCACACTCATGACTACGATCAGAAAAATTGCAAGCTCGCTGATATCAATATTCATGTTCAACCATGCCATGTCGGTATTACAGTGGATTGCCATGTCGTTCACCTTTGCAACGCTGTTGGTGAGGCAATATATCAAACAACGGCTCGGAGCCAAAAAGAAAGGCGAGAAAGAGAGTGCGCACTGAGACCGGCAAGATTGAACATAGGAAATAGAGCGCCAGTGGGAAAACGAGATTAACGACCAATCGTGCTCAAAGGTCTGAAGTGGATAGAACTGTGCGATAATGATCGTGGAAGTCGAACGGGATACAAGACTTAAAATTTGTTGCAGGAATCCTCAACTTACCCTTCGAGGTTAAATGGGACCCGTGACAACTACAATCCACAACAGACCAAGAAGGAAAATGAATCTCTAAAAAATCACACAGCTCTAATTTTCAAATGTTCAACACTAAATGAGAGATAATTCTAGTGTACGAAACACGTGTTAGAACACATAAAGACACATTCAACCTGATGGTAGGTTTCCACGAGCCTCAAGCAGACGCGTAACTGCAGCCGACACGTCGCCGTGAGTTGCCTGGAGGGCACTAATATTCTCATCGTGGTTCAGGAAACCCATCTCCTGTAATGAACGCAATTGAGATGCGTAACGCTCCTCTGGAGGACGAGTGTCTACAGGGATCCTCGCCCCTGGAAAACCGAAACCAGGGTAACCACCAGGTAACAGTGCATTGAGCAGATTATCGTTACCTAAAAATAATGAAAAGGTGCAATACGTAGAAGCCTATTGTAAGCAAAAGAACACAAGCTGAACCTTCAAAACCATTGCAAAATGAACATATATCAAAGGTGATACGTGCCGGCAACCGAAACATCACACCTTATGTAACAATGTATTGGTATCAACTAAATTCTTTGTTGCTGATACTTGGCAGTTTACAGAGACTAATCGTGTATCCCCAAACATAAAACAAATGACAGTAAAACACACCTGCTACTGCACCGGGCGTAGTTGTGGCACCCTGTTGTGGTTGTTGTTGCTGCTGCATCGACTGGTGTAATTGAAGGCCGGCTTGTAGCATTCCAGGACGCATCATATTGCGTAGAAGTTCGGGATTGTTCAACATCTGATTGAACATCGGGTTTTGCTGCTGCAAAGAGTGGCAAGAGGGAGAAATGCGAACTAACCATCATCGGTTGTAACATGGGATTATTTCCTATAATTTCCCTAAGTAACTGGGGGTTGCTGGCAATCTGCTGCATCATCTCTTGTACCATAGGGTTGTTTAAAAGTGCGGCAGCAGTTTGCGGGTTAAGGTCCTCCATACCGGGTATCCCACCCATGCCGCCCATACCGGCCATACCGCCAAAGCCACCCATGCCCATACCTGAATCTGTTTGCAGCAGATAAAAAAGGTGTACGTACCTTGCATCACCTGTTGCATCATTTCTGGAGAAAATTGGTTGTTCGGGCCCTGGCCGAAAGGAAATGCGCCACCAGCTGGAGTTGTCCCTGCGGCAGCCCCGGGCACACCGCTCGTAGGGGGAGGAGTCAGAGGCGAAGCTTCCGGCTCTGAATGGAATATAAGAGTGTGAATATAAACAAACGTGATGCAGTAACCGTCGCCGGAGGCGGAGAACGCTTCACACCGCTGCGAACCAAATGGACAGTGTTACCATCTTCAATTTTCAGGGCCTCCAACGTATCCTCGTCCTTCACTATCCGACCTTCGACGTATATCTACAATGTATAAACAAACAAACCCTTAAAAATTAGGCGTTGGTTCTCAGGAGTGGCGCCTGCGCGCTCGGCGCACTTAGCCTTGAGATCCAAAACTGTCATAGACGGTTCGGCCTCGACAACAAACGTCTCGCCACCGCTTATCTTTATAGTCACGTTGAGAGTCATATTGGTACAGTAAAAATAATGTCTATCGTCGAGCACACAATGCAAAGGTATCACGATTTTTAACACCCCCAAAATGCCAAAAAATACGCAATCCGTACAAGGCAGAACGACATAAGTTTTCTGTATAACCAAAATCACACTGAAGTCGCCACGACAGAGTGCTGTATGGCGTGGATGCCACCCGAAGATGGGGAATGCTGGCGCGAGTGGACAGAGTACATAAAGTACACCAGAGCTCTTTTTGGTTTATTTTTTAAAAAATAACATATAAATCCGCAAAAACTGCGGAAGGATACAAAATGTCAATCTGGTCGGTTTATTTTGAACAAGAAGGCTGGGACGATGGCTGTCAGCTCGCCCCGGAACCTTCATCGGTCTTTGACATAGAAGGGTGCGATGTGTTGGTCCCTAACATCGCAGAGTACAGTGATCGTTCGCTCTGCCGGCCCTCATCTTTCTGCTCAGGGTCAAATAAATTATAATTACACATACCACATTGCGTATGGCAGCCAGACGATCCCGGGCTGTAGCGTTCTCCCCGTCAATCTCCAACACCTTTGTGAAGTCCTATGTATATATTATACAGAGTAGAAACAACACACCTTTTCAGCCATCGAATAATCATACACAGAAATATAACAAAGACCGCGACGGACCAGTGCCTTCACATGAGAAGGTTCCAGTGACAAAACCTAACACCTATGATACATATTTAGTAAGATTGAACACACTTGATTGCAGTGAAATATAGACTTCCGGAACTCTTGAAGGCGGAACCTATTCAGTGCAAGGTTCATGTGTGACGCAACCTCCATCTCACGAAACTTGGCCTTCCATTCGGGATCATCGGTGATTGTGTAGTCCAATTGCACTAGAAGCTAAATACAGATGGGAGGAATATTTCAGTGAACTCTACCTGCTCGTAGAACTTACACGCTACCTTGTACTGCTGGGATGTGAAAGCTGCCTTCCCCTCTTCTCGCAGACTGAACGTATTTCATAATATGGTGATGACAACCTACACCATGCAAGCACGATACTTCTCTGGGATGCTCCGTTCGAATAACTCGCGCTCCTACCGATAATGAAGGTAAATGTGTAAAACCAACATTGGACTTTTCATGACCGCAACCTAATGAAGAGTGCTCAAAACCGTTATTTGCGTCATGTTCCGTGTTCTGTAAGCCATAATACAGCGGATGTGTAGCCGTATACCTACCAAGCTAGTGGCGCGACTAGACGTGGACCCCGTAACGTCACATGGGACCTCTTGCAGTAGACGTTCGGCAAAAAGCCGAGCGTTATACGACGTTTTTATTGTAACGGGCATCTAAATATATATTATTATAATATATTGATGATATTAATTCAAATCACAGGATTTAGGGGGGGACTACTAAATATGACAATACAAAAACAAAAGACACGAAAGAATATGCCTCATATGTAGAGATCTTCAGGTATTTGGGAGGACAACAATTCGACAGCACTAATATGGACGCTATTCTTGGACGGATGTGGATTGTGGAGGTGGCTGCGTGGTCCCGAGGTTTCACTGGAATCGGTGCTATGGGAGGTAGTAACGGCAACGGAAGTAACAGAAGGCGTGGCAGAATGAACTCCAGAGGAAAATCGGGGTTCTGGACTAAGACAACGGGGTAAACGTTTGCGCTTTAGAGACATTTCAACACTACGTCTCAACAACACACGCTTATCCTCGGTGATACCGGTAGCACTGCAGATGCGGTCCATTGCAATCTTGTATTCAACAGCCGCATCATAGGCTTCATTTACACCACCAAATACAGATGGTGTAAACGTTTTTGTATGACGAAGACCAAATTCATCACTAAATGAAGTTCTCCATCGGGAAATGCTTGGAACCCAAAACACCTCTACACAAAATTTGGAAGGAATAAAAAATAAAACTAACCTTGATGCCAAGGTCGAAGCAACTCTGCTATATCGTTTGGCGTGAGGGTAGAATGTGGACGAGATTTGTGCGTGGTACGACGTGACTTGCGAGATCTGAGGCTAGGCGAGTCGTCATCCATCAAAGAATTGCCATCGTGGGTAACGCAGTCATGGTTGTTATGGGGATGGGAAATGTTATCTGGATTCTCGGATTGTCGGTATATGGTCATGAGTGACTTGGACTCCCCCGAATGCAGCGAAGAAGCGGCAGAAGAAGTGGAGGTACTGACACCTAAACCGGAGCTACTCCTACTATGAAGGATCATATCAAACGCTACACTATTTGGGCCACTACGATGATCAAATCGCATCGCATTGCGTGGACCTAAACCGTCTCCCCTATCGTCGAGAACATCCGGCGTAGCGTTGCCGAGCTGATTAACATGTGACAGCGAACAGAAACGTTGTTTGCCTGATCTGTCAATTCTATCCGCAACCATTCTATCTTTATGATGCTCACTAGACATGTAGGGACTCAAATCTAACTCTTCTGCTCCGGATGGAAATCGGTCATGCCCCCTGCCGTATTTGTGACGCTCATCAGGAACGTATGAGCGGCGGGTATCCTCGCCCTCACTAGGTAATACCAGGGGAGCACACAGCTTTCCACTGGCACGTAATTTCTTTTGATGTTGAAGATATCTAATCTCGTTTAGCACTTCAGATGACGGTGGAAGGGGCAAGTTTGCAAGCGCACGAAGGTCGGCACCAAGGATACTCCAGATGTCTCCATCGGCGCGTGAATTTCTTGAACCATCGACAGAAGAAGAAAGAGACGCGTCACCTAGGCTAGCAGATTCGGGTGAGATGCGTAGATCGGCGTTGGGAGAACGAACGCCACCTTGCGTGGTCACGGACAACTCACAATTGTGGATGGCACTGCAAGTTGATGAGCTGTCCCCCGAACCGCTAGTAGATGATCCAACTAGATGCCTCTCAAAGTAATTAGATACTGAACCCACGGAGCCTTGAGGTGCAAGACTACGCAACGTATGAAATCCTAGAACCGCGGAGCCATCCACACTACTCGACTGATCATTAATCACGCCACTATCGATGGTAGAACCAGGCGAGGTGCGCTCATTGGAGAACGCACTATCTTCTGGTGTTGGAATGCCATCCGGTGAAATGCATACCGCAGGATAGGTAAAACATCCACATGACGAAGTAGACGTCAATCTCGAAAGATCCTTTGAGTAAGGAGCAAGTGAGGACCGATAGATACTTTCAGCCCTCAGCTCTTTGAAGCCTAGAGATGATAGATGGACACCCTCAGATTGCTCCCCTTTAACACTACGACAAGCCGAACATAGGCAGCCTACATCGCCATTGCGCAGGTGGCATACAATTAAACGACCCCAGTAATACAAAGCCGACAACCATGAGTCATATATGTCACAACGTGATGTGCTGAAGTGAAGAGGCTTACCCAGGGGGCATATTTCAGAAGGTACGGTTACGCGCCATCTATCTTTGTTGCTGTCGTAACAAATACCTTTCAATACCGGCAATTCCTCGATGAGTTTCTCCAACATCTGGTAATCGTCTCTTTCGTACACGTCCGACATCGCGGCTTCCACGCTGCGCACATCTCGGGTGAAATCACGTACAATCAAAGCATACTAGGACAGCCACAGTATACCCAGAGTTCTCAAATACTGACAAAAGCTCAATAGGAGTTAAACGAGGATTCTCTCGTTAAACTTCACAGCGATTTAGCATTGCCATGGCCTTTGCAACATGGGATAGAATAACTAATGTCAAAATCAAAATGTAAAAAATCTATAAATCTCATTATTAGTTATGATAACGACTTAATGCACCCTCAATACCTGCTATAGGACAGGCAAGCGAGTTATGTAGTCGTTTATAACAAAATATGACTCATGTTAACAATTAAAATTCACCAGGCAACGGTGACCATAAGAGCTAAACATGCTGTAAATGCGGCAAAAACAACTGCAGGTTGATCTAATCTGCGAGAATGCAAAAGGGACTTGTATGATATGGTAATTTGCGCTTCAGAGAAGTTGAACTGTGAACATTGTTGATCACCAATGAGTCATGCGTATTGAGTGCCATTCACTTTATATTATAAACAATGCGATATTCTACGTAAAATAAGGTAGGGTTGAGAAGTTAAATTTTTTAGTGTTCCAGATGATGATTGAGCCCTCCGACTGGTCTCCCTTCACCCATTTAACAATGGTAATCCTAATCGGTCGCCTGACGCTACCATTTATATACAATGGCTCAAGGAGTATCGGTAAAGAAGAAGAAACCCGCCGAAACTGGCACGAGACCCGTAAATATCATACTGAAAAGAACCATTGAGACGCAGGGGCAGTATCTATAGGACACTTGTCAATTTCAACGCAAACGTAAGTGCGACTACGGCTCACGCAAACGCACTTCTGTACCTCTACAAAGCGAAACAAATGCTGCATCTTTTCACTTTAATCGGCATTAAGATATGCACACGCTACATTAAGAGAAAGAAGTAATAGAGCACCCAGGTGCTATGTAGAAACGTATGCTTCTTTGGGGAATTCAAATAAACTATAGGGCGAGAAGTCCTGGATTGCTCAGTAGAACTCAACCCATGCGGGGGTTTCTATGGCCTTCATGATGTAGTGCAAGATCTCGTCTCGGTGAGCGATCCACCTGACTCTGTTCATGTAGGTGTCAGGGTCACAGCTGATTGACTCTTCAGCCAACAAGTCGGCGACGTAGCGGCTGATTTGCCATGCCAACAATTCAGGGAGCCTGCCAAGGTACACTTTACCGAGCTTCTTGGCAATGTCGATGGGCAACACAATATTATCCCTGCTGTCAAGGCCTCGGACAATGTGGACGTATGGTTCGAAACACTCATCCTTAGGGGTGTATTGACTAGCGCGCTTAAGTATTTGGTGGAAACGCTGCTTGCCAAGTTCAAGATCTGAGTCTTCATATTTGTCGCCGAAAAGACGCTCCCATAGACTAGGTTGCTCGTGTACATCACCTAATTCAATTGACAAGCCAGCGTCGTGAGGCTCAGATTCCTCGGAGACTTCCTCAACTGCCTCTTCAACTTCAGCCTCGGCTTCCTCAAGGACCTCATCGAGAGCTTCTTCAACTTCAGCCTCGGCTTCCTCAAGGACCTCATCGAGAGCTTCTTTAACTTCAGCTTCGGCTTCCTCAAGGACCTCATCGAGAGCTTCTTCAACTTCAGCTTCGGCTTCCTCAAGGACCTCATCGAGAGCTTCTTCAACTTCAGCTTCGGCTTCCTCAAGGGCCTCATCGAGAGCTTCTTCAACTTCCTCGGAAACTTCTTCAACTTGTTCAACAGACTCTTCAACTGGTTCCGCATCTTCAGATAAAGCAACATTGGTTATTTCCTCAATGATATCAGCAGTGTCAAGGTGCGACTCATGTTTGTTGTATCCAGCGCTTGCTAGCATCACCTCGGGATCGTAAAGTTCGTTAGGGTTTTCTAGATCCAATTTGGGCTTGGGAGCCAAGTATTGAGGATCAGAGTTCTTAAGTAAAGTTTTGAAGAAAAACATACCAAGGTAATGAAGAAGGCCGCGGGTGATAGGCATCCGAGCGGGATCGTTAATAATGATCCCGATATACTCCTTAAGCAGATGTCTAGCAACGCCTTCTGCCTGTTCCCGAGTAAGCTTATTATCCTCGAGAGCGGCAAGCTCCTCAGCAAGGCGTGCAGGCAACATATGCTTGGCATCCGGGTCGAAACGGTTAAACATGTTAGAGGGAAGCATGGCGATGAATTGCTTAATACGATCGGAGGCACGCTCATTAAATACCAAGCCATCTGCTGTTTCAAAAGATACAATTGGGGCTACAGCTTCAGTTGCAGGTACCTCAACCTTTCCACCTTCTACTTCACCTGATGGCTCACTGCCGCCATTGAAGGGGCATGAACCAGGTGCAACCCTGAGAAAAACGGGCTTCGGATCTTCAGGGGCAATATCAACTTCGGCCTCTACGCCATTACCAGCGACGATCTGGACGAAAGCCAAGAAGGCAATCAAGAATCTAGAAAGCTTGAATCCTGCCATTTTAGTGACTATCAATTGTCTTCTACAAAATGAATATAGAATCTGTATAATGACAACGTAATATGTGTACTTCCCGGCTAAGACAATTCAAATTCAGTGGCGCAAAGATACAATCCGTTGGCCCTAGCTTGTCTGGGTTGATCGGGGCCCCGGTATTCCTGATGGTACTCTAATATATCGCTTTAAAAATATATTTTGATTCACAACGAGCTATAATGCTATAGCTGTTATGACCAAACATCACATTGACCCCTACGTGACGCAAGATTATACTCGAGGCGTCATCTGTAGTGCTCCAGCGTATTACATGCAACAGGCGCGTCACCCGCGGCAAGGAAGAGACGGCAGGATACCATCGCCATTTCAAATCTACGCAACTTGTCGCCCTCCCAAATGTATTATAATTATGTCAAATAAGCGCTTTCAAACGGTTGGTCGTTTATATGAAGGAGTCAGCGTCTACATCTCATCTTGAGTTAAACAAGACCAGAAAGATATCAGACATTAAAATAATCGTAATAGATCTTCCTAATCATAAGAATACACTTGGTATTTACTGCGTTGCTACAACGATCCCCCAAATATGTTGAACGAAAGCAGCGTCTACTCACGCAAATCTAGGCAGCAATATACGCAGGCATGCTAGACAGCCGAAAAGTGCATCAAATGTATATTTAGTGGTGATCGAACCTATTAGGTAGCACTATCACGGTAATGTGTAAGATATAACCTCACAGTCGATACGAAATCAATGCCAGCAAAACTGGAATAACATATTACCTCCACATATGTACGTCTATCGCTCTCAAAGCGCCAGGTATTACGTGTTAAATGACTATGAGCCGGGGTAGTTCACGGCTAGTAGGTAGATCTACTAACTCAAAGTCTAGCCGGAAAATGTCAGCGCGTGAATCCAGTTCCTAACAATGGAGATAAGCAATGCTAGCGTCCATCACATCATAGGGCACAAACGCAGACAGGACTGCGTATTCTTGCGTTTCTTGTATGACTTGAGAAATTCCAACTGTTTGCGGTTGATGGCCCCTTTCCTGCGTTCACGTACGAAGCATATAGCATCCAAAGGGTGCATGCCATATTCTACGAGGGCAATACAGGCGAGTACTGGAGCACGTCCAAGACCAGCAACGCAATGGACCGCCACAGAACCATTGGATGCCACGACTTCCTTAATCAGATGAAGCCATTCGGCCACGATATCGTTTGACGGTGGTTCCCCGTCGTTGAATATGAGCTCCTTGATGGCTATATCTGCATCAAGTATCGGGGCGTCATCGTAATTCGCTTCGCAGGTGCGCACAAGGCAGGTAACGCCAAAATCAATCATTTCATGCAAGTACAGCCTGACGTTTGAATTGTTAGGTGCGTCAAGGATCAGTATCCGAAGCTTGTGGAACTCGATTTTGGTAGGCTTGTTCAGCACGTAGCTGTGAGATGAATGTCCACTTCTCATTTTGGTAAACGGCGAACAAATAAAAGAGATATTCTAGTCAGGTATCGCAGAAAGCAGCAACGACTATATGAGCACCTTGATGTTTGCAATCCGTCTAAAACCCCTACTTCATAACTCGTAGTAGAGATCGGCGCGAAAAGGACGAATAATACAAATTGAAATAACACACGTATCGCCGTGTTCACGTTTGAAAGAATAATCAATTGAATACACTGAGAAGCATAACAGCTCCGTGTTCCATTACTACTCACGCTCCAAAAAATCCTTGTGGCATATACAACATGAGATAGTAGCTTAGTAAGGGCTCATGAATGAAAGATCCGCCGAAGGTAACTCTGGGGGCCAAACTCCCAACGCTTGTAATCACAATTCAGCGCAAGGCCTGAGACGTACAGAGAATCACGCTCCCGGTTAACAGCGAAGCGCTCGAATAACGCAATCACTTTGCGAAACCAAAACACATTTTAAAGGCGAGCGTCAATTCGCTATGCAGAGGGCTGGGTTATTTTGACCCTAATCAACAGCACGCCATTCGAAGACCGGACAGCAGCCGTTAACAACTAGACATATACATATATACCGAGACAACTCCGTAAGAGTGACTGCGGGGGCCTTAATAGGGAATATCACATCTCGGTGGTTCTTGTTACAGTAGGTAGTAATCTTCACATTCGAAAACTATAGATAACTACGTCCGAGTGTAGCCTTGTCCCTAGGTTTTCAAGATCAAAAAGGTCCCGAAAATCCGGAAAAGGCTGCAAGGCGCTACTAAGACCTCTCAAAAAACGTTCCCAAATTGCACGTTGATCTGAGAAAGAGTGAGCAGGGCAGAGACAAATGTATGGCATTCTGACGTTAGCAAAATGCGTTACATAAAAAACGCGTATCAATTTGAATCAATCGGCCCCGGCAAAGTCATACATTTATGCGTGAAAGATCTCAGCCTCACACAGCTCCCAGTCCGAGGCATCTCATAGCTCGTTCAAGCGCTGGTTACGGCCTGCTGTTATAGGGATCATCGAGCTCACCATACAATACACAGAGAGCAACTCGAAGTAACATAAATTTCAATACACCCAAGTATACGTTTAGGGATAATGAGTTTCACCTACCTCTGGTGATAGAGACGTGTTACGCGCACTTTCCAGACAAGGCCTGACCGAACGGTATTACGAAAGCTTTAACAGATGCCAAGAGTATAACTAGCAATTTGTGAAAACTGCGAGATACAAGATATGTAAGACAATGGGTCCGAACAGCCACACGCGCCATCCACTGCCAATTGTGGTGCCGTTGGCGCCTCGAGGTTCACCAGTAGATCATGACACCGTTATGCACTACGCCCGGGAACTAACATGCGCAAATAAAATTTTGTGACAAAAACTATAATTTTTTGTGTCGGTATCGTAATTTTGTGTTGATCCACTGCACACCCTGCCACCGGGATTGCCGTTCTATAAATGCTTAGGAAGTGCCGTTTAATGATTCTAGAACTAGGTTGTGTGTATCATGTTTAGCAAATTCTGATTTGCCGCTTTAAAATGTTTCTTTGAAAGATGCTGGGTTATATGATCGTCATATGACGTAGGGTGTGTACGTACAAATGATACAATTTATACCCGATCCGCCGACAAATTCGGGTAAAATAGATGCGTTGCATACATTCGTGCCAGAATTGAACATTTTCCAGGCCCATAGCGCAAATAGCACCAAATGGGTCCATTTAGACAGCGTTTCACTCTCTGGTCGGGTGGGTATGTAGTTGGACTTAGTGACGTTTAGATGCCAGTGGTCGTATGTAGACATACAGTGCGGACACAGTAAAGCATTTAGTGTTATCTTGTTTAACTTAACTGTGTTTTATTTAATTAACACACCTAACAGGTGTGTGGCATATCAGCCTTAGTAGCCGATAGAACGGCATTCGGGGGTCCCAAAGGTACCCCCGCAGGACTTCCACACTTCACGGAATTACGTCATAAATTTCCAGTGCGAAGTATCAAATTTTACAAAATGTAAGGTTTTGTAAGTCACTGTACACCACAAACATTCGAGATGTTTACCGCTCCTAGTTACATTTATACATCGTCAACAAGCTCACACCATGTCTCGTGTACTTAGCGCTAATTTCCGCGTATATGGACGCGTGCAAGGTGTTTTCTTTCGGAAGTTTACCAAGGAAGAGGCAGATAGACTTGGAATTAAGGGATTTGTGAAGAATGATGACGATGGAACCGTCGTTGGACAGTGTCAGACTCGAAGCGCGGATGACATGGATGCATTTCGTCATTTCCTGGAAAAAGTCGGATCACCTAAGTCGGAGATTCGTTCATGTGACTTTTCCCTTACTGAAAAGGACGGTGATTTAGATTACACATCATTCGATATAATTAGATAGTAGTACACCCTATGCGGCAGCTACGGCGTCTACCAGTCGGTTGTATGACCCCTCAGAGTCCAACTCCATTTGGTTGTCCAATACAAAGCGTCTGATGATCTTTCTAAGCGAGTCGGCCGTCTCCATATTGAACATAGCAAATCTTTTGCGCTCGTTCGCGTCGTCGGGTACAACAAAATCCTCCACATACATTTGCGAAATGTTGACACTTTTGATCAATACTCTGTAATAAGTTGGCCGTGCTAACTATGGGCAAACTTACGTAAGTACCTTGTTGCGATCGACCTTTAACCATGGTGGGAAACTACCAATACATATACCGTCCAGTGTCTTGAACGTTCTTGTTTTGTGGTCACATATCACACGGGCAGGCGCCATGCCGTTCTTGCTAAATTTAATATATCTAGTGGTGTTCTCATCGCGCCAACAGAGCCAGTGTGGATTGTAGCCACCCACATAGCTCGCAGTACGGTCCACAAATATTATTGAATCCCTCTCGTACGATAGGTTATCCACACTGTAACTTTGTGAGCGGATACGAAACACTCACTCACCGATAGTACGCGTCGCGCATATTCTCCGGCGTACAGTCGTGGTACTCCACAGCGGTGAAACTCGGCTTACAGTGTTCCGCTCCAGATTCTTCAATCCTGTGTTTATATTAACCGTGCAATGATGCTACTTACCTGCTTTTTATGAAAAACGTACGGCACTCAGTATCCGAATTTGCCATGAGGCATCCGTTGTAAAGCAACACGTCCAAAACCGAATATTTCAAGTTCTGTACATTGGAATCGCTACCTTCATCGTTCACTATACAATCGAGTAGAGTGGGTCCCTTCGTGAACGATACTTTAAATGAGTTGCGCTGACATCCGTTCTTACAATATTCAATGGCCCAAAAGTTGTTAACGAAAATGAGCACACGATGACCCTCAGGTCGCACAAATATGAGGCTGTTTTTCAGTGCAATAGCTTCCTCCCTGATTGATGTTTCTGTCGCGACAAGAAATTCATGCGACGTGAGTATGCACATTACGTCCCTGAACAAGTGACGCTTCCGACGAGATATCCCTTGGAAGAGACGCATAGCAAATTCTTCGGAGTCACCTCGTTCAGATGGCATTAAACTTTCAGTACGTTTCAACTCCTGTGCAGGTTCGGATGCATCTGTTTCGATTGGAGTGTTATCCGTTGTGGACTCCTTTGGTTCCTCGGCAAAGATACCCTGCAGCCTTTGAAAGAAAGCCGCTTTTTTTGACTCGACAACACGCCTTCTCAATTCTTTTAACGGGGCCATGCGACGTTCTCGGGCCGTAGCGTCGAAATTATATCGGTTCGCGCTCTGCAGCCGTTCTTTTAGCCGCGCAGCAGACTGTGATGGAACCCCGTTGTCCGACATTGTAGAGGCGTGGCCTTTCAAATCCTGGTTCCTTGGTTTCAGCCGTCAGTAAACTATGTTCGAAAGATCGTAGTTCGCAATTTTGCGTAACGCGAACGTGGCCGACTACGCAAAGTAAGCATCGATAGTACTTGATTCGTGTTACATTATACGACGGTCGATGGTGCACATGTCTGATGTCTATTAGATATGAAACCTATTTCGGCGACTAATTCGTAAGTTTGGCACTGCTTTGGCGCACAAGCGGACCTAGTGCCCCTACGAATTGAGATGTGTGGGTGTAGGAGCGGATTCGCGCTTATATAGCATAGCTAAGACTCAATGTAATACATTTGGTTGATTATTCCGGAGGTATCATCTGTGAAGTGCGGCGTTAGACATAATAAGAGACTCGCTTACACACCTCTAGGCCATGTAGGTACCCATTTTATCCACCGTACTAACACAGTAACTTAAAAGGCAAACTAATAGCTTCTAATTTCAAAACTATACTAGGTATATCGCGTACCATGCCACGGCGATGGCCGTATGAGACGTGGCTAACTCTGTTTCATGACAGTGCACGTACGTGTTTCTCTCCGGCGCTGTAAGTGCTGTTTTTCCAGCATATGTCTGACTCGACATGGTCTTACACTAATAATAGAACCATTTGCCCTATCACTTAAAATTTTTTGCAACATTAGAGTCTGTCTAGCTGCCACGGCTGCACGCCGTAAAATTATTATGCAAAGTTGGCTCTTTCGCAATCACAAAAATGTAGCTAGCTCCGATTTTACAGCCAAAAATCAATGCCGCTTGGAAGTCAGCTTGGCAGATGGCTGGCACTTGATTATTTCAAAAATGGTTGGCGCCACGAACAATCGTCGCAACAAGACTTTTACGTTGCAAGATACCTTCCAGAAAATGCAAGGTTTAAAAAATGATGGCGAACATGGCAGTTGCAACAGCACGCCAACAGCGTATTCGGACAAGCTCGAGGAGAGAACATCACCGCTTAAACTGGCGAAGCCACACCAACGCAAGAAGTTTAATTATGTTGCAAAGGCTGACAATCATGACGATCATCGAGATCTGTCTTCTAGGCCGATACGCATCTTTGTTGGCACATGGAATTGTGCCTATCAAGACGGAGATGAAACAGTGATACTGAAGCCTCCAAAAAACGAAACGAGCTGGACAAAACGGGTTTGTCGTCCTGTTAAAACTATAGTAAACATTATGGGACGCCTATTCAATCGTTTAGGCAACTGTTACAGGGGAGGAGCTGAACATCTCAAGAACGGTATCGGAGGGATGCTGGGTAGAAAAGATCACCACAATTTGCCCCATGCTCATAGCAAAGAAACGACGAACGAATCGCACTATAGCACATCAGTAGAAACATCGCTAGAAGGTTTGTTCAACGAAAATGGGAAAACTGTGGCACGGGATGATGAGGTTTCACCTTTACTACTCAAGTCACATCGTGGAACCAAGAAAAAAAATGAAGCCATAAAAAACAATGTTCAGGGCTTGGGGACGCATAATTCGAAGAAGTCACAACGTGGCTGTACTGCCTGGATGAAGAGACATGGGAGAGCAAGAAAATCACCGCCACTTCATGACGGAGGTTTCACTTCAACCGAAATTGATACAGATGTTCCTGTTATACCTATGGTATGTAGTAGTTCTCTAACTACCTCTTCAGGTTCAACCACTCTGTCAAAAATTCAACGCAGTAGTAAGAAACTTCCAATGAGAAGCAGGAAGGTGTCTACGGAATCAGGCATGCATGGTTTCACTAACTTTACAAAAGATAAGAAGATAGGACCACAAAAAGGGCAGTCCTCCATTATGCTACGTCGCAGCACACGACAATTGAAGCCTCTTACAGCGGATGACAAGGAACCGTTGAGTGACTGGATACCCCGTGGGTATGATATTTATATCGTATCTCTACAGGAGACACTTTCTTGCACTATGTTCGTGTCTATCACCAAGTATTTGGAACGACACTCATCTGAACCATTTGTGCGAGTGCCTCTTGAGCATTTCAAGCTTTCAGGACGAGGAGATGGTGCCCTTCTTCATACCAAGAGTACTAGCATAGCAGTCTGGGTTCGGAAGTCCCTACTAGACTCCGGGAAGGTATATGTCGGTGGATCCAAGACCATACCTCTAAGCCGCATAAATCGAAGCAAAGGAGTGGTCAGCTTTCAGATGTGCATATTCGGTCACATCATAGGTGTTGTGGGGTGCCATTTGCCCACCAATTACCATGCCAGGGAAAAGGCAGCGGAGTACATGGTCAAAAAATTATGCAATGCATATGGAACGCCAGGAGCTTCACTCGATGAAGTGTTTCATCACATTATATGGACTGGCGATTTCAATTTTAGAGTCACGGATATCTCTCCGGAGGAGGCCCTTACGCTACTGAACACAGATCGTGTTCATGAATTGTTTTACCACGACGAATTTTACAACGGAAGAGCTTCAACATTTGCTGCCATGAAATTTGAGGAGGGTACAGTCCGTTTTCTTCCAACTTACAAGATGCGGGACGACAGGGATGTTGCAGATTACACCAATGGCAAATGGGCAGATGTGGACTACCAAACACGTATAGAAAGTCACTGGTACAAAGGGTGTAATGTAGAGGAACGTGTGCCGTCGTGGACTGACCGTGTTATTAAGTGGTCGCTACCAGAACTGCGTACCTGTCTGCTGATCGACCACCATACTTACCGTGCGGTGCGTCCGACTGTCAAAAATATACTTATGACAAGCGATCACTCTCCCGTCGGCTGTTGTTTTGGTGTTTGGCCGGTGCGTAATGTTACGAAATTACCTCCAAGGAAAAATCAGATTTTTTCATCTTAGATCTACTTTAAGGTCAAAGGTACTTTTTTCTACGTCAGTTAATATTTTCGCCAGTCATAGTTGAACTTATAAAATTAGTTACCGTTGTTATACGATGTATTTCTTGGTATTGCTTTATATTTTTTATCTTCGGTTGGCTTCCGGTAGCATCCTGCTGTTCGGTCCACCAACTCCGAATATGCTTGCGTGTACCACCGATTATTACAACATTGGCGCAGAACCTAAAGTGCCTGATACTGGTCTTGAGAAGGTAAAGGATTACTTACAAATTAATATTGAACCTGTTATGGAGTCAGCACTTTATACGGGTTTGACGAATCAGCTGGCGGAAAGTGTGATGCGACTTCGTGACGAATATCGTAATGTCAACGAGAATTTGGAGTATCCGAGCGTCTTGTTTGGATTAAACCAGTTCATAGCAAAGGATTATGTACGTTGCCATACGACCATGGCCGATTTACAGCTTATGAAGATGATGCACTTTGCACAACGTCTACTGCTGGGGTATGCGAATAGCAACTTCTCAGTTAAGAAAGCTGGAGATCCAAAACTGCTAAAAGACAAGTACTGCAATGGAATGGTCTACATAGACATGTCAGAGAAGCTTTCAAGTTATCGAAAGAAACGTATCACCCTTATAGACGCAGAGGTCAAGCGCATTGCCTGGAACGTCGACAACATTCCCTCTGTGAAGGCTACTGGTAAATTGTCTCTTTTGATAGATGCATTTTCCCATGTTTCTCCACTTTTAGCGTATGGATGTCCTATCATACTCATCGGACTTAACTACATATGGTAATCTAGATTTCTGACGGTAACTGCGGTTTAATCATGAAATCAATCATACCCCGAAGAGCGAACGTATTATATTTAATCTTTAGAAAACATTTTTCAGTCGATATATAAGTTCGGTAATTGGTAAATACCCACTTGTACATTGTGTTACGCGGCGTCACTTAGTCCTAACATTCCGTTTCAGTTTGGAGTACTGTCGCTACCTAGGGGATGGGCCAACACCACAACGCTTTGATTGAGTTTGAAATATCATGTAGAAAGTAAACGAGACTATGACAGGGTTATGTTGTCAATCTCTAAATTGAAAAACCAGTGTCACGATGGTTCTGAGATCAGATGACTTTTTTCGCAGGAGGAAATTAGATCAAATTTCTCAAAGAGGAACATCGTCATATCAACTATTTCGTTTAATTCTGGTAATTAATTTTAAGTTCATAAATAAAGTTTGGTGTGATACTTCGATCTTGCTATTGTTTTTATAATAAAGTGGTGCCTTCGTGTCCGTTCATCGCTTCTTTATTAAGCTTAATCCCGTCGACAGATGCAACTCTTCAACAGCGTCTGCCTGCTGGCATATGGGCTGCTGGCAGTAGCCCAGGCAAAGAGAGGTGATCAATATAACTTCAAATTTCCGATGTACGTTAGTGACTTTTACCGCTTTTATTCGTACACGGGTGCTAACACGAACCACCAGTTTTTGGAGCAATTCGACGTGATGTTGAGAAACATGACACTGAACTCTCGTAAAGTTGTTATGGATAATTTCAAAGAAGCTACGGATGCAAGCACATTCAAAGAAGTCACGTCCAGCGAGGTCTTAACAACAGATGCTTGCAAAGCCGTGAACAACATGTGGGTAAGAGACTTCATAAACGAGTTGCTCCTCTATAAGATGGATTACATCGCCCAGCGCTATAATGCTGCGTCTCAACAGTTACTAAAGGAACCCGTAGATAACCCGGAGTTTCGGGACGTCGGGTTTGACGAGCCCCTCGACAAGATGATGGTTTATTTCTGGGCATATCAGCTGAAACAGGCATACGACGAATTGATGGGTAATGCGTCTAAGATCCACACAGAATGGGAGAAACTAAAGGTGTCTATCAACACGAGCCTCACAGTGGCGGATTAGAAAACTGTAAATTTAATTTTGTTGTGATTGTTCCATATACTTAATATCACACGCTCTCGGGGAACTCCTCTAGTATAGACGATATTAGGTAGCACGTCTCATAGAAGGCGTTGACTTTTAGCCGTAGGGTACGTGCGTTAACGGCTTGAATGTTCCTACACAATATCGTTGTGTTATAACGCAGACATACACATTGAGTGTCGCCCCCTCCCCGGTATATAGCACTGCTGATCGGTCTTCGTGTGTGTTGGCCTCTGAGTTGAGCACCTTGAGGGTTTGTTGACAGAATCTCTCCGAAGGGAAGGCGATTTTGGCATTACTGCAAGAAATGTTCCTCATGTGTAATAAAATAAGGAAACGCTGGACAATAATAACCCGCTATTGGCGTTGAAGTAAAGCGCCTAGCCACGGGCCACGTTGTACGGCGAATAGCTTCAGTAAACTTACTATTTGCACGTTAATTGCAACGTATCTAGTGTCATGGTCTAAATTTACTATTTTATCCACGCTATTTAGTCGCAGTTCCTGCTTTGTGGGACTTGGTCTGGATTCCAAGGCCCAGAGACGTTGCTGCGCGTTGTGACTCTGTGTAAATTTGTGGCCTACCGTTTGTACCTTTGCGCATATATATAGCCAAGAGGGGCTACCAAGTTCACCACGATATTCCTGGTTGCGTGATTAGGTGAAGTAACAGCTGACCAACCCGACGATATATATAGGTACCAATGCGATGTGTGAGGTGTAGAGGCAACATCCAGTGGCGAGGACGACTAATAGCGTCATTGCGTATATGATGTCCATACGTTTGTGGTTCTGTTCGTTTTAGTGTCGGTATATTGTTTCAACGCAACCATCAGAAATCGTTGTAGAAGTGGCAGCAGCGTAAAGGTCCTGCGTTGTATCTTGTCGATAAAGCAATCAACTTACATTACGTAGAGTTGCATATAAGCGGTCGCCTAAAGCAGTATATCCACAGTTACGATCGTACCTACCTTATGCGCGCAGCCGAAACGAGATGAAATAAGTATGGCCACCAGTATGAGGCAGTTCATTGGCAACGCATCGGTGTTCTTGACATACACCTGCTCGTTACCTATAAGATCATAGTCCCTTGTCAACACGTTGATCAACGATATCATGACAGCAAGAGCATATATGGTGTCATACGTGAATGAAGAAGTGAGCGTCTGTAGCACTGGCTGCAGAAGCTGCAGTGTGAGTTGCACAACGAATGCGAAACGGACATGCTGGAATCGATCTGCACTCATTATAACTCATGCCTATCATTTCCCTAACCAGTTTTTGCGGCATTTGTGAGGTACATAACTAGGCAGAAAAAACCCATGGTTAGCATGGCCGCACATTCCACGTATCTGTGCAGGTTGTATAAGGCGTGTTGAGCACTCACTCTATTGGTATGACGCCATCTTTTATAAGGATGAACATCCGTGCCATAATAACCATCGTGCTGCAGTGTTGCGTGAGCATCATAGTCTTAGGCCATATATCCATAAGGGTGTATGAATTAGTTTCATTCTCATTAATACCACGAAGAAAATCATCGCTGACGTAGTTGGGAGGGTACGGTTGACTTTTGTACATCACACGCTCCCAGCGGGGGCGTGGAGCCGTCTCAACGGTAGCGCAGACTGATGCGTTCTCCCATGCGTCTGCGTCGCTTTTTAATTGCAAGTTTTGTTCTCTTGTTACGGCACCTATATCCATCACTTTGTGCGTATGCGCGCCATTTAAGCCAGAATAACGTCCCGTTTTCGATAAACATCGGCGAGCTCTGGGCGCCGCCTGATCCGATGGTATCTGGGCGGCCGTGACACACCGAGTGCTCGCATAGCAAGTCCTCATAACCGTGTCTAAACTCTACACCCCTTGGGGCTGTATTGAAGGCCGGTATCGGTCCTATGCTAACTGCGGACAGGCGGCGACCAGCCACAAACATCTGACGAAGCGCACACATTCGACTCGCCGCACCCACAGAAGGAACAAGCATGCTTCACATGTATTTGACACTTCTTTCACTCTAGTTTTCTACGTGATCCCCATGCGTCTAGCGCAGCTACAGCGCGGAAGGTGGGAAACAACCCTGCTGATGTGCAGTTTTTTTCTACGCCACCATTTAGCGGTTTCAAAAATGTGTATTACGGTGGTGTTTGCGAGGTTTTAATTTGCTCTCTTCCTCATAAGTAGGAGCGTTTTCTATCGGCAGAGCGTCGGTGTCGTATCCGCTCACCTGCGCGAGAATCACCGCCTCTATCACAAAAAAGGTTACCTACCTCACCAGTGTGTCTTATACGAGATCTCCTTTTAGGTATAATTTGAAGGAATCCGTCCGCAGACCGCTGCATACGTACGAACTCCTGGCTCTCGCTAGCCTCCACTGCTCGATCAGGCCACCTTTTGGCGTATGTTTCGCTACATATAAGCCTCACTTACCTAGGAAGTCCGTAACCTTTACGCAAAAGTCCGCGTTTTTGAAGGAACTTAACCTTTTTAATGGCCTTTTCCCTGAAAAAAGTATGCCGTTGACCGTATAATGCTCACCTAAGATAAAAGCGTTTCATGATCTTCTTGTTAGCTGGTGACAGTATATTACGCCTTGGAGGCAGATTCAGCGCCTTTCTTCCTCCTTTCTTAAGTTTACGGTTCCTGCACAAGGTCATGTGCTCTCAGTTGGGTTTTTTACCTAAGTGCTAACTTCGCGTCCCATTCAACTTGCAGCTGTAACACCCTTGCGACCCTTGCACTGACATTTCGATATTCGATACGATGTTCCGGCGTGTTGATTCGTTGTATGCTTTTTAGTACTGGTAAGTGTTTTTTTGAGAAGAAGGTGTACACAGTGCCTGTGGCGTAATCTGGCTTATTTCAATTGTACCATACCGTTTTTCGCGACCCTTGCAGTTCGATGTAAGTAGTCCGCAACATTCCTTGGAAAGTCGAACGACACAACGTGATCTACCTGTTTACTGAGAGCACCTCGGCTAGCGACGTTTGTGGCAACTAGTATGTTGCTTCGGGTGCCAAAGCCTTTGACGCTTTTGCTACGCTGCTCATAGCCCATCTCCCCGTGTAACGATTCAGTATTGTAACCACGATCCTTGAGAACATGCTCCACGAACTTGCAACATTTCACGGTGTTGCAGAAAACGACGGTCTTAGCACCACCGCTACCGGCACGCGCGTTTAGTTCCTCTAATGTTTCAAGCAGACGATCCACAGGATCGCTCTGAGCGATTGCGGTAAACACTTGCCTTACCGATGATCCAATCGTGTGGCTTTGGGGGTGGACGATGGTTACGCGCTTCAACATCTCGGCCTTACCGTCTAGGTGGGCTTGCTGTATGTGGTTCATTAGAGCATCGGTCTTGGTGGCTGTGATCCCCAGCGTCCTAAGCTGTTGTGAATCTATCATATTCAACAGCTCGTTGACCTGTTCTAGGTAGAACCCATCGCACAGCAGGTCGGCTTCTTCCATTATTAGGAACCGAAGAAACTTTATGTCAATGCGCGCATCATCAAAAGCACCATGTATCACTCTTAATATCATTTCCGGTGTCGAAACAATCACATCAACATTATCATGTTGCTTCTTATTCGCAACTGAGGCATAACCGCCGGCGAACGATGACTGCTTTTTGTATCCCATACCTCCAGCAAATAGCCTAGTCCTAAGCTCCATTTTAGAGCTCAGAGCAAAAATCTCCATTCCCATTTCTCTATGTGGGACAAGTACAATTGCTAAAGGCGTCATCAAACAGTTCCAATCGAATTTCGGCAGACCATGAACCTTGGGCATGTTAGGTCTGGAAGGTGGCTTACATGAACGCAGTGATTTGTTGAGAATAATTTTGTTGCGATATTCATCTCTCTGAGCACCTAAGCCATCCGCATCGTGACGTTCAAGGTTTACTAGGTCACTGAGTGCCAAGAGGTAGCTTGTCGTCTTTCCTGTTTTCGTTCCCCCTATCGCCACCGCAGTTTTACCGAAAGCACTACCCACTACGTCCACATCGATCGCTCTGTCCTCCGGATATGGTATGATTGTTCCGCCAGGACCTCGTACGTAACCCTTTATCCACATAATAATAGTGTTCTGAAAGTCGTCTGGTTCCGTCAGTTTGAGTGTTCGCATTAGGTGTATTGTTTCTGCCGAGCGTATATAACCTGCATCACCTCCTTTCGCTTCTCCATTATCATCCGTTTCAGTTCGTGTGTTAGACATGTAGAACCTGAAAGTTATGGCAATGCCGTATACGTTTTTTGACGGCTGCGTCGTCGCTCTTCTGGCGGGGAATGAGGATCTCATGAGATGAAACATTCGTTTTTGGACGCTATACATGAGCGGTAAGTTTGTATGGTGCGCGGAGGCAGCTGTATTTTTAAAATTGCTGTTACATTGCCATGCCACTTCGTCATTAACTGGTGAACAGCACCCTCGTCGACTAACCGTGCTGTATACAGCTGCTCTTTGGCCGGCTGCTGGGACGCCAGACGCTTTCAGTAGCCCATTTGGCCCAGCCGTACGCCATAATGACGAGGGTATGGGCACTATTGCGTCCAATCGAGGCATGTCAAAGCGCCAGACGAAGCGTGACAGCTTCCATTATGGTAACACGGATATATGAGTCATTATCTGTTTTCACATGAGCTCACATGGGTTTACTTTAACGAATTTGCAACATATACCTGGGATTCCATCCCTTTCACTTCGAATAGGCATCTAGGACGGCGTCCACAAAACCGAATCAGATAGCGCTTTGCGAATAGGCTTTGGTGTTACTAGGAACGGACACTATGATCCCGAATAATGTTAAAAGGTTAGTAATGTGTCACTTTGACAGTGACGTCCCACGAATATCCCTGAAGAGCGGCTCTTCCACAGCCTGCGGACCACCCGTAATAGTCTACGTGTAATATGTCGATATTTTCGAGCCATTAAGCTATAATTAAGTGTTATTCTTGCAGAATTCAGGCATATATTGTTGCGACACCGCGGTTCACGGTCAGCCGAACGTACATAGAGGTGCCCACAGTGAACATTTCAACGTGGAGTGGGAAGCCGACATCACCCATAGATGCACTTAATTTTTTATGTATTATATATTTGAGTTTTGGACATTGTTTCAGCCGGAGCATATTGTGTGTAAAAACAGACAACGAACATCCGCGTCACGTGAGGCCAGCCCGCACCGCGTGAATAGGGGACTATTGCTTACGCTACCTCCACTTTGAGCTCATATTTATCATGTGAATATGATTGGAGATATTATTGTGACTAGGAGGTAGGAGTGCGCTATTAATTTCCGTGATATTTCGATCTTTCGATATTCTGATGTCTGGTAGGATAGAACTTGCGGCCGGAGGCACAATCGCAAACTTCAGGTAACGCATGCCAAAGAGATGAGCATTTCTATTGACGCTATTAGCTGCAATGGCGTCGTCAATAGGGTCGCCTCGTGCCTACCTGTTAAAGGTATACAATCGTTGGTATCAAATAGATTATCTTGGGGACAATGGATGCGTCTATGATGTTGATGTCCCACACAAATCGCTGTGGATTCAGCGTCCAGATGCGACTGTGACAGAATCGGCGGTCCCTCAAACCGACGAGGTTCCACTCTCTGAGCATCATGCCGATGCTATTTTGGGGATCGTGAACATCAACAGATCGCTCTACTTGAATGTCGTTACACGTTCAGAACTCGTGGCAAATGCCTCCTTTAATGAGGCAACGGCTGTCGACTGCTCTACATCTCCGATCTTCAGCGTGAAGATGGTACGGCTGTTCCCGCTCGACAATTTTCTGCACCCAACGAATGGCTCGGACCACCATTATGGAGATGCTGTATTATTGGGTGATGACAGCATAGATAGTCACAAATCGCACTGGGAAACGCCAAAGAGCAGCATCACATCGCGCGAACCTCTGCCACAGTCGCCAGAAAACGACCCAAACATCGTTATAATAAAAGACATTAATGAGCTTATGGCAACAGGACATTACTTTAGTCGTGCCGCTGATTTGACTCGTTCTTTACAGCGTCAGTGGGAGCATGGATTGATACCACTACGTCCGCGACGATTTGCTGAGGACACGCCTACTGTGGAGGAAACTCAATCTTCGCTATCAAAAGAAACATCTAAATCGAGGTCGAATTCGGATACTCTATTCGATATGGCTGAACCAATGTTCAACTGGACCAAAGCTATGGCCCACGACATACCGTCGCACTGGTTGACGGTTTTGATTCAAGGATATGTAGGATACTCAGTGCAATCTTGGAACAACAAACGTGTTGAGCTGATGTTAATCGGAAGGCGCTGTGTACACCGTTATGGGACTCGTCTGAACGCACGAGGTATAGATGCAGAGGGCCACGTGGGAAACTTCGTGGAGAGTGAAATGCGACTACGCGTTGATGGCGGGTCTTGGAAAAGTTTCGTGCAGATACGTGGGTCAGTACCAGTATTTTGGGGACAAAGAAACATATTTTCGTTACCGTACTTCACTCGGCCGATAAATGAAAGTGAACAGGCGTTTATGAAGCACTATCGTCACCTGCAACATCTCTACGGCGAACGTGCAGAGATTTGCATGTTATCACTGCTAGACAACAAAGCTAGCGAGGTTTTCCTGATGGAAGCTATGGACCACCTCATTCACACATTTGACAATCTGCCAATCAAGCTGGTCAAGTATAACTACAATGTCAAGGTGAAGTGGAGTTCGGTGGTGCCGGAATTGTTGACATTTGTGAACATGACCTTGCTCAGCACTTTGCAAAACATAGGCTACTTTGATGGTGATATTCTCTCCAAGCCTAAGACGGCGGTACAACGTCAATCCGGGGCCAATAGTCGTCCCAGTGGTACACAATCTGGCGTCCTGCGTGTCAATTGTCTCGATTGTCTTGACCGCACCAACGCAATGCAGTTGATGGTCGCATGGGTCTGGTTGGCTAGCGTCTTGGACCCAGCTGGCCTCAGCAACATGCTGGACCATGAAGATGGTGATCACGATTTCAGCGGTTCACTGCATCAGTTCCGTGATATGTGGTGCGATCACGGTGACGCCGTGAGTTTGCTGCACGCAGGTACCGCATCAATATATACGCAGCATATTCGCGAGGGTCGCCAATCATACGGTGCCCTGTTTCACTATACGAAGACGATTGTCAATCGGGCATGCAGTTACGTATTTTCGGATGAGGCTCGTCAAACGTCTCTTAACATAGTGTTGAATATGCCAGCTACAGATATTCTGGAAACTTCTGTTCAGTCTCCGAAAATCACTCGTATGCTAACGGCAGACGGCAACCATGACCTCCTTGTATGGTGTGGAACCTGGAATATGAACGGTGCATCACTGTCACACAAAGACGACGTTCGTGATTGGGTAGCGTCAGGCATTGACGCTGGAGCGCTCATGTTCGCGTTCTTTTTGCAGGAATTTGTAGAGCTTACTGTAATGAACGTGCTTAGCGGAAGAACCGAAGAGAACAAGGAAATGTTGTTCAATGGAAAGGTATTGAATGCTATAAATGACGCATACCAAAAACGTGGTATGAGGTTCGTACACCTTAAGTCATGTTCCATGGTCGGTTTGTACATGACGGTCTTCGTTAGCGATAATCTGTACCCTACCGTTCGTGATATGGATCTAACATCAGTGAAGACCGGTTTCAATGGCAACGTCGGTAACAAGGGTGCTGTGGGTATGCGTTTTTCTATGGCCGGCCACCGCATCTCATTGGTAGATGTGCATCTGAATTCGGGTAAGCTCCCACAGGGAGTCAGAATCGCAGAGTTGAATTCGGTTATGATGAATTTGTTTCAAGAGCGCTCTACAGGATCGTTATTCGACGATGATCTGTTTGTTGTGGCAGGGGACTTCAACTTCCAAATTATGGCTTCAGATGAATACACCACCACAGAAATTTTCAAACAGATATACAACAACAACTTGGATTCTCTGCTCGAATTTGAGGAGTTTCTGAGTGAGATGAAGCATTCCAAGTCGTACTTACGTCGTATACGTGAGGCACCTATTACATTCGAACCCACATACAAATTTAAGAAGGGAACAGATTTCTACGATGTAAAACGTACACCGGCGTGGTGCGACCGCGTTCTATTTGGAGGCAACAGCATAACTGGCTCCTCAGAACGCATACGTTGCTTGTCTTACCGTCGTCACGAAATGATGATGTCAAGCGATCACAAGGCTGTGTCTGCACTTTTTGAATTGGCTGCGAAAAAGCGTCGAGATCAAAGCCAGGCAGCTATATCATTGATTGATCTTTAAGCATTTCTGCTCCGGCAGATGTTTACACCAGTACGTACTACCACACGCGGGGTACGCTTGTAATGTAATGCCGGCTGGCCGTGCACTGGACAAACTATTAACTTTATGTAGGAGATACAGCACACTGACGCGTATGCGTATTCCCATGTGCGACAAAGTATCATCACATTAACATAATGATGTAAATTGTGTTGTTTTCCGCGCCTGGCAGGCTGAGGTTACTTGTAATGGTCGAAGACGTTAGGGTTGGCGAATAAAGCCTGGAGCCTTTTTTGCTTTTGTAAGGCGTAAACTTACATTGACTACTTCTTTTAGGTGCCATATATCAACAGTACTGCATATTTCTCTTATGGAGTGCATCGCCAGCTGTGGTATGCCTACGTCAACGACAGGGACGCATAGTCTGCTTGAAAGGAATGGTCCGACTGTTGATCCACACGGGCTGTCATTTGGAACCCTGAAGTCTTGTAAGGGGATACCAGATGAGCGGGCCGTCTCAATAACGATTGCGGACGCTCTAAGTTCAGTGGCATATCTGCCGTTTACATTGCGTTTCATGACAAGTCCCTCATGAAAGTGCGGAGTATGGGTATCTGAGTGACGTTCCGAATGGTTTGGATGCACTGCATGTGACATATCGACATTGAGGACCATTGCCCTGTCCTTAGTGGCCGTGAACGATGATCCCAGTGCATCGTATATCTTGTTGATCCACTCGATGGTAACCTGTGAGTCGGCGCCGGATGACATCTGAGAGCCCATTTCCTCATAATTGTAGAATATTAGGCATGTGATGTATTCCGAATTTTCTACATCTGGACAATAATATCACATTTCTAAATGGTTTACGCACCTTTGCCATTGAGGAAGTCCAAAAATCCACCCATAGCACCAAAGCAAGAGGCCAGGTTATCCAGGCGAGCACTTGAAAGGAACTCTTCGTATAGTCCCGAAAGCGAGGACTTGGTAACATCCATGAGGCAAAGGTCCATGTCGACGATATCTTCCAGCTTTACTCCCAATTCCCTGCGGAAGTATACGCCACCTTTCAGTGCAATGTAACTAACTTTGCGACGTAGGTGAGTATCGGTGTGGAACCCTCTGAGCTGAGCTTGTGCACGGATTCCGTCGATACTACACCTCTCAAATGCTTCTCCTGCGTCGAAGTCAGTCAGATGAGCATCTAAACTAACCCGGTTGAGCTTGAGCACTTCCCTTTCACTGGCATTTTGAAGGTGTACTGAAAGATTAGGAACTACAATGATCGGTTTTGCGATCCGCAATAGTTTCTCTTCTAGGACACCTGTATCGATAGTTACGACTGTAAGTCCCGATAGACGCGTACCATTGTTGCGTACGATGACCCTCCCGGCTAGCCCGAGATCACGGTCCAGCCAAGTGTGCCAGAGGCCAGAAGTGTAAGTAAGTGGTATTGCCTGTATTCCTTGACTGGCCTACAATACGATATACTCACCTGGTTGAAAGCATGTGCAGTGCTGTCGCACTTGTATTCCAGTTTGAGGGCGGGCGAGTCAGTGTGTCCAGCGGTAATTAGCAGTCCACCTTTTGCAGGGTCAAAATTTTTGCCTGTTCGTTATATTTCGTTTGGGCCCTTTGGCTTACCAACGTGGAAGGCCATCATAGTGGCGTTGGCGTCGTAGACGTAGTATGTGGATCCCTTCTCGAGCTTCCATGGTGTACTGACTCATCATAAAAACCGTTGATAATGCAATCTCACAATTGGTCTATTCTTATAGCCTCAGGGTGGTTGTCCTTAAGAAATTTCTCAAGTTCCAGAACCGAGTGTGCAGGGGACCCAGTGTTGTCTAAGTACGGCAAGAAGCTACGCACGAAGCGCTGCGCAGCGCTGAAAGTGGACGACTTTAATGACATGTTTATAATAAAATCTAATTTATTATTTTTTAGTGACACGTTTCATTGGCACCACAGTTCCAATAGAAGGGCACATGTGAGCCCGCTGTATTCGCGGCACATTAAAGATCCCGACTCATCGAGGAACATTGGTACTGAACGACCGAAATAGTAAATATATACCTTTGAATAAAGCCAAATTCGTTGCGAATCTTCAGGATGGCGGCTGCTTCGGCTCCGCAGGAGCGACGCGGTGGCTTGTGGAGTAGGTGTTGTTGAAAGCTTCTATATTATCTTTGTAGACTGGGTTTTCCAAGCCTTCTGCCAGATCATCATGATGCATATCATGTTGTCTTTTTTCCGGTCAAGACATGTCAGTCAAACTGACACCACGACCGGTAAACGACAGGGGACTTACCGCAATTATTTATCTACCAATGAATTATTTGTAGGTTCTTGTGATCGATGATCATACATGTTTACAGGATGTGTATGTATACGTGAGCGGTGACGCTTATGTGGGCCTGGATTCGTTGGAGCACAATGCTCAACTTGTCTTTTCGGCAGAAAGCCGTCCTTATACCCACAGCTTCAACAGGAAATTTGAAGTGAATGAGGCCAACGTATATGCTCCTTCTCACTTCTTTAAAAACGACGACAGCGCATTATATGCTACTGTTTTCGTGGTCCCACACAAGTCCTACGCCACGCGTGCTGTACCTTTTCACAAATCCACGTTTAAAGAGGGATTCGATGGTCATGTCATCGTCAAGTCATTGCCATTGACTACCATGCGTGAGATTAAGCACAGCAAAGAGGTGAATCTAGTCTCTCCAGATGTGTCGGATGCCCCTTCTGAGGCCTCAGAAATATGTAAGCATTGGATACCACGCCTTGATGTTAACGTGGTCTACGACGCCGCACCGCACATGGCCGGTGTTGGAGACATCTATCTTGAGCTTTACAACAAACACGACGCTGAGAGCGTTTACGACCCTTTGCTTTATCTTTCTCAGTTCTGGGTATTGGAAGAGCACTATCAGTGCATTCGACCAGAGATGGAGGGATCACCTCTCAAGTTGAACATTCACTTCTCAACTTGCAGTCCTACTTACTACCTTATGTCCACGCAATTCAAGAAAAACAGTGAAACAGGTGGTATCTTGGGACATCAATCCGCTAAGGAGTTCGAGATGTTCAAACGCACATTGATGACCACCAACATTTATATGCTCATATTCTCAGGAGCGTTTATTATGCTACACAGCATCTTTTCGTTCTTCGCTCTCAAGAATGACATTCAGTTCTGGCATCAGAACGATTCCATGGAAGGTCTCTCTGCTCTCTCGGTGTTGATCAATTTCATCTGTGATGTTATTGTCGCACTCTACATTTTCGACAGTGAGAACGTCTCATGGTTGGTACTATTTGAGATCGCAGTTGGTTTGGTCGCTTCGGCATGGAAGGTGTCGAAGGCCATACGCATTAATACGAAGCGTGAGTTCCCCTACTTGGAACTGGGCAACGCCAAGGTTGGTGATCATTTATAGTTTTGATAATGCGTAGAACTATGTTGAATCGAATACCAAGAAGTACGACCGTATTGCTATCAAGTACATGAGCATGGTTATGCTACCGTGCGTGATGGGTTATGCGGTTTATTCTCTATTTTACGAGAAGCACAAATCGTGGTACTCGTACATTATCGCTGTGGCTGCAGGTTCAGTCTACACTTTTGGATTCATCATGATGACGCCACAAATCTACATCAACTACAAGCTTAAGTCCGTGGATCACTTGCCGTGGAGGGCACTTATATACAAGTCACTGAACACATTCGTGGACGACGTTGCATCATTTTTGATCGACATGCCCTGGATGCACCGCGTATCATGTTTCCGTGATGACATTATCTTCTTCTGTTACTTGTATCAGCGTTGGGCCTACCGCGTGGACCCATCGCGACCAAGCGCATGGAAGCCGTCGAGCACTGATGAGCAGAGCATCGAAGGAGAGAAGGCACCAACTACTAGCCTGGATGACGCCGCCCCGGAGGAAACCGAGAGTGAAGAGGTACCAGTAAGAAGGAAGTGAACTATCGGTGTAGCTTTCTGAAGCTAGACTGAAGTAATCTACCCAAATTAACACGGTTATGAAGTTTCCTCTGCATTAGACAATAGGTCACTCTGTGACTCGCTATATGTGGACGTAGTTGTAGCTACATGTAGTTAGACATTCTGACACCTTTCAAGTCATTTCATTTGTGGGAGTTATAGGACCCGGTATGCTCTTGTAGTACTCCCTGCTTATGACAGCACCATCTGAGAGCACTGAGGTGTCCCCAAGCACCCAGAACTGTAACAGCTCTTCCTTGCACGGGTACTCTGAGTTTGACATTTCGCTTGCAGGTTTATAAGTATCGTCTGGTGGACCATAGGCAAAGTCTGGGCCAAGCAGCAACGTGCATGACCCTCCCATGAAGGTGGAGACACCAGGGTGATACTCGACGCAATATAGGTCCGTGACTACAGTTTTCTTCCAGATTCCATTGACTGAGAACCTTAACTCAGAACCCTCATTAGGCACCATTGCTACATTCATAGCTTCTTGGCTCGTGACGTCACATAGAAGCCCTTTCCTGACAAATGGCCACATTGCTGCAATTCCTCTCGGGTCTGCTACCTTTGTGGACGGGACTCCCAATTTGATGGCACACCCGATAACGTCACCGACATGGAGATCAGCTATGTCGTCATCCGGTAAGGTTATATCCTTATCTGATTGTAATATTTTGCCTCCTTCCTGTAGAAAATTGTGGCCACAGATATTTAGACGAACCTGTTTGATAGAACACCCAAAAGCGTTGGACCCGATTGGACTGTCAAATCTAGATAGTCGTGTACCGTATCCTACACGTACACTGGGTTTAAGGGCAGATAACAGTTCCGGGATGTTTGTGATCAGACCTCCTACCGTCGCTTCTGAGTCCCATCCTCGTAGCTTGAAGTCACGCCATAACGGGTCAGGTTCCTCGATACGGCATTCAAAATACCAGTTACCTGTAGTTGCACACCCACGGGTCAGTGCAGAACACCACATTGTTGACCCAGTGTACGTAAGTCTGTCTTCTGATATGCGTGCAGGTGGTTCGCTTTCACAATACCTGCAAGTCATTTCGGAGCCATATATGGGTCCTACCTTATATCGAATGCATTGTACTCCAAATCCGGCATCCATATTATTTTCATACGTTTCGCCTCACTGGCGAGGTCTACGAACTTTTTAGGTTTATCCATAGTGATTTTACAGGCGTATACGTCAGCTAGCCTTAATGTCGCTGGTGCCTAGTGACCACCTTGAGGTTCGTATTGGCAGATGCTTCCCAGCTCGGAACAATGTTATCGCTCTAAATCGCCCCAAGAATCTTAGTTAGAATGTCTGATGGTTATTCACCATCACAGTTAGGCTGTGGCACTTATCTTTCACTCCTCCGGAGTCACAAAACGAGTAAGAGAGCGTCTTACTCACAGCGGCTTGAAATTCACCGCAGACATTACCATCAACCGCCAGGATTAGTAGATGGCGACCTTCGCTGGGAGATAACGTGCACCTAGTCGATACAACGGTGTCAGTGATGCGTGATCTTGATGTGCCTAATTTGTGTTTTATCGCTTGTTTTGCGTCCCAAGTTATTGCCCAGCGTTAGAAGTGGCTCTTGCACACGTTCTGATGCTACTTTATATGTGTTGGCGTATCTTCGCGAATTGCGCCGAGAGTGGTTATCCGGCGGCATCGATAGACCACGACACATCGGTGTGAAGTGGTTCTCTTTCGTTTGATGGGGGGTTATTCTTTGCTGCAAATAATAAAAAAATTAAGAAAACCGAAAGGCACAGCCTTTTTGCCGATTTACCTTGCGCCAGCGGTTATGCCGCTATTATCGGCATAGACGTGTGCCTCGCGCTTTATCTACTTGCGCGATCACAGTCGAGTATTTCTAGCAATACGACCCGTATAGGTGCGCATAAAGGTACCTAGGATGCCTGTTGTCCCTGGCTATTCTAGGCACTAATCGTTGGCGAATTGGTGTGCTTACTCGCATTACTGTAGCAGTATACATTGTTCGGTCCATGCTCCGCAGTTTGTCGCTACACCCGCTGAACTTATTTGTTTTGAGCATTTGGGATCATTCTATATTTCAGTAGGAGCATATTTGAATTGTCTGTAAAAAGGAGGTTTCTTCTCAGCAGGGAAGTATCACTATTGCGTTTTTTTTCATACCCTTTTACGCCGCTACAATGTACGCTAATCACGACGAAGCAACGAAATGCATTGCCATTGCAAAGGCTGCACTCGCAAGGGACGACGTGGCTAAGGTGGGTCCATATGACGTGGATGTGTAGCTGTTTGCAGGCTGTCAAGTTCCTTATGAAAGCCGAATCTATGTTTCCTACGGAAGAAGCTAAGACCTTGCTGGCATTATGCAAGAGGAAAGCTCAATCGGCCTCTCGCTCAACGCCATCGCCACCGTCTAGTGAAGCTAGCGCAGGTCGGACCGCGCCTACTTCGGACTCTCGCGAGGCTGCTGAAGGTGCCAGGGCAACTGCGAGAACCGCAGCGTTGAATAGGGAGTGTCAGCAAATATTGAGTTACAAGAGCTACTACGATGTGCTCGGTGTGTCGAGAGACGCTAATGCCGATGATATCAAACGTGCATACAAGAAGTTGGCATTGAAGTATCACCCTGATAAGAACCCTGCTAAGCGCGCTGGAGAGGCTTTTAATAAGATATCCGACGCTTTCCAATGTCTTAGTGATCCTGATAGCCGAAGTCACTATGACCGTTTCGGCAGTGAACGTGGGACGACAACTCATCAGACTGGTTTCCATAGGCATCAGCCTAACACTTTTATGACTCCGGAAGCACTATTTGAAGCATTGTTTGGGATGTCTATGCATGGCCAGCGACAGTTCCATCGCAACGATTACCAACACCACCATCACCAACACTCACATCAGCGCCAGCATCAAAGGAGTTCGGCTTATCGCCGCTCTACTACGTCAAGCCCTTCTGCATCACCTCGCAGGTATCTACCATTATTTGTATTTTTACACTCATTTTCAGGCATACAACATATACACCAGGCGCTGCCAACCCTCAAATCGGTGTGTCCTTTGCGTATGTAGTCCCTCTACTTGTTATGCTCTTTTTGATGTTGTTGACTGGATTTTTCAACCGTGACACACCAGTGTACCAGTTTACACGCAGCTCACACCACAATCGCATGATATCCACTCGATTGAACGGTGTTGTGTACTACGTGGATGGTAATACGTTCGATCGGCAATTTCCTGAGAATTCAACAGCGCGGGTACAAATGGAGTATGAGGTAGATTATAACTACTTCCACCAGAAATGTCAACGGGACAAACACGATAATAACAAGAAGGCCTATGATTATATATCTAGGATGAAGGCCCCGCCCAAGGAGCTGCACGAAATACCCGTGAGCTGCAGGACACGTGACCAATTGCGCGAAGCATACGTGGCATATATTAACAGGCGTACAGTGCCCGGTTGAAGCACTTGAAGGCATTAAAAGCGAACGTAGAAAACAATTTTACATATAGTTACAGTTTTCTTCACAACACTTGCAAAATACATGGGAAAGATTGTGTTCCCTTACAAAGGGAAGACTCATTACGTCGAACCACTAACGTTACTTGTCGCCTACTTAGTTTCGTTCCCGTCGGAGCGTTGCTGTGTGTCCTCGTTGTTTGCAGTATAACAACTGGCTGTCAATACGTGTGTTTCACTGTATCCTACCCTTGTACGACTGAATCTCGGCGCACCAACTTTACAAGGTGCTGCCTCGTTACTTGTAAACTGTTTTTGCAGCTCCTTAAGTTCTATTTGCATTAGCTGCAGTCGCACTTGTCCCTCGCTACAGGTTGTTATGGTTGCATTGCTTTGGTACCTACTGTATGCACTTGATCATGGCCTCGTAAAAATCGCGAGTGAATCCCTCTATAACCATTGTTCTTGTTGATGAGGAGGTAGAGCTTCCATCATCGTTTCTGGGCTGATAAAGCACACGGTACTTATTGGCGACCCAGAACCCTTCGACCAGCTCCCACATACTGCGCGTTGTACAAGAGTGACTTCCTTTTCCTCACCTGATCGATATTCTCTTCCACTTATCACCACTCTTGTGCGCATGTAACACCAAGAAGTTTGCGGGATCCGTTCCATCGCAAACGAAGTACCACGTTCCAGAGAACAAGTGCGGATCCCATAGGTTTCGGCGCACTCCTAGGCAACCTGCTTAGAATTAAACCGTATGAGACTGCCAGTAGGAGCTAACCTTGTTTACCAATGCGCCAGGCATCTCTATAAGTCATTGCGATATTGGAGATATCAGGAAGGCATTCCCCGCGGAGTTGCAGACCCCGGCTACGGATTTCCTGCTCATGATTGGGATTCTCTGCGGGAATGTTCCTTTTTATAGTGCTGCGAAACTGTAAAAATCGCCAACAAATAAAACCTTTCTGTCGCCGTATCCTTGGAAGGACCACTTGGCTTCGTGACGTTGGCATCGGTGTCGACCGAGCCGCCCTCTGCGGCATCCATGATAACTCTAGCTAAATGTAAAATAGCTCTAAGCGCTACTAATGTATTAGAAGGCGCTGACTGCCGCCTATATAGTGCTATATCTGTCACCGCGCTCGATCGCTGGGGGATCCGGGCGATTATTATACGGTGTTTCGGACACAACACTCGTGCATTACCACTGTGTTGCGTGTGTATACTATTAACACACCTTCCTACCTATCTGCGCCATTCCTTATCCCTCAGTGCATCTATGCCAATAGCACTGGGACTCTGGTATTAGGTCACGTCGATACGCCTTGGTAACTCCGCGGGCTCCTGTAAGTCCCAGCCATCGTATGATTCTCCTAGCTTCTTCAAATATTGAACCTTCTCCTTGTCGGTCCCGAGGGCGTTCCATTCGAAGTACGGCAGCAAACACACATTGAATCCCTGAATACAGATGCATTTCGTAGTCCCCCCTCTACCTACCTTCATAACCAATGTATCTACCTCGATCTGACTGAATACGGTGAGTTTATTGGACATCGCGTAGTAGCTGAACGGCCCTGCGAGTGTTGCTCCCATAGCAGTTTCGTAGCTTACCGGCACACTTTATGACTAATTTGAGCCCCTTGATGTACATGTCCGCATGGACGTAGTCTAGCCATATGTTCCTGGCGTGATGAACATTGTGTGCCTTGAGCATCCTTGAGACTTCTAAGGACCACCTAGAAAGTCCCCTGCGTACCTGTAGATCAGGTGTCCTACCCCGGTCGTCTGATCGCACTAACCTTACGCAGTTTGTATTTCTGCACCTTTGACTTGAGTTCGTTTAGATCACTGTCGAAATTCTCGACAAAAGCTACACCACGATTTGGGATCTGCAATTATTGACACACCTGGTTGTTTGTACTTCAAGTAGTCAAACACATATTTCAGCTTAATAGCCTTGTAGTTTGTCAGTACATCCTTACGTTTACAGAGCAGCTTCAAACTCTTTTCTATAGTCTGGACTCTATTGAATATTGTTCTTTGGTGCCGCTTTGGCCCGGTAAAATACGAACCTGATGCTGGAGGTCGAGCACACATACAGCCGTGTAAAGGTATAAAACCAACGACTGAGTGTCTATCGATTCCGGATGCTGCACTAATTGTGTTTCCGCAGCTTGTGTCATACCTCGTCCAGTAACCGTCCGAACTCTTCGACACAAGCGTTGTAGAAACTTTTTGCTGCGAAGTCGAGTTTTGCAAGTGAATGATAGGTGAGTGTAAGCAATTCCTGGGCGAGTTCACTTCTCTCAACTGCCGGACGTAGCTTGTCCTTAAGTAACCGGAGCAACAGTGGGTTGCGTATGTCCATTTTAGCCAGCGCTGCCAGGAGTAACGAGCCCTGGAGCGGGGTTATTTGGTGATGCCTTAACGATATAGCCTTGGTGAGCATATTCCAAAATCTGTATAATTAGTGAATTTTTGCATATATTCGTATTTTTGTGCTGGCATTGAGCACGACTAACCGTTGGTGATAAATGGAGAAAAACGCAAGAGCATTAGCCGTAAGTGCGATATCCTGAAGGTTAGCGTGGTCCATTTTGAGGCATATCTGATGGTTTCAATAAGCTTTAAAGCCAAGATTTCGGCATACCTCATTCGTAGCGAGTTCGATTATATCATAGTTGGGCAATTCCAGGCGTTTCATAGCGTTGAGTATTAACGCTGCTCCTGTGACGCAGTGTTACCGTTTATATATCAGGAAAGTTTACCTCCACAAGAAAGATTGCTAATATGTCTTACTATTAGCGGCGAAAGTATTTTGAGCAGCTGTTGGTCCTTGTAGCTACGGAATGTGACAATCTATGCTATTTTGTACCTACCGCACTTTTGCAAAGGAGTACAACACCAAGCATATATCTGCTGGCTTCATAGTACCGCATATAACAGACAGTTTGTTTACATATCGCTTCCATAGTGCATCGTTGAATACACCTCCAGTAGCAGATCTATATATGCTCTTGACAAGTGCCTTTGTCGCTTCATATTCCTTGGGTTCTTCGGATTGAGATGCATCATCAGATTCTACATGAACAGTTTCCTTCACAGGTGGTCCTTGTTGTGGGTTGGCGGCTGTTTTCAGTCGCCCATAAATCTCAACATTGTGGTCAATGGTCACCGACGGCTTGTAAAGCCGTTGTATGGATCGTATCCTTTTGATGACCTTATTGCTTAACTTGACCTTCTTTCGGTAGTTATACGGCTTGTTGTTAGGTTTCTGGTCGCTGTCTTCAGCGCTAGAGGCTGTTGAGCCAGAGGATTCCCCGGCCGGCCATGGCCAGGCTATTGGCGCTTCCCCTGGTACGGTTTGACCTCTTGAGGCCCTAAATGCCGCATCTGTATTTACACATTGCACTTTTTCGCCTGTACGCGTGCTAAAAGAGCCTAAGTTAAACGTTGAAACCTTCCTCCGGGCCAGAGAGGACACTTCGCAACGATCGGCGGCACACTGCCGGAGGTAACGTTGACCAAGAGCAACAAACGCATCAACATACCCAACATGCATCTGTTTATGTCGACAACATTAGAATGATTGTGAACGAACGGGCTAGTCCCAATTCGTTTTGTAGTGAAAAGATCGCTTATAGGCCACTGGAACGGATGTTTCAGAAGAATGAGCGCTCAGTTCGTATTTGGAGCTCATACAAGCTTCTTGTTTCAAGACCACTTAAATGGAGCCTCCAGGTTCTTGTTGGCAAACTCCCAGTTGACAAGATTCCACCAGTCTGCGTAACATATAACCCTCGTCTTATCAACTCACTGTTGATGTAGGTCAAACGGTCGTTCTTGTAGTCGATGTAGTATGCGTGTTCCCATACATCACAACATAGCAAAGGTCTGCCGAGTTTCTCCTTGAGTGGAGATCCGGCATCGTGGGTCTGGACGATGTCGGCTGTGCCGTCATCCTTCAAGACGAGCCATCCCCAACCTGATCCGAAGTGTCCAGCAAGCATATTGGAGAAGTCATTTTTGAATGTTGAGAACGATCCGAATTTTTCTTCAATTTTCTTGCGGATCAGGCCAGTGGGTTCTCCTCCGCAGTTCGGTCCCATGGAGTTCCAGTAGAAAGTATGGTTCCATATTTGAGCGGCATTGTTAAAAATAGCACCAGACTGTCCGAGTATCAGATCTGCGGGTGATTATATCTTTGTTTGTTATGATTAGTCAACGCTATAGTGGCACGTATGGACGAACCTTCGATGGTGAGTGACTCCAAGGAAGTACCCTTGACAAGGCCTGCACCATCATGAATCGGACAGTCATAACCACTAACTGTTGAGTTTGTTAACATATCCAGCGTGGTGTTTGCCATAGTGAAAGCTAAGTGTTTCTTCGCTGATGTGAGGGATTAGGTCCCTCATTCCATATGGAAGAGCGGGTAATTTAAACGCCATCGTTGATGCAAAAGCCGTCAGCAAAAATACGATGAACATCTGCGCGAGTTTATAGTTATTAGAGCATATTTAACACCCGTGCTACGTAGAGTAGCGACCATGACCTCACTTCACTTACCAGGCGGGGCGTAATAGTAGTAGGCAGTGTCGCAGGGTGTGTCGGAGTAATGTTAAACTGTAGTTTAATTGTAATGATTAATATTCCAGCTGCTCACTATGGGGATCACGACCCTTGGTAGCCCCCGTTGACTCAACAGTGAGCTTCACCCTCTAGCCGCACGCTATACTTACACAGCCTTTACTGTTATACATGTCGATCAAGGATTCGTCGCTGGGTGTGACGAATCCAGCGGATAGCGGTGAGTTGTGTGCCTAATGAACCCTCTCTGCCTACTGAAGATGTGTAGCACATACTGCGACTATGTGTCTCGTTCTATCGTTTATTCGCCACTATGTACATCTTCTGCCCATTTAAAACCTTAATATCGTTTTAGGAGCCGTGCTACAAGAGCAGGAACGGCAGTACAACCAATTACTGCATAAATTCAAGCTCTGTAAAAATGTCGACAATGACCCAGCCGTGGATTTCATTATATTCGTGCTCCACGGCATCGGATCGAACTCTAATGTCCTTAGCGCGGATTATCGCATGCTGAAATACACCCTAAATAGCGTTAAACGACATTGGTTCTATCATGAGAAGCTACGTACACATGTCCACATTCTGGACTGGAAACGCTACATTGTAGATGCGCAAAACATGTAGGTGTCTAATATGATTTGGTCAAATTTATACAGGCTCTTCGACCATACGTATGTCTCTACAGCCAAGGATACGCGAAAGGTGCTCACAAGCCATATACTTGACATTGGTTTTTACTTGAACCCACGTTATTGTGATTTTTTGTTGGAGAATGTGGTAGCGGAACTAGATCGTGAGATTTCGCGTTTGAGACATCATCCATCTGGCAAATTCCGAAACTCGAAGATCGCAATTATCGGTTACTCTATGGGTTCGCTGATTTTGCATGAGATTTTATGTGGGAATCCCGGTAGGGCATCCAACTTGAAGCCGGAAGATCGCCCAAAGCTTAAGAACAAAATAGACTATATGTTCGCTGTTGGAAGCCCACTATCATGCTTCATGATCTTCCAGTCGCCGCAGTACATGACGACGGGTATGCTTCTTCCAGAGAATGTTGAGGCCTACAATGTTTTCCACCCTTACGACCCCGTGGCGTACCGGTGGGAGCGTTTAATATACCGTAACATGGAGAATTTTCCAGAGCCTGAAATATTACCATACTGGCAAAACAATGGCTTCAAAAATTGGTATGGTTGGGAGCGCAGCGTCCAGCAGGCCAAATCTATGATTGTGGACAACATCAGCGATGTTGCATCTTCTATAGGCCGTAGCATTTTCAGCTGGTGGGGTACAAATAAGAGTAATAGTGTTCTGGTAAACAATGTTGCGGTACATGACAAGAGTGAGTTTCCCTATTTGGGCTTTATGCCACATGGCTGCAGGACTGGCCGCGTTGAACAGCTTCAAGATGAAACTTATGGAGAAGGCAGCTTCCGAGAAGAATGAACGTAATGTTGATGGTGGCAGATCATCATGCGGTATACCGTTGACCCCTGAGCCTGCGGATCCAGAGGTTCAAAATGAGGGTGACGTTCTCCCCTCGGAAAAAGACCAGTGGTCGGAAGATGCGGAAGGCGGCGACGAGGTGAATGGGCTTTTCGAAGAAGAGCGTTTGGCACAACAATCGTCCAGTGCGCTACATGATATGAATCGCCAGTCTGGAGGGCACCTCCCGAGGCGTTATGATTACCAGTTACAGGAGGACATCACTGAACACCTTCTGAGCCCTCTAGGTATCATCCAGTCCCATACAAGCTATTGGTCATCTAAAGATTTGATGTTTTTCATTCTGAAGAAGCTGAACAAGCGTCATGCCAAAGTGTCGATAATGGCATACCTCAAGTCGATACGTCTTCGTGCAAAGTGGCTAGCTGACTGCGCCATTAATGACGATTTGAAATCGCGATTCCTGGCACTTTCTGAAGCTGCTAGCAATTATGCAGATCACGTGGCATCTGAGGTGTGTTATTGCAGTTTGTACCTTTATTTATGTGCAGGACCAGAGGGCCCGTGTGGAGGCTTCGACCACCTTTAGTACCACCTGGTCTAATCTCTTGAAGTCGCCTGAGGATGACTACTACGATTCTACACATGTAATGTCGGATCCACTCGACTGAGTTGTATCGATGTCGCCAACAAGCTTCTCTATGTGCTACTGTGTAAAACTGCTGGATTCCGTGACCGACATAACTACCGTCTGCCTTATACTCTCCATCTAATCACTTGTACTGATAATGTACCGACTTAATCACTGTGTGAACTCACAGCAGAGCAGTTATATTGTTTTAAGAGGGTGATGACCCCTAGGCTGTACTCGTGTCGTTGCCGCGAGTTTACGCTTCACTCTTTGCTATTCTCTAGTTTGTTTTAATGGCAAAGAACGTGATGCTTGGTCGTCTAAGGGCACTGGTGGAGGCTCAGCGGCTGCAATGGCCACCGGTGTCATGTTCAGAGGCTGAATTGACGTTCGCGTGCAAAGGTTGAGGGATATATGTTATTTTTTTTACACAGCTGCAGATGTAGAAAACGTACACACCTCTGTGGAGATAGATCGATTATTAGTTCAACTGCAAGGGACATTTCCCGACTATCGGCGGCAGAAATACGGGGTGCTCCGCAAGTTGTTCGCTTCTGTGATATCGGAGAGCACACTGCCGTAGGTAGATATCTCAGTAGGTATATATCCCTTCAGAGATGCTGGGCGACGACAGAAGTATGACATGGAGGTGGAGGACGTGAGCTCACCGACCCCGCGTGAAGCTCGGAAGCATTCTCCCGAATTTTACGAACCGGAATTGCGTAGCCTGAATGATACAATGACAGGATCTTGGCGCATCACATCATCAGGAGATCGTGAGAAGCGGGAGTCTGAAAAGAAGAGCAGAAAAAAGGCGCGAAAAGATGAACCAGAAGATGAAGCTTCAGAGCAGCGGATGTTATTTATCCCTGAAAGGAATCTATCATGCCGTCTCGATGATGTCGGTGGCATAGATGCCATACGTGAAGAAATTACCGATTTGGTGGTACGCCCATTGAAGTACCCGCACATATACCGTTACCTCGGCGTGCAACCAACAAAGGGCATTTTGCTTCACGGCCCTCCTGGTTCTGGCAAGTCTAAGCTTGCCGAAGCAATCGCAGGTTAGTACCTTTTGCAATGCTTCTCTATCACTATGTTGTACTACATGTATGTAATGCAACGTAAGGAATATGCATCCGCATTTAGGTGAAGCTGGTTGTGCGTTCTTCCGCGTTGCAGCTACGGAGTTAGTCACTGGGATGTCAGGGGAATCTGAGAGCCGTTTGCGTGACCTATTCGACCAGGCAAAACGTGCTGCACCCAGTATAATCTTTATCGATGAGATCGACGCTGTGACTCCTAAGCGAGAGAACACTTCACGTGAATTAGAGAAACGAATAGTTGCTCAACTTGGCATATGTATGGACTCTCTTGCGGACCATTTCGTTATTGGTAAGTGTTGTCGGCAACAATGTGACCCATGTTCTGCAGTGATTGGCGCAACCAACCGTCAGGAATGCGTGGATCCGATGATCCGACGCAATGGCCGCTTTGACCGCGAAATATGTATGGGAATTCCAGATACAGATTCACGTTACAGTATCCTGCGTGTAGGTTGCAGTATATAGCGTTCTTATCTGTGACAGGCTGTTTCTAAAGGGATGCGTCTTGGTGAGGACGTGGACTTCGAAGAGATAGCGGCCATGACTCCTGGTTTTGTGGGAGCTGACTTGCAGGCTGTTACTCGTGAGGCAGCGGCGTGTGCTATATCTCGTATATTCTCAGCGAATACACATTTGGTAGGTCATCGACAAATGGCAGAACATCGATGTCAGATGGCTAATGACCCCTCTGAATTGGTCTCTGCCTTTGTTTCACAAGAAGACTTCCGCTCGGCGGTGAGTCGTGTACAGCCAAGTGCGCAACGTGAGGGTTTTGCCACTATACCGGATGTAACATGGGACAATGTCGGTGCGTTGTCACACCTCCGGAAGGAGATGGAAGAGCACATTGTATTCCCCATTATGTTCAATAAATTATATCGCACTTTCGGATTAACGGTACCTGCTGGAATTTTGCTTTACGGCCCTCCTGGTTGCGGTAAAACACTTTTGGCTAAGGCTGTGGCCAACGGTAGCAAGGCTAATTTCATTTCCGTCAAGGGTAGGATTGTGCGTTGAGAGGTGGCATTTTTGCGTCAGGCCCCGAGCTACTGAACAAGTACGTGGGAGAAAGTGAGCGTGCTGTACGTCTTATCTTTCAGCGCGCCGCTGTTAGCGCACCTTGTGTGGTGTTTTTCGACGAAGTGGATTCGCTGTGCCCGGTCCGTAATAACGAGTCTAACCATGCTACGGAACGTGTGGTGAATCAGCTGCTGACCGAGATGGATGGCATCCAAAACCGTCGTGAAGTCTACGTATTGGCGGCTACAAATCGCCCAGATATAATTGACCCAGCAATGCTACGACCCGGTCGTTTGGAGCGACAGATGTACGTCCCTCTCCCTGACGCTGAGGGACGAGTAGACATATTACGCAAGCTCACCATGGGTATACCCTTAGGGGAAGATGTAGACTTCCACGCGTTGTCCAAACAGACTCATGGGTACGTTTCCATTGGTGACATTTGTCAGCTTTTTACAGGTACAGTGGCGCGGATCTTGCCTGTCTGGTACGCGAGGCTGGCATTGCAGCCGTGGAAAAGCTTAGAGCGCAGTTTGTGAATGCCAACATCGGAGCCTCGGCAGTAAGGTCGGTGGAGGCACCATTTGGAGCGTGCGTGACAGCCAATGACATGGCCGTTGCACTCTCCAAGGTAACCCCGTCGGTTACGCAACAACAGATTGACTTTTACGAGCGATTTTCACGCCGTGATACCGCTATGAACTGATAATTTTTAAGGTTGTTTGTTTATTTCTGCAAGTTTAGAGCGTAAAAGTGCGATACGCGCGTCCTCGGGGAGCCGTTTCCACTCAGCCTCTAGCAGCGTAATGCCACGCCACCCTGACGCTTCAAGGTAACGTAACTTGAGATCAGTGGAGGCGTTGTATTTTAGATGGCTTCCGGTATCTCCAACATCTCGTACCTCTCGTGCCTCCTTTTCGTTGCATAGTTCACAAAAGAGCCTTGCACGATGATCAATGCAGTTGATCTGGAAGGTACCATCCAGCATGAGAGGTACCGGTCTGTACCTTAGGTGGGTTAGTGCCCTTTGAAGCGCATCACTCGGCGAAGGCTGCGGGTCCTCAAGCCTGAAACAGGCAACTGCGTGCATGAATGTTCGTGTACGATCGTCTAGGTCCCTGTATATTGTGCGGTTCACTATACGCAGACGTGCTTCGCAAAGCTTTAGCCCGCGACAAAAAGTGTGTTTGCCGCTTTCAAAAAGACGTGCAAGTGCCGCCACAACAGCCTGGTATCTTTCCTCTAGCTTCGGTATCTTGGGTTCTGGGTTATTGGCAGGGTCGAGTGATCCGGGTACCCTCAAGACCTTGTTAGTACACTTCGCATAAATCAGGTTAGCCACCCTGGGATCGATTGTATTATAATCATGATAATTCGTTTCCGGCGGTTTCATCTGCCACATACGGCAGGTTGCGCTGAAGTAATCGATACAGAACTTCATGACCGAATCTAAGAGTGCTTGAACCACGTTAGTTTTCAGTTCCAGTCCACTTATTAAAGCTACATGAAGCACGTGCACGTTACCCTTAGCACGCCTATACTGCACGTTCAACCTGTATTCTGGGTCGGCCGGAATATCGGCTTCTTCTGCAGCCAGTAACGCAGCTATAAGGTGGTTCATCCGTAAATCCAGAGTTGCTGACTCCTGCTTGGTGACGCTCATAGCTTTCATCAATGTGATCAGCTGTGGTCTCTTCAAAGTGGTTGCTGATTTGCTTGCACGGTCACAGACAAATGTCAATGCTTTTCTTAGTAAACCAGGACCGCCCTCCTGTTGGCAGAAACGACAAACCCACGCCAAGTCGCGGCATACATTCACAAGTTCTGATGGTGCCCATCGGTATAAATTGGCATTGGCAACGGCAATCATATCATCCACAACTTGTTTTGGTGTCTGCTTCAGCTCGTAAGCACGTAACCCCCCCAATAGCAATGCAGCCAGGCTTTCGTCGCGTTTTGACGCCTCAATATAATCCTCCCCAACAAAGTTGCCGATGATTTGACGCACCTTGTCATCACCTTTGGTGGTGTTTCGCCCGGTGCCAGAAGATACCTCGCGAAGCAGTAGCCGCATAAGTTCGTTATATAGCTCCACGCACTTGCATCGTCTGCTAATGTTATTTAGACAAATCATGAGCACTGTAGCAGTCGTTAGATCACATTCATCGATATGTTTCGCAGCTTCCTTAGCAACCGCCTTCAATCGCTTCTTTAAGTCATCAGATGACTCTTGCAGTGTCTTGTCAATAGCATCCGTATACTTTTTGTAGGCATCAAAAAACTCGTTAACTTTGCATTCCCAGGATGAAACATTGCTTACAACCTCTGAAGAAAACCATACTCTTGAAGGTGTGGACGACGCTGTAGGTAGTGTTCGGTTTCTTAGCCCATTGATAAGCCCCCGCTGCAGTGGTATCGCAAACGTCCTCCGCATGGCGGCACTCTTCATATATCTCGGCATTTATTCGACGTCACAGTTAAGTACCCCAATCTCTATCTTACTTGGCAGACTTGGATGCCTTAGGCTGTGGTTCACCAAACTTGTTCATTATTGACTTAACCATGGGTCTCACACCGAGGTCGTAGGCAATGTACGAACTCCCAAGTATGATTGTACCTGCAATAGCGCGCCTTACCATCGGCAGGATGCACGTTCCCACTCCATAAGACATTCTTCCGTACTTGAATGTGACAGTGACTTGCTACTGTTGATTGTGGCGGTTTTACAGCTTTAGTAGAGCGGTATACAATGACTTTAAGGTCCTGCTCCTGCAACTAACCGTAAAGGTGGCTTAACTAAAACATTGGCCAGTTGCGATGATCGCGCGTTTTATATTGCCGGTACCAACTTCGTTGGAGCTACCAGAAATAGTAATACTAATGCTTTGCTAATGAAAGTTGTTTAAACGGAGATGATGTGCCCTATTATGTCCTCATAAAATCCCTAGGTGATGGCGCCTAGCCGAACCTACACCCCTGGTTGCCCAAGTCGGCACACTACTTTGGATGAAAAAGTATACCAATCAACCTAATTATAGTACCTTGGTGTAACCAACTTCATGCATAACAACCATTACACGTCTTAGCAGTGTGCAGGCTAGTAACGATCCACCAAAGCACTATCTCCACGGTTTTACCGATACATGTAACGCCAATATATACATATCAGTGTAACATTACAGTGCATTTCTAGGTGCGTTTCTGTGCTATACCATCCGTTTCTGCAGTTGCAGGCGGCGAATCTTGTATCGCCGCCACGGCAACTTACTCATGTGACCTTTTGCCTTGTGCAAACTTGATTCTACCCCGATCAGCATACGAGGTAATTGTCTCGACACTTCGAAACATACGTTGGGTTCGTCTGCTGTAGCTTCCAGCAGTGCGGCAACGTGTTCGGTTGCCACATCGATCACGTAACCACTCTCGGTTCTTGCGTATCTTCCCATTACCATAGCAACGTTAACGTCTGGCAATAATCTTTGTACAAGACGCTTAAGATCGTCAGTTGACATCGTGAAATCAGATCCTCCGTCGAAGACAGTGACCGCTGTGAAGCCACGCCGACCGGAAAGTATTGATGTGTCAGTTATCGGAGTACCACATCCGTCACCCAATAGAAGGGCCAGCGATTTACTAATCAGTTCGTCCCTGGTATACTTGCAAAGCAACCCCTGCGCTTTGGCCTGGAATGGTGCGATGAAAGAGGGATTCAATTCAACAAGTTCGCTGGCGAACTTCTCCAGCCACGCGGCATTGAACCGAAGCATGTAATCACGTGATGGCGGAACATGTATTGAAACACGCTTACCAAGTGTCTTTAACACGTTACAAAATCCAGAATACTGTTCCTTACTGTAGAGTGTAATGCATAGGGAGTTGGAATTCTTGCCGGCTATGGCTGCCCTTCCACGGTATACCTCAGCGGATTTCGGCGGGTGATAGTTGATCACGTATAGGACATTGTCAAACACACAACCTGATATCGATGCGTCTGTTGCGATCATGATTGGTCGACTTCCATCCCTGAAGCTGTTTAGGTTGGCAGCTCTCTCCTGCACGGTAAGATCGCTGCCCAGCCTCGCTGCTGTATCCCTGAAGCATTCTAGCGCGCACAACTGCCGTTGTTGCGACCTATTTGCAACAAATATGATACACTGATTAGCAGATCGTGGTCTTTTGAGCATTTGTGGCAACAGCTGCCGCATTTGGAATGTGGGCAGGTTCAAATAGTGATATACCAGGCACTGCAGGGCATATATGCGTTCACGCTTACTCTTTCCACCAACTACTTTGCATATAGAATGTTCTATGGGAAGGTTAGATTTTTCGCTTCTATCGCCTCCGGCAACATTCACAATTTCGGGAGGCTCCTCAAGGTCGACCTCGAGGCGTACCGCATCGGTCTTTCCGTCACCAACCAATCTTTGTTTTGTACCTGATTGATGTGAACACTAACAACTTTACACAACTTACCGTTTTTGAAATCGTAAACCCAGTATCCCCCTAGGTGGTCTGCAGCATATCTGCAAAATGTCTCTCCCAAAGAGTCAACGACACAAACGACGTGCACATCGTTGACATCCACAGGTCGGCAGGCTGCCTCATTAGCATTAGGAGTGCTACCGCCTTCACTCATGGACTTCGTAATCTTTAGCGCTCGTTTGGCACTCCGGATACGTCGGCACAGATCCGCTACAACACCTCCATGCTCCAGATAACTCGTTAAATCGTCGAATATAACACACGATATGAGTTTTAATCTCGCTGGCGAAAATCCCGCCGACTTGGAGGTTAGAAGTGTTCGTAGCCTACCTAGGGAAATAACGAGAATATTGTTCACAGTATGGGTGGCAGATATCTCATTAAAAGTGGAAATCTTATTTATAACAGATGCTTTGTGGTCACCTCCCCGCATACTCGAGCGTATGCTATGTTTCCCCTGGCCACGTTCATCATCAATGTCATGCAGAGCGTCAAGAACCAAACAATTCACTGCCGGGTTCATTGCTGTGATTAATGATCCCAAACTTCGACTTGCCTGCCCATCCTTCATCACTATCAGTGTCGATCCTTGCAATGAGCCATCACGGATTTTGTTTGGCTCTTCTTTCCTCGCATAAAGATGGAGCAGGGGAAGGATGTACCCTATTGACCTTCCCGAGCCCTCGGTGTTGTGAAAAATATATTTCGATGCCACAGCTTTGCCCGATGAGGCTTCCATTGAACCCAGTGCATCAATTAGACACTTCCCAATGATATACTGGAACGGTTTCATTGCTTTTAATCCAAATAGTTTCAGGTGTTTTATGAGTTCTGGGTCGAAGTTAAGATGGGAAAATTCGACCCATTCCCTCATGGCAAAGCCACCGTTTTGGTTGTCGCACTGGCTGCCTATGGACCTCTGCGAGATGCGTATCCATCCTTGCCTACTATGTAGAGCGTGTCTAACTACGTTCATTAGAGAGGCCCTTTGGACGCGGGATGCACTCTTGGAATAACATCGTAAAGTGAACCTATTAGCACAACGCGTTAGCCTGTACATTGAGGTACAGCCATTGCTTACGTGGTTTAACAACATATATCGATGTTACCATGCAACGTGTACCGAAGGATTGCGAAAAAGGGGCGGAGTACATCTCCCTCGGGTAGGGGTCCCGGTTGACTATTAAACATCTTTTAAGTTTGATTTATTGCGCATGAATTGTTTCACACTTGCATGGGATGCTGTGAAACTTCACCCATGCGGCAGCAAGTTAACCTATTACGCAGTTTTTATCTTAATAAGTCAACCCCAAAGGCATCAAGTCATCTAATATTATACCACCATTTGTCAATAAGTAACTACGCTATAATGTGTAACGCCACCTGTCCATATGCTACAAAGCATCGCGGGAGCAGTAGGGGTACAAAACGACCCAGCTACGAATCTATACGGCACACACCTGGAAGATTTTATATCTAATGTCTTAATAGAGGAGCTTATCGTGCTCCTAGCGTAGGAGAAGAGCTATGCTGGGAATTAGACAGCGTTGTGTGTCGCGCTTCTTGCACCGACCAAATGTCGCTATAGGAGATATGTAGCCAGCTACAAACGTTTGTAACTCTACACTAGTTAGTATACTATCTCTGTATGACGTTACCGTGAAAATTCTATATACTATCACATGGTCCTTTTGGTCGTGTCTGCACTAACGTGCATGGGCGCGGCGAGTTAAAACTAGTACACATCGTCCCAATAGTGACGTTTATATAACAAAACTACCGCCACAGCGGTATACAATCGAAGTCGTAAGTATCTTGTTTCGTCTTCATTGGAGACGGCTCTCGATTTGTGTGTACCATAGCTAAGGCCACTCGAAGCCTTCGTTTTGCCTTAACGCATTGCGTATTTGGCATATAAGCTGAACTGTGTTCAGTTTAAAATTATGTTAAACGGATATTTCTGGATTTTAACATTTGTCTACCTATCCCGAACTGAGCTTGTAGCTTGAGGGAGAACAACGCATTGTATGCGTCGTTTACATGTGCTTTAACCTACACACCCACAAGGTAAGCATTGGATATCGCTTGCATAACGTTTATTAGGCCCTACAGTGAAGATGGTAGCGCCGTGGGTGTTATTTTTCGTAGTTTCGGCCTTTACCGTCCAGGCCGGGACTGTGCTAAAGAACCCTTTTGTATTGGACGCTCCTCTACCGCTAATCAACCTCCTACAGATAGGAGGTATGAACGATGACCCTGCAACTGGAGCTTTATTCTCATTACCTGAACAACGTCCAGAAGACTCTTCTAAAAGTGGAAATGTCTTGGGCGATGTTCAGCAGACCACTCCTGTGACAACTGAGCAAACTGGTGAGCAAGCAACCCCGGTCAACACACCTGAGAGTGTTGTATCGACACAAGAGACACCTCAAACGGATTTTGCTACAAACTCCCAGAGCAGCGACACCCAGAATGCTCCTGAGACGTCGATTTTGGACACACCGGTACCTGCTACAGCCGATAACGTGGAACAGAAGCCAATCCTGCAACCAACGCAGTACGAGGCACCAGATGCTATGAAAACAGAAACCAAGACCAGTTCAGAAAATTCACAATCGCCATTGATGCCAGACACCAACTTCCCTTCGATAGATGGTGTCCCCATCGCTACACCGGAAACTCCTCAATCCTCAGAAAGCGCTGATAATGTAAAATCGACCAATGAAACTGTTTCCGATGGAACAACACGTTCGGTAACTACAGCTCCAGGTGATACGACTCCTGCCGAGGCTCCAGCTACTGCGCCAGCTGCCGCTGTTGAAGCTCCGACAGAAACCAACGGACCAACGCCTCCAGAACAAACTGAACCAGCACCTGCTGCGTCAGAGACTGGTGAAGCGACTCCAGCAGAGGCTGTAACACCAGAACAGGCTGAAGGACAAGGTGAGCCTTCGTCTGTTCCATCAGAGGACAACTCATCCACCACTCTCAACACCGAAGAGAAACCTAAAACTGAACCCGAAGAAATACCAGCAGTCTCTTACGATGAGAAAGACATGCAAAAGAAAGGAGATGAGACTGACATGAACCCTAACGATGTCATTCAAGGTGGGCAAGATGGAATGTCCAAAATGACTATGGATATCGACCAAGATTGGTTAAACGAAGAACGAGCCGCCGAAGCGATTCAAAAGAACCTACCCACAGGTACAGGTTTCACCTACAATAAGAGTGCGAAATTGCTGACACCAGTAGTAGAGCAGCCAAAGGTCATGGGTGGAGTGTTACAGACGCTTATCGACAAGGAAGCAGAAATCCGCCGACGTCACGAGGCAGCCGTGCAAATAGAACATGACTTGCGTTTATTGGTAACACGTGAAACTGCTGATGTTGTTGCGCTTTTGTCAAAAGGATCACTGAGTGAGCTTAAGAGCGCCCATCCATTGGTGTTTGCGCGTCTGGTGGAGCCACTGAAAGCATCAATTGCTCTTGGACATATGAACAAAAGTGCACAGAACATAGTAAACTTCTATGACCGAGATTGGTACGTACGATCTTCACCAAAGGAGAAAGCAACTTTGCTTGAGAATATTCGTAAGGATACTGGTCGACCTGACCTTTTCGCATTGAAGGTCAAGAAACCCAAGAAGATGACACCTGAGAAGGTGCGTGTATATGCAATACTGGACGAATACTTCAATGATTATCAATGTCAGAAGGTGGTACGTGGTAATCAGGTTGCCAAACAGATGCTTCGCATGTTCGACGAAGGCAGTGGACTATATGTTGCACCATTATATACTGACGTGGTACCTACTCTTGGTAGCACATGGATGATCGAGCGTTTCGAGAAATTTTACCGTCAGACCGAGTTTCTGAGAGGTGAGATGTTGGAGAAAGCGATGCCTCAGTTGGTTGGTCGGTTCATGGTTATGGTCGAGAACGGCACGATACTGCCTACATCCACTGAAATACAATTGAGTGTCTATTCACTAGCTGCCGTTTTGAGCAAAATTATGGATGGTGTGACAGAGCCGCGCAACTTCCTAGGCAAACGAAAGTTCTACGGGTACATGGGCATGTGTGACATCAAGTGTGCCAGGGGTATAGCAACCAATGTGCCCAATGGTGATGCCACGAAGTCATTTGTCCTTAACAAGCAACGAGAAATCTTGCGTTGGATATCGCTGTACCTTCGTCAAGATTTAATGCGCATCGACACAAGCGTGCAACGGCTACTTGTCGAACTGATGTTCCGAACGACAAAAGATCCGAAGTTCCAGTTCTCTAATCAAAAGGTTGATTTACACCTGAAGACGGAATATGTGAAAAAAGAACCAACAGCATCGCTATTAGAGTTACCTCGAGTTGACAGATTTCTGACAAAGGCCTCGGGCCTGAAGGATGCTATGCAAATGCAGATGAGACGTTTCATTAGTGGTTACCGTCTCCCTGGTCGCGTGCAGGCTAGTAATCCACTGACATCACCAACCTCCCTGGTCGCCGTGTGAACAACAAGCTTGACTCACGCGCCATAGCACCTTACAATGCGTTCAAATCACCGAAGAAGTTGGTTGCCTCGCTCGACGACGGTCTATTGCAAATGGTGGAGGTAGTTGTTGATATCGTGAACCTCAGAAGCATGGAAGACGAACACAACCTTTACTTCCAGGCATTCAACACTTGGGTACAATTGCAGTCATTCCATGCCGCAATTCATGCCTTTGAACCACTATCGTCCAAGAAGAGAACTTCCTCAAAGACCCTAGGTGCCGTCTTCCGTCACCTGAATACGAGTGCAAGTAGGCACATCGAAGCGATACCCAAGCAATTCTTGCCATTCACATCCTTGTTGTTACAGATTTGCTTCTATATTGAGAATTCAGTTGACGGATACAAGAGAGGTAGACTGAATAGACTAAAGAACTTCGTGAAAGGCCTATTAACTTTGGGGTTGAAGAGCCGTATGGGCCCAAGTAACTTCACGGAACTTCAATCGTACTTAGAGCCTCAAGTGGTATACAACAAGTCACGTTACCTCATAGGTCGAGCTATCATCAGCAATTTGGTGCAAGACTTCAAAACAATGTTCTTGAACAAGCCGGCCATCCCGATGCCCATCATTCAGGTGATTACTATGTTCATCGGTATGTGGGTTCGGGGGAGCTCAGCTTCTCTAAACCTGGCAGATCCAGGCATCGACGTCGGGCACAGACTGTTCTTCGTGAACTACATGTCAAATAAATTCGACCTACCTTTGGCGGCCACCGAAATAGTGACACTCCATTGTGCTGCTAGCGCTCCAGTGCTGCATCTAGGTTGTGTATCTCGTACAGTTAGAGGCCGTTTGGTTTGCAAGGATGTGAATATACGCACAACGAAACGTGATGTACTCAAGGTTATGCAAATGATGGATGCTACTTTCGAGGACCCTATGGAGATCATCAGGATTGGTTCTGATCTTGCTCGTCGGTGTAAGGCACTTCCCGTACGCCGGAATGTTGTCGTGAAGAAGAAGGACAAGAAGCCCGAGCCTTATGACAGTGCGATGCTCTTTTCGGAATTGGCACACCGGTACCACTGCTACCAAGAACAAAAATCTTTGGTAAAACAGTTGACCAAGGATTTGATGAAGAATAAAGAGGCATCCGCTGCACAACAAACAATCGATCGTGTCTTCAGCTCAGTTCGGTCGCTCACTGTACGCCAATCACAGATGGTGCAGGCTGGTCCAACACTGGTTTGCCCATTCATGGAGGATGCTCCTGCTGAATTGCGTGAACGCCACCGCCAGCGTATGGTAGAGTATGCTACATCGCAACTTACGCTGCGCCATAGAGCTGCCCAGGCGATTAAGAACTTAGGAAGCAAAGTGGCTGACAAATTCACTCGTTACGATAGCACAAACACAACCGCTATCGCTCCATTGGACTCCATCGCCGGAGCTATCCTTGTCGGTACACGCCAGTTCAACGGTATTATGTTTTATGGTGGATATGCGCCTCCAGAAAAGATACCCATGCCACAAAATGTCCAGGTTAGACCTGGAGACGGTCGTGTGGTTTACCACGGTAAGGAGTTTGTTGCTGAATTAGAAGTTTTGCGACCTCTTGGTGTAAAGGCAGTTGTTCTTGAGAAACAAAGAGGTGTTACGCGCCGTGTATATCACATGGACTCCGGCAAGAAGATGGATGAACTTGCGTTCGGTCAAGAAGCGACTGACTTCGTTGTACGGGCCCACTTGCTTACCACTGCTTCAACCCTACGAGAAATGGGTTATTCCATTGGCAAATTTATTTGGTGTGGATACGACCACGGTTGGGTTGCTGATTTTGTTTTACACAATGTCGTTGGCAGCGGTGACCTTCCAGTTTTCAATGGTTCCTTCTGGGTGCTAAGCAGGTATATGCGCGTGTCTGATTTGGTCGGACGCAGGGTGCCAATTAGGAATGGCGACCGTATAAAGGACGCAAACGTCGAAAACTACAACGTCAATGTTTACTCTGGTGACGGTAAGCCAATCGCAAAATATCCGGCACGAACAGGCTCCGGATCCTCCTTCACCAAAGGCGGTGATAACATCTTCACCCTTGACAGTGGTTACGGTGAGGTTTCTCCTGCCGCAATACACGACCTAATTCGTGATGCGGAGTTCGACGCCGCGACCAACACGCTCATTCTCAATCTGGACGCCCCAGGGGCTGTCTTGAAGGCGTCGCCGATAGTTAACAGGAACTAACTTTGAATCTCTTGTCTCAATCATAACTATCACAATTTAATGTATTGTAAAACGTATAAGTCACATTTAGTTTGTCATACATGATTGTAAGAAATTAGCTGTGCTTCGTTCACTAGACATTAGTCCATCCATTACATTTCCTCCAAGCGCCGCAGCATTGCCATTCCTAGCATGGAGCTGATCAGCGTCCATCCCCCTCGAAATTAAATCAATCGGTTCCTTGAGATCAATGTAATCCATAATAACGCAATAACAACTAGGTAGCAATCAATCACATACCAAAGTCTCATGTAGTAATTAAAAACATGTCTAAAGGGTCTCCATTGTTATAGCACATTTTGCACTGGCTATTATAGAAACGCCAAACAAACGACATCTCATGTATCCACTCTAGGAGATGACGAGATTAACACACCTTCAAACATAGTGTTTACGTGACCTAGGGCGTGATTTTTCGTCATACGTTTGGGGTAGCTAGAAAACGACTTTATAGACACGTTTACATAAAAACATCACCAAGATCAACTAACTGTTTTGAAAACCTTTTGGGCTGATCCACTGACATCACCAACCAAATTATTGGAGTTGACCTTGTCAACCGCGTGGCTACCTTTGAAGAATGCGATTACAAAGTCGTGAATACGTATGCGATATGCGCAGTAAAAGAAGGGGATGAGAAGTAGGATGAAAAATACAGAAGCAAGAATGCAGTGGTCGTTGTTATACTCCAACGTATCGCCGCTTGCGAATACTATAATTAGGACGAAGCATAGTAAGACCACTATGTCTAGGAAAACAAACGCTATTTCGTAGGGCGTGTAATACTTTGGGAATGGGTGATAGTAGTACAGGAGCAACAGTACTAATATCGTAAGAACAAAATTCACAGTTATCAGTGGGTATACTTTCTCACTCTGTACCCCGTAGGGTCCAATATTATCGGCAATAACAGTGATTAAACAGGAAATTGCCGTAGCAACTAGGAGAAGGAGTAGTATCTCGCACTTGGTGTAAGGCAATTCTAATAGGATGAAGTAATATGAAGAGAGAAGGAACCCAATAAGTGAGGGAGAAGACACATTGATCATTATTCGGAGTGCAGCCTTTTCAGTACTTGCTGCACCCACGTGGGCATAGTCCCCTTTGTCCGATTTATAAATGGGTACCGATATAGCGATTATGCTTATCATGCAGAGGAAAACCAATATACCGAGGACTAAGCAGATTATCTGACATGTGCGAAAAGGCCTACTGAAGAGTGACGCCCAGTACCCACAACCAAGACATGCAATGTGGAAGAGCATGGAGACAGCAGCGAATCCAAGAAATTTTAGTGCACCACTGGCGTCAGAGGGTGTTATTTCTTCAACACTCGTCGCAAGCAGACCGATAGATGTCAAAAGAGTAAGTACGCCAAGCATCATGAAGGTGACGTGCCACGCGGTGAATGGTTGCTTCAGATAGCCAATACTATGCGCCTGGAAGGACGATGCGACCATAAAAAGGCACCCTACCGATATCAGTGCGATAGCGGAGGTGTTATCGTATGTCGCCGTGCTTATAATGAAAGCACTAATGAAACATATTAAGACCAACAACCCAAACATAATGAAGGTGATCTCATGATTAAATAGTTTCACAATCTTCTGTCGTACAGTTAAACTTGCTGCATCTCCGAGATCGTATGTTTTCTCAGCCTTCACCAACAAAGCGAGCAATGCTATGGCCAGCTGCGGAACGGGTATCCCAAATGCACCTCGAAGAAACATGTTGAGTCTTTCCAGCTTCTCAGCACAACCAATTGTTCGTATTATTGCCAGATACGCTGATATAGGTGAGAATCTAGATTTCAGAAGGTAGTTGAGTGCGATCTTTAAAATGTCAATGGAGCTTGGTGTCCGAGGACATATCGATGGTAGAAATAACAGAAGTTAGTACTTCAATATTTGCGTTTATGCAGAACTTATGCTAATACACAATGCCTATAATGGCTACAGTGGTTTTGGCATTGAAGATTGAACCGCCGCCCCGCCCCTCCGTTGCGTTGCCCCTTGCAAGGTTCTTGCAAATCCTTCCGGGGGCACCCCCATTCACTCGTTGCAGAAAGATGTTGTCTTAATTCCCCACATATCTAGATTCTATCGGCTCTTCTGCGGCTATGATATAGTAGACGCGAAGTTGGAACTTCTGGCCATGGCCATGTGGAGATCCCCTAACAAGACGATCTTGATCGTATTCCACAGCCGCTAGTCCATCATATCGTCCTCCAATGAATGCGGATTTTCACATTGAACTAATCTAACAAGTCTTTCAAAAGGCTGTGAGCCTCGGCTTGTACCATTGTCCCCGTAGAGGTGACATGACTACATTGGCGCATTGTAAATGTTCTCCCAAACTGCCACCCCTGAGAATACCATTTTCGCTGCACAACATAGCCAATTAGAGGTTCCATTCCTTGGCAACCCCTAGGATGTAGCAGCGCATCCATTCACAGCAGTTGTCTACTCTGCCATGACCTCCTTATTGAAAAGGCGACAATATACTCCATCTTCCTGTGTTATGTCTGTCGTACTTCCCTTCAAACAATGAGATATTGCGTTCAGCATAGTAGATGGGCCGTTGATCGTTGATGTCCGCAAGAAGGAGGCCTTTGGTGGTCCTTCTTTGCACACCCCCTTTTGACGTTGAAATGTCATAGTACATCGGTGTAGGACGACAACGTTATTTCTATTTTGACGTCCAGCTAGCACATCTTGCCGTTCTCGGGAAATATGAACTCTCGGAAAGGGTTTCCTGGCTTGGTCCATGGGTGACACAGTCACCAGATGGTGAGATGACCGTAATAACTCCTGGCGGTTGCTTAAAAATTCCCGTAGATGATGGCATTGAAGATTGAACCGCCGCCCCGCCCCTCCGTTGCGTTGCCCCTTGCAAGGTTCTTGCAAATCCTTCCGGGGGCACCCCCATTCGCTCGTTGCATAAAGCACCTGTCTTAAGTCCCCACATATATCGATGTTTTGAGTCGCCTACAGCGACGAGGTAGTAGCAGTGAAGTCGGAACTCCCAGGCATGAGTGCCACATGGCCATCCCCTAACAAGGCGGCTCTCCCTGTCTTCCTCAGCTGCCAGTCCATCATATCGTCCTCCAATGAATGCGGATTTTCACATTGAACTAATCTAACAAATCTTCCAAGAGGCTGTGAGCCTCGGCTTGTACCATTGTCCCCGTAGAGGTGACATGACTACATTGGCGTATTGTAAATGTTCTCCCAAACTGCCACTGCTGACAATACCAGTTTCTCTCCTTAGAATAACCCATCAAAGTTATGATGCGTTGGCAACTCCTAGGATCTAGCTGCGCATCCATTCGCAGCAGTTGTCTACTGTATGAACACCCCTTGGTTGAAAAGGCGACAATAAACTCCACTTTGCTGTGTTATGTCTGCCATAATGTCCTTCACACAATGTGATATTGCTTTCGTCATAGTCGATGAGCCCTTACTCGTGGATGCCTGCAACAAGGAAGCGTTTGGTGACCCTTCTCCGCACGTACTATTTTTGACGTTGAGCTGTCATAGTACATCGGTGTAAGACGACAACGTTATTTCTATTTTGACGTCCAGCTAGCACATCTTGCCGTTCTCGGGAAATATGAACTCTCGGAAAGGGTTTCCTGGCTTGGTCCATGGAAACTAGTAGTATAACATGATTGAGTAACGAAATAATCCACATAGACTAATTGTGTGATGTTATATGGTGCCCAACCCATGTGCCACAGCATGCTTGGGTGCATGCATTCATAGGGCGCGGTTACCCCCCGAAGAACGAGAAGCCATATAGACAGCCACCCAGTAATAAGTTATGTTAACGGCTGCCGTAACATATTCGACAGTCACCTGATGTGTTACCTTGGTAGTGTGTAGAATAAAACCTCAATATTGTTTCCAAATTAGTACCTGAGGGCCGACTGAGGTGCTACACACATCGGTCATAGAGTTATATCACACGTGTGAATGAATAGATCCCGGTGATAGTTTGTAAATACCATAACTGAGGGCCATGACATAGTTAGCCACGTTAAATTGTAGTGTACATCACTAGGTGAAACCTTCCGCGATAACAACGCGAAAGCCTGTAGATCACATTACGATATTCATGTATTGTCTGCTTCACGGTATCTGTTGTCACAGCGTCCGAAATCGATATTATAAGTACGTTGTAATGAAACTATCAAATCCACGAGTCATCTGTTTCGACGTGAGTTTGACACAATTTAGTCCCATCACCACTATTATTGTTGTCGTTGGCGATCCTTTTGAAAAGTCCTTGAAAAAGCCCTAAGTCAGACTCGAGAAGGCGTAGGCTACAGGCACGGCGGGGCAAACATAGTAGGAGAAGTGCGAAGATAACAAACACAACATGTGCATGGGTTGTGTCTACTTACATATAAGGACTGTTGTAGCACTTTGGTTGATTCTCGAGATGCCCAAACAGATTCGTCAAGTTCATATATAGGTTATGGTGTCACGTGCTTGCTGCAGAATATTCAGAGTGTAACGACTCGGTTCACACACTTAACCTCACAACAACTTTATGCGCACAATTTTGTTGGTTTTGTATGACTAGGGTTCAGCCTGCGCTCTTAGTTGGGGAGGATCGTTTTTAGGGTGATTGCCACTAATAGCGTCGCATGAAGTAGGCGGAAGAGGGGCAGCCCGGTTACAAATTCACGAGGTTTACATTGAAGACTAACATTAATGAATGTCTAACGGGCAATAGAGCTATAGAATATATTAGCGAATGAAAACATAGTGGACTCGCGACATGCCATTTATGAAAACAATAACGGAGGTTAATGATTCATTTCGTAAGAATGAACCATAGAAAATGTCGCACATTACAATGTCAAGTCACATGCGAAATTAGAAGGAATGTATGGCGGTGGTGTGACGTTCATGTTGTTTTTTACCTGTGTCTACTAGTTTTATGCGTGATTACTGGGTGGCCATTAGCATGTATGCTAAGTGCCGTTCCGAAACTGTAAACTAGTATTACGATGATAGCAACTGCCTTTAACCATTAATATTGATTTGCAGTGCAATGGCGATATATAATTTGATATTGGAATGCTAGACAGATGTCACGTCGACATCGCGTCCATCATCACATCTGTGGGTTCGTTGTCACCATCCGGTTCGAGTGTATCGATGTTATATAACATATCGATATAAGGGTTTATCCAGAACTTGCTAAGATCAAAGTATGCCACGAAGTTGCTGTCGTCTATACGTTTGTAAATCTTTTTGATGTGCCGGAGACCTATTCCTGCCTGTCCCACAATATTTATTACAACGTATTGCCATCCATGTTTGACGTGATCGAATATCTCGATGTGCGTAACACGTCGCTCATCGACCATTTGGTATATCTCGCAGTTATCCGTCGAATTCACGACCTTAACAATTGCACGAGTTCGATAGATAAAAGGTACGATGCTGTGTTGACTGTACAACCAATCGCCCCTTCTTAGGTTAGCCAATACAATGACGTGTGGTGTGATGCTCTCATTGTTAGATATGTCTATCTCTACGTTAATGGAGGCCGTCGGGATAGTAGTGGTGTCACACTGAGAGAGTTGGAGTGGATCCAGGACGATGTTTCGTGGTCTAAAAACACCATTATAAATGGGTGGTATTTGTATTGACAGTGACTTTGTGCAAAACTTGTATTTGAGCCATATCCGCATATTACCTTCGCTAGATCCAATAAGTATCTTAGTAATATTGGAACTGAGTTTTGTAGGAGGACTGTTGTTACTTCTAGAAGTTTTCTCTATGTTTTGAATTGGTGTTAGAATTATGTGCTCTGTTCGATATTTTACGCGATGGCCCAAAGTTTTACTTTTAATACCTCCTCCTCCTCTCATAACGGACCACTCGGTATATGGACGTGCCCCCCTCACAGAATTTACACCTATGAATGGATGTATTTTATGAGAACCGACATCGAGATTTAATATTACAGTCTTACCTACAAATTTGTTTCTGTCGATAAGTGCTATCACTTTGTACCTGTTGTCAGTAATTTGATAAAATGTAGTGTCCATACGTATATCATCTTTAAGGTAGAACAAGGTGATAGAAATTACCCTATTCTCACCACGCCTATATTCTTGAACATATGTATCGACTTTAATCCTCTTGCGGGATCTCGAAGGAGTCAAGATCATATCCCTGTATTTGACACAATCGATTTGTGTATGCTCTGCATGGAACATCCTATAAATTCCACCTCTTTCGAATTTACCCTCAAAAACATCAATGGATGATGGAAACTCTGTCTCGTTGAGCTGCAGCGTGATACTGTGTATTGGTGATATTGATATGACCAGTAGCACTGCACATATTGCAAGATTTAGATTGGAAAAAGTAGCTGTCATTTTGGAATTAATGTGATTAACAAATCACAATGTAATTTATCCAAATTCTCTTTTATGATGTTGGTTGATATTGTTTGATATTTTTTTTCATCTTGTATTACTGCTAGCCAAAGAATATCTGTAATAACTGCTAACCAAATATATATTAGCGCTCCATGATAAAGTTAATGGTGCCATTGAGGCATATTAATTAGTTTAGTTTAACTATGAAAACGGTAGCAACGAACCGAAGGTGCCTCCTAGTACGGTATCGACACACATCTCCTCTTAACGTTAGATTTGGCCCATATCGACAACCTTAGCTGGATTCACAATAAATTAGCATAGCTTATCATCACTACATGATCGCAATCGTTCCATAAATTAGTCATGAGTTACAAGCGAACAGCGTATACGGCTGATGACTAATGTATAATAGAGACTGCCCTTCTACCCGAGTATTTAAACTAGCATCGCGTGGTCGGCTATATGTGCTTAGTAAAAGAAGAACAACTGTTTTGATTGCGCGGCATGTCAACAACCCGTCGGCCTGTTTGCTGTATGGGTTCTAATGTATATATAGTTAATGACCATGTGTGGCCCGAGAGTTAATGAAAAATACACCAATATCTACCGCCAGTTAGCTGTGAAACTTGGAACTAAAGAGCTAAAGTAGTTGGTCTTGTCCTATGGCTTTTGTGGATTTGGTTTGGCTAACTTGCCTAACACCGGCAAAGCATTCAACAGTAAAGCGGAGAATGTGCCGTTAGAATCCGAGTGGCGATGCCGGCGCAGTTTTCATTTCGCAGCCAAAAACGATAAATTCACTCCATTACCTTACTGACCAATCCCACGCAGCGTCTATGAAGAATGGGCCTAAATCGGATGCAGAAAGATATGTCTCAATTTACCCAGCCAGGCGTCGGCCAATCTAGTCACCATCATTCCTTGGTATTTGCACACACATAGCAGGGGAGTTTAGCACGCAACACGCTTCGAAATTTGGCACCAGGTGCCAAGTCGTTTTCATCAACATCATTTTCGGGATACATACCTGTTTCACCAGAACTCGGAGTACCATTAGGCTGCCTTTCGTCAGAATCATAGTGGTTTTGCTCAGCCACAGTCCGTTGCTCGCGTAACAACCGTTTCAACTTCCACGTCATTACCAGCGACGATTTGGGCGAAGGCCAAAAAGGAAATCTAGAATTTCGAAAACTTGAATCCTTTTATCATGGAAACAACGTTGATTAAATTGTTAGGGACTCTCAATTTAAACCGCAACACACCTTCGAACCAACTACCTTAGAAAGGTGTATAATGCCTTTCTTGATATTCACGGTTGCCTTCGTACTAGCCCTTTCCCATGTTCCGATTGTTTGTCTAATTGTTTAGGAAGTGCAGTAAGTGTTTGTGCGTCCTGTGTTGTGAGCCAGCGTGGGTATACGCTATGCTTGACGACGCCGAGGAGTGCCTGCGAGAGTTGAGCTTGAAAGGATGGCCTTTCGAGCAGCGCTTTGATGAAGGAGAGTGATTCACGTCTAGTCTCAGCATCGCGCAAAAATCTTGAACTCACATCCTTACACTGCAACATATGTCATGCGTTATAGCTTCGAACCTACGAAATTAAGTGCCTCAAGTTGAATCCTCGCATTGTAGAACACCTGGTCACACAACAACCTCTCTAGGGATTCCCTGACGTCATCACGTTTAGTCAGGTCAACAAACCAATTAGCTGCTCCATTCACAGCGACATCGGTGTATATTGCGTCGAGGAGCAGCTGACCCACCTGCTCTATCACCTCTGGATCGTTGCACAAACGACCTGCAATATCACGACTTAGATTGAAAGCGACATCCACAACAGCTTCATCCTGTAGTACCCGCTTGACTGCCTCATTTATACTGTCCTCTGACTTCAACAGGAGCTCTTCAAATTTACGTTGAAGCAGTTGCTCCGTTTCGCTGCTACTCAAGTAATCCTCAGAGAGACGGTTAAGAAAACGCAGGGACTGGTCACGGAACGATTTACTGTGTAACAATCCACCTGCTGCGTTACCAGTAGCTTCCGACACAGATTGACGAACACCCTCGACATATAGTACAGTTAGACCACAGGCAACCAAGACCACAATGATCAATCCTATCGTATTGCTGCGAGAATTGCCAATCGATTTATGTTGTCGTAAATATTCCGCCACGGCCTCCGCTGTATGACGCGCTATTCGCTCATCCAAGTCACTCGTTGCACACCCATAGAGATTCTTATTTTCAGGGCCATTTCTCGTCACCGTTGAAAACAACGCACCTGGTTGGTTACCGCAAAACGGCACATATGTATATCTCGATGACACCTTGCGATAAAAGTAGGTTTTGATGCGGTAGTTGTACAGCTGGAAACAGCATCTGGTCGACAGCATAGTGCCGATGGCTCCAATGAAGTGAGAACATCAGAAACTCACTTCCACCATGGTACCAGTCTACGAAACTCTAAACATTCATAGATGTTATAGAATCTACTTCATAGTCCAATTACCTCGATAGTATCAGCGACTTTTCGTTATTTTTTGCCTTTTGCCAGAGCAACCAACATATCTAACTCAACTCTGCAGGTTCCATATGGAGAATATATTAGCAAATATTATACACATAGCATCAAAAAGATACGTTCTAGCGACTAGAAGGCGTTCTGTCGACGACTCGTTGATACTTGGCTGAGGTGACTCAAGCGTTTGGTACCAATGTGGCACAATTCACACGTGGAGCGAGGTACATCGCAATATGAACATTTACAAACAAATATAATATTATATATTACACAATCATTGGCAATATGCCATTATACGGCGCTGAATACGGTAACAGCCTCAACATCAATAGATCTCACAAGGCACATTTAATCAATTATGTAGTAAACAGCATTAACCGAATGTATTTGGGGTATGACCATCGACAAGAACATCAACAATCACCCATTGTTCACAACAGACAGCTGTATGTCATTCGGTCCAGGTAGTAGAGACACGCGTCCCCTTATAAACAGGGGAATATCGCTTGTAGGATAGAAAGGCTCCTCTTGCGGAGCCGTACCTAGCAGCTTCTGAGTAGAAATACCTCGTAAATTCTCAGGTAACTTAAGCATCTCCCTGGCCTCACGGAGGTCATGGTCTAGCATGTCTAGAACATTATGTTGCTCTTCTATAACCTTTTCCAGTGATCGACATGCAAGCAGAAGCTTAAGCATCTGGCTCTGATCATTAGGGTTAATTTTGGAAAAATGTCTAGACAGCTCTGACATGCTCGCAAAAGGTTTGCGGCGTGGCTTGAGAAATCCGTCGACAAAGTTCCACCTGTCGCGCGACGGTCCAAGATTCTTATCATTCTTTTGCATTCGCTGATTATGTAAATTCTGAACCATACCATAGCTAAGAGCGTGCGGGTTTTCTTTGTGCCACTCCCGCCCTGATTCATAACGAGTGGCATAGTTGCCATATATACTTCCTACGTCTTCCTTCTTATCGCGTGGGCTACTCGGCGAAACATTATACTCATGTGCTGAAACCAGAGCCCTTATTTCGTTAATACGACGCTCGATCTCTAACCAAGGAGAAGCACCAACCGCCCCTGCGTTATCAAGTTCTTTAGATTCTTCCGGCAACTTGGTGTCACTAATCTTGCCAATAGGCACCTCAGTTATCAGCCGATTTAGCCCTGTATTAATATCTACACTAGTAAGGGACTCTCGTCTCTTACCAGTGCTGCCAACTCTGTGTAAAGCCAAATTACTCAATCCCTTAACCCCTGAGGTTCCCAGATCCTTTTGCAAGATTGAAGGCGAATTTACATATGATGATGATTGTGAACCCATGAAATTAGCGTGTTTTGTTGGAAAGCGTCGAGTTGCAGGTTTTTCCATTTCATCTGACTGAAGGCTTGGGACACTTGGGTTCAACGATTCTACCGCACTAGACTCGGTTTGTCTCCTTACTTGAGGTGCAAGAGAGGGCGAAGTGGTCGTTGGAATATTAACAGTTGGTTTAGGCGCAATTTTAGGCACAACCAACGGGGCTTTCGACGGTGTCACATTTGCCTTGCTAGCAGCCATCACTGCCTTCTTTGGTACTGGTGATGCTGTCTTGGACAATATTGCTGTTTTCGCTTTTATTGATGGCGCCATTGCCTTTGGCGCGATGCCACTAACTTTTTTGGGCACCAACAGTGGTTGTTTCGGGGTTATCCCCGGTGCCGATGTCGCCATAATGTGTTGACAAAATGAAACTACATTTAAAGGGGTGCCTCTGCCTAAAGCAGTACTGGAGGCGGTGTTAAAGCTGCATTAGAATATTGTGTCAAGAGTCATCGCGCACCGACGACTCCAATGACTCTCGCGTTGCACCTATGTGCGTCAGCTGGAACTGACATAAAACGATCAGACAAATAGTTCACGATTTTTTTCACGTTAGTTTAACATATTAAACCACAATTAACGATACGATCCGGAATGTGTGCCCCCGGTACTACTATAGACGGCGATTGCCCGGAGCATTGTTACGGTAATTCACAACGTATTGAAGCGTTCCATTTGCTAGATGGCAATCATGTTTAACCGATATAGATGCACAGTAAATATTTTATGTGTAGACTAACGGCTGCCTGTAATCCCCTTTTAACACCCTAATAACCTGGTATGACGTGATGTCAGACACTTGACATTATCAAGCATACAACAACCAATGGGTACAACATATATAACAGTAATGGACTGAAAATACTATTGTGATTCTCTTAATATCATTATAAAATTATGTACAATCTGCCGTAGTAGCCCATATTTGTAAAATGTCTAGGGCAGGAACACGCTTGATAAAAACTACCGATCGTTTATTATCCGGTTCAGGATACATTGATCAGCTCTATCGACAAACACAGGCCCAAATACCACTTACTGAAAATGAAAGGAATATTCTCAACAATTCTCTCTTGAAGCTATGCCACGAACAGCACTGGATTTCAAAGTTGTATAGAAATGGAGTGCCTACATTTATCATTAGCAGCCCGGATTTCCGGGAGAAATTTATACGAGATGCTGATAACGATCCGGATATAAGGAAATCAATCAGGGGTAGTCTTCTGTCCGGTATTACCAACCTTCATATGCCATCTCATGAGGAACATAAGGATAATGACGTTCTGGAATTGCTTTGTGAGACCATTACACCACATTTGACGAAATACATGGAACGTGAAATGCCACGGACCATGTTGGCGTTCCATGGTGCTAAGCATCTGGCGGACCTCACCAAACCTCTGGATACGTTCCCATCGCGACCGTTCAGGAGACGAGTAGTAGCTCATTTGGGCCCACCAAACAGCGGAAAGACGTATGAGGCACATCAACGATTGTCCTCCTCTCCGTCAGGCGCTTATTGTGCACCGCTACGACTGCTGGCATGGGAGATGCATCAAAGACTTAATGAACAAGGTATAAGCTGTTCATTGCTGACAGGGCAGGACGTTAGAGTGTCTGACTCTGATACCCATCTTTCATCTACGGTGGAAATGACACCACTTCATCGAGACTATGCCTGTGCAGTTATCGACGAGATGCAGATGGTCGGGGACTCTAATAGGGGTTATGCATGGACACGTGCGTTTCTGGGAATTAGAGCACCAGAAGTCCACATTTGTGGAAGTACGTCATGTTATACTATGGCCAAGGCACTGGCTGACATGGCAGGCGACATGGTATGTTATACCCTCCACACTCTTATTCGTTTCAGCTCGAGGTCAAGGAACACGCTAGATTGGGAACTGTTACCATAATTGAGGAGCCAATTCAGATAGCTGATCTCCAGCCGGGAGATTGTGTTGTTTGTTTCTCTCGGAACACAGCATTGCGATTGGTGGAGGCGATCGAACGTTCTTGTTTTAATAACAACGGTGAACTTCAACAATCAACAGCCGTAGTATACGGTTCCCTGCCTCCTGAGACACGGACTCAACAGATCGCAGATTTCAACTCACGGCGTAAGCAGGTCCTAGTGGCATCTGACGTCATTGGCATGGGTGTCAATGTTCGGATCAAACGTATTATATTTCACACTCTCTCTAAGTTTGATGGGCGTAGCCACCGGATGCTAACTGCTGCAGAAGTCCAGCAAATAGCAGGGCGAGCTGGAAGGTACTCACTTGACTGCGGTAGTGGGTTTGTCGGTTGCATTAGGGAGGACGACTTACGGCATCTTAAAAGATTGATGAGGCAACATCAAGACCAATTAGAGCGCGCAGTTGTGGCACCTACACCAGAGACACTTGCAGCGTTTGTAGACACGGTACGTTCAGCGACCGAACCACAGGCAACACTGGCCGAGTCTATAAAGATATATCGATATATGGCCCAATATGGTGGCCTATTCGAGGTTTTTGATGTTCAGGCTCTCGTAAATGTGGCCCGAGCCCTTGCGCACGTCGAACTCCCTACCAGAGATCTCGTGGAGTATCTATTCGTGCCGCTTGGTTCTCAACCGGCATTGAAATTGGTACTCCGCACATTCGCGGTCAGTCACGCAGTGCTAAACAACGTTAAATTGCGAAATGTACTCCACAACGATGCCCTTGATCTCATGGAAAACATCGCAACACAACCAAACGGTAAAAACATACAAGACTACCTACGGCGTATGGAAATGATTTATCAGGTTTGTTTGACAATTTGTCAAAGGTCTCTAAGACTCTCAGATTTTAGATGCTTACGTATGGTTGGGTAACAAATTTCTCAACGTTTACGTTGACCTCCATGCCGCGGCTACCGTGAAGACAAACCTAGCCAAAGTTCTGCACGAGCAGCTGGAACGCAGCATCGGCGCGCGTGAGTCATATTATAAGGAATGCGACGAAGAGGAACACGTCATGGAGGCCATAATAGCGAGACAATTGATTCGATCTCACCACTTCGCAGAATAGGATTTCAACGGTGTACCAATTTATATTTTCCAACTTGAAATAATTATCTTGCGTTCTATCGCGCTGAAACCGCAACAAAACACTCTTACAAAGAGAGAAACCACATTGTATTACACTTCTTTCTAAACATTATCATATGCCAAGATTTCATTGTGTGTCGTACCACAATGTCTGATAGATACCAACCTAACACTCGGTCGATGCTGTCTTCAAATCTTCGACCTCTGCGTTGACCATGCAATCCTTGGGATACGTGAAGAAGAATGCTATGTAGCAGATGAGGTTTAGCAGAGTACCTATGCATATGATGTACATCATAGATTTGCCCAACGCATCACTGTTTGCGAGCCTCTTTGCCTTCTCCATCTTCTCTATGGGATCAGATGACGGCACGTAACCAAATACAGCTTCCGTTAAGTATCCAGCAAGTGATAGGAATAGGGTACTACTCACCACACCAGCAATGCAACGGTTAATACCCGTAGCAGATGCTTGGTACTTCTTTTCAACCACGGCAGCCATGATGGGACGGTCAATACTGCTAACCGTCATTAGAGATGCACCGATGGTCATTAACTCAACAATCTGGTACCATTGCAGAGAGCCGTCTGGTGCGGGGCCCAGGAAAAGAGCGAGGGCCGCTACAAGACGGATTACCATAAGCACATTTCCTGCTATAAGCCTTCCATATTTGGCGCTTACCTGGTGGCAGCGGTCGACGAGATAGCCACCGAAACCACCACCAATTAGTCCTCCAAGTAGCGTCAGTGCACAAGCAACACCGGCAGAGAAATCAGAGATACCCAGATATTGTAGATAGAGAATCATGTATGTAAATGCACAGAACGGTGCATCAGAGATGAAAATGCCAAAAAGCAATAGCCTGGAGGTCCAGGTCTTGAAGATGGCACGCATAGTCTCTAATATGTTGCCATGCTCTTTCTTTTCAGGGACATGCTCGTCATCCTCGTCAGAAGATTTCATCACGAACATAACAACAAAAGCCATGGCTATCCACAGAATACCGAAAACTATGTAGCATGTTCTCCAACCCGGGTAACCCAGGAATTGGAGTCCTGCAACGGTCGTGGTAACAATGGCAGCTATCAAACGGCCGAAGCATGATACGGCATACAATATTCCGAATGCCGTGCCATGAGAACCTTCACTAGTAGAGGCAGTGATGAGCTGCTGCATTGCAGGAGGCGTGCAACCCAAGGCACATCCGTGAAGGATACGAAGTAGGATGAGCTGAGTGTCCATGTATAATTCGAGGAATAGAACTTACCAGAGTGAAATCGGATGCGCATCCAAGTAAAATCGACGCTACACCGGCAATCGTCATTGCACATGCCAGAACATAACGACATTTGTAAAGATCAACCAAGTATCCCCAAATAGGACAGCACGCCACCAAGGCAACAGTTTCTGCTGTAGCCATGACAGAGAGGGACGATGGTGAAAGGTTCAGAGTTATTTCAAAAGCCCTCATACACACCGATAACGTTTGGAGATCGTATCCATCCATGAAAGCCACAATGTGATAGAGCACCTTGGCTAAAGGCCCGTAGGTCAAAAGCTGAGAAGAGTGATACGCTCCTTTCGTCATCTTGTATAATTTAATGCCAAGTTTGAAATAAAATCAATGTTGCATCAGTATACGAATTTAATGGCATAGTGTTTACAAAATAGACACCAGGACTCTGCACGACGCCTCAAGAAATCACATCACGCTCAGAGTAATCAAAATAGCCTGCATCTTTAGAACGATACACAAAATTAAAATTCCGGCAGATCTACACACATCACGTACACTGTCCTTTCTATATTATCAATTTGCATTTTGCCACTCCACGAATACACATGGCTAGATCCGTTATTTACATAGCCGAGCTTGCAGGATGAACACCTTAGAGATTAGCTTCACATATTTTCACTTCCGAATACATACAACTTAGCAGTGCATTAGGCTTAACGCGATTCTCCCACCCCTCTTAAAAAACTCTTGCCAGCCCTTTCCCATGTTCCGATTGTTTGTCTAATTGTTTAGGAAGTGCAGTAAGTGTTTGTGCGTCCTGTGTTGTGAGCCAGCGTGGGTATACGCTATGCTTGACGACGCCGAGGAGTGCCTGCGAGAGTTGAGCTTGAAAGGATGGCCTTTCGAGCAGCGCTTTGATGAAGGAGAGTGATTCACGTCTAGTCTCAGCATCGCGCAAAAATCTTGAACTCACATCCTTACACTGCAACATATGTCATGCGTTATAGCTTCGAACCTACGAAATTAAGTGCCTCAAGTTGAATCCTCGCATTGTAGAACACCTGGTCACACAACAACCTCTCTAGGGATTCCCTGACGTCATCACGTTTAGTCAGGTCAACAAACCAATTAGCTGCTCCATTCACAGCGACATCGGTGTATATTGCGTCGAGGAGCAGCTGACCCACCTGCTCTATCACCTCTGGATCGTTGCACAAACGACCTGCAATATCACGACTTAGATTGAAAGCGACATCCACAACAGCTTCATCCTGTAGTACCCGCTTGACTGCCTCATTTATACTGTCCTCTGACTTCAACAGGAGCTCTTCAAATTTACGTTGAAGCAGTTGCTCCGTTTCGCTGCTACTCAAGTAATCCTCAGAGAGACGGTTAAGAAAACGCAGGGACTGGTCACGGAACGATTTACTGTGTAACAATCCACCTGCTGCGTTACCAGTAGCTTCCGACACAGATTGACGAACACCCTCGACATATAGTACAGTTAGACCACAGGCAACCAAGACCACAATGATCAATCCTATCGTATTGCTGCGAGAATTGCCAATCGATTTATGTTGTCGTAAATATTCCGCCACGGCCTCCGCTGTATGACGCGCTATTCGCTCATCCAAGTCACTCGTTGCACACCCATAGAGATTCTTATTTTCAGGGCCATTTCTCGTCACCGTTGAAAACAACGCACCTGGTTGGTTACCGCAAAACGGCACATATGTATATCTCGATGACACCTTGCGATAAAAGTAGGTTTTGATGCGGTAGTTGTACAGCTGGAAACAGCATCTGGTCGACAGCATAGTGCCGATGGCTCCAATGAAGTGAGAACATCAGAAACTCACTTCCACCATGGTACCAGTCTACGAAACTCTAAACATTCATAGATGTTATAGAATCTACTTCATAGTCCAATTACCTCGATAGTATCAGCGACTTTTCGTTATTTTTTGCCTTTTGCCAGAGCAACCAACATATCTAACTCAACTCTGCAGGTTCCATATGGAGAATATATTAGCAAATATTATACACATAGCATCAAAAAGATACGTTCTAGCGACTAGAAGGCGTTCTGTCGACGACTCGTTGATACTTGGCTGAGGTGACTCAAGCGTTTGGTACCAATGTGGCACAATTCACACGTGGAGCGAGGTACATCGCAATATGAACATTTACAAACAAATATAATATTATATATTACACAATCATTGGCAATATGCCATTATACGGCGCTGAATACGGTAACCGCCTCAACATCAATAGATCTCACAAGGCACATTTAATCAATTATGTAGTAAACAGCATTAACCGAATGTATTTGGGGTATGACCATCGACAAGAACATCAACAATCACCCATTGTTCACAACAGACAGCTGTATGTCATTCGGTCCAGGTAGTAGAGACACGCGTCCCCTTATAAACAGGGGAATATCGCTTGTAGGATAGAAAGGCTCCTCTTGCGGAGCCGTACCTAGCAGCTTCTGAGTAGAAATACCTCGTAAATGCTCAGGTAACTTAAGCACCTTCCATTGCCAATGATTACCTCGGTTTCTAAGTGACGCACATTCGCATTCATTTCCAGATATATACAGACTTCGCCTCTTTTCGCTGCTGCCAAATTTCAACAGTGCAACTTTACTCAACATCTGAACCACTGAGGTGCCGATGTCCACCTTCAACATCACAGAAGGTGCAGTCACATTTCCTGCGGATTGGTATCCCACGTTGCAATGTACAGAAAAACAGGCAATGCAGATCAATTGTTTTGTTTTGTATTACTGGTAACATCCACGCGGCGCCAAGTTTCACACTGTGCCTGATCAATATTATTTCACAGCTTAGAAATAACATACCACAACTTGAGGCGCATTCGTTGTGCCTTTTCCTCCATCCTGCGCTTCCATCTTGGTTTCCGATGTTCTATGCGTAACGTATGTTGCCCGAACAACGTTACCGACTTTTCCCGATCTATTGCTTGATTTCTGACATGTAGTGGTAGAAGTTCTAATATTTTGCTGTTGACCGGAAGATTGCTTCCCTCCACCAGATTGTTTCCCACCTCCAGCCATTTTCCTTTAATATTTAACGCACTCTTGGAGTTATGAAACGTTCTCGAATGTTCGTGTGTAATGAAAGCTCTTTTGTATTTACTGGCAGAAGACAGGAGCCTCACAATGCCGGATGAGAGGCAGATATTCTCTGGAGCAGCACAGAGACGAGAGGAAATTTCCTCTCTTCGCATGTAACTCTTGAACAGTAATGAGAACTCAACTTTTACTGACCGTTAATTGCTAGTATGGCAGAATTTAGCATGCCACCTTCACCTCCATTGGTCGAACAGTGGTGTTGAGGCAATAGGCTGGATTTTGAACCTTTTAATACGCGAGATGGGGATTTCAACAAAACTATATAGGTTCTCAGTTGATATTTATGTGCCGTCTGGTTGCTGCTCATAATACCCTTTCGATCCGCTACTAATTCAGTGCAACTTGATGCTAGACACTTGACGTTATCTGGCTCATAACAACTAACGGGAACAACATATATAACGGCAATGGACTGAATATACGTTTGTGTTTGTTACGTCATCGTATAAGGCAATCTAAAAGCCGTTTATAGCACATTCCAAAAAATGTTTATAATAGACAGCTTATTAAAATTTGCCAACCGTTCGTTACTCACCACGGGACACTCTCATACCTAATCTATGGACAGGCACAAATAGAGAAACGAAGCAAGCAACATATGTCATTTGTATTCAAATAGGTGTCATTTCAATTAAAATCAACAACGTTCAGTATGCTACATTTGCACAGAGAACGTGCACCTTAAACAGAGGTAGCACGATGCTATGTACCCTCTACGACTATCACCCTGGATAATCGAATAGACAACACGAATAGCTCGCGCAACATCATTTGTTAGCCTACATGGGTGGCGGTGCCCCCTCATCTTCTGGAAGGGGTGGCGCTGGCTCGGGTGGTGCCTCCACTGCGGGTTCAGGGACAGGTTCGGGGGCATATGCTGCTTGGTAAGCACCGATTACGGTAGAATCAGTCTGTGCCACAGCTTGTGCAGCATCTGTTGTATATGCCGCATATTGGCTGTAGTCATACACTGCCTGTTGTCCAGTAGCTGGGTACGTCATCGCCTGCCCTGGTTGTGCGTAGTACTGTTGATAGTACTGCGCAGCGTAATACTGCGGATGTTGATACATTTGCTGCTGATACTGCTGGTACTGTTGCTGATAGAAAGCCATTTGATACTGCTGCAACTGTTCTGCGTTTTGTGGGTCCTGTACTGCTTCTGCAGCTGCATCGCCCGTGAGTTCCGTCATCATACGGTTGTATTCCTAAATCACGATGATAATAGCAACTAATAAGACAAACCTGATCTAGCTTCACTGCCTCCTGCGTAGCTGCAGTGGTTCCTGTGCTTCCTGCTAGTTTGCAGTCAGATGTAAGGTGTCCCATGAAACCGCAGATTGCACATCTAACATCCGCATGTTTAACTGTACGCAGTCCTGGTGCATCTGGACACTCGTATGCTCGATGTCCCATGCCTCCGCAAACACTGCATCGTCCGGCGTCTGATATCCCAAGTGCCACCCCGTTTACAAGTGCCAACTGCTCCAAGCCGCGTCGTTTAAATTCTTCATGTTTAGGATGGAAAGGGTCGAGTAGTGGTGCGATTAACTGTACGGCCTTTTCTACACATTCCTCTTTATCGGCTGATATGTGTACGTGCATCGGCATAGCTGCATCTTCATCAGTTTGGTGGTCGCGTTGTTTCCCCTCTTTAATTGTCCCTCTGCCACGTAGTGATATTTGAGCGCCACTTTCGGCCTCCAGCCGTTTGTGATTGCAACCACGAGGCCCTATTACAAGTCCCATGAAGTTGTACTCCGGATACTTATCCAGGGGAATAATGATTTTCCGTATTTTTTTCAATGGTTTGTAGTCCGCTGATGCTACGAAGCCTGGTAGTTGTTTCAAAAGGTATTCCACAAGTCGATTGTATTCCGCATTCATTGCGTTTTTAGCTCTTACATCCCGGGTGTTGACCCTGCTCCCGTTACGGTCGTATACTGGGGGTGGTGATGGTGGTCTAATATCTGGGTCTCCAAATTCTAGTTCCCCAGCTGCGATTTTTTTGACTAGATCATCATGCCTCTGTTCTCTCAAGAATTGGTCCATTTGCGATGGAGTAAGCCCCGGAGGTAGGTCCACATATGGCGGTGGCAGATATGGTCTGTCGTCCTCTGGCCCCCAGAGTCCTTGTGGATCTTCATCTGTGACGTTGGCTGCTTTGTCGGACAGCATCTTCAACTCATGAAGGAATGAGTTTGTCGTGTTGTGTATGACCATATTCTTTCCATCATCGATTTTCCCCCAACGGGTCATCCGTCTTCTCGGCTGATTATCCGAGCCTGGCGGAGGGGGAATAACCTCTTCCATATGTGCCATTGTGAGCGTGTCTCGTTGTCTTAACTTGTCCGAGCAATGGCTCTATTTGCCGTCTGCAGCAGCGGTATATCGAAAATTTTATCAATATGCTACGTCGGCTTCTATTGACGTATTAAAAAATTTCATTCGAGCATGATGACGTTTAACTTTACTGGCTAGCTTTATCCATTGGTAAGGACATCTACCTGTGCGGCTCCTCACAACGCGTCTATATTGCTACATCCCACATAGCCATATTACTTTGAAATAAAAGTATAGCTACTAGAAGTACTAATTTATCTAAGGAATCCGCGGTACCATCTCTCAAAAAACTGAGATAGTGGTGCAATTTACCCTAATTGACATCTTTCATTGTACAGGGCCATCTCATTTGCGATATGGATGACCTATGCACTAGCTTCCGGTTACAACGGTATAAGTGATGTTATACAATAAAAATTCCTTTTGCTAGCGTGTTTTGTTATGCCATACGTTGTCGGTATGTGCAAATCTGTGAAAACAGCTCGTTTTTCAACACATTGTCTATGAAAGGCAACTTGACATCTGCATATAGCATGTATTATATTGTCCATTGTGACTGCAACTTGAACGATATCGCCCACTGTCAGCTAGTCCATGTATCGTTGTACCGTACTGGCCACACGTCTCACTTGAAATTTAGATTCGGCTAACAACAACAAATACTCTCCACAAATATACCTTTAAATCGACATATATCGATTCTTAGTGATTTGTAAACGTGTGCGTTTAATATGTACATGGAGGCTCCTCCGTCGTTTGGTTCGACGGTATCTCGCGGTGGAGCGTCGACGCTATAAGCGCGGAGGATATTTGAAGTTGTTAGCTGAATCGCATTAGGGTGCTCGTCCCAAGCGAGGAGCTGTGGCAGCAGGACGCACTACCGCGGTCTGAAACGCGGCAATGCGGCCTAGCTGGAGCGCCGAGCTGCTGACGGACTCCGTCATGCCGTTTGGGCGTGCTAATAAGCATAGGTTATTGGTAAGAGAGACCTATAGTGGCCCGTGTACGTATTGATGGGTTGATGTAACAACCCAGCGTACGGAAGACAGTATGAATAGGCCGCACTGCGTCTATGAAACCAGCATCCCTCGACCAAACAAAGACACGGATACGAGGCGAAGGAGTACGCAACGCGAGCGTTGTGAACTAGAAGCCTTGGTACCATCAGAACTGCATAACTGGGACTGCCCAGTAACAGCTCCGGCGTCACAACAGACGTTTTGGAAGACGGTCTCTCGAGGAATCCGGCGAGTACTGGTCATACTTGCAATCGCAATAGTGGCAGTGTCCACTAAATATGTCTGGCGTGTCTACCGCCTTAGAGATATATTGAGGAGATTTAACATCGCAAAGATGGTCCGTACTGAGGTATTAACTAAACCAGTTCCAGTTGATTCTCACGTGGGTGATCCTAACTTAAATGGAAACTACGCGGCACTTAATGGCGAATTTGCCCCAATGGGCAGTGTAACTCTAGCTCGTAGGAGTCATCGTTCTATCCCTCAACGCAATGAGGAGATAGATAGTGATATGAATTTCGTAGTATTGGACACCGAAGGGCTACTCTACAGTACCAATTTTTCACGAAACGTGCACTGGGTAGCTAGGCTGACCGATAACTTGCTCAATGTAAAGAAGCCTGTAATGCACGAACCGCAAGAGACCTACGCTCTGAACAATGTCCCTACTGCTGATGAATCATCATACGGAGTGGGAAACGACAAGAGTGAATCGGATAGCGAAGGTTCTAGTCGTGATTCTGGCGACATGAACGCTGAGGAGCCAAGGCGTACGAATACGCGCCATCTTGTTCCTAGCTACGACGGTTACGTATACTGTGTCTACGAGAACGGCCATAGCCAGCTGCTGCATATCCACGTCCGCGATATTGTGAATTTCACACCATTCAAGACACCCTTGTTAGATGGAGTGTACCTTGAGGGAACTAGGAGCTCTTCGGTGCTGGCTCTTGATTTCGACACAGGTACCTATATTGAGCGCGGTCCTATAAATGACGACGGTTCATTACCGTCTAATCATGTTGCTACTGCGAAAACCAAACAGTGTAACAAAAGGCAATTACACATAGGTTACACCGACTGGACTGTGCGCGCTTACGACGAAAAATCGCATGATCAGTTGTGGAGTTTTAACTGGCGTGAAATCGGCGCAGTGAATAGTGAGACTACACGTCCAGCTATTGTCGATCGTGTTAGGGAGGCTATTACTATAGATGGTAAGATGCTGATAATGCGTTCTGAAGATGAAGATGGTACATTTACCGAGTATATGAACTTTCCATTCCAGATTACAGCTTTATTTGCTGTAGTGTGGAACGCCAAAACTGATATACTTACACTGCAGCTTGTGGAGCGGATTGCAGTTCCACCACCACCTGCTTTTTTGCAAAACATACTTGGCCGGGAGTACGTTTCCTTGAAGCTTACAAGTTCCAGTTTTTTCGGAACGAACAAGTTGTCCGTAAACAACGGTGTTATAAACGTTCAGCCGCGTTGGGATGAGTTTGATGAATATGTTTTAAGTGGCGGTTATGGCCGACTTATAGAGATCAAGGTGGTTGATCCTCAACATTACTACATGTCGGAGGCACGGCTCCAACCGCTGAGTATCACGCAAAAGGAGGAAGATGATTGGGAAACGCTTAAATGGAAATATGTTATTCGTGCCTGGGCGATTTTATTTTGGTTGGCGGCGTTGCTTTTTGTGCGACGTGGATTCAAGGATTCTCGTCCCATGAGGTTATTCCATGAGTTTTGGTTTCGCAAGCTCCCGATTACCGGAGTACTCATTGAGCGTTTCACTAGGTTTGTTATGGACGTCGAGCGTTGGGCTTTTGAATACACTGAGCGTCTGATATATAATGTAGACCGTTTTGCGCCTATGCACTCCGTGACTACGCTTTGCGAGACCTTCACGGTACCGGTGAAGCTGTTGAATCATCTCGGCGAGCTTCACGGATTTGCATTGCGTGGCATTGGTTCACAAAAGGAGAAGGTGGAGAACACGTCTAGCACCAGAATTGAGGAGACAAGTCATACTCCGCCTTCTGTTAATGTGGATTCAACCGTCAACTACGCCGATGTTCCTGAGATTGATAAATCCAAAGAAGAAGAGCTGCAATCTATATCAGTTGTTCCAAGGGGTACTGCCCTTGCAGATTTTTTGGAGAATGGAAGATTTTTAAGGACGTTTGACTGCATCAAGTTACTAGGTAAAGGTGGATTTGGTTCCGTGTATAGGGCTCAACACAAGCTGGAGCCTGGCAATCCTACTTATGCTGTGAAACTTGTGTTACTGAAATTAAAAGCTTCAGAAGGTCTAACGTCTAAACGTTACTTCCGGGAGATTGTAGCTAATAGAGAGATATCTAGCAAATATGTAGTACGTTATTTTACCTGGTGGTGTGAAGAGCCACATTTCCTTCCTCTTACCCAGTTGACAGCAGAGATACAAAGTGCCGCTGCTACTAACGTGAAACATTTGATTGGTACGACTGCAATTGACGCCCAGCGTTCAACGGCGCTTACTGCTTTTATGCAGCAGTATCAAGAAATGCTTAGGGAGATAATGGAGAAATCGAGTGAGGACAGTGTTTTCAACACAAGCAATATTTCTTTAATGAATTCTGGAGTTGAGCCGCGTGCTCGTAATAAACGATTGAGGGCTATAGGTGAAAATTCGTATCGATCACGTGTTGGCAGTGACGAGAGCGACAGCATGTTGAATGGTGTCCATGTTTACAAATTTGAGTATGAAGAAAGCAACGACGTGATCGAGTATAACGAATCTAGTCAGGGTGTTGTCTTCGAATACAGTGAGGTTTCACAACAACCAAACAATATTGCTGATGAGATGCAACTTCGCGAGCTCAGCGCGCAAAACCATAATAAACATGAGTCACGCGAGAAGGAAACCGAGAAATCATATCCTGTGGTATTGCTAATTCTCATGGAACTTTGCAAAGGTTGTACGCTTCGTGAGTGGCTGAACAGGCCAGAGCGGAGTGACAAGCCTATGCACTATACTTTAGCGTCCAATGGTGTTCCTGTTGAGTTTGACTTATTCAGGCAGCTCATCAAGGGTCTGCGTGACATTCACGCTAACAACTTTATACATCGTGATTTGAAGCCTGAGAATGTATTTGTGGATCCTGATACTCATGCTGTTAAGATTGGTGATTTCGGTTTGGTGGGTTTTATCTCTCAGACTACCCATGACACACCGTTACCCCAAAATTTCAGAGATGTAAAGCAAGGTGAACCTTTGCACCACCAGGGTACCGATAGGAGTCCTCCATCGGTTCCTGGTCATATCATCGGTACGCCTGGTTACACGGCTCCTGAGGGTGGTTTTCACTGTTCTGAGAAGGCGGACATTTACTCCGCTGCGTTGATTTTGTTGGAGTTACTTTCACCAAGGTTCAACACGGTTATGGAGCGTTTAGCGGTTCTTGATACCTTCCGCAAGAGTTCCAATGTGCCAGATTTCATTGCTACTGAGCTGCGACCTTGGCATGATTTACTGATTGAGATGGGTAGCAAGACCCCTGAGTTACGGCCGTCAGCTGTTGAAATTCAGAAACGTCTTAAGGTCATCATGGCTAATTGGAACGGTGAACCGTCACATTAATGAGCAGTGTATGATTTAGTCATTGCAGATTTGCTGCATCTTATGACGCCTTGGGACGATTGCCTCTGCGTACAGTAAGTAGTGGTATGTCTAGGTATTCCATAATTTCGGATATAGTCTTGGCGAATATGTATACTATGCATGTGAATCCGTATATAGTTCCTGCGAGTAGTATTTTGTGTAGAGTTGCGTGTGCGAGTGTCTTGACCGCGAATCCATATTTGTTCATGATTCCGAGACCGAAGTACTGCATTATTATTACGTAGTGTGGTATGAGTGCCCAATGAATCGACCTGAGTGGCATCCTTGACAGTAGGCAGACTATGTTGTTTACGCATACTACTGCGCATAGCGTTGATGCGAATAGGCATCCTATTATCCTTGATTTTGAGGGTAATACGTATGCCATGTAGTATGCTGGGTAAACATGGGCAATGGCTGAGCATATGAATGTGAGATACTTCCTGCGATGGCTTGTGTCTCTTAGTAGTCCCACTATGCCGGACATTCCTTCTACATAAGCGAGTGCTAGGATAACATAAAAGATCAGGCTCCCCAAGTCGACTATTCTTGGGAAGAACCGACTAACAAATATAACAATTGCATGGTTACCGAATACGGTACCAATTTTTTTATATAGATATGGTCTGCTGTAATAGTATAGAATCTGCAGTCCTATCATTGCGAGGTTTGTTTCCGTCACTCCGACGACTCCGTTCGTGTGAACAAAGGTTTGGAACTCGCTTTCACGCCAAACTGTACATAGTACATGTATGGGTGAGCTACAGCACAAAAGCATCATTGGTATGGTATATCCGTTTGGGAATAGTGTGAAGCACATATATGGATAGAATACCGACACCACGGCGTCTACCCCGTGGTCGAGTAACTGACCTAATGGTGAGCTTACTCCCAATTTTCGTGCTTGTTTTCCGTCTATACCATCTAGTGTCTGTACCGATGGTATAATGCGAATAGCTGTTACTTACCATGTAGACAGCAGTGGTGATGGCAATGAGCAAGGGTAGCCACGCCGGTGCTGCTGTACTCTCCAGTCCTGGTACGTAAGCTAGGATACAGTAATGCATCACTAGGAGCGACATAGCTCCCATTAGTGTGAGTACATTTGGCGATACGAACTGCAAGGTATGTTCTTGCATGAACACACACCTACATATGGTACTAGATTTGAGATAGGATTCCACCATATAAGGTTCAATATGTTATCAAGAGGTGTTGAGCATCCTGAGTGGAACTTGTAATTCTTCAGGTGAGGCAAGTTTGCCTTTGGTATCATGCGTGTGAATCTTTCCATGGTGTATCTTTAGCTGTTAATGTGGTCGGCATGTGACACACTTCAGGTAGCTCGTACTGGAATTTGATGAATCGTCCACTTCGACGATTGCTTGAGGATAAGTTTGTTGTTTTAAGTATACAAAATAGTTTTTGGCTCTCAGAGCTTCTAAGACATTGTAATAGCCGAGTATTCTGCACACCCCTAATATACGTAATATTCTTTGGCTCCTGGAGCGTCTGACGTTGAATCTAAAGATTAAACTCCTTAATAAAAAGTGAATATTTTGTTTAGTTTAACTGAGCCCCATGAGCACGGTCCGTCGCGACGCAGAGGTGGTTGTAGACCCCAAGAGCATTGCCTTGTGTCGGTTGGTCCAACGCTCCGCGGTTTGATGATCACAAACAATCCGTCAATACATGTGCAGTTAAACGGCTGTTAGCCGGAGCCCATAAGATGGGAAGGAAGGATACCCGGGCGAGCTCGGCGGAGTTAGCCTCCATTCCTACGTCGAACAAGTTAACTGTACAGGTGGGTGTGTTATGTATTATATTTAAAGTACACATGTTTCGGTCCAACAGTGCGGATCGTACTTTTTCGATCTTTTATTTGGCCATAATATGATAATGAATGCGGGTGTTGCAGTAACTGACTCATCGCCATGCTACTGATGATCTTTCGTTCGGGGTACCTGTAACTGTTTTACTGAGTTGATAGGGTTCTGATTTTAGGCAATTCGTGTTCTGTTCGCGATTGAATTTAGTATGGATAGATGTCTGTGATTGCATGGTGTTGTGATAATTTTTGCTGTTTTATTCCTGAGCTGTGTACAAGGGATATCGCTGAATGTTTTATGCGCACTTTTTGGGTTCCATGGTCCATCTTGTTTGTATTTGACTTTCAACAATGTCCATGCAGGCTACATCTGTAAACAATGGCGCTGTATCGCAACCGACTGAGAAGCCGACAACGAAGGTATGGAGGCTTTGTCCATTCAGGAACCCGGCTCGCTCTGATGGTTTGGTTTTACGGCATTGGCGTAAAGTGGTGAGGTGTGGAGAACCTGCTCCTGTCGCGGTGAATGCCCCCATTGAATTGAAGGAGAAGTATGCGTCTACGTTGGACTCTACTTTATCTTCAACTCTCCCCAAGGTTGACGAAGAGCTTGCCGTGATAGACTCATATCCGTTCGCAAAAATTGCGCCAGCGATTAAGATATATCGTTATTCTGATGAGTTTTATCGTTATCAGATCAGTGATTTAGACCCTTCTTGGACTAAAGAAGAGACTGATTTGTTATTTGATTTATGTGAGATGTTTGAGCTTCGTTTCATAGCGATCCATGATCGTTTTAAGTGGCGTAAGGATGTTACTTTAGAGAAGTTGAAACATCGTTACTATACTGTTACGAAGCGTATTATCGAATTTTCCTTTGAGGAGAAGATCAAGGCGGAATTGGCAAAGCACAACAACCCGGCTCATCCAGTGGTAATAGCACTTCGTGATGAGGCTTCACGTCACCCTCTTGTAAAATTTTGTTATAATATGGAGCATGACCGCGACCGCCGTCAGATGTTGGACCGTAGTTACAAGGTATCCCAGGAGCAGAAAGAAGCTGAGGAGAAAATTTTGGAAGACATAAAGGAAGCTGAGTCATTGGTGAAGCGTGAGGAGCGTAAGAAAAGCGAGTTGAAGAAGCTGAAGAGGAAGTTTAGTGTGATTGATGAGGCCATTGCGCTTCCTAATATGGACAAGCTTAATTCGAAGGATGTATGGCTTGCGAGTGAGATTGTAACACATTACAAGGCTCAGCTTAACCAGAAGCATAATGACGCTGTTGATGAGATGCTTGCAGCTTTGAACATTCCTACTCCAGTGATTTCATCTCGCGCATCGAATGAGCTATACTGTGTAGTGCGAGGCGATGCTGCGATAATGATTAACTTGGTGAATAAGGTTGACAGTTTGAAGAAGGAGCTTGAGTATTGGAAGGCTAGCGCTGGTCCTCTTCCCGATCATATAACTACTCCCAAGACTAAGGATAAGATTACATCTTACCTTGAGGCTGCAGATGCTGCAACGGCGTTCCAGACCCCTCGTGCGATGATGCCTACAGCTTTGTTGCCTAAAGCTAAGCATCATCAACCTCAACACCTGATGCAACATCAGCCACCACTTGTTGAGGACAGTTCTATGTCTCATGGTGATGTTGGTCATGTGGATCCTGAGCAGCAAAACCAGAATGCTTATTATCAGCAGCAGATTGCTAGGCAGCGTATGATGATGGTGCAACAGCAGATGCATCAGCAGTTAGCTCAGCAGCAATCTCAGGGTCAGCATCAACCGTCGCCTCAGCCGACTCCGCCTCAAGTGCCTCAAGCTAAGGCTCAACAACCGTCTCAGGTACCACATCAGCAATCACCGCAACAGGCGCCTCCTCAGGGTCCTCAGCAACATTCTCAGCCGTTGTCTCAGCCACCGCCTCAAGGGCAGCATCAACAGTCTCCACCTCAGCAAGCGCAGCAGTCTCAGGGTCAACAGCCTCTGCAACAACCGCCTCCTCCTCCGCAGCAACAGCAGCCGCCTCCGAGGAACCAGATGCAGCAGGTGTACCCTATGAAGCTATCGCCTAACGGTACCTCAAGTCCGCATGTGTTTCCGCAGCAAGGTCATTATCAGCAGATGATGCCTCACATGAACCAGCAGCAGCACATGGGTCAGCAGTCTCCGATGGCTAAGCAGCCTTCTATGCCTCAAGTGCCGCAGCATGGTATGCCTCATGCTATGATGGCTCAGCATCGGATGATGCAGCAGCGTATGATGCAGTATGCTCCATATTCTCAGCAAGCATTTCAGCCTATGCCTATGCGTATCCATCCTCAGGGTATGTATTACCCTAACCAGATGTTTGCGCAGGGTCCTCAGCCGCATTATGGTCACATGATTCAGCATGGTATTCCTCATCAGCAGGCTGGTATGCATCAGATGGGTCAGAATGCGCATCTGCAACCTCAGCACATGGGAGCTCAGGGTCAGCTGCAAGGTTCTATGCCTGGTCAGCTGCAGGGTCCTATGGGTGGTCATATGACTCCTCAAATGCAGGGTGCCATGTCAGGTCAGCTGCAAGGTTCTATGGGCGGTCACCTGACCCCGCAGATGCAGGGTCAACCTGGCGGCGGTCAACCTCAACAGATGGGTTCTCATCAGGGTCGAACTGTATAACCTTTTATGGTTGTATAGTTGTTTTGACGCGAGTGAGCGTTTACCCGTCATCATCTTTTGCACGGTAGAAACATATCGTCTGTAACAATATATGTATTAAATTTATATTATGGGCAAAAAATCGAATCGTCCTGGCGGTAGGGCGTTGAGCGACGTTAAACCCCCGTTACCATCTGTCCCGTGTCGTTTTCTCTATCAACCGGCGTTACCTTTTGAAGGTGTGTCGGCTACAATTCAGAGCCTTGCTGAGAAAGCCTGTGCGAGTACATCAAGTTGGAAATCTAGGATAGAAGGGCGTGTTTTAAGTCTGAATGTAGCTGCGCGCGAGGAGGCAACCGCTCTCATTGGTCCTCCTGCGGTATCCTATACCGTTAGACATCCATTTTCTAAGTTTAGCGGTGTAAGTAATCGTGGTATAAAACGTGCTGGTCTGCTTTGTCATGGTCCTACGATAAATTATGAGCACGCTGAAGCTCTACAGAGGTTATGGCTGGAATACATATCCGACGTGCTTGGTAACCAATCACGTCCTCAGAACATCGTACGTACCCTTGCTTTATGTGATTTGCAAGGAGCTAAGGTGGATGTGGTCAGCAGTCGGTGTCCTTCTTACGTTGGCATTTCTGGTATAATAGTGCGTGAGACTCAACATGTAGGTGTGCTATAGATTGATAAGATATTACTCAGGGGTTCTATATCGTCAAGGTCGACTCTACAGTGTCCCTGGTATTAAAGTCCGGTACCGTGTTTGCGCTTGAGTGGAACAACTGTAAGTTCCACATATACGGTGCCCACTTGACCGCTACGCCTGCTCATAGAAGCAAGCGTAAATTTAAATCCAAGAGCCATTTGTAAAAAAAATGTCTCAAGGGTTGATCTGCATATCATCATGTACCTGGTACGCATCTAGATCGATGGCCATGCAGTGTCTTACGGCATAAGACAGTCGCTGATACATAATTTCTTTGCTAGAATACTTGGGTAGCAGTAGCCTGAAACTACATGTTGCTGATGTTGGAAGACGGCTATCAGTGTCTTCATCATCGTCCCTTTGTTGTTCATACTCGACATACATGCTCCATTCAAACTGTGCTGGAGGTAGCCTAGATCTTCCGCTTACAAAGCGTAGGAATAGCTGTAGTAGTGTGTTATCGAAATTCACTAGTACATCAAACAGATCCCGTTTCAGCTGTATTGACGTTGAAACTGTATGTGCTCTCAGAACCTCCAGATCGATATGTGGATCTCCGCATATCATGAACTCTAGTAATTTGTAGTCCAGTAACATGCGGAACCGGCCTATGGGCAATACTGCATTGAACCCTCTTACCATCCAGGTGCAAGCAACGTCACAATGTGTCAATCTGGCATATGTTGCAAGGCGTACAAACAGGTCTACATTATCTTCTGTAACGTTTATATTCTGCCCATCTAATAACAAATCAAGAGTACTTCCATCAATCGATTCCAAACTGAAAGTGAGGTCACTTAACAATTGTTGTCGTTCTTCAGTTTGCCTTAGTTTGTACAAAAGGTCGCTAGACATTTTGTCATAGTCCGATAGATCCTTGAGACTAAGGTTAACCGCGAGTATCTTTTTCCACACTATTGGGTTCAAAGCAACGTTGAGTGGGTTCATCATGCATACACACATGGCGAATAGACGACCCAACGATTCGTACATCGGCAACTCCATGGGTAACCCCTGCATACAGTGTTCACCATTGTCCTCGCCCCCGCCACATTGACAACGGGTCCAATCAATTCTATTACACGCTTCCCCCTGTATTGATATTGGATCTGGTGCCATACAACATCCTGATGGGCAGCATACTCCAAGGTCGCCGCACCTTACGCGGTACTTAAAAGGCTCGTTTGCGGTAGTTTGTATCCTAAGTAGCATTGGATGTATCTCTGATCCAAACTTGGGTATAACTGTATCCTGGAACATCCCGTAAGAATTGCTTGCATTCGGGCATTTTACACATCCATATTCCCCGTTATTTGTGGATATGGTATCCGCATTGACAGCGGCCATTACCTCGTTGGAAATACAACTTAGTAACTCCTGGAACGGTCCTCCAAAGTCGGTAGCACCTTCGCCTCGGAATACCACCATAAAAGGTCTCTGGTTACTACGTGATCGTAGTATATTGGCATTGCAATTTAAAATTTGTGCCGAACTTTGGAACCACAGTGTATGTTTGAGAGCAGATGCCGTTGCTGCAATCCCACGATCTACCCTTATTGAGAAATATGGTCTTTCTCTATTGAGGCTCTGTAGCGCCAAGAAAATCTTGCTATACATATCGTTGACAATAGAGCGTCTGATTAAACACCGGTTCCCGAGATATGTGCTCCAGTGTACAGGTAATTGAGGTGGTCCTAGACAAATACCATATTCGTTGAGTGTCCCTGTATGCTTATCTCTATCCTGTCTATTATTTTTCATAATAAGAGTTTTTGAGCTCCAGCATGGCGGTGTGTTTATGAAATCTTCATATGGCTGCAGCAGTTGGTGATCGAGTGGCAGGTATTCTACCAGGGTTTGGTTGAGCACGGTGCCTATGATCGGTGCCAATACCTTGAATGTGGCATTGACATGATCTAGAAACAATATCCTATCACTAATAAGTATGTAGCAGAATGCGGCTATTACCGAATTTCCTGCTTCGTAGGACCAATGTGACAAGAAATCAGAATTCCTTGTTGGAGATGATTCTTCGTTCATCCTTGAATAATTGGTGATACGCATTTCTCCATCATCCGAGGTTGCTATAACATCGCCAATACCCATCTTTTCTACTACTGCCCTTAGTTTAGCTGCGGCACTTGATCCAGCGGTGGATGTCAAAATCAAATCCTTCAAAGCGATATCATCCACAGCTGCTGCCAGATGTTGCAACAACATAAACAGGTCAACTTCATCCATATGTTCTTTAGATAGGCAGTTTGTTAAAATATTCTTAAGTCGAGTTACTGCATCCAATAGCCCTTCTAATGTCACGTATATCCCGTTCCATAACGGTGAATCTTGTGGCGGTAGCCTACTCTGTAGGTCATACCTTGAATTGCATTGCATTACCATAGCTGCTATATTTTGTTTGGCCCCCGCTGTGTTGGTCAGCAGGTCCACAATGCAATGTATTGCAAGGTCCAGGTCCTTAGTGACTTCCCTGTTCAAGGATAACCTCAAACGATCGAAGGGGTAGGTATCACTTCTTATATCAATATCCATGGTCTCTTTGGAGAACTGTGGGAGATCGTAGCTGCTGAAATCCCAAAGTGTCGGACCTTGATTTTTAAATGCATCCAGGTACCCAGACAAACGATCGAAAGTTGAGATAGCTAGGTAGTCATCTGGGTATAGGGAGTAGTTACACTGGAGTAGATTTGTTCCCTGTAACACTTTAGAATATGAATGTAGCGTTGCTGATGGTGAAAAGGTCAACGATGGGAACGCCTGGGATTCACTCAGTACTCTTACAAAGTTCATAACGCTCATAACCACATCGCTATTATTTCTTAACTTCAAAATATGGTCACAAAACTCTGTAGCAAGTTTAACGAACTTTGATAGTACTGTTGACTTTGTCCATTCGTAATATAATTGCAGGTCATGTACAAACCCTTGCAAAATAATCTTGACCTCATCACCCATACTAACATGTTGATTAAACCTTACTGTTGAAGTTAGGAACCTAATATCTGAAGATTCAACCGATGGTATTTTGGACGCCACTTTCAATATCGCCAACCTAATTTTTTCCATAATAGACTCTAGATATTCCAAGTTACAGTTCCATGATAGTGTAGTGTGTTCACCAAAATCTGTTTTCTGTGATTCCCCATCTTGTATCAAAATTTCCCGGCCGTCAATGATTATGCTTTGTATTTCTACAATACCCGGTTCAGATATAGTGTTAAAGTTACCGATGCCGAATATGAACTCGCTACCACTTAGTAGACCTGGCCAAGCATAATGGAAATGGTAGTATTCCGGTCTAAATGCTTGTTGTATATTGTACTGTTCGATAACGTATCTGCATACCTGTTGCAGGTCATTGTAACATGACGGGAGCAGGTCTAGTACCGTGGACCCTGCATTGTTCCGTGCTAGCACATCAGCTCCAAATGCTATTAATATATCAACGGTTTCCATTACAGCCTGGCTCCTTGAAATGAACGAATGGTGCCCTGAGTCCATTAAAGCGTACATAAGTGCAGTATTTCCAAAGCAATCTTTAGCATTAACATCTACACCAGCGATTGTTAATAGGAATGGTATTGTATCATTAGACCCGTTCCTTGCTGCTGCCATTAAAGGTGTTTCTGACATTGACCCGCTAGGTCGATCGAAATTTATATTTTGTACCATCGCTAGGCATCTTAAAATATCATACCTGTTTAATAAGCAGCATATATATATCGCATTGTAATGGTTATATGCTTTCATCGGTGCATCAGGCGGTTGCGTTTCCGATAGCGGTGTTTCCAGGAGTGTAATAGCGATTTTAGGTTCCATGGAAGTACCCATGATAAAGTGTACCACTTGCTTCACTGTGGATATGTCATCGTTGATGATTGCGCTGAAGAGCCGGGCATGCAAAACTGCTAGAGTGATATCCCCGAAACTTGGTATATCTCCATCCAAATTTGTTAGAGTATCGTTGAACCTGCATGATTTATAGAATCTTTGGAAATCTAAAACCATGGTAACCTTATTATTCAGAATGAAATATAGTGCACATTTTTCAGGTACAAATTGTAAAGCAACGAGGTCACCCTTTGTGTATCCAACCCCTGATATGGATACCCGAGATTTCCTTATTGATGTTAACCTGAATAGAGGTGGATCTATAGGGCATTGTACCGTACCATCGGCATACCATAGGAACCTGAGCCCAAACCATTCGATACCTACATATACATATGGGCTTGATGACTGTATTTTTACAGAAACAATGAACGGCAGCGCCATGTGTGAGCAAATGTCACACATATCAACTATATCTATTAGATCCACTATCCCTGAGCTGCTATATCCATCCAATAAGATATTATCATGAGCTGTTGGTGGGACTGGGATATCACTCATACCGATCCCTGAACGGAACTTTGGCATTTTTCTTATACAATTTTTAAGTCTATCCATCTTCACTAACGGCGGGTCATCTATGTAATAACAGAATGAGCTTACTGGTACCGATATCCTATTACGAGAGACCAGGACCTGTTCCGTGTAACCTTTATCATTTGGGTGTGATATTGCAACGTATGGCCTTAGAAGTTCGACTGATGTTGGTAGAGTTAGACATACTGTAGTGTTTCCATATCTCCAAATTACTTCGTTACGTACTACTACTTGTGATATTTCAGGTTCAGGTCCAACCTCGATATATAAAAATCCATCATGAAAATGTACCTTAGTTGAAGGTGAACATACCTCTCTAACACCAGCAGTGAAAAACCCAATACGTAAATTAGCATCTTTTGATATATTATCCATATCCCTAGATACCGAGAGAGCTGGTATAGAACATCTTTGACGCAAAAGATTGAACTCCAGTTTTTCCCCTTTATCAATATAGACCAATGTTTCGTTAAACAGGGGTAGATATAGATCTGGATAGAACATACTCTCTGAGATTATACGTCTACAATTACGATCTGAGCATACAACTATCCTTGCAGGTCTTGTTATACCAATTCGAAGAGAGAGGCTCTTGGACCGTGAAGAAGTGATAAACACTTTGGTCATCAAGATTTCGATATTACGTACCCTATATTTTGGTGAAATTCTCGCTTGTATAGAGAAATTTTGAGATATTCCCAACATATACCGTATGAACTTCTGGGAATACGCTGAACCATGTTTAGCAATCAATATGTATTGCGCAATGCTAAACATATCGTCTGGTTCAAACACCGGCCCGCAATCTTTCTCGAGTAATAGCGAGAGTGTCGATGCGAACAAGTGTAGCAATATTGCACTTGCAAGTTTAATAGTATGATCCTGTCGTTTTATTTCCATATTAGTAAAGGAGTCCATTTCCGCGATGTTATAATATTTGCATAGCCCAGAGATTCGATGGAGTACACTAGTAGCACAATATTGTGTAGTCATGAAGATATCCTGAAGTTCATCTGGAGGTGAGCTCTCTATCATCCATGTAGATATCCGACATGTAACTACAGCAAGTTTACATGGTAACGCGGAACAGTTTACCAGCATCATGTGTAGAACGGACCATATATATTTGTTAATGAACCGGTTCCTTATGGACCCATTGCATAGCGGGTGTCTCAAAAAAACATCTAGGATCCAATGGACAACATGACTTAGGCCATGGTAGCTATGCTGGTCGTGTATAACCATGGCGATTGAATATAGCAATTCGGTAAAGAGAATGTTCAGCAGTGTGTTCATCCTGGTGCTATTAGGTTCCATATAGAACAGGCGTTGCCAAGAGTATAGGGGATCGACACTCAATGAATATTGGTCCATAGTTGATACCGAGACCTCGCCAGCCATGTAACCCCAATACCAATAGTCCATGCCATTGAAATCATAGCAACGTAGAAAATGGATCACTGTTGCACGGAATATCTGTAGCCCCTTATCATGCTCAAAATGTAACAATCGATCTAGGAAGTAACCCGGAGATAACGTGATCAACACTGAGCATAGGTCATATACATCATGTTCCACAATATTCGGTCTTAAAGTTCGACGTAATATATGACGATTGGCTGCTGGTACCCTGGCACTGCTGTGGTAGTAAGAATCGCATGTAGAAAACATTTTGGGGTTTGGAACCAATTCCTGGAGTTTGCGACCATCTATAGATTGGACAGGCGGGGCTCTATAGTGTTTAGTATGCACCGAGTCGTACAGGTACCCCCAAAAATGATCTAATGATACAGTTTCTGTAGATTCACGAGGTGAAAATGAACGACCGGTACAAGTGACAGACTTTAATGAATTTATATCCTTTCTAGATAAACTTATATTACTATATAGAGCCATGGAACATTGTTCCTGTTCCTCCTCCACTTCACAAGCATCAATACCCAAAAGATCCAATAGTGTTAATACACGATCTTTGGATATTTTCAATTCATTCATGTCCGGTATCGATAGAAACTTGACTATAATCGTCATCAATTGGTCTATACAGGTTACATCGGAGCTCGAAGGGTCGCTAGCATTGAAAACATAACCCTTTTCGCATAACACTCGTGAAAGTAAAACGCAACATAAAAGGGCGGCGTGACCTAATGCGATTAACAAAGGGGTATCCGATGATCCTGTAGACGACGATAAAGTTGGTACAAAGTCTAGACAGGACTTCCTGTTACGAACATACATCAAGGATGATGAGAGGATCGGTACCGATAACAGGTGTGAAAGTGATAGCAGAATTTTTTTACAACTATCACTATTCAACTTTGAACAACATGACATTGATGTAGAGGAGGAACCTAATAACCATGGTAACCTAAAATCAGATACGTTGTCTATCTTAGTTTCACGGTTATAAAATTTCTTATTCTTCCAAGCATCGGAACCTGTGTCACAACCAAGGACGCATAACCAACTGTAACTGTCATAAATTGACATATATTCATCATCTCCAAGTTTAGTAGATGTTAATAACTTGAAATATAAATTATCAAATACAAGACACATTTGACCTACAACTTCCTCTTTCAATCCACTCAATAGTGGTATGTTTGACAGTAGAAATGCCTGGTATAACTGTACAGAGTCGGCGAACAATACTGCAGACTTTGCTGAGGTAATAGCGCTACGACGTGTAACAACTTTAGTCCAAACTTCATCCTTACACAATTGATGTAACTCTTCAGGTAAAGCTTCGCTATCCACTTCATCAGGGTTCTTTATATCATAATCTACGTCCCATGATGTATCTTCCAACTTATCACTTATAGGCACACTCTCTGTAGCAGCTTCATACTCCTCTGTATCCTCAGGGGTTATCCTGTAACCGCCCCCAGGAACTACACCTTGGTCACTCTCAATATAATGGTCAACAGTTTCACCTCGGGGTATATCCACAGAAGGTCGGGAATCAGGGGTATCATTCGAAGATAAACGTATCGATGAATGGCGAGCTATACCTTCGGATATAGTCATATCACTTTGCCCATCTACAGAGGTTATTGGCAAATCTACTGGCTGGTCGGATGCCGTATCGCTACGGAACGTGCTGAGGGTCTCACGACTCACTAGACGTTCGCCATCTTCCACAGGGCTCTCGTTCAAACCGTTGTACACAATGGTCTGGGGGTCTTGGAAGATAAACACCAGGCTCATACGCCGCATAGAATCAATCTGTGTAACAGGGTCATAAACCACCTCAAGTACAGAACCTATACTGTTACCAGCAATTAGCAGCTCTGTACGTAGACACACCTGGCCATCATCTTGATGGTCTATGTTGAACGAGGCCGACAGGACATCACCAACACGATAGTTTATAGTCGCAGCAAAGACGTCATGTACAAAAGGGGAACATGTTGAGGTCATGAACCCTACCACGTCATTACGGTCGAACAGATCCATTACAGAACCGAAGACACAGTCTGCCGGTGCTACCGTTATCCCGAAACGTCCAGGTGATAAGATGAAAAAGTTCACGCTTCCATGTGTCGGGGTTGATGAACCCATATTTATAGGTATACGGAACAATACAATCCCACCCATATTTGTAGCACGAGTTATATGCAATGTGTGTCCGCTAATATCCGCTTCAAAATCTGTTGAGAAACGGTGTGTCACGAAATTATCCGAGTGCGGAAGTGTAGAAAAAGGGTCACTACCAGAATCCTTTTTAATCACAACCCTGTTCTTATAACCTTGTGTCATCAGGACGCTTTGGAACAAACTAGACACGGTGGCATAGAGACATTCTGGTGGTGACCTTTGTAAAGGCGGTAGCCAACGATATAAAAACATCCCGTTTAATGTAGGGGATAATAGGCCACTGGTATCGGTATCAACTGTAGATATCACGCTACCCTTATCACGTAACGCTTCCTGGCCCAATTTTCTGGCACAGGATATAAACAGTTCGCAAAAGGCAGGCCCCAAATTCGGGGAACATAAAAGAACATCGATATCACCATCACCCAATGTGAACGTAGTAAGCAGACAGTTTAGAATGAACCGAACCAGTCCATAATGGATAGTGGATTCCACTTCTTTAGTCAGGATAGTGAGTACCGATGTCCAGAAATTTTCAATCTCGCAACGACAGATTAAATTTGTAGCACACATACTACAGGATAGAGATATCCCCTCAGAAGTAGATGTAGGCTCACAATCTATGTGACTCGGGATATAACGGAATGGAATCTGCACATCAGTGATATCCTCAGACGTGCTACAATCACATCTGGCATTGAAATATGCCAACATTGAAGAAGCGTCACGTAGTGAAAGGAGCAATAACCGGGACAAACAACATGATATGTCCAATTTACTTACATCGGTACCTGGTAAATAGAGGTTAGATGAAAATGACGTCCATAATAATACTTTCAACAAAAATTGTAAATGCAAACGCATAGGCTGGATAGAACTCAGGACATCATCATTGGACAACGGGGACCATACACCGTCAGCGCTCTCAACCTCCACCTTACCCCCTAGATACTGGATAACACCCATATCAACAGGAGGCAGACTCACAACATCCTTGTTCATATTCACGTTGATGTATATCGGGACCGATGCATCACAAATCTCCACACCAGAACATAGTGCCGATGCATAGTTGTTTAGAAATGACACATCGCCAATATCATGATGTTCGCTAGGGTACATGTGCCATAGGATCACCTCGCCCGTATCAGTAGCACCGCTATCCCGAGATGTATCGTATCGGCCCAAACGCCGAATAATCCCAACTAAAGGTTCCAAATCGTTCTCAACAGTACAGGGGTCTAAACTGCCCAATGACCATAATAAACGTAAACGTAAATCTGGGTTATAAATAGGTGGGTGCATATCAGAAGCCCTTTTAACCCAAAGATAGAGTAGACCTTTGCTAACCTTGACGTAATCGCGTTTAGAATAGTCTGAAGACCATAGGACGTGGAATAATGCGTTGACGCACATATTACAGAGACGTAACATCTTGTATGATACATACAAAACGAAAATTGAACCTACGCCCTTGATTGAATATGAATTTAGCTCGGTGGTACCACTGCCGCTTAGCCGTAAAGGTTGAAGCGTGGATAGCAGATGTTGGAATATAGGAGTGGCATATCTCGAGTTGTTCATAGGTTCCAAACCCAATGAAAACTGAAGAGCAAAGAAAGGGAGTGACATACGTACCCATGATGGTAGATAGTGACCATGAGAACTTGCAAAATCCAAATTGCAAATCCCAGAAGATAGGTACCAAGTAGATAACTTCTCCAAAATTGAAGACTGACATGTTAAAAGGACCTGGTCAAAAGAACTTCGAAGGGTATTGGGTGATACACTCTCGGTGGAAAATATACCATCACCCACAGAACGTATAACCATAAATCGAGCAGTCTTCAACATGTAGTACCACAGCTGCTGGGATAGACAGTGGATACTATCTGAACATACCAGAGGTCGACCTAAAAGTCGACCTAATATCATATCCATGAATAATGGGACAGTATGGAAACATTGATCCCTATTGTAGGAACTACCAACACGTATATCACCAATCAATGTGGCCAACACGTTCATACAACGCCACATAGCATAACGACATAATGTAGAGACACGTTCCGACTGAAGATCAGCTTCACAAGTAGCTAGGAAGGGGCCATGTAACAAAAAACTCAGTATCTCATTCAGATGAGGACGAATGTCAACACGAAGACGTTCATGATCAGTACACGCTGAGATATCCTTATAACGCCCAGTACCAACACTCAAACTGCGGTAACCACTGGATGACGATAAAGTGGCGCGACGACGACGACGACGGCCACGAGCATGAGAGGAGGAACCACGGCCTATACCCTGAGGTGTACTTGGAAATTCCCTAAAAAATTGTGGAATTGAAGAACATCGTTTTTTAAAAACACGTCTTTTAAGTGCAATATTAGGATCACGAACTTTCAAAAATGGTAATCCGTAACAAACACGATGACCCGAATCCGCTTTGAGATAGAACATACCTCCATGAGTGTTATTCACAACCCATGAACAACGGGTACGAATATCGTTTTTATAACTTTGACGAACCTCTTTAACCTTATCAGAACCGTAGATAGATGTGAATACAGATTGTTTGTGCTGAATATGACGTAGTAACTGGAGTACAGCCTGTGAAGCTGAACGGAGGCAAAAGTCAATCGCGTTACGGTCGCCACCAAGCAGGTGAATGAATACTGCCAAAATACTTAATTGACATATCTCTAGAGAAGGATGTACAACGGTGTAACCAGGGCGAAGACACTCGATAAAAGCAGGGTCACCACTTAAAATGCCTAATGCCCATACCGTGCCGTCGCAAGGAGCCTGACGACCTGGTATAAAATTGTCAGTGAAACTTAAGCAACCGGTATCATATTTGAAGTTTTGTAAAAGGGTTACTAGACGTTTCAAACTTGACTGCAATGTACAAGTGTTGTCAAATTCAAACCAAACACCGTGCAGTAACCATTGAGGCAAATTGAGACCACGTTTCTCATCAAGACCCTCCATAATCAATAACCTATCGGATAGAGAATCTAATTGGAAAACGTACATCAAGTATTGCTTGCTGTAGGATTTGCAGTGGTTGAAAAGATAGGTAATCATGTTACCCAGCAAGTGCACCAGTGAATTGAATTGTAGTACTACAAAGTTCATACATAAATTCAACGCACCAAAACATGAAGCATAACGCTTGATACATTTCCAAATCAATACTATAAGATGCAATATCGAGGGTAACAAATTCGTGCTCGTCACGAGAGTACGGTAGACCACAGAGGCCCGGCCTTCAACCACAGTCAAGTGCTCAAACAACTCCACCACGTAACTCAGAGTATCAACTACAGAGAGCGAATTCACAAAATTGTAGAAACTCGAACCGAAAGCACCAGGGATATCAGAAGATACCTCACGAAGGTTATTAGACAATAGACCATAGGCGAACTCGTTATAACGAAGCAAACGGACCATTATATATTCAATAATCTTCAAATTATCCTTGCTAAACATACCAGTGGACGTTATCGCGTTCTTCATTATCAACTTGTCATCAGGATGACTAAAGAGTATATCGCCACGCCAGTCACAAAAACGTTCAAAACCGCCTTGATAATCATCAGATACACTACTGCTGAAGAGATCCGAAAAATCCAAACAACCATCCTTATAAGCTGCAGAGGTGTTCAAACATAGAAACAGGATACCATGCTTCAATAAAAGACGAGATAATAACATTGAAGGATGAGGACCTGTATAATCAAAATCACCGTTAGCAACAAGATTGTCATATGAATCGGGGTCCAAATTTACAGATGGCGCAATTGAAAGCCTTACGCAACAATAACAACATGAATAAAATGGAGTAGCCATGGTTTTACCATAACGAGCTATTTCACACGTACAATATGCCGTACCCGCAGGATAGAGAGATACGCGGCTCTCCAGTAACTCACGCTTACCAGATTCAAAAAAACCCAAAATAGTATTCCACCAAGGATTGTCTAAATTACCGCCAGAATGAAAACCACCACGTAAGAAACATGACATGTTAGGAGATAACGCACGCTTAGTAAAAATAGCAAGACAATCACCAGAACTCAAAAACTTCAAAGCGTCCATAGTAGTGCTATCTCCACGAGATAATTGTGAAATAGCGGTCTTTATGGACACCGTATGGACCAGGATATCAACCAAGACATCCAGTCTCAAAGTTGAAAATATCTGTGTAAACAACTCAGGGTTAGATGATACGATGCTAATAGCGGTCATGTTAATAGCATGGGCAAGACTATCCAAATCAAACTGAAGGTGGTAACGTTCAGTGTCGTTGCAACTAGAAAGGATCGAACGGAACCTTACGCATCCAACAAAACATGTAGCCACAAGTTCAAGAAAATCACGTGGAAACTTGATAGTTGTCGTAGGAACCGATAGTGATAGCCGTAATATCGATAACATCGACAAGATACTCTCGGCAATTAAACGCCATAAAGTCACGGCATTCACTGATTCAGATGTTGAAAAGTACGTGCAGATGCTACCGACACATTCCAAGTTGCAAAACAAATGCTCAAATAATAAACGAAGGTAACGTAAAAAATGGACACTCCAAGTATTAGATCCAGATGCTTGGCCTTTGTAACTACGTAATATGCGGGATATGGCGCTGTGTAAACAAGACCAAATCCTAGTAAAAAATAGGTAACGCTCATACAAAGAATCAAGCAAACAGCCACCTTCAACAGGAACACTGGCAAACCTATCATGCCAAACAATCTCACGTTTTATCAACTCGGCACGTAAACCCGGGGTCAGAGTCCAAGGCTCCTCAACAGAAACACAACCTCCATCGATCGCTATGGATACACTGATGCTCCCGTTTTTGGACATATCCAAGCTCCACGCATCGCAGAGGTCAAGCTGATAAAAACGAATACTGTTGAGGTATACCAGCAAGGTACCGCTTGACAACAGAAACTCAAACGAGTACACCGTCAACGAGTGCAAATCGAGTACCACAAAACCTCGGTCAAATACCATTATATGGTGACCATCAGATACAAATGTAACAGTACCACCAGATGTCAAATCAGCACGAATGTAATTAACGCAGATCCGAAAAACAGGTGAGGTAGTTGCAGGCTTGTGAATATTAGAAGAATCAGATACCTCGCCAACACCAATGTCAACACGTAAAACATAAGATCCCAATTTAGGGATAGAGGTCGAAAACATAACATTGCACACATCATCCTTATCCTCTTTCACGTTTATCAAAAGAGGCTGGTGCAATGATAGGTACTCAAAGTCTATCAACGACTCGAAACACCCTGACAAACGAGGTAACCAAACAGTACCATCATCAATGAGAGATGAATTTCCATCCGCACATGGATGTGGAAGATATGAGAATAACAGCGTTTTTAAATATTTCAAAGAACATTCTAACATTTCACAAGGGTTAGGATGACGTAAAGCAATACCAAACATCACGTCAATGCACAAATCGAATACGTCAGGGTAATTATTACCAGAAGCTAGCTGCAATATAGCACTCAGATGCTGATAAACTGTATCACAACTCTCTGACACCTCATTACCGATATTAGGAAAAGGGTCACTCGCTATCAAGAGCCTCACCCACTTGCTATAATCGCAACTACAACGCAAGACGTCATCCTGGATATCCCTCAGGTGACCTATCAATTGTTTACTAATATACCCAGTGCGACGACTCTCTATACTCCACAGACCCATAGTCAGCAAAATAGAATCCCTAGCAACCTTCGATCGAAGCGATACAATCATACTTTCGAAGCTAAGAGGTAGTTTAACAGACGGCTGAGGGTCAGAGGCAGAATCACCGCCAGGACACACAGACCTAGTATCGACATTGTGCCACTGTGAAAGCTTAGAACGACATTCACCTCGGTAGCGACGAATGCTATCGCTAACAGTGTCAGTGGACCTAAAATCTTTCCAGAATCGCAGAAGCTCCTCTGCATCAATACGCAAAGGAAACTCATCATTGTCAACAACACTGACACTATCACCATCTTTGCAGTACAGAAAGCAATCATAAAAACGTTTATCGAAACGGCTTGCAAGTGCCTTAAAATTATGCGATAAACGATTCGCAACTTGAGTAAATGCCTGCTCCAATATACGCTTCTCCCAATCATACTCGGAAGAGACACAACGCACACTGCCGTCAGCCGATTCGGTATACTCTTCCGACTGTGGAGTCGCAGAGTCATCGGTGGTTACATCAGATTTATCAGCAGACGGATGACACTCTACAACCTCACATAAAGGACGCAACCAAAACAGGTTATCAAGTTCCGCAGTGAACTCGGAACATATAGTCTCCAAACCTCTAGCAGTAGCGACACCACCATCCACAGCTTCAAGTAAACGACCATGCCATTTACAAATTAAGGGCTGAACACCCTGTAACAAATGAAACTCCTCTTCAATACTAGGGCGTGAAAGAGGAGTAGAACGACCAAGGAAAGTATACTTGCTATAAACCAAAGTCTTAAACCAAATTATCTCATCTTCCGCACTACGCTCGGACGTAGAAGTAGCATTAACCACGCAAACCGGAGGATCCGGGCGTGAGCCACCGGACCTTTTAGGTGATGAACCAATCATAACAACATTCACCGTACACCTGGGAACGAGAACCGGTAGAAGATGACAATACGCAGCAACATCATGTCCACTATATCGACACCACTCTTATTAAGCCAGACACAGTAATAAAAGTATTTCTTTATGCTCCCATATACGCGCTAAAAATGTTAGAAATGAAAAAAAATGACTAAATTAGGAAACCCCCAAAGCCGCACTCGATCCACGCGCACAGAAACACGGGACACAACCATATACAGATACACAAAATAAATGCTAAATCACATACAGTTATATATATTATTCGTGATATTATTAATAGCAGTTAAATGTGTAACCAATCGGCCGATGTCCAGACAGAGCTATAGCCAACGAAGGCATATAACCACAACGCCGAAAAACATGTACAAGGAGCACAAGACTCCCTTGCGCCACACAGCTACAAATATTGTTAGCTGTAATATGCCACCTTTTTAAAAATAACTATAACAGGTAGCTCGAAACGATGTGCAGTGATATGCCAGCAAATAGAACAACAATCGTTACACATAACGAGATATACACATTCATACGGCCAGGTTATAGGGCTAATGCGATGGATAATCACATGCGCCCAGAAAAAGTCAACCGATATGGAAGGAGACAAATCGGGATAACATACTATAACACTGTCTTGCGATATGTGTTCACATTAACATGCTCAAAACCAAACTTCTCATAAATGTGTATCGCTAAAGGGTTGTCACTTGTCAAATCAATACGGTTGCAGCGCAAAACGGAAGTACAAAACTCGATCGCGATACTAAGCATCTTATGACAAACTCCACGGTTACGGTAAGCAGGGTCCACAATTACACGCTCAAACCGACAATCAAACAGACGACCCAAATGTGGCATCGCATAAACCTCAATGTAACCAATTATGCTTGAACCATCAGAGTTAACCGAACGAACAGATGAAGAAGATGATGTAACATCGTCGCAACCAACACTATCTAAAACACGCACTACAAAGGGATAATATAGAGGCATACGAAGCATAGAGTCCACATAGGCACGATGATGCTCCAAAGAACAACGGGACAGCTTCTTAACCAGGGGCAAAACCTCAAGGTACTCCTCGTAAGAATCAAGACACTTGAAGACTAAATTCAAACCGTCCAACTCAAACTCTTCACATATAACAACCTTCTTGTCAAACAATGACTCTAATGTTGGCGTTTCGGCCATCTCTAGGCAAAAAACGACAAAGAACCGATCACGATCGAATGAAAGGTCTCAAAAATAATGCACATACACACTACACATAACAAAACTGAGATTGTAACAATTATCGCACTTAATGAATTAACAAAAGTAAAAGCATGACCTATCTAAATATCCGAACACACTTGTGATATTACAAAATAATAATGTGGATGGAAAAAAACACAACACACCTGATTTTTATACACACCCAAAAGAAATAAGTATTATAAAAATAATATAGACATTGAAATATATATAGAACCAATACTCGGAATTAAGGCAACAAACAAGTCGACGCGGGGCAAGGGTACCAGACAACATGATAAACTAAAGTGATATTATAGTTTTAAGAGGAACAGTCATATCCATAACTGTAAACTGTAAAGCTGACAGAACTTACAAACAAAACCAAAGAACACAAACCAAACACTCAACCCTGCAGGAGAGAGGATATCTAAAATGATATAGTTGGATATAACATAGAACAAATAATCAAAATAAAGAACCTAATGAAGGAACTTTGAACTAATATGGCTGGTATAACCATGCAAACAACCTACAATCGACGAAGCAACAAAACTATATGGCTCATAGCAGCTCTGATATTAACACGGTATGCAATAGCTAAAGATGAGCCATGTGATGAAGATGGAAACACTTGCAAAAATGGAGCTACATGTATAAAAGTAAAACAAAAGGCGAAAACACAAAATCTATGCATATGTAAACCGCAGTTCACAGGATGGGACTGCTCAGTACCTTTGGATTTTTGTAAAACACACTGTAAATCATATAGAAAAGATATATCGTGCCAACAGGCATTATGTAACCAAGGTAAGAAAAAAATGCTATTATATATGAAAACCAAATATAGGCACATGTGTCAATAGCCAAGAATACCCATACTACACTTGCAATTGCGGACCATTCTTCTCAGGACAAAACTGTGAAATGGAGTATAACCCATGCAGCCAACAGGCAACGAATCCGTGTGATCATGGAACATGTCTATTCATAAGAGGAACAAACCAAGTAATCTGCCAGTGTCACACAGGATGGACAGCTAACCTAAACCAACAAATCATGAAACTCACTTGGAACGGGACAGATATATTCGTATCACCGCCATGCACGGGTAGGATGAACGCAAAAAATCTTACAAAAATGACACAGAACCTGTTAAAAGAGGTATCACAGGAGCAGCGCCGATACTCACACCAAGTAGGTCGCAAAAACTCAAAAAATAACACATCATAGAAACCAAAGCCGTATGGTATGTCATATTCATTCTATCATTGGCGCTACTGCTATGGAGACTAGCCGCTGTTATACACGCGGCTATCGCAAAAATAACAAATAACACACAATGAAACAAAATGCGCAATATCGCATTAAAGACGAACACTCTTTAAGTGAACGAAAGTTCATAAAAGAAGTAACAATTCTAACGCTAACGTCAGACAAGTTCAAAAAGGCTATGACTCGGCGCTGCCATCATCTTCAATAGATATGCTGAAACCCTGAGACGCAGCTGACAGGCTATCGGGCATGCCCTCGTCAGCAATAGGTCGCAAAACCGACTCTAGGTGCCATTTGCGAATTTTAAAATGATCGACGTAATAACGATGACCATTTTCATCTACTAGTTCAAATATATGAGTGTGAGGTATAAATTGGTCCTCTGAAGGACGCAACTCGTGCGTTATCAAATATTCAACCTCGGTATGCACGTTTACGAAACGCTCTACGCGAGTTAACAAAACACCAGACGGCGATTTGTATATAACTGCATCCATTGGGGTATTGACAACCTCCACTTCAACGGATTTCACGTCGGAAAACAAAACGACCTTGTAATTAGAATATAACCAGTCACCTTTAGATACATTACGAACAGCGATCAAATTTGTAACGACCTCAGAAGATCTGGAAATATCAATGGTAATAGCTAAGCTCTCTTTTATAAGCACACCGCACAATTGTACTGATGGCTTCCAATAACCCTCTGGAAGCGATATCTCACTCACGGAATTAATAGAACCCGATATCGGATCCACGATATATTTCAAGTGCTTGGCTTCAAGCATCACCCGATGATGAGAACTTACTTTCTCAACAGATACCCTAAACGACGTGAACGATATAATAGATGTGGTACGACCACGAGAATCCAATGGTAAATCGCTATTATAGACGGTAGACACAAGATAACCAGGCTTACCGATCCATGATGGCGAACGTATATAATCGCTCAATGACAAAAACGCATAAGAAGTCGCACTGCCATAAAAGGATTCCAATCTCAAAATACGAGGGTTTATTGGTGCACCGACACCAATATCAAGTTTTAACAGCACAGGACCCTTCACAAATCTATACAGTTCACCATTGGTTGTTGGGATGGCGTAAGCATCGGATATTTTATAGACATTCGGTGTTGAAGATAAGGAACTACCATTACTATCAACCGCATTTACTTCAAGATACACGGTATCCACGCGCTTATACTCTTCCACATATATTTGCTCCACCCCCTCTCGGAAGATAAGAGACACAGCTATCGAGCCGTAAAACACTGTACGGTCATTCGTAGCGTCACGACAAATCATTCGGTAACGGCCACCTTCGGCAAAGGACCCCTCATATACAGCCACATCTGGAGCAAAAGGACCAATCACATTTAAAGACTCTATAGGCAAAACGGAATAAGCTAAAATGATTGAAACGATTACACAAGGTAGTATGGACGTCATTTTGCTTCAATTTACGAAAACGAAACGAAACGAAAACAAACTTTCAAATACAATATCACGGATCAATAGGACCTATCGCAATAATGAAGGAGAAACACTCAACAGGTTAAATAGAAAGATTAAAGTGATTAGCTTATAGTTAACACAGACGACAAGGAAAGTTGGTTGGCTGGTGCAAATATTTTTTGGAAGATGACTAACTTGGGGTAGCCATCGATGTTACACAACCGAGGAAATTATCTTCTGGAAACATGGGGTGTTAGAAAATTCTCATTCACAGCAGAGGTTATGTCATGGTAAGGAGAAAATTTCAGCACTGGAATATAACATTTACAACGAAAACCGCCTATAGGCTCAACATGGACAACGCAGCAAATGTTTTTTTAGCGCTAAGAAATTCGACTACTTATTGCCAATTTTTTCAATAAACTAGAGCCAGCCACGAAAACACAACGTAAAGGTTCACTTAATCTAATCCGAACACATACACATTGAACCGAAAACTAATAGAACAACAACATGAGAATATAAGAAATATGCCAAAACACTTGGGGATATATACACGTAAAATTATTCACACAAATAACTTTCAACGGTATTATGAGTAGTGTTAGATGAGGTCACGTCGATATGAAAACCAAAGTCTCAGGAGTGAGAATTACACAACAACATCAATACTCAGTCGTAAACTTCGACCTTTGCGCGACTCAATATCGCATCGCGGTCAGGGTTTTCAGAGAAAACCGTACGAAGCGACTCGCATACCGCCTTATCCATGGATTTACAGCCGCAAATAAATATACTGCACTCACGACCTCCAGAGAAACACATGGAATTCACCAGATCACGCTGACGTAAAATCATGTCCTGAAAATATAATAAAATTACACGTTAGATACCAACCTGGACATAACCACGTTCTGATTCGCTGCCATAACGAGAATAACAAGGTACGACAGTCAAACGACCGTTAAATTTCGACACATAATCCTCTAATACCGTCCGATATATATACGTAGAAGGCGACTGAATACCAAAAAACAACAAAATACGACCGACGTCCGTAACACTGCCAGAAGAAGAAGAAGATTCCAAAATAGATTTCAAAAAACCCAGGTATGGTGCGATACCAGTACCAGTAGCAACAAAAAGCAAATTGTGCTTACCTTCCAGGTCATCAGCAGACAACATAAACTTGCCAAATGGACCGGTTATACGCACAGGGGTACCAGATGAAGCACCAGATAAAAATCTAGAACAAATCCAACTATCACGAAACGACTCAACATTGTCTGGAGTAATTATTGGGGCCCGTAAACCGATAGAAAAACATGTTGATGGATCCACACCGTCCTCTTCTAAAACAGGCGCAAGAGAATATGATCGAGGGAGATGAGGTCTCTTAGTACGCTCCGATATACCTAAAAGAACAATTAACGAACCAAAAAATCAAACATACCTGGTGGCAATATGCCACAATATTGACCAGGCACAAAATTGTATTGGCCCTTATGATCAACCACAATGTGATAGAAACTACGGTCTGAACCGTTAGTACCGATAAGACGTACTGAACGAATATCACACTCCAATGGGACCTTCACAGTGTACCTGCACCAATATAGACGTGGGCATGAACTTAAAACAAAACAAACGATAAATAAAGAAGCTATTATACGCCACAAAGACAATAGGAAGATATATACGAATATGCAAAATTGTAATTTTCATCATGTGATATATTAAACATAGAACACAAATAAAAAACATAGAAAACCTACCGAAGTACGTTGGAATCCGACAAACGAAATGTACGACCTGATGTTAAAGCATTATCACATTGTCTTCTGTAGCATTTTAACAACCGGATGTATCTGACAGAATTATACAGTAAAACTACATCACTCACTGTCCAGTGAAGAAGCATAACCAGAACAAAACCCATGCGGTGCCCATCACCGCAATCAAACCACTACTGTTTTGCCAACGTTGACATCGGTGCTCTTAACGAAGAAACCAGCCAAATCAAAATACCCTGGGGAACGCAGATTTGCACAAATTAACTTGCAAAGAAGAACCAACGTTCACACATACAGGCAATGGCGCCAGTGATACCTTTGTGTCGGCCTTTAAAAGGCACACCAAAATCAAAATAACACGATGATGGGATACAACCGATAACACATCGCTTTTATAGATCCTGAGACATAGAAACTAGAATAAGAATTACAAGAAACTATAGAAGACAGTATTATCTGCCAAAGTGGCTATGGCGGAAGGCTTCACAAAATGTGCAACCTTAAATGAGGCTCATTTATTTTATGAAACCCCCTCCTCAATGTTAAACCGATGCAAAACCACCAAACTACATGATGTGGACACACAGTAGATAAAATCCCCAACACGGCCAAGGGATTAACAACAAACAGTCTAATTAAATCATGTAATTCCGAAATAAATCAAATGACTATAAACGAACACCTGATTTTGGCAGATGGCAATGCCGTCGTCGTGCCTTTACAGGCTTCGCAGCAAGAGGATGACGAACACGAGGACGCGCAAATAGAACGGATGCAAAATGTTTGGGGAAGCAGCTCAGGAGCACGTTAGTAAATTCAATTAAGATACACAGAGATATAGGTAGTGATTTCTTAGGCATCTATTGCAAGCATCGCAACACAGAAAATGAGCGACTAGAAAGTCAAGCCCAGGAATGGGAAAAAGAAACGGAAAATAAAATATTTCAAACAATAAGATATGCAAGGATGCAAAAAGAGTTACAAAAAACTGCAAAAAGAAGGGAAAAACGAAACAAAAAAAAGGTTAGCCAAAAATCAAATCTACACATTAATCATTTCTAGCTTAAATATCATAATCAAACTACCAGAAAAACAGTAGTACAACCAAAGAATGACGAAGGTCGCAATCGAGTGGACGACGAAACCGTAAGAGACACTATGTCGTTAGAAGTAGACAACATTGACGATCTAGCATCTAACATCGAAGCAGGAAGTATACAGGAATCAAAAAAAACAACGATAATCATAGAGGAAGACACATTGGATTGCGCATAGACAGCAGAGAATTTTCGGTATGACCTATAGCGGCGCTACACACCGGGATACTGTCTCAGCAAATCTACCACAGAAGATCTCAGACAATACAAATCTAAACAAATTTTGTATTCTATGGATATGATCTTGTGTTTAATGTAATTTGAAAACAAGATTCCATAGGGGAACGTGGAGGAAAAGACTCGCGAAGCAACGTATTTGGATGGGGGGGGCCCCATGTGTGACCATATTGAACTAAAACAATACAACGTATCACTATATTTTTACATACAACCATCTTCACTTCTTAGAAGTCAAGCGTTAACGTAACAAATAATCTTATGTTCAAAAACGTTATGTCTACAATGGCACCTGCTGTCAGAAGAAACAAAATCAGCCTTATTGGCGCCGGAAACATCGGTGGTGTAATGGCATACCTCGCCCAACTTAAGGAACTCGGAGATGTCGTACTGTTCGATATCGCACCAAGTAAGTGAAACATATATTCACAATTAAATGTGACGTGATTAAGCGATAACGCATTTTCATGATATATCAACTGAAAACGAAATAGCACCACACTTAACAGCAACTAATCTATTCTGCAGCCCTTGGAAAGGCAAAGGCACTTGATATCATGCACGCTAATGCCATTTACAACACGTCACAAAAGGTTATCGGTACCACTGATTACACCGATATCGCCAACAGTGATGTGTGCATTATCACCGCAGGATTGGCAAGGATGCCCAACAAGAAGGACGAAGAATGGACACGTGATGACCTAGTTGGACCCAACAGCAAAATCATGGCGACAATTGGTGAAAACATCAAGAAATACGCACCAAACGCATTCGTTATCTGCATCACTAACCCATTGGATGTCATGGTCAAAATGCTACTCAAGTCGACAGGATTCCCCAAGAACAAAGTTGTTGGTATGGGAGGACTCTTGGACTCATCGAGAATGTGCCACTACGTTGCCGAAAAGTTGAATGTACACCCTAGATACGTTCACGGTTGGGTTATTGGAGGACACGGTGACAGCATGATACCACTTGTCAACCACATCACAGTAAATGGAGTCCCAATCAAATTGTTCGTCGAAAGGGGAGACATCTCACAGGCCGAACTCGACCAAATATATCACCGCACTGTAAACTCTGGTATGGAACTGGTCCAGTTGTACGGTACAGGATCAGCATACTTCGCCCCCGCAACTGCCGCCATAGAAATGGCATCTGCTTACCTCAACGACAAAAAGTCTGTTATTGTATGCTCATGCTACCTTGAGGGAGAATACGGACACAACGATGTATACTTGGGAACTCCAGCCGTAATCGGTGCCAACGGTATCGAAAAAATCATCACACTCAAACTCTCGCCTGAAGAACAGGCTAAATTGGATGCATCAGTCAAAGACATCAAGAGGCTAGAAGCTTTAGCCGGTTAAACGACAATGTCGAGGCAGCTCTCTGTTTTCTAAAAAGAGAAAAATAAATGAATTTTAAGAGATGGCATGTTGATATGCGCCACGCAATTGCGGCCGTACAACATCCTATATGAACTCAAACATGAATTGTTGAAGGAGCTGCCATACTGATATATATATTTATATATACTTCTGAAACTGATGATCAGCATCAACTTATGACAAAGTGACGCCACGTATGAATCTATGGCCTTCTTATTGCACCAAATAAAACACAATAGCAATTTGACCTCAAGTAGAAATGCCGGGGACGTAGTTGAGGTGCAAGGGGCGCGATCTCCAATGGCAGACGCACGAATAGAGCCGTTTCACCACAAACATTTTATAGCATAGTGTAAGTAATAATATAGGAACGGTTAAAAGTCAATAGAAAGTTATAAACAGTTTCATAAGCATAGCAAATATGCGAGCCCTTTTCGATGCAATAGACAAGAAGAGGAAACAGGTGGAAGGTAAGATGTATACCTTAAATATATACACACATTTATATAGCACTAAAAAAGGATGGGCAAACTTGGACTAAGAAGGCAGACGAAATTGAAGCCGAACGCAAAAGAGCTGAGGAAGACCTAAAAGATAATATACAACGCAAAAAAGGCAAAATACATAGCCAAATAGAGGTATTAACACAATTCATAACGACAAAGAGACGCAGAAAGTGGGATCCTACTTCGCTACAAATAGCCATACCGAGGCACATAAACATCAGGATGCGACCACTGATGTCAAAGGTGGAGATGCAACCTCTATTCTCTAAACAATTCGCAGATGTACCTGATGAAGAAGTCATTAAACAACTTAGGAAATACAGACAACCTGCCGTAATTTTCGCAGAAACCAAGCAACAGAGGTAAGACTACTACAAAGCTTATACATGACATACCAAGGTTTGAAAGACTATACCAAGCACAACAAAGAGATACAATCACAAAAAACCAACAAAATGTATTCGTAGAGACAATCATTGGAAGGTGAGACCGATAAACATAATTGAACAATGACGCAGGAAACAACATTCGCACTCTAGGACCGACCAAACTGGTAACAAAACCATCATTGATGAATAACTAAAACACGCAGACGATGAAACAATATTTGAAGATTGCGCTGCTATACCAAAGGAAACGAAACATTACAGGTATATACAAATTTTGTTACAATGACAAAATGCAGGATCGGAGAATGGATCGCAAAGACGCTTAGGGCATGGAAGCAGGAAGTTATCTCTCAAAGGGAAGAATACCTACAACAGGGGAATGTAGCAGAGGCAAAACGCAGGGATGCAATGCTTGCCCAAACCAAGAAGGACCTGCAACCGTTAGTTAGGTTACTCATGACGCAGACACTGGAAGAGGAAACACTCGACAAAATATACAACGTAGTCGAATGTTGCGACAGACAAGATTACAAAGAAGCACACGATGCATATATGCTGCTTGCAATAGGCAATGCGGCGTGGCCTATGGGTGTTACCATGGTAGGCATACACGAGCGTGCTGGGCGCTCCAAAATCTTCACTTCGGAAGTGGCGCATATACTTAATGACGAAACCACACGGAAGTACATACAAATGATCAAAAGGCTGCTATCGTTCGCACAAAAAAAGGTAGACGCCGACCCTTCGAAGGTCGTACAGATGTCCACACCGCAAATTTAAATTAAAAATGACACACTATTAAACAAACAATTAAGTCCAACGCATATTATGCTTGAATTGCCGTAGCAATGCCAGTAATTGGCAGGACTATCGAGGGCTAGCCACGAAGCAGCCAGCGATGCTTAAAGGATAATCAAACCTATGTATAAAGGTACACCTAGATTATCTTCTAGTCATTATTGTATTTAAAAGTGTGCTTAAAAACTACGCCGTAGTACTAAAAACCCAACACTAACGCCAGTAAGTTAGACCGAGGGGCCTAACGACGCGCGGAGAACGCTAGTAAGGCCGCATGATGTGGGAAATAAACTTCATAGATTATAAACGGATGTTGCAACACACACTGTGGTGCTAAATAAGATCACGTCTATTTGTGAATGTGTCGAAGAAAATTCCTCTATCGGGTCGCAGGCGCGGGGTGGTTAAGAACGGCTACCTTAACTACCGATAATCACGCAGAGATCAGCTGCGCTCGGTTACACCAGAATTAATGGCATAAAAAGTGTCCAAAATAACCTTGAACTGTTGTGTTTCCGATAAAGCAAAACGGTATTCCAAGAAGCCAAACACTGGCTAGGCTCAAAACGATCGACACAGTCAACAGAAAAAATGACGAGCGAAAAAACGGATAAAAGTCCCGCTACGGGAGAGTCAGAAAAACTCTCACATAAAGAAACAGCCGCATTCAAAACGATGATGGTAAGATCAGACATTCATAAATATACGATGAACTCAGGATTTGTACAATCAGAAACAGTACAAAAAAGCACTCAAAATAGCAGAATCGCTGCTCGCTAAACACCCTAAAAATGGTGAAGTAGTCTCATTCAAGGCGCTTCTCCTCTCTAACATAGAACCGTCGAAGGCAGATGAGATCATGGAACTTGCAAGACAAGGACTAAAATACGACGTAAAAAGTTACCTATGTTGGTACGTGTTGGGAGCTATATACAAACAAAGGAAGCTATACAAAGACTCGCTAAAATGCTTCACAATGGCAACCAAAATTGATACAAAAAATGACCGACTCATGAAAGATGTATGTGCATTAGCCATTGAAATCAACGACTTTGCCGCATTTAGGAAATTCTCAAACCAAATTTTGGAAATTAGACTAAAGTACTATAAGGAATGGATGACTTTTGCCTTCGCACAGCATCTATGTGGAAACGTCGAAGCAGCCTGCAAAATCGTACAAGAGGCAAATTCTCTTTTCGAAGGAAAATACGAAGCTGAACCATTCGAACTCAGCTCATCATTCATATATTGGGCAATGATTTTGGAACAAAGCGGCAGATACAACGAATGTATCAACGTGCTCATTGATAAGCAAAAATATATCCTGGATGACATCATGAGGCTGGATTACGTAGGGCGTGCGGCAATCAAGTCGCAACAGTGGGATCTCGCACATGATGCATATAGGCAACTGATAACCCTGAACCCGGATAACGCAAGATATGTGATACTCTATATAGTAACCCACGAAACTGTTAGAGACAGGGGAATCTTCCAGATGCCAATACCAAAAATAAACAGAGCACTTACTGATGAAAACGTTACACAGATGGAGGATAACAGCACGGGACCAGAAGCTACGGAATTCACGAACAAAGTGCTACAAGGGGTCATGCCGCCCATCCTGTTAAGCGAAGAAATCATGGATATCGAAGGGGAATTCTCATCAAACAACTGGTGCGTCGAAAATAAGATAAATAGGATTTATGATAGATTTGTCAACATAATGAGAGAAAAGGCTGAAAACAAAACTGACACTACAAAAGATGAACAACTATTCGACGGCTGCCACTGTTATGCCGATTACACTGCTAAAGTTTCCAAAGCATTCAATGTGAAGCACCTGCCAAAACCAGAAACTTTAGAAGTCAAGGATGTAGAAACTGTCTTACGGGATTACCTAAAAGAATATCCAATTGCAAGGAACTGCGTCTACAGCACGAGACCAAAGATCACATCTTGGTCGAGGTACCCCCTCTTCTTTTTCATTAGGGAACTCACATCAGAAGAAAGCCAAATCTTAATCAATGCATTAAATGAAGTCAAAACAAACAACTATTTGGGAAAGGCACTCACGATATCCTTTACTGTAGATGACCACATCGGCATATTCCATGATGTCGTGCAACCACTAGTCGAAGGAGGATGTACCAGCATTGTAAAGTTTTTTGCGCATGGATCTACATTCAGTACCGCGTATCGACTGCTCGTACTGCTAGTAAAGTACCAACAGAACCTGGTTGAAGGACATCCCTTGGGACACAATATTGCGAAATCGCAAAATATAACTAATGCAGTAACAGAAATAAGTGCACAGGATCAAATAATGGCGCAAAACTACCTAGTACTAGTACAGATAGTAACTGCGAAATTATACGATTATCTGGGACTTTATCGCGAGGGATTACAAGTGTTGGAGCAAACGTTGGAGACTACGCCCACCGCTGTGGATGCCTATCTAGTGATGGGTAAAATATATCGCCACCTAGGAGCTTTCGACAAAAGTAGACGAGCATTCTGTATGGCATCAGACATAGACAGAAGCGATCGACAGACGAGCTCTAAGGCCGCCAAAGCAATCCTCAGAGCACATGACTTCGAAACCAGTAGATACAAGTGGAAAAGTTTCCTAGTGGAAGATGTAGGAAAAGGGCCTGTTAAAGAAAAGAAGGAGGAAAAAACAAGAGATGCACCACCAGAAGTCAGAAGCATGAAATTTGAACTAATGGCCACAGAGCAGTATAGAATCATTTATTTGCAGAATAGCAGCAAAGAGGATACAGACGGAACAATAAAAATTCATAGCGGTGAGCTGCTAAAAAAGGCACACGATGTTTACACGATGGTACTTGAAAGGCAACATGAAATATACCGGAACCAATTGGACTTCCACAACTATTGCCTCAATAGGTTGCAGTATCGCACTTATTACATTTTTCATCAAATCAGGGCCGCATACACGACGTTGATCTACTTTATAGAAGCTGTGAAGGGTATTCTCTGGACAACTGCTGAGATGCGCAAACTGGAGATTCAACACAATACAGTTCACAGCAGGACGGTGGAAAGTGTCACCCAAGATCATAACGTAGACTATTGTATCGATCTGATAAAGCTTATATCTTCTCAGAGGGCATATGATACGGGCCTTTACTCGGCAATACACAAATTTGCCGTTACTCTGGACTTGCCTCTTGCATACAGGGTACAGTGCGTAATTCGCACGCACTACGCGGCAAACAATAACCCTCTTCATCATCATTTATATCCTATGGTCTACAAATTAATCAAGGAATCGCAATACAAGAACTTTGTCAGGGGGATCCTGCAAGTACTTCCAACATGGGCTGATATAGTGTTAGATCAAGACAAGCGGGTGTTCATGACCTCAGATAAACGTGAACTGACGGATGTGGAGGCAGCCGACCTGTACCTAGAGGGAATAGTAGACCGCCTGCAGAAGACAAAGATGATGGATTATAGGCATTGTGAAGCAATACTGCAATGTTATTATTGCGGCTCACCTCCATCCGCTAATGTAGTACCAGGCGGTGATTCATATGTGGATTCTATACCCACATTTCGTGAGCTTAGGGAGCATCATTTGGAACTCAGAAATTTACTTCGCAGAATGCAGGACGCAGCAGACGTATCTCCGATACGAGATCTCCTAAATAGTGTGGAGGAAACGCTTAGAAACAAGTATCCTGAATTCAAAATACTTGTTGAATGAAACTCAGACGCGTAATCTCGTTTTTAATCTTGATTGTGTGTGAAAAGGCGCCATCTCGAATTGTAAATTTGCTTCCTTTTCAATAACTCGTTAGTGACGCAGTTTAGACGTTACTTCTTGCATATCCTGTGCCATACTCAATGGCGGCGACTATTGGTGAGCATTGTGGTAACCATCCAGTGCCAACGAAGTAACGCCATAGCTTATTAAGTCATAATCTACCTAAGAGAATCATAGCTCACGATAAATGCGTACTGGAGTGATACACAGAAGCTACGTAAATAGTCGTGGGTAATTGATGCGGTCCAAGAAATGGTTTCGTGAGCTTCCTGCCACTGACCAAACGATTGCTATGAATAGCAATTCCATGGTAGATCCCAGCAGCAACGGGAAAGTTGATGTGACGTGCCTCGTACATTCTGGGATAGGCGGAAGCTGTCACCTCTACGTTCAGATACATTGCCACTTTGTGTATATCATGTTTATCAAGGTGAGAGTTAATTACATCAATTTTCCTAGGCTACTACATATTATATTAGCATGTGAGCTCACGTTCTAATATATTCCATTAAATAACGGATTGGCGTATTGCATGGCTTGGACAGGTGGGTGTTCAACTGCATCGAATTGTGTGAATGTGAATGTGCAATCCTTTCCGTTTAGCCTTATGAAAGCGCCCTTGTTACCCATTTGGTCGCAGTAGTTTGGTGCACTAAATATCGTGATGATTTGTCCGTGGTGGTCCACTTCGTATCCCTCTTGCTTCACTTCGTGTGATCTAATGACTAGCTCAAGGTTGTTATCCTGAAGGAATTTAGACGTGACATCTGGGCCAAATTCACAAGCTACACCACGCTTTGAAGGTGTCCTTCCGCTCGTCGGTTTCGGGTCGGACCACAGCATGTCTGTCATCAACCCCTCGTCGGGAGGTTCTCGAACTCTATCTATTCTTCTTAGGTCATCCAACGTAACGCCGTCATTCTCAAACAGTCCACCGTGAACAACTAAAACCTTCTTGTTTATCACATAACCCAAGGGGAGGTAGCAGAAGCTCTCACGGAAGAGGGTATACATTTTATCGTCGTATTTGGCAAGTGCCTCTCCCTTGAATCCGTAACACTTGTTCAAAGACTCGGTCTCATGGTTGCCTCTCGTGATGAAAAAGTGGTTGGGGTAGAGTACTTTAGCTAGGAAGAGTGTTATCGTGCATTCGACCGAGAATGAGCCGCGGTCCACGAAATCTCCGTTGAAGAGGTATGGATTGTTCTCGCTTGGGAGACCGTTAATGTCGAATATATTAAGCAAATCGTAGAATTGGCCGTGTATGTCACCACATATGGTGATTTGTTCATGTTCTTTAAGCGATATGTCCACAACGGAGTTGCACTGCACGTATATGACGAAACGCGCCTCGACCACCTTACCTCCTTTAGTACTTTTATGACATCCAGGATGAGCATCACCATGTACTTGCGATGGAACTTGTTACCTGGGACCTGTTACATTGTTTAGATACGTCAATCGGAAGTCACTATTTCACATACCTTGATATAATCAAGAACTTCCTTGAAGAATCCAGCTTTATCCAATATTGGACGGGTATACACTGCACATGCATTTCAGTTGACTGCTTCGTCCGTACCTGGTCCAGTGTAGGACTCATCAACGCGTATGGCATCGGCATCTATTGTTACGTGCAGAGGGGGTGGTGTGTCTGCATTACGATTACACATGTGGCTATGTGTGTAACTAACCGATCATTATGGCCTCTTGGAATTTCTTCTCCCGAAGAATTGCCCGGCATTGCTTAAGTTTGGTTCGCGACATGGCGTCATTTTGCATAGAGAGCACTTTGATGAAATCTACATCGTCGTTAGTAACATGCGATTCACGTGGCACAGATTTCGATGCAGATTCATTCTCAATATACAACTTTCCTACCCTTTTCGGCATCTTTGAACCTCATAAGGCAAATGTATGCGCAACCACGTCGGTAGTACGCTTTGGCGTACTCGGGTTGCGCGAGAATAGCAGCTTCTGCATCAAGTACAGCTAAACCTGCACATTTTTGTCCATGATATTTCTAATGCCCACCATAGTTCTCCATTCTAAGGTGACATAACGCCCTGTTCGTGTATATTTGGTGGATATTGGTATGCTTGTAAAGCTCCGGGGTAATACACCTAGTTTCGTCATCTATGGTATTCCTGAGGTGAATAATGGCTTGAGAATACAATTGGATGGCGGAAGCGTAATCTCCCTCGCCAAACAGCTTGTTGCCTTCCAACCTTTTCTCATCGGCGCGCTGCTGGGCCTCCAAAACAACGGCTTCGCGCTTGGCATCCGCCATCTCTCTAAATTAATTTTGCAGTCGTTTACTGTGTATGGCAGAGTGTAGGCCGCAGGTTACAGGTCTCTGTTAGCTTCATATTGTATGTGGTGTGCCGTACCTCAAGGAGGGCATTTTTCGGCTAATGAAGTTGATGTTATATGCTCGTATTCACGATGTTTAAGTTTAATAGTCAATGAACTTGCATTACTTCGTTGGAATACAGCGATTAGGCTTCCATGTGTTGATTGCGCCGCGCGCTTTAACACAATCGAGTATTTATACCGTTAAATGTTTCGATACAACGCCAACCGAACTACATTAGAATTGTCATCTTGTGTTGTTTAAGAAATTAGCAACGACGCCGGTTTTATTGCACGCTGTCTACAACGTCATAGAATGTTGGTTTCTTGGTGTACATGTGATGTCGTTGCTCTGACCCAGTATTTCCCACCGCAGCAGGGGTAATATTCCTACATTATTCTGTGTCATTTTTTCCCACGAAGCCGCCGCCGTTATTGCTGCCCGCCGAGACGTGGGTGTGCGTCCACGGCAATTCACGACCGGCTTCGTTTGCCACTTGTGCGACATGCCTGTTGTGCTCCTTACGATTCATAAAGATTGTATGTGTTATCTACTGACCACCATTTTAGCAGAATCTACGGGCACGGCTTGCCATTTTGGGCTCCCATAAGGAGCTGGGTTACCCATCATACCTATGTGTAATATCTAATAATTATTGACTCTAACCTCCAAAATGGGTCTTTCGAAAGACGTCTTGTCGTTCGCTAACACCTCCTACCTTTTGGTATGTCTCTACGACTTGTTTGCTTTGTCTATTACGTAAGAGGCTTGACATTCTTACAAATTCGCAGGAGGCAGCGCAGAAGAAACGTATAGATGAGCTCAAAGAAGTCGCTAATCAAACAACCGAGGATCCTGTTATTGAAACTGGTTTGTGTATTTGGCATTTGCCAAAATGTTACCGTAGCACCGCAATCCCATGATGACGTTGAAGCCTGGAGGAGGGAACGTATCGCCGCAATAAAAGTATGTCATTCCAGCTCCTAGCATTATCACATTATAATAGCGTATGAGGAATAATGCTCGGGACTACCTGGAACATGGCCACGGTACGGTGGAAATTATCAACGACGAAAAAGAGGTTATCAACATATGCAACTCACATAAACGTGTGGTATGTTACAGAACACACTGCGACTTATGCTAACTCACAGATATGCCATTTTTATCACGAAGAGTTTACTCGATGCAAGATTCTACAAAGACATCTGAGCACACTCGCAGCAAAGCACTTGGAGGTCAAATTTATAACGTGAGTATTTTGATGAAACTTGAAAAGGTGGCACATATATTTCAGGATATTAGCGTCGAAATCGCCATTTTTTACTAAGAAACTGCAATTGCAAGTTCTGCCGACGATGATAAGTGTTTTGGATGGAAATATAACACACGTGTTTATCGGTTTCGAGGAGTTCAAAGGTACAGTCTCTCACCCTAATTGTCTAATATAACACAGGAGACAAAATCACACTAGAAAGCTTACGTGCTGGACTGCTCAAGCGTGGCGCATTGACCACCGAGGTATGTTGCGAAAACATGTATTTGACAATGCGTAGTGTTGTGATACCCTAGAGGATGATTACCATTCCGAGGATTCCGATTAACACTGAGTCACATGCTACGTTCTCTGGGACACGCTTATTATCGAAATATTGCAAGGATTCGTTACTCCTTTTAATTAACGCGAGTCGTAATTTAACGATCAAAAAGGCTATTAACCTAAATTATATTATTGATCAATTATCACTATTATACTAAGGTGAACCTGCTTAGGCAGTGTGTAACTCCCCGCCTACATTACACAGCAGAAAGTATATTGCCCCGTTAAAATACTGTTTTGCATGCGAAGTTTGCGCAAGCAATGCCTATGTTAAAGCGCATAGGCGAAGATGTCTTGGTCAATGTGTTCCGGGACGCGTCGCATGGTAAGTCACGCATTCCACTGAGACGAGCTTTCTCCGAACTCATTCGCTTATTCTACGGCAATGATAGTCATTTGACGAGCCGCAGCTCCGAATTCCTAAACGAGTTCTACTTGCGCGGGGTGGATATCCGTTGCGGTTTGCGAAGCCACGTGTTGATGGTAGGAGGCCCTAAGAATCTGCGTGGAAATCCAGCCGGAGGTTTGGACGCAAGACTGTTTTATCCAAACATCACATGCGAACAATTTGTCTTCATTGGAAAGGTTAGTTCAACAGTGGTAACAGCGACCCTTTTAAGGCCATGGAGGGCGTCCTCCTCGAGAAACAAGTTACGCAGCTTTCGGGCTCTCGAATCCGCGCGGAACGTACAACCAGCGAAGTAGCCGAATTGGAGCGTAAACGGCAAAGGGAATTGTTAGCATCAGTGGAGAGGTTTCGGCGTAATGATTAGAAGTGCTCGTGACATGCGTCCCTCTGTCGTTGGTCTTGAAATATTATTCGGTGCGGCGCGAGTTTCTTCTCGTCGGCTGCGATAGTTTGTTTCGCACTTTGCAAAACTTACCGATTAGTTGACCAGCGAATATAATCGAGTTTCTCTTCAGCTTATTCACCGACATTGTTGCCAAGATCGTGGTGTTCAGCTGTAGACGGCCCGTGCCGACCTGGTAGCACACAAACCGCTTTGAATCTCTACCCTGCATGAAATTGTTTATGACCAATGATATCACCTAGTTTTCCAGTGGTAAGGCCAACACACCTTTTTTGCGATGAGCTGAAGCACCACGGGGATAGGGGTAGTCCACTCCACACCGTTAAAGTGAGCAACACTACACATCTTCTGCAGTCAGTTTTGTTGCAACTACCATTTGTGGACTTACATTCTCGTAGAGCAATTCCTCGTCGTCCAAGATGTTAGTTTGCATATCCCACGATTTTTGTGTAGCCTCAGCTCTAACATGTGGTTCGTCAAACTGCTCATAAACGTCCGTAATCTCAGCAGTTGACTCAACTTTAGGGCATTGAAGGAATCCGTCGGTACCTTTTGATTTGATCTGCAACCGTTTTGTGTTACAATTCATTCCATGCCGATACCAGTTTGCTGAAGGGGCAGACATATTCACTGGGGGTCGTGGCAACATAAACGACCTTAATAGACGACCTGAATTCACGTTAAACAAAAAACACATCACATATAACGTACTTGTTCGAATCAGACTGTTTAGCTGATGTCGAACTTTCGCCTTTTGAAGCGCTGTCTTCACCTTGCGTTACTTCACTAGTAGTATTATCATTATCGATCGGCTCCTTCGGTTCACTATTTTGATCCGCTTGAAGATCCAGCTGTACAAAGATACATTACGACATAGTGTACGTTCATACCTCCTTTCGCTTGCACTGTTGTTTTTGCTCATTGTCTATCTCGCTTTTGTTTCGTTTACTGGAAAAGTGTCTATACGTACGCTCTATAACGTACTTTGAGGAACCGTCAATGCTGTCTGAAGATTCAGCTGTATCATCTACAGCAGTAGTGCTATTACATTCTTGATCTGTACCAAGAGCCTCGGACGTTTCTGTGCTTGACGGCGTAGCATCCGTAGATGAAACGTCCTGTTGGCTTCCCATAGCGCCTATTAAGCTAATCTTATGCTTTATAGTATGATTTTGTTGACCAAAATCGAGTACTTGCCGGCTTATGCGACCACCGGACCTATAGTTTCACGCGTGTTGGGACCACTATATCCTAAATATGCTGCGAAATTAAGAACTTTCAGCCCAACTTTAGGATAGGCATAGAAAGCTTATCCCGAGGCTTACGCAACCTCTTTCACTGGAAAACTAAGGATGGTCTTGCTTGTCGTTTGTGGTTGGAAAAGTGGGTTAATGTTAGGTGATTCCGTTCAGTAACTTACATAATCATGTGAACTGCCTTCCTTAGTAAAGATATGTACCATAACTTTTAAAATAAACTTTAAAATAATAAATGTGTTACTCTCCTACCAACGTGAATAATAATAAGATATTGGAGGCCTCACAAGAGCGATATCAACCGGCGAGGATTAGAACTGACACAGCTCCTATGTGACAACTCAATATTCATACACATCTATTTGAAAATAGTGAAAACAGTTAGTCTTACGGGGAAGGCGTATCAACGGGCAACTTTAGAGATTCCTGATGAGTTAACATTGATTGCACAGTTTCCTGAACTCCCTGGAGACTAAACGACATGGGGAGTCCTAATTTGTTGAACACTGAAATAGGTGTGTTTATCTTCCTATAGCGAGCAATCGGATGTGCCACTCGTGGTGGGGAGTAGCGTGGGGAGGCAGTCTTGCTAGGCCTCGATGGCCTTAACACGCACATACAGTGACGTCACATCGCACTTTTGCTGGTAAAATTGTGAGTAATAGCCGTATACGGTTAGTGGCTAGTCGACGTTACTTGGGTTCGCTACTTTGACGTCGTTGATTCTGTCGCCTCTACACTTTTGCACAAAAGCGGGGCGTAACTGCCGTATATTAGGTGTCTGGTATCCATATTTGGACTAAATATTTTCGTTTGTTTCATAGTTGTTGTTTTGGGAATACTGCCATGGGTATTTCACGTGACAGCCGGCACAAGCGCCGTTTGACTGGTGGGCGTTTCCCCGTTCACAAACACAAAAGGAAGCATGAATTGGCTAGACCGGCTTCAAACACCAAGCTTGGCAGCAAGCTGGTCCGCAAAGTTCGTTGCCGTGGAGGCAATTTGAAGTTTAGGGCCCTTAGATTGGACTCTGGAAACTTCTCATGGTCATCTAAAAGTAAGTTCAAGTTTAATGTTCATAAAGCGCGTGATGATAACTAGAAAGCTGAGTTTGTTGATGAAACTCTTCTTTGCTGGAATTACCGACTGATGCTTATCTGCCTTTAAATTTGGAAAACTGCTGTTGCACGCATGTACATAGCAATCCACATTTTGACATCTATATGCGCTGTATCTAATCGATTTGCAGATGTTTGCCGCAAAACCAGGATCATGGATGTCGTATACAATGCCAGCAGCAATGAATTGGTTCGTACTAAGACTTTGGTCAAAAACTGCATTGTGACCATCGATGCGACACCATTCAAGATATGGTTCAAGAACACATACGGCATTGACATTGTCAAGCCAAAGGGCGATAGCACCGAGGAAGGCGCCGCCGCGAATGACAGCGAAAAACTTATATCCAAGTCGCTGCAAGAGCAGTTTGCATCGGGTAGATTGTATGCGTGCATCAGCTCCCGTCCCGGTCAGACAGGTAGATGTGACGGTTACATCTTAGAGGGTGACGAACTCAACTTCTACCGCAGGCGTATGGACAAGAAGAAACGCGCATAAGTCCAGAAACGTTCTTTACTAATGTTGTGGTAGCATTTACTGGTTTCATTTGTCCTTTATTGCATGTTTTCGTGGATACACTTGCAAATGTACTAGGGCTGGTGTCATACACAGGCCATGGGGAGGTGGAAGTGGTGGCCGTGAAGAATCTATTCATTGCTTCAATTACTTTGGTGAACACGTTGTTAGTGTCGTCTTAGAGTGGTTTTCCGAATTATTCGACGAAGGCGTAACATTGGCTTAATGTGCCGACAGTATTTAACTTCCCGAGATCTTGGTATACGAAGCTACAACTAGATGTTAGAAGCGCTACAGCGCATGTGACTATTGAATAACATATATATTCTGAGCTATGTTGTTCACCTTTCTGGTAGCAGTGGATTGTTAATATGTTTATACATTTATCGCACACAAGGGTTTGAATAGATAGAGCAACTTTTTTAGACCTTGTAGTAACACGTCGACCGGATACACTATTCTGCAGATGTATATAGCGGCAGAATAGTCAGCAATTACACCAGATGTCATACGCAAAAGGAATTGGCCATAGATTTGGTCACCTTTACCGCCAGTAGTCTGACGTTTGCATTGAGGTCACCAAGCAACCATAGGGACCGGATAATTGAAAATGTAATAATATCTATATCTACTTATCCATATACAAAATAGCACGTTCATAGCGATTTCCCGCTCAATCAATATTTATAGAGTGTTGACCGGTTTTCGCAGTCCTTGATTCGGCAGCGTGGAGATTCGCTTATTGTACGCCACTATACGCACCGACTTTGTCAGTGCTTCGGTCTCAGATTTTTGTACGTTTTCGACAAAATCACGAGTGCTTATGTCGGAAATAAGACAACCGACCTGGCCACTCTCCAACGTTCCACTATGGCATGTATAAGGACCTGTCGACGTAGTCCGCTCGTCAGATTGCGTAAACAATTTTGCAACCTACATATAATAAAAAATCAAACCACTTAACTGACTAAAGGGCTTTTAAATGCTTTTCTCAACTGGCGTAAAACTTCTGTTTCCTTGGCAAGAAGCACGACAGACCCATTGGTAGTCAGGACGTTTGATATCGACGTTAACGTTCTCCAGTGAAGCAGATGCTTCATACTGCCCATGGATATTTGGCAAATGCAAGGTACTCACTTCTGAATGCTCACCGAAAGTATGACGCACTTGAAAAACGGTTCCGTGAGAATCGAGTGCATGTTGAAAATGTTACCGGTGAGTAGCCTGAAGTTTTGGAATGTATCGAAGTCTTCTGGAGATACAGAGAGGTTTCTGTGATGGTATTTATCGAATCAACAACGAAAGGAAAGTTCACGAAATAACACTTATCTAGGACCGTTTGCATCATGATTCGCATATGCGAGCTGAATATACATATCAGTCCGTGTACATAAAAAGGAGAATAATCAATGCATAGGGATCACAAATACGTTTTATGGGTGTATCTTTCCATGACCCACCTGCCCACGTTGTACAACGTGTTGAAAGCTACGTCGTAATAATTGCAAAATGAGACATGGTACACATCAGTATACTTTGATACATGGGCCCCCAAAACCTTCGAGTACCACAGATCGTAGCCAATATGCAAAATGCTTTCAACCGCATTTGGCTCCTGAAGGACACTTGAAGAACCGAACACATCAGACTTAAGCGGTGACGTCCGATTGAATCTATCACCATCTAGGGGTAATTTAAAGTACCAGTGTGACATAGGAGCTGAAAAGGTGTCCTTTTGCAGCCTGGAGGTCCTGTGCAAGTGTAGATGTCTACCCTCAATACCTACCTCAGAGGCGTGAAGAGTAACCCAGGTGGGTTCGCATAGTAGAATCCAGCACCGCCATCCCGCTGAAAATACCATTCTCTAAGGCACGTGTTGAAAAATCTCTGGTAAAGCGAGTAGTGAGTGCATGGCGTCCGCATTAGATAACGCAGATCACCTTCGACGGCCAGAATCCTACACCTGTCAAGATCCTATATTACACAACATATTTTAGCTAAAACTTTAACCTGGAACATAATTATACCGCTTTGTAGACGTAGCACAGCGACCACACACTTCACACAGTTGTTATAAAAGGCCGGCTAATCCGTACCAACACTTACTATTCGGTATTAAAGTTAAATCTTATGTCCTAAACATCAAGCAATAAGACGTAAGTATTCGTATGGCCCCTCCTGCTTTCCGTTCTTTGGCAGATGTTAACATAAGAGACAAAAGGTAGTGCTTTGTACACACACAACCCAAAGATAAGCGTTATTCCAGCCTGCATTGACACGAATGTATGACAACAGGTCGAATGCAACCACTTACCGCTGTGGTTATCTTGTTCACTGCTCCATTCGGAATGCGTTGCATTAACATTGCTTGAGATTCGACCAGATCTATTCAGGCACACACAACATTCCTTCAAGATATCCATATAGATTTCATTACTGCATTACAAAGTACAATAACACTTAAACTGTGGAGAATGGCGCAAGAGCTACATCTTGCTCGTCAGCTATAATTCTTGACCATTCTAGTCAAGGAACCCATTCGGCAATATTCTAGTAGTTGAATAGGTGCCGATATGTGATCTACTGCATTTAATTGTGCGACCCCTCATCCGATTTTCGTGAGGTGTACCGGGGTAACATCGCTGGGTCTAGATGTCGCCTCTCCCCAGATATAGGCGTCAGATGAGAGTCTTTGCTCCGCTTCGTTGTTGACGTCAGACGGATCATCGTATTCGTAGTTGCCCATGTAGGCATCGTAGTGTTTGGTGGTTTCCTTGGCCCTGAAGAATCGATGGCAAATCCAGTATATGAGACCAATGGTCACCAACGAAACTGTTCCGGCGATTATTACGCGCTTGGTGGTATGCAATCCCAACATCTGCAAGAAGCGTCTAAAGTATCCTGGCTTCTCGTCGGAACAGTAGTAGTATGTACCACAGCTGTCTGAGTACTTCGAGTGGATGTAGCCTGAGCACTTCAGAGTTTTAGTGCTCAACGCAGTAGAAACCTCGAAAGGCGCGTCGGAATATTTGTTAATTGACCTTGTTCTCGGTTCGATGTAACCGTTTGTGTCGATGTTGCAAGGGAAGTCAATGGCATCCTTTTCCAGCGGTGAACCTATGGCAGTCAACGCCATACTTCCAGCGCTAATGATGAGACAGTTTGGAATTTCATTAAGGATGCGACACAAACCGCTGTCACTATCGTAATTTGCCCAGTTCATTCCTACACCCCTGGAAGCGGTCGACGTACCACCAGTCGTTGCCAATGGCGAGAAAAGTGCCGTGGCAATCCTGCTGAGATCCAATCTTTTGATTCCGGAGTAGAGCTCGTCAAGTTCGTTATAATTCTCCCTGTTGACATTAATGTCGATATCAGTGGAAGAGTTCTCGAATAACAATGCCGAACATTCTTCGAAAGTGTTGACGTATTCTTGGAACGCTGGTGTCAACGCCACGCAGGATCCAGATACCCACTTACCGAACAGAGCATCCCTGACAGGATGCATCGGGCAATTTTCCTCCCAGTCGTGGTCAAGTCGGGCAGAACCATAGTACAAATTTGCATCTTCAGTGCTCTTGTACGGCCTCATACAAAGCAGTGAGCTGGAACCTTCATCTGCGGAACCGTCGTTGTCGCAGTACCTGCTACCCTGGTTATACTGCATAGCTGAGAAGAGGATATAACACATCTCTTCGTTGCCGTCAAAGACGAAGGGATACCTGTACTTAGTTAGCTTGTCTGAATTGGGTACAATGTTACTTGCGTACTCTGCACAGTTTGCAACATCGTTACCTGTGTACCCCCATCGGCGTAAATCGGAAGCTGCAACTGGAGAGAGCTGCACGCTGCTTGGTTGGCTGCGCGATCTTCCCCTAGGAGCAGTTGTAGTAGTAGCAGGGTTTTCGACAGCAGTTTCGGGAAAGGCCAAACCCCTGTAACTGGGGTCTTCCGAGGAAATGGGATCCAGGTAGTCGGCTCCATTGGCAAGTTCAATAACTTTGCCCATTACAGGACACTTTCCGATGGGCATACGATAGCTCTTTCTATTCACTGTTTCAGATCCACCGAGGTCGACAAAAATTCCCGATCCATGTACCCTAGGAATGTCAAACCTCTGCATGTATTTGGTCCATGGTGTCTGCGAAGAGGCCTTTGAAGATGATCGACCTAAAACACGTTCTGGTGCCTCGGATTCACCATCTGCAGATCTCCTAGATGACTGCCCATCTCTCCTGGACGATCGCCTTGATCCTCTGCTTGAAGAGGGGTCTCTTTGGAAGGCGACCAAGGCGGCCTTGCTTGCCAGCGCATCGCTGAGCAGCAGAGTCGACAGAATTATCGGCACAATCGCAAGATACAACTTGCTCATGAAGGCCGGTTTGCGGCCAATTGGCGTCTGCATATTCACTTCAACTTCGTTATATATCACTTGGTAAGGTTAGAAAAATACCCCAATATGCGGGTAACAACGATCGCTTGAGCAAGTAAATTCGCTTATCTTGATTTTATGGATACACACATATAGTTACTTCGGCCTTGGAATTCAAGTTGCTTGTCCGTATTCCCAACGAGTATCTCCTCGTGCCAACAGATGAAGCGCGCGGTGTCGCTTAATGTACCACTAGAGTGTACCACCCTCCCATTATATAAGAAGGTAGAAAGAAGCGATCTAGTGCCGCGATTGGTTAGTGTCAACCTTCCCTTCCAGCGATAACGACGCGGCGCACCACCGTCGCGGATTCCGCCTGTGCATACACATCGGACATGTTGATATCTGCAGAACAGTGCCATACAACTGCCGCGACAAAAAAAAGAAAGGTTGCCATGAAACACACAACTGTTAACACATAACGCATTTTTTTTAGTAACGAGGTGTTTCTGCCCCGGTCTTAAATTCAAAGAAGGTTAGCACATCGCCCAGGATCACCGGGCTTAGAAACCAACAGTACAAAAGACAACGCTAAACACAAAGCGGCGAGTACTCCAAGCACATTCTGTGCTGATATGAGCCTTCCGTAGGGCCATGAGGGGACGACCAGAGAAAGGGTCTTCGACCCTCCGTATTTCTCCGTATCATACGCAATGTTTCCGGTGACATACAGAGGTAACGCAATAGGTCCAACTAGCGACCCGTATAACTTCTTAAACGTTTTGAATGGCGGTGGCGTCATCCACTGTACAACATGCGCGTTCTCGATGCCTATTCCAGACTTCGGCGATGTCATCAAATTCTGTAACGCCTGAAGCTGCTGGGGTGTCTTTATGTCGAGATAGGCGCCTCGTGGCCTGGAGATCTTATACACTGGGCTGTCGTCTGTCTTGATTGTCTTTGTTTCTGGTAGAAGCCAGTAGTAAGTGTTTTTGCTGAAGCGGTATTATCGATGTCACCTAACCGTAGCAGCACATGATACATTTATGGAAGTGGGTATAGATTACACTTTTTGCAGACATATGACCATTTCGATGTAGCATAAACGCCGTTTGACAAACACCGCTGTCGTAGGCCTGAAATGTACCATAGTACGACACAACGAATTACCGTTGATGCGACATGCACTTTAGGTAATTAGCCAGGACAATAGAACTTGCTACGTGCATAGTAGCAATGTCAATAACTATACTCACTAGGCAATAAAACTACAAAACATATAAGGTGGCAACAACCTACTATGAACGACTGATCTCTTGCGTTGGGGGGTTGCGAACCATGGTGTACTCCTGGCGATATCCTAACAGCTCCTGAGATTCGTCCAATTCTATGGCAACGGGTGATGCCGAGGTATCCATCATTGTGAATTTGAAGGTGTCATTGTACACGTACCACAAGTGAGGGCCACATGGATAGACAAGCCTCTCCTTGCCTACAGGGTATGAAACGCAAAATACAATTCACTTACCATCCACAAGAACGGCGTTGTATGGGAAACACTTCTTAAGGTCTTCCTTTTCTACATCTTTACCCTCAAGCTGTTCTTTTGAATGAAGCTTATAGACAGCAGATCCGTGGTGCGGGTAGTTGTGAATGGAGTAGTATACATAAACCTTTGGAGCGCTAGCGAACCTAGTGACGTCTCCTACACAATCTGAATGGGTAACCGTGTAAGTCCATTGGCCGTTGGCCGCTGAAGGTTTGTCAGGGACGTTAAAAGTGCATTCGGTATGCAATCCCCGCCTTATCTGTAGTAGCACGAAAAATGCAGCGTTAAAGATGCCCAGTAGAAGCAAAACAACCCCAATGCGCCTGGAATTGTAAATTGTGTGCTGAGATGCGTCCGTTCTGAAGTGACGCAGGCCCTCGGCACGCGATTCCGCGGTGCTACGGCGTATAAGGACGTCACGCACATTGACCCCAGCGTCGAAGGACCCAATGGTTCCATACTCGCTGGAAGCAAAGCTCATAGCAATGCCCCGAATGCTGGTAATAGAGTTACTGCGATGTCTGCTCGTGGTTTTACTTTGATGAGATGCGCGGGAGTCCCGATCACGATCATCAGCCGTTGTCATTGTTGGATAGTTGTTGCATGACCGTCATTACAGCGATGATATGCAATGAATATCAACTAGAGTGCTGCATTAGCCGATTATAATAGCAACTGCGATTGGACTAGCGTTATCACGAAAGCATGTAAAAGATACTTGCTATTAGATAGCGCCGCTAAACCGGGCTTGGGCCTAAAGTGCCCTTTACGACTCCGTCGTTGATCCACCCTTTTCACGCAGATAACGATAGATAACATAAGTGATTCTCCACTGATGCGAATACGCTGACTGCTGTCTCCCCGCTACCTTCGATCAATAACTTCTGTCCACATCTACGAAGCTTCTTCTGCAACACACGTTACCAGAGCAGGCCCTTTCGAGCACCTATCAAAGGAAGCACTCTCCTATTTAGACTCCCATTTCAATGCTGGCCAATATCTTCGCCATTTCTAGCCTCCGACGCTCAGACACCCTTGTGTGTTATCAGCTGTCTTGCCTCTGCGGCGTGTAACGGAGGTTTCACCGTTCAACAAAATATTAAAGTGTGTGTGCCTAAAACACGTGTGTCACCAATGAGGCGAACGTCCACATGTAGAATTTATCGTTAGTGATCATTCTCGGTGTGCGGTAACACTGCGGGCGATTGCTCCACAACTCGCACAAAGTTTTTTTTGTACTTTCTACCGTTTATAAGTGTAACTAAAGCTGATATTTTATCTTGAGCTTTTGTCGGCTAAAAGCTGTAATTTTGTGTGTTTCCGTGAACTCGCCACGGCACGACTTACAAAAACTGTGAATTGCGTGCTGACACGAGTGCGCACAATAGATTCCAGTCCCCAATATGGGCGACAGATGTGAGTAATATATACCGGATTCTGATTGACACGATCTTTTCAATCGCTAAAATTTGTCGCCTAGGTGCATGGTCTTTCCTTCCGAAGAAATTACATACTCTTGCGTTATACGCCTGTAGTCAACCATACAGGGCTATGTGACCCTTAGTCATCTTCAGAGTGGAGGATTGAGCGGACTTGGGCCCGCAGCGGTCGGTTGAAGATGGCTACATCCCCTTTGCCTGCCGAAGACTTCAAGGCATTCGCCGAACATCAGAAAAAGCTGCTATTAGAGGAGACCGAGCAATTCTTCAGTAGACACAATCTGCAGTTGAAAAAATATGTTCTCCCCGTACCCCTGCCTTCTTGGGCTAAATCACTCGACCAGGTCCTCGACACTGGCGTTGAGCATGAGCCATACACGACCATCTACCGCCACCAACATTTCCTGAAGGCGCGCGTTTTGCGCAATTGGTCGTATATAGGTGAGTTCGTGCTCGTTTAATAGCCGAACACGTCCAGAAACGATATGGAACGTCTCTGGGAACCCAAGAAATAAAAACATCCCATTTGACCTTCGGCCACTCACGCGAGAGATTATCAATCAACTCGACGCTACAAACACTGATATTGTAGACCCAGAGTTCTCGGGGCTATTGGTCACGCTGAATACTCAGCCCTTCATTTCGAACGTGTCTAAAGACCTTCCAAATGGAACCATCGGCACGCAACATCACAACAAATCAAACCAAAATGACCAAGCATCAAAGGATGGCAAAAACGGCGGTTCTTCAAAGAATTTGCCGGCACAAGTCGGCAGTGCAGATTATAAGGCAAGTGGTAATCCTGATGGCCCTCACGCGAAAAGTAAGATTATCGCTGGAGCCATTGTGGAATGCCTTATGACGAACGAACGTTGCATCCGCTGTATATGGCTACACCCTCACCTATCTAAACATAGCTCAAGGGTGCTTTTGCAGGCATTCCTTCCCAGACTTATGCTGGAAATGTTCAACGTCCCCTCCGTGATGACGGAGAATGGGCCGTCCACGTATCACAAGTTCGCTTATGCCATGCACAACGATCTCGACATGTTCCCGAGACAATGTTGGCTGCTACTGGCAAGTATCAAGAAGATGTCGCTCCCGCGCCACTATGAACCGTCAACGTTCGATGAACACCCGGTAGAGTTGGAGTACGGGGAGTGTCACATGGACGAGGCCGGGCACTTACTGCTGCCAGAATTCTCAGGTATTGTAGACGATGGTGTGCTGACGTCTGTGGGATCCGAAAACTCTGTACGTAGCGTGGCGTGCAACTGCTACAACGAGAAGATGAAAAAGAGTGTGGACGCACAGGCCTGGCTAGACCGCTTAGTCGGATGCACGGAGAGTTACATGTGCATACTACTACCGAAGAGATGCGAGCGCGAGGCTTTGGGGCTAAGCCAACGCGACGGATGGCGCGATCTAATTCTTGACGGGCTGGATCGTTCCCTACTCGAGGAGGTAGGTTATTTTGTATATGCGTTATTTAGCCAATATGCCTATGCTTAACGACGGTCATTCTGTTGTTAAATGTGTACAATATTGCTAGGCTTACTCTTTGCCGCCGATTTTCGCGCTGCATCGGTACGAGCCCTGTCTATGCATTTTATGGCTACACAGCTATCCCCGTCTGCATGCTCGTGTTTATTAGTGTCCGGTTGTTCTTAGTGGTTGCCACGGTTTTGTCTTAAGCTACCGAAATTAGGTTCCATCTCCCCCCGCCATCTCCATTAAATTGTACCCAGTTTTTATGATAGTAACCCGTGTAAAATCATTGTAATATATTTTCAGTTGTTGGAACTCCTACCGGTTGATTCCCGGGACAGGTTTTCACACCTGTATGACCCCGAGGTTGCAACAGTCAATGTGCGATGCAACGCCAACCTCAACAGTGATTTAGAGGAGTGGTGCAAGTTGCGTAGCGAGGATTTGATAGACGTAACCAGTGACACGGAAATGTACATGAACGTAGGCGTTGGTGAAGATGATTATAATGTAAATCCCAACGGCAAGCGTTCGCGATCCCGCGTGTAGGCGGGCGAAAATATTGGCAATAGGCCAAATCTAAACAAAATACACCATGTGATAATTGTTTTTAAGTTTTAAGTTTTTTAAAAATCTTACATTTACTGCTGTTGACTGTTGCGCTTGACGCCTTCCGCTGAGCGGAGAGCGCTCCTGGTTACGGCCTCCTTCAACAGCATTTTTTGAAATGCCGCTCTGTACAATCGATGATTTTGAAAGAGAAGTACTAATTTTGCAGAGCGAAGCCCCGGATTTTTACGCGGACTCAGACGCTCCGTACGCGTCGGCGGTACAAAACCGCGAATTCGGTGTATTCGTCTTCTATCAAGCAGATATAGACGGTATATGTGCGCTATTCATATTAGAGGTGGGCATATATTGGCATGAGACATCATTGTCTAGCATCACAAGAGACTCAGTCATGGACTGAAGTTGACCAGCTACCCCGTGAACGGCGAAGCGGACATATATAGCTACATCAAAAAGAACCTAAGCATACGCTCGGCATACCCAGATGTGCAGGTAAGACTAGAATTCTGCCTATAAAGTGAAAACTATCTCTAACAGTGTAATGGCATGTTGCCCTGGCTCTTGGTTATTCCATAACACAATCTTATTCCCAGTTAACATTCCGAAACGATTATGTATCGGTGCTTAGATCCGTGTTTTCAACATTTCAAGACAATTGCATAACGATCTTAACTATTCTTGTGCTTCGTCGCATTACATATATGCTGTCTACCAGTGCCACCGAGGTCACCTTGACTGTAAGGATGCCGATGGCACCGTAAAATGTACATGTGGTATACGTGAATACTGGCGGGGAATTGTCCTAATGCCACACCATGGTATTATGTGAAATGCACGCTTCTGGTGGTACACAATATTCATATTTACCCTGTGTTTGTCACATAACAGGGCTTCTATGAATTCCTTTTTTGCACGTGGAAAGCTTAAATATACACGTTTTCTCATATTCCTCTGCAGCATGAAGGTTACGTCAGAGTTGTTCTATTGGCTGTCCATGGCTGGGACCCTCAAGTGCTATACGCCATCAAGGTGCACTTCTCACACCAACTCCCCGAAAAACGACGGGGAGATCTGAAAATATGCGTCGTACCGGCATCACGGCCGTTGAATTTCTTCAACGTTTCATTCGTAGGTTGATTGGTCGTGTATCTAAATTGTTTCAGGATGCAGACTGGTATTTTTTCGTGGCTAACGATCAGGAAGTGGCATTCGAACAATCAATCGTAAGTATAAGGTATAAGTTATAGTACTATTGCGCTGCAGCAAGATCGTGAAGTTGTTGGTGGCATATACACTACTACCTCAGTAGCCTCCATCATCGCATCAGTCACCAAAACGGTACATGAGTCCAGCCGCGCTGCGATTCTCTATGCGTCAGCGGTGGCTATTATAAGTCGCATAGAACACTACATATCACTGGACTCCTCTGTGAACTCGCAAATCACGAAGCTATTTCAGGAAATATCGATGCTGGATGGAGGGCCGTATATCCAATATGACTCCGAACGCACCGCACTACCACTCATCTCTTTCATGTAAGCCTACGATATTGAATTATTCACAACTCTCTTTGTTCTAGTGATACCTCATTTCATTGGTTGTAAACGTCTTACGTTTTCGTGCGGCATACTTACCTTTATAATATCTATATTTTTGATGTATTCACATCGTTGTCAGGTCATTGGAAGAGGCGCTCAGAGTTAGCCCATACGTCTTCATGTATGACCCTTTGCGCAAGGATGCACCGGCCCAGCTTCGAATTCACTGTAACCTCATGATGGACGAGTTTACATCCGAGTTCTGCAATCTCGACCCAAAACGCCAGCCCCAGGTGTTGCGAAAGATTAACGGGCGTATTAAACGTGTTGATCGCTCACAGCTATTATGGATAAGGCGCACGTGTAATATGCCTTGTGTGGACATGGTGTACATTCTCATCGCAATATTCGTAGGATGGTTAAACAAGGAAAACGAGTCGACCGTGGACACCGCTCCTGTCATTGCATCGGATTTCATGTACAATATATTAACAGATCGCATGTCGCAGGAGTCTTATTACGACAAGGTCATTATGACGCAGCTAAAACAGAAGACTGCACAGATGATCCTGTGCGCATATGATGTGATTGCCTCCTCGAAGATCAAGTCTAGGATGTTCGGAACACACAAAGTGCTCTTTACGACACTATACCCGAAACATAATATGGAGCATGTCGACGAACTGCGGTTCATAGGGTTCATGATATCGAGTTTGCATTCGCGTGGGAACACTGCAGAAGGGCTTTGCAGGGTTTTGCTGTTCATCAAAAACACAGGATCAAACGGCATACTAGCATATGGCTACTCCCCTGAAGTAAACGCCAGCTTCCCCGATATATGGGCACTGGTATTTCGTTCTTTGGCTCATGACGATCAATCGTTCGTCTTCGATGTGTTCCGGCCCACGTGTTTGGATATTCGATCTGTGGACGAGAATACGGCTAAGAACAGAATCACTGAACGCCTACGCATCGCACTGGAGGCTAAGCAGGTGTCTTATCTTACCGATAGCGAGGAACTCAGTGACGAGGAAGAGGCTTCTTTCGCAGGTAGCGAAGCCGGGTCACTGTAGAACAGATGAGCCCGACGTTGTACTTCGGGGAAGGTCATGTTTGTGCCTAGCAGCGGATAAAGTTTCCGCGCAAAAACAATTGGGCGCATTACACTGTACGTGGCAGATAGCACGCATTTAAGATCTCTACGGAATTTGATTTTTAAGAAAAAATAATAGATCATTGACCGTATAACTGTTATGGTATGTATTAATCAGCATCAGCCAAACTGTCTGACCGTTAAGCTTACGCAAGTTAAACGCAACTGGAAAGGGCTATATAACCTCCAGCCAAGTGCCCAATAGGCAAATGGATTGTTTACTATCTTGTCTTCAGCCGCTTCTTGAGACTGACATTCTCCTCCTTCAGCTCTGCGTACTTTTTCTTCAGCTTATTGTACAAATCCTTTAGTGTTTTCAGCTCGCGTTCCACGGATCTGCCATTAGGAGCATCGGACCCGATTGTGCTGGACTTCTCCGAAACGGCAGGTAAGGCATCTGAGTCTCTCGACGAACGAGTCGATTTGTCATTATGATATTCACGTTCCACCGAACCTGCATCCATGTTCATGCTAATCATGAGCTTGCGGTTGTAGTAGTCGTTTTTCTTGAAGTTGCAGGTGCAAAGGAAACATAGACGGAGTCCGTTGACACGCTGCCGTGAAGCCGATCCTCTGTCGAAGGCTGCATTGTTGTTGCATGATTCGCACTGAGTTGGCTGGCCATATTTCTGCAGGAGGTCATAGCAGCGATCACACTCTGACGTTGATCGCCATGCGGACCACTGGTTGCACAGCCTACAAAGCTTCGGTTCGCAATTATGAGTAGCCCAGTTTGAAGCGCATGACATACACATCTCCCGTTTGTATATACTTGACGCTTTGTCGCAGAACTTGTGGTTTGGGTAGCTCATTTTGCAATGGCAGCACTTCAACGAAGGAAGTTTCTTAGCGCATTCATCGCAAACCTGAATGGCGCTAGTTTTCCATCGGTGACGTTCACACTCCAGGCAAAGGCCGCGCTCCTCTAGCCTTGCTATCTTGTCCCATACAGAACGAGTTTTGCCATGGTCCAGCTCCGGCTTTGCAAATTTGCCCTTGTCAAGCTTCACGCCGTTTCGGAATTCTTCTCGGGTCTTCATCGTTGTTAAAATGCGATACTATTACACATCGGTATCCATGAAACACTAGGGAGTTGCAGCCAAAAGGCGCAGCACACAGCCAGCGATGTGGCAGCTTCTGCTGTGGCGACTCTGCCGCGCGTTCGCCTATATATGTCGGCGTAGGGAGGACACCCCGCCAGCGTATAGAGAATAACTGTGAGTGCCAAAATCAGTGTGAAATAGTAGTGTTAATACTTGTACTTAGTGGAGTAGTCCTTTGGAGAGATCACCAGCCCCCTGCCTGCGCGGGTGTGTAATGCTATATCAAAGAGTTGCACAGAAAATGTTTTTCTTTAGAGAAATGGAACGTGCAGACATCGACATAAGGGCAGCATCGCAAGTAAACTACGCAAAATGGCGTTCACGGCACCACACGCTTTCGTTAGACCGTTCTGATCCAGGGTCGATCCACGTTGCTGCTGATAAACAGCTCAAGCTGACCACAAAAACGATAGCCCCTCCTTACATTCACAGATTTTACTTCACATGAACAAGCAACTCGAACTTACCCTTGCGGGCTCCACGGAAAATCGTCTCTATGATATCGATTAGCTCCTGCTTGTTATTCATTGCCCAGTTGATCTTGTTGTTGTTTCCTGTACCCAAGTCGATCATCATGTGTTTGTTGCTACGAAAAGTGACGCGCAATATCAATCGCTTACCGATAAAAAAACATGACCGATACTGGATCGTACAACTCGTACATTCCATTGAAGTCTGGTACCTCGGTGATATCCACCTGCGTTCCCATTAACGTATTTGATACAAGAATTGGGTTCTTTTCAAGCAGCTATTGTAAAATCGACCGCATCTCGAGAGAACCCTAAACGTACCAGGTATATCACACAGAAGTTTTTGACATCATCAGCTACCTTGTAGAGCAGTTCGTCCATCTTAATACATTCAGGATTGTAGTCGTGTCCGAACCTAATACACTGAGACTTGTAAGGTTGTACGTTAACACATACCACCAATCTTTCTTCCTCTGTCACAATAGCTTGGTCCTGCACTTGCTGAGATATGACAGTATCCGCTTACCACCGCCCAGCCGGACCTGAGATGCTGCAACATATACGACATCTTCTTGACCTTAAAATCCTTGGTAGCCAATGGTTGCAGGGATACCGACCGAACACATAGAATGTCTGGCAGGAGCTTTTTGACACATATTAAGTGCCCCAATGTAACGTGATGTTACACCCAGCGTGGAAGAAGCGCTGTTGACAGAGCGCAAGGGTCGCCAGAGTAATCCCCTCGGTGGCAAGTCTCTCAGACAAGATTCTCGATTTTACAATGTGTATAACAAGACTGTGTACAAATATAGGAGGATACAAGTAATAGTTAAAATCTATTTTTCGCTTAAGGAATTCCGAGGCGCGCAAAATATAGCGCGAGCTCTATCCGGCTAATACGATGTTACCTGCGCCGTTTTTTGTACCTCGACACATTATAACGCATCTCAGTGTATAAATCTTTATATAGAATCGTTGTAAATTAAAATAAATCATTCCTAAGCCAAAGGGGAACAAAAGGTCGCTGTGTTCAAAGTGTTCTATTAAAAAGGGCGGCATTTGTAGCGAGATTCCGCTTGGTTACACTGGCATTTCAATAATATTCGGGTGTTGCTGGGCTTATCGCAATATTTGTGTAATCATGGTCTCTGCTTTGGCCGTTAGTCGGCACACTGAGGAATCGCAGTACCTGCGAAATTAGATGACCTGCAAATCCCGGATTCTCCTACCAGTGTGATAGGTATACGGAGGATTTGTGATAGCCTTACTGTCGTCCAGAGATATTTTGGACCCATAGAAGACTGTATTTTTTATATAGGATGGGCGAACGAACTGACGGTGACCGCCCAGAAGGGCAAAACCCGGGTGATACGGCAGTACCAGGTAAATTCTTATGCTTGAAAACGTGTATATCTTGTTTTTAGGTACTACAGTTGCTGAGGATGGTTTGGACGATACCGAACTTGAGCTGTTACGCCAAGCCGAGCTGGCTTTCGAGGCGTCAAAGGGGCGAAACATAGATATGCGTCATAACCCCGATTACATGGAGCGTATGCGTATTGAAGCGCGCAGACAGTACCTGGTTGGTCGTGAAGTAGATAGATTGGAGCTGGCTGAGCGGGCCCTGGGAGAAAAGGAGATTCTGTACAAGGGTGTGAATGATGACACAGCACGTCAGACGCTCGAATTCGAAAAGAGCACGGTGGAGTTTGCCAAATCCACTATGGCATCGCGTGCTGCCGATGTAAGCACATATGTAATGCCGGACTCTTATGACGAGGACACAAGCCAGCGTCTCGAGGTCCTAAAACGGAAACAGGCATACAAACAGTCTGATGTCGTTGTTGATGATGGACAAAGTTGGGAGACACAACAAATGAAACTAGGTGGTCTACCTTCTGGTTCTGCCAATCGCAACCAAAGCGGAACAGCTGTACTAGGTCTGGGATCTATGCAAGCGCCCGCAGGAGCGCCAGGTCTTATAGGCCTAGACGGTACCATCGAGTTCGTAGGGAGTGAGTGCCATTCTGGCGAACTGCCGCCCGAGTTCGACGCTAAAGCTATTGGGGCGAACCCAGTTGCCGCGGTATACGAAGCTGTATCGGATTTCAGCGAAGAGCAGGATATGACAGACTCCGAGGACGAGATGTCTGACTCCACAGCGTCCACAAAGAAACGCAAGACATTCGCTGACCGTGTTATCGCAAAGCAACTGCGAAAGCAACGCCAAGAACATCGAAAATTACTAGAGGAGCGCTGCCGCCTACCTATATACGGCTACCGGCATGAGCTTCTATCCGCAGTTCGCAACCACCCTATTCTGGTAGTTGTCGGAGAAACTGGTAGTGGTAAGACTACGCAGATACCGCAGTATCTTTATGAGGTGGGATATGGCAAAGCAGGTAAAATTGGCTGTACACAACCTCGAAGGGTAGCAGCCATGGCTGTAGCTACAAGGGTTTCGCAAGAAATCGGCTGTAAACTTGGCCAAGAAGTAGGATACACGATCCGATTTGAGGATTGCACAAGTAGCAATACAGTAGTGAAATATATGACAGATGGTATGCTCCTCCGTGAGATGATGACTGAGCCTGACCTCGCCAGCTACTCTGTGATGATGATAGACGAGGCTCATGAGCGCACCGTGCACACGGATGTGATATTTGGTCTAGTAAAGGACCTCTGCAGATACAGAAATGATTTCAGGTTGATCGTTGCATCGGCAACTTTGGAAGCAGAGAAGTTCGCCCTGTATTTCGATCACGCACCGATATTCCGTATCCCAGGGCGACGGTACCCCGTTCAGATATACTATACCAAGGCTCCTGAGGCAAACTTTTTGGACGCTTCCGTCATAACTGTGCTACAAATCCACGTAACACAGCCGTTGGGAGACATTTTGGTGTTCTTACCTGGGCAGCAAGAGATTGAGGAGGTTCAGGAGGAGCTACAGAATAGGCTAAGAAACCGTGGTAAAGATATGAGGGAGCTTATCGTGCTACCCGTCTATGCTACGCTGCCCAGCGATATGCAGGCAAAGATATTTGACCCTACGCCACCTAATGCCCGGAAGGCGATATTGGCAACAAATATTGCCGAGACTTCCATCACTCTCAACGAGATCGTCTACGTAATCGATTGCGGTTTCTGTAAAATGAACAGTTTCAGCCCTAAAACGGGCATGGAGTCACTGGTGACAGTTCCGTGCTCTAAAGCTTCGGCCAACCAACGTAGCGGACGTGCGGGACGTGTACGCCCGGGTCATTGTTTCAGACTCTATACTAAGTTTTCCTATGAGAAGGAAATGGATGATGTGAACGATCCGGAGATCCAGCGCACGAACCTCGCACACGTAGTGTTAAGTCTTAAGGCACTAGGAATTGACGATTTGATAAACTTCGATTTTATGGACCCACCGGCTCCGGAAACCCTAATCAAGGCGCTGGAACTGATTTACGCATTGGGGGCTTTGAATGACAAGGGGGAACTCACTCGCACCGGACGTCGTATGGCCGAGTTACCGATGGATCCTACCTATAGCAAGATGCTACTGGCGTCGGAGAAGTATAAGTGTACCAATGAGATTATAACTATATGTGCTATGCTCGGCGTTGGTAACAACATCTTCTACAGACCAAAGGACAAACAATTGCACGCCGATAACGCACGGAAGAATTTCTTCCGCACCGGTGGCGACCACCTGGTGCTGATGAACGTCTACAACCAATGGGAGGAAGCAGATTTCAGCGTGGCGTGGTGCTACGAGAACTTCGTACAACATAAGTCGCTCAGGAGAGCACATGATATTCGCGATCAGCTAGTAGAACTCATGAAGCGCATTGAGGTTGAAATCGTCTCCAACTGTAACGATACAGATGCAATTTTGATGGCTGTCACTTCTGGGCTCTTCACTCAGGCGGCGGTACGGGGCGGTCCAAAGAGCAGTGCGTCGTATCGGACCCTTAAACACCCGCAGAACGTCGACATACACCCGCAATCTGCTTTGTTTGACCAGGAACCTAAATGCGTGGTCTATACAGACCTTGTAATGACCACTAGGCAGTATATGCGCATTGTAGCTCAAATTCGCCCAGAGTGGTTAACCCAATTGGCTCCTCACTACTACACCAACGACCATCCTGCATTGCAGGGCTCAAAGAAACTGCCGAAAATGAAGCATTAATCATATTTTGTGAATACGTCATTTATTTTTTTCATGGAGTTGTTCCGGGGTTTGTATATTCGGCGGAGGTTATTCTGACCTCATCGAATTAGGCTCATCGGATTCCCTGACGACCATTGAGGTTTCTCCGGTGTTTTTCCAGATGACAACTTTTACACTCGTTAGTAACGATGCCTGGGCTTTTAACGCCTCACATTAGGGCTGTTACTTCCCTAGACGATTGCTCTCAATGGTCTGTCGCCCAGTGCTCCGGTGTATTTGGTCGCTTCTACACAGTTGGCTTCATATGAAATTATGCCAATTACTTGAATGGAGCTCACCGGTCAGGAATAATTGCACAAGTTCGGCCCTCAGACTATCTACGCATCGGCCAAGACTTTACAGACAACTCTACGAGGTCGTCAACGACGATTGACTGTTCAGTAAACTCATCAAGGCCATACATGACTTCCTATACGCCATCGGTGAAGCATTTACCTAGTCTAGCAACATTCTGGCTCGTTGTTATAACCTATCTCACGTACGGTGTGTTGCTATACTGTCTCGATTTCCATGCCGCGAGACGCTACCAAACGGTAGATTGTTGACAAACCCACCTTTGGAAGGTCGTATGTGCAACACCAATGCCCCGGCGCGAGAACGCGTTGAGATAGAAAAGCGCCGAAGCGAATTGGTACACACTTTTTTTACGATGCACATCAAGGAATGACAATTGTAATGTAAGGCCGAAATCTGGCCAACGTGGCGCGCCTCAGGGACACACCGGCAAACAGATCAAAATGATCGGTGCCGTTACGCGGCGAAAATGCGCCGCCTACGCTTATCCTGAAGCGTCAAGAATGCGATGGTTCTTCGTAAAACCATATGTGCGCTGGGAGCCAGAAAAACTGCTACACTACCCTGAGGTATCGCACGTAGACGATAGTCGCATCGACTGGCTCTACAGTGAGACAAACGACCCTCATTATGTGTACAAACACCGGCACTACATAGTGCAGGTCGTAGATATCGCAAAACAACTCTACAAAAAACTAACGAATTTTGGGCCTTGCGCATTGCGTGAAGTAGCCGAATGCATCTACTATCGCACCTACGCACATCCCTATTCCATCCGCTTGTGTTACTTAGCAACTACAAACCGGCAGTGGAGATCACCTACTTCACACCTTGAATGGACTATCCGCTCACCTGGTGCTACCAGCCTATTCTCACGGCAGACAATGGATCACTGTCATCTCTCGTATTTTAAACTATAAATCACACTACTATCAGTGATGTAGTATAACACGGTGTTTTAATATTTAAAATAATTACAGATGTTATTCGATGAGCCTACGGTCACATAATCGATATACATCTTAATTGTCTTCTATTGTGGTTATAGACATTAATCTAAAACTAGGCCTTAAGAGTTATCAACAGAGAGGCAAAGTCATTATTAGACATCTCAAACAATATAGATCATTATTGCTACAGCTACTAATTACAATGCAAAATAAATACAGAAACATTCAGACATTTCACCTTGACATTGTTAAATGGAAACCTTTTGTACTCCCTGAGTGGTAACCTTAGCCGTCGTATGGGATCGGATTGGATTGGTTAGACAACAACAATGTTATATTGTCCCTTTTAAGTCTATCGAAAGCTTTTTACAGTGTTTTTGTAACTTTTGGTCACCGCTCATTGCCTCTACTATGAAGGTCGGAACCCTTAAGTTTAAAATGATGACACGTGTACACTATATTATTGTAGAAACTGATTGATTATCATCTTACCGATACTATATTGAAAATTTGTGGTATCATATTTGCATTAGGTACTTCCCCCTGGATGGATGCTAGCGGAACCAGACGGGACAGTATGTTCTAGATATCTAGTTTGTTGCGTTATAAACCCACCTAACAGTTATCAAACAACATATATCGTATGGAAGGTAACACATTTTAATGAAACACTAATGTTATATTGAAAAACTCATCTCTTGTCACTGGGTCAGTCACACTTATTGACCACCCAGTTACCCTTTGGCTTGGGTGTATCTGCTGTAGACTATATTATTGTGGAATTTGATTAGTCATCATGGTAGTGATAATATATTGAAATTTCGTGTTGTCATATTTGGTTTATGTACTTCCCCGTGTACGGAAGATGGTAAGTGGGTGGTGTAGATGACTTTCAACGGATGCAATAATACCTCGCCGACGTGCTGTACGAATGGCCTGCTGCATCCAAATACTATCGAGAACGATAGAAATATAAGTAGACATTAATGGGAGTGAACATTTACATGTATCTCATTCGCTGGTGGAAGGGCAGCTCTATCATCCGATGCTAAGATGTATATACAAGATAGATTTATTTAAATATTGTTACTTGTACGATTTTCTATTGTGAAGCATTAATCACCCTCTCAAACAAGCTCTCGTTGTGCAAGTTCAGCTTTTCACAGAGCAGAGCCTGTAAGAGTATTTAGGTTGAATAACTAACGATAGTTACCATGACATCTTCGTCAACCATCGTGAGGGAGCTGAAGGTTCTCGATTTTTGGAACTCCTGTAATTGATACAATGCACACTTATGTAACAAAGACATACGCTGATTACTTTCGAGCAGCGAAAATCAATCTTTACAAAAGACTCCAGTAGTTGTATCATGTCTTCGACTCTGGAAAGCGATGTTTAATTTTACCACTTTCCCGGGAGGAGTATACATCGATCAAGATTGAAAGAGTTGGTGGACAGTGCAAGAACCAGCGAGGATGACGATTTGCCAAAGAAAAGGCATACTGTCAGTGAAGGCTCTAATTACCTACCCGCTAACTTTGCATTAAGTTCACATACCTGATTTTGGCAATGCGGGGGATAATATTATCTGCAATTGTTTGGTCTAACAGACGCTCACGGTAGAGCATATTTGCCAGCGAATGTACGAGCAACAATGAATCCTTCAGGTCAAACACTCGGTACTGCACTTTGTTTTGCTTCCTCTCTAAACTTACAGATTCCGAGATTGTAGTTATAAGTCGGTCGATGGCTCTCGAAGAGTGGGTTTCCATCCCCCAGACAGCAACGTGTGAACTAAGTCCAAATAGTAGCAGCAGTTTCGCTAAAAGCATTTTGGTAAGTCTATATAACGTTTTACCTCTAACTGGTATGGACAGGCTTTTTTGACCGAAAAACTTAGTTACAATTGACACGAGCTCTGGGTACTCAACTCCTAGAGAGGCATTGAGTGCAAACAGGTCTGCAGCTCTTCAACAGCGTCATTGTGGGTTTCTCACCGATTAGATGTTCGACATTAAGGCAGTCACTAGCTTCCACAGTCCATCGCTTTACTGCCGTAGTTAATGCACTCTTAATACCGGACTTAATTTCTTCAGAAAGTGCATTTTTGCACAATAGTTCAACCAGTATCTTAATGTACAACTTGTTCAGTCGCACGTCGACATCTAGATCATGTTGTCTTAATCAAAAGTCCAACTAACCGAATTGATGTGCGTTACTCAGAAACGTGCATACATCATCGTTTGATAATGCCCCTAGGTGTGCGGCCGCTCCTGCGTAAAAGTCCTGCGATAGAAAGTTCCCAGCATCAAGCAATAGCTGATCACCCAATCCTTCTGTATGAGATGGCGTCTTTGCGGCAAATGCAGCATAGTTTTCACTGTAATGGCGATGTAAATAAGGGAATCCTATGTAAAGATTGCGGGATGCTCTGTTGCCAAAGAATCCAAGATGAGTGGCCTGTACCAGGTTGTAGAATATCTTTAGATGCTCTCTCCGATGTTTCTGTAATTCGCCTTTGAGTGCCAGTACCTGGAACGCTAAATCTCTGGTCTCATCTATATCTTCTGTGCCCAAAAGGGATGCGTGGAACCTTTTTCTTACGTAATGTGAAAGTTGGACCACATCCATGGAAAGTATGTTAGTGGCTGCTTTGTATGACATTGCCACAGTGGAAATGTGTGACGGGGATTCCAACGCGTCGCCGTGAGCAGTATGTTGACTATGATGGGGAGATCCTACGGGGAATGACATGATTTCAGAAGGTATATTAACGCTTTGTTCCTCTATGTTGCAATGTGCAGAGGTTTACTGGGTGTACACGTTCACTTTCCATGGAAGTCGAAGGCCTGGGTAAGCGGGTGTTTGATATGTTTGTGAGCTCATTGTGCCACAGATTCTGCTGCCCTGAGGGCAGTATTGATGCGAATTGACAATTTTACCGGCGAATATGACTTCCTAGACCCGGATTATAGGTGCATAGTGCTCTTTAATGGCCTTGAGTTTCGCTCCATCATCCATGGCGTGCGCTTCTTGCGCTATTCTCACATGATAGAAGGAAAAACATATCGCTACGATGCCCAAGAGCAGCCGAATGACACCGTATCAGACTACATATCACGCATGGATACTAGTGAGGAATCAGAATGTCGCGAAGAAGTAAGTGTCTTGCCGTGTTGGAGTATACCATGGTGTTGGTGACTGGTCACCTTTAAGTCTTTGCGTGCCCACCTTTAGTGCAATACTTTTGATCTAACCCATTTACAGAACCCGTTGTGGGCCGTCCATCGCCATGAATGGCTGGAGTTGTTGTTACGCGACAAATTTAGGCGGAACGGAGGTAGGCTTTGACTTCGAGCATTTTATCACAACCAGACATACGTAACCGTCTGGGGAAGACGGGTGACAGACGAATTCTTTACATTTCCGAGGATATGTTTCTAGGGTCTGACGGGAAGAACGGCCAAAACAAAATCGGGCGCATTACTGAACAGATAAGAGACGATGTTGCAGCCCATAAAGATCATCGAGGTATGAAAATAACTATGAAGTGCAACACTCTTGTTTTATTTGTGTTCTGTGTTTTTTAGTTGGACCTTTACACGTCTAAACATTCATATTACTGTTGCTTAACAGCTTATCCGTTTGCGCAGTTTGGCTGTTCATGTGCCAGAATATGTGTTCTGAGAACTTTTCGATTTCTATTGAGGAATCGAAAGATGATGGTGGCATGCATCGCCATAGGTTCGAAGGGAAGTGCTGCTACGACATTGGCCGCATCCCTTCGTGCGATTTGAAGCCTGCTAATCCGTCTATAAGCCGTGTTCACGCATCTATTTGCATGAACAAGCGTGGTCGTGTCTGTCTGGTAAATTACAACACAGCCACGGGTGTGTCCGTGAACGGCAACTCTCTGAAAGCTCACGAGCCATTTGCATTGACTTCCGGCGACAAATTCACACTTGGAGCTTCCAAACGCATCTACAGAGTAGACATTGACGCGAACATTGTCTCAGAGACTATGGCCACTATGGAGCGTAAGCGTCGTGAGCTGCAGCGCAAGGCGGCTATACAAGCACAGCGAGTCAACACCGAGCTGGAGACATTTTTAAAAGGTCATGACGAGGTACGCTGATTATCTCACATATTAATCGTTCTTAGATTATTGTTCTCAACGTGAGTTACAAGACCAAAAGGGCAGATTTGTACGACTTTTTTTCGTCATGTGGCGATGTAGAATCGGTACAGCTCCCCCAGTCACGCGGCTATAGCGATGACGCTACATCGGACGACACGCTTGCGCAACGTGGAATAGCGTTTATTAAGTTCAGAGACACCAAAAGTGCCGCTCGTGCTTTAGAGCGCGATGGCATGTACCTGAACTATCGTAAGATTCAGGTGAAGTATAAGTCGGAACCAAGTTCGAAGCCCCGGCGTCAATCGAGGTCTGTATCTCGGTCGCGTTCGCGGTCTGGAGGTCGACGTCGGCCTTATCGCCGTAGCAGACACAGCAGCCAATCCAGTGATCGCAGTAGCTAAACAGATAACAACCATAATGTATATGTATACCAGATGTTTTGATCTCATTAGAGCAGTTTTGGTTTAATAAATAGGACATTGTGTTTAGAGATGATTAGACACGTGCTTCTCAGAGTTTCTTGTAGCTCTCAAAAACACTTCTACGCCAACCACTGGTTGAGATAGTTACACTTGGCTGGGCAAATTTCGTGTTCCTTGCTCAATTGACACGCGTTAGAAATATCGCATTTAAAGCAGGGTGTTCCGAAAGCCTTGCTTGCAAAGCTGACATTGGCACCACCAGCCCACTAAGAAACCCATTAATATATCAATGGAGCCCAACTTACAATATATATTGTATTTCCAGTTGCCGTTGGTGCGCTGTATACTTTCTCCTCCAGCATTAGAGTTTTAATGATCGAGAGCACGTCCTCCTCTACGACTTCCTAGGCACATGTGTATCTGTGAATTTCATCCTCTTACCCCGCTGATTTTGTCGGAGGTCTTGAGGAAATTTGTGATTTGAGTAAGTGAAGACCCCTGGTACTTTGCCAGGAAACCTCCAACCTGTTCTTGTATATGCTGCACGTAAATTCAAGCAAAATCTTCAACAATCAATAGGCATCGCAAAAGGTTTCAGAGATGAAAGATGGTTATAATCATTGGATCCCTGATACGCCACAGCTGCTGCAAGTTTCTATCCTGTTCGCACTAGTGGCCTTGAGCAGCAGGTTGAGGAAAAGCAACTCAGCTATGCAGTGGTCGATTTTTGTGTAACACGAGACGGAGATATTATCATTGCCATGGTTGCCGACTTAACACAATAAGATGACTCACGTACCTCTACCAGAATCTCATTGAATTCCCCATTGAAGTAAAATGATCCTCCAGTGAGCTACGACATATAGCGTCACCATTTGACGGACATACCTCCCTTGCAGGTTTGACATTAAAAAGCATGTAGAGTTTGCGGTTCTTCTGATGTACGTTCGTCACTTGCTTCACGAGCCCATGCTGCTCAACGAGTACCCTCAGCGAGCGTGTGAGCTGGTTTCCCTGTGTGTTTATTAACACCTTTACCTTGTACTTACTGTGATTTCGCACAGCTTCTTTATATCAGCTGTCCATATACCACGATCACCAGCAGTTTCTATAGCGCAGAATACAGCGTATTCCACATCTTGGAGTCTGGCGACTTGTTGACGTGAGACAGCGTCCCGCAACCTAACGTATTTCCTCCCCTCCGCATCTTGATGAAAGCTATATTGCCTTGATCCTTTAAGAAGCTTGAGGAAGTTGATAAAATCTACAGAATTCGATACTAGCCCATGTTGTATCGAGTTCCTGAACTTTGCGATGTGCCGGCCAAACACATCTTCCGTAAAGATGCCATTATTTTCCAGGCACAGCTTGTACACGAGCTCAGCTTCGTCCCGTGATAGCGCCATACCTATCTACTTCCCACTGCGTTAACCATCCATGTTCGATATTGAGTGGCTGCTGATGTGCAGAATGCGGCGCAGGGGCCTAAGAGCTTATAGTGCTATATGTGAGAGTGGCTTATCAATCGCTACCACTTTATCGGTGTGCGGTGGTATGGCGTTTGTCAGTGCTGCTACGTGGGTTTGAAATTGTTTTGCGCGTCGAACCGCGGCAGTGTCGCCACGACAAAATTGTCATAGCCGTTACCTTCTAAATACTTGAATCCTCCTAGACATTTCATGACATGAGTTTGAGCGATTTGTTGACGGAGTCTGCAAAGAATTATGAACCACAGTGCTGCTATCCACCTTGACTGTGCGCTCATTGCAGTCGCTCCATCGGCAACAGCATCACCGGTTAGTAGTTGCAAAAAATTTGTATCGCTTGGTTTGCTTTGGGCGGTGGCTGGCTTCTTTTGGGGTCGCGTCCCCGAACGGCGCGCGCGCTCGCTACGCGCGCCCGCTGAAGTCTCGCTGGGGACTTGCTCTACCACTGGTTCATTGAGAATCAGCTCTGCCGTATTATTGAGCGACGATAATTGCTCCGAGAGTATGTTGTGGAATTTTCTTTTCTGGTTTTGGGGCCGTGGATTGTTGCGATTAATCAAGGAGCATTGCTCTGCGATAAGCGAATTTGTAGATCGTGGCATTTCTTTATGCCCGGAACATCCTACGCCATTGTCACGTCCGTTTCATAGAGATGCAAAGTTAAACGCCTTAATTCACGGACTGACACGCGGGCCTACTCATTCAATCCCATACGTGCCTTACAATATCACCGCTGTGACATATCTTTTAACAATTTGCGTGGTTTGTTTTTTACATACGCAGGGATACGTGTCCACGACCCTCGCTGTGTGGGCATTTGGCCCTCTGCCTCACATGACACCCTAGCAGAGAGTCCAGCAGTGCGTTTTCATTAGACACCGTAGCTTATGGAGCGTAGATACTCACCAAAAGGAATCTGCATCGTTTACTGCCGTCATGGCAAGCACTTGATAGGTGGAGTTTGCTCTGCTGTCCAGCAATTCTTGCTGGCTTCATCGCGAAGGTGTGAATCAGTACGTAATCTGTGACAGCGCGCGCGGCGATCCAAGATCGCCATGCTACCACAGGCACGTACCATATAGCCAGAATGCGTCACATCCTATAGTTTTCACCCACTCATGTAGTGGTAAATGCTTACCTGATTGACCTAATAGGCCACTGCTGTTAATTCCGTTGGTCAACAACGTTCACCAATCACTCTTAAAACCCTATCTGTTGATAACTGCGGCGTCATACTCCACCCACAGCCTCGCCGGTGTAACTCCGCCCAGGGCATCACCTAATTTTGCAGTTTTCTCTCTACACTGCGACAAGTTTCGAGGCATTTTAAGACATATAAGCACAAACTTGGCGGCCGCCTGTCGGGAAACCATTGAAACAAAGCAATTGTACACATGCGCTGCACGCATTCTATTTAGCGAAATACGTACCGTACGGGCAGCTGGATTACCACAAATCCGGTTTATCATGCTGCCTTGTCAGTCGGCCAAAGAGCGAATTTGATTAACATAATATCACAGTTTCTTAAATAAAACAACAATTGCATATGACCTCATAGAATCGTTGTCTTGTTTCTTGAAGGTTAATTAGGCCTGTGGTGTTTCGGCGATCGTTCACCGTGTTGATCCCTCGATGTGAAATAGTTTGCCACCCTGTTTGGTACCGATCTATGGTACTTCTGCCCTGATGATAATAGTACCATCTGCGATGCCACTCCTTTGTTGCTGAGGTACCCGTTAGCATCTAGCGTGGCCTTTGATAGGTCGGCTACTTGGCTGGTCACGTCGCCCAGGCAACGTGGAGATAACGTTAACAGCAGATCAAAAATACGGCCATTTTTGGTACCGTCCATCTTGAGTTCGCTGCACATGTCATCTATGGTATACGATGGATTGCAAGCTACTTCTTGTAGCATTACTCGTTTCGCGAGGAAGTATGCCACTGGTGGTAGCTGTAGCGCCTCGCAAAATTGTACTTCTTTCTCTTCCAAAAAGTCTGTCAATTTGATTTTATTGGTGCTGGGATGAATCATATCATGATCTATCTGTGGGTTCCTTAGTCTGCGTTCGATTCTACGTCCGGAGTCATCGTGCTTCATTTGGTCTTTGTAAGAGTCTATATGCGTCATCCGGTCTTCGTATTTCTGCATGTTGTGTATATTTTAATTCAAAGGACATACGGCTATATCTTCAACCTTTTCCAACCCCAATGCCCTCCACGTCATAAGCTGGAAGAGTCGTGTCCGCAGCTTGCGCTCACGTACGAGCAATCGCACCGTGTGGTCATGTTCCTCTACCGTTTGGAACCTCAGGAACGGCCGCAACACGTTATACAGCTCCTTTTCCTCCAAAGTGCATCGGCGTTCCTTTTGCTGCATAGCTTTAGCGTCGAGGAGGCCCCTGTAAAACGTGAAGATTGTTGTAATAAGTTGTACGGGAGATTAAAGCTCCACAATCCACATTTATTTATAATCACAAGCAGCGTTTGTGTGGAGGTGGCTGACGCTGGTGCCTTTACTCTGTCACAGTAGGTATAATCTTACCTTGATATGATAATCTTTTTGCGATATATGCGTTCGTCAAGCTTGGAATTATAAATTTCGATGACCTTCAGCTTGAGTTCGATTTGTTCGGGTGAGTCTTCTGCCCTGAATTCCATGTCTGCCAATATGAGCTCCGCGTCGTTATCGTATTCGATATCGAAATCTCCACGCAGTGGCCAATATCCGACTACCTGTGGCTTGTTAGCCGGTTTGTTTTGTGACGCTGCATTTCATGATTTTTTTGTATAGCAAACCTCTACCATTTTGGGGTTCCTCTTCGGGTGGCGTTTCGGTATTGCAAGGTACCGGAACAGGTTCACCGTTTGGCCCATGTATTACGCTCGTTAAATCCTACGGATCTATGTAATTTGTCTTTCGTCACATACCGGTAGCGGCGCTGTGGGCGAATTCAGGTACACATTATAGTAATGTTGCTGGCATTCATCCCAGGATTTGTATCCGACAGATGTCATAGAAACCATGTCACTAATTTCCTACAATTCCATTAATTGTTGTCTCGCAATGAGTGTAAAAATTATGTTATAGGGTGGAAGGAAGTTGCAATGCCAAACAGCTGACCCAACGTGTACACCATCCACCTAGCGGCAGCAGAGCCGAATTTCGCTCAACCCCAAAGAAACCACGGCTTCGATTACCGGTTTAAAATGGGAACCACCATCAATAAGACTAAGCACACCACGTTACATCATCGACATATTGTTGAGATATACACCCGAACAAACCTGCCAATTGCCGAGCCCGTACTTGGCGATCCCATCGATGAGCAAGATTTCTTGTTCAGCACTCCAGTCTACACATGGATGTAATATAAAGTATAATTTTGATTATACACGGGCACAATTTCGTTTCATACATGTGGTCCGGTCCGCCGCTCCACATTTCCTATTCTGCGCAGACACTACCACGCACAATCATGAGTGTATTCATTGATGGCTAGGACCGTGTAAACACAACACCTTATTAGTCCAGGTATATGAACGTTCAATGGACACATTGTTATGGTGAGCATCATTACCTGCCGTGAAGAGAGCGAAGTCATTGGGTCCCACAGGAGTGTATTTGTGGTAATTTTTGTGTTCTTCGTACTCACTATTGTCTGGCAACTGTACGAATGAGCTAGCTTGAGCTTCTTCTATAGGTTTTTCGAGTCCCTGGCAGAAACACTTGACGCACGAGTGAAAATCCTTGCACTCAGCGCATTTGATATGTCCACGTCTGGAGCAGAGTCTACCGCATATATTGCATTGAACATAAGGTCCAATTGCTTTGACTGTTGTCCTTGGTACGTCTTTGGACTGTGAGTCAACGCTGCGCCCCTTTCCCGCTGTGGAAAAAGTCCGTTTCGCCACCGAGTCCATTTCGTCCTTTTCAGTCCCTCATTTTGTGAAATATTGTTAGTACAATTTAGGGGCATTGCCACTGTAAACTATGTGATAGATACCGCCTCTTTCGGCGAACGGTTTGCGCTCCGGGCGTGCCCGTGTTTTAGTCGCTAGGCGTTTTGTAGTGTTATGCCATTATAGTTTAGCCCCCGTTGTGGCCCTGACTGCAGGCATCATGTGTGTGTTTTTTGTCATGATGGTTTGGAATCGTGACATGGCCCAGAAAGATGAGATCTGTGTGTCGACTTGCGTGCTGCCGCCATTTGTTTAATGACTAGCTCTTTTCGTCCTCGACGTAATCACTTCGTCTTATTTGAATTGTTTTTATTCATACTGTGCTATGTAACTGCGACATCCTCACCGATACGCGTAAGATGTGTTCCGGTGATTCAGATGCCTAATTCCGTCAATGCCTCCACTGTTCTCGCGCTACAACCGCTTTCATACACCTATAGCCAGACCTTTTAGATTAATTAGCTTCTGTCTTAGTTCACGTATGTACTGATATACGGTGCTTATGCTGCCACGTTTGGTATTGGTTTTCCACACTGAGCGCCATTACCGCTGCCATACCGTCCCGGTATACCATCGACAAAAGTTCCACAAAATTTCATTTCCCTTGCGGGATATCGCACATATATACAATAACCCGTATTATCGGTAGTTATTTACACCTCAACTTGTTCCCATTGCGGATTCGCGATGGCAAGGTCACGTTTGCGTGGTGACAGCCATCATAGGCCTCGTAGGAAGTCTCGTCCGGTAGAGGATGAAGAAATTTCTGAAGATGAAGCATTTACCGAAGAGGATGAGCTCAAATACGGTCGATTTTTTCAATCCAAACGCCCTCAAGCCTCGGAGGAGACTGGTGAGCTTTGGGATTGTCTGATTGAAGACGCTGCTGATGACTATACCACTGAAGAATCGACCACTACGAAGGCTGCTTCACAGTCGGTACCCTCAAAGGTTGACGCCAAGGCACTTGCCCTCGATGATTCCTACGACGAATTCACCCGTTTGGAGGAGTCTGCCGATTTGATTACGGAGGACTCATCTGGCGCGGGTTTGGCTGGTTTCGAATGGATTTCGCAGTCCGCAGAAGGTGACTCCAAGTATGCTAGTCTGATCAACCGGTTCCGAGAGATCCATGAAGACCTGCCAGAGGTGTTTCGCGAGGAATCGCGAGCTAAGACAAGTCGTGAAGAGCGGAAGGAGTTGTATGAATCTCTTAAAAAGGATGCTACCAAGCGTTGGGAACCTGTGGTTCAGCATCTGAAGCGTCAGAAACATCTGACTTATGGTGAATCCGGTGGCCGTTCGGACCCTACTTGCGGCTCCATGACTCAGATGAAGGCAGAGACGGACCTTGAAAAGGAACTCGAAGAGCATTCTAATGTGGCTTACGAACGTGCATTGCACGCACGTGAGCTACGTAAGCAGAAACGTGTTAATCGCATCAAGAGCAAGAACTGGCACAAGCGACAGAAGAAACGTGATTTAGAACTCTACGCAAAGTTGATCGAAAAGTCGAATGATCCGGAGCTAACAAAAGAGCTTTTGGAATCTTTCGAGCAAAAACGTTCAAAACATCGTGTTCTAAGGAAACGTGCTGCACAAGAGAAATGGGCTAAGTTAGCAATGCGTTTCGGTGATCGCAGCGTGCTGAAACAGATATCTAGCGCGCAACAGCAGCTGAAGGACGATTTATCGTTAATAAAGGAAACAATTGATGGCGCGGCGGAGAAGGAGTCTTCTGATTCTGAGGATTCTGGTGCATCTTCATCAGAGTCGGAGGATGGATCTGACCCTGGAGATCCTCAGGATGACGTTCTTGCTAAGCTCCAAATTATATCAAACCCTGTTGAGGGTTCCATCCCTCAAAAAGGTTTATTCGCTTTGAAGTTTATGAAGGAGAGTTTGCAGTCGAAGATCGCGAAACAGGGCGAGACAGGATCGGATGCTACTACGGCTGTCGCTCTAGGTGACAAGTTGGAAGATGACTATGAAGAAGAGTCCATAGCTTCAGATTCTGACGACGATTATGAACCTGTTGCCGCCTTGAAGGACTTTCAAGACACTAAAGTGGCGCTTCCCAAGGTCAGGTAAGTCTACCATATATATTAACTTCACCTTGTTCACAGTGATGCGGAACTAAAGCGTGCAATGCAGGAGATACAGCATGCTTTTGGCATCGGCAATGATTATGGTACTGCATCTAACTCCGGTGTTACCGTCCCCGGGAGTGTTACCACTATGAGCAGCGTAGATGTGGCGCCCAAAGATCGCGCACCTTTGGCCCGTGATGCCAGTTCGAAATCTGAAACTGAGAACATTACTGATGATTCCAAGGATGTATCTGAGAAAAAGCAAGCATCAGCGGCTTCCCACATTGGCGTGGGTAAACACCTGCCCACCGTTTCGGAAAATGCCATTTTAACGGAGGACACCGGTTTGGAAAACTTCATCAAGAACCTAGGCCCTGTGAAGAAGCCCAATAGCACCATTGAGTTGGCGCAGCGTTTGTTTGTGACTCGTCCGGAGGAGGAGGCCTATCTATCTGATGACGAGGACTCCGAGGCGGAGGACGGAGCATCTGACCAGCTAAAGGGTTGGGGAAGCTGGACAGGTTTCGGTATCGTTGACGTGAAGGCACCTAAAACTAATGCTGCGGAATCGAAAAAGAAGAAAAGCAGGGTGAAGGTGTCCAACAAAAAGGATCCAAAGCTTGATAAATATTTGCTTCATAGGGTATGTGATTCATTTACATCATCACGCGGTATAGGTACCTCATCCGTACAAAACTAAGCATGACTACAATGCTAAGATGGCGACCGTTGTCGGTCCTGAGTGGAATACTGTAAAGATGCATACGGAGTTGGTACAACCAAAGGTATGTTTGTCATCGTTATGTTACATCGTCTCTCAGACTAGCATCAAGGTGGGTTCAGTAGTGAAGCCTCTCTCCTCCGAAAGTGCCAAAGACTATGTGAAACGCATGGGTAAGGCGTTCCACAAAAACCGTACTAGGGCACGGCTATAGCGTCGCTACACACCAGTGGTGGCACACACCTTCTTCGGCGTGACCGCGCCGCATCTTGACTACCTACGTTCTGTCAATCTTAAACATAGTGGAATACTAGTTCACTTTTTGGCGTGGTTGTGTTTTTTTGAGGCTCGTCACGGTTACTGCCGTCGATTAGCTAGCGTTGATGGCGACGGTCCTTCCTCTTGCGCATAGAGATGACCTTCTTTGGCTGTTTATATTTCTTACGGCACCATTTCATGATGTACGTAGCTTGTTTGTCTGAATTACCGTGATTGTATCGACCGGCGTGGGTTTGCTTCTTAGCCGCGGTAGCGTTGCCTGGTATGCGTCGTCGTCTCACTAAGAGCATCCCTCCATGGGAGCTATACAGTCGTCAGGCTTATAAACGTCGAAGAGCTCTAGCTGCCTCTGGCGCGTTCCCTCGGCCGGAGCTACACGCCTTATTCAACCGTTGTAAGAATGTACTCTCTGGGTCCAACACGGTCTTAAATGGGCCTCGCAGGCTCCCTTATGAAGCAGGGACATTGAATGGTGTTACTGATGGTCACAGTGAAGGGGCGGAGGGGGATACAAGCGTTGGTGTTGTCTCTAAAGGACACGGTAACGACGCTATCGCCGGGAACGCATTTACCACCTCCGATGCCACCTTTCCAACTGACCCTGAACCTGTATTGGATGATCTCAACTTACGTTTACAATATCTGGGTTATTATGGCCAAAGTCGTCATGACAAACGTTTGGTTGTCGGTTTTGTTCATAGTGTGGCTCCATTTGTCACTGCACCCGAACAAGTATTAAAGCTCCTGTGTTCGTTGTCTTGTGTAGTAAATGTCAGATGCCTACTGTCGACGTCTACTAGTGACACCAATATAAAACTGTCTTGCCGTGAACCATTCGAGTCTTTGTTCCGGCGTTTGGACGACAGCGTGAGCGCTTATCATGCAGTCACATGTTACTTGAAACTCTCTACGTTTTATGGTCAAGATGTCTCAGAGTTGTCTCCTGTGTATCATATAATGGTGGATAAACTCGTGTCTGGCGATATATTTATAACAGAGCGTGAATTGGACGACCTGTTATTTGTGTATCAACGACTTGCTGTATGCGACCGGCGTATCTTGACTTATTGTTCGGATCGTATATCTCAACATTTTGATTGTTTCAGTGACAACGAGGTGTGCAACTTTGCGAGGTACCTGGTTAATAGCGTTCATGCTCGACGCAAACGACGTGAAATTGGCGCTGGTGTGGACTACTCGCATGAGTTCGAGACCTCCGAGGCAACGGCGCTATTGGATGGTTTTGAGGTAAACTCGAGTGCATTTTTGCATTGTTTGGAGTCGAATATGCCTATCTATCTGCATCAATACAGCTATTTTAATTTGGTTGATCTTGGTGAGTTTTACCACGTGTTTAACATTCAAAGCGATGTACGCGTGCGTTTTTCGACAGAACTTTGGAAGTATTTGTATACGCTTCGGTATGGCTACCCAATCAAGGCTCTTGTGGTAAGGCAACCCATATTGGTCACAATAGTCGTAGGTTCTGAGTAAATTGGGTCTGGCGGAGAGAAAGACTTTTGGTCGTTTGATTCGGAACATCCCACATACGCTGGCATTCAGATGGCCATTAAGTCTTGTATCTGAGTGTCTGGTATCTCTGGATTGGGCTAAAAGTAGGTGCATCTGTCGTTTTTGAAAATTGTCACAGATGCCAAGGTTTACGTCGTGCTCGCTCACTACCTATCGAAGTCCATATCGGCATCTTTTAGCGCATCAAATGTAGCTCGTGTGTTTGAATCTTTACGTAACAAACGAATAGTTTTACTTGGTCTGTACCAGAAGGTTTTGCGTATACAGTCCGCAAACCCCGGTTGGTTAGGGTGTGACGAGCTTCTCTCCATTGCCAGGTAACGCTCAAATACATTACCGTCGATTTGGTTTGCAGTTATGGTCAAGATGTAGGGTTTAATGTGGATAATGCGTTTGAGCTTCTAATAGCTCAGGGTATATCTGGTATGGGCTTTCGTCAGGCCATAAAGACCCTGTACGTGATGGACACCCCGTATCCTGATCTTGTGGATAAGTGCATTACTGTAATCAACGATAACTGCAATACCGAACTTTTGGATTTCAGATCGTTAATGGAGCTTTTGGTATCATGCCGACGTTTGAACATCTGGCTATGCGTTGTGCCTAAGCTGGCTCTGGATACACTGCTGAGCGTAGAGACGATAGAGCTGCCAGTGTTACTGGAGCTTTTGGATTTGTTGGCAGTGGGAGGCCCCCTTTCTGACGCGGATTTGTTGCGTAGGCTGGAGACGTATGTCTGCCGCTCCATAGAGGAGCTGCCGCTGCGCACGACTGGCAAGATTTTATGGTTGTGTTCTTCTCTGGGCGTAGCTCCAGATTCCGTATGTTTTTCAAGCCTTCTAAGACGTTTCAACCGTTTATATGAGCCATCGTATAACGAGGACCATTTCCTTCAGGTATGATTTGTCTCTGTGTGTTGACGCGCGCACAGGTACTGGGAGCGTCTTTGCAGCGTTTGGAATCACACAACCAGGATATGCGCATATTTTTGCGCAATTTATCACGATTCAAGGACATTTCATGGCGTAGGGAGTCGGCTGAGGTCCAAAAGATTCGAGCTTTTCAGAATACCCTTGGCTGTAAGGCATTCGTATCGGTATTTCCGTTTACGGCCGACATTGAAGTGTCGACATCCGTGCTTACTGACTACGTGGATCGATTAGGGAGCCACGGCGTGGCCCTGCCAGCTTCTGGAGCTCTCTCATTGTCCCATTCTCTAGCGCCTTGTGCAACAGAAGATACGATTTTGTTGGATCTTTGTGGAAAACCGTTTATCACAGTAGTGGATTCTAACGGTCGTAAGCAGCAGTCGTTGCGTTTTTACTATAAGTTACGGTAAGTGTTCTTTTGCCGTCAGTTGACGTAGTTTCAGCAGCGGTCTGGTCGACCGACCGTTCGTGCACCTGCTAGAGCCAGTTTCGGACTAACTTTTGTGAATACAAGGCTGTGCCTACTATTCTACTAACTTATTTTGCGATGTGGATAGATAACCTTCGAGATCGTTACGGCAAAAAAAGCGAGCCAACATCGCCTGAGTCTGATGATGATCCTTTTCGTCGTGAGAGCGAGGCTAATGTACGTCGTGTTTGCGTGAGCAACTTTTTCGACGTAGACGTTCTGGGCAGGAGGGCTGTTGATCGCTCTGTTGCCCGGCGTCGCGGCTTTGCGTTGCTTTTCTGTTCTTTGTTCAGTATCTGTCTCGTATTTTATATGTGGTATCAGTGCTATCACGCATCTTGCGACGAATGCGTGGCAATATCGGATGGTGGTGTTGTGGAGGAAAACACCGAGGTCGAGTGCCACTGTGCCAACTGCGTGGTTCAGTGGTTCTTTAGTCCCGTTACGCACTTTGAGAAATGCTATTATTCCTTGTTATTCTTTTGCGGGGTAACATTACTATATTTTTTCTCCATTTTGAGGGATTTGGCACTTCAGATTTTCTGCCACTCAAACATATTGCAACGCGATTGAACTATTTCACAGCACAATGTTGCTATCTAATTTCGTGTAGTATTGAATGTTTATTACGCTGCAGCTTTTGTACTATGTTGTTGAGAAGATATCAGTCAGCGTCCCACCACTGAGCCGCTGTCCATCTACTCACAGGTATATAATTGTATGAGTGGCACGTCCGTGTCTGTATCATCGTACGTTTCTCCCGTCGGTAATACGATGGACTGTATATAATCTCTCGGTGCCGAGCTGAGTTCCCTGTTTTTTTCAAGTTCTAAGATCGGCGGTGAGTAAGCATATGCGTGCTTCACGTTTTCCTCCTTTGGACCAAAACCTTTGATTATAGCACCTGTGAGGAACCTTTTCTATGTGTCACCATGAAACCTACCTTTCAGCTTGCTTATAGTATAGAAGTAAACATTGAAATCACAGGGTTCTGTGAGCTGCTGTGTTGTATCGGCTACCTTGAGATCCCTTTGTAATCCGCATTTACGGATCTCAATCTTCATCAGTGCCTTAGCGAATTCATTGTGTAGAGTTTCGGTATCGAAGTGTCGTATAGGCGTTTTGTAAAGAAAGTGTTCCACCTGCGATGAAATATATTTCCCTTACGCTTAAGGCACCTGTAGGTTGTAGGTTATAACGTTTTTCGGGGAACCGTTTTCTTCAATGACGATAGCACAATCTCTCAATATTTTATCTTTAAGCAACAGGTGGAATACGTCGATTATCTGCGATTATGATGTGTTGGTTGGTCATCTGGGTCCCACCTGTTGGACATAGTGTATGACCTCGGGTTGGTTGTGACGTCTGTGTGTTTTAGCGTATATTGTTAATAATAGACATACCTAACATTGATTCCGAAGCGTTTGGTGGTTGTGAACGAGTCTGAGCGTGCTCCGCTTTGATATGAGATTTTGACCTACCTGGTGGGTAGATGCCGTGCTTGTAAAAAAGAGTGTGAATGATTGCCTCTAGGAAAAGTTTTAATTCGTCTACCACATCCAGATATCCCACGCCATACATGTTTGCCCTCCTACACCTATTAGCAAGTGGTCGCCTAGGCCGTATTTATTCTAACTGCATTATATACTACCTCTCCTTTGTTCGTTTGTATCATGGGGCTTCTGGGGTCGATGTTCGTCCACCAGTGTTAGACACCATTGTTGCACACCCTTGTTCCGCTTCCTCTAGTTGAGTCGCTACATAATAGGGCCGCGTTCACTTCCTCTCCCATAGCGTAATTACCGTCATTGTTTGAGTTTTGTTATGTCTTGTCCTACACCAATTTAAGCAGTGCTATTTTCATTTTAAACGATTTACTATCGATAGTGTCGCTCACCTACAATTATTTCTCCGAACTGTGTAATGTTTTGCTGAACATTTTCGACTGTTGCCTCGACTGTTCGTCACTGTCGACGCTTCGCATCGGACCTTATTCTGATTGTTCTCGTGGAACGAATATCAATTTGCAGTTAATTCACCTCTTTAGATGTGCATTATCAGGCCGTAGTTACAATGAATATATTGTCGAGGAGACGATTCTTGGCGTGGCTAGTATACCAGCTGTTGCATAGCTACATTGTAATTGTCCACGGTGTCGGTGACGTTGCAACTGAAAGGTTGGTTTCACACGGGGTGTATATCACCCTCCTTCAGGGCACGTATCGTCAGTATCATCTCAGAACTCCCTTGCCAGATCAACCGTTCTACCGGACTACAAGTCTCCAGAGTCAACGTGGGTGTCCTCTCAATATGGTCGTGATCAACTGTTGTTCCCTCTTGAAATATGCGACTCTTCTCTGACGAACCATGAACGTTCGTATAGTGGATTATCCATATAAAGTAATCTCCTCGCGTAGTGTTCAATGCTCGGTCCTGTCTCTTCTGTTTTTGCCATTTTGTGATTTACATCTGGCTCGTTTGCATCATCTCCATCCGCCAGACATAAACCTTCAGATGTATCGATTCAGCAACCTGCTTTCCTCAGAGCGTGGCATGGATATCGACCCTAGTGTTGCACAGATTTATATACTGTACTCCGCATCCACTCCGAACTTGCCACCAGTGCGCCAAGAATCTCCAGAGCGGCTGTGCGAACGTCTGAAACCTTTAATGCCAAGGAAGTTGCGCGAATTAGAAACGAAGTTGTCAGGTGCGCCACCGATCGCGTCTTCGCAAGATCCTGCGGTTGCACTTGAGCATCTCTGGACACCAGACTCTGAATTACGAGACTTCGCCTGGCATTGCGTAGGTGACAGCCATCCATTTCGAACTAATTGATATCAGCATGGCCATTCCGATCCTCCTGGGCCTAGGAGTCAGAGCTCGGGGACCATGAGCAATGCGCGGCGTGGCGGTAGACCGGTGACCTTGGCGAAGCATACACAAGCGCGTACAAGTAAGTCTCTCGCTATGATATCATAGGTTTTAGGGCAAGGTTCTCACATACCCGTTATAAGTCCAGTTAAAGATACAGAGGTAAAAGGTGAAAACTGTGACCCCGGTGACGCTGCAAAGAAAATGACACTACATTCCCAGGGCACCGCCGGGGAGGTGCGAGCTATTGAGTGCCCAGCTAGACAGATGGTTGAAGAGTTGCCTATAGATAGTGCTAGTTCCCCAGTGCCGCCATGTAACACTGAAAACGTGCCGTATCCTATTTCCACTGAACATGGGGGTGAATCAGGGGACGGAAGCGGAACATCCGTTGGCCAATTCCCGACTGCAGGCAGTCCTACATCTCAGAACGTTATAGGTTCGGAAAGTATTGCTGGTCCATCCCAGAAGACGCCAGCTTCCCCCAACGAACGCACCATTGGTTCTCGATTACGCCCTGGAAGTACTTCCAGATTACCAGTGCCTTGCCCTCGCAAGACGCAAGCGCAGGGTAGGGGTACATCGAGTACCATCAAGAAGGCAACCGAAGATAATGTACACATCTCGTCTGGTCCCCAAAGCACTGATGCATTGGCTTCAGCGACGAATACACGACCATCATCAGAGACAGCATCAACTAGATCGCGACCATGGTCTAAGAGTACTAGCAATGAGCCTTCACATTGGATTAGCAATATCGCTAGAATTAAAGCTTTAGGCGCTTTTGATCGCGAACAATGGATCCGCAAACCTGTATCTCGTGTCCGGCCAAATAAAGGTGGTGAGGGTGGGAGCGACCGCAATAGCGAATTGTCTACAGCTAACACCAGTAAAGTGTATGAATCGTCAGATTTCGCCTCTTCTAATGTTTGTCAAACTGCGCCCGCGTCGTCGTACGAAGACGCAGGAAATACTCTTGATGACGAGAAGCAAGAATGCACAGTCAGTGAAGGGCAAGGCCAGGGTAGTAAAATTACGGCACTTCCTGTCAGGGATTTGACTTCAGACGCACCTGATAAGTCGTTGAAGGCTACTGAAGCGACTCCTGGTATTGGTAAAATTTCAGCTAGTGCTTCAGATACGACGCATCCCCGCACCATTGGCACCTCCTTTAATATTAGGTCAGGAGCGTCGACGTATTCAACAGGTTCTTCCGGACTTCCGATTCCACGTGACATGCATTACCTATCTACAGTAGACGGATGTTTGTCATTGCATAAAGAACCTCTGGATTATACGGAAGGTATTTTGCTTGGCGTTCCCACGTCTCCTGTAGGTTCAGCATCAGACGCCGGTTCTTATCGAGGTATAGATGAGTTGGATACACCAATTGGCGGTATACATCGCGGCCACAAGTCCGGAAAGTGCCCTTCTGATTTTTCGTTTTATTCACCAAACGCCGGCCAAGTTTTGGACAAATTAATCACTCGATGCGGCCTTCAAGAGTCTTTCGAGGTATACTCGAATGAGCGTTTCAAGTCCTTGGAATCATCTGTGAAAAGGACACTTCGCGATCTAGATGCGATAGAACACTTTCGCGACGAGGGTCACGCCTACGACGTCGATGAAGGTTTGGTAGCGGACATCGTGGATTGTCACGACCCCGGTCCCTATGAAACATATGTACCTCTGGACCTGGCTCTTCAGACGAGCGATGGTTTTATTCCCGTTACTTTTGAAAATGGAAGTAACGGTGACATCCGTGCTGCTCACCGCATGTATGGGGGATGGTTCGAGCCTCAGGCAATGGTTGTTTTGCGCAGTTCCAATGCTTTCTACCGCGATGTTGGCTGGACTCTATCTAGCAACACTGATAACAATGGCGAACCCTATAGTCCAACAACAGAAGAGGAGGTGTGTCGTGTGTCTTGCTCTCTGGACAAAGAGGATTCCTACCTGGATGCCACAACATCGGGGACAGCGCAGCGTTTCCCGCTTTGGTATTACGTGTACCTGAAAACAGGTGTGAGTATAGGGATAGGGGCATCCGGAACTACTTTCCTCAAGCTATTTCACGCGTTTGATATTTACACGCAGCCTTTTGTACATCGCCATGACGCAATGTACGCCACCACTGAGGCCAAAGCTTCAGCTGTCGCCACAAAACTAGAGGCTAGTGTGCCAGTGTCTTCCAACGATTCGATAGACCTTTTGAGGAGGACTTCTACGCTTGTTTCAGTGTCTTCCAGTGACGCAGTGTCCACGTTCCAGGATGCATACACAAATCTGTTGGAGTCTCTTGATGACATATTTTCAGGCGACAAAATTCGTGGTGTACCTTTATTTGTGAAAACTCGTAGCCGTGTATTTAGTATTTTGGTTACATTTTTGTGTTTGAATATTTTGTTAACACTTTTGTCTGTGGTATCGATTTGTTTCATGGTAACAAAGTCGGAGTTTTTGGCTGCTACACGTTCGAGGGTGTCGCCATACAAGTTGCTTAAGGATATGTGTCCATGGCCGAGGTGTATAAGGAGGCGATTACCTTAAATTGATCTTTTAATTCGTGTCGATTCCCCCGGGTTTCTAGTAAGTTTAACATGGGTTCGGACGCACGGGTAGACATATGTAGGCAAACTACTGCCGATATGCCACAGACTTTTAAAATATCTAATTTTAGTTTATACCGTGCCTTTGTTAATACAATTTGTATTTTGTGTTTTACAAAATACCATAATATGACGTTTGTATTGGTTCGATTAAAATTTGTGCCTACAATTAAGAAAGGTGTGACCTGGAATCCCGTTTAAGGTCACCGTAAATCAACTTATGGCCGATTTAGATTTTAAAAAATTACAATTTATCTTTATGCCCATAATTGTAATTGCCATTTAATCACCAGTGTTAGTCGTAGTTAAATTTGTAATCGATTTCGACGGTGTAACAATCGCTTTAACTCCCATTTAGGTTTTTTTATTGCAACACACGTCCTTGTAATTGAGCTTATATGGTATTGTAAAAGTTATATATGTTTTGCACTTATTTGGGATTTTTGAAAAATAATTTGAGGCTTCGTAGACATCATCGCTCTCCAGGGTTATAGCATTGGACTATTTTACGCTCAAAATATTTTTGCGACGTATTACAACGATAAACTCATCTGTTACTTAAAGTTAGAACGAAATTCAGATTTTTCAAATCAAAATATAAAGGTTGAAAAATTATACCGAGCTCCACCATCGCTATAAGCATCCAATGTTTAACTAAAATAGCGCAGCTATGTTACGATGGTTTATGTAACGTTTGTTGAACATCGAGTTAATTTTACGATGGCTGTGTCGCCTGTTGTTTTTTTGTTTCAGGTTAGTAGCTGAAGCGGTTGTGGCACAAAAAAGATAGCAATTATATGTAGGTGAGTTATAAAAATTATTTTTAGGCTCCAAAGTGGCGATTTTGTGAAGTAGAGGCTGAGATACATCTCCGTACTTCAACCTAGCAAAAATTTGGGTCAGCGTCGTCGGTTGCTATCAATATGGACTGACTTGTCCATTTGTGCGGCAGACACGATTCTGATAGGGTTCTGCTGCTGTTTTTCCTCTCCGCCTCATAATCGGTGGACGGCCCCCCGCTTGATATTAATTCAGTATATATTTCCAAACTATATAAATTCTAACCCATTTTCAAACAATGAAGTTTTTCTCAACATTTATCGCGTTATTATCAATTTTTACTGTACGTTGTCGATTGACTAGTGACATAATTTTTCACAGGGCCTGCCAGTGTTTTGTGACCGAGACACGAAACGGTTAGTTTTTTTACTTTGTTAAATCACTGTTAAGATGCGACAAATGCGCAAAAAAGGTGGCAGAGTCCTTCAAAAATGATTCTTTGGTCGGTAAGGGCATCCATGTAGCTCCTGTCGATATCGATCGATACAACGCGATCGCCAAGGAGGTTCACGGCGGAGAATTTTTGATTGATAAGTCCCTAGTGAGTGGAGCGTATATTGTTTATACCGACGGCACATTTTATTCTCATGTAACCGAGGATATAGCATGTAATAAAAACTCCCACATCCGTTCTATTTTATCCAAACATTTGCGAGAGTTGCATCAACGTATACCACGAAAACTACAAGATTCATTTAAATATTTCATCTTTCCTGTTTACGACCCTAGACGTGGTTTTACGAGAGATGACATTGTTTTTGGTATGATTGGAGAAGGACATATGAAGGTGCTTGACATATACTACGACCCACGGATACTGTGTGATGCTACAGGCCTCTTTCATTTTTCTTCTAGATTCCCGAGGCGCAATGTCTCAACGCTCGAGGCGAATTTTACTAACGCTTATCACTATCTCTACGGTGGTTGGTTTGAAGTGGACTCTGTGATATTCATTCGCACTGATTGCGATAGCAGTAAATGGTATGTTTGACTTAGTAGTTCTGATATGACAAATTTCCTCATTATTATTTACTTCATTATAGGACATTTTCCCCGCCAATGGTGGATATCGGTCCTGCACCTGAGTTAGATCTTGATGAACTGTTTCGCTCTACAACACCCGTACCGAAGTTCCAAGATCTGTTGAAGTATGAAATTGTGAGCAAAGACAAATGGCGTGATATCCCTTTTCACGACGCAAGACATCATCGTTACGATATACAAGCATACACGTGGGTGAAGACAGGCGAGTGGTACTCTCCATCCGACCATCCTGATGACATAGCGCGTAAAATAGTGGAAGGCTTCACTATCGGAGACAATAGACGGGGGGTTGACTCACTAGAAAGTTTCAATAATCGGGATGCGTGTTCCGACGTGGAGCTTCAGAAGTTCCTAGAAATTTATAATACCGAGATGAAAGCTGATGTTAGTTTCTGCGCTCTATGGAATAGTATGTTTCAGTTTTTTTCGAGAGGTCAAGTTGACCCCTCGAAGACGTTGAGAGTTGCGCATTAAAGTGAATGGACATGCATGGCCTCGAACTGTTTCGCCCGCCTCTTTCTACATGCTCGAATGTGTGAATATACGTCTAATTTACCGAGAATTCACTGATGGTGAAGAGGCATCCGGCAAGTGTTTACACCCCTAGATCTCCATTTATACTCTATACTCCTCAAATTGCATTTGAGATGTTTCCAGCTCGAGATCATGTGTGACCTACTACACAATACAAAATCACAACAGTGCTGATCTAATATCCATAGGCCGGATTCTGTTTCAGTAACAGCATTACTATCTCGATTGTCTTTTACTGGTAACATGACTGACATTATAAACACAGTTTCCCAGCTTTGTTAACTGACTGGTATATGAACTAGAGGTGCAGTAGCTCTATCGTGATAGCGTGTTCCCTTCAATTGGTATTTCATAGCGCGCGCATCGACACATCCCGTGTCTGATGCAAGTAGCAGCCGACCTTTATATTTCTCTAATATTGGTTTTCCTTGTATAGTTCAAGGCACCTCACGTGTTCAGTACAGTTACAGTTACAAGATGTGTGTATTTTGTACTGCGTTGAGTTCTTGTCACCTGCGAGGTGTTGGATTTGGCCTCCTCCAGCGTTGCTCATCCCATTTGGCAATATTACTCTGTGTTATGCTAACACGGTCATATTGCACACATTACGAGAGAGAATCGATGTCAGAATCAACCAACGTATCTAAGCGGCATAATTTTGGAGCGTATGCTTTAAAAGACGACAAGACCTTTGAGTGCGTGACCTTTAACAACTTCATGACAATTTTCCAGGCCTATACGCAACTATTTCGTACAAGATGTACCAAAACAGATTGGGGAGTACTCTGGGATTTCCGCATCCGTCATTGATGTACGTTTTCCTCGTTAAAATTCCATCACCCAGCCGTAGATTACGGAGTACAATCGTCTAGCCCGCATGCGCGGTTTCATGAGAATAAAGAGTGACTACGACATGGCATACCTCGTGTACACTCATCGAGGTATATACAAATCGTTGAAGTTTCATCCTAAACGCCACTTGGCGCGTTGGGACACTGTGAGAAGTGCAATTGACCAGGTGTTTGGTCAAGGGGTATTAAGCATACCTCTAGGTGAAGATTTGGAAGATTCATCTGCTTTGTCATTGAAATTTGATCACTGTTGGATTCCTTTGCATGACCTTACCACTAACGCGTACGACGAGATCCACAAACTTGAGCTATACATGGATCTCCGTCGAGGTTCTTTGCACAAAGTGGACCAATATGATGTGTTATCACTGGCAAACGCTACACCTGACTTTGCCGTATTGGGTTTTGAAGCCCATGATCCCAATGAGAAGAGCGTAAGCGTACTGGTCCACCGGACCCGTGGGTCGTGGGTACAGATCGCTTCACTGGTCTTGGTTAAACTTTTGGGCCCCCGTGATAAACCCTTGATGTACACCCTTTCGAAAGATCTATCGGTATACAAGTTATGTTATGATGACCTAGGTAGGAAGTTGGATCGTCTGGGTTTTTTAGACCAGGACTGGCGTGATTGCTGCGTGTCTCCGGATATCCTGGAGAGCCAAGTTCGACTTACTTTTGAAGATTATATGTGGGAATTCTTCAATATGTACATCGATGGGCTTCATCCATATCAACAATCCGTTGTGATGTTGCTCTCCGGGGCGGTTCGTCAAGCCCTTTACGGCACCCACATCAATATCAATTCCAACAGTCCCGCCCAGAGTGACCTGGTTTCATACGTTGGTAATGGTATTATCGGCCCTTATTTACTTTTAGTGAAACGCATGCTTGTTGATAGGACACTCCAGAACAGTTTCATTTCAGAAGCATTTGGTGGCTTGGCCGTGACACGTGTTGACTTCATCTTGGGTACATGGCTCGCTTACGTGAATGCTGTGAATCTTTTGATCCGTGAGTTGACATCTGTAAATCTTGAAGATTATGTCCAGTCGGTGTCACCTGAACCTATGATAAGTCACGGCCAGAAAAAAGTTATCATTGCCTTTTCCTTGGTTACAGCCTTGTTTTTCTTCTGCGCATTGTTCATGATAATTGGACGTTACCGTAGACGTCGCAAAGCATTTTACGCCCAGAGACAGCAGGCATTAATGTTTTATACGTTGTCTTCCGGTGCCTACGATGAGACGGATGTGGATTCTAGCAGCAGTGGTGGCACTGCTGGGTCCCTAAAATCTGGGAGGTGAACGGAAATAGAGTGTTAATCTCTTTAAAATATCTACACAGGACCCGATACCTGGCCATCCATTTCATGCACCTAGGCACCCTTTGACTTTTTAGACCTTACCCAGTATACTGAGTTTTAAGAGGAGGGCGGGGCATGCCCACGTTACCAGCTTTAGAGAATCTCATGTCTGTTACAACATTATAGATGTGTGGTTTCATTAATATGGAAGACACAAATACCACTATAGGGGCGGTATTCAATTTGCGTATGCAATTTCGATGTGCAGAAGTAGGCCGCAGCAATCAATTTCCATCAATCGCTGGTCGAGCAATTGCGCCCATCTTATTCCAGGACGTATTCTGTTAACCGGCAGTGCAGTCTGTCCTATGAGTTGCGTTCCTACATTATCGTAGTGCTTGACCGTGAGCAGCAGTATAGCGAGGTTTGGGTTCTTGACGAGAAACTCAAATGGCGGTGTAGTGTCTGCCCATACGGGATTGAATCCGTTAAAATTTACTATTTCAGTGCGTTGTATACGCTCACCCTCGCCTACAACGGCAACCTCTACGAACGGACAGCACGTATCACATTGTGCCACTACTATATCTGCAGATTTTTCGAATACCTTACCCAGGGTAACGTTTTTGTCATCATCTACCTGTAGTCCCTCTTCTATAGCATTTTGGAGTTCCATTCGTTCCTTTGCGTTTGGAGGTTGCGGCTTGCGAGGTTTGCCCATTCTTCTGGCCACCTCATCCAGGTTAAGCACTGTACCACCCTGGTGTATTGAGTACAATATGTTTTCCAATGCGTTAGCAAAATTGGTCTGCTCCAGTCCCTCGTTTGGCGGCGATAGCTGTGACGCAGATAATACATGTATTTTGAGAGTAATTGGTCTATTGCAGAAGTAGTTAGGGCATTCTTCATTCCTGAAGGATATTGGCCTAAGTTCAGGCGGTTTCAGGACATATCCGAAGCTCTGATTAAACTTTCCATAGTTGATAAGCATCGACCGATCGCAAGACTGGTAGTTGAGTGCCACAAACTGGATCCCTGCCGCCCATGCGTTGAGTGGGCAGAAGTTCGTGCTTGCGACTCTGGTACTGGAGGGGAATACTCTGATCATCGATATATCCGTGAATTGCCTCAAGAACTCTTGATGTGGTGCGACTTTGGAAAACTTGCTTTCTTTCATGCTGTATACGTCGTTACGTTTTACGTTCTGCAAGGTGTCCGGCGTTAAATCGTTCATCCTGTAACCGTGCAGTGCCACAACTGACATCCATTCCTTTTCAGCTTCAGGATTTTTCGGCACACCCTCAATTCTCATCTTACCCTTGATAATGAACTTAGATAGCAGTGAACCTATTGGGACTGCTGCCACAAAATCAACTGGGTCCTTAGGATCCGGTACGTATAGTTCATCTCCGAGTATTGATTTACACATTTCTGCGGTTTTGCTCTTACACTCATCGGTACACGTCATCTGCATAGATAGTATAACGGGCAGTTTCGAAGTCCTGAATGCAGTTTCCTTGCACGCAAGGAGTGCCTCCCTGAGGGTGACCGATCCTGTGAGTTGGCAGTTTTTCCACGAGTGGCAAAGTACCGGTTCTCCGTAAGCACCATCTTGGCAATCCAACTCGATGCATCTGCATCCTCTGAGGAGTGCGTCTGCCAGTGCCCCGGCCGTTGCTGCCCCTCCGACTTGGTTCCCCGTTAGATACGTGTTGTGTGAGCTTGCAATCCAGAATGCGTTGAGTGGGTATTTCAGCATATTAGCAATCTCTAGAGCGTCTTGTGGCATTGCTAGGGTGTTGAATTTTTGAGCGAGAGACCAATGGAAGCCCATGACTGTGAGTAGCTTTACGGGTACATGTGTTTTATTTGTTTTAACGCAAAGTCCACGGCCGCTTTTGGTTTCCACAGCCTTTTGTGTGGTAATGGGTCCTGCAGCGGAGCTTGTCATCACCTCTATCAAGCTTTCCGCAGTTTCCATTCTGTCCGCTCCCTGTACTGTCTCTAGGAACAGCTGGTACTGTTCGTTCTGTATAGGTTGCAGGGGATCCCTTTCCCGCCATAGAGACTTATCAACGGTCGTCGGTGTTTCTTCATGAGCCTCAACGTCGCTATCCATATCGGCATCATGCATATATGGATGTTCCAGATTAGTGACTTCGGTGTCATCCTGGATTGCGTCATCCATCGACTTTTTTCCTCCTTTCCTTCTGGGAGATCTTTTCCAACAGCATGATTGGCTTTTAGCTTTACTATTATTGTTATGTGTGTTCTTGTTATTTGCATCATCCGATTGCACATTAGGTATGGGTTGATCCTTGAAGTCATTGGCGTCCACAATGATTGAGTAATGTTTGACTACATCGAATATAATACGTGCCGCTTCCTGTGGTTCCAGTGAGGGGTCAAGAACGAACACCTTGTGCCTTGAACGTTGACAGGTTATATCCAGAGCCTTCAGGTGGTAGGCACAGTCGGCAACAAACCTCACTAGGTTGTCTACCCTACTGAATTCTGCCTGATTGAGTCTTTGAATAAGTCTGTGTAACCACGATTGCCGTGTGGCTAAAATTTCCTTAACAGCTGTAACTATTGGTTCCACTGTATCATTTCTTCTAATAAGGTTGAGTTCCGCAAGCAAGGCAGCTACTTCGTCTACGTCATCTGGCCATGTTATCCCTCCATCTGACGGCGACTTGTTTGTAGATAGTATATTGCTTAGTACATTTTCCTTTCGTTCTAGTTCCTCGACTATAGTTTTTGATTTGAATGTGGGTATTCCATCTAAATCTTTGCATGAGAATAATTCTGCTATTTTGGTAGAATTTGTAATCCATGCTCGTGCATACTCATCACATGCGTGCCTTGCGATGTGGTATATCCCTGCTATCCATAGGAGTGTTGCTCGTGGCGTGTCTGCGGCGATCCGTAGTGACACAGCCCCCGAGAGTATGAATACCAGTTTATCAGCAACATAATGTTTGTTCTTATTGTCGAAGCTATCGACTTCGTCACCGCGTCTTATACTGTGTAGTCCGCATAGTGCGAATACAGTTTCGTTAGACCGTTTCCGTCTAGATTGCCATCTTAAGAAGTATGTTCCGCATACCCGTGATACCCAGAAGAACCGTTCATGTGATCTTCCTGTAGGTATTACAACAAGATCTTTGGTTGCCGATGATTGTTTATCTTGCGATTCTGTGTCATTGGTATAATTTTTTGGTGTCAACGGTCGCCCTCTCCTCCATTTTCTTAGGAAGTCGCCTGCGAGTACACACTCTACGGCTTCCACAAGTGGCACATCGGCGATTTCACGGTACAGAGATTCAGTTATGCTCGGCGACAGACCCGTGTTGCCGGCTGTGAGCTCTCTCATCCAGTTATCATCAACACTTAAGGGCATATCTGCTGGTTGCTGGTCCCATCATTTGTATGCCTGACGTATTTAGCATAACATAACATCCACACAAAGGTGTAAAGGTTCACCTTCGGCTCATTTGTGTGCTTTTTGCAGTATATTTTCGCTGCCAGGCACCTTTGTACGATGTCTCCTAGGTCATTACATTCGCCTCTGCGTTGATTAAATAATGCACATTTACATAGAGATCATTTTTATATCTGTATTTAATTTTTGTAGGTGATTTTTTGTCGTCTTACATAGTTTATCGTCGGTGTTCTGTTTGATAAAGTCAAGCCGCACGATCACATCTGTGTGTGTAGCCTCCAGATGTATCGAGGAATATAGGAGAAAACCTTATCATATAATCGATCCTGTTAAATTAACACAAGTAAAAAAACAAAACACACTTTAACATTTTGCGGCGTTATGGAATCACCCAGATTCTTCATATTTTAGCGTTTTCCTTAAATACATACCATTGCCATGCCTATACACACAAATTGATGCTAAACAAATATTAATACTCATAATTTCCAGTGTTATTGCAATAATGTATTTCTGTATTAATTCGATGTTGACTGTACAATTCGGGCCGGTTTAGGAGCGCTAGTGGTCTAGGGGTAAGATCCAACCCTCCCAAGGTTGGGGCCCGGGTTCGAGTCCCGGCTAGCGCATCCCTATTGTGGCTTCTTTAGACATTTTATAAACGCATTTAGGCGTCTGTAATCGCTTTGGCATCGAGGTCTATCCATTTTTAGTAGTGCCATTGATTGCGCCAACGTAGTCTACTTTTCCCATGTCTGTGGTCGCGCAGCTGCTCTGGTGGTGAATTGCCTGCTGGCACATTTCAATTTAGATCGCATCTTCTTTGTTAATCATTATAAAGATTTAGATGTGTCACTATGGCGGAGCTTGCGTCGTCCATGGCCGTGGGCACGCACCTCTTCGTTCGTTCTGAAGCTTCGGTAGGTGTCTGTGCCGTTGGCGTTTATGGCTCTGGCAGGTATGGCAGGAGGCTGTTGTGGACCATATAGAGGATGGCCGCGTGTTTGTACGTCTCAGTAACACTGAGAATGGAGAGATAGTCGAGGTAAAGGCCGGGGAGAAGTACCACCCACACACAGAAGGTATGTTTAGCGTAAATATGCCTTGAATAATCATCCATCTCCTCTGTTCCATTGTACTATCACTGGGTTTACACTTGTTTACACATAGGAAGCTCTTATTCCCTTCATCATTACACATTTGCCCGCAGATCGCTTCAACACACCCAGCGGTTACCCCGATGATTTATGTAATCTCACATACCTCCACGAAGCGTCTGTATTGCACGCTCTGGACTGTCGTTTTTCTGTCGATGCCATTTATACGCTTACGGGGAAGATCCTTATCGCGGTCAACCCCTTTAAGCAGATCGGCGGTCTTTACGACGATACGACCATCTTGCGTTACCTAGATGGCGCTGATGATGGAGCACCTCACGTGTTTGGTGTGGCGCGTGACGCCTACACCAGCATGACTAAGAACAATCAGTCACAGACAATTTTGATTAGTGGTGAGTCTGGTGCTGGTAAGACCGAGTCTACTAAATTTGCGATGAAATACCTTGCTATTGCGGGTGCTGAAAGCATGGATAAGAAGTCTCCTGCTGAAGTTAAGGTACTTGAGTCGAACCCTTTACTGGAGTCATTTGGGAATGCATCTACAGTTCGTAACATGAACAGTTCCCGTTTTGGGAAGTTCATCGAGCTGCAGTACCGCAAAGAAAGTCCTATAAAATCACGTTTAGTGGGTGCAAGGATTGAGACTTATTTACTTGAGAAAGTTCGTATTTGTCAGCAGCAGTCGGGGGAGCGTAACTATCATATTTTCCACCAGATAACCGCTGCAGCCAATCGTAACGAGCGTTATGTGTTCCAACAGGTAGGTGATGGGTTGGCCTACGACTCTTCACCATGGGATTTCGATTTGAAGGTGTTCCGTGGTAATTTCCGTATTTTACCCCCGGATTCGGAACGCGACTTTGATTTGGCTAACCTAAGTGAAACTCTGCTAGCTTTGCGTACGGTTGGATTCACTTTCGAACAAGTATCAGTGGTGTTCGACATTGTTGCTGCGGTGCTCCACCTGAGCAACATCGAATTTATGGAGAAAAAGGGTAGCGATGGTGCTGCCATCAGCAATATGGAGGCAGGCCACTGCCAAACCGTCACTACATTGCTGGATGTGGACAGCGTTTCTCTAATGAACGCCTTAATGACTCGTACGATCAAAACAGCAAACGAGATGTACACAAAACCGTTACGTGTTGAGGAGGCATGTGACGTACGTGACGCTATTGCCAAGAACATTTACAGCATGTTATTCGACCACATCGTCGAGCGTGTGAACGAGTCTATTGGTTATGTTCCCGATGCTACGCTTACTACAGGTATTTTGGATATTTTCGGGTTTGAGTGCTTCCAACACAACTCGTTTGAACAGTTATGTATCAACTTCACCAACGAGACACTGCAGAATTTTTTCAACAATTTCGTGTTCCGCTGCGAAGAGGAACTGTATTCTGCTGAAGGCATTTCATGGAATGCTCTCGATTTCCCAGACAATTCTGATTGTGTTGAGATGTTCAAAAGCAGACCAAACGGTCTGTTTGTGATGATTGATGAGGAATGCAATTTGCCTGGTGGTCGTGACCAAGCGCTCTGCAACAAGATAGTACAACGCCATTCTAATAACGCTCGTTTCGCAAAGGTCAAACTTGACCAGAGCAGTTTTATAGTGAACCATTTCGCTGGAGCTGTGCAGTACAAGATTGACGGTTTCCTAGAAAAGAACAAAGATCAGTTGTCTAACGATGCAGTTTCTTTCATCTTGTCAACAAAGCTTGACGAGATGCGTGAGATCTTCCAGTCTTATATTGAGAAAAGGGCTGCCGGTGGCCGTGCTGGTACCATGGCTCGCCAGAAGACCATCTGCACACAGTTCAGTGGCCAGCTTGATTCTCTTATGGCTAAGATCGGGGCTACCAACCCTCACTTCATCCGGTGTATCAAGCCAAGCCCAGAATGTCGTCCAAACCACTTTGACCGCACAACTGTGGATTCACAGTTACGTTGCAGTGGTATGCTACAGGTCGTGCAGGTATCTCGTGCTGGTTACCCTGTACGTTTCCCTCATGCTGACCTATTCCATAGCTTCCGATACTTGCTTGATGCATCAGAAGTAAAGGCTGCCGAGGCTATTGAGGATAAACAGAAACAGGGCACTTTTGTGTTAGACATATTGGTGAACCGGTACATGACATCTAAACCACCTGTTGAAGGTTCTTTGGCAATAGGAAAAACACTAATCTTTATGAAGAATGAACCTTATGAACAGGTATGTCTTGCAATGCAGACCCTTCGTAACCGAAGCTGCATCGTCATCCAATCGTGGGTACGTCGTAATATTCAGCGTCGTCGTTATCTGGATAGTTTATGGAAGATTCGTACTTTCCAGGTATGGGTTAAGTACAAGATCAAGAAATTGCAACGGCAAAGAGCAGTGCGTCTTCAAGCTATTATCCTCATCCAGAGCATGTACCGAATGTATCTTGAACGCAAGCATATGCGTAAGCTTAGGTCGATTGTTGTACGTCTACAGGCAACTTGGCGTTCGGTGAGTTCAAGGATCCAGACGGAAGAGCGTCGTATCAATACAATGGCTACGAAGATCCAGAGTGCATGGAAGGGTTACAAATGCCGTATATACTACGTGGCCTTACGCAAAGCTACTATCAAGGCACAGTTACGTTGGCGTTCTATCCTTGCACGCCGCACATTGAGGTCACTACGTATGGAAGCTAAAGATTTGGGCAACGTGATCAAGCGTGCGCAGGCTCTTGAAGAGGAATTGAAGAAAGAGAAGTCTATGCGTTCGGATGCTGAGGCTAAGGTGTTGCAGCTTACTGCCAAGGTTACAAGTCTCGAACGTTCTATTGAGGATATGCGTAAACAGATTGAACGCATTACCAATGAACGTAACACATTGTCTGATCGTTTACATGAAGCAGAATCTAATACCCAGAAGGCCCAGACCGATTTGCGTATGATCAAGGAATTTGTTAGCAAAGAGGCTCGTACAGGTGAACCTTCCGATTGGTTGAGTGCTTTGTTACCTGGCCGGGGTACCGGTGTGGGCACCCCTGTGTCTCGACATGGTTCGATTAAGATCGATCGTCAATCTACAGCTGGTCAAGAGTCTGCAGGACATGCAGTAGGAGGCCCTGCAGATCACAGGGTCGACATTTTATTATGCGGTCCTCCAAGTTGTGGTAAGACCCGTCTCTTGGAGATGGCCCTTATCAAAAGCGGTGATGATAAGAACTTGGCTATTCTACGTAACACTGATTCAGCACGCAAGCAGCGTAGGATGATGGCGCCAGTTTCGTTTGAGTTCCGTATTCGATCTGATCGCACTGTATCTGTGGTTGAGATTCCCGGATCATATTTCGACTCTGATGAAGCGCGGTCTATGGTGAGACAAGCTCACCTGATTGCTATTTGTTACGACCCCGGAACTAAACAGACATTCGACGATGCACGTGTTATAGCTAATCTGCTGAAGCAATCGGTGACTTCAAAGACCACCAGCATCTGTTTGCTACAGAACGATTACACTGTCTTGGAGAGTGCCCGTCCAGTAGTCTGCGATGTGAATGAGGCGCAAAGGTTCGCTGTGGAGAATGAGTTACTATTTATGCGTGTTGAAGATTTCATGGAGTTCCTTGAGCAGGTGACACCCTACGTGGAAAACAAGAAACAACAACGTATCCCTAGTGCTCGGGGTGATGGAGCACCTTCTGCTTTAAATTCAAACCGCAGCTCTAACCGCGGTGCTCTTACCTTATTTTACGAGAAATTCCGCAATTTCTGGGCAGGTGTGAACTACTCGGGATTCCAAAACAAGTTATTGGTCCCAACTCTTGTTGCGCCTGAGGGTTTCAAGGTACCACCGTTATCTCTGAAGCGTGTAGCTCATATTTCCAACTACACTTCAGCTGTGACGTGTGTAGCGTTTCGTACTGAGGAACCTAGTGACCCATACGTGTTACTTGCGGTGGGTCGTCGTGACGGTACGATTAACCTTTACCATGTATACCGTACGGACACTGAGATGCGTGCTCTAAACTCACCTGACTTCGACGAATCAGTTCCGCAGCCAGTGGATGACAAAGTATCTATCGTCGAATCTTTCACGTTATCGCTTCACACTAAAGCGGTAACATCAATGAGTTTCTCCAAGGTAAACATTAACGAGTTGGTGACTTCATCTGTGGATTGCACTATTCGGGCTTGGAATGTGTTGACTGGTCAATTGATCAAGGTGTTTAACGATTCATTCCCAGGTTTGGCTGTTTTGTTCCACCCAGTAGACCCAACGCTATTCATCAGTTGCAATGCTAACCCTACGATCAGGATCATTAACTACAATAAGGGTTCTGTGTTACAAAAGATCCGTGCAAAGAGTGAACTTCGTTGTCTGGTGTTCGATGATACAAGGCTCAACTGTATCGCTGGTAACGAGAAGGGTGCTATATGTATCTACGAATCACAAGCTGATTTGCATTTGAAGCTGTCGACTACTAAGCAGATTTCTCGTGGTCCGGTGACGTGTGTCAACTTTGTACCCTCGACATCACCTGATGTGCCGCCGTGTATCATAGCTAATGTATGCAGTGGTAACATCACGATTATGAACTGTGTATACGACGGTGCAAGTGGCAAGATCTGTGACATTACTTACCGTTACACCGTGACTAACGGTCATGTGGCACTACCACTTCGATCATGTTATTCTCGTTTCGGTGGTGGCTGGTGTATTTCAGGTTCTGAGGACCGCAACCTACTGATATTTTCATTACAGGAAGAAAACATGCCATATTCAGTTTCGTTCCATCAGGGTCCTGTGGTAGCAGTGGCTGTCAACTCACTTGACACGGTACTGGTTACATCGGATTCTAAGGGTTCGGTTGCGCTATGGCGTCGTGTGATCGTTTCTTCAAAAGGGTGAGTCCTCAGAGAATTTTAATCAATCGCTCGCGGGGACTTCTACGTGTAGATGAAACAAGTTCATGACATAACGGGGGTTTTAATATTCCGCATTCATCATACTAGTTATCTAGATAAATATGAGTGTGTATATGTCCACATGTGATTGCACACATGTTATATATGCGTTATCTAGTCATAGTTCCCTAAAACAAGGGGTGAAGCAATGTAAGGCGTTGTCAGCTCCCGTGGTTGCTAGGGTGAACCCGTTCTTCATGGATGTAGCTTTCAGCCAAGATAGATCAGAGACTGGCGCACGGTGTCCTGCGTGAACAAAACGAAGTTTCTCCTCCGTTGACAGTTCCCATATGCAGACCTGGTTATCTTCTGAGGCCGATGCTAGCATCCCTGCAGATGCCGGGCAGAATTCCACCTGATTGACTGCCTGTGAGTGGTGGCTTAGCAGTATCATAGGTTCTTCTGGCTTACGCATATCCCAGACACTAATGGTACCATCAGCTTCGCCTGTAGCCACGATTTCATCATTAAACGGGTTAAAGCTGAGACAGTTAACCTCGGTTTCTCCCTGTAATTGTAGTTGTGGTGCCCCTTCGGAGTTGTCTAGTCGTGAATCATATAGGCGAGCGACACAGTCGTCTGCCACTGCCATATAGAGCTCTTTCCTATACGGTAGCACCTGCACGTCGTTGAATGGCGTATCCTTAAGATTAAATTTGTTAATGGGTTTCACGCACTTGGTCCCCTCAACATAATGCTCCAAGTCCTCCACTGCTGTTGACTTTGCAGTGATGTCCCATGTACATACTGATCCATCAGTAGCGACCGACACTAGTTTTCTGTCGTCAACCCAACTTGCCCCGAACCCGTCAGCGGTATGTCCTGCTGTAAGTACGATCTGCGGTGCGGCCCTGGTTGCGCTTCTCGGCGTTGAAGGATGCCTGGAATAGTCATATAGTAACAGGTCTCCGAAGTTCGTATGTGTGACGAATGTGAATTGTTTCCCTGGGCAATGCACTATACGGTTTACTTCACCTGGGTGTACTAGCTTAGCTTTGATGTCTAGTACAGGCAGTGGATGTCCCATCATGGCCATTTTATGTGTTTTGTGGTAGCTGAAGAACCTTGCAAAATTTTCACAAGACGACATATTCTCGCGTATAGCTGGTACTGGTAATTTTATTTCTGCCACAATTGCATACTCGACATCGTTTCCCGAAGTGTGCGTACCTAGTAGTACTTTGTGTGCTGTGGCTCCATTTCTACTCTTATAGCACGTATCTGGTACCATATCTACAACCAAGGATGGCCAATCCAACCGGTGTACCAGTAGCGTGTCATATAGGAAGGGTGCGTTACGACGCCATACGTAGTAGTTGTCGTATTCTTCTTCCTGTTCCTTTGTAGTATCAGTATTTTGTTCATCTTTTCGTCCACTTTCAGCATGATTGCTATAATTAACCTGTGGTACCGAGTGGTGTGGCGCTGGAAACTTCCGCTTAATTTTGCAAAGTGCGTTACCACGAAGTATTACGGACTCCATTTTTCCTCAATAACTTGACGTCACTACAGCAGCAGGAGACCCTCTGGAGGTAGCTGTTCTAAATCCTGAGTGACACCCGCCGCTTTGTCCTAACGCCCTGGATGTTGTCTTTTATTGTGTGTTAGGTGCTGCATCCGGACCACTCTCTATAAGACAGCGGTGTAGACGGATGTGTGAATATTTACAAACTATATGTGTGTATTTACATGGTTATAGGTGGCACAAAGCATGGTGTCGAGTGGTCGACAAACCCGCCTTCTCGCACGACTCGCGACACCGCTAGCTGGCACCAGTATATAAAAAGTGGGCAACAACTAGACATTAATCACTTAAGTTACCGGTCCATCCTACGTAATACGTTCCTTCGGAATAGACGGTCCTCAGTCCAAATTTCGTGGAGCCGCTTCTGCATCATCCTAAGCATCTGTTGTGCCCTCCAATGTTCGACCTTGATGTCGGGGTGTACGTGAAGGAACCTGGGACAATGGCTAGTATCCTGTGGCATGATATTCTCGCCAAGCATTTCGTCGATATCTTGGTAATTGCTCTCTAGGGTCACCACCTCTCGCCTTGCTAGCCTTCGCATTCGGTTCTGTAAATCGTTTAAAAGCGTCTTGAGAGTTTTGAAACGGGGGTTTATCTCCTCATTGTACTTAGCAATGTCGTCCGCAATACGGTCTATTCTTTCCACTTGACATGGTCGCATGACCTGTGTGATATAACCCTTTGCGTCCTCCGCGGTGTAAAGAGGTCGTGGTGGTGGCCTTGGCCTACCTCCTGAGGTGATTAGCCCTGGAGATTGTGCCTGAGGTTGCCCCTGCAATACGGATCATCTTAGCTTCATCGTAGCATTTACCAAGACAGACGTGATGTTAAAGGCGAGTAGCAAGGCTACCAAGCAGCGTGAAAGGATTTCCATTTTCGCTATTAGATTTTCGTCACTGACATAGTATTGCCTCCCTTCAAGGGGCCACAAACCTTTAAGTCGTTAACAAAAATCGCAAGACCTTGTCCAGTTTTTATCGATGTTGTGGAAGTGCCAGATGATCAACTTCACCAGTCGGATGCTTTGAAAGTGTTTATATTCCCTTAAGAAATATATATACTGATATATATAGTCCCTTGGATTTGCTATACCATTTTGGCGGGTGGATGCATGTGTAGACTCACGTGGATCTCGGGATATTGGCTAAATGGCCGTTTAGCGTATGGTGTACACCACTGTTTACAGATCGAGCATTCTGGGAGGCCATGCAATGGAATTTTTTCTGAGTCAGTGACACTTTTTGAATCTAACTTCTAAATCGTTAAACGATTGCTACGTTATGTCGCCTCGAATGGCGTGTTAGTGACCTAGGCGTACAAAAGTTGACTAGCCTTACAATATAAAGGCCGTTAAAAACTACTCACGGGATTTAGAAATCTTGTAGATTGATTTTGACTAACGTAACGCTCTTTTTTTCTCGCTAAAAATTTTTTTGGAAAAATTTTGGCAACATTGATGTCGTTCACAACGCCTTCCGTTTAAACGGGGCAACAATGCTCGGTATGCCTTCAACATAGTATAAATTTCTTCAATATTTTTTGAAGAGGGTACTTACTATGGCAGAACAATCACTCGAATTTTTCGCTGGGTCCCACGGGGGATCGGCACTGGGCATGGTGACTGGCTTCCTGGATTTCATTGACTTCCTAAACCTTTCATCGACGTGCCAACGTATGAGGAGTGTGCTTCTGTCACGGGTATACTTTTGGGCAGCTTACTACGAGAGCCGGGCGATTGTTTCCATAAGCGATGCTCGTGTATCAGATAGAAATATTGGCGTTGATGCCTTTACGCACGGGGATACGCAGAATGCGGACTGCAAAATTTCGGGTTCTGGCATTAAATTAAATAATCGACCTGTAGCGTACACTGATGAAGTCTCTTTGTGGCAACCTTCAACATGCCGGTGCACGTATAACATAAAACGGAACTGGGCCACTTTGATTTGGTTCTACCGATTGAAAGCATTGGCACGTTTGGGCGGTGTGACATTTTGTGATCCTCCGTTGTATGGAAATCCGTTTGTAGACCTGGCGGTAAGGTCCGCAGCTGCATCGCGCAAAATCGCGTTGGATGCGGATATAGTCAAAAAATTAACATTACTCACAATCCCCTTGGTTGCTGCTCCAGAAATAGACACTGTTGGCTTAGCTCCTTTCACTGTGGTAAGTAGGACCAGGTTCTTTTATTTCGACGCACAATACAAATTTTGCGAGATGCGCGCATCTATACCGACTAATGATGATACTAGAATTTCAGTTCTGGCCTGTCGGTGGGGGCGTACGGTAAATTGCACGCGATGTGGTTCCGGCACAGATTTGGTTCGTCGCGGTCCAGCTTCTTCATGGTCATCGTCGCGGAGGAGCAATGAATTACAGCCTCTACTATCCCTGCTTTACAGGAATGGCCCACGTGACGTAGCTGTGTCGGTGTACGAGTACGGTATAAATGGTATCGGCAGCAAACCTTTGTTAACTCGTAAGGTACCTAATGTGTGCGCAGATATTGCGTGCCTCGATGCGGTTCACGGTACCTTCTGTGATCATTACGCCTTTTTCGTTGGATACGGCGACGGCAACATTTGTGTGATACAATCTGACTTGGAGGAAACGTACAACGCGGCGTCGGAAGCGATAGTGTCGTTGACTGCTTTTGCAACCAACAACGAGTGGCTTTTATCTGCGCACCTTTCTGGCGGTAATGTTTTAATATTGCGCTTTGGAAGATCGTGGGAATGTATACGAGTTATATGCGACGTTTCAAGCTTCGCAATCCACGCCACAAGGTTAGCGATTGGCTACAGCCGCGCAGGTCGCTGCAAGGTGTCCTTCGGCGCAATTACTGGCCCTGACGTAGAGATTGGCGTTTCTAGACCACCATCACGCATATTATGTTTGCATCGGCGATCTTTATGGGCTGTAATCATTCGTAATTACGTAAAGTTGGTGCAAGTGGTTGGGTCTGCGGGTACAACAGCTGCCCACCATGTGCGTGCTCTAAACGGCCACCTTGCGGAGATTACCGCATGCCATGCTGATGGTTGGTCTAGGCTGGTATCGGTGGACACTTCAAGCACGTTGATTGTTTGGGATTTCATACAAGGAGTAAAGCTTTTGAGCATCTCGCTTCTTCGTGCAAGCGAGCCCACCCGAGTTCCACGTTCCCACCAAGGGACTATACCTAAAACAATGGCTCGGAAACGCCCTAGCGTAAATCGCCAGGTATCGTATTCGTCCATTTACAATGTGAAGAAGGATTTCAATGCACCGCCTAAAATGGCGAGCATTTTGTCAGAACCCGTGTCGGAAAGTGACACAGAAGACCTCATTGGTGATGTGGTCCGGTTACGTGTGACGGCTATACCTTCAGCACCCAACCGGCACACCGTACACCTGTTACCCAATGCACTGTGTGTATACTACCACAACTCATCACATCTACAGCTGCTGTCGTTCACATAGGTTGATATGTATCGCACAAAAATTACACCAGTTGTGTGATGATGCACATTTCCACTATCTTAATGAAGTACATTATAGACTTAAAAATCAAAAACAATGGGTTTTCCCCCTTTCTAGACACGCTCGATCCGATCATCCCTTTTAAACTCAGCCTTATGGGCGCCATGCCCATTTACGCGGTTTCTGTATCTACCATAGTTGACATAGCCGCGATCCTCCTCATGTGGAGAGAAACGGTCGTTGTAGTTTCTGCGACGTCGATCTGTGTACTGCGGTCTGCCCCCATCGTGTCGTCGATGTCGCGCCATATGTGAGATTGGGTCACTTAGAACAAAGTCATCACTACGCCTTCCTACCGGTGTAAGATTTTCGGCCGACGTTCGTCGAACTGGAGGCATTTTGACCATCTCGTTGCTGTTCTCGTGCATCAAAGGCCGCCGTATCTCGTGAGATGCAGAATGCATCCTTGGTTGGTAGACACCAGGTACGTCCTGAACGCTTAGTGGTATTTCTAAACGTCCCTTTGGCCCATGGTGATTCATAGGTTCATGGTGAATGTAATGTGTTTCTTCATATTTCCTGAAATCTCTGAATCTGATGCGATAAAGCTTCATCAAAACTTTTACGATATCTTTATCTTCAGGTTCATGATCTGACCTTCGTTTCTGCCTATCGTTTTGATAGTAACCGCGAGGCTGTTGGCTTTCCTGCGAGCTGGTAACACCCTTGGCTACAGAGGCGTATGAATTAACGAGGCCCATAACCGGCCTATTACCGATACTACCACGTCTCGCTTGTTGTGTCGAAGATAGAGGTGGATCAGCTTTAGGTTCGCTGAGACGCTCTACTGGAGGTTCTCGCTTTACTCCGGAGCGATTCTTCTCGCATGTCGCAGCCTTCGGAATGACCTTCCTATCAATCTTTCCGACTACAGTTTGCTCCATTTTTACTGCAGGAGTACTATCTTCAACAGAAGAGTTATTCTGTGAGTGTTCTGGTTGTCGAATGATGTTTCTTTTCCTCATTCCTTGTGGCATCGCGCGCTTATCATCGCTCTTCTGAGGATGGCCTCTATTATTAGGCATTCTACCACAGATATCATAGTAAATTTGAACACCATACCTGCGTCTATCCGACATTGTGTATAAGTCTGGATTACGTATTAGGAGCACCTTGGTGTGTATGGGCAGTACACTTACGATAGTAGGTAAAGGTACCGCCCTCACGACAAAACAAACATAAAAATCGCCTTATTTTTAGGCACAAACGATATTTGAATGCCGCTAATGCTGTTATTGGTTCTTCTAATGCCATATTGTGTCGGAGCTCCTGACAAATGCAGGATGTATAATTCAGCGGTTCTTAGAGCGCACAGCTGAGTTTTTCTCACAGCAACAACGAAAAATTCGAAATAGGTTAACGTCCTCAAGTATGTGCCACTAAAATGACGCTGGAAGCACTAAAATAATAATAACATATACGTTATATTCACATATTTCAATTTGTCATATACTTGCATCATTCCGCATTCGAATCTTTACTAGCGCGGGACTGAGCTATCTCTAAAGCTGTTTGCAGGTAGCTTTCGACAACTTGGAGACTCCTGAGTAATATATCGTCACATTAGAGCAGTACCTACCAATTGATAACGCGTGTATCCGTTGGCACGTCGTCATCATCCTTTTTATTTTCGGGGTATGTTACAAGCGACCTGGATACTGCGCCATATGTTGTATAGAAAGAAGATTCTTACATAAGTTACGACAAAATGTTGCATAAAGAAAAAAATAATTATGAATTCCTAGCATTCTATGCAGAATCACTTACAGTTCGTATGCTGCTCCTCGTATAGAGGGTATTTTATAATGAGCCCTGCGAATTTTAACAAAACCATAGCCTAAACTTACCAGATTCGTCATCCCATAGGAATAAGCTGCAAGTACATATGTTGAAAAATCTTAATCACATACTATTCATGATTGTCTCCAGACGTATCAGTGTTTACTACGGGTTTCACGCATCTCTCAGATGTGCTTTGTGATGACTGCAGTTCCACGCTCTGGCCATCGTTGGCCGGAGGGCTCTCCTTCTTGCAACGGCGCCTCTGATTGTCGGAGACGGGTTTTGCACCCACAACTACATCGTTAGGACGTTTATTGCCTGAGCATTGTGCAACCACCTTCCCCGTTGCTTTGCTGCAACATAGGCGGTACTCCCATGTGGCCTGGCGGTCTTGCATCTGCCCTGAAGCAGATGTGCTGCTCTTTGGCAGCCTTTCCATTGCGTTTATAAGTGAGTCTACGTCATTAGGATGACTACTGAGTCAAGCAGAGAAATTTCTTCGTCTATTCATGCAACCTCTCAGAGCAGCGCATCTTGGATGCGCTGCTCATACTCTTCGCAAGCACGTTCTAATAGAACATTAACCCAGTCACCAGACACTAACCATTGGTATACGATTCTAGATCACAGCAATCTGTAGGGAACCATCCATCAGCACGAAGTCGCTCTTCTATGCTTAAGATGCCAGTCGAGAGATTTTCCATGTACTTGCACCGGGCAGAACATATAGGACGATGATGACCGGTCCATGAGACATTGAACGGTATCAATGTAATATTGTACTCCTGCATTAGCCCTCTGAGATTTTTGGAAATACCTGACGATGTGTAAAACACATGTGTTACACCTACCAGCTGCCTTAAACCGAACGGTGGAGTTTGCCCCTAATTCTTCCTTTACACGTTTATTCCTGTAGATGATGATCAATCATTTGACGATTTTACCTGAGGTCTATCATGTTGCTAAAAGCTGTGAACGGCCGGTTAAACTGAGTGGCCAGTTTGGCCACCTTTGGCAATAGGTTGTATCCAACCTTAAGTAGAGAGGAATTAGACCACAACCACGCAAATAAATCAAATAGAGTCCTCTGATATAACGGATCGGTGACGAATAGGTCAATGATGAAAGTATGGTTCGTAGTGGAAAGCGATGCTGCGTCACGCTCGACATGCACCGCCACTAGACAGTCATGCCCCTCGGCATGTTTATGCGCATAGTTCCTGAGCACCTTTAATACATATCTAACATCAGCTATAGTGTCCACAACATGTGGCGTATCAATCCCATTTACTGTCCTATGTAACTCGAAGTCCTCTACAGCAAGGTCCAACCCTGCAGTGGTTCCAGAAGCATCTTCGACCAACGCACTACCGGGACGGCTTGAGAGTAGCCTTTGCAACTCTATATATGCCCATGGGTATTTCAGAAGGCCAGTATGCCTATCCGTAGTCCTCATCATATCGCAAGCCTGTGCTTTTGCCTGTTGAGGTGCCTTAGAAAAGAATAAATCAAGTGATACCCTAGATTCCGCCTCTATAACGCTTTTCAGCACATCAGCAGGCCTCCATGATCCCGGAACAAAAGGGTAGTATAGGTCGTCTTTGTCCAGCTGGTGTAATAGTAACATTGTCATGTCTACTGCCTCAAGTCGTGCCAGGTCAGAGTCTTCGCTGAGTTTCTCTGCGAAAAACTCGTTTACAGTTTGTGCCTCGAGACCATGGGAAAGTTTATGTTGAAGCCTCAGCACTCTCAAAGATTTACTAAATTCCATGGCACCCACAGAACGGAATAAACCGTTAACACATACATATTCCTTGGCACGTGTGTTGTACATTGCAAACCTAGATTTATATGTCGTCTTGACATTGTAAAATACCTTCGTAGAGCATCCTCCACACCTGAGGTTAGTGCTTCTAGCGGTTGAGGATGCATGGCAGGGCTAACCTCTTTGACTAGTTTCCGATTCAGTGGAGCAAATATGAGCTCCCTTGCGTGTGGCGTAGATGATACCGAAAGCGGCGGTTCTAGAAAGCTCTTATCAGAGTAAACATAGTTCAACGCTTCCATGAACCCATGCGTGAAGTACCTAAACTTAGATTGGCATAACAGCGACAACACAGTACCTGGTCATAGCATCACTTGGTCGATTGCTCGACCCTAGGAAATGAAATATGACATTAGCGACCAATGTATGTTTCTCTCCGGCTGCACAAAGCTGCGGCAACACCTCCACCATGCGTTTCGTGGCGTAGATGGGCCACCGCCTGGCCTGCGCCCTCATGGGCGTTATGCTGGGCTAACAACTTAATGCCATGAACCCCTCGAGGCACATCCTGGTGACCTTTGGAGAGGCCTGCCTCTCAGAAAGGCGCGAGAGCCTCTATGTTTGAGATGATAGGAGTAATCGCAGTGGAATCTAGGTATATGTGTGGCAGCATCGCGTTAACAGGGGGTGACAGACGCCCGCGGAGCCCTTATCCCCGACCAGTGGCATCTGTTAACGTGAAGCATCGCGAATAAAGGTGGATTAGTGCGCTTTATTCGGGTTTCTACGGCAGTCAGGGCTCACGCAGAATCTACGGGCAGCGTGATTGACGTTAAAGCCTTTAGGCTTTTAATGCATTAGATTTGGCGGCACCTATAGCTGTATAAAATATAATACCGCTATTTCATTCGGAGAAAGTCCAGCTGAGCCTCCACCAAGTCACACCGCAGCCGTAACGTCAGACATCAACGTAACAATGGGCGCTTCCGGTGGCGATGATAACTTAATTTACGAGACCTCTGAAGACTGCGAAGTTATCGATTCATTTGAGGGGTTAGGGTTACGCGAGGAGATTCTGAAGGGTATTTTTGCCTACGGTTTCGACAAACCATCGGCGGTACAACAACGTGCCATCAAACCTATTCTTGATGGTCGCGATGTAATCATTCAATCGCAGAGCGGTACAGGAAAGACATGTGTCTTTTGCCTTGGTGCACTTCAAACTGTTAACCCAGCCTCTAAACAGACCCAGATACTGTTGCTCTCACCTACACGGGAACTAGCAGAACAATCGCAGAAGGTTTGCCTTGCTTTAGGGGATTACTGCAATGTAGAGGTGCATTGCTGTATCGGTGGAAAGCGTGTATCCGATGATATAAAGGCACTTGAGTCAGGGGTTCACATTGTCTCTGGAACCCCTGGAAGGGTGAACCACATGATCGCTGACCGTCACCTCAACACTAGAAATATCAAGCAGCTGATCCTAGATGAGGCTGATGAGATGCTAAACCGTGGTTTTAAAGACCAAGTATATTCCGTATACAGGTACCTCCCCCCTACAATACAGGTTGTACTAGTGTCTGCTACGCTGCCTCAAGAGGTGGTAGATATCACACAAAGATTCATGAATAACCCGTTCCGGGTTTTGGTAAAACGTGATGAGCTTACCCTTGATGGTATCAAGCAGTTCTTTGTAGCAGTGGAAAAAGAACAATGGAAATTTGACACCCTCTGTGACCTGTATGAGTCACTTATCATTACACAGGCCGTCGTTTTCTGCAACACTCGCGAGAAGGTGGATTGGCTGGCAAAGCGTATGCAAGACTCCAATTTCACGGTTTGCAAGATGCACGGTGATATGTCACAGAAGGAGCGCAATGATATCATGCAACAGTTCCGTCGCGGAGAATCACGCGTGTTGATATCTACCGACATTTGGGGACGTGGACTTGACGTCCAACAGGTATCATTGGTAGTAAATTACGATCTGCCAACCAATCGAGAGAACTATATCCACCGAATCGGGCGTTCCGGTAGATACGGTCGCAAGGGTGTCGCTATTAACTTCGTCAAGGTAAGTGCATCACCAACGTTTGCATATGATTCAGGATGACGACATTCGAGTTTTACGTGATATCGAACAATACTATTCAACACAGATTGATGAAATGCCCATGAATATCGCAGAACTGCTTTAAGCATCGCACTGAAACCACCGTGATAAATATAACTCGTGTATGTTACAGTTACAATGACTAACATCATGAAACACCAGATACATAGCAACTACATTACGCACAAGGACAAATGTTACTCGGCAGCACAGCACCGCTCGTACAACGGCGAAGCATCACCGCTATAATATCGCTTGGTTATCAGTGACCACGACATTGTGATGTGACGACTTCACTACGCTACTTCTCGGTTGTATCGTCCATACAATTTCCCTTCTTTATTCCGACCCTTGGAACGAGCAAACCTTGTTGTCACCTCCTCTTATAACCCCGGTAGAGTATGGTTACGTAGACAGTTCATATTCAACCGTTCTTAGGCGCTTTGTCCATCAGGAAGATTGGATAAAGGATATTTGTGCGATTTGTGTCGATGATCCTACCGTTTGAGATCATTTCGTTTAATATATAGTGCGCCTTTTCTAGATTAAACATGATATCCAACTCGCAGACCGATTCAAAATATCCATCCATAGTTTCGACAATATGATGGATCAGTTCGAGCAGCGCCAGCTCGTTCTCACTTTCGGTTGCACCAATAACGATATATAGGCTTGCATATCTGAGCTTTATAATCTATATAGTTACAGTCTTACCTTCGGTAGACTATCTTATGCTGACGAATATGCATAAATGATGATTGGTTCTCGTCACGGCACATACATTTTCGAATAATTTCACCTTCGAGTGAGCATTTCTCAGAGACAGACAAGTTCTCATAATAGCGACTGAGCCTTGTCTGCCCTTGTTTATTGATCATAAGGACAAATTTAATCATCTTGTCATCTATTATTGCGATATACTAAGTGGAATGATCAAGTGTGTAATGCGCTAAGTCAGGCAGAGTGACGTGGAATCCTGGCAGGTGTGTTAACGAAACGACAACCACAGTAAACACATATTTTGAAATAATTATATACGTGCTAGATAGGCACTCTCAGTTGCTTTCAGTGCCGCTGCGCCTGAATTATCGCCTTGCTAAGAGGTCATGCAATGGAGACCGCGAAGCCGTAACACATGGACCTATATAGCTTATCTCAACTCTTACGTGGTCCTGGAGATACAGTGCAAACAATTGAAGTTGACAATGAATGGCCACACCCAGGTATATCTGTGGATTTGACGGATTCCAGCTGTCCGTCTGAGATATCCTCAGACGATGACTTCTTACAGTTGCCGTGGCCACCAGAAGCACCAGATGAATCTACGAGAAATACAACAACCGAACCCAACGGGGGTGCGGCTCAAAAACAACGCTGCAGTTGGCACTTTGAACGACATTTCGATTATATGGTTGACAGAAATCTGCGGCCACTGGAGGACTACATGCTACCACAATGCCAAATACCTGGAGGTACCGGCATAGGTATTAATGCTCCAGAGCTTGCGTATTACTCGGGAAGTAGCGGCGCATCACTGCAAGAGGCCTTGTCCATGCTTCTGCAAAGCTACAAACTAGAATGGAAGAAAATATTCGGCAATTTCGAGTGTTTGGAAAATGGACGTATCAATATGTTACAAACCTCAATTGATCGGGATTTCCAACATCTTATGGACCCTGCCAATATTGCAGATGTGCCCTGGGTAGGGACGATGGTTGAGGAGGTGGTGGCTCCCAACGTATCATTCCCGTCAACTGTTACACTACCTAGCGGTGATACGTCGACATATAGTAAATCGAGATCGTCAACAACTGACAGACAATCAACCTTTTCACCGTTCCACTCAACTACCACAGACGATTCCAATTCCACTGGAAGTGTTGAGAGAACCAAAGCACCATTGGTCTCTCCACAACGAGGAGATAGTCTGAGGGGTCATAATATGAATAGGAGCACGGGATCTTGCCCGGGGTATCTACGTAACGAGTGTGAAATGCTTGCCATTTTGGAAAAACATGGCTGCGAACCATTCTATACATTCTTGGATCAACTGTTCGTAGGACTGGAGGGGTGTCGTGTGGCTGCGAGATATGCTCAAGCTTTAGATCTCCTGACTGGTGTGATTCGCCTAATGCCCGAACTAATTTGTCTACTTATTGGACCAAGCGTCGGTCAAAAGGAAACAAGCGGCAGACGACCATGTTATTTCCGGAGGCTAGTTATATTAGTCCGTTCATTTCTGAAATATATGGGAATGGAAACATCTGTGCCTTTGACGGAGATATATAAGGATGCATCCGGCGGCCGTTTTACGCCATTCTACTTACTCACCGGCGAGAAGGAGTTGGCCGCCAGGCACGCCAAAGCGGCGATGACTGCGACATTACTTCTGCGTCTATTCACACTGACCAGATTTATCAGTGAAAAATGCATGGGTTGGGTGCGCCTATTTCTTGACAATGCAAACTATTCGAAAAAACTAATACACCGCTTGAAACGCTTTGTTTACCTGCCACTATTCTCGATGAAACAGGTTCATGAATTGGTGATCCCAATGGCAGGGAAATTTACTTGTACTCAGACATGCCTCCTAGATTTCGATTATTTGCAATGGATACGCTGGTACTTATACCCTCCGCCGCATCTATATTTGCTGCGTTCCGAGCTACTTGGATTACTACGGGTATGCGTCTCAACTACTCAACTGAATCTCTGCGGCTGGTACGCTCGATTGAATGAGGCATTGAAGGCACATAATGAAACAACCACAGGGGCTGATCACGATACAACACTACGGCTACACCTGTTCCTATTAGTCACAGGCATGTCCTTTTTCGTAGCACCCGAATTCTTAAGTACCTGCGTCGGCAACCCTGAATACTTTTTCGGAAGTTACTCTCTTCTACTGCCACATGTACAGTGTGCATTACAGAAGGTGGCACTGGATGGGTTTGTAGAAGGGGAAGTCTACCCGTTTCAGGAAAGGGTGATTGATTTGCTCAAGGTCACGGTGGACAGTGAGATACTCTCTGGCAAAATGCTAGGGCTACATTGCACGTCACCTGTACAGCCTAATATGCTCTGTAGGATACTAGCACTCGCATGGCATTATGTTTCTGCTCCTAAAATTGGAGATGAAGAGTCTAGCGTTACGATGAAACTGGTTGTCGAGAATTCGCCGGACACAGATGATATTGACAACGCTTGTTGCGGTGAATGCAAAAATTTGGGTCTCTACTCAGCTTGCTGCAGTATAATGTTACTGAGAAACGTCTCACCAGTACCTGTTCGATTCCGTTTAAGCCGCTCTCCTTTGCACCCAGCAAGATGTCTACTTACAACGGCTGACGAACTCGAATCTAAAGTGCGTCGAAACGAAGAGTTCGTGAACCATTCTAGAATCGCAGCTAACGACCATGTTTTCATACGTGGCAACGTTTCAAGACACAGTCCTTTAGAGATGGTTTGCAAAATGGACGATGCTTCTAGCCCAAGGAAGGAAGTCACTAAGGATACACATATGAGCACTATGGATCAGGTTTTCGATGTGCCAGCATCCGTGAAACGCTGTACTCTCGGATGTTTACTTCGTCGACACGCACCAGACCAGGGTACCCCCGTAGTTGATGAATTGCGATGGGCCGTTGTACTACAGTGTGTAGGTACAATAACCCGATTCATGAACAAAAATACCGATCCACGATCACTCTCAAAACCCAATGCCGAAGCTGTGTTCGGATCACTGTCCCCTATTTGGAGAGCGCTAGTGGAGTTGCTGTGTAGTACGGAGCTCAGCAATAGGTTACCAGAATGCGAGGCGTCCGTCGGACACAAAGTCCACTGAAGTGCTCTGTACCGAAGTTCCGACTATCCTTAGTCGAAAGATCGCTTACAATATCTAACTGTTTTTTTAATTATGAATATAATATTTCTTCCTTGTTGTTTGCATGCAAACTTTGCCGCTTTATTTATTTTAGCGTTGATATTTTGTTCGGAATTGCAAAATGAAATGAATTGCACATAACTGAGTTTTGACGTGGACAATGCCACATTATGTTCACTCTTGCTGGTAGTATACGTTTCCGTCCATTTGAGTGGGAATGTGAGCATACTCTGGTTGCTCCTGGATGTAGGAGGCTTGTTGGTAGCCCTGTTCATAAACGTCCTCCGCGAAATCAGCATTAACGTCACGCGAGTGTAGAGAAGGGGACCATTTCTCCAAAAGAGGCTCGAAGCTGAAGCTCCAGACAGTAGCACTCAAGATAGCCGCCAAAAGGAAGAGACTGAACAATGCCCCGTAACCGGTGAAGACCATAAGCAACTCTGTAAGACCTGCTAGGCAGAAAAGTACTAGGTTGGTCCACGCAACATCTTCAGATGTACCCTCGTCATGGTAGGCTTCAAGGTAGAAAAAGGCGGCACCGTACATAACCAAGGCAAAGCTGTTGGTGAAGCTGCCGAATTGGAAGAAGATCCAGTCGGCCTTGGTTTGTTGGTAACGAGTCCACCATTTCATGCTCATGTAGAAGTAAGCGTAGATGTACTGAACGAGTCTGAGCATAGAAGAAATGAGGTCAAGGGTGACAGCCGCACTGAGAATTTTGGAACCGGCCCTGAATCCGCGTACAGCCTTTGAGTTGTCTGATACGAAAACTTGGAACATTGCGACATAGAAGGTTCCTAGCAAGTATAGAGCCTGAAGTGAGGATACAGTAAGGTGGAACGGCCTTGAGATCTTCACGCTTTCTGGTGCGGCATAAAGGTCAAAGACGAATACACCGTTTCCACCAAATGCCCAGTAGAAGATGAACATGAGCGTAAGCGCACTGCACTGGAAGGTTAATCCTGATCTCAATAGTTTTGAGCTGAAAAATCCAACCATAGGTGTGTGCTGTTCACCCCTAGGGCTGACAACCTCACTTTCCATAATATAATCGGCATCCATTTGTCCAGTGTGGGTGTAATGCATGCCATAGTGGTCTTGAGGCTCTACTGCGTAAGGGTACTGCTCATAGGCAGCCATGTGAGACATTTCTTGCATTGGGATCTCCGCCATCTTTATTGCCTATTCCTACAACGGTATGAATTCGATTCTCATAAATGCGAGGTTTAACATATAGATGAATTCACAAATGATAACACTGCGATGTGCGCGATGCGGCGTCACAAAGTTCCGAGCTCGCGAGATGAGAGTTATGCCTGCATCGCTCGCGCCTACGCACACGAGTACCTACCTGATGCGCGCGTCGCAGCAGAAGTAATTGTGGCGTAATATACTCCTGGATGAAGGATACCCGGAGATGTGTAGTGTTTAGAGCCGTTCTGGCTCCAGGGGGCATTCGCCTCGACACCCTACCGAACCCTACACAACTGCGCAATATACGGCGTGACATTGCGAGTCCGTAAAGCACTCCCTAGGTGTCGAGTGTACCTTACACACTCATATGCGTCATGTGCACTTCGTCTTTAAACTCCCTATCCCCTGTTCACTACAGGGTGTCAGCTGAGCGGCACCTTGGCGTTAAGGCGTGCTTGGCCATGGAATAAAAGGATCACACCGATTTTATTTAGGGTGCAATTATGACTCGTGTGTTATGTGTTCATCGTGCCATGTTGAATCCTATTTCGAGGAATGATGGTTCCTGTGTTACATTGGTGCCTCTTGGCGCTTTTAGGAGTGTCACGGCCTATAGCGCCAGTATAAGGGTTCTGTGAATTTTATAAGTCATGTGCGTCTACTTAATATTTTGTCTTATACCTCGTGAGAGACTATTACCTAGTTTATTCTTATGGCTGCGGCCACACCATAAATCGCAGCCACGATGAATAGCATCTGAATACTTTATCCACATCGTAACGATGCGTTAAACTGTGCTGGAAATGTGGCAGCACGCCACTCCGGCCAAGCCATCCAAGTACGTTGGCAGTTCCCTCTCTGTACTAATTCCCATCCTACTGCTGTGTCTTGCCAGTCTTATTGGCAAGTGCTGGTCTTTTAGAGTCAATATTTGCCCTATTAGATCGATAGGAGGCCATAAAACTGAATTGGGGCACGTTAGACACAGGGAAGGTGACAATTACCCGGGCAGCCTCTACGCTGTGCCTGAAGGAGCCTTCTCCGTTAAAGGGAAAACCGTTAAGTCACCATTTCTTTTTGAACTGATAGAGCGCGGTTTAATTGCGAATGCTACAGATCTAGCAAGGCTAGATGAACTCTTCTGCTCCCGGGAATCCGCCGCCAAATCAACGGATGTGCCGGCTGTATATTATGGTTAGCATCTCCTTTCATTTATCTTACAACATTCATAGGTATCGACCTCACGGCAAACTTCATTCATGAAGGGACTCTTCTACAGCTCTTGTTACTACGTCGATTTTTGGCGCAGGGGTTCAATGTCGTAGTTTTACTGGGGGGAGGTACCACGCTGGTCGGGGACCCATCATTCAAATCGAAACGTACCAAGGCCACAATAACATCCTCCGAATCTGGTAACACCAGATATAATGCCATATTGGATAGGATAACGCCTTGCGCTTCGGTGAAAGAGGACAACTATGCTGGGATCCTGGAAGTGGTAAAGAAACTGCTGACAAGGGAGCTCGAGACCGTTGATGGCCATTTAGTGCACCCAGCTCTAAAGTTAGCTTCAGCAATAGGGGATGGTGATTTGACTAAAGTCACTTCGACCCCTTACAACGTGGTGGTGGTGAACAACCGTGACATATACGACCGTGTCACACTAACGGAATATCTTGGAACAGTTGCACGCAATATGAGTGTAGGAAGGATGCTCTCTCGAGAGTGTATCAAGTCGAGACTACTCTATACAGAGGAAGCTGGCGTTACAACCCTTCGCATGGCCAACATGGACCTGGCAGAGTTCATTTACATGTCATTGCAGGCAACGGATTTCGTCCACGTCGCATCAAAATATAACGCTGTCATTCAACTTGGTGGCAGCGATCAGATGGGTAATATCATGTCAGGAATAGAGTTGGCAAACGGATTGAACAATCTGTCTAAACCTCTATTCGGTATCACAACGCCGTTGCTGCAGACACGCAGCGGTGAGAAAGTTAGCAAATCCAACTCCGAAGAACTACTTCGCATCACTGCTGATATACCGCCTCTAGTGTTTTGGTCACACTTCCGCAACGTCGATGACCAGGTGGTCGGCAGGTATTTACAATGGCTAACTCAGGTGCCCATTAACAATATCGACGAGGCGCTAGCGAAACATGTAAACACTGCTAAGGTAATTTGGAAATATATTACATGCTAAATATTTTCAGGTACTCTTGGCGGACGAGTTGACGTCATCGATATTCGGCAAAAGATACACTGATGCGCTACAGGAGCATTGGGTCAAAGGAGATGTTGCCAATGTGACAAAACCACGCGAAAACTGTTCCACCGAGGAATACGATTCATTAGTCACCTTTGTGGATTGTGTTCCACACGTAGAAGTTTCTCTTGATCAACTGACGCAGGGCGTTCCATTCGCTGAGCTACTGGATATGCTTCGTACCCCTCAATTGGTATCAGGTTTATTTTACAGCAACCGCCGCGCCATTCGTGAAGGCACGTGTCGAATAAATGGCATCGTAGAAACCCATGTAGATCGTTTAGTGACAGCCAACGACCTTCTGAATGTATCGTGCGAAGACGGCCGGTCAATGCAATACATTGCTCTGCAGTTTGGCAAACGCCAGCTATACCTCGCCGTATTGAAGTGATTTTATATAGCCAGATAAAAACAAAAGCAGGAACACTGTGTGTTTTCGCACACGTGATTTAGTATCTTTCTGCAGAACAGTATATTTAATTGAATTCTATCAACAAACCTAGCTAGTGAATGGGCACACCTAGTGCTAATTCTGCTTGAAAGGTACCATTTGAGATATTTTTTGTTTGTTTGGCTGCATGATAATATAGTTGTTCATTGGCTCTAGTTGATAGGCGTACCTCTGGTTTATTGCGACGGCGTCCGATGGGTTAGACAAGAATGCGATTGTGATAAATGGCACATGCCAGCTGGCAGCATCTATATGCTCCAAGGATACGGCGATGGTTGGCACCCTGATACTACTGTCGCTGGTCATCAATGTGACTTGTTCCTTGTCATTGAATGTTACCAAGGAGACGTCAACCGCCACCCTACAGTTTGCCTCGATGACTGCTACTACCTTTTCATTCGCATCCTTGACAACCACTCTGACATTAGAACAATGAGAGACAGACCTGAATGTCATGAACATACAGGATAATACAAACGTACTCCTGTGGGAGCCAGAAAAGTGAAGCCGTATCTACGACTAACGCCAAGGTGGCCAACGAGGCATACGCGATAACGGCCGTAAGTAATGCGCAAAATAGCATGTGATAGGAGGACGTTGAGTCGCAAAGTTCAGGAAATAGCATGACCACTAGCCCTAGGCTCATACAGATGAACGAGAAGTAGTTGTCTGCCTTCTTGCTGTATGGTTTAGCAACTACGAGGTATTTGCACAGAGGGTAAACGGATTCAACTAACCTAAGAACGTGACAGTCAACACTGCGTGCGACGCAATCCTAAAAGCGGTTAACCATGTTGCCAACCGGCCCCCTGTTATCAAAGAGATAGCGGCGCAAAAACCACCAGCGCCCTTTACAATATTGCAACCCTCGACGAACACGGGCAGTCGTACATTTCTTTCAATTGTGCAATGTGGTATGTCGTTATTGACCTGCATCACTGTCATATCTTGAAAAATGACATTACCTCCAATTGTTTAACCTGGGCCTGTACGACAGTGCGCATCTTCACCACTTTGTTAAATGCGATATCTTGTAGGAACCTAGTGGTATTTTTTACAAGGTTATATGTGACGAAGTAGGTAATATGCCGTGTCTCAACGGTTGCAATTACCTTGTTTCTAAATCTTCTGTCTATCCTTTTGATATAATCCAGCTGCAGCCATACAGGTGTGTTCCCGTTCAAGCCATCATAAACTTGGTTGCGAGGTTTTCTTCCCCTGAGAATCATTGGAGTTTCTCCCGTAGTTGTTAGTGAGGCTTTTACGGTAACTGAGTTTGTCTTGTTGGATTTGCAGGGGCGAATATCCACCGTTTCCGGAACATCGCAGTCAAAAGATGTTGTAGTTTCATTGAGTGGATAATAGTCTGGGTGGTTCATAGCGTAGCTATCAACATCCAATGGGTATTCCATTTTCTCAAGATCCACCTCTTTGATCTCCGCTGCAACGACGGCATACTGGCGATTAACAAATGGAAGTCGATTCGTTGTTAATCTGAAAAGTATGAATCAACTAGCTTGTTTACTTACGTATTTGCGAATTGTGTAGTGAGGAGGTTACATTTACGATTTATCCAAAACCCGTCAGTCCTCTGCGCATAGTGTTCCCTTATTTGGGAAACGATTTGGTCCATCTCGTCGTCTTCATAGTAGGAGTAGTCCGATAGTTGACGCTTAATGCTAGGGGGAGCCCATACCCAGATTAGTTTCTTTTCTTCGATATTCTGCCACGTGGTTCTTATGCGATATAACAATTTCCTCACTAGGTGCACCTGAGCAGTTAGGGCCATGATGGACACCGGTATTGAAGAGTAGTATTGCACGAACTCCAACAACAGTCCTAATCTGCCTGTGGAATTCCGCTGAGGGCGCCCTTTGACGAACTCTATTTCTATAGTTGGTTCCTCATTCTTTAAGAAAGGTGCCTGTTTCGTATAATATTACATTTGTGCTACACCTACAATAACAATTTGTATCGCGAAGAACATCCAAGGGTATATAAAGAGGGTAATAAGCGCATCTACTGGTATATGCGGTCCTTTCGGTTTTGTTTCAAACACATCCACACGCTCCTTTCTTCCAGCAATGGCCACCATTCCTACAATGACGGATATAAGAGTTACATAGCCCTAAATATACATTAAATCACTCTATCTAGTTGCTTACGTATAATTTCAGAAGTTCGTTCGCAGGTGAAGTTGCAAATTGCTTCATGTTCGGTAGCATGCTGAAATTCCGGCAGACGCTGTGAGCTACTGCATCGTCAGTTGCACATATTACTTGTGTTAAGTATATCAAAGGAGTTCCTATAACTGGTACGGAGTCGAATATTATTTCCTTTTGGGTTCGCAATATATGAGGTACCAATGTAGTCACAACCCCGACCCAGTAAGAACATCCAATAAGTGCGAGTAGAATTGCTTTGTATGCCGTACTTGAACCTTCTGTCTTATTTGGCCTTATGATGAACTTCTTGACTTTCTCACCATTGATACCATAAATCACGAGGTCGTTGTTTAGGTCGAATACAGGTGTTATGATTCCACTTTGCGCTCTCATGTAGTTCTGCAATAGAATTGACATAAGTTGCCTATAAAATAACACTATCTGTAATAGCTAATCATAGAAGCTAATACAGACAACTGTAGTTACATTAAAACGAGAATCACTCACCTCTTTGTAATCGTGTATTTTCTTGACATACCCATCAATGATATATGATTTCGGAATGAGGTACAAATATTTGGGATCGGTTTCGATTACAAATGGCGAGAATCTTCGTAGAGTATCAGGGCATGTGAACGAATTACTGCCATCATCTTCTGTCATTATTTTACATGGTGCTGAGTTACCTAGTGCCATTAGAGAAGTAGGCGGCGGTATATCTTCTACAGATGTCGTTTGAAATCGAAGGTTATAAATAGTTTTCTCAATGAGCTTGTCGCTACCCTCTTTTTCAACCTCAACACATGTTATATTGACAGTTGACATGAAGCCTATTTCATCCAACTTAAGGATTGCTGAATTTGCTTCATGATTACCATTAATTGAGGGCAAACCAAAACGGCACTCCGCGTATAAGGTGAACGTGGAGTCTGGAGAATAATATCCAGGTACGACGTACGAGCGATGCGCCTTGGATAGTGTAGGATGTATAGTCACATTACTCCCATCGGTACTATATACCTCCAACATCTCCAGGGTATTGGCTTCACCATTATTCGGGACATCTATAATGATGACATATTCCGCTGTTCGCCTTTCGTTATCTCTTATCAATTCTATATTGACACGATATTCATTTCTATCACCGCATCGAGTAGGGATGTTCACATATCCTGCATCACGTGGGTCTAACATCTGTCCATTTATTTGAACCGCAACGTCTATTGCACTGTAGATGGTATTCTGCGATTCGTCAACATCTATATCTTTGCCCCTAGTTTCATGTGAGTGTTCTTCGGTTTCATGGACCGCAGCAGAAGGTAGCATAGTTGATGCTTCATGTTTACCGCGGCTTTGAGTATCTGTAAAATTTTCAATTGTTTTATTTGCATCATTTAAATCGATTTTTGTGCTTATATTGTCACTATATCCGTCTTTGACTTGGATATATTGCCCTTTTTGGAACCATATCGGTATATCGACGTATACCTCAACATGGTCGGTGCAGTGATCGGTTTTGACCGTATACTCATGCACATTGTATTCAAATTGAAAGTTGGCATCGGCGATATATATCCCCGATATGGCCTCTTGTACCCATTGTTCTTGTGCATAATCTGCTTTAACCTGTTTATACCCTCTCTCCCCGAGTGCTGCCACAGCAAGACATAGGAATACAATCTGGAACAACAACGTTCCTCGTATTATGTTTTTTTGGTTCACTTTGGGGATACCCATTTATATATGAACTTTGTAGATCGCTGTTGATATGTTGACATCGTTTGTCGTCATTATTGCTAATTTTATGCGTTTTAATTTTACGTTGAAGTGACACGCTGCGATTTTTGTGTTCAACTGCAATTAGGCCAATTAGACCTCCGTTTCTATACTACAAGTGTGAAGGGGATGTCTCATCAGCGCGAGTGTTTCACAGAAGTGGCGTTTTGTATTTCGTGATCTACAAGTGCTACGGAGTCTCCTCTAATTATTATGTATATTGCTGTTCAATAGACTCATTTTAGGCAATAATTGCGATTATTTCATCATTAAAATCACGAAATGTACCGGATGCGGTTTTCATTCATATTAATTTTGCCATTTCGCTGCTGCCTAGCTACAACACACGTCCAATGGCTTCTTCAGCAACCTCAAATGACCTACCGTAGTATAATATCCATTCATTTAACAATAAGATAATATTAAATGCCAGCAAAATTACTTTTGTAGTCTATATACGTAAGTCCGGTGTCCTGTGCACGCGGAATCCTGTAGGTGGCGTAACCCTCCGATAGTGCTGAGGTCAGCCGCATTCCAAGTTTGCTATATTTACCAACAAGCAAACATGGATATGTTGGACTCCGATAGTACGTTGTCTTCAGAGACATTCCTTTCGACGTGTTCTCTGGACGATATTATCGCTCATTCCCTTCGGTACGAAGCAGACAAGGACATTTCTGAGCTAAAGGTATGGTTGTTACCGCTATAATATAGCATTTATATTTGGGATTCTAATGTTATTTACGTAATTATGTCATTATTTACAGGATACGGAGAATGTGTCTTTGGTTTATCATTTTTTAAGGCATATTTGGACTTCCATGACAGATGCGTCCGTCTACACTCCACTTGAAGGTGTGTTATTATTTTGACGTATTAAAAGGTGATTAGGTGTTGCTGATATTGATGGAGTGATCCCTTTTCTTCATTCTTCCATATCTCGCCAGCAAGTTGCTGAGCGCATTTTGGATTTTCTATCGCATTTTCGTGAGGATTCTTCAGACGACGGTACTGGTGATGGAGACAATACAGTGTCGTCGTTACGTAATGTGGCGCAGGGTCACCTTTTAACAAGTTTTAAAGTCCTGTCAAGCTACTTATTGGTATGTGTTGTTAAGATCCTTGTTACATGTTTTCAGTCTGGTATTGTTCGAGGTAACGGGATGGTTTCATCTAGTTACGGAATTCTGTGTCTGGCGGAGGTATATATGTACATGATTCCTGCGGCGCTTGACCTTTCTCTTTTCTTGGACCTACTGACCGATTTGGTAAAGGGTCTGCCGATAGAGGGTGCTAAGGCATTATGTCAATTTTTGTATGAGCGCACAACATTTTTGCGCAATGCATTCAAGTCTTTGGAGGCGTCTGCAACAAGTACACGCCTTGTTCAGACTGCAGGGGCTAAAATGATCGGTTTGGTTCGAGTGTTGGAAGGCATATTAGGGGAGAGTGCGGATTGTGATATTCCTGTCCAGGTTTTCAACACAAGGATCACTATGACTAGTTGTTTGCCCATATCTCATTTGGGAGTGTGTAATAGACAATCTTTCTCTGCTTACATGGAGCCTGTTCGAAAGGGATCGCTTGAGGAGTGGAAGTCGGAGTTGGCTTTGACCCTTCGAAAGCGTGCTCATGGTATTTCTCCATTTGAACTCAGCAATTACGAGGCTATTGCTGGAAATGTTGGTTTCCCTAACAGTGTATCTGGCGATATATTCGATGTTAAGTCGTTAATTGGTTCGTCTAACGATCGCTCTGCTGTTATGCAGTCCCTACAACATATACCATCGTATACGGTCTACTGTGACTATTGCGATTTGCTTAACTTTATCTTCAACCCATTAATAATAACGGATAAAACCCAAGAGTACATGGAGAGTTTGCATTCGCAATTTCAATCGGTGGCAAACCACATTCTTATGTTGGCTGAGAAGGTTCCTCGTTACGAACAGGAACAGCCATGGGTGATGCCGCTGACGACCAACATCTCATTTTTCATCTCTCGCTGCGCAAGTCTATCATTCTGGACGACGTTTCTCTCCGCTAGCAGTCTCGCTGTTCAGTCACTAAAAATATCGCATAAGCGCACTGCACCTACGGAAAGTATCTATTCTCTCCTTCGTGATAAGGTAAAAATTTGTTTTTTAGATGCCATATCCTAATGCTTTCACAGTCAGCTGCTTCATTGGATGCTATCGAGAGGATCTTAAGCCAATGTACATCCAAGGTTAGCGGCTTATCGTCGACATTGGAGCGCCTTCTTTCTCGGGAAAAGGAATGGGTAAGTTCGAATTATTTTGTTGTGGTTTTTTAAAGTTATACTAGATATTATGGAAACAGCGCGGTTGCGTAGCGGACCCTCTTCGGCCAATAACTACCGACGTTTTAACGTCGCCTGGCGAGCCTGCCCTCTCTGATAGTGGCTCTGATGAGAGCTACATGCTCGATTTTGTGGAGATGTTGTCAGAACTGGAATCACTAAGTTACGTGGGTGAGGACGGTCTTCCGGAGCTTGGTTCTAATCTGTCTCTTTCTATTGACGATCTAAAACTGAATCGGCAAGCCACAGCGTGGTATTTGGAAAACCGTGCAACCGAAGGTACTGCCAGCAGCGCTAGTGAACGTCTAAGTCAGAAACTGGATGATTATGTTGAGAAGATGCGTATGGACGCTGATCCCGAAAACGGTATAGAAGAGTCTGAGCACAGCAAATATGACCCTATGTTCCGTTTCCGTTTCAATCGTTTATTCGCGGGTCAACACGTGCAGAAGTACATGGAGCTAAGCAATGAGGATATAGCTTCAGGTAGTCTTGAGTGTCTGGCTGAATCGTTGAGTTGGGGTGACGATTACACGTCTAAAAAGAATCGCAAGCGTGAAAAGAGCTGAACGGACATATAGTTAAAATATTGTGAATGACTTATTCCCATTGCATACACCCTATTGTTATGTGTTTGGTTAAAGTGTTTAAGTGCAGCACGGTTCTTCTCGGCGTCTGTTGCGGTGAATGTCGCACGTGCCTGGTACTAAGCTCGCCTATACCTTCTACGTTATTTTTACACCCGGAAAGTGTAATGAATCATCCTTATAGTACACGTTAGTTGTTAATACATTGGTTGTCAATGTCTACACAGCGAGTCACTTCGCGAGCCTTTTCCCTATAGTTTTCACCGTGGGGCTCTGTGTTGTCTCCAAGATTTCGCTTGGTCTTCATTATCGTGCGCAATATTGGTTCTTTGTATATCTTACCGGAAGTTCCTGTGTATAGCAGTAACTCACATATCGATTAACCGTGTGTTTTGGGGGACAACAACACCTTGTGTGCCTGTTCTCTATATAAAAGCTAGTTTTACGACTCTACAGCGGATCCCTCTTTGTCAAGTAAGTCAATCATATTTTTTCATTAATGTTTATAATTCTTTTTCTGTTCTGTGTGTTGTGCTCCGCGAGATCTTGTGTAACGACCGTGTCTTGGTTAGGTGTTGTGGGCGTGCGTGCTTATGTTCCTGTTTCTCCTTCCGACAGGCTACACCAGCGACGTATGAATATATATTTGTTGTGAAAGCTCCCTGTAATCTTGTTGTTGAGGGTACACAGTGTTGTGCGTGTTGCGTTCTGGCCGTAGTGGTTCGTCCTGCGCCACATAGGTTTCTTTGAGTTTTGTGTGCATTTTTACTTGGATACCGAACTTAGAAGTGGCTTTAGTGCGTATAGTTTCATGTCTATTAGCCACTTATATGTTTTTACGGCTGTGTTCTCTTATTATTTGCTCCTTCGTTGGGGTGTACCAGTGATTGATGAATGTTTGTTTTGGTGTTACCCGCGATTGGTTGTGTATTCATTGTGGGTTGCTATTGTCTTTTCGATACATTTTGACTAATATTTGAGCAGCAATGGCCGAGGAGATTCCCCAGTTCAAATTGCTCCTTGTGGGCGACGGTGGTGTTGGTAAAACCACCTTGGTGAAACGTCACTTGACTGGTGAATTCGAAAAGAAGTACATCCCTACACTTGGTGTTGAGGTTCACCCACTGAAGTTCCGTACCAACTGTGGTGACATTCAGTTTAACGCCTGGGATACCGCTGGTCAGGAGAAGTACGGTGGTCTGCGTGACGGTTACTACATCAAGGGCGAGTGCGCGATCATTATGTTCGACGTAACTAGCCGTATTACGTACCGCAACGTGCCTAACTGGCATCGTGACATCGTTCGCGTGTGCGACAACATACCTATGGTGCTATGTGGAAACAAAGCTGACGTAAAGGAGCGCCAGGTTAAGGCTGGCCACATTCAGTTCCACCGCAAGCGTAACCTTCAATACTACGACCTATCTGCACGTTCCAATTTCAACTTCGAACGCCCCTTTCTTTGGCTGGCTAGGCGTCTGCTTAACCAACCTCAGCTGGTGTTTGTCGGTGAATGTGCTAAAGAGCCTGAATTCAGGATTGATCCTCAGTTAGCTCAGGAGTGTGAGCGTAATCTCGAGGCTGCAGCCAATGTTGCTATTGACGATGATGGTGACCTTTAGATTAGTCTCCAATATTTCCGTCACGTATTTGCCAACTCATTTGAATATTGAGACTAAGACGTGATTTTCATATTTTATTTAATGTGTGGTAATACAAGTAATATATTAATGTTGGTTCCTTCGGCATCAGGATTGCACTGTCGATTCGTAGGTGATATTGCCGCTTCTCTCCGCAGAGAACCAGGTGTTATTAGCCGAAAATAGGCACATTACAAAGTAGGTTCCATAGAAGATATAAATATATATTTATTCTTTATAGCGTTAATAATCAACGAGTGAGCTTAATTTACAGAGGTCAAATTGGTAAATGTCAGAACAAATATCAGCATCGCTCGAAGATGCGATAAAGTAGTTCCTGTTCAGCCAGTTTTATGATAACCCCCTTATCAATTTTATTTTTGGAGAGACTAAGGTCCGGGAACCTCTGTACCGCTGCAAGCAGGACCTTTGAAAGGTAATGTTCGTAGTTGCTTTCATTAACGTTGGGATCATCCGTAGTGACACTTATGACCGGTGGTGATGTTAAGTAGTCTGATATGACTCTTGCGATATCTGTAACTGCCTTTTCCTCGTCTACTAGCTTGAGGGAGAACAATGAAAGTATGAGTCCTGGTAGATACTCATGCCCTGGGAAGTAGTTTGATATGATCTTCGGTATACTACATAGCATGTTGTTTTCGATTGTAAACCCGAAATATTCCTTGAGGTAAAATGTGTTGAACTGTTCGACCATCTCTTTTGCTTGGTCCGTGAATAGAGTTTTATCAAGTGTCCCATTGGAATCTTCCTTTTGATACTCCTCTCGGGCCAGCGCGAATGATATAATGTCTATAAGGCATATGGGTGGATTAAGTACAAGTTTTGGTAGTTGTCCTATCCTCCATATGATCGATTGGAATGTGCACTCTATAAGATGATGATTGTATGGTTATATTCGCTTACCTTTCGCAATTTGGACAATATCGACCATATATAGGTGAGTATCATGTTGCAATATGATATACTGTTTGTCCACGGCACCAACAAATACAGAGTTCAATATGATCTCTGTAAGATTCTTGTCTCTATCTAATTCGAAATCTTTGATTAACCTGATATGTGTTACGGCGTTGTACTAATTTTTGAAGCTTACTTTTTGACATATGGTATGTTCCACATATCAGAGAATCCAGTTTCCTCCCCGGTGATATCCATGAGACTGAATTCAATAGAACCTAGTTTTGGTAGCCCCGAGTCTTGTTGAGTTTCTTCATCTTGCTGTGTATTACTTGCACTTGATCCCATGTCTGTCGCATCTTGTTCTGTTTCTCCATATTCCGTATATCTCGATTCATTGAAGAATTCATCACATGTGTCTAAGTCAGCATTCGATTGTTGAATATATGTCGGTATTACAAAACTTGATATATCCATTTGTTTATAATCATTTCTGACTCTACATTTTGCTCGTGTTTTCGCAGCGTCAGACATCTGCAATATCGAATATTTCAACAAAATATAAACCATACCTCAGTTGCCCTTTTAGGGTTGGGTGCTGCATTCCCTTCTTTTTCCGAATCTTGACTTAATTTTTCCATTTTAGTATATGCAGATGTATTTTGCATATTATCTGTATTAATTTTTAGTATACTTTGTAATTGTTCCTGCCGCATTATGGTTAATTCCAACTTCAGAAACATACCTTTAGTTTGATTTCAATTTCATCTATGATTTGATCTTGATGCTGGAAGAATACCTTTTCCTTTGATGGATGCACGTTGGCATCGATTCTTTCATAGGGCATGTATATTGATAGGTATACAAACCTTCTTTGTTTTTTATGTATCAATTCCTTGTATATGGTATCTATGTTTTTCCTGAGTGTTGGATGGTCTACCAGTCGATTGTTGATAAATAGTATGAATGAATGACACCTATTTGGTTGATTTGGGTGGGTAAAGAACCCCTTGCAATTGTAATATACATTTCCCGTAGAATGCGTTTGAAAGTCATATAAAGTATCTGCCACAACTGGGCCGTAGACAGATTTAATGGCGTTTCTGACCGTTTTGAGTTGCTCTTTACTATATTCTTCGACATTCTCTCTATAATGTATAAGTTCCGGTGTATCTATAGCATCCGGTGGGAAAAGGTGAACACTCTTAAAATGATTTTGATCTAGATCATCTATATGTTCGTTATCTCCGTAGTTTGTTTTGTCCCTTTGTGTGTTTACTTCGTTTGTACTACTTCCAACTTTATGGAACACGAAGTTGATATGTGGAAAGTGGACTGCATACTTTTGTACCAGTTCTAGACATAAGTTGAATTCTACACTAGGTGATGATGATAGTGTTCTCTCTCTCGTATCCATGTTAAAGAAGAGATTTTGGTACTTTATTGTAAACCCTACAGACCCCGGTACCTCATCTACGGCATCGGCAATAGGATCCCCTTCTTTATATCGCATAACTGTCCTTTTGCTATGTTGTGCAGTTCTCGATGCTATCGTAACATTTGCCACGTGTGAGAGTGCGGACAAAGCTTCTCCACGGAAGCCAAAGCTTTTGACTCCATCAATGTTATCATGTGTCTTTGAAGTCGTAAACCTCTGGCATATGACAGCCATATCTTCTGGCGATACTCCACAACCATCATCTGATATTTCAGCATACTCTAGAGGGTTCGCCGCCAGATTGATTTTGATTGTCGTTGCACCAGCATCTATACTATTTTCTATAAGTTCCTTGATAGCTGCCGCCGGTCTTACAAGAACCTCTCCTGCCGCGATCTTCGCTATAACATGAGGTTCAAGCTTTCGGATGATACCGTGAGCTTCTACCATCGTGATTAGATTCCGACTTGGCCAGAGTATGTCTATTCGACAGCAGGCATCTAGGCCTGTAACAGTATCGTGTCGTTATACTAGATGACCAATTACTGCATTTGAAAATACGTGTAACGTATTATAAAATGTTCAAGCGTCACCTTACACATCGATTTCGTTCGACGCGCGTGCCTACTATTTGTTAGGCCCAAGGAAACCCCTGAATACACGTGACATGGGCTGGCTAGATCGACATATAATGTTTTTTGCCGTGAAAATGTTTTGATATAAGAATATTTGAGTTGCGTCTATGGTCAACAAAGCAGCCCTGTCGGCCGAAAAGGTCGGCAGGGATGCTGAGTGTTATCAGTGTCAGATTCCTGAAGGGAACGCTGGTTACCGTTTTCTTAGTTCATTTTCCGTCGTTTACATGGTAAAAAGCTTGAGTCAGATGTAATCACGTCAGTGTGTGCTGTCGCTAGACTCATTTGTGCACCGAGTAGCATGAGGGTCCCAGGCATTTTCTGCCACGTATCGATGTGTATTTCTGGTTTTGAGACCATAAAAGACGTCACACCACCGTTATATCAACGTTTGTAGGCGTATGTGATCGCTGAGGTCTGAATTGTGCACCTTTTGGTCTATCCGTATCGCAGCTGCGTGCAATTTCTCTTTGCTGTTTCACCGCGTCTTCGTCTTATATTAACGGTTAGTGGTCATACATACCCGTAGATTCGTTAAATATTATAACACCGGGTTTTCATTATTGTTATTTATGTAATGTTTTCGCTCCATGTGTAGATGTGTAAGCCTTGTAGACACGGTGGAGGAATGTGGATACTAGCGACACATTGAAACTATATTACGTAAATATTAGCGAAAGAGAGAGTTGTTACATATTACGTTTCTTTTGTGCCCAAACACTGAAGATATATTCATTGTGTATATCCATCTCCTAGTAATATATTATTCTGTAATATTTTCTAGGTATTTTCAGAGGTTAAAACGGCTCGGAGTGAAGCACAAAGATTCTAGAAGGGTATATTTAATTTTCATACGAATTATTTAGGTACCATCGCAATCAGCTCTGCTCCGTTTTAATATCTGTATCATTTTTGTCACTCATTCTATACGATGATGGAGAGTTCACGTGATATCTTGGAAAGTGCTCGTGCACGTTATGTGGAGGCTAAGCGTGCAGCGGAGAATACGATCTCGGAACATATGATGCGTTCCTCTCGACTGTTGAAGCAAGTGCGTAACGTTGGTGAGATACATCCCGAGTCATCTGCACAGAGCCAAATGTCTTACATGCGTTCATTACAAAGTCTAGGTGCCACAATGTCGGATGCTGATATGGCGGTTGGTCCTATTCCTACTTACCGTCGTGGTACCGTTTCATGTTCTACTTCTTGGTCATCTTCAGATAGTGGACGCAAACAGATGACACAAGCTGCCTGGATATCTCAGAGTTCTACTGTCCATTCGAATTTGTCCAAGATATCGAATTGGGAGGACCCCGTAAAGATCCCTGAGATATTGTTGACAGACCCTGCTGATATATTATGTGGGAAGAAATCTGCTACTAAGGATGAAGACGAGGCGAAAGACAAATTAAGTGAACTTTTGAATGACACTAGTTACGAGATAGCACTCGAGGCAGATGTCAGCGATGCTACTCGTAACACGGCTATGTTTTCTCAACACGTTGCATCTTCTCTCAACTATTTCAAAGGTGATGCTTCATCTGCTGGCAAACTATTTGGTGTTACGACTAACCGCGAGCTTATGGATTCGCTCGTTAGCGAGACTTGTGCGGGCTTGGAGCATCTTAGTCATGAGTGGAATGTTGCCCGGGGTACCGGTGCACGTCTAGTTGAACCTCAAGTTGTCCCTGTGCGTGCCATTAGGGATTCATGTGATGAATCCACTTTGTCCAACATCGACGACTTGTATATGAAGACGTTCGGCATGCGTTCAGGATTGCTTGGCAATGACAACAACCATACCTTGACACATGCATTACTCCACATCAGTGAGAAGGACAAGTCTCGTGAAGCGGAGCTTGCACCAAAAATGTGCACTACTCGGCCGCCTGTTAAGGCTGCGGCAGCTCGCAAAACATCGGTGTCCCCTGCTGCTAAAGCTGGTAGCTCGGTGACCTCCATTTCTAGTGAAAGCAATGGTAAGTGTTAGTTTCATTAATATTCACTTTAGTTTCAGGCCCTGTGAACCCTCTGGATCATGTAAACATCCTGTGTGAAGATAAATTGGCTATTCGTCTTCACAAGATGTCCGACTTCAATCCCCCGTTTACGCATATGTCTGGCACTAGTGGTACTGATGTGGAGGTCCAGGCAGACATTGTTAGCATGCCTAAATCGGAAAAGTCTGACCCTCTAAATTCTGGTAGCAAGATAAAGGTCGTATATGCAGGTCGTGATGACGATTTGTCTGTTTTAGGCAGGGGTTCGCTGATTATCCAGCCGAGTTCGGCAGAGTTGGCCTCTGAGTCATCTGCTTCTGCATTAGTATCCAACGTGAAACCAAGACTTTCCAAGGAGGAACTTCTATCACCAACTCCTACTGTGCGTACACCTGAACCCCAACCTGCTGACGTACGCACTCGCCGTGCTTTACATCGTGAGCAGCTTGCCAAATATGAGGATGAGCAACATCATCGTTGGAGGGAACAACACGCTCCATTATATGACAAGATGCGTTTGAATGAACGTTGTGGTGTCCGAATGTCGATGTTATGCCGAGGTGGTCGTCGTGGCGGTTCTCGTTTGTCACATGCGTCTCGTCCCGTCGAAGCACCGACCACTGTTAACGCTGAGGATACGAGTTTGATCTACGAATCACCATCTAACAAGCTGCAGCGCACATCTAGTGTGAAATCTGTTAAAGAAGAAGTTGCTCCGATGTTGGAATTAGGTACCTGCGACTCACCACGTATAGTTCGGGGATACTATGGATATGACGATGATCCTGGGCTCCAATTACGTACTGCCCGTAGTGGTAAGGTTCGCGATTTTTTTGCTACATCATCGCCAAGAACTATGTCAATACAACTAGACAAACCGGTGGCTCGATCTGGTTTTCGTGACCCATTTCAAGATTTTGACGGATGGTGGAATCAGCATACCGTGCCTCTATCAAGGTTACGTGAACAACTGTCGATATCGTGACTTATAACATACATTCTACCGAAAATTGGTAGCATTGGAACGTCTAAATCGGTTGACATTGATTTAATCTAATAAATGTTATATTTTGTACTGTTCCTTGCCTATGTCTTATTCAATTTAGTCATGTTGACATCAATATCGACGGCAATATTCATCAGATCTGAGGTCAATGTGCTCCTGTAAGGCTGTAATGTGATTCTATAGCTACTAGAAGACTATAATTTTGGCGACCATATACTATCAGTGGCATATAAAGCGCATAACCACGAAGTTGGTTATCTATTCATCGAATATCGCGTGATTATACTAGTAAATTAAGAATAGTTGATAATATGTGGTGAATAGAGGAAACAGACGGTTAATGTGTCTTGGTGTGTTGTATCGCGTCGACACATTGGGGTGCTTCATTAACATTGCTTTAACTGTAGGTAATATCGCGTGCGCTTTAAGCCTTAGGGCACGATGATCAAATTTTTTATGGCCATTAGCCGGCAGTGTAAGGTACGGCTGGTGAAATGGTTCATACCAGTAGACAGCAAGGACAAGAGCGCTATAATGCGTGAGCTGTCACATTTGGTTGTAAATCGCAATTCTAAACAATGTAATTTCATTGAGTGGCGTGATTATAAGCTAGTATTTCGTCGGTATGTTAATTTTTACCTTTTTATGTGACCATCATTAGGTACGCAAGTCTCTATTTCGTTCTCTGCGTGGACCCCGATGCTAACGAACTAATAATGCTCGAGATCATCCAACACTATGTAGAGCTGTTAGATCGTTACTTCTGCAACGTCTGTGAATTGGACATGGTATTCAACGTGAACAAGGTAAGTGCCTTCTCTAAAGACTCTAGATGCACCGCAATTTACATTCCATCCTGATTATATCTAACAACCGTTTCAGGCATACTACTTGCTCGACGAGATACTAATGGATGGTGATATTTACGAAAGCAGCAAGAAAGCAGTATTGCGCAGTGTAGCTGCTCAGGATGCATTATGCGATAAAGCTAAGAGCATTCTGTCTAAGGGATCGTCTCAATAGGAGTTTACTGTGTGTTTTTACGGGCATACTCCGCTGTAAGCGACAGAATATTGTTCAGTCTGCCTAGCATAGTCCTTGGATCGTCGACAATACCGGCAGCGATTGATGCGTTGTCATACAGCTGTTCGACTAGCATCTGCAAAACAGTGATCCGAGCGAATATAATGAACAGATGTTTAATTTTTATGTGTGACACCATATCAAATACACGCGACCTTACCTTCGCTATTTCCGTGTCATGCTGCATAACGTGATATATGGTTGTGTTGATTTTATGCTTGGGGTTGATTTCCAAAGTAGCCGGTAACGAAGACAGACTAGCACCTGCATCCGTTGCACCCTTCATTGTTGCCTTCATGACCTTCCTAAGTGCAGAAGAAAGGAACCCCGTGACCACAGCTGGCGAGTCAACAAGCCTATCTGAGAATTTGACAGTAGATACCTTGGTTCCAAGTGTTGTCTGAATAAATTCAGATAGCTGTTTACGTTGTTCTTCGGTGAGCACTTCAACTTCCGCAGCTTCTTCGTCTTCTATCTTCTCAAGCTCCGGTTCAAAATCTTCTTCAGGTGAGTCAATAGCGATCATTTTCTTTTCCTTATATTCCTACGAAGCTGTCAATAATGTGCCTATTGCAACGCACCTGTATGTTCATAGATACAAACTCGTCAATGTCTTCGTAAAGCAACAGTACATTCCGGTTACGCCTTTTGAAGGTCTCCATATATGGGCTAGCAAGTGCCGTCTCCCTGTTTGCCGCGCAGAAATAATATATATTCTTCTGCTTGTCCTTCATATTGGCAATATACTCGTCAAGTGTCATTAATTGGTTTGGTTCCCCCAGAGAACTCTCGTACCTAAGCAGTTGGAGAAGCTGATCACGGTAGGGTCCATGTTTATGTGATTCGTCCAGTACCCCTTCCTTGATGTAATAATGATATTTGTCATAGAACTTCCTGAACTTTTCAGGATCACGTTTACTTTCGTCGATGAGGTACTTGAGTATCCGTTTGACTATGGTATTAGCAAGTTTCTTGACCAGTTGGCTATCCTGTACTAGTTCCCTACTGACATTTAGCGGTATATCTTCGCAATCGATAACCCCTTTTACGAAGAATAGCCATTTTGGTATAATAGTTTCAGCTGATTTTTGTATCAGGATTTTCCTGCAGATGAATGTTTTCATGTCGATGCAGTTGCTTACCTTGAGTGCAGTGACACACCAACTTCATTTGAGGAAGTGAACATCCTGCTAGGCGCATCTTCTGGTATGTATAGCAACGATTTGATTGACAATGGTGCGTCGGAATGGAATTGTATTTTGTACATCGGTTCTCCCCATGATGCATTATTGAGGTATCTGAAAAATTTGGTATGTTCCTCATCAGATGCAGTTTTTTCCATCCATAATGGTTTTTGTGTAGTTATTTCCACTTCACTATCCTTTTCTTGTATATAAAGTGGGAAATTAACAAAGGCGGAGAACTTTTCTGCCACCTTTTTGACATTAGCAGTGTTTGCGAACACAAGGCAATCGTCCTTTAGGTGACATACAATCTTAGTTCCTCTAGGTAGATTTTCAGTTTCCTTAATTGTAAAGGACCCTGATCCATCGGATACCCAATGGTATCCCTTAATGCCCTTTTGTGGATCGAAGCTTCTTGTGAACACCTCAACTTTCTGTGAAACTACAAAACTGCTATAGAATCCAACTCCGAACTGTCCAATAATGGCGTTAGCTTTATCCTTCGCATTGAGTGATGGATCTTCTAGGAATGCAAGTGAGCCAGATTTCGCGATGGTACCAAGGTTATTAATAATTTCCTCTTTGTCCATACCCACCCCGGTGTCCTAGATAAATGTCAGTGATTATAATGACGCAACTAACCTCTATTGTGAATGTCTTAGCTTTCGGGTCCGTTGATATCTTTATCTTGTATGATACATCAGCATCGATTTTTCTTGTTGAAAGCCCTTCTTCTGTAGCTTCTAGGAACCTGAGTTTTTCCAAGGCGTCACTAGCGTTGCTAATAAGTTCCCTAATAAATACCTCCTTATCAGTGTATAGCGAGTGGGCAACAATTTGTAATAATTTTTGTATTTCCGCTTTAAATTCGTATTTCTATGACGTCATATATCCATTCGTCTGGTAACCCACCTCTCCTTGCGTTGGTTCAGATGAGAAGGCACGCGACTGAAGTGTTGCCAATGTCTTACCGTGATTCTGTGTTGAAGAGCAACTTGCGAACACTGGTGTTTTGGTAATGTTATTTCTAACACTTTTGACGCTATCTAAACGCGCCAAAGCATCAGATAGTACACTGATACGTGCCTTACCTCTCGTCACTGGCGTGACCAGAAGCTGCTTTAGTGCTGTAACTCGCTTCATTTCGAAGGAAGGCTGTAATAATCGTATTGAATGCGTGATAGAATGTTATTTTTCTTGTTTCATTGACTGATGGTGTGATATTTGGAGCTGTGAAATGTGTTACTACCCCCACCGGTTAATTGACGCGCATATACCCTGTATGTGTAACTCATAGGACGTATTACCTCGTCCATATTATTCCGACACACGGATATTTCTGAATTGTGGTAGATAGACCGCTTATCTATACAGTTAAAAGGTACATTCTACCGTATTTTACTAGTCTATGCCTTTGTATCACTCTACAATTCAGCTGAATCCAGCTAGATGAACCATTATCGGCATGGTTAGTCGCAGAAGTTTCGCTTTTAAAAACGAATGGCAATGTATCAGCATCATTGAAATAATTTGGTGCCTCATATAGCGTTAGTTGCTGCTGCTGCCGCTCCTTTGGCCCTGCTGTCGAGCGTAGAAAAAATTACTCTCTTGTAACTTCTGTCTAGGCCGTGAATAGTGTTGAGTATAAACCGGAAATAATTGGTGTAATATTGGATTTGCTGTCTCACAAAGGTTGGAGTATTCTTAAGTCTCTTTGAAGATGGTGTCAAACGGTGTTAGCCTAGCGGCTGGCGCAGTGCTGGGTGAAATGATTGCAGAATTCATGCTTGTAAACATGGTCACCCTGAAGCACGTGGAGGTTTTGGAGTACGTCTCGTCACGCAGTGGTATGCGTGTATTTTTAATGGAATACGAATCACCAATTGTGAATTCATATTACATATTCCCAACTCGTGCTGAGAACCACGAGGGTCTACCTCATACATTAGAACACTTGATATTTCTAGGTAGTGCATTATATCCAGAACGTGGGACGTTGGACCTTTTGGCATCGCGGGCAATTGCTACGGGCACAAATGCCTGGACTGATGTGGATCACACCGTTTATACGATTTCAACAGCCGGATTAGAAGGTTCTTTGAAGATGATGCCGGTTTATCTTGACCACCTGTTACGTCCAACGTTGACACAGGATGCTTTTATCACGGATGTACACCGTGTTACTCCAGATGGCATGAACTCTGGAACAGTGTACTGCGAGATGAAAAATCACGAGAACAGTGCTGATAGTATAACAAACTTCGAGTTGATGCACCTTCTGTATTTGAGTGAAAGTGGCTATAGCATGGTACATGGAGGTCGACTGGAGGCGCTACGTCGTACTACCAATGAACGGGTTAGAGAGTACCACCGACGCTACTACCGTCTAGACAACATGTCAATTGCTCTTGGTGGTAGGCTGGGTGATAGGGCTGCTATTTTGAAAGCTGTTGCACATGCTGAAGCGGGTCTCATATCCTCTGGTGTAGAGACCCATCCTGTTGATGCAGCCAATTATTTCGGTATCAAACATTGGGACGATCCCGTACACTGCCCACCATTAGATGAGACCTCACATAGCACTGTATATTTCCCAAGTGATGATGAAGAGGTTGGTCAATTTACTATGGCCTGGCGTGGTCCCAAATGGGATGAATTTGAGTTGTGTCGTGCTATTTCATTACTGGGTTTATATCTTACCCATACACCGATATCTCCTATGGAACAGGCTTTGGTATATACAAAAGATCCTTTTGGTAGCGGTGTGGTATTCTCTCATGAAATATTAAAGGACGGCCATTTCACTATAAATGTGCAGGATGTACCATGTAATCCCTCTAAGTTGGATACGATTGAGAGTCGTATTCGTGAGTTGCTCTTAGAGGTGTTTGATAATCCTTTGGATATGCAACGATTACGCGCATTGATCCTGCGTGAGTGTATGGCACATTATCGTTCTCTTGAAACCTCCCCTGCCGAGGTCCTTGTCGATGGTGTGATCAGTTATGTCATATATGGCAGTGATCGTAAAGACCTGGATGAGCAGCTGGAAGGTAACGGTCAGATGAGCTCATTGTTGGAGAAAGATGAAGAATACTGGAAAGGGATTTTATGGCAGTACTTCATAGATGCTCCTTGGGTAACAGTAACGACGTTGCCTAGTATTGAAGAAAGTGAACGCATCGAACGTTTTGAACAGTCATTGATATCACAACAGCTTGAAGCGTCTGATTTAGATTTTTTGAGGGAGCAGGAAGAACGGGTAGAATTGATTTTCTCTAATAAATCGGGTTCAGTACCACCTCATGTGATGGAAGCATTCGGTTTAGTTGATGTTAGTAAAATACAACCTACTGCTTGGCCGTATATGCGTAACTTCACTTCCATAGGCTATGGTCACGATGGAGGCCGTGTATTACAGGGTCGAGTGCAGCTATTCAATGAACACGGAGGTAGCATACCGGTATCAAACTGGTCTTCTTTGGTTTCCGATTTGTATAGTCTACATATATTGATGCAGGTTAATCATATCGCATCTGATTTCGTTCGTATTAGTGTGGTGATACCAACTTCCCATCTGGGATTAAGTCACATGGAGAAGCAATCCCTTACTCTTTTATGCGCACTCTTATTCCAGTCAGATTTTGGCGAAGGTCTCGGTCCAAGCATGCCTGCAGACATTTTGATAAGGCAGCTACAGGAATACACATCGTCGTATTCTGCTAATCTGGGTTTCAATTCTACGTTCGGTAATCCTGATGGGTTCTGTGAATTGATCCAATTGTCAATGACCTGTCACTTGAGTAACTACGAGAGAGTGTTTTATCTTTTACAGCGTGTATTACGTGATGTGCGATTCACGCCAACGATCATATCTTCGCGTGTCAGTTCTTTATTGAAATCATTTAAGAAGAAAGGTCGTTCTGCAAAATCGATTGTTAGGCAGGCATCACAGGCTATGCGTCTACGTCGCGATAGTGCCCTTATGTCCAACGGTTTAGGTCAGCAATTGGAATATTTGCATTACGCGGAGGAATCTGATATGACTGAGTTACTTCAAGGGTTATACTATAAACTCTTCAGTCAAGGTAACATGGTGGCTCATGTGACATGTGATTTGACTCAAATGCCTGATAGTTGGCTGCGTGGTTGGTCTGTTTTCTCTGGTTCTGATGCTATGGATCGCACGTTACGGGAATTGATGGGTCTACGTTCTGGAGCTGATGCACAACCTAACGATGTCAATGGAGTATTTATGTCCATGGCGTCTACTGATGTATCATTTTTGAGTTTCGTGATTCCAGCCCCTCTTGGCCATTTGCATCCTGAGTATGCGTTGCTTTGTGTACTTTCGGAATATTTGTGTATGATGGAGAGCCCATTATTCCGTGCGATCCGTGGCGGTGGATTCGCGTACAATTACAGCGTATCGTATTCCCCGAATCTAGGGGAGTTGCATCTATCGTTGCAACAGGCCGTTGATGTCTTGGGTGCTTTACGTGCAACCCGTGAAGTATTTGCTCAGATGGCTACAGGTCATCTATTGACGGACTCTGATGTTTTATCTGCATGCTGCTCGTTGATATACAGCATTATTGAAGACGAGGAGACCCTTAGTGAATACAGCTACCAAACCTTCCAGGACGCTTTCCGTGGCGTTGGATCTGACTTTACTGCTACATTGTTAACCCAGGTGCGTCAAGTCGGTGTATACGATTTGCGTGTGCTGTCTCAGAAATATTTGACCGAATATTTATCGTTTGGAGGGTCGCATCGCACTATTGCTGTGGTTACTAACAAGAGCCAAGCTGACGAGGTCCATACCGGTCTGTCTAAGATGGGTTACGGTACTTTGTTCCGTACAACAGCACGTAACCTGCTTGGTTTCGCTTCTCGAGGTGTATTTCAAGAGCTGGATCTATACAACTCTGACGGTTCTGAAAGTGATGACGATGATGAATTGATGGACACCGATATCGATAATAGCGATGCCGATATGGATTCATCTGAACATGATGGATCAGATTAGTCACTTCAACCACATCTAATTACATCAACGTATGACACAACCATGTAGCACCAGATACAAGTTGATGTAGTTTTGATGTCTAATGGTAATCACGTAACATCTATCGTTTATTATGGCCAATCGCCACTAGTATGTTAACTCCTACGTCCACCGAGCTATCTATGGAGAGGAAAGAGCATATGCTACATCCTGTATAACTGCAATGGCCCTTTCTAATTTATTTTAGTATCTTTTGTGTGACTGTCCAGGTGGCATGCTACCCTGAGTGATAAAACCGATGTGGGTACGGTATTTTCGTGTTAAACGCCAAAGGCTCTATTGTTAAGTTGCTTCGAAGGTGTTGTTGACTTAATGGGAGTCAGGTGAGGCCAGGTGGCTCGGTGGCAGAGTTCGCGTTTGTGGACTGTTATTCAACGACGTGTAAAGCCCTCGGTTGTGACAATTCCACGTGAATTGCATAAAATTGAATTTAATCTTTTAAATAGATGTCAAAATTTGCTGTGTAACGTACCCATTTGGGTGTAACGCTATGATCGCGTAAACCTCAGGTATCAGGCGGCTCCGGTTTTTCCGTTTCGACCTCAAGAAGTATTTTATATACTTTATAAGGATGCCTGCGTCCAGCTCCGGTGCGTCCGCTGCAGGCGGAGCACCGGTTAAGGCGGTTAGTTCGCCTGGTATCGGTCCTCAAGCGAAAGCTACCCAGAAATCTCGTGATAAGAGCTCTGTAATAGTCAGAGCTCGAGAGCACTACGCATCGCAAGTAAGTGTCAGTGATATAGCTTTACATTAGTAATTTTTGGGTCCATTTCTAATTTTATTTCAGTTTCCTACGGCATATCCTATGGAATCCCAGCTTTGGGGGTTTGATCATTCACAAAAACAATGGAGAAGATGTAGCGTCGTTCATGCTAGGTAAAAACAATATCTTTATCTTTTAAGAGTGTAATAGGTCTCGTATCCCTGATCGTGATGTGGAGGATCTTGGTCCTAAAGATTATGATTACTACATCCACTGGGTAGGATGTGACCGTCGTTTAGACTGTTGGCTTGAGATAAATGACGTACGTACCCTTGAAGAAGGTCCTGTTGAGGGTGACGATGTGTGTCATGATGTCGTTGAAGAGGCACATGACCATGCTGGTATGGATGAGGAATACTTACGTGAGCATGAGATGAATACCAAATTGAAGACTATCCAGCGTGTTAAACTAGGTCCATATTTGGTCGAGGCATGGTATTTTTCACCATATCCCAAACCATATCAGGACCTTGATACCCTGTATATTTGCGAATTTTGTTTGCTGTTTTTTGTGTAAGTCGTGGTATAATATATATATTGGTATCATTTGTTTGCAGGCATGAGAACGAGTTGAAGTGGCATCTACCTCGTTGTGAGTTACGTCATCCACCTGGTAATGAGATTTATCGTGATGGTAATTTAGCGATGTTTGAGGTTGACGGGGGTTTGAGTAGTGTATACTGCGAGAATCTGTGTTATTTGTCTAAATTGTTTTTAGATCACAAGAGTTTGAGGCATACTGTTAACCTGTTCATCTTCTATGTGATGACCGAGGTGGATGAAAACGGTTACCATATTACTGGTTACTTTTCTAAGGAGAAGCATAGTACTAATAATGTGTCATGCATCTTGTCCTTGCCGCAACACCAACGGAAGGGTTATGGCAAATTTTTGACAGCGTTTAGTTACCTGTTATCGCGTAAGGAGGGTCGTACGGGTACCCCTGAGAGACCACTATCAGACCTGGGTCGTGCTTCATACATGTCATATTGGTCCGAAGTGTTATTGGATATTTTATTCGACCCACAGCATGAGAACATAACGATAGAGAAGCTATCTCTGATGACATGTTTCGAGCCTGCTGATATAATAATGTGTCTTGAGGAACTCGGGTTGCTGCATACTCTTTCTAATGGCACCTCTGTCATAACGATATTGCCAGAAAAGAAGAAAGAGCTCCTTGCAAAATCGCGTACGAAAACTCGGAAACTATATATGGAGAAGCTACATTGGATACCTTACGACAGTCATCATGACAGTACTCCAGTATAATCTGGCATATTTTATAAGTGCAGTGCGCTTATTAAATGGCAGTTTGGGTTCCCAGGAGTTTGTAAACATCTCTCTATATATAATTAATTAAAATGTAATGTTACATGCGGTGGTCCATATTTCGGAATCCCATCGCTGCCTATTCCCTTCTCCCCAGCATTTTGAGCATTGTCCTGATGGAAACCGTGCCTCTGTATGCATATTGATCGGTTCTGATGAGTTTGAGGATATGCTGTGGTATGGCATCTCCAAGATGTGTTAGTAGATGTTTGAGATAGTTGAGCTGTATGGTTGTGTTGTTCATATCATCACCGGCATCTTTGCGTAGTTCTACTATGGTCTTGTAAGCATCCACGATCTCTCGGCATTCGTTGACAGACAGGTTGATAACGTTTCCGTAATCATCTACGAGAGCTTGTTTCGCACCCTGCAGTAACATATTTCGTCCGATATATAAACATACTGCAGTCCCACTTGCAGCTGGTCCTCCAAACCGTTTGGTGCGTGCTATCCTTTTAAACTCGTTAAATGTTATATTTGGATTACGGCATGACGTATATTGTGCGATTTCTTCTCTGCTCCAGGGCTCTCCAGTGGCGCGTAACATGATCGCTGTACGAGAGCCCTGTGCTTTTACAGCATTGTTGCTGTAATATGTGTATATCTCTTTACAGAGCTCGTCGAACTTTAAATCAACATCCATATTGATTTAATGGATGTGTTGACGCGGGGTCGGTCATCAGTCATCCCTCCATACATATTGATGCACCGCGGTTCGAGGGCACAAGGGGCACCGTCAAATAGCACTTCGCAAAACCACAATACTAATATACTTTCACACACACATACGTACATCGCTATGTGTGCGTGTCCTCCGCCTATACACGGACGGTCGTATCCACACCCCTCAGGTAGCTGTCATGGACACATTTCGTGTATATTTGAAGCATCTAGATTAGCTATTTTATGTTCTCGTGACATCTAGGCCTATTCTACTGCCTTTTTCTTAGACTTTTTGGCCTTTTTAGGGCTCTCCGAAGGCTCGCTGGTGTCGGCTTCCACCGTAGCAGCCTTCTTTTGTTTTTTTTCTTTCTTTTTCTTGGGAACTTCTGACACAGGTTCAGATTTCACTTCAGGTTTAGCAGCCTCTTTTGGTGATTCTGGAGTACCTTGAGATTCTTCAGTCTTCGTCACATTCTTCTTTGAGGCTCTTGTGTCATCAGTTTGTGACTTTTCTAACTTCTGCTTCTTGGGCGATTTCGCCTCCTCTTCACTCTTTTCCCTCTTCTTCTTTGACTTTTTATCAACTGACGTACCGTCAACCACAGCACTTTCCACGCCGATGTCTTTCTTCTTTTGCTTTTTACTTTTCTTACTAGGTTGTTCAGCCGTCACAGCATCTCCCATGGTAACTTCCGATATATTCTTGGTATCCGCCGAGGCGACATCGTGTTCTTTCTGCACGTCGCTACGTTTCCTCTTCTCAGTGGCCACCTTCGCCTTGATCGCTTGGTACTCCTTCGAAGCAGCGTGCATAACGTCGATACTGGTCTCATGTGGCGGTCCGCCAGCAAGATACTCCATGCGTTTTCCCAGAAGCTCCACCATACGTTTACCATAAACGTCGGTGTTAACATCGCAGAAACAGTCAAGTCTAGCAGCGAGAGCACATTTATTAGCCAGGTATCGGGCAGCACGCCCCTTGTGTTTCACACTAGCTTTACCTATAAATGTAGATTGGAATATAAGTCCATATTTTGGGGTATTCGACCTGGTTTTTAGTGCACGGAATAGTGCCTTCTCGGCGCCCAAAATTTGAATAGAGCTTGCTGACATTTTCGCAAGGTTAACCAATGAACCTGCATGACTAATGAGTCGTCCTGTAAGTATATTTCCCGCGAGTGTACTAAGGTTCGGTGCTGTGACCATAAGTTTGTTAGACAGATGGTCATTGAGACGTTCTCTCATTTCTTCTAATTTGACCACTTGTGTAGTAAAATTGAATATATTTTCCATACACGCATCAGTTAGTTCATGACCGATAGATTGTCTTGCAGCCTTGTTGATGTTAGCAATAACCTCATCATCAGGTATGATTTCCTTAAGTTCGTTAATACGAGTATCCCAGTCGAACTTGTTTTTGCATTGTATTATGCGTACCACTTGACAGTATAATTTGTTATCAGGTACTATTTTGACAAGTTCTGGAAAATGCCAACCGTACCATTCTCTCACCCTCATGGCGAATGAGTTAAGGTTCTTGGTAAGTGAATCTAGCAATGCCACACAGTTGATTACAGGTTTATCATGTCTCCTAGGGTCGATTTGTAGTTTCGAGCGGCTGAAGTTATGTCCGAGACCCACATGGAACTTATCCATATCAAATGCACTTGCTCCTGATGCAAGTTTCGCGATATTTTTCATCTCATGCTGACGGCAGCCTCTGACAAGCTCAATGACATTGGGATCATATACAACCTTCAATCCCTTTGCCGTTAGTGATTTGCCAAGTGCTGGGTCTACAACTGCAAGTTGTGCTCCTTTCTTTGGCATATTAAGGCCTAGGAATGCACTAAGCATAGCGGTAACCTCACCGTCAACTACAGCGCGTATGTTCTCCAGCGCATCTGATGCGGTGGTGAATGGTTGGAATGCTTTGAACTGTACTGCTTCCTTAAAACGATCCGCAGAACAGCACACCTCTTCCATGGCATCAATATGACCAATCTGTTCCCATTGGTTGACAAGATACAGGGCATAGCCTGCCGCGGTCTCGAATAGGAAATATGTCTTCTCCATTTTGTGGACCTATATATAATTATACGATATCAGGATACTGTTATCCTCGCTGTTACATCCCGGGGTACTCTGTCACACCCTGGAATAGCAATGCCTTCGTATCGGGCACATGGCCATTGAAATCTCTTTTTATATATTTCAAATATCGCGCGGGTCAGCTGTGTTCCATATAGGTGTAAAATACACGACCATATATCCGCGTTAAGATGTTGACACAGCTATTGGTTATCCGCGTTCAACTGCTGAACTCATTAAGTAACACTGTTTGAGTTGCTGAGATTTTGGCAACTAGAGTGTATATGACCATCATATCTGCGGTCACAATGATGTCCTTCTGTCCCGGTGGGGAGACTGTGTCGTCAGTGCGTTCGTTTCATCTGATGACTTCCCGCCGTTAACGACACGCTTCTAATCGTCTACACGTCACTACACCTTTAGTTCCTCACTAAAATCACCATACCTTTAAGTGGTGTATGGTTAGTGTGCCATGTTCGTTAGACCTGAACAGGTCTGTTGTTGTTAACTTACCGTGGCCGATTTGCCTCGTTACCTGATTACAAGGTGGTAATGTGTAACTCATTGTGCTAAATATAGCCGTCTCATACCATCTATGCGGCCGTTCGCGCTAAGATTGGGAGAGTGACGCGCGGATGCCTATGTGTAGTTATATGCCTCACTACGGTAGTCATCGCAAAACTTGGCCTTTCGGGTTCATACTCGCAACTATTTTCATTGGCACTGTATTGGGTGTATTAATCTATCCGCCTGTTGGCAAAAAGGCTCCTGTCTAACTAGATGTCGTTGTGATATACACCTACCGTGATTGAGAGGGCAGGTGCTGTAGGCAATTTTGAAAGTTTGCCCACCGCAATTACCGTACGCCATATGATATAATGGTGTCGGTAGAAGTCGGTTGGCAGGAAGGTGCCAACCCTTCGGAAGGTGTTCAGGCGTCGTGCGTAGATGAGTGTGACAACAGCGGCGGTACAGCTGTAACGCAAGTAGAAGACGTAACATGGGCTAATATGCCAAATATAGAACCGTATTCGAATGAAAAGATTCTAAGCTTAGTAGAGATCGCACCTGCTCCTGGTAAAGGGCGTAAGTTATATGTGTAATATTTAAACACATTTACACAGGTTGTATGTTTTCGAAAAACGGATATGAACCAGGAGAGCTCATATTGATAGAACGACCGTTATTTGTCATTGTACCAGATTCCAACCCTGATTTATGGAAGACTCTAAATACGCTGAATGAACAACAGACGTTGCAATTATCGCCGCTATGGCATCAAGCTGCTCTAGTAACTATTTTGACAGGTACCAAGGAAAAACTGGACATAATGCAAAATAAGTGGGTACTAGGTATGTTAACGTCACCTACAAAATATATGTATATATTGGCATACTCCTATATAATATTACATATCCCAGATTGTGATATAATTTTTTTTCAGATCGCGATCCACCTGTATCGGATGATGTTTATCGCATTCTGGATGCGACCTGTGTTACACAAGCGGATGGATCGTACATGTATTCCAACCAAGTTGTTATCGATCCCAAATTATACCAGTTTCTTCTTCAGGTGTGGCCACTGAATGCCTTTGGCCACAGTACGGATCCTAATGGTCTAGTGATTTACGATAGTAGGTTAAAGTCAATTCTAATATAAATGTTTTTCAGAAATCTCGTATCTGGCTCATAGCTGTGATGCAACGGCTTGTTGGCATCATTATGGTGAAGATCTGTTCATATTGCGTTCGCGTAGACGTTTGAACCCCGGTGATGAACTCACGATATCATATCTCGGGGAGCCGGATCTCCTTGCTCCGACATTTAGTAAGTTATGAGTTATAGCCCATAGATTTATTGTAGAACGACGGGAATTGTTACAAAACTGGTCATTTTTATGTGCCTGCCCCCGATGTATAGAAACTGTTGACACCTCTAGAGGATTCTTGTGCAAACTATGTCATTATGGCCGCGTTAATTTCTATGAGGACCAGTCATCTCGACAAATGGCTAGTATGCCGTGCACTCTATGCGAGTATCGTTACAATGCGTTGGACATTAAGGAATACCTGGATCTCGAGCGTGCATATGTGGAACGTATAGAGGGTATAGACTCTACAGATCTCTGGGATATACAGCAGGTGTACAACAATGCACGAAATGTGTTCAACCAACATTGGTGCCTCTACCAACTACAGACGTTATTGTTTGAATGCTATAAAGAGCGTGGCGATACCGAATTAGCACGTTTTTATATGCAACAACGTATCTTCTTCGCAGACTCGGTAAGATATACATATATACAGATCATTGTTATCATATACTATTCTATCTTACTAGTCTATTGGCAATATCAGACTTTCTACATCCATTTCCACAGGTGATGCGTCGTCCATTGTACTGCGTAGCGTTCATGTATGAAGAGTTTGCCGACATGCTGGTTACATCAGCTGCGCTTGATATGGAGAAGGCAGAGCTCGATGATGTGGAGGTAGACGTCGATCTGCTGTAAGTAAACAACTTTAGCGGTTCATATTTGTACAGGAGCACTACCATGGATAGTTACTTCCGTGCAGCTGCATTGTTGGCTGTTTTGTCTGGATACAATCATCCATACTACTACTCCGTTGTGGTAATTGCATTGTATAGTGGTATATATGTTGTTCAGTGCAAGCGCCATAGAGTGGAGAGTGTCTTATCGCGTTCTTTACGTCCAAGCGCGTAGCGTTATGGCTTGTCAGAAGCTTTATGTGTCCCGCATAATGCTGCGTACCAATCTGTTGGGGAAAACATATCCACATTTAATTTTAATGGTACATTTCGTCATTTTATTCATTTATTTTAAAAGATATTTTCGAGGTGTATCTTCGTGAGCAATCCGCGCCATGGAATGGCTGGATTCGATTAAACGCGCGTTGAGCTGTTTGTTCAAGTGGCGTAAAAATCGTAAAGAGTTATTAGCAGAGTTCAAAGAGTGTTGTCAATTAGTGGCAATAAAACGTGCTGGAGGAGAGTTGAAAGATGATGATTTTTGGAATCTTTATGGTAGGCCCCTTATATGAAAGGAGACATGGCTGATGTAGGTTATTTCAAGCAGACCGTCGTTGGTGATTTCAATGTGACCGACACATCTGAAGCAACAGACGTTGATCTACGAAAATGGTATGTTTATCCACCACTTGGGCTCTTTAACATGTGTGATGTGTCTTTTTGTAAGTATCCTAACTCTATCTAGGGCATCATGGAAGAGGCATAGAGGCATGTCGAAGAGGGAAGCAATGGCGGCGTATGTTGCCACCGTCAGGCAACTGTATGGTTACAATGACGATGTTGAAGATGTAGCAATGTCAAATGTACATAGTCGCCCTAAGGTTATAGCTTGTGAATCGACTGTTGAAAGAGATGAAGATAACCTATTTTCGCTAGTAATAGATAACCAAGTAGGGTTGGTGGAGGAACTTTTAAAAGGTAGGCAAAACTTGAAGTTAACAAAAACAATATGTTTTCAGCTGAACCTTCAATGGTCAACCTACGTAGCCCGGAAGGACTCACGGCATTACACCTTGCCGCAGACAGGTACATTAGTTTATATCTCATGCACATCGGAATTACCCCGATGCATAAATCACTAACATCGTGATAATTATGTATTTACGTACATTCAGGGGTCACGTTGAAGTTGTGAAGACATTGCTGAGGTATGGTGCGGACATAAACGCAGTTGACGACAATAACGATACGCCACTATTGGCGGCCGCAGCTGCAGGCAACCGTAAAGTGGTAGATCTGTTACTTCGCGGTGGTGCCGACGGTACCCTCAGGTATCTAGACAGAAAGTTGTATGATTTAACAAAATATAGGAATATCGACAACCAATGTTACGGAGACATGATGCAAAGTGATCGCAAGTAGTAAATAGCGTATATATCGGCAGATGAAGATTGAACATAATTAAAAATGTTCAGGTGAGGACAACCTTAAAAATAAGGCGACATCATCTATGCCCCAAGATGATTGACAGGGTTCACTGTCCAAAGTACTGTTAAACTCCAGTGCCATTGTGGCATTCTTATGAGGGATAGAGATGTCGTAGTGCACCTGAACATTTTTTTGTAATTACTTTCACACTAGTTGCGTACCGAAAGGCGGTCAGGATACTCCTGCCCACAACTGTCAATGCCATACTTCACGCATTCCGTGTTACTCAGTGTACGACACCAGTTATGCGATTCTGTATGAAATGAATATTGGTGATATTATAAAGCTACCTGACCACACAGTTTCACCATCAACCTTTAAACTGATGGTCTCCCCTGTACGTTATATATGCCAATAACGATTTTTAATACCTTCCCAGCGGTCAAAAAAGTGAACACGCCCTGTTATTCTGATTTCCGAATGACTGGGGATGTTGAAATAGAACCTATTAACACGTCCTTTCGAGAGTTTGCTGCAATTATAATGGCTACCGATGATACCTTACATCACTCACCAAGGGCCGCCTAGGAAATAGTCAGCCGATCTCCCGCAACGCGATATATCCCCGGGCATCCATTCGTTAGGCTGGTTCGGGCCAAACAGGTCCATCTTCCACAATACCCTAGAATTATTTATGAGTAACAAGGGCTATGGTACATAGATGTATAAATAGGTTACCAAGCAACAAAAGCATGCTACCAACTCACCATTGTCTAACATCACCTGATGTGACTTTTTCTACTGTTATTTTCCCATCAAACTTCAATTTTGCCAAGAACTGGAATGTTTCAGGGGTCAGTTTAAGTTGCAGGTTGCTTGTACGGAATGCGAATGCGCCGTCAACTTCTCCAATTTCGGAATAAAAGGGACCACGCTCGAACCTTATACGTCCAACTTTAAGGCTCGATGGTGTTGTATTTGATGCGATATCTGTTTCTATGTGCTGAAGTTGCGCTATTACGTGTAGCGACACATGCAAAGCTACAACGCAGCATAGATGGAGATTCCACCAAATAGACATCCCAACACCTACATCCAATATTACGTCATCATATTAACCCGTTAGTATGCCATTTCACTGGTACGAGTATGCTATGAGGTGTTGCTTGTGGTGTGTGTGGGCGTAATGTCTACCATGTATCGAACACATTATACATACCAATCAATACACACATGAGTTATAATATTTAATATTGTCATGCGAGGCCGCTGTGCCTTACGATCTCTTGTAGCGGCAGCATTCATGCTGTCCGCGAAAAGAGCGATGTCGTTATTGCACATCCCTGACGGTAAGTTTCAGCTGCTATAAAGGACGCTTTTTACATACTGATATGTGCCACATCACTTCGTTTCATCCATGTACAACCCATCTTTTGATGTGTAACTTAATTACCCTATTCTTCATCTTTATCCAGGCCCTGTAGGACTACCGAATGATGTCGTAGTACGACAGGAAGAAATTCATCGCAGACGTCATAGACACGACCATAAGAAGGTCGTTAGTGCATTACCGCCAGCTAAACTAAGCGATGATGCAACAACAGATATCAAAACTGCATCGCATGAGCTACCGCTGATGAATAACGAACTCAAGGAGGAAGAAATTCAGGGGATCCATTTGAATTTACCAGAATATACAACTAGATCGGTAATTCAAATGTTACCGGAGTTTATACACTCACTACCGTCCAATATGTTGAGTGCACAACGGTTCATCACCGACTCATTTACTGCATTAATCAAAATGGGTAAGTCATATACCATGTTATACTCATTTATTTACAGGATTGCAAGCGGTACTAGGTTCACAGGTTTTTGTCGATATCCACTGCACGCCAACATCAAGTGAGGCTGAAATGATCATCTGCGTGACCGAGACTGTAACAAATATCACACGGATCATTGAAACTGGTGCTAATGTGTTGGCATTGAACTTTCGTGTACTTTCTGGAGGACGGTTAGTTCTATATTACTTGGGTATACAATCTGTTCAGAACAGCTACCGAGGCACTAGTTAGGTTAAATACCCTGGCCGCTAACCCGCTCAACAAAGACTTGATGTAAGTCATTTGTACATTTTTGTGCATCAGTCTTTCAGGAAAGCATTGGGATGCACGGCTATACTGTATATTACGCTAATGCGTGAATCGGTACCAGATGACACCAAGGTATTGGCGGGATCAGTAATGACCAAACTGACCTCCCTACCTATTGTGTCCGATATACCGGACACGAGCAGTGGTGGATTTGGACGTTTGAATGGTAGGTAATCAATAATAGCATCGAATACAGTGCAGTGGTGATACCACGCCCAAGTAGAGTACAACGAGCGGATTACGATATCGCAAAGTTACGTGCTGGAGCAACGCAAATGGACCTGCTCACATCCACCATATAGATAAAACTTCAATAATTGGTTATTTTATTAGTCTACCAAAATTTAATAGAGTCCCTCAGAGGCTTATAAAAGGAGTCATCTTCCCACTTGCTTGGTGGTCGTTTGCCCGGCCCACGTACCTCATGGTACCTACCTACTGTTACTTATAGCCACTTTGTACTTACCGATGACGCCTATATGTGTCAAATTTCAGCAACTTCTTACGGGTCGCCCAGTAGCCGTGACGATGATACCATTTCCACTTGCTTGGTATGAAGCAGCCTATGAATTATTAGAGTCAATAACAGATAGATACCCTTAAAGTGCTTGCCTTTCCACATCAAAATATGTAAACCCCGGAGCAACGAATCCAGACCGGAAGACACCCTTCTATAGAGAGTCTCCAGCAGCTGCAAACCTTATAAAATACTCTATTTCTACATACCTGAGCCTTTCTGTGCCCATTTTGCGATATTGCGGTGGCATTAGGCACACATTCTACCGGCCTAAAGCTCTCATTTAGAGAAATCAAGTAGCCTTCCGCTGGCCGTTTTTGACGCCAGGGCGCAGAAATTACTGGATTATGTGTGATCTCACGCCTAAAAAACGAAGTTAATCCACAAAATCGTGAGATGTGTAATACATGTGCCATCATGCCGCTATAAATAATGGCTGAATTAGACCATGTTACACTACCCGAGAGTGGCAAGTGTTATCACTAGTTACAGTAGATATTTGTTAAAATATATTTTGTAAATAACATTAGTCATTGTTTATAACTTATGTCACTATTACAATCTGAACAACTATTCAACAGTATCCTCCAGATACTCCACAGCATCAGCACCGTATATGGCGTCAATTGTAAGTCGCACGAATTGAGCATCACAGATACCAATAGTCTGGACCATCACTTCGATATCACGTTTAACAGATTGCTTAGATTGAACACAGCTTGGAGCATTATCCAAACCATCCTTGAACGTAGTACGATCACGTTCGTAAGCATCATGTTTCGCCAGACATGCCGCCAGCACGGCACGTGCGATCGTACGTGAAATTGCGTTCAAAAAGTCACGGAAACCCAATTTATTCGCTCCAGATTGACCACGATATGCCACACTACGAGCAATAGTATGGACACGCTCACCATCCATATGGCCAGGTATGATCTGAAAATCACGAGCAAAGACAACAAATGTTGCAGCCGATATTGTTGCAGTCTCGTTAAACCAACCACGTGAAACTGGTTGACGACCATACATAGATAGACGACTGTAATGTTTAAAGACACCCTGTAAAACATCAATATCAAAAGCATCCAATACATGCTCCAAAGCACGCACGTTGAAGTAGTTCAATATATCCTGACGTGATCTGAAATATTGTTCTGACGGTATAGCATCCGCTTTTTTAGATGCCTTACTATTACTCTTTGAACCCTTTTCAACATTCTCGTTGGAGAACTTGAGACATTTTTGGAATTCAGGCTTTGTTGTGAACAACATCTCGTAAAGAGGAACTAAATGCTCTTTACAAAGATGGTAAAATGCAACAAGACGGGATGGATGCTGATTATCGCGCATCATCTCACGGTCACCAGATTCTGCGATTGTATACAATAGGTTCAGATAACCAAGCTCACGCAGATACGCACACCACATGTGCTCCGGAATAGCACGTGGAGGAGGTGTTGAGGGGTCACCCTTATGAGGAAGCTCGATAGAGAACCGCTCGAAAAGCCATTCGAGTTTCTTCACATTAGACGTTAGATAGTTGTTAAGCATAGCTTCAAGGACAAATAATTCCATTGAAGCACGAGAAACTCCCAACATAGGACGGTCACCTTCACGCATATGCGTTGTACTATAGTACATAAAGAGCTCGCTAATACTGTTCTTCAATCTAATACTTGATTTCAGCACTTTGGTAACAGTAGCCTGGATGTCATAGTTGTTGCATTTACGCCAGTAACCCTCGACAAGCTGGTCGACACTGTTGCGACTAGATGATGGAACACAACGACGACGCACCAAATGGGACAAACGGGAAGTAATCAAATCTGTTGGTTCAGTTTGTACCGCTTGCTCAATTGCGAAACCTGGTAAATGCTTCATATCATCAAGATCTTTACGAGTAAAGTTACGATAACGTTCATCAATAGATGATTTGAAAGTACTTAACCGCTCCGCAGCAGAATCAACCTCCTCACGTAACTTCTGAACACGCTTCTCCTTATGGTTTATAATAGAGGTCCACATACCCACATCAATCTGATCACACATCTGGTCATTAATCCTATCGAATTTATCAGCAAGCTCATAACGATGGAGTTTACGCAACTCATCACCAATCAACCGGTAGTTTAATATCACGTCACCAAGGTTGTTAAACTTCTTCGCATTGTCAGAACGCAACTCGTTGGTAACATCAGAAGCACCACCTGATGGATCACTGGCCACATTCTCGAAATTGTTCAGCTCACGGATAGAATTGATAATACTACTGGTCTTGTAGGTAAGCATCTTCTTGTACTGGTTATGCACAAGACCCAATAGCCTACCAAGACTCTGCAGCTTCAATGACTCAACCAAACGGATGTCACTAGTGGCATATATATTTTCCTTTTCCAATTCCGATACTTTGTTGAGAAGGATGTTGACGAATTTGTCCTTCGCCTCAGGAGATTTTATACTGTTGTAAAGGTCCTCACAGGCGTCAAAATCATGCTTCTGGATCAATGTAGTGAACCTACGAACAACGGATTCAACTGTTCCTAATTTAGATTCGTAATAATGCTCCAAGTCACTAACATTGCATATATGAGGCCTAAAAGGTGAACCGAATACAGGCTCGCCATTTATCTCAACATTAATTTTACATGGAACACGACCACCTTTCAATGAACTTGGAAGCACAGAGTCACCACCACGTGACTGTGCCTCTTTCAATGGCACCAATCCCTCACGAGATACGATGACGATATACTTCACAACAACAATCCCATCAGATCTGTACTCTGTAGCAACGACACGGGCATAGTTTTCACCCCAGGCTCGAACATAAGGCAAAGCATGGGTTACAGTGTTACCATGCTCGTCAGCAAGATGAACCTCTATCTCATTCAACAGAGTACGCTGCTCCAAATGACTCAGGGTATGCTGCCTTCGCTTTTTCAAGTCTTCCAACGTACCCCGGTCACTGCCACAAAGTAAACGTGTTCTTCTCTTTGGCGAGAGCTTGTCTTGGAACTCGCCGCTGTCAGGCTCCTGCATTGATACATCTTTCTTCAAAGTATCGTTCGAATTATACCCTGCAGAAGACCCCTTTAGCAAAGAACTGTCGTATGTTGTTGACGAATGGATGATTGGTGGCCGTGATTGTTGTCCGGCACTACCAACATTCGATGCACTCGATTTGCGATATTGTTCACTGACACCCGTACCAAACGGTCCGAATTTCGAATATAAGGGGTCGTCGTCAGTTTTACTAGATGGTGATTGATTAGGTGCCCCCAATCCCAATTCAGGATCATATCCAACCTGCAATATACCACTTACATCTTTGCCACGTTTATTCCCTTTTACGTTACTTGCAGGCACGTGAGTTTTCTCTGCCACAGGAATGAAGACTCGATCCAACTTGTCATCGGACCTTCCAAATGAAAATTGTGACCCTTGTTTGGCAGGCGACACAACTGACCCTTTTGGACTGTTGTTGTAGACATCCTTATCAACCTCAGGGCCATAACCCTCGGCGCTACCCAACGAACCTGGGAATATGGCCTCTACGATCTCCGGAACATAAGGCACGGCATAACAGGTGTCAATATTCCTACCATATACACGACATGCAGCCGTATATGGCGTTGCGTCGGATATATATATACGAAAGGGTGAACCTGGAATAGGATTACCATCTAACTTGACATGTAAGAGAAAGGTGCCCTTACGTGTTACCCGATATCTGACGTTAAAGGTTTGTTTGTCTACTACACAAACATCCCATAAAAAATTATGTTCCAAAGCATCGGCAACGGAGTTGTTTGCCAATTTGTTATTTTGGCAAGATGGAGCTCGACGTTGCAAATCACGCTCATCAGCGTTATTATTAATAAAGACGGATGAACGAAAGTATGCATCCTCTGCATAGTCCAAGTTAAGCTTAATTACTCCACGAGTCACACTTCCACTCTTACGAATGACGAACTTAACCCATTTTCCACATTCACCTCCGTATATACCATCGCCCTCAACATAGGTGGTATCCGGTAGTGGGACTACAGACACCGGCCTTACGTGTCCTCCCGCATGATTGGCAACACCAGTTGCCATCGGCGACTAGTGATATCGATACTTACACTTGCCTATAGCCCAATATTACCCTTAGCTTCTCTAGTAGGCAATATACTCGTGTGACACACTCCGGGCCGCCACACCTCAGTATTAGTATACACGGCCAGCCGCCACCGTAAATTTATATATACACATCGACGATATACCGCCTAAAGAGTGACAATAGACACCTGTATGATGACACTGACTAGTTACAGCTCTGTGTCTAATCGATTGGTGACCTCTCTGGGTTTATGCGAGAGGCTGCGATATATGAACTAAAAGCTTTACACCCTTACAGTATTATTCATTAACGTCATACCTAGGTGATCGTAGGGTGGTGGAAAGGTCGTTGGTAGGCAACGAAGACATGACTCAGGCGTGCACAGCTGTGCAGCCCATATATACGTACGCGGATGGCAGGATGTGACATTATTTTTATCGCAAAACATGTATATCGCATTCTGACGCCTATGTTCTGTCATACACACGCGTAGCTAGCTGTAGATTCTAATTACATAAGTACCATGTACCAGCGACCTGTGCAAGTCATGCTTAAGCTACGACAACGTCAAATATGCACATTGAGGTGTAACAGCGAGCATTTACTAACATATAATTTTCAATATAACAATAGATTAACATGAATATAACTATGTACCACGAAAACAATTCCTATAGTCAGCACGCGCCCACGAACGGGTACCCATTATAGATCGACATTCCATTTGCAGGCCATCTACCACCATTTTATCGCATATAAAGTAGCATTTCTTATACGTATCCTTGTTGGTTGAAAGGTAACTGGTCATCCATTTTGTCATTTGGTGGAACAACATGGCGCGTAAAGTTGGCAAAAAGGCTAAGGCCAAGAAGTTTAAAGGCAACGAAGCATATATACCACTGGATGAGGTACCGGAAGGTTAGTTGCCTTGATATCTGTGTCATAGCTTGCAGATGAGGACAGCGACGCCGGAGAGTTCCAGGCTATGGGACTGCCAAAAGATATATCACCAGCTGACTCAGATGAGGACGAAGAGTACCCAGAAGATGAAGAGGATTACGATGAAGAAGCGCAATATAGCGATTCCGAGGATGAAGAAGATGAACATGATAACAGGGCCTCTTGGGGGAAAAAATTGAAAAATTACTATGATGATGGATCGGATGATTACTCCGATGCTGATGACATCAATGATCGCATAGCAGAAGCGAATCGCATTGCCGAAGAACTTTATGCAGACGTAGATGACGAGGATGCGGAAATTGAAGATATGGTAGAGGAGGAAGACACTGATGTAACGTCAACGGCATTAGATGCAATATTGGAGGACCTGTCTAGTTCACTACGTACCCATAGTGAGAAGATAGAATTGCCATCGGATTTCTTCAAATTAAACGATTCTGAGAAGCTGCAATATATGGAAAATGAACATCCCGAATTCCTAGCACTGCTGAAGGAATTTAGAGATAAAGTTAAGGTAGTTAATGAACAGGTTCTACAGTTAGTAAATGATGAAAGTATGACCAAATTGTGTACTAAAGAGGGAATGGAATATTTGGATATACGCAATGAGCTCATGTTGATGTATGTAACATACCTGAGCTACTACTTGCTACTTAAAACTCATGGGATGCCCGTAGAAAAACATCCAGTTATCACAAGACTTCTAGAAATAAGGATCATGCTAGACAAGGCAAGGCCTATAGAATCAAGGCTACAGTTTGAAATCAACAAGCTACTTGATGAACGGGGATCTCAACGTATGTCACTATATACTACGTGGATCAATCATTTTGCAGCCGATGGTGCCACACCAAGACCCAGACCCGATCTTATTGAAGTGGAGACCCGTGAAGAAGATGGACTATACAGACCACCGGGACAACTTCCATTAGTCGAAACGGATGCATATGTAAGTAGTATAATCTCACTAACTATCATTTACAGGCGCGACATCAAAAGAAGATGCAACGTGCTGAAAAGGTCGTCAGCGGAAAACGAATGCTAGAACAAGCTATGGAACAAGGTGATGAAGATGCTGATGATCTAGAGCACCGCGCTACAACTAACAAGACCGCCAAGATGATCAAGGCGTTACTTGAACGTGAGCGTTATGAGATGGAACACATGAAACGTTTGCCAATGAACAAATTGGCAAAGAAGGAACTACGCGAATTCCAAAAACACCAAAGGAACAAACAAGGTGGTATCATGCTGGAAGATTTGAGCAACTTCGCTTCCGAAGCAATGGATAACAGACACTCGAAACGGAACCTACTTGTAGGACTAAACGCAGCAGCACAAGCTATGAGACAGGATATACTGGACACCGAGAAGATACGTGCCTCAGATGCATATTATAAACCACAGTAGGTCATCCATAACTCAGTTTTTAACATTCGTCAGCGGAACGAAACGGCAGGGGAAGACTCAGGCACCCGCTACTACTCCTCATAGCGCAGCACAACGAAAGCGGAAGTTTGATGATGAATTGGAGCGTATGCAACGCCATCAAGCCAAATTGAAAACGACACTTAAGGAACAACGTCTAGAAGGCTCTAAGAAACCATTTGAACATGTCGAGATAGATGGCAAGCGTGGTATGTTTTGTAAATTGGTCAATCACATATCTTGCAGTGGCTGGTTCCGATATACTACGTAACAAGGGTCTCACGCGGAAACGTAAGAAGACGTCCGGAAATGCTCGTGTATCTAACCGTACCAAGTTTGAAAAGAAGGTCGCAGCACATAAATCTAAGGCAAGCAGTACCAGGTACGAGACACCTGGATATTCCGGCGAAAGCACGGGTATCAATGCAAAGAAGAAGAAGTCCGTAACCTTCTAATCGATTTCACCTATGCCTGTACGCGATAATTTTGAATCTAACATACATTTCTCTTTCACCGTATGTACTGGGTAACATCAGCGAGTTAACACGGTAGCAGTATGGTCATTAGAGGAATTAGAGAGTTAACAGTGGAATCGACACACCATCTTACAGTATAACCACGGAGTTAGGCCGTGTTCCACACTGATCCGACACGGTATAACTCGTGACATTTGGCTTAGCCATTTACATAAAAAATTATCAAATACAACGATAAATCAATGATAATATAATAATGCGGCCTGATGTGTCTAATGTGTGACCGATAAGTCCCACTATTCTCATGTGTGATGTGGAAAAGTCTCATATAACGGAACTCAATATTCACCACTGATGCATTTTACCTCGAATATTGAGATAGTAAACTGCAGCATATAGATATGTCGCTGCAGTTCTTAAGAGAATTCAACAAAAATGTGAAAGAATCCCTATCGATACTTAACGAAGGGATTGAAATCACCAATGGAGTTACGGATATCGGTAATATACATCTACCGTATATACAACAACTTGTAAAGCTACCACAAGATATTCAGCGACCATCAAGCTGTTGTCTATTCCTGAGAACAAACTTCACAGATCGAGATGATACAAAGGAAGGCACAGACGCTTCCAGGAGTGCATGCTCAGCGCAATCACTAGGGACAACGGCCTCTAGACATAGCACTACTGAAGAGACAGTAGAAACGCTATCCGATGGCATAGAGAATGGGAACGCTGGAGCGGATACACCCAGGAGCGCAATTGATTCTTTACCGTGTCCACTAGGTGAAGCTTGTATAATTAATCGCATCGATAAACGAAGATACGAGGCTTCATTAGAAGAGATTACTAACTTTCTGAACAATGTCGAAAATGCATTGGAAACAAGGTCAGCAGCAACACGAAGCCTCCTGGAGACACAGGTACTACCTGTACTATGCCTACTAGTCGACTTGTCGGAGCTTGCATGTTTATTCCAAAACCCTCCGAAACAGCTTAGTAACAAATTCGGTGATGTCAAAACGGTAAATATTCAGGTGTTAGGGATAATAGCTTCGTCAATAAAACTCATAGACGACGTACTAACATATCCTAAATTCATTACTGCAAAAACTAATCGCAAAGTCGTGGAATACACGTTCAAGCCGAATATACAACATGGAAGGGATATCTTGGAAGCAAACAATGTGGCCGGGATAATACCCGATGCTTTCACCTCTACGCAATTGACGGATGCTCTGAATCGGACAAACAACCTACATATAACTACACAGTCTAATCCAGACAATACCTTGCCAAGCGGATATGCATATATAGGAAAGCTGGCTCTTGTCACATTAACAGAAGAGGAACGCGATCGACTCAAACACACATTAGGCTTGGTACATTCAGTGGCTATAGCCACGGAGTTCGGACGCACATTACTGAACGCAGCAGCAATCTCTCTCGGAGGAAGCGCTATAGAACAACGTGATATCGTTTTGTTTGCCGTCAAAGTTATAGAAAAGCTATACACTCATAACGATGTTGGATACCACCTACACCATAGTGATGATCAACTGTTATGTACTGTAGACAACCTAGACGACTTTTACCGAAAATGGATTATAGCATGTAACGGCATATGCTTCCAATGCGATCGTAACTTAGGGATCGATGCCATCGCGGATGAACCGTTGTGTGATTGCCTATATCATCAAAGTGATACCGTAGCACCCAACCGACATCTCATTGAGGATGAACTACTCTCCTCAGAGCTAAACGCACACAAACTTATGCGATTGGTAATGGATTCTGGAGACATGGTATTGAAAACATGTATCACAAGACTCATCTTGCAAATGGTTATATCTTCCGCGGCATTCAGACGACGGTTCGTTTTAGACGGGTGCATAGAAATACTTATTCATGTACTTGATGGTTGTTATACGGATCAATTTGCTGTTATCGTGGAATCACTAGCACAAATACAAGAAAACATAACAAAAAAACAAACAGCAACACTCGATCGTGAATTGACTATAGCAATGGAGTTCTTGCCATACAACATGGACGCCCTATTAATACTTCGTCAGTGCATCCGGTACGGTGATTGGGGAAGAACAGATGTTTCCAGAATCCTGGGATTTGTTACGCAACTAACATACGCAATCCTTAACACATGGATATACTATTATATTTATGCTACAGGGACACCGAGTGACAAGGAAAACAGTACATTCACTCGTTCATTGTCTATTGTCATAGATATGTGCTCTGATTTGGCTAACCAAAGCAATGCAAACCTCCATTGCGATACCCATGCCGCACTCGTTGTCGTAGCAAAGTTGAGAAATTCCAGTATATCCAACGAACTTGGATTCTTACGCGAAATAATTGATAGCGGGATCATGGAACACGTTATGTTTGCAGCACATATTCTGTATAATCGGACTCGATTTGGTTTTCAACTGCCACAGAGAGTGGTTGACGCATTGATGCGGTTCGTATCCACAGTTGCAATAGCGTCACAAGGGAGCGCAGAAGCAACCAATATGCTACTTCAAAGGATGAAAACGCCTAGCGGGAAACAAATACCGCCATTGTACACTCATATATACCAAGATTTGTTATCTCGCGAATTAGATGCACTCAAAACGTCGATCACGTCACAGTTCACTGCGAGGATACAGCAGTTCCGCGTAGAGATGTTTGGTGATTTTGCGAATATACCTGTGCTCATGCACTGGTTACTTTGCCTAAATGACAACCACGTTGTGGATTCCATGAACGACGCATATCGGTGGCATTTGTCGAAACTAATTGCATCAACAGGGTTGTACAAACTAAACGAGATGGCCTCTGGTATATTCGAATACTCGCGGGACCTATACCACCATAACCTCTCGATGATTGAGGGGTACTCCAACAAAGGAACTTCGGAATTAGACTGGCGACCAATACGCAATTACCTGGAACTCTCCATATGTATGATGGCTTATGCAGTAGATCACACAAAGGATAATGGCGAGGATACTTTGACCCAGTGCATCAATGTACTCAATAAAGTGCTCAGTGAATATAAGGTATGTCGCACAAAAAAATGGATCAAATCATTTGCAGACGGATACTGAACATGTTATGACACCTTTGCTCATACATATTATATCGTGCATTGCAGCATGCCTCGCTTCTCCCAAGCTGACTACGGATCTCAAAGATTTGAAAGTACAGCCAATAATAGGTATGTCGAAAATAATCAACACGATATTCGTTTTCAGAATTGTCGAAGTCAGAAGCAGGAAAAACTGGCTATTCGACAATTAGTTGCTTGGCAGCATTGGTTTTGATGTTGATAAGAGCTCGTGGAGCAAATGCCACCGATTGGGATTTCGACCTCGAGTCCTTAGTTGTAATGTCAGACCGTTTGCGACAGCTTTACGGTAGCACTGAACATATTCAGGCCCTTAGGTTACTAACGGATCTGGAACCGCCTCGTCATATTGACAGTTTCGTAGTGGAATATGAAATTATGCTCGATGCCTTTATTAGTCACGCAGGATGCCTTGCCGCAAGTGACGCTCTGTGGGTAGTCGTGTGGCATAGGTCTAATCTACACAAATTCGAGCTTACACCACAAATACACAGATTAATTGCAATATTCAGGAGGATGATGCACCTGCATGTCATGAAACGGCTAGTAGAGGACGTACACAAACGCACGTTGTTACATCTAGATGACAGTCAAACTATATACTCAAAAACAGAGGAGGAATTTGATAGGATGAGAAAACTGCATTCAGAAGAGATCTCCTTTGCTCAAAATCGTGTGTATCAGCTCATTGCTCAAGTAGAAGTCATGTCGAAGTCGTACTATCTGGCCGAGACAAACGCACGGGTAGGTACAATGGAAACCTTTATCACAATGCATCAGAATTTGAAAGAGGAACTAGAACGTGCATTAGAAGAAAATCGTATACTATGTGAGCGTCTAGCAAGTGCCAGCGGCACATAAGCCTATGCAAGCCGGTTTAGCTAAAACATGACGGCAAAAAGTACGTCGAGGGGGACGAAATACCCTACACTCCAGCATTGTCAACATATCTTAACATTGCAATATAAATGCTAGTTTACCACTAATACGCTGATGGTAGCGATGTCTAAGCTAGATGAAACAGATAGTTTATACAATTTACTGTTTACCCGTTCATCACAGTGGTATAAATGCGTTCAAATAACAATACTACGTCTTTAAATATTACGATACAGTGTTATAGTGTTAATGCGATCACTCTTCTTCAGCTTCTTCTTCCTCCTCCTCTTCCTCTTCCTCATCAGTCTCTTCCTTAGCCTTCTTATCACCCTCCTCAGAATCTTCCTGGTGCTCAGACGCCTCGTGTTCATCTTCGTCTCTAGCAGCGTTGTCATCTTTAGCTGACTCATTGGCTTTCCCGGCCTTCGCAGACTGCACATCGCCCTCTTCGCTGTACGCCTCTGCAGCACCATCGTCCATATCTACACCAGGACACTTGGGAACTGCACTCTCGTCAACCAATGGACGTGCGGTCGCAACAGCCACTGCTTTGCCATCGACGGTGGGTGTGGCAATAGGTTCCAAACCTTTCACCAAATCCTGGGGAATAGAAGAACCGTTGGCGTTAGATTCGGACTTAGGTTCTTCGGATTTAGCAGCATCCTTAGAGGCAGTGGCTGATTTGGCGTCCTTAACGCTCTCTGAAGGCTTGGCCTCTGCCGATGGAGATTTTTGCTTTTCAGATTCGTCCATATCCGCCTTTTCATTATGGTTCGCTTCTTGCTCATCCTTCTGTGAAGCATCCTCGGCATCCAACTCTTTATCTTCTTCCTCTTCACTTTCAGCCTTCTCGTGCTCAGTGTCCGTTGACTTCTCTGGCTCCTTTTGAGAATCCTCGTTTCCTACTCCATGCTGCTCTTTCTTTGCCGAATCAGAGTCTTCTTCCTCACCCTCCTCCTCTTCATCCTCCTCATCGGAAGAGCTTACCCATGCCGCACTCGTCTCTCGGATATTGTAATTACATCTCGGAAGAGCTCTTCGCTTTGCCACCGGAGGAGCCAGTATTGGAGTCATCGTTGTTGGATGTTGCTTTCTCGGAAACAGATTCAGCATTGGAATCCGTTTCTGAGCTTTCAGATGAGGACTTGGCATCAGCAGACGAATCTGCTTTTTCTGTCTCAGCTTTGTTCTCATCGCCAGCATCCTCCGTATTTTTCGATTGATCTTCTTCCTCACTTTCTTCTTCGTCTTCACTTGCCTCATCCTCATCTTCATCTTCAGATGAAGCAGCTTTAACGTTACCCTCTTTCTTATCTCCCTCCTCATGCTCTACCTTCTTCTCTTTCGTCGCATTCTCCTGGTCATCTTCGCTGCTTGTAGCGCCGTCGTTCTCTTCAGCAGATTCCGAAGCTGCAACATCTGAGGTCGACTTGCCACTAGCACCTTCCTTGACCTTATCCGGGAGATTTAACGGACATGCACCGTGCTCCTCCGCCGGTGATGTGCCCTTGTGGCCCTCGTTTACGGTAGCACCTGGTTTAGTAGCCGCCGCTACATCTGCGTCCAAATTGTGGATAGAGGCACTCTCTGATTGATGGTGTTTATCCGACCCAAGAGGACATGATGCCGCCGTGCTCTCGGCACCATTAGAAGTGGATGAACTAGTTTTCCCCTCGTTGCTAGAGGCATCAACTTTGGCATTCGCAGATTCAGATTCCGTTTTGTGATCAGCCTTTTCAGATTTGGACGATCCCTCATTATGGTGCTCAGCAGAATGCTCGCCCGGACTACCTGACTTGTTGGTAGAGGGTTCTGAGTCATATTCATCGTCATACTCATCATCAAATTCATCATCGTCATCATCTTCAAAGTCAAAATCGTCGTATTCGTCGTCATCATCTTCTTTAGGTTCAGATTGTTTAGTTGCCGCTGATTTGGCATCGGAGGTACCATTCTGAGTTTCATTGTTTTCAGATTTCCCAGAATCAGCCTCCGCAGGCTCCTTATCACTGGAATCCTTACTCGATGTTTTCTTACTGGCACTTGGAACAGCAAATAGTGCTATATACACATGAACTACAAAAGTTTGAAAAACTCACTTGCGTGGTAAGGGGACTCTAACAAGTTACGGTTCTCAAGAATATCAGGCATACCAGATGCCAAGAATGAAGGGAAAAAACCTTCCGCAGGGTCACCGGCTCTCATACCAGTCTCATCCAAAGAACAGTTGTGGGTTTGGCAGAAGCTAGAATGGTGGTTGCCATGTCGCTTTACGGTGCCTTGGTGATGGGTGATGTGGTGTCCAGAATGACCATGACTTCCCTCATGAGGGTGCTCGTGTAGATTTTCGTGATGCGTTACACCAGCATGGACATGATTGGAACCGTGATGATGCCCGACTTCACCTTCATGACCATGGTTATGTGAATGTGCCACAGAATTGATTTCGTTCTTCCTAGGCCGCTGGGAACTGTCGTGACGAATATTGTGTGATGGGTGGTGAAATCGGTTGCCATGTCCCGATGCGTTGTGATGCTGTGTAGTTGGGTGAAATGCCTGGTACGGTATTAAGCATGCAAATGGTATACCTCACCTCCAACTCGTTGAACAGGTCGAAAGATGGGTGCAGACTGCCACCGAGCAGAGAAAGACCTGCACTACCGAGACCTTCGGCAAGGTATACTGAGTATACCAGGGCCAGGTAACAGATAGACGAAGCACTAATGGCGAAACCCATCCTTGCGCTACAAAAATATGAAATACTATACACATAAAGATCAACAACATCAAAACACCCAGACAGTGTAGCATGTACGTTGCAGGACACACACATGTAATCAGACAAGGAATCGCGACGAACGAACGTAGCAGCAGAACAATGTCGCAGTCATTAAACACACATTACTCACACACATAATTTAAAACATCACTATTCAATGTAAGATACGGGTTCCATATGTTGCTATCGCTGCGAAATACGACTTTGCCGGTGATTCCCCAAATGGAAGTGTGTACACATTGGACACTATCACCGTCGCAGCGGCTATTAAGTCGGTCACAACAATAGTAATAACATACACACCATAATATTATAATAAAACATACCTTTTTATCGACGCTTTTACGCTAAGGACAGTAGTGTGTGTCTCGATTCTGTAAGGAACGACATCACGATACCTCCAGTGCCCCATGAACTGTCAGCGGGCTGTATTTGCCTACGGCATATTATCACTAATAAACCGACATCACACCTGCAGGAAGTAATACACACTGACAGAGCGTCACGCCGTCAGCCTGGTCACACCTCTATAATGGACACCAATGATCGACACACATCAACCCAGAGGTGTATGCTATAGCTGGTACCGTATTCATATGTCTGATTTCAATCTAATAAGAAGTTACCTACGGTCATTTCTACTCACATATATAAGGTACCAATACGTATTACAGCCAATAATACAACACTAATATACAATATTATTATAAGTCAAAGTAGCACAATGTGCTCACTCAGCAAGTAGATTCTTTAATGACCCGTTTTCACGCATCATTACCAGAGTCTCGAGGCCGCCAACGAATTGACCGCTTACATATAGCTGAGGTATATAAGGATATTTGGAAAACCTCTTTATTCCAACACGCAGATCAGGGTCCTCCAGCACGTTAACCGTATGAATTATTGGCGCTCTTGATTCCTATGTCGTTAGATTAAGGGAGAAGGTTGGCTAGACTAACCTTCAAAATGTCTATGGCGTGCCGACTGTATTTGCACGCAGGTTTAGAAGCTGTGCCTTTCATAAACAAGACGACCTTGTATTGCGATATCTCTTTCTTTATCTGAGAGACATTGGTAAACAACCAAACATATTCTTACCCGCTCCTCAACTGCAGGCGTAAGCGGAGGCAGATCATTCCAATCGATGTTACTACTGTCTTCACCGGGTGGATGAGAACCGGTGGAACCGCAACATCCTTGTTTACAGCAGGGTCTAGTAGGTTGCGTCGATGGTTTCTCTGCTGCTTCGCAAGAAGCTAAAGCTGCGAATAATTACAGAAACTCCGAATAGCATGTTTCACCATACCTATGCGATGAAGTCCCAACGGTATGGGTCTCAGATGGGAGAATTGTACAGTGGACATGCCATAGGTACACGCTACAAAGAGAACAGTGCCACTGCAGAGGGCTATTCGATTACCAAGGGACAATGAAGTCGCAATATTTATCCTTAATCTACCAACGTTGTAAAACAATCGCGCCCATATTTTGACGCTCATCTCGCAAGCATATCATCTAAGGAATAATATACAGTCTAATCTATCTTATTTTAACAGGCAATGTACTTTAATAGGCATCAACACCTGGCAGTGTTCGGAAAGGCGCAGTGTGTACGGCAATGACGTCGGCGTTGTGGGTTATTACTCTCTAACGAAGCTTAAGAAATATAACAACGTATCATTATCACGCTAAGGAAATACGCGACAAGCTGATAAAAACGTCCCCTTGTTGCGATATTTAACAACCGACTACAGAGGCCTTTAGTACGGCAGTTCGGGGATTTTAACGCGACCAAACGGTGCTGGTAACACTATTACACCGTATCTCAAATAAAAATTCAAGGATTAGGACTTATGTAATTTTTTTGAAGGAGATTCAGAGATTTGGCGACTCCGAAGGATCGAGGTTTGCGTGACACAAACAGCAACACATTAAGAAACTTTCAAGCCTAAACGCTCAAATTATCCATCTGACCTAGTTATAACGGTAATTTGTCAGAGATATTGGTAAGGATTGCATACTCGTCGAGGACCACCTTCACGACAGGTGACTGAGCTGTATCTGTCCTTATATCTATATACGGTATAAATACAATATTGATTTGAAGTGACCTACAGCTGTATTAACTACAGTGTGCCATGTTATTTGAAATTTTACGACGTTACATAATCACGCTGGTATGCTGTCGTGACACTAATCAGTCGTTGAGATGTTAAAGCCGTCCACGAGCTACATACATCCAAATACAAAGCATATGGAAACTTGTAAGGACTGTATGTGGTTGTAACACGTAATTATTCTTTGTCAAAGGGGAATTCATCATTAGTCGGTCGGCCGACGACAGTTGACACCTGGCTCTTGGTGGGTTGGGTCACAGCCCTATAAGCATAATGGACCGTACCCAAAGGAGAACTCTGCCTCTATCCTCGACGCAGAAGCTTACTCTTACCACTGTCTTGAAGCAACATTTCAAACATGCGTTGTTAATGGAGGCTGATGTAAGAGCGGTACTCACAAAATACCATGGGCTTACCATGGGTCTAAGTAAGTCCTACCAAAGAAATTTTTATGACATCGCAGATTATCGAGGCGAAGATGTCGTACTCAATCTCCGTGGGACGCTACCATTCACATTTCAAAATAACACGTACCACTGCCCGCTAGTCATATCGATGACCAAGTACTACCCGATGACGCCGCCATTATTCAAAGTAGTAACCAGCGGAAATATCAGGATAGTAAGCAATCATAATTGTGTAGCGAAAAACGGAAACATAAAAATACCGTACGTAGAATCGTGGAACTCAAGGTCCACTTTGGTAAGGTAAAAATTAACGATACAACAATTCGACGCAGATGGAAGCTATACGTTCCATACAGGAGATATTTGACAGCAGCGCGCCTATATACACCGTTGAACCGGTGTACTCCAAACCTGCATTGCCTGTAGGGAAGGTTGCCATACGCTCTGGAAAACCTGACATACCTACAAGCCCAAAAACCGTAGGAACCAGTAATCTGGATAGTGACGCAGGAGGCTCGCTGAGGACGCACGACTCCAATTGTGGCTATCTAAGAAAACAGCTAGATGCAGTAGCTGAGAAAATAGGTGCACAAATGTCTCTGGAACGTGCACAGTTGATTGCTGAGTATCAATTTGATGTAATGAAATTCGATCTACACAAACTAATCATGATGGACTGGGTAACTATGTGCGCGGACTTAGCCGCAGCTTTAAAGGCTCAAACTGAAGATAGGGAAAAATTGGATCGAATCTTAGCGGAATCTGAAGAACAGCTGCGCACGCTGGAGTCTATTAACGACTACTTCGACCGCGCCCTCGCTGCACTGAAAAAAGTTAAAGAATTGAAGGACGCAGCTAATTCAAATGGTGGTGAAGATGGTACTAACGATAGGGAGAATGCAGCACAACGATTCAAAATCCGTTTCGCAAGCCCTGCGGACGAAAAGTTGTGCCGTGCCATCGCAGCGGAGACGGCATCCGACGAAATGCTCGAAGTATTACAATCTACTTTTAAGCGCAAGCAAGTTACGACCAAACAATACATTCAGGTAGGTGAATTGCCATCTATAGCACAACGATTACAGTACGTGAGGATCATCTCCAGCAAAAAATTTCACGCAATGCATACGAGGCGGACGCTAACATCCATCCTGAAACAACGTGAATAACTTATAATATTACTCTTGTGATACATCATCTGTGCATATAACATATGTTGGGTAGAACCATGACCTCTCTCGGATATTGTAATTACATCTGTACTCATTATATGTAACCCAAACGCCCTTCCCTATGCCAACAGTGAGCATCTTTATGAGTACGTTGTGTCATTTTAAGATGCCATCAAAAGTGCGATAAAGATTAAACAATGTTATATTAGAGAGTTACGCAGAGCGTAATCGATTGCAGAGAATGCGGCTGCCGAACCCAGTGAGTACTTGGCGAGAGCTGGCCAAGTGCCCTTGCACTTGTATAACGCTCCTGCAGCCAAACCCGCAGCGGGTGCTATGTATGCGTCCTCCCCGGCACGTTCGCCTCTACTTAGCTTCGTAACAGTGTTGATCACACAATATAATAGCGTGACACATGCAGCGCCGTTACCCAGCCTCGGACCGTAAGTACCACAGGTGTTGAGGATCGAGTTTATGAACAGTTTCCGGGTAGCGCCGCCCTTGGCAACACCTTTCACTAGGCCGAACGACCCTCCCAGCAACAATCCTACATTAAGTTAATAACCAGAATATCTATGCAATTCGAAAAGCTAGAATATATACTTACCTGATCCGTAAGCTAATCCAACTGAGTATGTGATTTTTTCACCCCAATGGCGTCCGTATCCCCGCAAATAAAGCTGATTGTCACTGAAATTAGGGGCGACGTAACGCTGCTGCGCAGCTTTGATCCCTTCAGGCCGTTGCAGAATATCTAAATTCGGCTTAACCGCACCAACATCCAAGTATTCATCCATAGTTATATAAATGTGGTAATTTCATGTGCAGATTCCATCTACAGAGCCAACATAGGCCGTTGTCTATGGGGACGCGGCAGCCATCAGCGTGTTTAACACGGCATATTTCACATATGAGTATTTACTTATTGAAAAATAACATTTAATTCCCATATCTGAGTTTCTAATGCCAGATACGGTCGGCCGGTTTTTTCGGCAGGGTATGGCACGTTAGCTGTAGCGCCTTTCAGCTGCCGTCCATTATACGATTGATAGCAACAGTGGTATCCCATCCGTTGTCTTGTAATGCCTTTGTGGCGGTTTCTAGGTCGATACCCATTTCAAGTAGCGTGCTAACTTTGCCTTCGCGTGTTTCGCTTTGGTTCTGCGCAAATGTCGACGTCCAAAGCCTAAGTACTAGTTAACGTAACCATTACTACCTAAACTTACTTAGCAGTCTTTACAAACTCGCCATAGTTGCGTCGATACATAGAAGCAACTTCTGCATCCTGTGGATCATCTGGTTCGGGTGCCGAGAGAAGTGCTTGTATAGACAGTAACGCCGTACGAATTGTAAGTGCCGGGCTCCATTCATTTTTGAGGATATCAAGGCATATAGCGCCGGTTTCGCTGCTTATATTTGGATGCCATATCTTCGTTTCGAAATGTATCTGTAAGTATATGAGTCCGGAGTAAAAAAACCAACTTTTGGTGGATTATAAGGATAATCCTCAGGTATTTTGATGGCCAAAATAAAGTATCCGCCTTCATAAGGTGTCTGTATAGGTCCCTTGATGTAACCTCTCCAAGTGTAAATATCCCGATCAATCATGTGAGCATCTACGGAGCCGTCGTGGTCCTTCTGAATATCCTTCAGCTCCCGCTCCAGCCTGATATGCTGTTTACTCAACATATCGCTCTTTGTACAGTTTCGGGGTTACGCCCGTGGGAAGTGTGTACTATATAGCGGATGTCTAACGCCAGCCGTCTGGTTGCTCGAGATAACAACGCACAAAATCCAGTTAATGGAAACCTTTTATTTCCACTGCTGAAATGATTGAAATAACAAGGCGTTTAGGCAGAAATCCTCCGCCCTAATTGAAGGATATTCCAATAGTTACTAGCTCAATAATCCAGGGATCTCAGATCGTACACATGAAGGATTGATTATGGTCAATCAACTCTATTAATCTAGAAAGATATACCTGTGGATTTTTCTATAATGGTAACAGGATTTTTCCTCGAGGTCACGGCCCCCCTAATGGCCACCTAACAGTAGCATCACCCCTAGGACTATCGCGGCAACGAGGCACAGCTCTCTGCGACAACAATATTATATTACCAAGCTAATTTAGTATTCTTCAAAGGTTATACTAAGTTAGTGTATCTTACACCTTGCATGGATAAGCTTTGTACGCCGGCCACGCCTAGGCGACCAGCCACGTAGGTGGAACGCAGAGAATTCTCTACGATCGGGGAATAAACCTTATATTTGATAGACCACTGTTATGTTTCAACGGATGTTAAGACCACCCCTATGGAAGGCCACGGACCTTGCTGTCGCAGTTAACTCTCGAGGAAACGGCGCTATAGGCACAATTAGTTTTTATAAATTACTACAACTACATATCTGTCATATTTATAATGAACAGTGATATTACGCTGGTGGCTTATTAAAAGGAATAGCTCCCACAACGATAACTCGCTCGCCCACGCAACATCCAAAAAGTCAGGAATGGGATCGATGAAGCTGGCGTGTCGTTACACACTTAATTGATTAAATTATATATATGCATGTGTAATGATTTCTAAGGTATTATGTGAACAACGCGATTCTTGCTCTTGTACGAAATGAAATAGAAGGGTGAACGCATCTTTGTTAACCCGGGCATTAGCCAAATGCATAATAATATATTAAATATTTAAAAATGATTAAACATTGTACCGTTCACTGACATCATTGACAAGGATCGCGGAGGTGTGTGTGACATGGAGCGGAATTAAGTCGCAATGCCAAAGCACAATATTGTGTCGTTGTTGACCACACAGCATATATATACACGAGATATGTACTATGAATCGATGGAGAACCATGACATGCAAAGAGACGACCAGAAGCGGCGCTGACAGACACAACGTAATAGATGACGCACACCGGTACATTAAAATGCATATTGCATACGTGAATACAATATGTCACGTGCGCACTGAGTGTAACACGCTTGATTTTACCCTCTAAACAATGTAATCACGATGTGCAACATAAATAAAATCACACTGATAACACATGTAGATGATATCCGCGGCGACTGGGTGACAACAAATATCAAAATTATACCAAATATATTTTAATACATGTATGTGGAATATAAATGCAAGCCGAACTATACATATAAATCGGTAATATCGGGAGTTAGCGACGTCGATTGTGATGCGGCACACCATATGCGGGCAGACAGACAGACCGTAAAAGTACTCTCGGAGTTGCGCCATCTGATACCAATAACAAATAACGGAGTGTGTATCGGTCGGTGTAAGTTTGAGGTGCGTGATCGCAATTTAGAGTGGTGTGCGAACGGCATAGAACAACATCAGTGCGCCGCATTAATATCAAAACTATCGATGTTTTGGCCATGTATCTTGAATGTGTTCATACATAATGAACCTAAGGAACTCAAGGATTGAATAACTTGAATATAACTCTATAAAAACGAAGAGGAGGTCCAGGCTGGCTCCTCTGGGAGCTGGCGCGGCGTACGAACGACGGTGTATCGCAGGAATACAATCACCCGAGATAGGAATTCAGTATGGTTGGCTGCAGATCGAGCTGTCTAGTGCCGCTTTCCCAGCTAGTTGGGTCACAGATTGGTACAAACCTTCAGGCATTCGATGGAATAAACAGTGGCCATTCTTGTGAGGTTGTTATTAGCTACAGGGTTGAAAGATCATATCTTACGAACCAGAGTGACGATGAAATGTCGTCTTCACCATCTCAACATGGAGACTCGTTCCAAAATACAGACAGCCCAGTATACCAATGCGATGTAGACAGGACTATTACGCACACACCTACGGGGTCTGCCTATGATGCAGAACAAAATGCTGATATTGAGGAAATTCACACACCACAAAAACGAGAATTGGCCATATGGAGAAACGTTGAAGAACAAGGAGGAATCATTCCTGTACACCAACAGGAAGACACCGCACCATTAGTACCGAACGGAGAAAGCGAAATTCGGCGCATAGCCATCGATGATGTGTCATCGAATGGCACCGTCAACGTCGATTATTCGACGATACATGAGCGAATAATATCAAAGATATTAAGGGATGCAGAGGAACGACAAATTGTGGTTACCTTCGTTAATGATGTCGACGATGATGAACGCTTTATTGATGGTGAAGTCGAACACACGGATGCTGACGACACGCAAAATATACATAAGGATGGGCCCATAGCTTACGCATTGGATGATGCTATCGTAGATCCTCAATGCAAAAAGGAAAAACCACAGGAAGAGACTCAACTTCTTACCAGCGATATCGAGTGGTTCAACAGTGCTATTAGGTTCCTAAAGATGAAGGAATTCAAAGGATATTGCCATCCATTCGCTGAAAGTGAAAAGGAGTCACACAGTCTCGACAGTTGTCTAGACAAGGCATCGCAAGACGATTCCACGTTGTTCAAGAGTGCAGATAGGAGATCCGTTGATGAAAAACAGCACACAAATGAACACATCTCGAAATTAGCAACAGCTGTTGAAAACCTTGGTGGTTTGAAGCTGGATACAGATCTAGATTTTAGTTTCATACGCAAACGGAAGCGCAGTGGTACGGCTACAGACGCTACTCAGAAATCGGATAAAATGAAACTAAGAAAGTCACCATCTTCGGAAAGCACTATGTCGACGAATTCACAGGTTCGACCGGGTAACTATGATCAGATGCAAACCAGCAACAAGGAACGTGAAAAGATAGGGGACCACCAAAGACCGAGGGATCGTAGGCGTAGCATCACCGAATTGTTTAGAAATTATCACTCAGATGATAATATCGATGCAACGGATTGTAAGTCGTTCAAGGAATTGCGTATAGATGCTAACAATACGTCCCTGGAACGATCACTATCGCATTCACGTCCAGATGGTTCGGGACACCGTGAATCGTCGTCTAATAAGGACGCGGTCTCTAAACGTGGTAAACTCGCTGATGCCTGCAACTCGTCAGGATCAACGTCTGGTATCAAACCAGCACGACCAAAACATATATCGGGTCGTATATTTGAGGCTGCGATGCAACAAAACAGTGATTGGTCTTCCGAGATGTGGGGATCGTTTATTAATGTTATACACAGTCGGAAGAGGACTTTGGGTCATGGATCGTTCTCTACTGTCTCGTTCGCTTTTCTCCGATTGACCCCGTCGCTTAAGCTCGCCGCTGCAAGGTCCAACGTTCATGCCAATCTGAGCATCGCGGGGGCCGTCAGAGATGGCGGTATTATGGTATCTAAAACTAACACAACGTGCTACAAGGTGATCTCGTCCCAAGGTAGCAATTCTAATGATGATGACAATGGTAACTCTTTTCCCTCAGGTTCATCGGGGGAAGTTGGGGAATCTGGTAACAATGTATCGGTAGAAAATGCAAATGCAGCTGTAAACAATGGCAATGAGAATGAGGGAGATCTGGTCGATCAGATGTGCGACGTCATAGACGGGCATTGTGAAAAATGCACCAACGTACGTACGCTGGATTGCGCCGTCAAGACTATCAATGACGTATTCCTACAAGCAAGGTTCCAATATATCCGTGAAAAGGAAATGATGCTACATTTCAATGCCAACGTGCTGAAACCGCTGGCATGCAGGTTCCACAATCCAGAAGGAACCAGAGTATACCAACTACTCATGCCAAAAGCACAGGGCGATTTGCTTGAAATGTTGAAGGGAATTATTAAACACCGAACTGTAAACAACGTGAGCCCTATATACATCGCCAACCAGTCGACAGGCAAGCAGGAGAGAAAGATCATAGGACTATCAGAGACAGAGGTAAAATTCCTCTTCTTTCAAGTTCTATCAGGTCTAGCATTCATACAAATGTGCTTCCAAGGAAATATATATCGTCACTCCGACATCAAGTTGCAAAATATTCTAGTGTTTTGCAGCGATGACAACAAGTTCAATCCCATGCGGTGGCGTTTGTGCCTCGCAGATTTTGGGTGTTCAATTATGTTGCACCCAACACAACACCTGGAAGGAGCTGGATTGTTTAAGAACTTGCAAGAAAGTATATCGAAAGAATGGCGGTCACATCTGTGCAACCAATTGACATCGTTTGTAAGAGGCACTGTACGCTGTAACGCCCCGGAAACGCTCTCGTACGACCGTCATGGAAACCCACGCAGCAATCGCAACAGCAACCTGTTATCGTCATACAGGCGTGATTTGCTGAATGTAACACGTCAAAAGGACGATGGACCCCAGTTTCCAGCCGTATGGTCGCAAAACAATATTAGCGAAAATATGGCCCCTGGGGTCCAACGTAAATCCGAGAGAGTGGTGGGTACTGCTGACGGTGACGTTGCGGAGTATTTCACCGTAAACATGACCGCAGATATGTGGTCCGCAGGTATAGTGTTGGCGGAGTTGGCAAAGTTCGGAGGATACGTCCCGCCAAATGACACCCCTATTGACGAGAAAGACGTGCAAAGGTCGAAATCCGACGCGCTTTCTTTGGAGTACGTTACCCAGCGTCTCAATGGCACGCTTGGACGTGGGATGTTCTGCAGGAACAATGCTGTTGTGAGACTTAAGATGCAACTTGAATCAGCACGAGACAAGACAGCGCCCAAGGCACGACTCAAACCCTTGAATGGTGACAAAGCGCATCAGAATAATCAGGGGCCACTGACGGACGAGAACCTTAACATGGCACTAGCGTCTGATATCGCATCTAAGTGTGATATCGAGTTCCTAATGCGAGTGCGCAAACTTAAGCGAGAATACTGCTGGTGGGAGTACCCGAAGTTCTCTAATGGGTTCTGGAGCCTTCTAGGTAACCTTCTATCTTATAAGCCACATGAACGTTACCTGGCGTTTGAGGCGTTAGGCCACTCGTGGTTCGACTCATCGGACAACAACTCGAGAGCCATATTCAACGATATCGACGCACTCATGGCAGAGCCACAGAGACACTTGCCAATGGAGCACTTCTACTACGTAGGGTTATCGTTATCGATTCACAATGGAGCTAAGAAGGCACAAAATATATCGGACACTGCACCATTAACCGTAAAACGTGAAGCTCTGATGGACCTTGACAACAGCGATCTTGTTCTAAGGAGCTTAGGAGATTACGGTAAGGCTGGGAGAACGACCCACGCATGGTTTGCTGGTCCACTGCACTTCAGGCTACATGAGTTACAGGAACTTGGTCTTGCCATCCCTGACTATGTAGCGCAAATTTGCCGCAGGGAAACGGTAGTTCTGGAATCACGGGAGAAGCAGCTATTTGGCGTGCAAGGATACGTGCTATCACAGTTACTTTCAGTGAAGCGACGCCACATGCTTTCGTGGTCAGAACTTATGTCAGCACGTGGTGTCCACCTTTTGGGCAAGAATCTTATTCAGAGTGAAAATCCACTAGCTTAGAACAAACAATATTCTGAATGTGATACGTGGTAGATTCATATGATGTTGTGTCATGGCGCCGCTGCCATAGTGTCCTGCAATAATTGCTTAGCGCGAATGTGGTTTGTGGAACCTATATCTGTTGAATATAGGCGGGATACGCCGCATATGACTATCTAGTCATGTAAATCTATTGTTTTGCCACTTTAAAATATTAATCGTGTGGTTATACAATGGGTTCAGTAGCGCCCGTCGGCGTCGGTTCTGCAGCGCAGACCCCTTCGCCGGTTACAACTACTGTGTACTTTGCTGCGAGGCCTATGCACGATACCTTCTCGTGCAGTAGAGAATAGATCAGTTGTGGATGGCTACAGCAGTTCTTTAGTCCTGATGTTAGCGACACTCCCGGCTGCCGCTGCTGCTGCACCAGCATATCCACCGCAGTGGTAAATATAAGTTTGTGTCCGGAAGAGTGACCCCAAGTAAATAGTTGGTTCCCAGCGTTGACAGAGGCCGAATGCCTTGGACCACATTTGATAATTTCCGTCGGGAATGATGATTCAGGTAACTCTAGTTGGCAGGGTCCGCAGTGATGCTCCGGTGGTACACCGCATTGGCCATACATATTCTCTCCCATCGACCATATGCGTCCAGTGTCGTCCAGCATAAGTACATGGCGTTCTCCCACGGCAATTTTTGCGATAATCGGTAGGTTAGGATGGCGAATGCGTCGTGGCAGCATATAGTATGATGTCTCTATAGGGCTGCTTGATCTCATAATCTCCCCGTATGTGCGGTCACCCCAACCGTATATAAGACCAGACTCTGTTAGTGCCAGTCCGAAACTCTGCCCAAGTTCCACTTGCTTTATGTGTTCGAGATCGAAGGTGTAGAACAGTTGTGGGTGTAGAACCTTATCGCCGTTAAAAGTGGTTCCCCATTGATATAGAGATTGGCCTGAGTCTATAACACAAACCGTCAACATATCGTTAACAGTGACGCTCCTACAACGTGATTTGCCGCCATTGAGTGTGACCTCGGCAGGTGTACACGTTGCTAACCCAATCGTGTGCCCTGCCAGATCACTACGCCCCCAAGTGAACAGCCGTCCTGAAGGGTCAATGGCTGCGGAGTGAAATGCTGCACAGACAACTGTTGAAGCTTGTGATGGAACTGGTAGTAGTGTAGGTTCACGTACGTAGCGTATTGACGTCCCAAGTCCAAGTTGGCCATAGTCTCCACGTCCCAGAGCGTATAGTCGTCGGCAAGTGGACAAGAGCATCAAATATGAGCGTGAACAAGATACGCTCGCGATGCGTACGTCCGACAGTTGCCTGTAAATGGTAGGCGTCCACTCCTCTTTAAAAGCAGGAGCCGCTCCATCTGCTCCGTGTTCTGCTGGGTTGTCTGCAGTTAATAAGCTTTCGTAGCAACATCAGATAACCAACCTCCCCAAACGTATATCACTGTACGTAGATCTTTGTATTTGGCGATTCGGTGGACTGTACAGAGTCAAATTCTTTATTGTGTGACTTACTGTTGGCGGTTGTTATCACCGATTGTGCCTCGACAGTGACCTGCGGTGTGATAGTGTATTCTAGTGTTAGCACACCTGGCTCTGTTGGTTATGCCCAGCGGCATGATTCCACATTTGTGATAAATTCCTCGCTGATAAAACCATTGTGCCGTTCTCTTCCTACGCTAGACAGCTGTTGTGAAACGGCAAGTAATTCGCCATAGTGACACTGTTGTCAATTTGACAAAACATTAACTATTCTTTATTTAACGATTTAAATCTGTAAATACACATAGGATCACACCTGATGAACCTACACGCGTGCACATCTCAGAGCCCTCGACCCCCTTTGAATTCAGTAGGACGCGAGAGAAATGATATAAAACCGATGGCTGATATAGAAATCAAATAATACCATACCGCTGATGCGTTCAGCGGTGGCGCTGACCTTCTAATCAGACTCATCGGAGGCGACAGTAGGACTCTCTGGTCTAATGTTATAATTTCCCTGTTTTGAAACCTCCACAGCATACTCTGGCAGCTCCAAGACCCAAAATGTGCAACATGTCGAGGATATAAATCATATCATAGGCTCTATGAAGAACTACTACGCAATACTAGGTAGGCGGCTGAAGCTTAGCGCAAATAGGAGCAGACGTCGCAAGGAACGCAACGCGAAAGGAAATCAGGACTGCGTATATCAAGAAGGCTAAGATGTATCATCCAGACTTGAATCCAAGCCCTAACGCAGCTGCAAGGTTCAAGGAGGTACAGGAGGCCTACAACACGTTATATGATCGAGACAAACGTCACGCATATGATACCTCGCATGGTATGCTTCGTCTGTCTATTACATATACTTTACAGCGTTCGGAAGGTCGCCATCTGGGACTAACAGGCGCAGTGCGCCTAACAACGGAACGACTACCCGTGGTTCGGGCCACTACAGCTACCACGATACTGCTCAAAGCTTCGAAGAACAATTCCGAGCTGAAGCTGAGCAGCTGCGAAGACAATGGCAGGAGATGGAAACCGATAAGTTACGGGTTAGTGTCTTTAAGTTCAATGTCATTTGGCATAGCGTGGAGAAGAGAAATTCAAAGCAACCTTCACTGACGCCGGATTTCCAGGCGGGGTTCGTTTCGTGCATTTTTTCACGTTCGTACCACCGTATAACCTGCGATACCTAGTATATTTCTTGCGCAAAATTGCGCCTCTCATCATCTTACCGTTATCATTTATGTTATTTTTTGCAAGCGAAGTCATGTAAGTTGGAAACGATTTAAAATGACGCTTTTTAGGGGTAGTATGGCGCGCAAGAGCGCTAAAATGCACATAGTTTACGATTCTTACGGTATGTTCCGTGTTAAAGTGAGACGTTTTAGTCCTCTAAAACAGTCCTAAGTGGCTATCTTAAAAATACATTTGGACATATCCTTGCAGGCCGAGCATATACCTACGACACTTATGGGCGGCGTTGCAGGTACTGCACATCAGTCTATATATTCTAAGACATTACAGGTTGCCAGAGTTCGACAGAAGGCAATGACACCGCCGCTGGTCACACACCCGACGGTATCAGGGCACTATAAGCGAAAACCGCTATGTAATAAATTGTATGGTCGTAATATTTGTGTTTAGTCCACTTTTTTAAACTTATGGCGCCGCCGGAAGGCGCGCAATCTTTGTTACAACAGGTTCTTAAGCGGTCACAATCCACTCCTCGGATTCTTTGGTGGCAAGCTAAAGAGATACTTTACAAATTGCAACGTCGCCAACGTAATGATACCAAGCAACATCCATGTGTAGCTACCTGGTATGTTTAGCTGGATATGTTTCAACCAACACCGCTCGTTCAGGCACAAGCTAGTACGCTGTATGCGACGTTTCCCTCATAATCCTACAACCAAGTGTGCTGGAGAGGCGTCTAGGCACTATCAATGCACCCTGAAACATGATGTCGGTCACACTTTTCACCAAATGAAACTATGCAGGATTGGACAGCCGAGGGCGGAGTGAACTACACTAGAATCCTTGAAGCGTAAGTGGTTCAACCACGAATACATAACTAACACAGTTTTGACATATTCGACACTCGTAAACCTGTAGTGTTTACGGCAGACGAGATGCAACGCAGTGGAATAGGTTAGTGCCGGAGCAAGCAACTTAGAAACATTAACAGTGACCACGAATAAATTCATACCGGATAAGCGGTTCAAGTAAAGCCTTATAATCAGGCTTTCTACGCAATCAACGGATGAAAAGGTATAACTGAGTGCCCTATGGCCAATAATATCGTACATCATAACACGGTAACGTCACATCTGCACGCCGCGATTCTCGGCGATGTCGCTGAAGTACTCGTGGCAAAGCGCTTCTCTAGCAGATATGCGCTGGAAAGGGTCCAGTTGCAGCATTTTTGATATTAGATCTACACCCGAGCCGCTAAGTTTGGGAACCTGTGACATGTCATAACACCATGTGTAGTACCTACTATAGCGCTCCAAGGCTGTCGTTCGAACACCCCTAAGTCGGGATTATATGCCGGTAGATCCACTACTTGCGGCCACTCATTCACGTTAGGTGACCCAAGTAGTTTGAAAATCCTCTTCAGCTGGTCTTGTTCCGACACTCCTGGGAACAGCGGGACTCCATTTATCATCTCTGCAATGAATGACATATGCTGCACTTGTCACCCACCTGCAAATATACAGCCTACACTCCATATGTCCACCTCTGTGGAGTATTTCTTCGAACCCATCAATACGTCAGGGGCTCGATACCACAGGGTCACCACCTCGTGGGTGTAGCTACGCACGGGGATAGCAAACGCTCTGCGGCAACGTTACATCTATAATATGTGAATCATACCTCGCAAGGCCGAAATCGGCCAGCTTGAGCGTTCCCTCCCGATTGATCAGTAAGTTTTGAGGTTTAAGATCACGGTGTAATATTCGATGATCGTGACAGTACGCAACTCCTTTCAGAAGCTGGTACAGGAACGATTTGGCGGTAGAGGACTCCAATCCACCTAATAAATGTGTTAAACTGGGTCGGTAATATTGTGAAGGGTTATAGAGGATACGCACATCAATGGGACTAGGTACAACAAGCGTAAATGCAATATATTCAACGACAGTTGGCGCATGATACGCCAATAGTCAGTGTAAGGTGGATTATACATGTAAACTGCAAATATATATTGCTTACCGTCACAAACATCTAGTAACTTCTTCAAGTCTTGGTCTAGATATTCGAAGACAAGGGTGAGGCACTTGTCACTATGTATCACATCGCGGAGCCATACTATATTTGGGTGATGTAGTTCCTTCAAAAGGCTGATCTCACGGATAGCTGAACGTTATAATCTATTAGGCAGGTGGAACTCACCGGTACTAGGTATACCTTCATCTTCCTCTTCCACGCGGATTTTCTTCAGCGCAAAAATCTCTCCGTGACTATTTTGAGCTTTATACACCACGCCGTAAGTGCCCTCTCCAATTTTCTCCAGTTTATGGTAGCGCTTCATCCTGTCTACCGACGGCGCCCGGCGTGGCGGTCCGTCAAAAAACGAAACGACTGCGCACGGCAGTCAGCCGCACTTAACAAGCGGCAGCACACAACGGTTGCAAACCGCAATGAACAATGAGTTGTCGACGAGGAAGGTCGACCCTATACAATCGATGGACTCGCATAGAGCTGCCAGAAAGCCTCGGGGGCAGTGAATGTGCTATTTTTAGACCACAATGTTCACTGGTAAATATATATACTATAGCTGTATGCATTGCGGCGCAGTACGTGTCTCCAGAAACGACGCGGACCTGCGACAACCACCTATCGCGACGAATACGCATTTGGGGACCGTAACCACATATTTGCGTGTCGACACACTACATGACACATAACTAGGAATTCTTCCCATCAAATAGGCAGATCCGTGTCTTACCATGTCTTGATAATGATGGATTACACCTTTAATGGTACGTGTTGTAGCTAGCTCGCGCGGGGATCCGTGCGCCTTGACACACCGGTTACTATCGATATGGCAACTGCAAAAGATCACGACTCTCCATGTACTGAGCTTGTGTCCTGATCTCTAGGATCAGTAAAAAATAGGCGCCTAGATATTGGGTCGCTAGACAGGTCCAGGTCACTCAATTTCAAAATACGATCACGTAGCGTAACAAAACCGTCTAATGACTGTATCTCCGCCATTCGCCACAAATCAGCCTAATCACATATCATGAGACGAGACTAGACCTACCATGGCGTTAAGTGGTGGACCCCGTGTAACACCTGTCAAAGCGTAGCGGACGACAGACAGGTGCGCTCGGCCGTCTATTGCAGTAAACTCCTCACTTTTGATCATCTCTTTGAAAAGTGAATGGATGGACCCACCGACATCGCTGACGAAAATGAAGGGATAGAGACACAAAATTCACCTTGCTTCAACAATCTGCTGTGACCACTCTATGAATGTTTCCAAAAACCGTTGTGATTCGTGGTTTAGAAAAATACCGCCGAAACTGCAGGAGTCCGCTCCAACGAAACGTGGCGGCGTATATAGCAATGCTGACTCTATTAGGGACACATATTCACGCATAGTGTCGACTCCATTCTTGAGTGATATTGGAGCATTCTCTAACACACGCAGCAATGCGTCCATTGGAAATGTTAACTCCGCAGCAGTCTCAGATAGATACTCCCGCAACTGTTCCATAAATTGCTTGTAAGATAGATCGACAATATATCGTCTATTAAGCCACTTAAGCTTGCATAAGTCGAAGGCAATCGGTGCCAGGTTCAACAAGTCTAAATCAAACATATCAGCTAAGGCGTCAAAATCGCGGCAAACGGGGTCATCAGCATACTTGGTACCTAGCAAAGCCAAGTAGTTCACAATCGGTAACTTGCAAAAGCCCATTTCACTAAAAAATGTTACCCGTTATGGATTTACACTAACCGCAAATCAGATATCTTTATAGAGTCGTCAAGGCGTTTGGCCAATTTGCTCAAGTCCTTGTTACGCATAAGAGAACAGTGCACATATTTGGGCAAAGCTGTTCCCACAGCATCCAGAACACGTATTTGCCGATAGGTATTGTCCATATGGTCAAGTCCGCGAATCACGTGCGTTATATTATGACTATGGTCATCCACAGCACACGCAAAGTTGTATGTCGCCATGCCATTCGAACGCAACAATATGAAATCCTCTTCGTTATCGACATTACTGTCAAAATATGATTCCATAAAACAGCAAATAGCGCATTACCTTAGTCTTACAGTGTATTCTGTGCCTTCTCGAAGATGCTTTTTCACAGCCGTGCTGCGGAGACGACGGCACTTCTTATCGTACGTGAGGTCGCTATTTTTTTCCGTCTGACGACAATATACGGGTTAACATAGAGTCATCAACTAACAGCATCCCTACGACTTTGGACATCTTCTTTGCGACAGAAGCAGCGGTACGCTTTCCCCGTTTGTAGTAGGAGGTCAGCCACTTCCCTAGCAGAGTATTAATTCAAGCCAATCGTTCACCCTTACTTATATGCATCTTGACGCTTAGATTGATAATATTCGTCTACTTTACCTGGGCTTCCTGGACCTTCAGACCACGAAAAACCCAACCACCTAAGGTAATAAGAAGATATTATGTGGAACCTACTTCAAATCGTGAATTATAGTATCAAGAGAGCCTGTTACTTCCCTACTCTCATCGGTATCATCTACTCTCAAGATGAGAGTTCCTCCATGCTTTCGTGCAAACAGAAAATTGTATATAAAAGTGCGTAAGTTGCCAACGTGGAGCTCTCCCGTTGGAGATGGCGCGAAACGGACTCTCACATTAACCGACTCCTTATCTTTATTTTCATTCGATTCAGCAGTAAAGGCGGTCGCAAATAGCGGTAATATGTCATGTTTTGTTACAGAATCCGACACAGAATAAGTAGGAAGATTAGGCACTCTAAACAAAAAGGATAAATTTCTAAGTCCTACAATAGGCACGATAGGCCCTTTTTCCTTCGATATATGACGTACGCACGTTGAAACAGATAACACACAGTATAATATGTGCCGAAGAATCGCGACTCGAGGGCGCAAACTCATGGTCACGCGGCTGAAATCGCCGCCTAATCGCGTATAGTGCACGTAATTTATATTTGTTTAGTGTCTATTGTCAGATGTCGGTGCATCGGCGGCCAGTGGGCGGCGTATTGCTAGACCTGACAAACTACATTTATACGAGTCACGAACATGTAATGGCACTAGAAAGAACCCATTAGATGGCAATAGCAACGTAGTTATGATGCTCAGAGATCATATGTGTTCACTTCTTGGCGGCCTTCTGGGCAGACTTGGTGACTTTAGCGGATGAACCGGGCTCCTTCTTCTCAACACTCTTGATGACACCGACAGCAACAGTCTGTTTCATGTCACGGACGGCAAAACGTCCAAGAGGTGCGTATTCAGTGAAGGACTCGACCACCATAGGCTTGCAGGGCTTGAGGGTGACCATGGCAGCATCACCGTTCTTGATGGTCTTGGGGTTCTCTTCCAAAGCCTTACCAGTACGCTTGTCCATACGGCTAGTGAGTTCGTCGAACTTGCATGACACGTGAGCGGTGTGACAGTCAACCACGGGGCAGTAACCAGCCTTGATGGTACCAGGGTGGTTAAGAACAATGACCTGGGCGCTGAAGGATACAGCGGCCTTGGCGGGGTCGTTCTTGGAGTCAGAGGCGACGTGACCACTACGGATGTCAGAGGTGGATACGTTCTTTACGTTGAAACCGACGTTGTCACCAGGGCTGGCAACTTCTACGACTTCGTGGTGCATTTCGACAGACTTGCATTCAGTGGTGATTGGGTTGGGGGCGAAGGTAAGAACCATACCAGCCTTAAGCTGACCAGTCTCAACACGGCCCACGGGGACGGTACCGATACCACCGATCTTGTATACACCCTGGAGTGGCAGACGGAGGGGCTTGTCAATGGGCCTCTTTGGTGGCTCCATCATGTCGAGGGCCTCGACCAAGGTCTTGCCCTTGTACCACGGCATGTTGGTAGAGCGCTCAACCATGTTGTCACCCATGAAACCAGAGATGGCCACGAATGGGACCTTCTCGATGTTGTATCCGACCTTCTTCAAGTAACCCTGTACTTCCTTCTGGATTTCACTGTAACGGTCTTCCTTGTAGTCGCACTTGTCCATCTTGTTGATGGCGCAAATGATTTGTTTGACACCAAGGGTGAAGGCGAGAAGAGCGTGCTCACGGGTCTGACCTTCCTTGGAGAAGGCAGCTTCGAAACCACCAGCCTCAGCCGGTACCACAAGCATAGCCACATCAGCCTGGGAGGTACCCGTAATCATGTTTTTGATGAAGTCACGGTGACCGGGGGCGTCAATGACGGTGTAGTAGTACTTCGCGGTCTCGAATTTCCACAAGGTGATATCGATGGTGATACCACGTTCACGTTCGCTCTTCAGTTTGTCCAAGACCCAGGCGTACTTGAATGAACCCTTACCCATATCGGTGGATTCCTTCTCGAACTTCTCGATGGTACGCTTGTCAATACCACCAAGCTTGTAGATAAGGTGTCCAGTGGTGGTGGACTTACCACTGTCGACGTGGCCGATAACGACCAAGTTAATGTGGGTCTTCTCCTTCGGCATTTTCGTGGAGTTTTAACTAGAGTCTAACTGCAAAGGTGTTATTCGGGCCGACACTCTATACACGTAGCTACACTAGGACTACACAAGAATGAATACTCAAAATCTACAATTCACAATATATTCGCCACAAAACACAGTTTACGCAGGACCTGTACACACAGAAGCGTCACTCAGCTCGCAGTCGCCTACACCCATCACCAACAAACTAATCGATACACTCAAGGGACACAAAACTTACATTCTAGAATTGCAACAATTAGGGCTGTTATATCCTTGTTGGACTTAAAGTGCAGTGTGAATACAGCTAGTGATCAGCTTCCAGCGTTTGTCTGTAGTGACCCTTGTGGTGCTGTTTTTCGTACACCCCGCCTGATATTCTGGACGGTAGGTACCACCGACCATGGCTCATCTTTTTCAATGATACGTCACGGGGCTCAATACACGCACATGGTTCATATCCAAGTGGTTGATGAAGTCGGGGACGCCGAGATTGCAAGTGTGTTCACTCCAATAACTACACCAACGTTGTCCTGTTTTTCATGTGTATCGTCATCATTCGATAATACTAGGGTTATTGTTTTAGAATGTTATTGACCTTTTAGTTTGGTGGTGTACGCATCACGTGTGTAATGAGATATACGGAACACCGTGACTTCCAACTAAGCCTGAAAATCATGTCTTCTGCTAAGTGGGAACGTATCGGTCTCACGTCATAGCTAAATATCTGTCAGATAACGTGGCATTGCAATTATAAAACAGCTGTATTTGGCACCTCTCATTACAGGGCGATATGTGTAACGCCTTCGTTCAGCCAGGGACCAAACTTTAAATTAGAACACGAAGACGCCTGGTAGTTATCCAGAGTGCAAGTGTGTAGAAAATACAAAACACGATATTGTTGTATATTGCGGAATTTGCATCAAATGTCGCAATACATTATGTAATACCAAAAGACAACGAATTCCGGAAGCGCCACCTTTAGCGCCGTTACCTTTCCTTTCGATACCACAAATGCTAAGTATCACTGATGACTGTAGTTTCCCGAGGTGTTGAGCAATCATTCCCACCGATGTTTCAGGCGACACAAAAGTACCCCACCCCGCGTAGGGTACGAACTTGAAAGCTGCAAAAGTACTATCCGATATTCGTTACAACTATAGGCCACTTGCCTTTTCGCTACCCAGTTAATAATTCGACGCTCTTGCAATTCTAGAATGTAAGTTTTGTGTCCCTTGAGTGTATCGATTAGTTTGTTGGTGATGGGTGTAGGCGACTGCGAGCTGAGTGACGCTTCTGTGTGTACAGGTCCTGCGTAAACTGTGTTTTGTGGCGAATATATTGTGAATTGTAGATTTTGAGTATTCATTCTTGTGTAGTCCTAGTGTAGCTACGTGTATAGAGTGTCGGCCCGAATAACACCTTTGCAGTTAGACTCCAGTTAAAACTCCACGAAAATGCCGAAGGAGAAGACCCACATTAACTTGGTCGTTATCGGCCACGTCGACAGTGGTAAGTCCACCACCACTGGACACCTTATCTACAAGCTTGGTGGTATTGACAAGCGTACCATCGAGAAGTTCGAGAAGGAATCCACCGATATGGGTAAGGGTTCATTCAAGTACGCCTGGGTCTTGGACAAACTGAAGAGCGAACGTGAACGTGGTATCACCATCGATATCACCTTGTGGAAATTCGAGACCGCGAAGTACTACTACACCGTCATTGACGCCCCCGGTCACCGTGACTTCATCAAAAACATGATTACGGGTACCTCCCAGGCTGATGTGGCTATGCTTGTGGTACCGGCTGAGGCTGGTGGTTTCGAAGCTGCCTTCTCCAAGGAAGGTCAGACCCGTGAGCACGCTCTTCTCGCCTTCACCCTTGGTGTCAAACAAATCATTTGCGCCATCAACAAGATGGACAAGTGCGACTACAAGGAAGACCGTTACAGTGAAATCCAGAAGGAAGTACAGGGTTACTTGAAGAAGGTCGGATACAACATCGAGAAGGTCCCATTCGTGGCCATCTCTGGTTTCATGGGTGACAACATGGTTGAGCGCTCTACCAACATGCCGTGGTACAAGGGCAAGACCTTGGTCGAGGCCCTCGACATGATGGAGCCACCAAAGAGGCCCATTGACAAGCCCCTCCGTCTGCCACTCCAGGGTGTATACAAGATCGGTGGTATCGGTACCGTCCCCGTGGGCCGTGTTGAGACTGGTCAGCTTAAGGCTGGTATGGTTCTTACCTTCGCCCCCAACCCAATCACCACTGAATGCAAGTCTGTCGAAATGCACCACGAAGTCGTAGAAGTTGCCAGCCCTGGTGACAACGTCGGTTTCAACGTAAAGAACGTATCCACCTCTGACATCCGTAGTGGTCACGTCGCCTCTGACTCCAAGAACGACCCCGCCAAGGCCGCTGTATCCTTCAGCGCCCAGGTCATTGTTCTTAACCACCCTGGTACCATCAAGGCTGGTTACTGCCCCGTGGTTGACTGTCACACCGCTCACGTGTCATGCAAGTTCGACGAACTCACTAGCCGTATGGACAAGCGTACTGGTAAGGCTTTGGAAGAGAACCCCAAGACCATCAAGAACGGTGATGCTGCCATGGTCACCCTCAAGCCCTGCAAGCCTATGGTGGTCGAGTCCTTCACTGAATACGCACCTCTTGGACGTTTTGCCGTCCGTGACATGAAACAGACTGTTGCTGTCGGTGTCATCAAGAGTGTTGAGAAGAAGGAGCCCGGTTCATCCGCTAAAGTCACCAAGTCTGCCCAGAAGGCCGCCAAGAAGTGAACACATATGATCTCTGAGCATCATAACTACGTTGCTATTGCCATCTAATGGGTTCTTTCTAGTGCCATTACATGTTCGTGACTCGTATAAATGTAGTTTGTCAGGTCTAGCAATACGCCGCCCACTGGCCGCCGATGCACCGACATCTGACAATAGACACTAAACAAATATAAATTACGTGCACTATACGCGATTAGGCGGTAAAGGTGTTCGAAATCGTTTGACTCGGCTGTTAATATGTCTAAAAGAGTTATTTACACAGCACGCTAACACACTGCTAGCCACGTGCTACGGTAGACATTTCGGCAATAGTTCTGCCCATCTCTAAAAGTATGCTAGATTTGAATATGATATATTTTAACTGTAACATACACAATATTGCGATGCCCACAAAATAATCTGCCAACTGCTCGTAGCACCACCTCAGCGTAACCTGATTTAATGATCCAGGACAGACCACTTTTTACGCATTATCCTTTCCACACACCTGGACAAAATAACACCAGAAACGTATGACTGGTGGTTTGAAATCAAATAACACGAGCAAAATGGCGGAAGGAATGACGGCCGTTGAAATTACCAGGCGAATGAAGGAGCTTGAATCTACCGAATTTGTACTTGTAGAGGACCAAAGTAGAACTGTGAGTTGCATTGAGCACGATTTTTCAATGCCACGCAAATAATGGCTAATTATTTTACAGGGACTTTATCCGATCAAGTACCCTGACTTCTGGGAGTGGTACAAGAAAGCACAGGCGTCATTTTGGACTGCTGAAGAATTGGACTTATCAGCAGACTTAAAGGATTGGGAAAAACTCACTCCTGGCGAGACACATTTCATCAAAAATGTCTTGGCCTTTTTTGCAGCCAGGTGCGGTGACACTGTTTATGGAAAATATAACGTTGTAGCGATGGAATCGTGCTGGAAAACTTAGCACTAAGATTTCTTAAGGATGTAAAAATACCCGAGGCTAAATTTTTCTACTGTTTTCAAATCACAGTCGAAAACATACACTCTGAAACTTACAGCCTGCTCATCGAACAGTACATTAGAAACGAGGTGGAGAAAGATAGGCTATTTAGAGCTATAGAAACTATTGATGCTGTGAAAGCAAAGGCTGAATGGGCTGCTAAGTGGATGACAAATGAAAAATCATTTGCCGAACGCATTGTAAGTTACATAGCATAGGCATTAGCTATTCCTTAACACTATTTTTGATTTGGAATAACAATAGTCATCAATATTCAGGTTGCCTATGCAGCTGTTGAGGGCATATTTTTTTCGGGAAGTTTCTGTGCTATTTTCTGGCTGAAGAAACGTGGTCTTATGCCAGGCCTTACCTTCAGCAACGAGCTGATTTCAAGAGATGAAGGACTTCATGCCGATTTTGGTTGCTTTATTTACAAGAACCTTAAAAACAAACTTCCCGATGAATGCGTACAGCAGATTATCACGGAAGCCGTTGCAGTAGAACGTGTTTTTGTCTGTGACTCTCTTCCGTGCGATCTTATCGGAATGAACTCAGGTATGTGTACTAAATGACAATTACATGTATATTGCAGTCCTGATGGCAGAGTACATCGAGTTCGTAGCAGATAGGTTGCTGCAGGCACTAGGTGTTCCTCCGGTGTACAAAACCAAGAATCCATTCGAATGGATGGAATTGATTTCGGTACAGGTAATGTGCCGCCGTTTAATGAAAACATGACTGCCGTAGGGTAAGACCAATTTCTTCGAAAAACGTGTCGGAGAGTACCAGAAGTCTGGAATCTTGGCGAACCAAGATGAACAGAAATTTGCCACCGATGCCGACTTCTAAGATTGGACCGTTTACTCAGCGACTCAAAGTTATACCAAACAGCGCTCATCTAATTATCTCAGGCGAGCAGACGTTTGTTGTATAGCGTTATCAACCCAACGTTGTGTAAAATAGACCCAAAGAATAAAAAAGCGCGTCGCTACACGAAGGAGTGTGTAGGCGGTGAAACGGTGTATAACAATAAACTGAGCATTGCACATACCAAATATGGATGATGTTATTGCTATAAAAACTATGATAACATTAATTAACCATGCATACTCTAAGGGTGATTAGTAGAATTGGCTCGAGGCCGATAGCATCTAAGGGTGGAAGGCGACTTCCGTTCGAATCTGCAAGATTCCGCTTTAGCGGCGTCGCTGCAGAGGATCCTCAAGTTCTAGAGTGTCGGCTGAAGAAGTTAAAGAATTTACAGGCAAAACTACTCGCGGCACGGATCGCCCAGAACAAACTGAACTTCAGACCCTCAAAACCAGATGCTATCGCTGAAGCTTTGTCCGGAGCTAAGGCAAGACATCCCAATGATGTTATTTTCATACATATGGGGAGTTGCTACGAAGTACATGGTACAGATGCTGTTCTATGTATAGAGCATTGTGACATAACACCTACAGGGGATGCATGCCATCTAGAGATACCAAAAGAACGGTTACAGGCAGTGGTGAATGCTCTCAAAAGTAACGATCTCGGTGTGGTTGTCTATGACTTCGTTACTGCACTGGAATCGACTTCCGAAGATGGTGCGCTGTTATTAAAGAAAACACTTTTATTCTCACACGATGCTTCACCAACTGATGGTCATATAACTGCAGATAGAACACCTGTTGGTACGCAAGCAGACTCCATAGCATTTTGTGTTACCCATAACAGGTCTGGATACAGCATTTCTACCATCGACCCCCTAAAGCGTAAGGTGGAGATAAGGGATCGACTTACTTTTGCCGGGGCTTTGTCGTTGCTGCAAACGGCTGGAGGAAGGGTGGTTATATTCCAAAATGGGAAACCGCAAGTCAAAAAACTTCTCATGCATGTACCAATCATGCTACACTACGAGCCATTGCAGGTAGGTTCTTCTTAACTGTCTACTTAAGCCATTGACCAGGGGCATAGCAGTGCTGAAGGGTTCCACGAAGCTGCCTGCCGTAACATAAAAATGCGACTTGGTATCACTAAAGGATTCCGAGTATCAAAAATAACAACATTAAGGGGTACACGTGAAGCTGTAGACCGAGAGACGGCAGCTACATTGGGACTTGATGACGAAAATTCCTCACTTTCGAGAGGGTTCAAAGGGCTAGATCGGCAGATGCTGCCAGAAAATTCACAACCATACATGAGACAGTACATGAGGTTCATGTTATCGCATACTATGCCACCGGATGTCTCAGAAAATGTGAGATATCTGGCGGGCAAACTTGCAACCAGCCCTGTGCCGCTCCTTGACACGAAACCTGTGTCACCAGCGAAAATACGAGCAGCGTTATCTCAGTACAAGGTCGATCCTTCATACTTGCGTGAGATCGATGACACACTCAAGGCATTCACATATTATACACGATCGCTTACGCCAAGTATTGCAAAACGAGTACACGCAGTTGCATTGGACGATCACAACATAAACATTACCCTAAAACGCTTACAGGCAGATGCCGAAAAATGCTCGCAAATCATCGGCACAGCGCTAGCAAGTGGAAATGTAGATGTGACGCCGCCATTGACTGGGATAAAAGCTATCGACGACATGTTCCAGAGGCTGGAAACACCCCTAAAGGCGGTACATCGGCCGCTATTCATGCGGGAACTTCATCAAGTTGATCATGCAGCTTACATGCTCCTGGACAGTATAACCAAGGAATATATGACGATGACTTGTTCCGGCAACGATAGAAATGATATATCATCGAGATTGCGCTTATTCTTGGAAAGCGTGCCCAAAAATGCACCGGAACTAATCGTTAATCGTCACTTCGTCCTGCTAAAAAATATTAGAGATGTTCCGGATCATACCAAACTACACTCTACCGATGTAAGTCAAATCCATACAATATTAACACTTATCTAGACTATCCATGGAAGCACTCAAGTGAGGGGATATGTCAGCCGTGCTGTAACTGATGCCCTGCGCAATTATCGCAACTGTTGCGCCCTAGCGGATGCCAAAGCTAACCAAGTGCTCAGCCAAATAGCGAAGACAATATCTCCATATGCGCAAAGTATGGTGTTATGTGCGCACTTTATTGTTGTACTCCACACTCTGGCATCACACGTAGGAATGGCTGTACCTAGGGGGTGGACCCTTCCGACGATGTCTAATGGGAAAGAGCTTGTCTTCAAGAATTTAGTGCCACAGTTTGACGATCAAGATGATACAGTACCTATATCCATTAATGTTGAGGGCATACATGTTTTGCAAGGTTCGAACAACACGGGAAGGAGCACTTTGCTCACGACAGTCCTTGGAGCATGTGTAGCAGCACGAGCCGGTGGGTGCTTCGAAACACAAATATTCATGTATATCTACAGGTCTATATGTTCCGTGTTCGAACGGTTCAAGATTGCCCAAGTATACGGGAATCATATATCATTCGCCCTCAAAACAGCCTGAAGCTAATGGCATGTCATCATTTAAGTACAACATAAAGACCGCTGAAGATATCATCAACAACGCGGATAGTAGCACCTTGGTTGTTATGGACGATCTGGGTTCAAATCTCGATGTGGCTCATGGAACAGGTAAGGAATCAAAACGGCTGTCTTATAGTATGCAGCGTTTGTATCTGCGGTGATCCAGAAGCTGGCCCTCAAGGGATGCAATGCGCTTATAGCAACTAATGTTGGAACTCTGGAGATGAATGATGCGGAAGGTGTCTACTTTAATACCTTATCTTTAAAAGGTGGAACTTTGCGATTTACGAACACCCCGCATCAAGACTCGCCCTTCAGGTTACTGCTACAAAACAGTGCCCTTATGAGTGCTGTGTTACGAGATGCAGCTCGATATAAAACGGGGGGGCCCGATGCCGAAACTCGAAAGCTAATGATATGCAATCCGGTTTCGAAGGCCAGAGCGTTGGGTAACAACTTGGAGGGTCTTCCAAGCTCAGCAAGAGATGCTATGACGTTGGTTTTGGATGAGATTGAAGAACTCGGGTTGTGTTCTAAGACGACAGATCTTGTCCATATTCTACCCGATGCGATACCACCACCTATGCTCAACAATGTTCCGGTGGTATATGTGCTCGTTATACCCTTACATACCGGCGAACCTGATAAAGGGTGTAGTGCTGTAGAATGTTCGGATGTGTGTATGGCTGATGGAGAAATAACCGCAGCGGTATACGTAGGTGAATCGGCTAACCTGGATGCAAGGCTGAAAGCACATCGATCGAAGCCAATCTCGACTGTTGACGAGTACATGGGTAAAACATATATGGAGCATGAATCTAATTTGACGGCATACCTGAAATCAAAACTTCAGGCAACTCCGGAATCCTCGGAACAACTGCTTCAATGGCATTCGGCACATACATTGGCAATTAGAGCAATCTCCAGAAAAGATGCTAAGGTCAATGAACGCAAGCTCATAAAGCGTCTGTATATGCGTCAAAATCAAATAGTCCTACTTTCGCAACGAGACGGGGTATACCGGGAACTCGTGGCTATTGACTGACATTAATCTGTTACATGTTAGCAAGTAGCGTTTTAGCTACTATTTCTTTAAATTGCGGGCATGAAATCATGCCGCCAATTGTGTATAGTGGATTTGAAATCACCATTTTCACGATTAGATCTGTATAAATAGCATTTAATGTCAACTCGAGACTTGGTACCTCGGGTGACGTGATACAAACCAATTTGTACCCTGTATATTATATAACAAAAAGATGATCTAAGTACCTGTGACCGTTTCAAAATAGTGTATTTTGAAGTTGGAAGTTGAGCAAACATTGAAATATGAAACTGATAGCCCTTCAGTTCGTTCCAACTCGTTAGTCAAGTGTATTGTCTTGCAGAATGATGTCAGACCAGAGATAAAACCGATAAGTAACTTTTCATATTGTATATTGTACTTAGCCAACTCCTCAGTGACAGCTGCATCAGAAGTCGGGGCGCCATCTTCATTTGAACTTGATATCTCGGCCGCATTTTTCTCTCTACCGTGATCAAACGCTGTACAATGCTTCACAGCAGTAACTGCTGCTGAGCTACACAAATATCGGTGAATACACGACTCTCGAAAAAATATATGGAAACTATGGAGTTCTCCCATCGTGAAAACTTCGGCAATGAAAAGGGGCATAGACGAAGACCACGGAGGCTATGATTAGGGCCCTTTCTTGCACACTTCTCGTCAACACAGTGACGTGGACTTTACATTATAACTAAGGGCCCACTTTGGCCCACAAAGGCTCGAACCTAGCACGGCAGACGCGATGTCTGGATCAGGCACATATCGTGTACAAATGTGCAATTATACACGGCGGCGTACACACCACAAATTAGAAGGTCTTAATGCCAATAGTTTTTCTGGCGATAGCTTATCAAATTCGAATGGAAACTCCCCATGGGTGTCACGGCAGCACCACCGCTTGATTTAACATTAAAATTGTTTGATGTCATCCAGCGAAATCATCGCTATACGTTGTTGCAGTAAATTACTGTATGAATCTTCACTAAAATTTCTGAGGGGACCGCAAAAAATTCATTTTGACGGGGAAAGTGATATACGAAGGTGAGAATATAATGACAGACGTAGGTGCAGGGCGTTGATTACACGCTCAAACGATGTGGTAAATTTCTAAATAGAGGATTGATTAATCGTTTGCCATCCGGGCGGCCAACAACAACGAGCGAAGGCGCCCGGACGGAGCAGAAGCTTCGACCGGGACGCAGACGGTAATATTACACAGCGTTCACAACTGTCAACTACTGACGTTTAAAGACAGGAAACAGATGGATTGAACCCCCCCAGTCATGAGGTTTGAATACGCAACGAAAGTCCATATGCCCAGCTCAAACCTTAAGCAAGCGTTCAAAGGCGCTAGCAATAAAACTGGACAATATGAATACCAACTATACGCCACAGATCCCTACCAATGATTCCCGCTGGTCGTTCGAAGAATACCTCCTCTCCCGCTTTGAGGTGTGCTATCCGGAGAGGAAGTTACTATGCATTTTATGCAAAAAAGTTACTACAACATCGTATCGGATAGAAGAAGAGACTATAGACTGCCATGGAGTATGCCTCTCTTTGGCATTCTTCCATTACTTTATGGAGGATTATGACGTGGCCGCGATGGCCAAAAAAAGTAGAGTCAGCGGAATGCTCCACCTATTGAAGCTGTGCGAGCTGACCCTACAGTTCCTCAAAATGCCAGAACGCAGTCATAGGTGTATATTCTGCGGTGGAAGAGGAGCTTTCTTCAAATGCGCATCGGAAAATTGTGGGCATTATTACCACCTAAGCTGCAATACCAATGGGATGGTAGTTGTAGAAAGCGAAAACGATGACACAAAAATAACCAACTACAGGTTCATGCTTTGCCAAACACACATGAACAACACAGATGTTGAACAGACCAAGCAATTGTTTAAGTCCAAAATGGCACTACTAACTGAAAACGAAACGGTGAAAAGGCCAATAGGTATGTCGATGAAGATGCCGCCCTCGTCTGATGCCATGACACCTCTATCATCATCTTCATCGTCAATCGCCGATACTCCAAAACATGCCACGAGGGGTCAATGGAATTCAAAACTACTAAGAGGAGATCGCAAACAAATGACCTCTAGGGGGCTAGCTGGTGGGATCAGGAAACTGGACGAGTACCTACTACCAACAAACTCTCTTAGATCAACTCGAATTGGTAGGCCTGCCGCACCTAAAGACAAAGGTATCGCAAGAGATTATATATCTGCCTTATTACATGAATATGGAATGTTGAGGAGATATGGATATCAAAGAAATGCAAAAGTGTTTGAATGGCGGCCTTATGAGGTGTTATTCACAAAATTTGGAGTAGACCTATTCAGCGATAATTCCCCGACACAAGAAGAACTTGAGGAATTATACAAAGATCTGAGAAGTGTTTTAGTGTTTGACAACTCTGTCGACTCTGCTGCTGATCTCAACAGGCTTGCATTGGAGTGTGAGCCTTCTATAATGAATATATCCAATTCAATGGTATTACAGTTAAAGCAGGGGATACAAACAGCAGAACTATCTGGGAATCAAAACGATGAGCATGTACCAGCAACATACGCTATAACACAACCAAATGTATATGGAACAGAATTTGATGTACATAACACATCAGCAACTACAGAGTACGAAAAAGAATCGTACGGGAAAGTAAACCTTGCAAGTCAAGCAAGCACAGAATGTGAATCGCAACGTGACATCTACGAAATTGTTGGATACAAAACACATAGACCTGTATTTATTCTAGCAAAATTCGAAAACAGAGCGGCATGGTTCTCAGTTATATATCTAAAGTCAAAGAAACATGGTGGAGTGAAACAAATGATTTTAGATTATATTAACATCGGAATGCTTGAATACGAATATCTAAAAAGAGTTATGCGATCAACATATGCTCTACCTAGTCAATCGAGGGTTGTACCTATATTTTCGCAACCTGAAGAAACGGAAATAGATGAGCCAGCGCCCGAAGCTGACAAGGTAAACCTTGGTGGATTCTGCTGGGATGTTGAACCCACAGCAGAAGGATATCTTAAAAACAGATTAGTCACGCCTTTGAAACATTACCACGAAGCAGTTTCGGCCAACGATAAAATGTCACTTGGGGCGATGATAAAGGTTGAAGATGTTGAGGCGAATATGCTCTACAATCCAGTGGCACAACCGAAAAAAATGACATTCGTATCAAAGCAAGCTAACGTACTAGTAGGTATGCTTAGGGCGGTAAATAAGGCGATCGAAGAACAAAAACAGGTGCTGAAGGAGAGATTGGCACTGGAAAATGACTATGGTAATAGGATGCATGAGGATGTGCTGCTAGTGGAACAGTACAAGAAACTGACCGGACAAATGAACAGATGGTCACATTTCCGCCAAACTGTGATTAATGCTGTGAATTTGTTCAATAAGTTGTTACTTTACGAGGCCGGTAAAGAGCAAGATGATGCTAAAACGGGTGAATCAGTGGCAGAAACCGTCAAGGAGACAGCCGATAAGGAGTTTTGTTCGGTATGTCTAATGTCAGAGCCTGCGCATAAACAAGTGATGCATCAGTGCAATCGTTGTTATATTAGAGTCCATTACAAGTGCTACGTCACCTACAAACAGGCGACTAGTGAGCAGGTAGCGGTGGATCTGAAAGTTGACGGAACCAGCACCGAATGGTACTGCGATCCTTGTGAATATGAAATTCTCATGAACGCTAATAGCAGGATAATAATGTACAACAACGCCATATGTTGTGCCTGTTTTAGCAGTGGAGGGGCACTGAAACGTGTTTTGGAATCTCCAAGCAAGAAACAAATCCCACTAATGCCTGTAAAGTGGATACACGTACACTGTGCAGCATTACTCATGCCTACAATCTCGTGTCAAGACGTATTTGGGCTAACTAAATGGGAATTGAGAAATCTGCAATTCAACGGCGCAGATCGATGTGTCATTTGTATGGTCACCGGTGGTGCCACGGTGGAATGTGCGGAACCAAATTGCCAGGCGAAATTTCATACGACCTGTGCGTGGGTTGGCGGCGCGTACGTCGTTGAATCGCCATTTCACAACACAACGGAACTGCCTGCAATGGGAAAAAGTGTGTTAGCACACAACGAACTATTCCCTTCACTGGCGTTTCGTATGTTCTGTCTTAGACACACGGCGTCGCGCTTTTCAGAAAAGTAGGTTTACACTTTTCCGTAGACACATGTTGTTATAGGGCTGTTACGATACTTATGAGGAGGCGTTGCTTCGCATATACTCACTATTTGCATTGCCCATGGTACCCCACTCGAGATGCCCACGATAGCAGGTCTGTAGTCCTGCCGCTGAGACCCTGCACTAGCCATATCGAGGTCACCAGAAATGGAACCATCCAGGGTCTGTTAGGTGACATGGGAAGGCGGAAAGAAGGGGTGGATGTGCTGACGGATCATATGTCTTTTGAGAAGCACGCAAAGCAAAAGAGAATGCCTATGTTGAAGCCAAACCCGGATCTCATGTCAAGCCATCCTCCAGGTATGATGATGAATCAGCAATTCCCTGGAATGCCAATGATGAACCCTGCGCATGGAGGTATTGTGCACTATCCTCATGGTATGGTGATCAACGGAACGCAACCTATGATCATAAATGGGCAACCTATGTTGCCAGCCCCGGGTCATCCCCTCATGGTTGCTCCTGGGCGGCCTATGATCATAGCTGGTGGGCCTCCTATGCTAGTCAGCGCACACCCCCGTGGCCTGGTTAACGTGAGACGTCATATAGTACCGAGTGGTATGCCTAAGCCTGTGATGGCACCTATAATGTACGGTGCGCAGCCACAATTTATGGTGGAGCAGCCTCAATTCGGTGTTGCAACTATGACGTCGCACATTCCAGGAAACGGATTCCTGCAGTCAGTGGGTCAACCGAGAATGAATTCGATTAAGATGCCTGCTCAGCCCACTATGATGCCATACGTCCAGCCCATGAATGTGATGCCTATGAGTGGGCCGGTGATGCCTGTGGCACAGCAACCGCAATTTCATCAAGGATACCCTCAACCTGTACAAATGGTTCCAAAGTACTGGAACAATAAGAGCAATCTAATGCAGTACAAGGGCAAACCGCCGTGCCCGGACAACCCCTATGTAGGTGCCGGAAACATGGGTTACATGGAACAATGATCTAACCTCAAGAAATGATTGTGGAAGTGATTACAAGGCCGTAAGTAGCCGATGTCTGAGTACACTCACAGCGGCTATATCCACCTGAGCCTATAGTCACCTATTCCAATGTTACTTAGTTTTTTGTCTTAATTTTTTTAATTATTGTGAAATTGTATTCGACTAGGGTCCGCAGTGTGTAGAAGGAGAAATTACAATGCAGCGCGTGCGCCCGCAGGTGAGCGTCTCGACACATGGCACCTCCAACTGACCGTATCCGAAGGTGAGCTGCAAGGTGTCAACTCGTCACGGTTCCTAATTTTCTTAGAACATAACTCCTTTCTATCGGTGTGGGGAATAGCCGTCGTATGGCGCGCATACGAGTGATGCCTGTGGGCATACTATTATTTAGACAGATGTTGTTGTGCATCTGTAACTTACAGGCCAAGTAGGTCTATGCAATTAACACGTTAAATGCGGATTCTAGCATTAATAAAGCGATTTGTGAGCTGTCAAATAGCAATCTCTTCTCCTCGTACCACCAACCTACCACAATCTATTCTTCAATCCAACTTGCATAAAACTAGTCTAACCAATAATAACACCATGGAAGAGAAAAGCGGGAAAGTTCAGTTTTCGATGTGCCACTTCCGGAACAAGCAGAATATGCTTATCAGAACATATTCTGCTACAGTCCCCAATGCCAAGGGAAACATTGTATTGGTTCATGGCAACTGCTGCCACTTTAGAGCCGAATTCGCCGCATACAACATCAAGTGGTACATGCAACAATACGGCATTGGAACTCCAAATGTAAAGGATGTCGTTCGCCAAGAAAAAAAAGCTGTGTACCCTAGAAGTCATCACTTTCAATATAATGATCCGGATGCCAAATTCCCTGATGCAACTCTACTAGACGGTAAAAATATGTTTGACATCTCTCCCAGGTTCGTATACGAAGGTAGCTTCATTGAAAAACTCAATAAGCTTGGATACAATGTCTACGGGCTTGACCATCAGTCACACGGTCTGTCCGAGGGACTTAAGGGGAGACGCAACTTCTTCGGCACTATCGAGGATCTCGTGGATGATGTTATTCAATTTATTGACATCGTCAAACGCGGCAAGTTCGACAACACGAAGCAGACACCAAGAGACAGCACTCTCGACGCACCTTCCACCGTTGGCAAGGTGATACTCTGCGGTATCTCCATGGGTGGCAACATCGTATTAAGGGTTGCACAAAAAACATCAGCATACAACAAGGACGGCCACATGTTCATCGATGGGCTGATTGCATTTGCACCGATGACGGACCTCTCGGACTACACCTCTACGCTGTGCATGAGAATGCTATTCGGGTTCAGTAGGGTTGTAGCGCTCATTAAACCCTCAGCAACACTGGGTGTAAAGAGTGATGACATGCCAAGAACGTTCAACAAATTCTTGAGAGTTCAAGATCCGCATTACTACGTCGGTCCACAGTGCTACCGTGTGATCGTAAACCTATTCAACGCCACAAATGTACTGCGCAAAAACCATGACAAGTTCCCAGCAAATCTTCAAACACTCATCATGCACGCAACAGATGATGATGTTTGTAACATCAGGGGCACTTACGACATTGTTAACAACCACCTCAAAAAACACAAATATCTGCAATTCGTCGAAATGGAAGGAAATGCCCATTGTATGACGTCATCTATATATGTCGACAGCGTGATGCCCTATGTCGAGAAATGGCTACAGAAGTTAGAGGCATAAGTATCTATAACTCCGTTGTTATTCTAGCATTAAAAAACAAAATTCTAGGTGCCGTAAGCTAAAAAATTGCCAATAGACACCAATGCAGACTCTTAACCGTATAAAGGCATCAATTTAATGTTTAATATTATGTACACCAAACGAAATCTATATGAATATCCAGCCTAGGTTAACGACTGCCCTTTCCCTTTTTCATCAATTTAGCCCGCAAATAACCCTCTTCCGAATGGTCAGGGACCAGCATCACCATGTCGTGGCTCATAGGGTCCAGGGTCGTAGACTGTAGGTCGAACGCCTGCGGATTGTAGACGAATGGCGCGTTGCAGTTCGGGCAAGAAGCTTCCTGTACACCATGTAAGAGAACGGTTAGACCACTAACCCCTTGCGATGTTTGGCTCTTCATAAGCTCCTTGAAGGCCTTTTCCGACACGCAGCATCCACACTTCCAAACCAGCACGCCACGATTGGCAGCGCAAAACTCAGTACGGGTAATAGGACATACGAACCGACGGCTGTCCGGGTCAACCTATGCATTGTAAATCGATATGAAAGTAATCGTACCTGAAATTTAACCTCCTTGAAATCTTTCAAGTTCTTAGTGTGCTGCATGGAAACCAATGGTTTCTTAGCCAAAATATATTTGATAACAGACTCTTTATTGTACAATAGTCCCACACGACATGCCATAATAGGGCGTGATAAAGGTTCCTAAGGCTTATGACCAAGCGGAAAATGCCGCTAATTGCTGGCTCGGGGTACTCAACATACCTGCGATAAGCTGCACGTACTCCAGCGCAAATCTCGTATCTGCGCACTGGTAAGGTGTTCGTCAGCTGCTTTCATCTGTGTATTAGGAGAATATCCCATCCCTCCTAAATTGCGGACGAATGTGTAACCGGATGTTCTAACCAGGTCAATACGACCTGGTATACTGCCACCGTCGCCTCCCATCTTGGCTCCGTCGGACGATAGACGGCAAGATATGATAGTGTTGAGCTTTAAAGTGCCATTATTATGCCAATAATTAGAGGAATCTCTCATATAATTCCCCCACAATTATAACAAATACTAGCCGTATCCGAATTATTTGCGGTACTGACGTCCAAATATAGAGTCTTCAAACCACGTATAATCGTATGTGGGCGTACCCAAACACAACTTGAGTTCATATCAAACAGTTTTTAATGGCTTTACGGCTGCCGAAAGCGTCAATCAGCTTGCACAGGAAACCGCAATCCGTACGCTTAACAATCTATCGCAATACAGAAAGGCTCTTATAAAGATGTTTTTAAAGTATTATCTTGACGCTGATGGGAAGCGTGTTTACACAATGGCGGTAAGTCGTTTGTATTTTAAAGTTTTAGCAAAAAATCGCGCAGAACGCCGGACCTAATGGCGAGGTGACGCTCACAGCCCATCCGGCACGATTTTCCCCGGAAGATAAATATTCAAAGCAAAGAATCACGCTGAAAAAACGCTTCAATCTGCTCATGAAATGATTACGATTTTGCCGACCGAGAGTCTCGGACAAATTTCAACACACAAATGTATAACTTTCATTTTATTTATACTTTGATCATATAGTATGCGTAGATTGGTAAAGTTTTCATATCACGTTGTACGTTGCGAAGCCTGGTTCAATGACCATGCGGAGCGATTAGCTAGGCGTGGAGCTGACGCTGTCATAACGGCAATAACAGTGAACTAGACGTTATAAAAACTTCATGGACTAATCAGTTGTGAATGGAATAAGAAAGAAAAAACATTTAGGTGAGCGAACTGAAGAGCAGCGTAGCGTGTAAGGAACTTAGCCGTAGACGTCGTAATAATGTTGAAAATGTGGTATAATGGTACACATACCCCCTCTATGATGTATTTGGCTTGCATTTGTGCACTTCGAACCAATAGACAGCAATAACGTCAAGGCTTCTGCAGCCTGCACATCGCCGTGACGGCGGTAATCAAAGACGATAGGATACTAAAGTTATGGAACAAGACACCGAATAAAAGGTTGAATATTAATATCTAAAATATTTTGGCATGTATAATAGCTACCCATCGACGCGTGACCAGTCGTACATTCCAAATGGCAAAGAAGACCAACCAATAGACAAGACGTGTCTATCAGATTAATGTGGTGACACTTCACACCGGTAACATATTAAAAGACTACATTACACGTGACATAGAAGGTCCGCTAAGGTTAATAGCGCCGATGTCGCGAATCACACAGGATTCCCCACTTACGCTAACGTAGATTGCTGATGTAGACAGCGAGGAAAAGGCCGCAGAATCAATGATACATTAAGCGAACAGTTGTATATTTATAAACTATACGTCAATTTGTCGTGACGACCGACGTCATGCGATTGTTTGACGTAGAATCGCTGATGTCGTCACTATAGTGGGAGCACGTGATACACCTTGAATAAGGCGGATACAGTGCCACGTTCTACTGAGAGACATATATCTACACCCCGGAGGTGGATATATCGAGCTGTGGCGGCTCAGGAATTACGCACAAACGCAGTTTATTAGGGAAAAGTTAACAAGAATTTTGAAGCTATACTGATTGGAAGACAAGCACAAAATGACATATGAAGGCGAAAGTGAATGGCTTCTGGAGGTCGAATCTTTGCCGTCAGATGTCAAAGTGGTCGCCCCTCAGCGAAAGGGTTTTTTTGCCGTTGGGCAGCCGCCTATAACAAGCGTGTCTACGGGCCTCAGTGAAGATGGAGACAATACACCAGAATCTCTAGCGTCATTGGATGTAGGTCCAGTCCTTCATGTCGGCATATAACGTGCAGGGCAAGAAGAGTATGCAACAATATATAGAGGAAATATCGCAGCTTAACAGCGCGATTGATGAATTCTCTAAAATCATTCAGACACTTGCATTATTCAAGTATTATATACGTAACAGGAAGGGAAACACGAACGTGGATGGTGGGTGGAATAAATGGGCTATTGTAACATTACGCAGAACTACACAAAAGGTTCAATTCATTCTCAGTCAAGTGCGCTAATAAGATTCGCATAATACAACAACATGTGGCTGCCGTCAATCGTGAGAATCATTATGCCATGGCACATAGAGAAGTGATGAACTACTCGTATTCCGATCTTAGGGCGCGATTTAACATGCAAGATGCATCCGTCAACAGACTGAAGACACTCATGGAGACGTATCAGTCTGTTATTAAGGAGTATACTGCCGCTGCAAAAAGCATAGAAGAGGAAGACCAGGCAGTGCTGGTCAGTGGAGCTGCGGCGCCACTGTTGAAGGAAACGGCAGCGGAACAACCCTCGCATAAATGTGCTGAGGCAACCTTGATAGACGAGCTTAAGTCAAAATCAAAGGATATTATGACGCTAGAGAAAAACGCAAGGGATCTCAATCAGTTATTTGCAGAGCTCAACACGACCATCAAAAAGCGTGGTGAAAACATCTACAACCTAGAACAACAGATATTATTGTCGGCTGAACAAATCGATAAGGGAAAGGATGACATGACAATTGCTCTTAAATCAAGAGGTGGCCAGGTAAGCATTTACTAGTGTGTGGACTTAACTTGCATTGCAGGGCATTTACTGGATGTGTGTGTTAATCGCCGCTGCTACGTGCCTTCTGGTCATACCATCACACATCAGATCGGCTGTTTTCAGGACGCAGTAGACACATCTTAACTCAACGCATAATATCGTATTCATATCTTATGACGCGCGACGCGTGGTGGCTTGCTCTTTGAGGGGCAGTTTTAATTCCTAGTTATACATCTAGATATTTCAAAAAGTAATTGTAGAAATGGCAGCAGTTGAATTGCCATATAACCAGGTTCTCAACTGGGTTATGGCCAGGGGAAAGATACCTCAAGACTGCAACAAAAGACTCCTATGTAAGCCGACAAGGACTTTCTGTACATTCTAGCGCAGCTTTGGAGGATCTTTGTAAAGGATTCTTTGACAAATATGTTGATTTACCGGAAAATGTTAAACAATTGCGAAAACATGTGCTTGCCGATTACACGGAATGGTACGAAGTGCTCAGCGATATTAACGAGAAGCTTAAGGAGGTAAGAGCACATATAGACGTATACAAGAGGCTATATGCAGACCGAGGAAGGTAAAAAACAGAACTTCATAGGTCAATATGCCTACGAACCATTATACGAAGCCGACAAGATTCTGAAGGCCTTTCATAAACATAACCTACACATAGTCTCATATTTCCAGCTCCTGCAAAAACAAATTATGTATAACGTGCCATCTATTAGAAAGTCAATTGACAATCTAAAAAAGGAGGTATCTTTGAATTTACCATAATATATATTTCACAGCTTGTTGACTACAAAAACAGGAAAAACGTCTGTATGAGAAAACTGAAAACAGGGTCAGGGGAGCTTAGAAGCAGGTTGCAATTGTACAATATAGATATCGATGAATACCCATTTGACGAAGATTTTGTCGAGTGTCTCAAGGTGAAACTTCTGCACAAGATAACCGCCAAAAATGCGGAAATGACCATAGCCAATTACAAGAAAACTATACAACTCACCAAGCTTATATCTGCCGACGTTGTACCGATATTCACATCATTTGTCAAATTAAACGACATGGAAAATCTATACGTCGAAGAAACCACGATGAAGAACATTAGGCACGCGGCAGAACATGGAATGGATATTGTAACTTCGGATGAAAACGAAGGCTGTTAGTTGGAATGATAAAAACGAATAGTTTTTTTAGATGTGACTAAAACGGAACCGGAAGCGGCTGCCGATGCTCCAGATAATAACGTGGTCAAAGGCAATGATCACATCCCTATAGAAAAGGAGTCCAACCAGATCATTTTTGACACGAATATAGGAAATCCATCATTTAGACAACTTCTTCTTGGGGAACTGTTGGAGCTGCTGACTTTTGTAAAAGTCAGAATAGACGAATTGCAGAATAGGGCAGATACAGCCAGCTATATATTTAGCCGTGCTGGCGGGAAAGTGAACAATTTGGTGCAGCAACCACTGTCTAGTGTTAGTTTACATCTGCTATTTAAAAAAAATCGTAGTATGAAAAATATATGGAATTTTTAAACGAAGCAATCGAACTCATCAGTGGCACCGGGGGATTGAGGAGCCTCAGCGTATTGAAGAACCGAAGCGAACTTGAAAAGTAAGAACAAAAGTTGAATCGTGGAAATTCTTCAGGTGCGCACAAGCCGAGCTGGATATTTTCAACAGATGTTACACCGCAGTGACCGAGCAGACAGCACTTACGAAGCGCATAGAAACCGCCGAGGAAGCGGTATGTCACCTATTTACATATGAAACACTGTTGAACAGCTGGAGAAACTGAATGGTGAGCTCGAGGCGGTGAGATCGACAATCAGGGAGACAAAGCAAAAGCTAGAGAAGGTCGCCAGCGAAGTAATGGAGGAGAGCGTCACACTTTTTGGCGAGATCGACGAAATATGAACTAATAGAACATAAACAATCGCACGCTAAAATTACGTACAAATGTAACTTCTATATGTGTTTTACCTAAAGTTGGCGAAACAACTTAGGCCTTGCCAGCAGCCGCTTTCTTCATCACCTTCCTCCTTTCCTTGTGTGCTACCATAAGCTTGAAACGTTCAAAGTCGGTCAGGTTCCTCCTTCTCTCTTCGAACTCAAGCCTCTTTCCCATGGGAGTCTTCTTGAAAGCGTTCAAAGCGTCGTGCTTCTTCACGGCCTTAGCAAGAGCACCGGTTTTAGCTCCACGGCTGAGAGCAATCTTGACGTCGGTGAGTTTGATCCAGGTCAAAGGGAGCTGTTGGCGTTCGACGCTGCGACGATGTGAAGCCACTATCTGGTGGAAACATACCCTGTGACCATAGCGCCGTCGACCAAAATACGGGTGTTGGTCACAACATCTACTATGAAGCACAACTGAAGGTATTTGACGACAAAACAGGCTATAAACAAACCTTGCCGGCATCAGGTCCGTATGTGATGAGGCACAAGCGGCCAGGCTCGACAAACTTCTTGAAAAGCGGCATCTCGGTATCTGAAAAACGAGATAATAAACCGTCTCACGAATCAAGAATAATGCAGATGTAACGGTGACGAAACAAGGGCTGCCATTAAAGAAAAGGTGTACTCTCCGGTGTGGTTAAACATTACAGGCTGGAAAACGAACCAAAAACCAACCTTTTGTAATCTATAGCGATACTATATAATTACACAATCCCTTCTGGATAAAATGTAATAGCACGTTAAGCTAAATTAAGCCGTTACGGCACAACTCGGCCAATCCACCCATTGTGCGGACCCCGAATGGGGGAATCCCGCGGCGGCATCTAGACCGGATATCTCAAGCCAATTCACACCAAAAATGGCCCCTGCTATTGTTATATGGTGTTCTGTCTGTATATGAGTTGAAAAAGTGAAATGGTTCCGACGCGAGGAAGGCAATAGTTGCGGCCGAGAATCATGTTTAATAAACTTCTAGGCCATATATAACCCTTTAAAATCTCATTTGCCATGGTACTTTCAGTGAATAACAACGCTATAAAACGTGTTGGTGGCAATCGATGTCATTAGTAACTACGAGGCTGTTCCCGGTAGTGTGTTACTGCGATGGACCGCTATCGCCGGATCCCTCATAATTCTCGCACATAACTTTGTAAATGTTAAATTAAGTGTAAAGAGATCATGCCCATGTCTAGAGGTCTTGAGGCGGTAATTGGCAGGGAGTGCGCTCTAATGCGCCCCGAGCGAGTGGCCAGAATAGGTAATGGTGGGCCATTAACCACCGCAGTGTATGTTCAGTACAGTTTTTATTTTTAAATATAGCATGATAATGTCTTTAAAGCCTACACGGTCCCGCTATCTAATGCTCTGGGATCTAAATTTAAAGGTGTCTGTATTTTGTACACACCGGCATCATTGATCTTGGGAGCATATCCAGCGCGAAGGAACATTATATAGACACGGCTATATAGCTGTACAAAAGAGCACCTAGGTGTAAAACACAGGTGCAATGTATATCGCATTTCTCTCATCAAAGGAACACACATTTCAACAATGTCGACAGAAGTCGATCCTGCACCAAACAAAAGGCTATCCGTGTTTCACGGACAGCTGAAAGTGTTTGAACTCGCTGTGGCAAAAGAGGGTGAGAGGCGTAAGGCTGAAGAGGAACAAAAGTTTAAGGTGAGTCAGACGCTAATCTAACGGCATGCCACGCAGAAAATCGCGCAGCAAATCAACAAGCTAACCGCACGACTGAAAATAGAAGTTCAGGAAAGGATGGATGCCAAAGAGGCATTGCAAAAGACAACATTTGAGGCTGCAAACAGAATGCTTAACGACCTACAAACAAGACTCACGCGGAGGGTCAACGCAATTGCTGTATGTCATCTAATCATCTCAAAAAGAATATGTTTCAGGAGCGCTTAGATGCCGTAGTAGCTCGTTGTGCTGCAGTGGAAGGGGACGTCAATGACTTGACCCAGAGAATTAGTCAATCGGTGGGTTGCACTATTGATTAAAACCAACGTTTCGTAGTTTGACTTCAAAATGCTACAAAATGATATAAACGACCTACACAGGAACATCAAAAATGATATCGCTATCAAGGTGGAAAAGGATACGTCAATTGTTAACAAGCTCATGCATATGGAATATTCCATTAAATCGCGGCTCAACGATATAAACTACCTTGGAGTGGAGAGCCTAAAGGAGCTACGGGGTGAAATGTCGAGGCTGTCAGAGTATGTCCAGGGTAACCGATGTGTTGCATTAAGTGTCAGGTGGATTGCATCGGACGTAGGGCCAATGTCTCCACAAATAATGGAGGAAATAAATACACTCAAAACTGCCCTGGAACTGGCGTCAACGGCCAGAAAAGAGTCAGACGAAGGACTCTTTGAAGTAAGTCTTACCTGAGTAGCGTGACAATCTGCAGGCGTTTGAACAAATCGTCAGAGTATTACCCCGTAACATACAGAACGAGGCCAATGGGCTCCGTAAAATGCATACAACTGTCTAATGAATAGTATGATATTGTGAATTCTTCGCTTTGTGACACTTATTGATCAATGGTTCTGCCATTCGGGATCGAAAAGGCATAATCATGCGTATTATGTTCAAATGGAGGCTATTTCAGCACAGCTGACGTCAAAATAGAGGTTTTTTGATAAATTCTATGTTCAAATATACATTGATGTACCTTGTAAAGCAACCATAACGGGGGTATGTAGCTACCAGGAGCCAGCGCGACCGTTTTCTGGTATCTACAGGTTACATCTGTTCGGAATATGATGATAAATTTAAAAATTTTTTGGTTAACGCAATTTTCATGACTAAGTAATTTTGACCCCATATATCATTCCATAGTTTAGACACCAAAAAAAATTCATCGGACACTAAAATTCACCTTCAACACTTATGTCGGTTTGCTAACGTTACTTGAAGTGAAGTTGCGAGTGTTATTCTTTGCGTACGGCAGCCATAATGATGGGTAGCCCAGTTTGGAGAATGCGAAATGCTACACATGAACCCTTTATATTTGGGGGTAAGGGGTTGTAAATCTATTACTATATGAGGTCTAAATTGTCGCTTATGTTAGTTAGAAAAGTCATTCTACTAAGGAGAAATCAAAATATACAACTAGCTATCATTCAGTCAAAAGACTTTGAGCTGCAGCGGATTCAATAATGTGTTGGTATTAACCCGTGTTTAAGTTTGGCTAGTTCAACATATATTGCTATACGCAAGTAACATCGACATGTATCTAGGGACATAATTACGAAAGATGGTACTTGTGGCAACGCAGAGAAATATTGTGCCTCGAAGGTACCCCGTGAATACTTCCCTGTTGCAAAATCAATTTCAACTAGACTACTACAAAGCGTAGCGTAATGTGCGGGAGTATCTATGAATCTGAAGGGGTATAAACCGAGCTATTATGACAATGTGGTCGAAGTATCAACGCAACAAGTATAATTTTTACTACAAGGTTCAGAAGTGTTTCGGAGGTGTAGAGTGATAACGGCCTTTTTTTGTCCATATTTTACAGGTAATTTATCTATTAGGACCGATGGAGCATTTCTCAAAGTGTTATAAGTCAAACATGTTACTATCTCGCCTTGTTCTCCCTCCGTAAGAGAGAAGAAGCTGCAACTTCACATGGCCCCAACCGTACTCCCCATCGACATTATATATGATCACTTAATGATGCCAAAAGTGACTACGAAAGTGGTATAACGGCTATATACGATGACATTTGCGCTGAGTGAGAAAGAATGTGACGAAATCTCAATGATTTAGAGTCACTGCCACCATCCTGAGGGGATGAATAAATCAGACATCCCACGTAATCATTATAACGGAGCCACTACGAACGTGGGTGTAAAACCATAATTACCTGTTATATGTGTCCCAACGTCACATGTTGATAGCGCTGCCGAAAACCCAGTTTAAACCCTTCGTCGGCGATAATTTAGACAGCAAAACGTTAGGCGAGGAGATCGATGATAGCTTGAACATTTTTATTAGAAAATGTATAAATGCTGAATTCTTAATTTAAAAAAGATTTAGTAATCAGAACCAGGCCTCATTTCGTGTTCTATGAAGGAGAAAGTCCCCAAACTACCCCGGCCCATGCTGCCTGGTATTCTAAATGCTAAGTGGTTTAAATATCAAAACCAAAAACATAAACAAAGTAGCCGCATCATTTAACATTATAGTTATGATTAAGCCTATTTCTGCCCCTCGATGTGTCGTTGGCGTCTCCCAGCGCCAGGTAGACAGCCACCCTTATCCACCAGGTGTTTTCTGACACCCAGGGTTGTTTTTTGACACATGATAACCATTTGTCACAACAGATATATATAGCGACAATCGACAGAGCAGCATCAGTGCAACGTTGAAGTGACACACCCCAGGAATGCCCCTGGGATTTTCCGAAGCTAGTCTCGGTTCACGTGTTTATACACTAATTAAAGACTTTCAAAGTCATGAAAGCATATACTAACATTTAGAAACCCATGTTTAGAGATTTATGTTGAGTATGGTTGTAGTTAGACACCTCCGTAAACTCATCAATTTACGTTTTGGCCGATACTTCGGTACCCCCAGTTTTTACATGATTGGGAAATGACACATCAGCGATATGATTCACAATTGTGTTTGCGGTATGACGTAAGCATTGCAGCGCGTTATTTTCCACACTACGGACGCTGCAGCCACATAAAAGGGGGTGTTTAAGAAGCGTTTGCAATCTCAACAACTGATTTTGCAGCTGAATCGAAATCTTGGCAAAAAATATGTGGTATCTCTGCATCGTATAAAATCTTTTTAGCCGCATCGGCCTTGGTACCTTGAAGCCTTAGTACAACTGGCATTTGCATTTTGGACTTTTTAACGGCCTCCACGAAAGAGGTCGCAAATTTGTCACACTGCACGATTCCTCCCACAATGTTTACTAGTAACACTTTGGCTCTAACATCTGAAGCGACGATTTCAAGAGCCTGGCGCAACATATCACTAGTGGCATTGCCGCCGACATCAAGGAAGTTGGCTGGCGACCCGCCGTGATGTGTTAACAGATCAAGTGTGGCCATGGCAAGGCCAGCTCCGTTCACGATACACGCGATGTTTCCCCCGAGCGATACGTAGTTCAAGCCAGCTTCGGATGCCCTTGCCTCCAGTTCATTGTCCGGTGGGGGCACAGAAGCAAATATCTCCCTTTGTCTAAAGTCGGCGTTGTCGTCCACTATGAGCTTGGAGTCGCAGGCAACTAATCTTTGGTCGGTTGTTTCGGAGATGGGATTTATTTCTAATAACAGTGCATCTTTTGCTATGAATGCGTCGTACAGCTTCTTTACAACAACTTTTGTTTCTTCGTAGAGGTTCTCGGAAAAGTCTAGATGTGCTGCTATTTTGGCCACATCATCTTCGGTGATCCCTTTCAGCGGATTAATTTTAAGGGTAAGTACGGCTGAGGGGTCCTTTTGTGAAACCTCTTCTACATTTCCGCCTCCGTGCCTGGTGGCTATGGCCATGATGCTACACGATTTACGATCCAGCATGAATGAGATATATCTTTCTTTTGCAAGATTGAGCTTTTCAGCAACAAGCACTTCTTTGCATTTTATACCAGCTTCGCCAGTTTGCTTTGTTACCAAGGTATTGCCAATCATACTTTCTGCAGTAGTCCTGGCAACCTCAGGAGATTGAACGAGCTCGACACCAGAGATTCCGGTTCCGACGAACTTTCCCTTACCTCTACCGCCGGTAAGTGCCTGTGCCTTCATCACGACGTGTCCGCATTTAGTTGTTTCTAGTATTTCACGTGTCATAGCCTCTGCCTCCACTGGTGAACGCGCCAAAAGGTTCATCGGGGTCGGAATTCCATGTTCTTTAAGTATCTTCATTCCTCCGAATTCTGGAACGTTTAAAAATCGCTTAAAAAAGCGGTTGTGGTGGCAAGTGGCGAGTTCGCCCCTAAGGGCAAACTTGCCATGGGTCAGTGATCTCGGAAGAGACAACCTCATTACGGAAAATCCGTTCATTTAGCCAATTTTACCGCCAAAATTCAGATGAAGATGCGCCAATTAACGTCAATAGGTGGCGTCTCCCCCATTTGGACCCTCATCGTGAGCACGGTGTGTAAGCCACGTACAGGGCGCTGGGTACACGGTATGCAGGTGACACATCACATCCATAGAGCTAGGTGGCTGACCGCAATTCACATACAAGCAAGGTACTTAAGCATGCAGCTAAGAATTTAGATACACCAATGTTTATTTGTAGAGTTAGAAGAAGAACGTGTTGCCATAGCTCGAGTCCTGTTGCAACTTGACCTTGCACTGGTACTGTGCGGGGTTTACTGGCGGAGCAGTCTTCTGTCTCACTACTAGCTGTTGTTGGTTGTACGCATTGTTCCTCTGTAGGTTCGATCCACATGTAGTTTGGAAAAAACCCATTCGTGGTTGTATCGGCACCCTGGCAGCGGTTGGAGCAACATTCAATGGTGGCTGACTCTGCTCGGCTACTGACTTTAGCTTAGCCACATTTTTGTGAATTGTCATTAGACTACCAACCGCATGAGGTGCGTAGGCGTTCCTATCCTTGTTGCTCGTATCGCATTTCGCTTTCCTCACATTTTCAAGACCCTTACTCGCCGATACTACGTGCGTAGAATCATTGAGCGTGCCGGGAATGGTTGGCGTTCGCTTGCCATCTGATACAGCAGATACCCTTTGTGGGTTTTCATCTGGATAAAATCTGTTACTTGATTTTTTGTCTTCGATGAATTTGTAAATGAGCCTACGATAATTCGCAACGTCATACTTGATATTGTCGCAAACAGGTATTTTCACCGGTTTATGTAAAACAGGTAGAGAATCGTTCGACTTGTGGAACGAGCGTATGTATGGGTGATTCAAAGCCTGCAACGTTGTTATTCTTTTTTTGGGGTTGAATTGTAGTAATTTCAATACCAGGTCAACGGCGTCCTCAGGGGCATTAGGGAAATACTCTCTAATGGATTTGTGCGGAATTTTAGTTAGTGAGCTCATCATCAAAGTAGTGAATGGCGAACCCAGTGATTCCATATCCTCTTCAGTAGGCATGCCTGTGAATGCGACAACCTTCGAAAGTTGATTCACTGTTGAAGAGCCTGGAAACAGGGGTTTATTGATAAGCAATTCCGCTAATATACAGCCTATTGCCCACATATCTACGCCTTTGGTATATTTTGTACTTCCAACCAAAATTTCTGGTGCGCGGTACCACCGCGTTGCCACATAATCTGTTAATACAGGTGCTTCATCTGTAACTTCATCATGGGCTATACTTCTTGCCAGCCCAAAATCTGCGAGTTTGATATTGCATTTTGCGTTCAGAAGCACGTTTGAGGGTTTGAGATCCCTGTGAAGCAAATCTCCGGAATGAATGAAATGAATGGCCTTAATAATTTGGTAGAGTATGTACTTTTTGTGCACTTCCTCCAATATATTTATACGTATAACTGAATGAAGATCAGTGTCTACATATTCGAACGTTAGATACAGATCGCGATCATTTTTCGCTGGGTAAACGTCTTTGAGTTCAATTATGTTGTGCGCTTTTCTCAAATATTGCAAGAACATAATCTCCCTATACGTACGTTGTGCATCTGTTGAATTCCTGAAAGCGTCGAATATTTTTTTCAGCGCTACCACTTCTTGGGTCTCCTTGTTGGCCACTTTCCAAACAATACCATAGGCCCCTTTACCCAATTTTTGGAGTATGTGAAACTTGCTGAGGATATGTTCGTCGATGTGGTCACTCATTCTTCTAAATCTTGATCAAACACAACATTGGAGACATTTCACTACGTTACCTCATTATTCCGACCACTTTCCGGTAATAGAGAGATTGCTCATAAAGGCGATTTCTGCCGCAAAAATATCAAAATTACAACAATATCATGGTAACCGCATTAAATAGATACATATAATGCCAACGAGTATGTATATTTAGCCTTTCACGCGTTCTTCACGCATGGACACCGTACGAGTTTCTATATTCCTCTAAGCGTCTGATTAATTCATGTCAGGAGCTCTGATATATATCCTCGACGTCTTTAAAGGGTACAGCTATATATTCGCGATTTCGCGGGAAAGACGATGTGAAGAGCCGCGACATCCTTCCACATGAAACGTACGCCCACTTGTCCACGTACCACATAGGGCACACACACTAGCCTGATATAATTGCGTGATTGTCTGTGTGACGATTATTTTATGAAATCAACGCTTTGGAAAATGACAGAATGATGTCACTCCGTGATATGGTCCTGCTGACGGCGCGCGGTTGCAGCAGTGCACGCCGCCTTCAGTCTTCTCTGGCCCTCGGTCAGCTCAATTACACAGGTGCATGCAGGTGTTTGAGGTACACATAGGTCAACTGCACTGACACGCGATGTTTGACTTATAGAGCACGTGGTTCACTGCCATATAGCGCGCGTACATTGCGCCGCAGCCCACAGCAGCAGAGTTGTGTGCAGCGTTGCGCAGCTCAACCTAGTGGCGACGTCGTTTAGCGACCTCAAAAATTAAATATTATCTGTAATTCATTATTATCGGAATAATCCTAGCTTGCTAACGTTCTGTCGACGAGTGAAAGCGTCGATCACATACCTAGATGTACAACGATGCCACGAAATAGCACATATATGCTGACACACTTGATTGTATTTATTATAACATGATTATTCATAAAATATACAGCTCTATAATGTCGACTATACCGCATTTTACGGTATTCTCACACCTCAAGCTAACATGGCGCGCTGTCGTTTCCTAGCCGTACTATTGAACTATATCATCCTTCAAATGGTGTAAAATGTACTGTAAAAATATGTAAAAGCGTCAATTATTCCTACAAAACTTGTATGCATCCACAATTTGACACGCAGCGTCCGTTTATGACATTACTGTACTCTGATATTTGTATTTAGCTATCTATTATGTGTGTATAAAATTACAATTCTGTTCTACGCGTTCGTATGTGTCGGTGGTACTCAATTCGATAAAGTGGAACTCGCGCTGGACATGCCACTATACAATAGTATCCGAAAACGAAAATAGGGGTCTGCATATGGCACTAAAATGCATATTTAATTACATTGTCAATTGTATTAACCGGACACTGGTTACAATACTTGATTTTTGGTACTGCCCTTGTGGTCGTCACACTGCACAGCGTTGCTGCGTAACGCCGCAAATTAGCTGTTAGACACATAATAAGAGAGCATATATTAGTACAACATGTTCAAATAAATCGGCGTGGTTTGCTATTTTGTAAATGTGCAAGATGCAAAACCACCGAAATCGCATTATCGCAGTGCTGCCCATAAGGGCATGTCTTTTTGGGTTGTTAGCCTCCATCGGAGTTAGACACGGAGGTACGTTCTAGTTAGCTCATCTCCATATCACTTCACACCTTTACAGGTGCTGCACGCATCTTCCCAGTAGCCAACAACCCTTGGGGGATTGCAGAACATGCCGCCGTCTACCCAAGTGCAGACCTTATCTGCCACGCGGCAGGTTGCACGAGCAGAGACACCGGTACATCAAACCCTATAGATCCACATTGTGGTAGCCAGACAGTGTGCCAAGAATGCCCGACCCCGGCTCTTACCACGGCCGATACCTGCTACCTATCGCGAATATTGCCAGACCAAGTTAACCTGATGGAGGGACACTTGAACAACATACGTATGGGAGAGGGCGCGTCCGACAATACAACATCCGATGCGGATGATGATGAGGGCTCGTTCCTACAGGCAGTACCATTTGAAATGCAGTTTCAACCATCTACAACTGAAACTGAAGTCAAGTCGAATAAAGCCATGTGTGCGCTAGACAAGGACGGCACTATCGATGCTGTGGTTCGTATTACGGTGCAATGGTACAAGACACCGAACAAGGGTAACTCACAACCCACAGATGCGTATTATGAAGGTTCTATGCTTGAAATAACGCAGAACACCAATCCAACAGATGAAATCGTATTGGCACAAAAAGTTGCAAACAACCAATCCTTTCTAGAATTCTTTCCAGGGATGATGGGCAAGTTGAAAAATATGAACCCCTTCAAAAAGTCGGATGACGACTCGTCAGACGACGGTGGCGACAGCGGTGACGATGGCCACCATATGTTGATGCAAGCTGGATCATTTGCTCATAATAAAATCAAGCGCCTTTTCACCAACACAAAGTTACAAATCCATTTCAGCGTAAGCCATAGGAAGGTAACCAATTGTAGGCAACAACAACGTTGGAAAGGGACACTGCATGGTAAATCGATGGTGTTCACGGCCACTCAACACGTCAAGATAACTCCTGCGGATTTTCAGACCAAATTCTTTAAGGAAGCTATCAAGATGAACGTGACCTGCAAGAACTGTGAAAACATTGAAGCTCGTTCGTGTGTTCAGATTACTTGTACCAAGAAGCCTCCGTTTACACGCAGATACAGCTCCAGCCTTCAGGCAACACTTCCCACCTCAGGTGTAATGCAACCGTCTTTCCCTACACCATCACCAGCTTTCGTGGCTGCGCCACAACAGGCTGGTTTCACTGCACCGCCCGTTGGGCACGCTGTACCACAGCACGTTGTGTACAACCCTAATACCATAGTGGCGAATTTAGCTGCACCTGCGACGGTGAGAAGCTTTGGAAGTTTCCACGGCACAATGATTGCAATTGCGCTTATGTTGCTTTGTACCCTTTAAGTTTTCAATCTTCTACGCATATGCACCAGCACTTTGCTTAGTGGTTTGCTTACGTTTACCCTTGATAAGAAACCTCATTTTGCGTTTCGTCATAGGTTGTGGTTTTGGCTGAGGTATATCCTCTGAAGTCTCCAGGAGCCATTGCTGCATCTTTGATTCTGCTGCTTGTACTTCACGAGCCACTTTCATGTGACTACCTGGAAGTACTCTGCCCTTCTTCCTGATATCAAGGTTAGTCAGATATTTTGCCAGTTCCTCGACCTGTTGTTGATCCCACTCCTCTACTTGTCGTTTACAGTGTGGTGGCCACGCGCAATATAGCAGATTGCCGTTTACATAGTCTTTGACTACTAGTTTCGCAGCCCTACCGATATCAGGCTGACCTCCCCTTCCGCCTGAATAGAATTTCCGACTATTACAGATAAGTTCTAGAAATTTGGTGCTTAACAATATTGGCCTGTTTTCCCTATCCGCGATGACACATTCCGCTCGGTCTACATCATAGCGTTCGCAGCATTGTTTTGGTACACGATTGCATATGAGTTGTACAGCAAATATCAGGCTCCCTCTGAAATGTGCTGTAGATACTATACTATTTACTAAAAGGTGGTGCTTCGTTGCCACGATATTCGGGAAGATAAGTCCTACAGATCTATTAGTAATAACAATCTATTTACTTGCCTGGACAATCACAGAGCGTTATATTCTCCTTTTTTAGTGGCAAAGTTTGCAGGTGCTTCGTTTTACCAGGTTGGCAGCTGACGTTCGTTTTCGTCGCTTCCATGAGGCAATTGATAAGAGAACTTTTGCCAACGTTAGGGTAACCCACGAACCCAACTGTGTACAACGGTATATCGGTGTTGTTAGGCCCACTGAGTTCTGGGAATATTACAATCTGTTTCTGGCGATATGTATCAATTTTCTTCAGCAACATTTCCACGTTATACACTCGGCAGCACAAATCCTCCTTGTCCATTTCAGCGTCGGAATACGTCCTGCTGGTTCTACCCAAAATAGTTGAAAAGAATACGAAGTCGATACCCTGAACTGTATATATCAGATGGACTATTCGTCTTACCTTCATTTTAAAATATTCAGCCCACGCTTTGCGCAGTTCCTGGGAAAGGTGGTCCGCTTTGTTGAGGACTAGCATAGTTTCCTTTCTTCCATCCACTTCCTTAACATATTCTTCTAAGTCTGGCACCCTGTAAAATAGTGGGTCCCTGGCATCGACGATTATGAGTAGAAGGTGACTACGCTCTATGACCCTCCACAGTTGCCTCCAAAATTCGATATTTTTTTCATATGGTGTTACTACTCTTTCCTCCTCATCTTCAATTCTTGATAGCAATCTCCTCCAGGTGTAGAAACCTTTAGTTTCTATGCGATTGAGTTCATTTGCATTGATTTTACAAATATCGATACCTGCTACTTCTTGTTCGATTGCCATTTTGTACTCCTTTACATACTTAATGTCTCCTTCCATATGGTCGACATTTAAAGCCCTGGAAGGCGTAGAAGGTGTGGTGTCAACATTTGGTTCCGGGCCTTGGTGTGTTTCATTTGCGACAGCATGATCAACAACAATCTCTTCTTCAGTTTCGAATCCACTGTCATCGTCATCAAAATCATCACTGTATTCTGTAGTATCATCGACGCTTAATTTGCGTCCTGACCCATCTTTAGCATATCGTTCATCAGTTAAACTATCCTCTCGCTTACTGCGTGAGTCATCTGTGACGCTCGTGTTTGTTTCGAAACGAACATGATTTCTTTTGGAATTAGGGTTGAAACGTTGAACTCCCATTCCCATAGATCCATCGTCTAGACCATCACTGTCATATCCGTCAATATCAGATAGCCCATCTACGTCGCTGAGATCGGAAAACGTCCCATCATCTGAGGCGTCCTCTGTTTGTTTTGCGTTTTGTGAAATATGTGCTTTCATTATATGCCTTGGTTGCTCATGCATTCCATTAACTGGTTTTGGACCTGTTCCATGCATATACATATCCACTAGTTTTTTGTTTCTACGTCTGTTTTTACGTTTCTCTTTCATATGTTGCATCTGTTCCGTTTGTTTGATAATTCTCCCGATAGCTTCTCTCTGTTCGTCTTCGAAGAAAAGGCATCTTCTGGGTATCGGCACTACTGGGAACACCTTAATATCGTTTGTTTCGGAGTAGTTTACCATCCTTTCAAGTTGACTGTTGAAGTCGGATGCTAATACTTCCCTTGTACAGCAATGAGTTGTAAGGTAGGCATTTAATCCCATCTCAGCTGCCAATGTGAACTCTTCTAGGCTAGTACGTTCGACTACCGAGTGCTCCACTTGGCGATATGGGCGTTCACCACGCATAGTCTCGGTTTGTTTCGCCTGCCTGGCGAGTATATCGTGTGCGAGCGTCCTCCCGATGAAACCATGTTTACCTCCCTTTTGGCTCTTACCACCTCCCATTGTTAGTGTTTGTGTTTTTCACCGCTGTCTAGTGACAGGGTGCGTGTGTCGTTGTGTTATAGATGTTTTGGTTTCGCTCCGAAAACCACAATTCAGCACATTGGCGTCTTGTCAACATTAGTAAGAAGAAATCATATGATAAAATTACCCCTATTAACCTGTATACCATTGAAATGTGTACTGTTTTTATTATATGGCACAATGTCACGACATATATCAGCGGGCCAGGGGATGTTGTGCGGATTAATCGACTATGATCATTTAGTCTCCAATGTAGAGCATATTTGGTGTTAAATCTGGATATATATGGGTTTTTCAGCGACAGCGCGCCTCGTGGCGCACGGTCAGCGCTGCCGTGTGTTTCGTAAGTTTCGCGGCCAACCTCCTAAGCGTTTCGATTGGATAAAGTAGGTCCATTATACACATATTGTGTCATTGTGATCTATAGGAATCATCTAGACCGTCTGTTGCGTCATGGTCGCGTCGAGGTGACCCTTCCGCGCGCGAAAGAGCTGCAGCAGTATGCTGAAGAGGTGGTATTTCATGCCAAAAAAGGTTGGTTTTGTGCTTTAGTTCTTCTTGTTATAGCTATGTGTAGACACTCCGGAATCTGACCTTGTGGTTGAGAGTATGTTACGTACCCCTGAAGCCAGGCACGAGCTGTATGAGCGCTATGTGCCGCTTTACGCTAACCGTCCCTTTTTCTGTACAAGAGTGGTAAACCAATGGCGGCTAAGGTTTGCTGATGCCGCTCCTATGGCATATTTAGAGTTTGTCGACCGGTGGGTATACCTTTATCGTTGATATTCACAGCACTTTAGTCCCGGTGAAATTCGCCCGGCGAAGCCTGTTGGAAACAAAAAGTTGCTTCATGTACACGCGTTAATGCAAAGATCGCGTCGTGATTATCGCAAGTACTACAGTGTATGTGTCTACAAATATCATTTTGTGACATTTTTTTTGCAGTTTGCCAAGAGCCATGGCATGCTAGATAGCGATGGTAACCTGCTATCAGATATCAGCCATTTGGCTGATGATAGAGAAGTTCCGGTTAGTTTCTACTTCCGGTGTATAAACTATTCGCAGTGGCATGAAAAGACCGAAACTGTTTCTACTATCAACCCTCAATGGTACGATCACCCGGAGATGCGCGAGCGATTACAACGCATACAAACTGTTGATCTTCGCGGTGAACGTGCTGTGGAGGTAATAGATTCGCCATATGTAGAGGGACCCGAGCGTCGCGTTCCGACGAGCAATCCAGATCTAAGTTCATATGTGCGTCGTCCGCGATTCAACCCATAAACATAACCTTGACGTTATCTATTAACACATGATATAATTAATATAATCGTTGTCTTTATTGTTGATATTGGGCGTTTTATTTGTTTGAGCGCCGTGTGCCCGCGTGATGATGCCGCTTGGGCTTTGAGTTCACATCTACTTTTCGGCTCCGATGTGGCCGTTTGAAGGTAGGTTCGCCATTTTAGATTTTCTGCGCTCTAGGGTAGCGCACGGCGAGGCATCGGCCGCAGACCGGCCTCGCCTTTCGGTGGAGCAGCGCTACCCTCTCCCCGAGAAGTATGAGAAGAACCCAGACCTAATTCCCAAGTATTATGCTTTCCAGTCGAACCTGGTTACTGACGATGACCTGGTTCCTGGTATGCTTCGTCAATTGGAGGTCGACAAGCGATTGACACTGCCTACTCGTACTCATATCCGCTTTTTGATCACGTCTACTGATGTGATTCACACATGGTCAATTCCTAGCCTCGGTATCAAGGCTGATGCTGTACCTGGACGTCTCCACCGTGTGAACACTTTTATCCTTCGTGAAGGTGTTTTTTACGGCCAGTGTTCTGAGATGTGCGGTACACTGCACGGATTTATGCCCATCGTCGTCGAGGCTGTAGCGCCTGAGACATATGCGGCACATGCGAAAAAGTATTATAGAGAGGACTAAAAAGTTAATCTTTATATTTGTTTGATATTTAATATAATGTTGAGCAAGGGAAAGTGACGTCGCATAGTTCACCGAACTCCTCCTGCAGGTTTCGTTGACAATGCTATAATTTCTCGATCCTCACCTTCATTGCATAACTGAAGAACGAGAGATCGGCTATCCCGAAACACGGACCCTTATATGATGAAGGAGCGACACATTGCCCCTTGCCTGAATACGAATAGGGTAAGATGGTAAGCTATCGATACCGGTATGTTTCCAGCCCTAAGCAACTATTTATCGTTTAATAGCTGTAAAACATACCTCTGGGCATTCTGCTTGGTAGTTTATGGTACATTTTCTCTGCGTTGGCTGATCCACCATCTTGGATTAAACTAACGTTGCATGGCCATGCGACACCGCATCTATTTCCCCAAAGTGTACGTTCTGTTTCATGCATTTTAGTCAGATCAGCAGGTTCCACGCAACGTCCTACATTATCGTGAGCTACACCATAATAATCTGTTGATTTACCATGGTAGGCAGCGGATGGCACGCAAAGACCGTCCTCCATGTACCAGAACTTAGGACATTTTGCATTCTCATCGATATCACAATAACTATAACACGGCCTGAATAGTGTCAACAACCATAATTACTTGTTGCTACCATGTGATGCCGCATGTTTGCTCTATGCGCAGTTTGTCCTCCTTTGTATCCACGAATGGTAAATTCGTTGAGCACGGTCCATGATAGAATATTGGAGCTTCACACACTCTAGTGAATACTAATGATTCAGTCCACCCTGCATTTTTCTATGTATATATCTCTGGTCGTGTCTACCTTCTGCACATGGTTTCCTACATAGGGTGTTAGTTTACGTATCGACAATTAATTTGACTTACGTGTAGTCCCTGACACAGTCATTTGCTTCCGCAGTTGTTAGCGGCTGGGTGAATAGGGATGCGATGATTGCGATAACAGCGAGGTACGACATCTACGCGTGTCTTCAGTTGAATTTGAGCGCCTGTAACTTCCACGGTGCCATTAAACTATACAATCACCATAAAAGTAGCACAATTTAAAAGCCAAATACTAATGTGTGTTAACTATACTGCCGTTATTATGACTTATTTTCTGTTGGGCCGGAACGCACATCACTATGGTCCTTCCAGTATTGTACCTTTAAAAAACATTATGGACCAAAGTGATATACACACTATAGCGTCGGATATACAGGAGTGTGGCTACCGGAGGATTGCCATTCAATCTTCAGATGTGTCGGCAGCGGCGCGTTATTGCACAGCGCTACAAGAACACTTCCGTTCAGCTGAGGTTGCTAAGGAGTTCTACGTCTTAGGTGATGTCTTTATAGGCAGCTGTTGTACAGATGTGATCGCTGCGCGGCGATGTGCGGCAGGTAGGTTTTGCTTTCGTTCGTTTGATGTGTATTGCTCTGGATCTAACACATCACCCATTTCCTCTATAACACCGACGCAGATTTCGTAGTTCACATAGGAGCATCATGCCAAAGTTATGTGGAGGCTCCTATGCCCGTAAGGCTCTATTTTGACCGGGTAAGAGTCGACAGTGCTGAGCTTTGTACATACATGCAAGGTGTCTTGTCTGATTGCACCTATGAACGTCTACTTCTAGTTTACGACACTCCATTTCACTATTTTGTTGACATTATAGAAGGATTTGTCCGTGAAATTGGGAAACCAGGGTACATAGCAGAGTGCCGTGATAGGATTGGAGCACCATCCGACCAAGCTGCTGGCGTCGATTTGTTTTGCGGGAGACACGTATTTGCCTGTTCTTCTGGATCTGAACGTAAATACGTATCTACTAATGAGTTGTTTATTGGAGATAGCAGCACGTTGGTTCTGTTCCTGGATACAGGCTGTGAGCACGGTACTACCGTGGATTACATTGCGCTATCGTCTACCGGTAGCCAGTTACATGTTGTTACCGTTGACAACGGATCTATGAGACACAGTGTAATGGACAATAGGGGTGACGCTTTGAGTTTGCGACGGTATCATAAGGTGGAGAAAGTACAAGCTGCATCTACTATTGGCATTTTGGTGATTGCACGAACACTGCGCGGGTCCACTACGTTGCGCCGATCGCTTTCGCGGGTTATTGAGCGCCACGGTAAGCGCAGTTATACGTTTTCTGTTAACTGTCTGACTGAGGCGAAATTGGCGAATATGCCAAATATCGACATCTTTTGCATGTTATCATGTGGAGAGTCGATTCTGTCACTCCCAGAAGAGATAGCTCGACGGATAGTGTTCCCCTTTGAGCTATTGGTAGCTCTAGGTTGTATCGAATGGTCCAATTCGTATGAGTTTGACTTTTTAAAGCTGGTCGAGCATATACCAGTAGAGGAGAGTGTTACTACATCATTGTCAACTGGCGAGATTCGTCGTTTACAAGGCGATGGGGAGATCCAGGTACAAGTAGATAGTTTTATGAGTACTTTACAGGATAACTCGAAGCGTACTTTTAGAGGTGTCGATCCCTCTGAGGGGTTGACCGAAAAGGCTGCTATCTTACCGGGCTTTCACGGTACTGCTAGCAAGTACGACCATGAGAATAGCTCCTAGAATATTTTAAAATTACCGCGACATCGGTTAGACTTGTGTTGTGTCGTGTTTTTGGCGGCACCATCACCTAATGTGATTGACACGCCTTTAGGTGTGTCGGCACAAAATGTTCCTGCGTTCGCTGGAACACATGCTTAAGTATCGCATTTCTAACACAAATTTACGTAACTGTATACATTGGCAATACGTCGGTTGTCCAACGCGATGCTTTGCTGGCTCTTCCACTGGGTCCGGGAGTTCGCATATCAAACCAAGCCGTGAACTGGTTGTGGTAGAAGATGGAAGACTTCGTGGTGTACACTATAAGCGCGTATTTGGCTGCGATGAGTCATCTTCTTCTTCGGATACCGTAGGATTCACGCCACACCCTTTCAATAGGCGGTTCGCCTTTTCCAAACGCCCTTTATTTCCAATAGAACCCCGCAATTTGCGTATATATGTAAGTGAACTTGTCCATCTAATTCATGTACATCATAACCTGCTTTTGAATTATTCCTTTTGACTCGATGTTAACTTTTTTTAGGGGCTCCGTCGTCACAAGAAACGTGGCCGTGGAAAAAAGAGCTCTGCCCGTGGTTATCGCTTCAAAAGACAGAAACATAGAGGTAGCAAGGCGAATAGTCGTACCTTTGAGGGTGGACAGACTCCTCTGTTTAAGCGACTCCCCAAATGGCCTGAGGCATGGTTATCCAGGTATGTCCCTTTACCTTGTTATTACATTGTATCAGACAACGCAAAACACTGGACCCACTGAATTTGGCCAAATTACGCTATTTCATCGAACGTGGTCGGTTAGACACACGCTTCCCTATAACGCAACGCCACCTCTATGATAGCAAATGTGTTAAGGTGAAGAGGGGTGTACAGCTGTTCAACGTCAATGATTACCCTTTCCCGTACAAGATAGATATCGAGGTTGCTGGGAGCGATCAATCGTCCATCGATGCTATAAAGCGAGTAGGAGGTTCAGTTACTATAGTGTACTATGACCGTGTAAACTTACGAGCCCACCTGAAGCCATATAAATTCGAGGTACTCCCCAGAACGGTAGGCTGCTGTTCCATATTTTCTTTTCTATCTATTCGCAGGCCCGTCCAAGCATAGACAAGGTGCATTATTTGGAGAAGATGCGTGCTAGGGGCTGTAACGTGGTATATATTAAACCAATGTGGCTTATTAAGGAGGAGCAAGCTATTGCTGCAGAGATGGCAGAGCTCGAAGCTGAGACTCTAACAAGCTCTGAACTGGACCCACATGGTAGGTACATACTGATCGATTTAACATTTAATGTACAGAAACGGCATCACAACGTGAAGAACGGCTTGTGAAGCTTTACCGAGAACGTTTGATGCGTTTTGGTCGTCCATATGAGTAAATGCAGTACAACTAGTGATTAAAATCCTGCCGGAACTGCAGACAGTTTCCTTTTATGAATTCAACTTCATATTTTTTCTGTTGTTCTAGTGCTAGTTTATGCGATTTATTCTGTTTCCTGTAGAAATGTAGTATAAATGCCCAGATCATAATGCCGAGGGTGGACATCAGTGCTCCACGTATCTTTTCAGCTGTGTATGGGTCTGAGAAGCTATTAAGATCCATGATGGCGTTCAATGCCATTTTTATACCACCTAGAGCAACAACCTGTGTTGCTACATTGTTTAGTGAGAGTAGTATACAGCTAACGGCTACAAGCCATCCTGATACATCTCGTCTTATTCCGAACTTGGAGAGTACTAGGTGCGGGAATGTGAGTGCGATCTCCCCATAGGCGTTTAACAGTGTCATCTTGGTGAAGATTGCCATGGTTATCATCATTCCGACAGCCAGGACAACTCTACAAGCCCCGTCCATCTTCGCCGTTCCGCGCATCTAAGCGCGGTCTTGCGTCCGCTGCAGCCTTGACTAATGTTAATTGTCGTACCTCAGTTTAAAATGCACATCATAGTGTGTATGAATTGTCTTCTTATATTAATGTTGTCGATTGTCCTCCCGTTGTGCTAGAGTGTAGGTGTGTGGGTGTCCCACCCCCGTGTTGTAATATGCGCGACCTCTACAGGCGCTTTAATCCGATAATTAAGGAATCATGGCGGTCGGAAAGGTATGTTCGGATTCCGAAGCGCCATGTCCTATCTTTTTGGACTTGGACTGCACGTCGGACCGCACGCTCGCCTGGATAAAGACGAAACTAGAGGACACGAACAATACTAAGAAGGTGACTGCCCTTGAGCACACTATTTTGCGTAAGTATTTGAGTTGGATTTTGTGTAAACTGTTCGTGCAGACCTATTAAACGGCGAAGATGTGTCATCGTTGCTTATGAGCATAATACGTTTCGTACTACCGAGTAACCACCATCGTCTCAAGAAATTAGTGCATCTATTCCTTCAGATATTCGACTTTTGCACTCCAGATGGCAACGTTCGTGAGGAGAGCATCTTGGTCTGCAACGCCTTGCGCAATGATCTATGTTCACCTAATGAATATGTTCGTGGGTCGACACTTCGTTTGATATCGAAGCTGAGACACTGGAACATAGTAAGCCCAATGATTACGGCTGTTGTGGACAACTTGAAACACTCCGATCCCTATGTACATCGGAATGCGCTTATGTGTCTGGCGAAGATAGCCGAACGTTTTGGCACAGATTGCGTGATGTCAGGGCTGGAGGACACTGAGAATCTACTGCTAGGTGATAGCGGTGTCTCTGTTAAGGTGCAGGCATTTAATTTACTCCGCGTATGCCAGCCGGCGTTGGCAGTGCAGTATTTGATGAACGTCGAGGGTATGTTGCTTACCCTCCCACCGCGTTTGCACATGGAGATCCTATCTGCGTTCTTAAGTCTGTGTTCTTTGAACAGCGAGGTGCGATCTTTCATGATGCGCGTGGCTGTGACACTGATGGAAAATAGTCAGGACAACTCCGTCCGCGTGGAGGGTGCCAATATCATATGTCATCTGAAGTCCACACCCATTGAGGCACGCCGCGCTGCTGCAGGAGCATATATAAAGGTGTTGCTGGACGAGTCCGATTTGAATGTGAAGATGCTTGTACTTGAGAAGCTGAACACATTGCATGCTCGTTCGTCTTCTCTTGGTGACGTTCCCAACGTTTTGGAGGCACACGTGATGGATATTGTACACGCATTGAATGGTTCTAGCCGTGAAGTGTCATTGGGTCTACTATCGTTAGCTCTTCGTTCGTTGACTCGTCAGAATGTGGAGTCACTGTTACAGAGTTTCAAGAAGGCGTTCACCACTGCCGAGGACATTGCCACTTACAGTCAACAGCAGATTGCGGAATATAGAATCATGCTGATTAAGGCAATCCACTATACCTGCGGTCGGTACCCCGAGAGAAGTGGTATAGTGTATGACATGCTATTGGGTTACCTGAGCCATCAACACCAGCAGACTGCGGAGGACTGCGCGTTGTTTTTTAAGCAGTTAACAGAGTTGCTTCCTCAGTTACGTGAGGAGACAATAGTCAAGCTTCTCACGTATTTAGAGATGATCCCACACTCCAATGTGTTATCAGTATGTTTTTGGGTGATTGGCGAATACGCAGAAAGTTCTCAACTGGCGTCACATTGCTGTAACCATATATACGATATTCTATCGCCATATCCATTCGTCGCTCCGAACTGCTTAACGGAGTCATCACATTCTTTTGCTTCAAGTGAATTCAGTTCTGAAGAGTTTGAGACTACTGTCACTACGCAGACGGTAGTATTACAGGACGGTACCTACGGAGCACAATTGGCTGGTGATGCTCAACGCGCTCCTGTGGAAGACACCCTTCGCGATATTTTGTTGAAGGACTGTGACCCACTGCTGTACTGTTCCGTTGCACAGTGTTTACTGAAATTGTGTTTCACCTCGGGTGATGACGATTGCATAGCAAAGGCTGCTTTAGTGACGGCGAACCTGATACGTCTGATGCAAGATCCGCAGTATGCTGATGTATACTCTCAACGTCGTTTACGTTTGATTATGAAGCTGTGCATTGGATTCTTAAAGAACCGAGAAGAATTTAGGCCACTGTTGGACGAGTACATATCCACGTCTCGTAAGAAGTGGTCTTCGACACCTCTAAGTGCTACTATTGAGCTTAAGGGTGATATTGAGGAGCCTATCAGCTACGCTTCGATTTTCGGTGGTATGGTTGAAGATGATTGGGCGTTGGATGAGGAGAGTGATGAAGGCGAGCTCACTTCCGTTGAAGACTTTGAAATTGATAAGGTCCTCAATACTACTGCTGCCATCCATGTTGTTGGTGTTAAAGACCATGATAAACGTGATTTGGGTAACATCCATCAGTTCACTTCATTGATGGATCCAGTTTACATCGAGGCTACCATTAGCGTGATCGCAACTCGCATGTACCTTACATTATACTTGAGAAACACGACTGAGTTTTTGCTTCAGAACATCCGCGTTGAGCTGTGTTCGAATGAGCGTCTGGAAATATCATCCATTACCCCAATTATAACCCTAGAGTCTGGTGGAAGCAGCGTGGTCCATGTGAACTTTAAGATGAAGCGCAGCCAAAATGATGTTCTGTACGGTCACGTGTATTTCGACAAGGAGAAGTCTGGTATCCAGGAATGTCTTCCATTTAACCCAATGGGTGTATGTTTGTATGATTATGTGTTACCAAGCTTCATATCATCTGAATTATTCCGCACATATTGGGCTGACTTTGAATGGGAGCATAAGATCCACATCCAACCTGTGAAAGTGATCCCACTGGAGCTATTGCGTAATGTACTCCAGGTAACTCACATGACGGTTGTTGGTACTATGCCACCATCTGGGTTCAAGAGCGCTCCTGGTCCATCTGGCCAGAAAGAGTTTTTGTCGCAATATATGGAATACCTTTCACGTCTTCCTGAGTTAGCTGCAGTATTGGGTGATGCGAGTTTCTTTGCATTGAACCTGTTTTGCAGGACTCCACACGGTATGTTACCTGTTGTATTTTCTTTACGGTGTCACAGATGAAGACGCTTTAGCTAACTTCAGTGTCGTTAAGCAGCATGACGGCCATTATTCTGGATGCTTTAAGATCCGTTCTCGTACTCAGGTATGTTATATCTCTCTTATATTTTGACATTGTGTTCAGGCTGTGGCCGTCAGTCTGGGTGAGCGTGTGTCTAGTTTACAGCGCACATTTGTAATTTAGCGCGTTATCTGCGCTACAAAACTACTAAATTAACATGTTAGAATGTAATTCCATGTATTTGATCGATGCAGTGGCTTGTAGCGGCACGTGTTCCCGGTTGTTTTCAAGAATTCGTGACGCGCCATCCGCTACGCCGCTTCCGTTGCCTCTTATTACAATGTGCACGGTTTTCAAGATACAGTGGCCGTAAGCGTTCAGTTGTATCGCAACATGGGCTTCCTTTCGGTGAACTTTACCGACCGAGCAGCCCTCAGGAGCGCGCGGTACAAAATGAAGTAAGTTATGCACTGAATCATCGATATACCTCTCAGATAGCCGATAGAGTGCCATATGATATGGTAGAAGACTGGAAAGAACGTACAGATCATGTATTTCAGGAACGCCTGGCACATATGCCTGAGCAGTTTGCTGAAGCATCGCAAAGATACAGTGCAGATCCTAGGGACCATTTATTAGGATCATTGCTGCGGCATTGTGCTAGTCGTAGGTCGCGAGGAAGGTTCGTCGAATACGAATATTGCGTAATAGACATGCAGTACGGGAGATTTAGAACGTAGCAAGTTCATGTCGTCTGTCGCAGAGGCAACTTCAGAACAGGTTGGCCAACTTTTGGCGTCTGAGTGTGGTTTAATACTCCGTTGTTTTTCAAAAGTGGATTATCGCAATTATGATCTGCAACACGCTTTGATCGAGCGCATCCTTAGACGTGGACAAAAGTTCAGCCCATATGCCTCAGTCTCGGCCCTGAACACCTTGGCAGAAGGGTTATCAAATGGAACTACTACCCTGTGGTCTACAAACGAATCTGATAGTAAACGCCTGCTGAGCAGGTTGTTATCACAGTTGCACGGTAACCTGGATAAATTCAATCTGCGAACGTTGGCACGACTTACTAATACACTATCCCGTCTACCGTGTGATGTGAATAGTGTACTTACGGCGGTACGCGATACTCTGTTTGAGCTGCATGTACCGGAGAACAATCGTCAGTCCTGGAGTGAAGAGGTAGTCCACTTTTTTGCCAATGGCTTTTCAAGAAAAGGTTTACTCGATAAGCCACTGTTTGACCTTTTGCGAGATCGCATAACGGAATCTTGTGCCGGTTATAGTGTCGACACTTTAGTTTCTTTGAGCAATGCGTACTCTAAGTTCGGAAGTGCCGAGGACGCAGGATATATTGACTTGTTTACATGTTTGGCAGATGAGATAGTGGCCCAGCGTCGCCAGCTCACAAATAGACATGTTTGTGTAGTAGCGAATGCATTTGCGATGTCATGTATTTGCCATGAAGATCTATTACAGGTTCTAGACGAAACTTTCGTCTTCGCTATCGATGCTTACGACGGACGCCAGATAGCCATGATGATCCATGCGTTTAACAAGCTAGGGTACCGATCTCAAAACCATCATTTTATATGGCGCAAATGTACAGATGTGAGTTGTTAACGAGCGCTTGATGTATATTGCCTTAGCATCTCGACTCCTATTCATGGCAGGGGCTGTCGATGGTATTCCACGCATACACCAAGGGGGAGCTACGCGATGATAATACCACGGCCAGATTCTGCCAAAGGTTAGAATACCTGTTTAATAAGTTGGAAAAGTCGGATTCCCGAATGGCGTCTTCTCCCGACCTGCCTCAACCTACTACATATGTCTCGTTAGTCTATTCACTAGTCAAGGGCAACATCCTCAACTGCAAAGGTCTTTTGCGCCATCTAGCAAAGGTACACAACGTATATTTGTTATTGTAAACACTTTTCTTAGGGTTGTCTTGCCAATCTGGCAGGTTACGAGCCCGACGAGGTTGCGAACCTCACCTTGGCATTTTCAAAGATATATAACAACGCATCTCCCGAGCGAGAAGACGGCGATGAGGAGCTGTGGATTTTAAGCCGTGAGGTTCTAGAGGGTATTACTCGACGGCTTGGAGATCCTAGCGTCCGTTTATCAGCATTTTCTGTAGGTCTTTCGCAGCGCTTATTATCATTCAACCTGTAGATGGCGAAGGTGATTGAGGCCCTGGGTGACTGCGCATTTCCCCAGAGTGCACATGTAGTATTGGGTCTTATTAAGCGTAACTTGCTAATACTCGACCGACTGTCATATACTCATATCACCGCAATAGTAAGTCGCTTTCACTACTATCTAATGGGCCACAGATCCGTGCAATGTCTACTATGGGTATACATGATGAAGATGTTTTATCGGTGTTAAACTCGTTGAAACATAATAAACGGGTTCGCCATACCTCCGCAGTACCCGGCACATGATTGCGTCATAGACGCGATACTCGCCAAAATTGCATTACACAGCTACGCTAAATGTGCAAATGAATACTAGAAAGTGTACAGGTTGATTAAGAAGTTAGGTTCAATTTGTCTTCTGCTTAGTGACTTTGAGTTGGCGTCTGTAACATGGGTATCAGTCCTGTTTGAAATAAATTTTGGTATGCATGGAACTTTATCACCGCACTAGAAAAACATCTCTATATTTGGCCCTATGGTTTTGGTTGAACAGACTATCCTGATAAAGATTTAGTCTTATTGCCACTTCCGACTTTGGGTTAATGGTCAATCATAAACACAAATCTTAAAAGTTGACAGAATAACACCGGGAATTCAAAATAGACAGAAATAACTTCCTATGGCCCCTATAGGTAACCTTGGTCGATGAAGGCGTCAGCCACCCTGAGGAACCCTGCAATATTCGCTCCTGCTACGAGGTCACCGTGGACATTGTACGTTTCACATGCCGCCTTGCATCGGGCATATATTTGATGCATAGCTTCTCGTAAAACATTGTCTACCTTCTCACGCGTCCAGTGTACACGTTGACTGTTTTGAGCCATTTCAAGACCGCTCACCAGAACCCCTCCTGCATAGTTTTCAGACCAACATACTATTAGACCTACCGGCGTTCGAAGCTTTAGCGGGACACAGCAACACACCTTTCTCTTTGAATGCTTTGGCAGCATCTGTATGAGTGGGCATGTTGGCACCTTCAACTACGAGTTTCACTCCACCTTCAATCATACTGTGTACATCTTCTGCACATATTTCATTTTGCGTGGCGCATGGGAACGCTATATCAGCATGTACTTTCCACGGCCTTTCTCCTGGGTGAAATGACGCCGTTGTTGAGTACTGTAGGTATTCGCTAAGCCTTCTCCTGTGAGGGTTCTTCAACCGCATGACATATCTCAATCCTTCACGTGTAAATCCCTTGGGTTCATAGATATATCCACTAGAGTCGCTAAGAGTGAGAGGTACCGCCCCTAGGTGGATAAGTTTTTCTGCTGTATGTTGTGCGACGTTCCCGCTACCGCTGATGATACAGCGTTTGCCGTCGATAGTTTCCTTGAAGACATCATTGAGCACAGCAGTGGCAAAGTACACGACTCCAAATCCTGTAGCTTCTGTCCTGATGTTCGATCCACCCCATTCTATACCTTTTCCTGTAAGTGCTCCGTCGAAGGTATTGCGCAACCTTCGGTACTGCCCAAACATATATCCAATCTCTCTTCCTCCAACACCAATATCCCCAGCGGGTACGTCCGTATGAGGTCCTGAAACAACGTGAACCATTTATTTTGAATTCCACCTACCGATATGCCTATGTAACTCAGTCATGAACGACTGGCAGAATGATCTTATCTCGTTATCTGATTTGCCAGTAGGATCAAAATCCGAACCACCCTTTCCACCACCGATACTAAGATTTGTTAGACTGTTTTTGAAAACCTGTTCGAATCCTAGGAATTTGAGAATGCTAAGGTTAACGGAGCCGTGAAAGCGGATCCCGCCCTTGTAAGGTCCAAGTACAGAACTAAATTGTACCCTAAATCCACGATTAAATACCTATATAATATTGTCATGTCTATATATTGATAAACTTACAGTTTCACCTGAATCGTTGGTCCATGGAACCCGGAATATGATAACTCTTTCAGGTTCGGCAAGGTGTTCTAGTACTTTTAGGTAACGGATATCCTTCTTGAAAACTGGTTCTAGCGATTCCATGACTTCTCTACAAGAATTGTGATATGAACATGACACGCTTACTCGAATGCTTGGAGAAATTCAGGTTCTGCGTTGTTTCGTTCTATAAGTCGTTGGCGAACTGCAAGACTGAGCTCATGGAGCTCGTCATCACTAACCGACAGCGTCCTCATGTTAATATTCATCGTGACTAATGTACTGTGTGTGCCACTTCTAACTATATGCAGGTGGCATGGATGATTTGTATAACGTCAAGTACAGAAGATGCGGTGCTAGCCATTCCAGCGACCACATGCCAAAATACATTACACACTAGCAATATCTTATATACAAATTAAAATACATCTAATTTACGAATCGCCAGTTAATGGCACTACTGAAAGATCGCCAAATGTTGCATTGCCTTGCGAGATATAGAGACCTGGGGAAATGTGTGACTGAAAAATTGTGTCTTACCAAAATATCCAGATGATTTATATGGCATTCTAGTAGCTGTTATTATTTTACGTCCATCAATTGACACATCGATTTGTCTGTAATCTTTGATCAAGTCGTGCGTGCAACTTACCCTTTGTATCCGGTGTCATTGATTTGAATTTTTTGTACAAATTGACTGTTAATTTGATCCTGAAGCATATGTCTAACGTTTCTATTCAACTTACACAAGCTACTTCTGTAATAATATCCTGGTAAGCGCCATTGATGCTCTTAAGAGTGGCTGTCTTGGCCAGAGTGTTCATCTCGAATACCACAAAATCTTGATCTGATCCCCTAATAATAAAACCACCACTACTATCAACACCCTGGGTTCAATATAACTTGGTATACAGCTGATAAGCTTACCAACTTGATTGTTGCTTCGTACGTGGCGGCGTTGCATAGGGTTACCTTTAATGGAAGCTGTGCAGGTTTGTCGAGGTTGACTTGCTTGTTATGTGTGATTTTAGGCGTATTAGAGTCGCTGATCAAAATCCAACCGTTTTCCTCTGCGTCCTTGAAATCACTGAGTTAATTGTAATTAAATGGTAGGCAACACTCACTTAAGTGATAGGACGGTGGTACCATATATGGTACATGACGAAGATACCACAGGTGGTACAGGTTGCTGATCGGCATTACCCACGGCAATCACATTGTTTTGTGGAGCGCTGACGGAATCCTGTTCACCATTTGTGTTGTTTTTGGTGTTGCTGTTGTTGCACCCGTCAAATAAGAACCACCTGGTCACTATGTTACTTTGCATAGAGGTATCACTTACAGGTATGAACATGCGAAAGTGTCGGAGTTATTGCCAGTGTTACCGGCATCATTCCCATTAGCTTGCCCAGGAGTAGCAGGCACTGCTGCTGGTGTTTGTTGCTGGGCGACTGGGTTAGGTGTAGCAGCGATGGGTACTGCCGGTGCATCACCAGCGTTTACTGCTGGTGATGCGTTGTTTCCAAGTGATTGGTTTGCGATGGGGGCAGTTTTACCCAAAGCATCGGTAGCGGTTGCTGTTACTGCCTGCAGGAGTGAGGCCTGTTTGTTGAGAGCTCCAGATTTGCGATTTGCACGATGACTGTCATTACGACGAGTTATATGCCCTTCGTGACCATGTATACCATGTTTATCCACGTGTGTCGTTATTTTAGGCTCCCTTGACGTGACGTGTGTGTGGCCACCGTCAGAGTGATGTTGATCGGTTTGGTGTCGTTTATGTCTCGCGTCAGCCGACACACTCCTCCATTCTGGCATCGCTATTGCGATAATCGCCAGTGTAGTCACACCCACCATGATGTGAGCATAAATGATTAAATGTGTACCGGAAGGCCGCGGTCCACTACACGACATCACCCGATCTTCTTCGGTGTGTGTTATGTGTGTACCATATACGCATTGCTAACTTAAAATATTAAATCTGTTTTCATCGTCGAATACTTACTAATGACGTCTGACGACCATTATGCCGCGTTAACATCTTTTGCTATTTCAAGGGGTGATACAATCGATTTGCACATTTCACTGTAATTCGAGCTCAAAGCATAATATAAATATATATAACGTTTGGTAACTTCAGCGTGTGCAGATACATCGTGGACCTTAGCTTGGTTCAGCGTACCGTGTACGCCGACCGCATAAAAGTGCTAGCTGATGTGATATATTGTCAAAACCATTAACAATAAATAAAATCCGACATTTATTATTTATTATTAAAGCAAATACGGCCCTTTGAAATCTGGTCATGCCGAAGCAGGTTAGGATAAAATAACCGGCAATATTGATGATATATAACTGCGACGCTTTCAGTAGTGACGTGGGACAGTTATCATCGTAGCAAATATGGAATCTGTACAAGAGGAGCCTGATTCCCCATCCTCTATAGATGTGGAGCGTGCGGCCAACATATACTCGTTACTACAGGCCTTGGAACACCTAGAACAATCTTTTGTGTCAGGAGATGTGACCACTAAAGAGTATAATGAGGAGTGTACGGAGCTATTGTCCCTTTGTCATATCATAGAGGAAGCAACTCCTAATGTCTTTGAAAAAATAGCAAAGGTAAGTGACATTATATACCCATTATCCATGAGGTGAGCAATACTAATTGCCATGCAGGAGTACGATGTAAAGTGTCCTTTGGCCTTGAATCGGCTGAAAAGGGGCGCACCGGCATCATCGACAATGAAGCAACAAAGTTCAAAAAATAACGAGGTAGGCATATGAACACCATTTTATGAACAAAAAACATACAGACGTATCTTATGTTTGAACTAAGTGAACATTTTATAACATTGGTTGACGCATTGAAGCTGGGATGTAGTTTAGTCGAGGAGGTAGGTACACTATCACTAATACTCAAATACCGCTCTCAGCTCTACCCGCTGATTCACGAACTTGTGGCATCACTCAGTTGTTTACAAAAACTACTATCGGAATCGGGAAACAGCCAAGCAGCTACATCTGCTCTAGAAAAACTAGGAGAGTGGAGATCGAAATTAGAAAAGATGGCAGCATACGATAAATTGGAGGAAACTGATAGGAGGCAACTAGCAATGGATACTGAAGCTGCTTACGGTGCTTTGAAGGTTTCTTTGCGGATGCAAGGTTGATAAAGGGGTTTACACATGTGACACACCACGGGCAATGAACGCGCGACTACAAGTTAACGAAACTTACAATCAAGAGCCACATTGCAAAGTTCAATGATACACACACCAACAATGACGTATCGTGTCTACACATCATAACCAGGATAAATTGATGGGACACCCTATGCCACCAGGTGCGACTTCACGTATTACAAGTGGTAATCGACACATTTCCAGTTCCATGGACCAAAATGGTTCACACAAAATTGGCACTTGCCATTTTATGGCAAGTGTGTACAATTTCAGTAGGCAGGCTGACGTCACAGTCGAGGATAGGCTGTAGACAGGCGGCAGCCGCCGACCTTGCTGAGACACCTATCCCAAACCAGGAGGATCAAAGCGCTTTCTATACAGGACCTGCACCGAAGGTAGGTATAGATAATGCTCAGTGTGTATATCTATATTAGACATATAACTCATTATCTGCAGTTGGTACTACCACTCATACCAATCCAATGTGAAGTCAAACATGAAAAAATAGCGGTATCGGTCAAAGGACCACAAACGCTACAATCGGATTCATACCTCAAGAAGATACACGAGGAAAATTTGGAAAATGTAAAGGCCGGGAAAGTGAATCATCTCTTTCCTGGAGGGGGACCTAACGGGTCGATAGGGGTTGACCAAGCAACTCAGAAAAGACATGCCAATCGGCTGCTAAATGAACAGGAAAAACACGCTAGTGGCCCTGTTGCAGCGGGTGGAGAGGTCAAGGATGTCACCACTGGAGAGACACGCCATGAGGCTATCTTTCCAAGAGCGCCGCGTAATGCAAGCTTGACACTTGCTAACCTGCGTCATACAACTTTTGTTATAGAAGCATTCATTGGAACACCACATCAGTTGTTCCTGCCAATGCTAGATACCGGAAGCACAAATGTATGGGCGGTCCACCCAGAATGCAACTCTGTTGGATGTACCACGTCCATGAAGTTCAATCCAAAACAGTCCACAACATTCCGACATATAGATGCCGATAAACCATACATACGTGCAAAATTCGTATCTGGTATGGTACTGGGAGAACTGGGATACGATGACTTCACGATAGGTGGAGTTACCGTAAAAAACCAAATATTCGCCATGATGCGTAACATCCCAGATAAAACCACTAACCATGTGCTTAAGGTAAGCGATTTACACAAAAGTATACAGACATACAGGCGACACATTTCAGCGGAATGATCGGTCTAGGGTTTCGTGATCTCATGGTTGTAGACTCAGAGCCATTATATGAACGTTACTTTCACGCACTTGGAGCTGAACCTATATTCAGCTTCTACTATTCTCTCGACGGCCGTAACTCTGCATTCATGATGGGAGGCGCAGACCAACGGTTACACAAGGATCGCATACGTATGATACCAGTCATACCCGGGTACTACTGGCAGGTAGGATTGCACGAAGTTTGGATTGGGGAGAGAAAGGTATGCTGTGAACGTGATTCTTACGCCATTTTTGATACCGGAACGGCGTTCAATAGTATGCCACATGATTCTTTCATGCAACTGATTGAAGTCTACCCATTCCTAGACTGCCGTGGTGAAGATGCCAACAAACGGTTGGCACAGATGCCAACTGTAAGGTATGTGTTTGGCAATGGTGTATCTGCGACGCTACTACCTGAACAGTACTCATTTGTATCGGACGGTATCTGTAGGCCCGCATATATGCAGATCAATGTACATGTTGCTGGAGGACCAGCATACCTGCTAGGTAGCATGGGTTTCATGCCGCATTACTACACTGTATTCCAGGGCGGTGACAAGCCGATGGTAGGTGGCAACAGTACAATGGTCATCTTTGGCAGGTTGGAATTGCACCAGCGAACCACGAACAAGCTACAGCGTTCATGGATGAGCACCGCAAGAAACATTAAGATCATCCAGAGAAACTTGCCAATGTTGGCGTGAAACAATGCTGGGTACCAGTGGAGTGTTGGACTTCCCACTATATATGGTAATGCAGTAGGCACACATAACGGCCGGACAGATTTAAAAACACACGTGTAATGATGTTCACATTGCGTATATACTCAATGTCCGGCGGTGTCCCGTGCTCCGCCTTGTTCCATGAGCACCAGTCTTCCGAAAGCTTGCACGCGTTACAGGATAATGTTCGATGCCTGACCACGATTAGAAGGTTGTGATGACACAATAATTACACGTAAAGGACAACGTGAAAGGAGCATCTCGAGTGATCATAGCCAAAAACATTCGGTACTCAACAAACTGCGTTTGATTTAACTCACCTTATTCACCAAATGCTCAAATCGATTGATATCACAGTTGGAGTTGATCACGGCCAACCTGCTAAGCTCGCAATATGGCGGGACAGCTGAGTTCCCGATACTTAGGTTCATCGTCTTTCTAGTGATGTCTCGGACTGGTGAAAAAGATGCCTCGCATGAAGAAGAACTGCTCCTCATAGTCAAGTTAAGCTCTTTAGGATCTGATGATACCTGGCTGCTACGTAGGGTTCTATTGACCATCTCTTCCCCGGGAGTCTCTGAAACCTCAGCGGCGCAACGCTGACAGCGATACCACCGGGATCCTTTGCGATAGGTATCATGAGTATCAGATTTAGCAACAGTCAATCCCCATTCCTTTGACACTTTGCTGTCTAACAGATCCGATTCGACGGTTGTAGTTGGTAAATGAGTAGTGGATGCTGAACGTCTGACACCAGTTTTGTCCGACGACTTGACAAGAACATTCTCCATGAACTGTGCCCGAACAAATTCGGGGTCTATCGCATCTCCACAATGCTTACAAAATACCCGACCATGTACATAATCAAGGTTGAACCTTGAAATATGCCTACGGTACTTATATTTCTGTGACCTCGCGTTTTCAGCCAAAATACCGTAGTTCTGACCGAAACCATCACGCGCTCCAGGGCTCACCATGATCTCCAGGCGATGGACAGCCTTTTTATTATCATCATAGCTCCACCAGACACGTAAAACAACGTGAGAAAGGTAGTGCAAGTCCCTTGTATTGTATTGTACAAGGGGTTTCGCCTCATCTGGGTTGTCATCCAGGTAATGTGCATATTTCAGGAAGTTCAATAAAGAGAACAGGATAGAGGCCGAGGTGACGTAGTACCTGGAGCGCACCATACGATGTGACATGCGGGAGCTCATATTACGAGCTTCACTGAATTCTTGACGCACAATATCACCATCATCACCACTTGATGTGCTACTCGGGTCATCACGTGACACATCCACGCGTGTTTTAGCTTTTGTTCCAGAAGAAACTACTGTGGAATTTATCTCCACAGGCTCATCCAAATCGGCACCACTTGAAACAAGGTCCCAAACCTCTTCCATATGTGTTCGACTGGTAAACATGTTCATCTCACTTGGACGAAGACCACCAATAAAGGTCATATTGGGGTACTTACTCATCTTTTTCACACTATCAGAGTCAACCGCAAGGCTGTTTGCAGCTACCGCGGCAGCACTGGCAGAGGTAGAAGCTATAACTGAGATTTTCTTCAGCGGATCTGTTGTTGGCTGGTTGAGATATTTTTCCATGCCTAATTCTTCTTCATCCACACCAGACTCGGTGTTCAAACGCTCAGTAGATGGATTTTCACCATAACAGCTACCTAGTTCCGTGGGTATCGAATTGTACCTTTTGTGCTCCATAACACTTTGCTCAACCAATTTGGCATATAACTTATCACGGTTACGCTGCTGATGTAGCGATTTGTTTGAATCATCACAAGTGTTTTTGTGAAGTGTTACATCATGAACGATTTTTTGAAGCAGCTTTCCAGCAACCTTCACACCTATGGTCAGACGCTCAGTCGGTGTAACACCATATTCGCAAGGAGATAATACCGCAGACAAAGGTTCTACCAAATTGTAGATCTCAAACGCTGTATCTAGACCCACACCTAGGTAAGTATGGTGGTGTATTAAGTCGTACCGAAGGTTATCCACAATATCAGCGATAACGGTGTATTGAAACTGATTATCAGGCCCCTTGCAAAGCTTCCCAGTCAATGTCTTCCATCTCGATTTCACCTCCTGCAAAATGTGCAATACCCTTGTAGCATATTCGTCTACAGAGTACAAATACATCCATTTCGTCATCTCGTGTTCCAAGGAGTTCATGAAATCGTTGAGTAAAGCATTCAGACGATGCATATCCGATTTACGGAATGTCATGTCTTCAACGGCTCGACGGTAGTATTTAGCCTGGTCCTCTCCAATCGCCTCAAGTAGTCTCTCGACTTCTTCCTTATCCTCCCAATTCTCCATTAGTATCCTTAGACGGTTCTTACATTCGTTACGTTCACGAACTTCGATGTTATCATCTAACAAGGTCTGAGCTTTCTTGTCACGGATTGTCATAGCAACCAAAATTGGTGTCAATTCACCTTCCAAATCCAACATACCCTTGGTGAAAGCTGCACTGGTTAGTTGACATCTACCTTCAATTGAGGTGAATATTTTGAAATCATGGCGATACGTGCTGTGGAGACGAACCAAGCCGGTGCAATCGATCGGGTACAACGATTGCCTAAAACGTCGTCCAAGATCTTCGGCTTGACATTCACCTACATGGGTAAGTTCACCTCCCCATTTTGCCACTATAAGAACTTTATTGACCTGACCATTTTCCCCGAACTTTGCCTTCAGCTGGATTTTATGATTGATCCCGGCAAATTCATCAGAAAAGTTAAGGACATTCTGCAACTCCGTATGCAACGCTAATTGTTCGCTCAGCTCGGCCATACGGGGATCAGCTGAACGACCGGATTCATCATTCCTCTCCTCCTCGTCGCTCCTTGAAGCCTCAGATTCATATTCCTCATTCAGCTGCTCTAATATCGCCGCATTAATCTCGGTAAACTTTGCCATCTCCTCTGGCGACTTTAGTGTGATTTGTTTTTCGTTAGTGTCGCTGAAATATTGCAAAATCAGAGGATGCGAAGTCAAAGTCTTCAGTTTTTGCTTAGGCTTGCGATCCGCATGCCTCATCACAACAACCACTGAACACAATTCTTCTTGCGACTGTACTCTATCGACATTTTGTTCAATATTGGCGAATGTCTTCTTCAGAGCTTCAGTGGTCTCGCTAGTCACAATGTGTGCTGGGATGACATTGCCAAGGGTGATGTTGTATTTGAGTTGTAGCTTAAGTAAAAACATGATACGTATGATTTGACTTAAGTCCATGTGATGACGGCTGTGCTTCACAAAAGACCACCCATTGATGTCACAGACGTAGGGACCATTGATTGTACGTAAAATGTCAAAACCACATACCGCCTGACCGAAATGCTCGACAATACGATATGCTATAACCTTTTCTTTAGCTGTTAATATCACGGGAAAGCGTAACTCCTTACCATCCTTGTTACGATCGACCTTGCCGTCTAAAGCAGGTGACTTTCTAGCTTCCGCATGAGCGAACATACATCCTACAGTGTAGACCTTGATGTCTGTACCGAACGTTGACATGAACTCTTCATAGATATATGTCCCATCTCTTCGAACGCTCTGTACATCAGCACAGTATCGTGAACTCCTGTCCTGTACTTTACGAAACAACTTCTTACAACCTCCACCAGTGTTGGTTGGGTAGTATATCCAGTTATTGTGGTCATCAGCATCCAGCGACTTTTCGATAAACGGTTTGTTGATTTTAACATTATTGTATACGATGTAATCGTAATGTTCCTCGAATGTTGCCTTACCCTGTTTTACTGCTTCGTGGTCTACCACCACGTAATTTGGGTGTGGTACATGGCATGCCTGAAGTTCACGGTATACATCTAAACGTGATCTGAATACACGTTGTCGTTCTACATCGTTGAGAACAATTGGTTTGTAGCGCTTCACATAATCTATGGCCTAGAAATGATCTCACCATAACAGATTTCTTTAACCTACCTTTTCGAGAGGGAAATTTGTAGAGTAGAATGCGATAAGGCATTCTACTATAGGCCATTCTGTGATCGGCCGGCTTAATATAGTCTGTAAAATGTGTATCTATCACCAAATGAACCAACCTCCTCTGAGAATATTATGATTTCAAAGTCACCAGTAGCTTTCAGGTATCCTAATATCGATTGCATTGGAGCGCTCTCCACCTTATTGGCCATGGCACATATGCCAAGCGTGAATACGCGGTCCATAGTCGCCATCTTTGAAAAGATTCGTGAATAGCTACTGTCAAACGTAGTCACATGGCGTATCACGCATTAACACAAAACATAAATGTTACCTAGCAATTACACAAATAAAAATAATAAATATTACTAATATGATATCCACGTGAAAAGTTAAACAAATAGAACCCTAGCAGCCGTAGAGGAAGGCTAGCTCTACAGGACACACACTTGATGCTTGCCACAATTTTTTTTAAAAAATTATGTAAACCATAAAGTTTATATTGTGATTCTTTTAAAAGCTTAAAAATATTTTTTAGGTGTTAGAAGTTCTTTCTGATACGCACGAGGTGGGCGGCGTCGTTCTTATACATCTCTTGCAAACCGGAATTGATCCTTTGCCAGGTACACGACGTACAAATTCCATAAAGCATAGGAGAAGCAATCTCTAAAGACACCCTTCCGATCTTCTGTGATGGAATGAAGTTTACAATTGCCAGTACTTACCCTCTTTATGTAGTCCACGGTCTGTATAAAGATATATTTCTCTATTTGAGGCTGCACACTATCGCAATTCACCACCTATAACGTTATGACTCTAACACAGACCAAATGTCATACCTGTTGCGGTTTTATTGCTTCGTTAGATATCAGCTGCGCAGAACCCAGTAAAAAGGGTAAAAATTGAAAGTGGTCGATACCCCATGCTCCTTTGCTTCCAGCGGGCTCGAGGTTGTATCTATCTATGAGATGCTGTACTAGACGGAAATAACTGCAACAGGTGACTCACTATTACAATCACCTAACCTCGACATGACCCTTAGTACCACGTCAGATAAATCATCGTCCTTTATAACACCGCAGTCATATAGCTTCTTAAGAAACAATGCAAATTGCATCTCGTGGCCTACAAAGTTGTGAAAATAAAATCCGCTGCAGCAATACATATACATTAAAACCCTATATGTATCACCAATATCAATTTCAAACTCAGAAAAAACTAATACGTACCAGTTCCGTAATCTATGCGGACAGGGTTACCAAAGGAGTGCAGAAAATATTCTTGCAACGTCAACCTGTCTCTGTCCTTTGTTACGGTTTCATTGATACCCAAATTTTTCATGAGCTCTTCCCAGTCCTAAAACACCAGTTGATTAAATCCATGGTAAGTAACATACCTGCTTCAGCCTATAGACCCAGGCAGTATGAGCCTTGCTTCCATATCTGCCACCGGTGTAGTCCTCGGGCCTGTATTCCGCTGTTAGCTCCCAAATGTTCACAAGCAACAAAAACAACCGATCTACTATACCATCTCCCTTAATCACCAAAGGCTCTGAGGATGAATGTAAGTTAGATGGCATGGCTTTGTCGGTCGCAGCCGCATTCAACTTGTTGATGAAGGCCAGCACCTCAGCCACATCAACGTGCTGGGATGGCTCAGCGCCATTCTTATCGCAGGAATCCATTTCTTCCCAATAATAAAACTTGAAACTACAAAAGTTTCATTATCTGAGGATAAACAGAGATATAACACATAGCACAAACGCTATTCAAATAGCCTAAAGTAACCTATAAAAACCGTTGATTTATAAATTAAGATCACATGATACTATAAAAAACAACATCAAGAGGTTACTGAGCGTCGAATAGATGAAAAACAGATTGCAACAACATGTCCAATATGGCTATAGAACAGACTTGAAAAAATAAACAAAAACAGTATCACAAAAAATGTGAAGAGAACGTACCTTTGCAAAAAATTTAAGCGAGAAAAAGCTAGAATAACATCCCAACAACCAATAGAATCCAGTATCTGTATGCAGAACACAAATGATTCTATGTGTGCCTCTGCCACTGGTTAGTGACAGCTTCTTAAATCAGAACAAAATGACTCATTGCCAGCAGTTCTATAATTATAGTTTATCATTAAAGTACGACTTTCTTTACCAACATATCTCCCTCAAAAATTCTACACAACCTTCCACACAATGACGCCACGTCTCACTGCCCACTGCAGATGATGATTCCACCACAGTTCCCTGGCTAATGGACACACAATTATTTTGTGCCATGTGTGACACTTAGAACGCCAGAACTTGGAATACGCCACTAAAATTTTTTGAAGCTAATTTGGTACAACATAGGGCCTATTTAATATATATTTATAAGCGCTAATAGTTAGTTTCTACGTTTCAGTTGTAAAACCTTGGATATGTCAGTTCAGATGCGCTTACGCGAATCTGTCTCCCTTGCAATTCCATTTTCGTTTTTGTGATCGCCCGTATTCCTAACACATTAAAGAAATAAGGGCGTATACATGCACAACATATCTCCCCCATACATATATACCAGCACTTTTGCGATAACGCGGAATCCATGGATTATATATAACCATCACTATTAATATATTTGATAATAATTAGGTTATGTACATACATTTGGCGTACATGTCAGAGGGCGTATAGCTCAGTGGTAGAGCAGCTGACTGCAGATCAGCGGGTCCACGGTTCAAATCCGTGTGCGCCCTGATTTTAACTTTTAGTTTATCAAATATATCAAGCTATATAAGGGTGAACGAGTATTATGGATCTAATCTGTGACTTCTATATACACGGTTGACCAACATTTCTGTATGTAACCTAGGTACTGTACCTACGGAGGACCACTATCGAGATACCATTTCCTACAACACCGATCATCCACTTCATCTTAAACTCTGATAGTTTTGTCGTTTCTACCTAAAAATAATAAAACAAATTTGAAATGTCGCATTCGGTCGTATTAGTTATTAAACTGTGCGGTATCGCTTTGAAGCAACATGTCATATAAAGGCATTAACAATACAAACAATTATTTGTGTATATGGTCCTTACTCTATATAGACCCAGGTGGTTCGTATTTCTATGAGTATCGATGTACATTATTTAAACTTCGTAAGCCGTAGCAAGATGCAACCGTAGAGCTACACCGACGTACAGCGGTAACTACTACCATGAACATATTTGATATAGTATATTACTACACACTTTAAGTTTGAAGGACGTGATACCATTTGCACGTCTTGGCGTGCAAATGAACGCCACAAAGCGAGGGCAGGAATTTCAACATCTGCCCTCTTAAAGTGACCTACATTCAATCGACTAGTGCCATGCACAGCGGACACGTGTTGCTACGGGCAAACCATTTGTCGATGCACGCAACATGGTAACCGTGATTGCAGAGCAAAACGCGCAGACGGTCCTCCGATTCAAATTCATCAAGGCATATGCCACACATGCTAGTGCTCACATTTTCACAGTCACAGTAGCGACGAACAGGTATGCGCCCAAAATCAATCTTAGGCGCAGGCTTCTTGGTGATCCTCACCCGACTAGGTGGAAACGCATAATAGAAGAGCGTGAATGTAAACATAACACGCAGTGCGATAACGGCGAAAACATAAATCACCATTGTGTTGAACCATGGCTTGCTTTTCAGAACCGGGTTGCGTGAAGCTGCGAAACCTAAAGCATACCAGAAGTAGTTCGTGAGAGTAAGACGCTTGCTCCATCTCCACAAACGGCAAGTAGTTAACACAGACATACAGTACATAATTTCCTGGTTAGTCGCACCACGTAAACTACGCAAAACATATAACAAAAAAATACGAATGGGCATCTGTAACATTTGTAAAACCTTGTTGAAAGCAAGCCACCTGAAACAATATTACTCAACAACCAAATAGCAACTCACCACCAAACCATACTATCGTAGTGTGAAGTACTGTGCTTAAAGATACCTTTTACAGCTAAATCGGGTATGTACAACATAGCGTTCATCATTACTCCGCAAAAAATTGCTCCTTGCACAAAAATGAGAGCCCGAACAGGGTGTAAAATGACAAAATCCATCAATAAATCTGTATCTGGTTGACGTGGACTATTACGACGACTAGTATAAGTCGACAAACCGATACAAAACTCGTAGAAAGGCTGTAAGAACGAATCTCTCATACGCAACCTCTCACCGAGGTTGCCTTCAACGCTTGGCTGCGCTGAGTCTTCAGCGGTCGCCATTTGGTCCTAACAACTTTACTTCTGTTATTTAAGTGCTATCCATAAGCACAACACCGCCCCGGAGATATTGACTCGATGCACTTCACCACCCAGCTTTGACTAACCAAAATAACGCCGATATTCCCACAAAAACAACTGTCAGAAGGATATGGAAAATACCTTATAGTTAACGTTCGCAATATTAAATTATTGAAACTGATGAAATAATTAAAAGTGTCTCACATTTATAGACCAAGACACACACCTAGTCGCGCGCCATGATCCGGTACGACCTCTCAAAGGCACTTACGTCAAAGGAACCTTCACGAAGCAGAGAATGAAACTCTGACATTAGGAAGGTATCACTCTGGCGATATTTTTCTAAAAATGATGCCTTACTGGCAACACGATTGCGGCGAAGTGTAAGCAGCATAGTTCCTAATGGCCCACTAACTTTTGTAGGGGCCATAAAGTCATCTATACCAACTGTTAGAGCATCTTCGAACTGCCTGAGTATCGGAAAAATGTGCCCAAAGCAAAATTGATGTGCAAACACCCGAGTCGCAAGAGGGTGGTCAGGGTTCAATGCAGACTTAGCAACACCCAGAGGAAACTCCAATGGCGCATACATACGATGTACAAACGCCTCCACATAATCCAGTTCATGGTCATAACGCGGTGCTGGGTGTTTCCGGATGCTATCTGCGACAATTAAGGGTGAACGCAGAGTGCAAAGTGTAGCCGCATCTGTGGGAAGCACGTCTTGCATCTTAACCTTTTCATCACCAACGAGTCCAGCGTAAACCACGCACTCGGGCTTGTGTCGTGAATATGGGCGTGGGAGAAACACATCGCGTCCCATAGACGCCAAAGCTCCTGTCCTATAAGCGTTGGCAGCAGCATCATGAGCCTCACCAGATAATTGCTGAACCCGCACAGCTACCTTATCTACCATACACTCCACAATAGCCGATTCTATAATCTGTTTTGTCGACCTTCTAGGGGTTCCCAATGGCTGAGTCCAATCAACTTCTAGGTTATTCATGGCAGAGCCTATAGACGTAAGAATCGCTCGGTGTACTTGCTCCGCTTGCTGAAATACTTCACGTAAAAGTCGCTCGTTCACACCATATTGACGGCAAAATAATGAAGCCGCATCCTTTTCTAGTTGCGAATATCTGCAACACAGCCACATGAAAACCTCAATATCACTCCTTAATGATGGCAGTGCCTTGCGTTCAGGGTCATCACCTGGGACACGCGGAGCAACCAAATTAGCAACTCCAAATGACAATGCCGATATGACACAACATGCGGTACGTAATGCTAGAGCATCGCCACCCTTGGACAAAACACAATATAGCATTTTACCAAAACGCGGATGCAGCGGAAGTAGACACAAGTACTGTCCCAGCTGAGTAATCCGAGCGACACGAAGCTCTTTCATAACATCAAATGACGATCTGTACGGATACACAGGTTGTATCTTAAACGGGTTAGTAGTAACCTCATTGTGTAAGCTATATCGCTCTACCAGGGGTTTGCGCGGAGTCTCAATTGCACCTAGGACTGCTAACACTTGCATGGCACAGCGTATGTTATCCTGAGGAGGAGGGGTGAGAAACTGGAAGTCATAAGGATTTTCAATACCCATTGATGATAGAAGCAAGATTGCAAACTCGAGATTGCAATTGGAAATCTCGGTAGGTGAATTTTCGTCAAACAGCGTGTCGTATACGCTACTAGTGTATTGACGATAGCAATGACCTCTACCAACCCTGCCTGCCCTACCAGCTCGCTGATTAGCTGAAGCCTTGCTTATATCACAGATAACGAATCTAGATACACCACGCTGAATGTCGTCTACACGACGTTTCTCTTTACCACAGTCGACGACATACCTTATGTTTGGCAATGTAATAGCAGTTTCAGCAACATTGGTAGACAAAATAACCATCCGCTCGTTGTCGTTAGGGACAGTGAAAGCAGCCATCTGAGCATCCATTGTCTGAGAGGCGTGCATAGCAACAACTCGCAACCTGCCGGAACCTGATCCGGCACCATGCCACTTTATATCCGATAGTCGCTTGTAACTTTTACTTAAAACATCCAATTCAACGTGGTACTCATTATCAGAATGAGAAGAAGTCTCGTCGTCAGACTCCCCAGCCCAAAGTCGGCCAGCTGTATCATTACATGGATCTAGATCCACAACGCTACCACCATCGTCTTCATAACTATCTGTAGTAAAGGGTTTGGAGTCCGAATTTTGTAACTCTTTGCCCTCATTCACCTTAATGGTAGTATCGAGTTTTGCATCTAGACCTTCATCCACAAGCGATGTTGCGATCTCTTGACACTCTTTGTCAATAGTCGGTGTACCATGCGACTCTTTGGAAGGAACCCCTCCGGCATTAGGTGGTACAGTACCACCAGAATCACCTGCATCTTTAGTATCATCACTATTAGAGTTCCCAGAACTAGTGACCTCGTCCTCAGAGTCGTCACTTTCAATGTCGAATACAGCGTCATCGTCATTGGGTTCCTCGGCAGGTGGCGGAGGAGGAACGGTTCGCTCCGAAGCTGTAGTCCGTTCATGTGGCGCTAGGAGCCTTTTGAGACGGAATAGTTCGTCCTTACCAGTGAGGAATACAAGAACACTTCCTGGTGGTAGTCGCTGGTGTATCTTTAGTACCTTATCATATGCATCGGCAACGTAGTCACGGACAGAACGGCGGGCAAAATGTATAGTATTCCTTTTGAACTCTGTAGGTATATGGCAGTGGGTAACATGTCCTTTGAAAATCTTGGCTTCCAAAAAGTCCTCTGCACGGATAGTAGCTGACATTATCACCAGTTTCAGGGGAGGCAGCACCGATTCACCGGATTCAAAGTGTTCCCTTCGTACTTGCACGACACGTGCGAGAATACCTATTAACAAATCGCAGTTAAGGTTGCGTTCATGTGCCTCATCGATGATCAGTACGCTGTAGCGCGTGCATAAAATGTCATCCTTTATCTCCTGAAGAAGTATCCCATCTGTCATGAATTTAATCTTGCACAACTTCTGATTGTATCCCTTGTTAAATCGATATTGGTAACCGACTAACGTCTTGGAATTGAGCTCAAGCGATACTTGTTGGTACAGCGCTAAACACGCTACTCTTCTGACTTGGGTGACGCCTATTATCGAATTTCCGACACAGAACCCATTCTCATACAAGAATTGTGGTACCTGTGTTGACTTACCACATCCTGTATCCCCGGTGATTACTACCACATCGTTGTATTTTATAGCATCAACTATCTCCTGCTCCATCATACATGCTGGCAGCTTGATACGGCGCAGATTCACATCAAACTGACGTTCTACATCGACGTGTGTATACTGCTGTTCCCTCTTCACTGGGCCTGAAACCGCGGAGGCAGTTTTCGCCTTCTTGGCAGATGATACGGGTCTCGCCATGTTTCAAAAACTCGTTGGCGACAACACATTCAGTAGAAGGCCGATAGAAACCAAAAGACACAGTATATAATTAAAGAATAAAATGTTATATCCCGTGTATTCAGCAACATTGTATTAAAATGTGCTCATCCGTGATACCAAATGATATCAGACGAACAAGGATCATATAATGATATTACGCGCTACATTTACGTTACAATAACCACGATGTCCTATCTGTCCTAGTGGAATGTGGTTTGATGGAGCTACAAAATACGACTAACTGTCATAACCCTCCTTGTCGTCGCTTGGGAGGCGGTATAACAGTGCTGCTCATATGTAAAATATATCGTCATCACATTATTAATATCATTTTTAAAATAGTGCTTGCAATGCGACCTCATATACAACGAACGTAAACGCCTCGTTGGCAAAACGGCCCAGATCGACGCTCCTCACACACACACACACATGAACGAAAATGCGATACATTACAAAACAGTCTTTATGGTACACTATAGTATAAGTATAAGCACCAGAATGACCGTCAGAACTACAATGTAGAACATCAGACGGCGCTTACTGCTACGGCGTATCAGCTGCTCAAATGTTGCTCGGTTGCTCAAAATTTGGGCGTGAGAAGAATCCATGGCAGTCTCTAGATCAGTCATAAGACCCGAATGGTAATCTACCTCGTCCCTGATATGTGTACTTATGTTATGTATTGCTCCAGCAGTGGAGTCAAGCATCTCTAGCTCGTCCTCTTGAGCACGCATAACCGATTGCCTATAGTCATAAAGGCTGGATTTTGACATTTGGTCTAGTTCGCGTGGCTGAAAAGCCTGCAGTAGCATATTATCGGAGAGTTCACAACTTACCGGCTGCGTGGTGGACAGGGGAACATTACCACCAGGGTGATTAAGAGCCCCTTCCAATTGTTGATACGATCGTTTTATATCGTCAAATTGATGTCTCCGAGATATCAATGTGCTTTCTGCGCCGGCGCTGCTTGCCATATCACGCAATGTCAACTCGAGGTTTGTGATGGTCTAGAAACGTAATAGACAAATAGTAACACCACCTACCTTTCGCAATGCATCCAGCTTAGCACGTACGATCGTGCCGTACGTTTGTTTGTCATTGCCATCGATGTTGCGTGAGAATTGGTTCACACAGTCGTTTGTCTCCCGGATAAGGTAGAGCGCATTTTTGACGTCTAATTCCCAAATACCATCCATAGTTCCAACGCAACCAAGCGGAGTGGACCGCGTCTCGATGGTACAGCGTATCGGAAGGTATAGCGCTAAAGCTTTGGGGCTGCTGATGTTGTCGGGGTGTGGCAAAGCGCCATTTACGCGCCACCGCGCCTCAATTACACTGTACCTCTGTTGTTTTACTTCAAAAATATTATTCAAACATTCATCCCCTTTAGAATCCACAATATAAAGGTACACCGCATTCGATTTCACAATGCAACGCAAACGTGGAAGCTCGAAGAAGTACACCGCCAAGGGGCGATCGCGCTACGTGGCAACTGAGGAAGAAATCATCGCACGGAATGCTGGAGTTACAGCTGAAGAATCTGGCGAGGAATCACCAAGCGAGGAAGAAGAGGAGACACCGAGGCCGGTAGCTAAACCTTCAAGGCGCCCAGAGGTACGGTTCTTACAGATGTAACTAATTTCTCGCAGCGAAAAAATGTATCCGATGGTTCGTCTGAAGATGATTCAGGGGAGGAGGTGAGTGGTGTACTATTTACTCATGCACCGTGCTACAGAGCTCATCAAGTGGTTTCGAGATTTGCAACCCTAACCGTAATGCTAGGCCTGTCGAAAAGACTGGTATTGTTGAGCTATCCCGTCGTGAACGCGAAGAACTACAGCGCCAGAACTTTGAGAGGCAAAAAATGGTGTGTAATTGCATTAGGTTCTAATAAATTTATAGACTCTCATGGCTCAGGGAAAGCTCAAGTCGGCTCAGGCTGACCTCGCAAGGTAGGTGATTCTATAATATTAATGTAAACGCTACGCAGGCTTGCCGAAATCCGCAAACAGCGCGAGGCTGCCATGGCTCGTAAAATGGAGCAAATGTCGCTAAAAGGAAATCAGTGAAACTGACCGATCTTATGCTGCATTTGATTAAAAAATCTGGTGTAAAGGTGTGTCCTTGGTTATATGAAAACTATAACCAGATTGTTCGGCCACACAGTTGGCAGACTAAAGCGCCACACCGGAGGGTTGTGTAGTATTCCGGTATGATAACACATCGGAACAATGTTGCGTAACCATTGCTTGGGACATAACAACCGCCACGCTTGCCGATGGATACCTGAGGCGGGCCCGTGTATGAGGCGACTTCGAGTGGCCCTTACAAAATCCACTAATTGACCCGTATGTCACAAACTGAAATTGATAAATGTGTTTTACCGCATACGAATCATTGATACAACTGAATATGTGTGGAACTAAACATGAAAATTGTGTCTAAGGGGTCGGGTGTGTATCTGCCATACCACCTTCCAACTGTCGCCAAAAATGTCGAAGCTGGTTGGAATAGATACTTAATAATGATGTGTAAAGGGTTTTCAAATGGCTTGTCTATTGCCACTTACTATCGGGTAGTGTCACATGAAGTGTGCGGGGGCACCTCGCCAAGCAAAAGTGGGTCACTTTGAACATTTACTTTAAGGAAAAATGTAGAGTCATGTTCCGAAAGCGTAGTAGTGCAATAGACAGCAATCTATTTGCTGTGTTATCTCCTTTATAACATCATGGCTGCACTTGTCTGCACTTCTCCGCTTCTATACCTATCATTAACGCACGATTAAGGCCACATGACCACTTCTAAAGGCTGTTAACCTTTAGATAGAGACGCACATAGTAAAAAAGTGCTCTCTGTTAATTACAGTCTCACTTACGCGCTCGGATTGTATTCGGCGCCTTCCTGTAACCTGTTAGACATACACATAAACTTCATGAGGACGCCAGCAGCTCTCGGGCTCGTCTCGAGCCTCTTGCTCGCCTGGCAGGCATCCTTTTTGACCATTAGCAGTGCTATGCGTCTACGACCAATGAACAATGAAGCCGCACTAGAAGAAGATCTATCAGATACCTTAGATGAAACTAATGCACTAATGTCTTCAATCGACGATGAAAAGGACGTTGAAGCAAGAATTTCAGAGTTCGTGACTGATAACCCAAAGATTCAAGATGTTGTCTGCGCCAACTTCGACGAAAAGGCAGCTTGTGAAGCAGCTGTAAATCAATATGTATCACGCTGTCTGAACACTAATTGCGCGATTATCGACAACGAAAACCACCCTATTGGTGGCAAAAACCCTAACATCAGATTGCCAAACAAATATCAACTTGAGGCTATTTTCTATATATTCAAAATAGTTGTCAAGAGTTACAAAAAGGAGAAGCAACTTGAGGGTGTCAACTTCAACAACAAAATGAAAAACGAACTTTATCGCTTGTTCTTGTCTCTATTGATGCGTCAAAACCTTTTATTCAGGAAACTTAAAAAGAGAGACGTCTTCCTAAGTCGTTACCTCTACATGACCACATTGTATTACAAGGCGTACACAGCTGTTGAAGAGGTCAAGACAAAGCTACAAAACTCTTTGAGAGTCGCTAGGTACCTATGTGGCAATCGCATTAAAAGAACACTCAAAAACATCGTTGTTGCCAACGTCAAGGGATCAGTGCGCAACACTCCAGCTCGCTACATCGTGGAAATGAGTCGTGACTATGAGAGCTATCTTCACCAGCTAACGCCAAAAGCAGAGAATTTCACTCACGAATACTCGAAAATGACCATCGATATTCTAATAGCGACCATGGCAAAGATGGTCATTGAAGCAGAAAGACCCTGGTATAAGAAACTGCTCCGCTGGTTCACCACACCAATCAGGGACACATTTAACCCGTTCGCCCGGAACAAACTCATACCGAGAACATGGAAGAAACTGAAGTCTAAACTTTTGAAACAAGATCCTACGAGCTACGATAATTTTGTGGACGAGACCAAAAAGCTGTTTTGACGCAAAAATCTAATATCGGCATAGCTCGTTCAAATATATTTTAATTACAACACATCGGTATAAAAGACTCATTGCACAAATAATATATAGGTGATTCCTATAACAATTATATGCTTTGTACGTTTCAATAACGTAGCTCGCTTTGGCCGTCAAAGGGCAAATGAGTTATTAGAATGAACTGTGACAGTTATGCAGCAATAGTCGCTTTAAGCTGCTATAATGAGATGAATCAAGCATCTTGTTCTGCTGTGATGAGTGACAAAGTTGGCTAGGGGCATAGCGATACTTGTTTTAAAATATTCGATCTAAGATATAAAACTAGATATGCAACCGTTTTATAAGTCAACATAAGGTCGTACTATCACCTGCCCATCGCAGATGGAAACGATTCAGTTATAGCATACCGGTGAGCCATATGCAATTTGTTTGAAATTAAAGTTCGATGTGCATTAAGAACCATATTAAAAGTTCGTTATGGCATACTATTATTGAAACAGTGCCTTACAGCAATCTAGAGTAAGATAACCAAGAACTGTTGGCGATTTTTTTGTAACATGGGCAGAGGAGCTGTGCGGTACTTTAGCCATCACAGACATCAGAGCTTCTACATTCTAACATCGAAACATATAATCTTTTACACATGATTAATCCATTTCGAACTCTTACATAATACATTTGACAGCAGAAACCCTATTGTAAATTAACAACTTTGCTACGACAGGGAAACCAAAGTTGAACCATCGAATTCGCCATTTGTGCTTACAAAGCAATTGACACTTTTGTCTATATAGAACATTCTTTGATAATAACTGACAGCATTTGTTATTTATTCTGTAACCTTATAAAAACAATAATAGTACAATCCAACTCAAGGAATGAACTTGGTGATTTTTTTTAACCAAACACAAAACTACGATTCGAAGGCGATTTATATGAGTTAATAGGAATGGGAACAACCTATACGCCAAACGTAGTTTCGTATTACGATATTGATATACAGTCCACAAAAATTACAACCCAGGTTATTCACACAATTGCAGGTGCCGCTATACTGTGCAGGACTTAATTGCTCATAAACCAACATTTATTAAACGTTATTAAGGGATCATTTGCTAAAAAGATCTTTTGTGACTTATGGTTCAATTATCGTTCGATACAGCAGCGGGTTCCTCTTTTGCAGGTGCATCGTTGGACTCTACGTATATCTTTGCCTTTTCGAGAAGTTGATCTAGCAATTGATGTTTCTGTATATATGCATCAAATCCCAGCTCCTGTAGCTGTTTTTTAAAGAATGCCTCTACATTTCGTCCAACCTGTGCGATCCAAGTTTCAGGTTTGTTGTACTTGAAGCAGTTATCAAAAACGAGCTGAACGTCATCTATAAATTCCTGTGGGTGAGTGTACGAGTTCCGTCTAATTTTGCCTTTGATACACGAAAACGACATCGGTTTTTCCACGATATCGAAGTAATCCGGGCAGTTTTGCCTTTTGGGGTCTACGGGTCGCTCAAAAACGTACCCACCTTCTTGCTTCACCAACATTCCAAGTATACTGAGTCCAACTTGGTGCCATTGCTTGATTAAAGGATTTCTCAGCGTGGCTACTGGCGCAAATGGTGCGTTTCTGTCCCATGTTGCGAGTTCCGGGAAGCGGATTTCGAATTCTCTTATTTTCACCAATGGAGCATCGATCCATAGATTAGCTTCATCGCTAAATGGCCTAAATTGAAGTCTGTATTTTCGTGCTTTTCCGTTTTCTTTAGGTATAACAGGTACCCCAGACTTGATCTCGTCACCGCCGGATGAACTGTTCAACAGTCCATTTACATCAAGTCGTTCACTTAAAGAACGTTTTTGTGTGTGCGATGGCGATTTAGAAAGGCTTTTGAGTAAATTGACGATTTCGGTTTGATTTTTCAGCTTCGCAAAAGTAATAGCCTGTCTGCGCTGGGCATCTTTGAGGTTGTAATTAATGCCATGTTTGATGAGCACTTTTGCCGCTTCCAAACGCCCATCTCTAGCCGCATAAAAGAGGCAATTTTGCTTGTTCGTGTCTAATAGATTGACATCTGCGTTATATGAAATAAGTGTTTCCAGTGTTTCGTGGTGGCCTTCCCTTGATGCGTAAAATAGGCATGTCTGACCCAGTCTATCTTGGTGGTTTGGATCACATCCATTTTGAGCTAGAAATTCACAGAAGTTGCTCCATCCATCCCTAGCGCCATAGAACAGTGCAGTTTGTCCCATAAGGTCGAGATGGTTGGCATCTATCAACTTATATTCCTGAATAAGCAATTTTGCGATTTCGCAAGCATCCTCTTGAGATTTTCGAGAAAGCTGGCATAATGGTGTGATTCGTGTGTTTGGGTCGACTAGGCTCTGTCTCTTATTAGCGTATTCTTCGCTTTCCAGTAGTTCTGGTTTGCTTTCCAGATTGGCAGCTGTATAGTCGCCGAAGTCACGTTCCAGTACCTCTCTGACAGCATCTATGCCTTCAGCTCCAAGTGCTTGAACTAATGGGCTGTTAAGATATGATTCGGCATAAACAGTGGTCATTTTGCTTCGGCACGTAAAAAATTTTGGTCTAGCGCTTGCTGAACACCTCAGCTAAACTGAGGCACAATGTCGTTCCTTTTCAGAACGAATATCCTTACTGTACCCTAATTATGAACAATCATTAGTCGATTCTGCGTCAATATCCGTGGATACATCGCAGAGTCGTTTCCAGCCTTCTACTCCATAGAGATTTCCCTATGAGTGAATATTACGAAGATCGTGTCAATGAACTTACTTTAAAATAACCGAATTAGTTTGGCGAGCTGCCATTGTCACGTGATACATAAGAGCGAGCTTATAAGTAACGTCTCATGATCCGTATGGTTTGTTCTTCCGTTGAAATTTATCTTCATTGAAGCACATTGATAGATTTAAAATTATTTATTAAAACATGCTGTTATGTCTCTATTTTTTACACCCATCGTTGGCTTGCGTGCCCTGTGGTAGTGCTGATGCGGTCAACGAGTTGGATAGTGCAGCAAGATGATATTACAGTGTAACATTTGTATTTATTTTATATCATAAAAGCGAAATGCATAGGGAGTTTCACGATATTTCCCTTCAACTTTTCGTTCGTGCTCGACACCCTTTGTGTAATATTTAATGTACGTGCTGCGCGGTAAAGTCGGCCGTGACACACAGTCTTAAGCGTTTAATACGTTACGATAATGCTCCACAGTATAATATCAATTAGATTTGTACACATATCGCTTTTCAAAGCTTGGATTGCATCGACTACATTTTGGTTGTTGCCACCTTTTTTCCTTCCTGACGTAGTGTCACGTCAGGTTGGTTTTGTTGTCTCCCCAGTTGCTGTGTGGCGTCGGCATTTACATTCGTTTTGAAGGTTTCCTCGAAAACATAGAACACATGTGATTACTACCAATGCTATGAATATTATTTCACTTGTTTTTGTTTTAATTCGAAAGTACGGGTTTTGGTACCTTTGTGTGTGTGATCATCGCCTTTTCCTGTTGCTGTGGAAAATATAAGAATTTTGTTAGGAGTAAGGGTCTCCCTTCTTTCGTTTGTTTTTCGTATACTGTTAATTTCAACCGTAGCCTCTGTAAATCGTCTATAACGGCAACGGATTTGGCCAAATGAGGTTGCGCGTTATATTTCACTTTAATATATCAGACTTTGTGTATTCGAAAATATTACTGCTCTCTGTTATCGACCTCAAGATAGATAAGTGACCACCTTAGCCGTGAAAAGTTTCCACATGGCTAATATTCCAGCGAATTATTAGCTGATCAGAATTTGTTGTTCAATCTTCTGACTTTTGCTACTTCCAGATATTGAGCGAGGTTTGTGTAGCAAGTAGTGCAAATGATTTTCAAACCTGTGCATATTCATGATTGTATTAGACGTTCCGAGTATGAAATGATGTTTTTATTTAACGATACATATAAGACAGTATATAGGATAACCTACCTTCCTTTGATTCCCATTTAACCTTCGTCATGGTTTGTTTAATCTTGTCGCATCTCCAGCACCTGTTGGTGAGATTAGCGTTTATTACATGTTGAATCGGTATGTAATACCCCAACTATCATATATATATATAGCTATTGTATTGTAATAACATCACCTAGCTGTCGTGGTTAAACGTACAAGAACGATTGCAGTGACGGGTACTTGGCCACAGTGGCTTGGCTTGTCTGGAAGGATGAGTCTAGGTGTTTCTTCGGGTTTGGATCGAACTTTTTGAGTAGCTTGACAGCCTTGTTCTTATCCTTAAGTGAAGCTGTGCTAGACGCCAATACCTGCAAAAGCTCGCTCTTCTTGAATTCAGATTTCTTCGTCATATCGGAAATATATTATATTTACTTGAAGATAGACATTTAATCGAGTTAGCGATACGATATGATGAATCTATGTTTTGTTTTTGAGCTACCGTTTGTCATAATCCGTTGTATTCCGTGAGTTATGCTGTGTTCTGGAAAGTCATTGCCAGAGTGATAGGCGTCGCTAATTTGGAGTCCAACCAGAATTACACGGTAACATATATATATGCAAATAGCAGTTTTAATAATATTCCATGTCCTTTTGACCCTAATATTGTCGTGCACAAATGAGCCTTACACGTCATCCGCCATGCCTGCTGGACTTGTGGATATGCGATGGTAGACGATGGTTATGGCCACACATCCACTCAAAGGTAATACAATTTTAACGCAGTAGCGGATGTGTTTAACATTTGTGTGATTCCGCCTTTATTATGTATTTCGGCTCTTGGAAGTGCACGTGATGAAGCGCGAGTTACCTTCCACAGCGATTTACGATGATTGATCTCATGACAGACTTGTACGCTGATCTAGCGTACCCTACTCGTTTGAATCCGCGTACCCATCAGACTTACATAAACGTTCATAATGACAGACTGACGGCTGAGTTCACTGGAAAGGGCCGCTACTGTGATCCCGGTGTAGGTTTTCTCTTTTGGTATAAATAACAATGTGTGTTTTACTGTTTGTGCCTTAAGAATTGTAGAAGACGTGTCTTGTGTGTCGCCTTTAGTATTAAGCACTAATCGATATAAGCGTGCGTTTGACACTGTAGTCTCATTTCCTGATAACTATGTTTCATGTAAATACATATCTTTGCAGTCAGTTCAAGCTGATATTTCGGCTCCGAAGGAGTGCGTATTATATTATTACGAGGTGGAAATCATCAGCAGTGATAAGCCGTCAAAGATTGTTCTTGGATTTACGAATAGGAATTCTCGATTCAATCGTTTTCCCGGCACTGAGGCTTGTTCTGTAGGTTATCGCGGCGAGAATGGCCAGTGTTCTGGTGGTAATGCTAAGTGGGAGCCGTATGGTTCCGGTTATGAGAAGGGTGACATTGTTGGTTGCGGTATAAATTATGTGCGTCAATGTTACTTTTTCACTAGGAATGGGAAGTATCAAGGTGAGTCGAATGCGTTATGGTAGAATTTGTGCAATGCTTGAGTAAAATATGATGCTTTTCGTTTTTCCGATCGTATGTATTGTTGATTTTGAAATATTATTTCAGGTGACACTGGTAAACTACATCACTGTGACAGTTTTCCTACTGTAGGATTGGGTCAACACCACGACACTATTAAGTGCAACTTTGTAGGCCCCTTTAAATTCGACATTCGTGCTGAATATCGTCGTATTTTAGTTCGGGAGCGTCAGGATATAAATGCGAAGAGTATCGGCAAGATTTCTTTAGATGATATCGTTGAATTATACTTATTGTACCGTGGGTACAAGAACACGCTTGAAGCTTTTAAGAAGGATAGAGCGACTCGATGTACTATTAGGGAGCTACTTCCTTATGACCGCCATGAGCCGTCGAGTACGATTAAACGTGAGCCTCAATTAGATACTGATATTGGGAAGGATTGGACTACTTCTACGACTCGAAGAATATGTGTAAATCAGATTCATTTGTCTGATGTTGTTTTGAACCGTTTCGAGTGTTCTCTTGCGGCGAGGAATGAGCTTCGAAATTTGATCAGTGCAGGTCGTATCCTTGATGCGTTAACGTTACTGCATTACACCTGTCCCAACGTGAACACGGCATCATACCTATATTGTCGCGTGATCCATCAGCATTTTATCGAGCTTGTTTTGCAGGATCGAGTTCCGGAAGCTATAGCTTGGCTGAGGGCTTCATATGATTTCTCGCTGAACTCTCAACCTCGTTTTAAAAAGCTTTTAGAGGTAATGTTCATCATTACAGATACATGTAACATGTTTGCAGGACACAACTGCGATTTTGTGTCATAATGACGTGAGTACATCAGCAGTTATAGATTGTTACGGTTACCGCCGTCGCTTATCTGTGGCTCAGATCGTCAATGATTTAGCTCACGGTATGTGTTTTATTAGTCATTCTATATGTATTTATAGGTGATGATGTACACAGGAACAGCCTTAGAGTGTTAATTCAGTTTATAACATTGGCCCGCAAAGCTTTACGCGAGAAGAGGAACAACAGTGGTCCCTTTTATACTGCGAAAGAGATTTGCCAACCTTTGGTAAAGGACATATGATTATATCTTTTTTCGTGTTCTATCGGCTGCTATGTATTGTTCGAGTAGTTTCCGACTAACGTCGTTGTCGTCAGTTTCTATCTTTGGGGCGAATGAGACGGATTGCATTGAAAGTCTGCGTCCATCCTCACTCTCTTCAAAACGTTTCTGTATATCGGTTTAAAGACAATATTAAAACAGCTATCAGATGTTGACTTTTTTTTAGCAAAAAATATATTCAGATGATTCAGCACTGAGGTTGTGTTCAGGTTGCTTAAACAATATTCTATGGCATACACACCGATTTGGTTGAGCATTAACTTGTGCTATGTATCACTAGTGGTATGTATAACTCACCAGAGCTTCGTGTCTTGTGAGTTTCAACCTGTACATAACGAACGCATACCCTAGTATCACAGAAGCGCCTGCTAGCGCAAAGAAGCCTTTTCGTGACATTAATTTACTGTATATATTTTAATATGTTACCGAGTGGGAATCATTGCGATGTGTAATGTCTTTATCGCCGTCGTAACGGGTTATAGCCCTCTGATATACTGGTGTTGCGAGGTTCGTATTTTACATGAAATGTTGTTTTAAATTGGATTATGATCAAATGGCGTTGTTAGAATCCGATGATTCTTCCTCCGATCCGCTTAAACGCTTCCAGCCACTCGGGAAGCACTTGGGTGAAGGAACGTACGGTACAGTTTCATTGTACCTGGACACATTAACGGGGAAGTAAGTTACCTTTTGTGTGTATTGTAACTGTAGGCGGCGTGATTGTGGCATTTCATGGCCACATCCGTAATATTTTATTGAACTGTTGTTTAGTTGGAATGTAACAACAAGATCTGCAGTCATTAGTGCTCAGAACACATCGATACAATATACTGATTTATTAGTAGTCATGCTTATTTGTCTACCTAATGTTAAATGTATATAGTTGGCTTGTGAACAAAAGGGTTATTCGGAAATGTAAATGTTGACATCATATTTGATTCTGTTAGGTATTTATTGGTGTGTTTAATGCCAACATTGTTCATTTTTTAATCGTTATAATAGGAATGTGGCTATTAAGAAGGTTAAGAATATAGAGTGGAAGGGGGAGCGTCAGTTGGTTGGCATGGTGGGCATTCATTTTACAACTCTGCGTGAGCTGAAGGTGATGCGCGAGTTACATCATCCTAATTTAATGGATTTGGTATCCGTTTTCGTATCGCAAGGTTTCATCAACATTGTGATGGAACTGATGGCAGGTGACCTAAAAAAAGTTATAGATTCCAAGGTCCGTCTGAACATTTCCCAGCAGAAATGTATAATGTGGCAACTTCTGAAAGGTCTTGAGGAGTTGCACAACAGTAATTTCGTTCACCGTGATTTATCACCGGCGAATGTGTTCATCACTGATCAAGGTGTTCTCAAGATTGCTGATTTTGGTCTTGCTAGGCGATGCGTCTACAGCCCCTTGATTCCACCAACAAGCAAACGCATTAACCCTGCAGAATTGGACAAGTACTGTGTACGTGAGAAGATGACTTATCGTGTGGTTACATTGTGGTATCGCTGCCCAGAGCTTCTGCTTGGGGCTGAATCTTACCACTTTGCTTGCGACATATGGTCTGCAGGGTGTATATTTGCCGAGATCTTAGATCAGAAGCCTCTATTTACCGGCACCAACGAAATAGATCAGATGGGTCGTATATACAAGGTGTTCGGTACTCCATCGCATACAAATTGGCCCAACGCCAAGAACCTTAAGCTTTACACCCCCTTCACAGTTGAGCAGCCGAAACAACTCAGTAGCATTATCAAGGGTCGTTCAGCTGAAGAGATGGACCTTTTACAGCGCATGCTTACGTTGGATCCAAACGAGAGGATCTCAGCTAAAGAGGTTTGTTCATGGCCCATCATTTGTCATGACTACCGTCAGGCACTGGCACACGAGTACTTCACTTCGCCACCGCTTATGTGTAAACCTGAGCAGCTGCCATTCGACTTTGTGGGCGGGTATGCGTGAACATATATACTTACACATTGTATACAGAAAGAGGCCATTTTCGAAGGTCATGGAGTCTGATACTAAATCTGAGTCTCAGTGACGGCGTCCTGTATCTCATAGATATGTAAATACGTTAAACTTTAGCATAATAACATTGTATATTACACTATTTCTACGTTCGCTGGTGGCGTGGTAAAATTCTCTACACGCACAATTTATTGAGGGATCACGTTATCCATCGCGATCCCTGAGGGCGGCTGCCAACCCCCTCATGAATGCTATTGCCATACTTTGGGCTCGTTTCTGTCCGTATCGTCTTGTTGAGAATATGGTCGTTTTCATTTTATTGCCTTGCTTCCATAAGACTACATATCTTTCTTTGGTAGGTTCGCAAGATATTCTGATTCCACTAGTAAGGTGGGCATCTTCATCATTCAATGCTTCCAGGATGTAAGTCAAAATTTCGAATACAGTGGCGTCGAAACTTTGGTCTTGTTCACGGTGATACCCATATTGGTTTTCTGCCAGTCCCATTAGTTTCCCGAGCATGACAACTAAACGATGTATGTGTTGAAATTCTAGCTGATGCGCATCACCGCATTCGTCACAGTTCTCCTCGCCCTCGATTGCGTTTTCGTTCGTGTCACAACTTTCGTGTGTTCCGGATGAACATGACTCCCCCTCGCTGAAAACGCAGCCCATGGCATTACAATCTACCTTTGGAGACAACACATTCCTAGAAGCGGCAAGAGCTTCTCCCAGAGCTAGTCTTCTCGAATCATAATCATCCGGTAGGTTGTGTGTTTTCCAGATAGTATCTTCAAGCATTTTGCCTAGCCCTAAGACATTTCTCACGATCCTTACTTCGTAAGTATCCCCTTCTCCCCTTGGCATCGATGCATTTAGTGCAGAATAAGCATCCCTAATCAAGTTATGTCTCTGTACTGTTTCATCATATCTTTTCCTCACATCGTATGCTACGGCGTTTGCGCAGTGCTGAACAACTGCGGGTTCTATTTTATCTAGCATGATCCTCAAGAACCTGAATAGTAACGTTTTTGAGTTAACAATGACGCTGTATTTATTCCACAATATTCCACCAATTAGCAGTAGTAACGTGTCATAATTTCTGTAGAAACTGGAGCGTACCGCTTTCCATGTATACAGCATAAATCTCTGTTGTACTTTTATTCCAACTACTGATATAGCAAGATATAGAAGTGATGCCAGGAATGTTTTTCTGCAATGGAACATGGCTCTCGACCGTGCGTCTAAGAAATCTACATTTAGATGGTATCCGTATATATCAGTCAAAGCTATTAACCTCAATGTATAATCACATATCCTGTCGTAATTCTGATTGAGTATAATGGCTAGCCTTCTTCTCCTCTGAGGTGATATGTTGAACGGCATTTGTGATGAGCTATGTGTTGCAGTATCATCAGTTACGCTGAGATCATCCGCAGGATCGTCATTTATAAATCTGAATCCATAGAAATCATCATCAACAGAGCAAGCATTGTATATTTCGTTTATCATTTTTTTCACTTCAGGTGTACATGGAGGTTGCCCGGAATCGTTTGGGATTCCATTGCTTGGTTCATCCCTTCCGAGTCCAATGATAAGTTCGTCCATCATTTCTCTGATTAGGTTTAGATTTGGTACTACTGGCAACTGGTTGATATTGAGTTCTGCGCATACGTTCGATACTTCCTTTACAAATGTCCTGATGTTGACATTTTGGCAATGGTTAGCCAACTTGGCAAGTACATCCCTAACAACTACAGTTCTGTTAGCTCTCCTTTGGTCAAGGTAATAAAGCACAGCTGATAGCAGTTCTAGCCTATCACTATTTCTTTCAAGTTTAATTCTGCTTTTCAGTCTTTCTAGGAAGAGCGAGTATATACTTTCTGGATCCTGTATTGCCATATTTTCACATATAGTATATATGCGATGCATTACATGTAGATCTCTATATTCTCTAGCTGTATTTGTTGAGAAGTTGTGCATCTGCGCCCTGTTGGCTGGATCCAACGCTGGTCGGCGTTTCCAATTGACTTGTCTTGTGTTCGTTGGCGTGTCTGCGTCTGTGGTATCTTGTGGCTCATCTTCTATGACTGTATTGATTGGGAATCCCAACGAGTCGATCATATCGACATCGTATTGTTCGTTTTCTACCATATTTTCGTCCATTTTTACCTCCGTATCAATAATGTGAGTTATTTTTTGGTGATGCCGTTTCAGTTTTTGTGACTGTATCGACAATTACCATCGTCTTTCCTTCCATCGATTTCCGGCAGTTGCTTGATCAGACCGGACCAAGTGACTGCCGTTGTCACTCTATTACTACAGAGCATCTGAGTTGTACGATGATAGCTGTAGTGAAAAAATTTTCGCTTGCATTAACTTGTAGGATTTTTTGGCTTTTTTTGTATTTTGTTATTTCTAGCTTCTCATAACGTTCATTTGAATTTGTTCCCGTGTATGGACGTTGTTAATAGCCATGAGGCTAGACATGTCGTCCAAAGTTAGACATTTGCCAAGATCCCCATCTCTGGTAGCATCAATTTTATCGTTATCATTTGGCGATATAAATGTAACGTATATGGGTCGTTTCATGAATACTGTTGACGGTTTGAATTGTATAGATATTTCAATGGCTGACTGGACCAGTATAAACGGTATCGTCTATCCGTACGGTGGATTTTCGATAGTTTGCCCTCGCACCTAACGACAATGTGTGTATCACTACTTTACCATTTACTCGTGTACGTACTGTGCCCCCGATGATAATTTTTTTGAAGCTTAATCACTATCCATGTCGGTTAGTTTGGTTTACGCTAGCCTCGCATATATTTGACCCCGATAGTGTACTTGTATATTTTCCCGATAACCAACCTGTTGTTCTGACGAAGTAACTAGAAGACATTGCCAAACGGGGTGCTTCTATGTAAATTGTCGCTCTCTTCTGCAAATAATTTGGCCTTCACAAGGGTTATAATATCAATGGAGCCTGTTTCAGAGTTATTATCAGTTAAACATTAAAAAATCCTAAAACTGCATTTCAATTTTGTTATTATGTAAAAATTTGTTGTGGATATCACACACATCCGGTCGCCTGGCGTGGCAGTGTGTTCACTATATCCGTTGTTGCGTTTTTTCCATAGGTCATATCGGTATCAAATGATGTCAAAAAAATTGTATTTTTTCCTCTTGGATATAATATCGCCGTTATATTGCGTTGTTCTTTAGTTTTGTGACTATAATTGCTCTTGTGAGTCATGTGTCGACACAGATGTTGTCGATTCTACCGATCTTCATATCATTAGTGACACTTTTAAGTTGCGTATGTGATTCGCATTGGTTCATCGATGTTCTTGACGACGAAGCATATACTGCAGTGAAGCATATGCTCGGGAAATCAGACCCTGGCTCATATGTGATCCGTCTAGATGAGCCTTCCTATCGTGAATACGTTTTGCCTGGTAATCGTCATTTTAAATCTGTAGTTTTGTATGTAGATTTGGATAATCCTGACCATCTGATTATATTGGATATATATCGTTTGGCAGTTCGTCGTTTACATGAGGATGCTGGCGACTACCCAGATGAAACGGTGAATGTTTTTTCTACACCAACATTTTTCTTTTACCTAGACGTTTCAGGGGATGAGTGTGATTGGATATTGTATGTACATCGCATTGAATATGTCCCTGAGCTTTTGCGCTTCGGTTCGGGCAGATCCGTCGTTGGTCACCGAAAATTTTTGACCGATAGTTTGAATCGATGGTTGCAGACGAATACACCCGTTCTTCGTTCTTGGACTCCTGAAGAGATGTTCGACTTTATGATCAATTTTTTTGTGTTGCCATATCCAAGTCGCGATGAATCTCCAATTTCAACTACGCGGGCTTTGTTGCTTTCACTTATGTCTCTTGTTGTTTTTAACATTTGGACGATGTTGTTAGTATTTATTGCATTTTTGATAGGTATATATGCGATAATATATCGTCCCCCATGGTTGTTTCTCACCGCTTCGTTGACGCTGTATGCTGTAAGCTTTACGTGCCTCATATCTGCTATTGTGAGCTCTAGGAGATATTCGGTCATGGTGACTGATTGTCCGTTGTATAATCCTAAGTGTCTCATACGGCGTTTGTTTGCCGCGTCATCGAAATCACAGTTTTTGCATGAAGGGGCTTTAGTGCAGCTCTTGTTTCTATGCCTTTCGGGTTTGCTTTTTGCGTTGACTAAATGCGTGGTATACGGTTATAATAAATTAAGTTTGACCGTCATTTTACCAACTATGATTGCAATATTGGCGTTTTTGTTCCACATATTCGACTATAAGGAACTTCCATATTCGTTGGAAATGATCCCTTCGGCACCACTACCACGTGGCTCTATTGACAATGATCGGAATTATGTTTTCTGACTTATCACGATGCGACTACAGCAGTGCTAAATGTAGTCGTGCCGAGGGCAACGGATGCTTCTCAAAGGTTAAGGAGCATTGGTATTATAGCTCTTTCCTAAAATGGAAACCAACACGGTTGTTAATTTCTTACACAATATAACTCTGAATGGTGGCTTTAATGTTGACTTTTGTCATTGTATATGTGACATTTTGATATTGTGGGTGTCGATGTAGTCAGAGCCACAACATCGTAAGATGTTGTGTCCCTTGTTTGTGATATCGTATATAGCTATATGAATACGCGATATAGATTGCCTATGTCAGGCATGTTTAGCCATTGAAGGGATATATATATATATATATATATATATATATATATATGACCACTTATGGGCAAAATGACACACTTCACATAGGTTACTTTCACCAAGATAGACTCACTGCCTAAAATTGATATATTTCAGATCATCGAGGTCTACAGTTGTTTAATGTGCTAGAATCCGACATTTAGGCGATGATTTTCTTTGCTATAACGGCGTCGTAGAGGACACACGGAGTTCAGGGGTCAATTGTTATATGTTTGGTAATATGGCGCGAAATGTTGGGTAGAAGTGATACCGTTGCTCGCAGGTTTGGTGTGTTTTGTTAATTTATAATTTTGGTTAATGCAAGCGCCACATCTCTACACCCTTGCCGCGTTGCCAGTGGTCGGCCCCACCATCTGTTGTAGTAGCGGTTGATGCGAATTCGTTTATATGCCGATATCCTTTTCCAGATAAATCTATAATATAACGTGGTACATTGATTTGGTGCCGCGGGTTATATCTATCGGTGTCGTCGTAATCGGTACGTCCGCGTGTTTAGTACCTGTGGCCCGCGGTCTCTGGTTACTCAACATTCTCATTCGTTTTCTATATATACTACAGGTTCAAAATGGCGGTAAAGGAGAAGAAGTCGAAGGAGGCCGTGATGAGGGCGGCCATGGCCTCACGTGGTAAGAGGAAGAAGTGGGTTAAGGTGAAGACTAAGGACAAGGTGAACAATGCTGTCTTCTTTGAGAAGGCCACCGTCGACAAGCTTCTTGCTGACATCCCTAAGGCTCGTCTAATCACTATTTCAACCATTTGCGATAAGTTGAAGATTAATGGCAGTCTTGCCAGACAGGCTCTTTCTTACATGGAGGAACAGAAGTTGATTAAGCCTGTGTGTGAACAGCACCACGCTCAGAGGCTTTACACTAGGGTTTAAACGTAAGCCTTTGATGATGATGGATTACCTTGAGTGCTTTGCACGATGAAGGTTTGTCATAGTTACACTGAAAAAAGGCAACACGTCGCTAATATTGAGTGATGTTTCTATTGTTACATGTCTGCATTTTATGTGTTATAATGTTACGGTGGTCACATGAGTTGTGTTGTGTCCACCATTATCGGTGTCATTACGCTTTTGCCTTTATGTGCTATCCCCAGTGCACTGGCCAGTATGAACTCATTGTCCACCTTTCCCTCGTTCCCTAGTGCGGAGAAGGCGTCAAGAATCGCATTAGCACTTTTACGTGGCGGTGGCCACTGGAATTGGCTATTATCAGTCTTAGTAGCAGTTGTCGGTTTCTGTCTCATGACCTCTCTTATAAACTGTTTTGCATTTGTTATTACGTTTTGCGGTGTCGCGTCTCCCGTAGCTATAGGTACTTCTACTACACCTATATGGTCTGCATCAAAATCAGGTTTCTTGCCGCTGAATGCTGCTGCTTGCAGCATTTCGAATTCCGGTTCATCGATGGGCAACGCTCGGAACTGCACCGAATTTGCGCTGCTCATACGGCGTACTGCTTCTAGCAGATTTGACGCTAGTGTTCCTTCCTTCATATTGGGCATAAGTTTTTTTGGTCCCAATATACGCGCAACTTTGACCAGTTTTGGCATATGTACAGTGGTCGTAACACATGTATCGAAGTTCGTCCACCCTCCGGCAATTCGCTCGAGTATTGAGTCCAATCCTGCGTACGAGGCACCACATTCCAATGCTAACCTTGCTTCATCATCTTCACATATAGCTACAACACGTGGCTTTGGGCCTACTGGGTGTGGTAACATCGCCATACCTCTGAGTGCTACTCGAGTAACATCCAGCCGGGTCCATAGTCTGAATATATGTTGCTCACTTGAGGTTTCTATATCTCCTAAGCTACATCGTATACTTCTAATTACTTCCATTGCTTCTTCTGGCGACGCTAAACGACTTACAAAGTCATTTTTAGGCGAGCTGTCCGAAGTGGCAGCCTCCCCTGTTGTAACAGTGGGAGGCTGCCTATCCTTAATATTTTTTCGTCCAGCCCTTTTACGCGTCTCAAGATAGAAGGGTAGGTACTTTTTAGTCCTACTTTGCACTCGGATCCATCGAAATTGGGGCGCTAAAGTGTCTAGCAACGCCGAGGTGTGTATCATCATTAGTATATTGCCATGTAGACGCCCGGATCAATTCACAACTATCACACACATTATCATTTAGCCATTGTTGAACCCGTAACATTTCATTCATAAGGTCAAATCTCTCGAATTACCCGTTCTATTTGACAAAGTAACGTCTACAGTGGTAACGGTTGAAATTAATGAAGGTGTAACGATTCACGGCGACTTAGCTATTGTTAATAATGAGTTATACATCTAACTGTGCACGTTTGTTTATATTCGTTTCTATTTAGGAGAGTCGCGCACATCGAGCCCCAACTGCGGGGCGGCTGTTGTAGCCGATCCCAAAAGAAAAAAGTTACATGGGGTTTCTGTTGACGTCATCATATTTAATCAAAGTATAAACCAATGTGATGGTGGACCTGAGTGAGGATATATGGGAGCGCTACGTAGCGTTGAGCCACCTATTGTTGGCGTGCTCCTTCGGTTACGTTATGCTCCAAACATCTGGCTTCTATGAAATGGTAGTTTTCTACTTGAGTAACAAGACATGTGTCGCGGTTCTATACAACTATCTCTTCATGCTTTTCTTTTTGGGCTGTCAGGGTACTGTCTACCTATTCCTGGGTGTCCTTTCACATATGGAGAGTGAACAGCTACAAGATATGGCACGTAACTACATCATGGATGCCATACTATTCCTTGTTCTATCTAAACCGAGGCTGAATGGACAAGAGATATCAGTTCTTACACTGGGCAAGTACCTCACGTTACTTGTGGCACTCAAGTGTTTCCATGTTCTCATATATGTACGCCTGTCCAGCATGTTCCAGATGGACATCCCTAGCTACCTATCACTATTAAGGTTGTCTAGCTTCATTTACGTCTTGTCCATGGTGGATTGTTACATGATTGCAAAGCTTTGGAATGATCTTACTTGGAAAAACACATTTACTTTATGGGTGATGTTCGAGTTATTTGGTATGACAATGGTGTGCATATTCTGTACGTTACGCTATATGGTCAATATGCTCGACTATTTTTGTGAAAGTGGTTTGAAAAACAAAACCACAATCTTTTTTTACCTCGAGCTAACTCATGACCTTATCAGCCTATTCTGCTTTACACTATTCATGGCGGTCTTCTACATCCATAACCCTAACCATATGCCAGCCTATATGCTTATCGACATCCTACAGGTCGTGAAGAACCTCGTAGATCGAGTCCAGATGTTAATGCATTATCGCAAGGTGGTGAAGTCGCTAGAAACGAGATACCCTAAGCCCACAGAGACTGAAAAGGAGCGTGATGGCACTTGCATTATCTGCAGGGATGATTTTGACGATGATTCAAGGAAAATAGATTGTGGTCACGTTTTTCATCTATCATGTCTCAAGTCGTGGTTATTCCAACATTCGACATGTCCTACCTGTCGCACACCTATAGAGAGCAATGATATCCAGGATGGTGATGACTTTGAGCCATCCCGCATCTTCTTAGATTTCGAAAGGCGTATGCGCCGTTCATGGCGCCGTTTATGGAGACGTACCGTCAATGCTCTTGGCGGTACCAACGCTAATAGACGTCCACAGATCGATAGCGAATCTCTAAAACGTCTCGTCACCACTTATGGGTCATCAATTACAGAGTCTATTTTGGAAAAACTGAAGAACCGACGTGTCGTCTGTGAATTTAGTGTGGACGTAAGCTCTGCTTCTGAATCTAAATATGACAGTGAAGTGAGTGGTAAGGAAGACAACTTGGAGGAACCCGTTGTCAATCAGCAAACTGATGTTCCAACTTCTGTGGAAGAACCTATTACTGAGTCACAAGACCTTACAAGAACAGAGTCTGTTGATTCCGCTCCCGGATTCGTTGAGATATCTGCTAAAAGTATTTTGGAATCGTTAGCTGTAGAATATCAAGGTGAATCACCTGATCCCCAAGGAGACGGTGAACCGGGATCCGTTGATGATCAGGCAAAACCTAAACGTAGGGGTAGCATGTTGCGCTCGTGGTTCCGTAAGAAGTTCTCCAGATCTTCAGATGACACTACCCGTCGTAGAAGATCATTCCGATCACTCTTTTCTGATTTTGGTAAATCTAGCGTGGATGGCGCCGCTACAGCGGAAGAGATAAGTTCGGCTGAATGGGGATCACAATCAGTTGGCTCTAGCGAGAATAGATGTTTTGTGAAATCATTGCTTAGCAAAGAAGTAGGTTCTGATAATACCGACGAATTGAAACCTGAGACTACATCCATCAGTGTAGTGGAGAAGGCATCCAACGAAATCGCAGTGGAGGCCACAGTAGAGGTTACTGACAACGTGGATACGTCTACAGTGGATACCGGGACACCTGATCCAGCTCCTGCAACAACTGATGGTGTTTCTGATGTGGCGGATGGAAATACATCGCCTCATGTTTTGAAATTATTGCTACCATCGTGGTTGGGTGAATGTTGCAAGGATGGAAGTGATCCCAACGTGAAAGCACGTTGTGGTATGTTTAGGCTAGTTAAGAAGCTGAAATACTTGAAGAACAAGTTGGCTACATTGACTGCTGCGGAGCGCAACGCTCTTTTAGCTGCCCACTCTCCAAACGCCATCATTGTGGAAGAAGACCATGGCGATGGCACCGATTCTGTCACTGCAGGTACCACTAGTCAGACCCAAACAACTCCAGCTCGTGATCCTTCCGAATCGAGTAGCAATAGGCCTGCCTCAACTACACCATCGCGTGATGCCGGCCCTAGCACCCCTGTTGAGAGCAGTTCTGTATCGCCACCTTCGGGCGACACTTTATCCAGGATTAGGAGTATCAGGATAGCGAAATTATCTAAAGACCCTGAAGAAATAGAATCTTCAACAACGGATAGCCCTGCTGTGGAACCCACTCCTGAAAAGAAGGAAGCAGAAACTGTAGTTCGAGAGCCACCAAGGGGCCGTGTACGTACCGCTTCCGAAGGTACTACTCGTAGTGTGAATTTTTCAAATGTCAATGACGGCAGTGGTCAACGTGTGGTATCTGTTGGTTCTGGTTCTGAGGAGTTTACTGTAGTGGTAAATTATGTGACCCCTAGTGGTGAGGGTGATGGTTCTGGTGGTTCAACGAGTTCTGGTACTCGTGGCAATACTACATCAATGGACGCGGTTAACAAGTTGATAACTGAGCTTCAGAATTTGGAGGAACTGAACTGTGATATATTGGTTCCATCTGACGAGGATTTGGACGATGAGATGTTATCTGTGATATCATCAATTGATCTTCCTGAGTACGTTCGTGATTTTTTCTTGAGTTATTGCAAGATGGTCCGTCTGTGGTATGTGGCTGCTAGCGGTTTATCTCGATCAGACGAGTTATGTAGGAGCATGTATGATTGTGCAAATGACCGTCGTATATCGTCCATGCGTAGCGATCGTCAGCGTACGATGTTGCATGATGTCTTTCTGAGTATAAAATGTTCTGTGGTAACTCAAGATAAGCTTCGGGATTTTCATGACAAATTGATGAGACGTTCTGTAAACTACCAGGATTTTCTTTGCCGGTTACACAGTTCCCCTCTACCTGTTGACTTAATTGAGCACATGGTAACTGCTGCTGCTTTGGTTGACTCTATCATCGATTCTGAGTTTTCTAAGCTTGGTTTATGATTTCTTTTTTTTTCTTTCGATATGGATTCGATGGCCAAGTCACAGATGTCTGCAGCGTGTTCTGGCCATGTTGTATTAATGAGTTTTCAGTATTACCAACCGTCATAATATTAGTTTACAGTATATTATGTTAATTTTTTTGCTTTGTGCGGTACTGCGGGTACGCTTTAGTAGGTGGCGCCGGGGCTGTGCCATGTCGTGATACCTCGTTATTTTTGATTGTAACTGTTACACATCTCTTACACATCGGTACTATTGCTATTTTGTATATTATGCCAGTGCTTAAGCACGCAGTGTGGCGTCTGTCACGGCGAGTATTACATACTTCGCGACAGTGTTGAGTCGGCGGCACTGGGTGCACCGTGTTATGTGTAATAATCTTCAGTATATTTTATATGACCCGCTATAGTATCTGTTAGCGAACTTAAATTTATGGGTTCTTCAGCTAATTTGCAAAAATGGCAGATTACCACGAACAGCTCATCAACGCATACCTAGCAGACGGTAGGTTTCCATGAATGCTACTATGTTCGTTTGACAGTCATACAACGTGTTGTATTATACGGTTTAATGATCCATCTAATGTTTATTTTAGACCCGAGGACACCTTCTGCGATTAATACTAAGAATGCTGCGGTATTGTATGAGGTATTCCAGCGAGTTGGTGCCCTTGACTTGTATTTCGGGCTACAAAGGGACATACATAATGATGAGTACCCGTTACAAAACTCATCACCGAAACAAGGTAACAGAAGCCGAACGTTTAGCAGACAGAGCTCTTCTATCCAAAGCGACGATGCATCAACTACAATGAGTGAAGAGGCTATGACGTGTAAGGCGTTCACAGTGGACCTATGTAATCAGTCAAAGCTAATAGATCGTGAACAATTGATGGACCCCGGGTATGATGGGGAGAAACCTTCCGATTCGTTGCTAGTGGATGGGCAGGAAACAGCTGCCAGTGCCTTAGCAGATAAAAGTGCTATCAATTCTCCTAGTAAACAATCACGGCACATGTCAAGTTTGAAAACTGTCAAGTGGTCATCTATTGATACTAATTTGTCAGAAACCAACGTTGATGTGAATGATATGAGATGCTCGAACAAGGGTACTAGGAGCCGATGCGTTTCAACTCAATGTCCGCCCGTCGAGGGATCAGCATACTCGAACAATGTATCTGCCTCGCATTATAACGGTTCTATTAACAATGGCATTGAGGAATGTCAAAATCTCATGCTTGCCAAATCGTTAAGGATGAGTGAACTGCATTTATCATCTCGTCAATCCAACACTGAATGGGAACATGAGAAGCCGGATGTTCATTCCGATAGCTCTCGTAGGTCGTCAAAGTCTAGTAAACCAGAAGGCCCAAAACGATTACGCATTGCATTATGGTTCGAGCGATGGTTCATTCCTAATTTGTTTGCATCATTTTCGTTATTGCGTAACACATTGTTTGAATGTAGCGGCGGTGTACAGCAATATTTCACCCCTTTGAAGCTGGCAAAGCCAAACAAGAAGTTTAACGAGGTCTACCTCTCTAGTCTGGAGTACGCTATACTGAAGGACGAGCTTACGCGATGTTATTTCTACATCACTGATGACCACAAGGAGCATCTAATGATGAGGGAAGTTGATGACTTCCGCAGGTTGAATATGCGCAAAAGGATAACTTTTGAAGAGTTCTGCTACCATTTCCTACCGTATCTGTCTAGGAATCCCGAAGATTATACCCGTAACAAGAATCTGGATACCGCTGAGGAGGCATTACAGCGCCGGGCTTTACAACGGGTACTTGAGAAGAACCTTTATGGTATATCTATCGAGCGACCAAACGAGTTCTTCAACAAGCAATGTATACTTAAACCGTTCCAAGTTCTGGAACCGATACCTCAGAAATGACAGTTAACTTTCGTGGTTTATAAATATGTTATAATATGTAAATTTTATGACTAATTAGCAAAATGTGCCGCCGACTTATGCCACTTACGTCGCTACACATCGGGCAGCAGCACGCCAATGTCAACACCGACCACAATCTACAACACCCTCATAAAATCTATCGCAACGCGGTGGCAATATAACATCTCAAATCATTGAGTAATTTCAATTAGCATTGTTTTTGTGAAAAATTGCTACATTTTCCATATTGATAGTTGAAAATCATATCATCGCACGTCTTCTACGCTTGTCGTAGACATTTTTTCCAATATATTTCATTTCCACGGAGCCATGGGTGAGAATAAACGTGCAAGACGGCGGAAAAATTCCGTATCGTCACGACGTGGATTAGACCACACCGACGATATATCTGTGAGCTCCGTTCTTGATTCTGGGATTATATACGGCCGCTCTTTACCCTTAGGGCGTATCAATAAGCTGATATCACAAGAATGTATGGAGTTTAATATTCATGATAACTCGGAAAGACCATCACCATTGTCGACCCTTGTGAAAAACCTGCGGGCATTTTTGAACGCACTCAAAACAAAGAGGGTTACTAAAGATATCCTATACGATAAACGGTATGCCCATTGTTTCCAGGTTGGATTCAAAGCATGCTGGACCGACTACGAATATGGGCCTCCTAAGTCTCTGGAGGTTGTAGGACGCGGAAATCTGGGATTCCTCAGTAAAAAAAATCCTGAACTTGACTTATCGATAGAGCTACCAGAATTGATGTTTAACGTCAAAGATTACGTAAACTATCGATATCTTAACAAAAGAAACTCATGGCTATGTTGTCTATACGAAGATATACAGGCAACAATAGCAGAAGACGGAACTAACCCGTTTCTGCCTGGGATTGAGCAGCATGGGTTAACGGTCAGCTTGTGTTTCAGGCGACCTAAAACCTACATCGCTTTAAGTTTCCAGTACCGAGGTTGTGAATACAAGGTATATTTGACGGCACACGTTCATGAAGGAATATTCAAACTACCAGCCATTAGTCCCAAACGAAACAACGTCCGCGTACCAACAACCATAACATCAGACGCATCAAATGAAAATGATACTGAGTCAAATCTACGTCCTACACCTACCTACAACTGTGCTATAATGGAGGATCTGTTAAAAATGCGTATAAATTCAAAACTCAAGGCTGCATTCGAGCACTACGAAAACATGATAGGCGCTTTGACGTTACTAACTGTATGGCAGCGTACGCAAGGTCTTGGACCTATAAAAATGCAAACAAGAAACAATAAAACACACATGCCCTCTCCGGACACAAGTTCTGATGCGCCACCAGGAAATGTTGACGAACAAGATGCAATAGATTCAGATACAGCTCCAGAAACCGTGGGAAATGAACAAAACGAGATGAATGATAATAGTGATTCCTGCGAGAAGAACGTCACAATAATGGACGATGGTGAAGGTCGGAATCAAACGGGAGTGGATACTGTAAATGACACTGATGATCAAGCGCCATTTGTATCGGAACTTGTTTTACATAATGGTCTATCTGGCTGTGTTTTCGCTTTGATCCTCCTACACGTAGCGGAATGCAGTAAGTCCCCTCCTGATGTTGAGTCGTTCCCGCTTTTTCTGGCGGCACTGAAGTTCATCGCCTCAATGGATCTGAAGAAAAACTTATACATTATTGGAACTTCTAAAGCCAGAGTATTGAGAAAGGGGTCTACGGTAACAAAAGAGGACAAGGAGAATTCATCACAAAGTACCACTGACAATCAAATTGACGCTAATATACGGGATACTGAATCGATTAATACAATATCGATACCAAAATTCTATTTGGACGACGATCGATTGTTCAACATTCTCTTCAATATGGTTTCGACATTTCAAGAGGTGATAGATAAGGCCAAAACGACTGTAAAGGCTACCTCAGACATGTCAAACCCATTTTTGTACGGACAACTGTTCGATCTTGAGTATGATACTAATTGTCACAATGATGTTAGATTGATCGTACCATGTTGCCCAAAGGGGGATGGTTTCGATATATGGGAGTTGGGCCAAGGGGAATATTTGGTGGAAAGACTGAAGGTGATCCTGGAATATGGACTGAAGGATAGAATGGACCACCTCTACTTTCGATATTCCGAAAATGGTGTATTGATGGCAATGATAGGATTGGATGATAATGTTCAGAGGACAACTGATGTTGGTCCGGCTAGTAATTCCAAAGAGTGCGCGCAATTTCGTAAATTTTGGGGGAAACTTGCAGAAACTAGAAGCTTCAATGACGGTTCTATATCGGAGTGCTTACTGTGGCATGATATTATCGACCAGGTTAACGAAAATACAGGGTCGAAATCAAGTATAGAACGCATTTCAGGTGCAAATTTGAACTTGAGGATATTGCAACTGATTTTGCAGATGCACTTTAAAAACTATGAAAAAGTAACAATTGGGGATACCCAAGGTCTCCCTGATTTTAGGAATATCAAATATGGAGCCGATAACACCAGTGTAATGTATCTAGAACCGCCTATTGTAGAGCTTGATAACCGGCTTGTAACGAACCACAGGACTAAGTTGATGAACGTCTACAACGAGTTCAACGGTATACTGAGGTCGCTTGATAATGTACCTCTTAAGGTCTCAAATCTATACACATGTAGCCCTGAATTCGGCTATGCGGATGTTGGCGCGTCAAAGACACGTCATAAGGTGCTGATCGAGCTTGAGACGTCGACTAAATGGCCAAAAGGCGCCAAGGAAATACAAAGCGTCAAAGTGGCATTCGGTATCGCGATACTAAAGGAATTATCTAGGAAACATAACATAAAGTCGAGAATGTCCGAAAATGGTGACATGGAACTTACTTTTAAAGGCATAAAATTTGCAGTCAGTATCATGTGTCAAAGGGAAACGCAACCTTTGATCACGTCGATAACTAATTACAATCCAGATAATGATCGGGTACCTTCTTCGGAGTCGATATCAAAAGTTAGGGACTACTTTAAGTCAATTAATCTCGAACGTTGCAAGGTTGTTGCCTTGAAATATCCAGGTTTCAGCTCAAGCGTGCGGTTGAGCAAAGCCTTTGCTGCAGATTGCATGTTGCCACACTCCGATTTCTTATGCGAAATGTTAAATTGTTTCGTATTTGGATTGAAGGATTTTATGGTATCGAAACCCGTGTCAGGGAATACAGGGTTCGCCAGGTTTCTCTATCTCGTTGCACATTATGATTGGCTGAACAACCCGCTTGTGTTGTATGATGAGAATCCTATATATAGTATGTTGAGTCTAAAGAAACAATCTTGGATGCCATTCTTTTGGATCAGCACGCCCGAGGACCCGTACTGTATAGTGCCGATTATGCCCTCCACATTGCTGGCGAGGCGATTCGCGGGACAATGTAGTCGTTTCTTATCAAAGTTGGAGCTACGTTATATGAAGCCGCTCGAAGTTAAGTCTTTCTTCGAAGTAGAAAAGTCAGGATATGATATAGTTTTAGAACTTGAAAACGTATATCGTAAGTTGAAATACTCCACAGGTTCCGAAAGCTACAAGCTCTCTTTTGATGAGGTCAGCTTTATACTGGCAGCATTTGTAGATGAGCTGCGTAGATCGTTCGGTGCCCTGTTGGAGATTGGGTATAACGAGCTTGAATTAAAGGGGATACAGATCCCTTCAGAGCACCTGTACATATTTTTGAAGTACAACCCCGTCGCGTGTATACCGTCGACGTCGATAAAGGGTGTGTGGCCTCAGCTCATGTTGGAACTGGGAGGTGTGAGTTTCTACCTACCCAACTTCGCGGTAACCTTATGTAACATTCGCGACATAGGCCGCGGCCTGTTACGTGACATGACATGCACCTAATTCCAAATAACACGCTTGAAACTTACATAATAATTAGATAGCATCATTATCAGTGTTATATTTCATAAATGTTATGAATATGTAAAGCATGGAAAGAAATTACAGAATATGTTGGATCACCGGAAACCACCGCTCTGTAGGTGGACTATATGACTTATAGAAATACAACAATGGGCACATCTATCGGGAAAAAAGTATCTACTGGGACTCCTTGTTTATAAACTTCATAATCGGAAAGAACATCACAGCGCTGTTGTGCGTTGCTTGTCTTCTTAGTAATTTCATCTTTCGATCCTGGAATGAGATAGCACATCGCATACGTGCATTTTCAGACCGTAGCGTTTCGAAGTCCTCACTAAGATTGTCATCTTGGGAACCATCGCTGGCACAGTATATGCTTGATGAACCTAATTTTTTGTAGGCCACATCAGAATAACCATCGTTAGTACCAGTACGTCCCTCCAATACCACAGCTGTTGATGTATTTGGTTTTGTTCTTCTTTCAACTTGGAATACGCATCTATTTTGCCTGGCTATTTTGGGAGAATCGGAACAAATACTAGGCGGCTTACAATCACTCAACATCTCGCTGCTCAACCTTGCTGTAGACCTACGCCTTATATAAAGGAAAAGACGTTCAATAAGAGCGAGCAATTGCAGACCGAAACACGAATTTATCGATATATCGCTACCAACCCTTTCAGTTTTGTGAACACGGTCGTCCATGGGCTCAATCGTGATAATCTTCTTGGTATCGTCATCTGCGTCTATGTCCTCATGTTCTGAATCACTCTTATCCACAATTTCCTCATCCTTGGTAGACTCCGTTGAGCTTTCAAGACTTCGTAACTCACCAGTAGCAACAGTAGCATTGGTAGCAAGTGATTGCAACGAGTCATCGTCACTATTTAGAGGAGTTTGCTCTTCCTCCTCATTGGTATCAGGCTGGACTTCTGGTGGTGCTACAATCTCGACATTAGTACCAGCAGCAATAGGGTGAATATCGCCACTAGAAACATCGGTAGATTCTAATATGTAAGACTCACGCTTATTTAAACCCTCAAGGTCAACTTCACATTTACCTTCCAAGCAATCTGAAACGTTGACACTGCGTACCACTGTATCAGAAGAGTCTTCCGTTTTCCCAATTAAGATAACCTCCTTATATTTAAATATGCGCTTCCAAGGAAACATCCGCTTCCTCAATCCTCCTCGTTCCGATGAGGATTCAGCTGAATCGAACAACATTATTCACTAAGATTGAGCAGCAGTCAAAATTCTATTAGTCACCTCAATAGATCTAGTGACCTGGCAACCATAAGGAATATATAGTAGAAATATGCAGAATAAATGCAATGATTCAGTTATAACTGACGCATCTAAAGGGATATGTCACTTAAGAAGTGTCATATGTGCTATTATAAGTGCCTAAAGTGGTACATCTTATGACCATGTGTCATTATTCTGAACCAGAGGGTCGTAGTAAGGATCACCATGGTTACCATTGTTTTGCAGGGATACTAACAGACATTTTTTATGTGTGAATACGTTATTGTCTGACACCATGGGTCTTTGCGGCAATTTTACCAGGGTATGTACATTAGAAAGGGCATCTTAAAGCTCATGAACACATGGATATCAAGTGCAATATTATCTACGTTTAGAATTATATTGCTGCGCAATTAAAAAATGAAGAATGAAAAAAATAGCCAATGTGTAAAACCGCACTACACATTAACCATATCGCACGCTAGTGAACACATCACGCAATAGGGAGTAACAATGTTGAATGGATAAAAGTTCCGTTCTTGTTACCGGATGTGATACCGGCTTAGGATTGGCACTATGTGCTTTATTGCCACATCACGGTTATTTCGTGATAGCAATATGCCAATCTGAAGCCGGACAACGAAGGACCAATAGGGTCATTAATGGTGAACCGAGCACATCAGAGGGCGTGCCACGTGTCGATAGTGAAGGGTGGCTTGTTGGAAAAAAGGGTGTTTCTTATGTCCTAGACATTACCTTGATAAATCATGTTGAGCTATTCCGCGAACAATTGGCAAAGCGGATTGCAAATAAAGAAATACCACCATTGTATTCAGTAATTAACAATGCAGGGATATGGAGGTTCTCAATGTTAACGGTAAGTAGTTGTTTAGTTACCACTGCACATTAAATTTGGAAGACATAGTCTCATAGGATGCATTCGAATCATTAGAGAGTCGACAGGCCGAAGTTAACAGATGGAGGGAAGTCTTTGAGACCAACGTAATTGGATCACTACAGATTACTACTGCATTTGCAGGACATCTTACAAGGTCAGCGGATAACCTATCACCAAGAATATTCTTTGTATCAAGTGTTCTAGATAAGCATTCACTGCCAGGCCAAAGTGCATATGTGGCTTCGAAATACGCAATTAATGGACTCCATGAAACCCTGTGCCATGAACTCGCCGCCACAGATATAACACCGATTATTGTTAAACCAGGGCCACTCAGAAACACAAACCTTTTCATACGTGACCTTAACCTCAACGAACCCGGTAAGTAACTATATGTATGAATATTCAATAAACAGTGTCCTGCTGAGTAACATATCCCCGTGCGTTGAACATTCTTATGCATCACCATTATTTTACAGCGGATGAAACCGTACGAGACGAAATCGAGGTCATAAAAGCTTCATATAGTAGGTTTTAGTGAAATTATAAAAATTAGATATTAGGGTTGCTCCTAAACGCTGCGGGTGATTGCCGCCACGTCGCACAAACTATATTATACGGGTTGCGACAAAGATACCCAAAGTATGAGTATTCCAATTTTATTGGCACAATACCGTTTAAAATCGCAGAATATGTACCGAGGAAAATTTTTGTACACTTCGTTAGATTGGTCTTGCGGAAACTTGCTTTGCTGTACTTCACTGTCAGAAGGCTAGTCTTTCGAATGAATTTTTGGAGAAGGTAGGAGGTGACATATATATCACTTAGTATCGGGTACTTTACGTGGAGGTAACAGCTTCTTCTCACGCGCCTCCTTTATCAATTTGATATACCCAGCACGCTCGACCTATATCCAGATGTGAAATAAATAAATATATATATATATATATATAACCTTACCTCCAAGCGAGCGTGATGATACCGTAGTAGCTGCATAGACTGTCGCCAATTGTAGACGAACGAGATTCCTGTAATGGGTTACTAAAGTAACGCGCAATACATACCGAGATACACCGACGTACTAATCAACGTCGTACAGACAACGAACGAAATGTAGTCATATACCTTATTCTTACGTACGTGAAAACCATAATAATTTATACCTAGAGCCCGAAATACCTCGAATCGTGCACCGCCTTTCATCGTAATACTAACATGCGATACACGATATTGTAGCTACCAGTGACCAGCTATATGCCGGTAACAGAAGCTTTAGGGGGATATATATCGACACCTAAAGCCGATTATCGAACATTCGATCCACGCGGTCAGTAAAGGACTGTGTATGGGGGAGCGCAGTATGTAGGAACACGCACATCATGCACCAGTGTCCGTTATGCAACACACATCAGTTTAGAATTATCAGAAATACCTTCTGACGTTCGATTCTCACGACAGAAGACGACCCAACCGGTCACTCAGACGCCGCGCCTAGCGTGTGGCACCTAGGTGTACACACCGTTGGTGAATCGCCGAATTAAGACTATAAATATGTCGCTCGAAGATATGACATCAATACCCGCTGAGGCGGTCCTGAAAGCTCAGGAGTACCTCAAGCTAATCAAAAAAACGGCCGATCCGAACCTTATATTTATACACTGCTATCATATTATGAAGCTCGCAGGACTAGACGCAGAAGTTCCAAGGCTAGTGGTTTTCGGGCAACAGTCCATGGGCAAAACTACTGTACTAGATTTCATCATGGGTGGACCTATCGGATATTCAAGTACCGATACCGGTACCAAACAACCAGTAGTCATCATCATGCGACCCCTGGAGGTAATCAAGGAAGTAGCAGCCTCACTCAAGATACAAATGGACAGTAGCGATATCATGGGAGGTACCATATGGTGTCTCTTCAACGGAAAACTCATGGACATCAGAAGCGTACAAGATGCTATGCGCGTACATATGCAGAGTATCGGCGATAATATCATTGCAGAAGAACTGGAAGTGGAAGTTTTCGTCCCAAATGGCCTTAATGCCATATTCGTGGATTTACCAGGGATTAAAGATGATTCAAAAATGGGAGCAGAATTCACAAGAGATGTTGTACGTAATTATGTACAAAATAACCCAAATGACCTATACATACTCGTCAAAAAGAGCTCAGATGATCCTGCTAACTGGCCATGGTCACTAAAAGAGTTCATAACTACCGCACCACCAACAGGTCTAGGACTATCGCCACACCAAACGGTTGTCGTTGGAACACGGGCTAAAGAGTTCTTAATCAATGAAAAAACCGATATCAGAACTGCAGAACAACTTATAGAAAGGGTTATGAAGAGGGGAGTTATAGACTCCAAGGGAAACATGCTGCCGTTGCATTTGGTAGAACTATTCTCGCTAAGTATACAGGCAAAAGAGTCCGGTGACTTTTTCGCAAACAAAGCCGAGATGAAGCGACAGATAACCACAGGACAAAGAGAAGTCGAAGATATTATCAGAAACTCATTCGAGTCAACAAATGATACCGTTAACAGAGATGGCATGACAGTTGTAGAACGACTTATACAAATGTTCAGTATCAATGGGTTCCTCACCACACTAGACAGCAAGTATCAGACATTGATAGCAACAACATTCAGAAACCTTGAAAGACGCTTGGTACGGAAAAAAATGGAACTTGAACGCAGCCTACAAACACTAGAACAACGTATGAACAGATTGAACCCACAAAGCGTACGAGAATCCATCGCTCTTTTCATTAGGCAATTTGTCGAAGTAGTTCAAAAGATGATGACAGGAAATTATACCATAATGAAACTGCCAATCGCACCAGAAGAGTTCCTCAAATACTACGGAGGTAGCCTCAGGGATAACCTAGAAGATGGTAATGAACTCGCACTTAACCTGTTTCCCCAGGGAGATCTTTACGAATCTGACTTCTACGAAAAAATATCCAACCGTACGGAGACACTTTTCAACAAAAAGTTGACAATGATGGACAGCGTTAAACCAGGTAGATATGTCAGATATTTCACAAGTAAAATCAATGCCCATATGTTCGGATTAATCGAACCGCCGAGGAGAAATAAAACCAACTCGACTGATGGAAGAATCGAAAGTTACATTTCAAATGACTACAAATCTGATGAAATGATCAATGTGGAATTCATACAAATCAATAATGGACAGGAAAATTCTTTACATAAAAATATAGACAGGAGCAGAATTAGCCTCTTGACACCACTACCATCGCTATCGGTAGATCAGATGCAAGTACCACTATACGCATGGCATAAAACGCAATCGAGCACAGGGTGGATCCTGGTGAGGCCTATTGTTATAGACAGACTTCCGCCGGAAATAATGGTACAAAAGTCAAATTACCGCGAAATAGAAATCGCAAATAAACAAATCGCTTTCAGGTACCTAGACATACCAGATACCGCAAATGTTGACGAAGCTGATGTAGATGCCGCGTCAGAAAAACTAAGTGCAACTTCCGTCAGAGGAACAAATAAAGAAACCGATAACAAGGGTAAAAATGATGGAGACAAAAGCGCTCGTGACGGTGATAAATCAGGACGTGCAACGGATAAAGGAGCAAAGGAAACTGATAAAAGTGTTAACGCTGCTGGCGACAATGATGTAAAGAACAATCGTTATGTCTATTTCACAACCTGCAGTGAAATCTTCCTTGAGGACCCTAAGGTCGTGCCGTACTACAACAGCGCTTTGGAAATGGTCAGTGGAGAACATGCAGAAGCACATCTACTCAACCAACTTGCTATTACCAATATTTGTCATTGGCTTAAGTTCCAAATTAAACATATGGAACCCGATAGACACTTCACCAGCGAAGTTATATATCAAATGCTCAGGAGTGTACATCATGTAGTGGACCGTGCAGATTGGGAGCCCCTGATTGCCGATCTAGTCCAGTCCAACGTAAGGGGTGCTCTTTTGCACGCGGCAAGACTCTCAGCATGTGCAGCGGCTGCTGCTCTGAGAAGGGTGTTAAAGGCGTCACTCGCAGAAGTATTCAGATGCATTCAACAATCGGAATGTGACCAAACTCTATACTGTCTTAGCGAAAGCTTGCACTTCCAAGAACAGATAGATCAACTATCCGAGGAGTATTGCCGTCAAAAGGCAACCGACTGTGCTACTGCAATGATGAACCTCATACTGGAGCAAACTTACTCCATCCAATTTGATGTAGCGGTCGATATATTTGATTACTGCTACCAGTTTGAAAAATACTTCGTCGGAAGAGCAGGACACCGTAGCCTTATGGGTGAAGCACTTTATAGAGTACGTGAAAACTTCGCAATGCGCAAGAGGAGACTTGCAATGACCGATATTTTCGAAAAGTCAGACGCCAAGACGTCATTGGAGCTTATATATGAGGAAGTGAAGGTGCAGTTCTGGGCCACGAAAATGTTGCTCGCATCACCACTTGCTACCAAAATTTACACCCACTTTATCAAAGATGTTGTAGATAGGATGACAAGTGACATGAATGACACGTCATTCAGTAGCGATGCTGAATTGGAGACCTTTTTACAGAAGAACATATTGTATGAAAGTATCGACGGCAACTGGGTACCTAGATCGAACGCACGCATGGCACAAGATTATGATGTAAATTCCAAATATGACAGATTTGCACAGCACTTCCATGACACCAAGAACTCTCTGGAGTATGTTACCGTGGCCCTTGACGCCATTGCCAATATGAAACGTGCCGATGGAGGACCGGAGTTCCTTGCAAATCTTGATAAGGATTTCTACAAAGTATAAAGTTAGCTGCCAACACCCACGGGTCTCGTGATATATCGCAACTTACTGAACGCAGCACTATATTTTAACATGTTTTAGACATACCCTAAGTATAATGTTACCATTAATAACAAGCGAGTGTTTTCGATGAAGCTACGTGTTAAACCGTCTCCCACGATCATTACGTTACGTATTAACCTCTGAATATTACCTCTGGGTTTTTAGACGAAAGTAGCAACTGTTATGAAACAGAATAAAACACAGATATCAGATGGTATGAGTGACAATAATGACATTAGTAGATTCATGGTCGATAATGTGGTCAGAGTACACTTGAGAGAGGTCTACTGTCGTGCGCATTTCATTGCTAACTCGACGTCATTGGGACATATGGCATCAACACCCGAGGCCAATTGCAATTTCATGTCTTTTTCAGTGTCCGGTACAGATTCCAAGAAATAGGTCATAATTTTCAAACCCTTCTTGTGAAGCTCAGTCACAAGGTGATGCAAAGCGTCTAATCCCTTAACTGCAGCGCCAAGAATTGGGGTCTCGGTGGTCCAAAAGTCATGGGCAAGGCTAACCCACTCGGCATGATAGCTCCTTGTGCATTCGACCATTCTTTCTAAGCTTGGCAATTCGGAGGTCTCGTTATTGAACAATAAGCCGATGGGCACGCCTAAACGATTGTTCACGAGGGGGCGTAAAAGGTCAACGGTAATTTTCCCGTTTGGCAATGCCTCTAATGCGTTTTCTGCATGAGGGGAACTAGGATCCAACTTTGGTGGTATCCATTGGAATGACGATATTACTACTTTGACCTTGGGGTGTCTCTCAATGGCATCCAGAACACGGGGGCCGAGCTCTGGACGAGATCCCTTAAGCTCAATGTTGTATTGGAAAGTGTCACCAAGTTTCTCAAATACCTCGTCCAATGTAGGCACATGCTCGCCTTCTGCGTGCTCTAAGTTATCTATGTAGGATTGGAAGGAAGCAGCAACGTTGCTTTTGTGGTTTTTAATAATAACATCGATATCAGTGATACTCTGAAGAAGACGCCATGGCTTCTTCAACAGTAAGTCACTGGATTTCGAATCATACTTCTCAATGAGGTCATCCTCAAGAAACTGCTTTACTCCAGTTAAACCATCCTTCTTAAGAGTAGTAAGGCATAAACTGTTCTTAGCAAGGTGGCCGTGCACGACTAGAATTTCGTCATTCTTCGACAGGAATACATCAAGCTCTACACCATCAGCACCCAAACGACGTGCCTCAAGGAATGAACTGATGGAATTCTCAGGTAAGAGACCAAGTGTTCCGGGGATACTACATCCTACACCGCGGTGGCCGAATATCAGAGGACGATGCATTGTAGCAAAACAGTAATTGTATAAGCAAATTTGTCATAAGTACACGGGAGATCGTATGTTGATGTAATTATGCAGATAAAATCTTATACAGACAGAATTATCCGCCCAACACACAAGCGTACAGAAATCGCATAATGTGGCCAACACGGCTCATATAATTTTTGGCTTTAATATTTGATATTTAAATTTATTCATTAACTCTATGCACATACATTTTTGTACTCAAATTATACGCAATCTTACACTGTCTAGAATCAAGATAGGTCGAAACGGATAAGGACCAATCACGATGATTCTACATTACCCTGCTTGTTTAAAGTGAAGAACACATATGACTAATGAAGAATGATATCCTCGGTCTTCATTACAAACCATGGTGTTCCACTGCTATTCAGGGCTTACAGCGGCCAAAGCACAAGACAAGATGCCGTTATGTATGCAAAGAACATGTTACATAGATCATTGTGGCCATATAAACCTGTTCAACAGTTTGCTTTTACTACATATTGCAGTGTTGCTTTAGATAAGTTTCACATAGTTGCGGCCTGCAATGGGAACTTTAACGTCACACTGGTGGTTCAGTGCCTGAACGACATCAGGAACGCTATAATCACGTTGCTGGACTCCAACATCACAGACGCTACATTGCTCGATAACGCGACTATGTTACATGAATTATTGGATTTGGCAATAGATGCAGGATACCCGCAGGATTTTTACTTGGAATACCTTAGCTTGGTTCTCACAAAAGAAACTACTAGCAGCATTTTCAAAAAGAATACCACAGGGTTTGTAAGTTACATGAGGAAATATGGAGTTAATTACCAGAAATTTACAAAAGGAAAGAAATTATGCAGCGTCTCTGACGACCTGGGACCCTCATCTAATACAGAACTCCAAGTAATAAAGACCAAGGTGCCATGGCGCCCTTCCACTTTGACTACAAAAAAAAATTATGTATTCTTGTTATTGTCGGAATGTATCAACTGTTGTTATTCTCATGCCGGAGAGCTATTGGAAACTGAAATCACCGGTAGTATGTTGATGGACTGCCAAGTCTCCGGTGAACCGACACTAGAGATCAAATTAAACGCAGAATTTAGCGAATTAATCACGAGGAAAACTTTTAAATATTTAGATAATAATAGCGAAAGTGATTTTCGTCCACCAAACGGGGCAAAGTTCTCTACCTCATTTCTCGATTTCAAGGTGGATAAAACGGTCAATATAAACTCAATGCTGGATAGAAAAATTATCACCATGATACCGCCACAAGGGGTAACTATGCTTATGATTTATCGGTGTGATAACAAGGGTGGCTTGCCGTTCGACATCACGCCCGTACTCACAAGAGCAACCAAACAGCTAGTGTACTATCATGTCACAATCGAGACCAAATTCGATAAAAGGATACATGCAAACAATGTCGCACTCACTATACCACTGCCCGAAAATACGGCAAATGTTGAAATGATCAATCACGCTGGACCATATCAATATAAACCCGCACAAAATGTGATGTACTGGCATCCAGGGAAAGTATACGGAAAACACATTCTTACATTGGAATTTCAATGCAAAATCGCAAAGTCGATTAACGAATGTAGAACTGCGTTGGATCCAATGCAATTGGAATTTGAACTACCAAATTACTCCTCTAGTGGACTGTACATACGCGATGTAACACTCATAAACAGCACACATAAAACAAATAGAGATGTACTGTACAACACAGCCAATGGAAAGTACTACTACAAGCTGAAACTACCAAATTAACCTTACTAAATATATATTTCCATATATGCCCCATCCATTTATGAAAGTTACTAACCGCCCGTGGGATACACTCGTGGTTATCCAGCAAGAACGACCTTCTAGTGAACACATTTCAAATACAATCTTGATAAATACTTTAGGCTGACCTATTTTGCCGATAGACAGGCAATGGAATCCGATACGGATCGACCATGGTAGAATCGCCGCGCGCACGTAGCGGTCGTAGTGACCATGCGCCGCCTCCACGCGGTGTCTTTGACGTAAGGGCAGATTGCTTAACTCCGGGAGTACTTTATATGGCCTCTGGAACCGACAGTACCGGCAAGGTTAACACGGCGCTGATAAACGTCATAGAGAAACGTCTATCTTACAAGAATCCCAATGTTATTGAAACAACAATAGCTGAGACTGATATACCCAAGCATGAACAATGGGCGAAATCAATTTTTTGGAACACATCAAGTGACCTGCAACTTGACGATAACGCTTATATCGACGCATCATGGGCTGCTGAGTCAATCGAAGTATCCAAACAAGTTAAAGAATTAGCAATGGTTGACCCGGTATATGACAATGAATTTGATAGAGGTGTGGCTAGGGTTAACAATATACGCAACGTGACATCGAAACTTAGGGTGTTGGATTTGGCAGCAGGCATAGGAGGTAACCTGGTATACTTTGGAATCGAAAGTGATCTTGCAATTGGAGTAGAAATCGATCAAACACGTGTTGAAATATGCAAGAATAACGTCAATGTATATGGACTCACGAACACACATGTTCTGGAAGATGACTTGTTCCACTTTATTGAAGAGTTTGCACAGGAACCATTGAAGAAGGCCACAGAGTTAGGGGTAGAACAATATTTTCTAGAGTCACCGGTTTTCGACTGCGTACATATTTCTCCACCTTGGGGAGGAAAAAGCTATCCGGGGGCTTCAGGCGATGCTGTATACACCCTTCAATGCAACTTTGACATAGAACGGGCAATGAAATCAATGTCCAAAATCGCAGATATAGTCACAGTTTTCTTGCCGAGGTCACAAAGTGTAAACGAACTTGTGAAACTTGCTTCAATTGGTGGATTCCCCTTGGTTATAATAGCGGCATATCATCTTCCAAAGAAAGTAAGGGTAGGTAAAATTCAAAAGACGAAATATGATCATTCAGTGCATACATGCTCATTTTGTCAAACGAGTCGAGTGTTTCAAGTCCATTAATCTGGAACAAATGGAGGTAGGTTGTATAGGCAATCGGACTTAATGACAAATAGAGGACCCACGTACCGTACAAGCAAACACCACACGCCCTGAATATTCTCATACATTCGACTCCATACAATACGCTACATGTCAACATGAAATCACAGTTGCACATGGACCATGTCATACATGCTATTATGAAAATACTGGACGAAAAATTGCCAATAATAGCAATCAAGTTGTACCATCTCCTGAGGTTGTATTCTTTACCTAACGTCATTGCGCTTGTGAACCAGACAAGGGAGATACACCAGGCGGGTGGTAAGTATTAGACTATTAAGGATTTAAGCAACATGCAGGCATGACCAAAACAAACTCGGATGAAAAACGGACAATCGGTGGGATATTCTTCCACCTCCTCAAAACCCAAAATAAGATAGTCTACAAGCAAGTGGAGAAGCTATCGGATTAATCACGTAACGCCATATGCTTCGTTGTAATCACTCAGGGAAACGCACCCTCAAAGAACAATGTAGTAATTTTTATGAAACACAAAAAATTAGTGGCGATCCACAAAGTCACTCTATCAGTGCCAACCTGATAACAAACCCGTGTATATGACGAAAAACATAACGCAGGCCCAAAGTACAGGAGGCAGACCACAACCCGTCGCACGGTGAACTCGTGGAGACAAAACGGGGGGATGTATCGTAGGCCTCGGTGAACCTTGCGAGCCGCCATTAGCCGAGTCATCAAATGGAAGAAGCATCTTATGCGCAGAGTTGCACAGACGTTCACAAGCCTCTCCATTAATGACAGAAGCCAAAAAGGTACTTTTAACAAACTTCACGTCGTATTCCGCCTTGACGACAATAGCATAAGGCGAAGTAGACGTCACAGTTATTCGCAGTATGGTGTAAAAATAACTCGAATACGGGATATCTGATGTATAACTCGTACTCTCGTAAATTAAGTGTTTCCCATCAACTAGGGCATATTTCAAATCCTCTCGGGCTTTGCCGCAGGCATGACGCGGAAGCAGGGCAGTGTACTTCCCTTCCTTTAATCGAAAACTGTAATGAATCTGACGTTTGTGGACCTGCACACCGTCAGCATCCCAGTCGAAGTCTACAGGCTCCAACGTCCCTCCAAATTCAAATGCACTCTGAGAAAGGCGAGTTTCCGCAACAATGCTACCAGGAGATACATTGTCACGCAAGCTTTTGAAAAAATATTTCTTTAAACTCATCTGTAAACTAACAGGAGGTAAAGATTTAGCCAGCGGTTCCAATGCTCCAAAAGCATCTTTCAGTTCCAACGATGAATTCAAAGTCACAGACTCTGCACTATTTACCGTTGCAGTCTCGTTACCACCGTGAAGCTTTGCCAACTCCACAATACAGTCACGGATACGGCGAGCATACCTTACCGAATAAAACGTGTGAGTCTCGTTATTACGTAGGACAAGTCGAACATAAAAAGATAGGGTCTTCGAAGATGTCAAGTTACATAACATGATATCCTCAACTGGGACAGTCAATGTAGTCTCGGGGCCAAATAAAGTGGCGTCATTGAAGCTAGATACGAACCCTATATGGGTCTTTGTCAGATACAATGAACCTCGCAAAACTATCTTGCGACAAAGCGCACACTTAAATTCATGTTCAACCTTGCCCTCCAAACCCAATCTTGAAAGCATCAAAGCCTGTTTCAACGTAGCCTTGGAAGTTAGAGTTATACCACGATCCATTACTGGTTCCGTATGACGACCATCTTCATGATCATCAACACGGTAACAATCCAAATAAGTGTAGCATTCAAGATCAGCGCGACGGAAAAGGGGCACGCAAGGTTCACTTAGAAGCTTCACAAACTTAGCAGGGAACCACCTGTCAACACCCTCGACGGTATGGCCATACCATAAAGGTGTATTCCCTGAAATACGCACGTGGACCATTTCACCACGGTTGAAGCGGAAATTATAATCTACCTCATTGTAGTCCACTACCGCCTCGGCATGCTGATCAAGAACACATAACATCTTACTCATAATAGCACTGCTTTCACACAACGGAAGACTGTTAGTGAGAACAACCAAAGGACCCACGCTATCAGTACTGCGACGACCGAGGGAACGGTAAAGAGAATCCACCTCACAATTGTTTTTCTCAAATATATCTTGCTGAAGCTGGCCTATCACCGAGTTAACTTCATCGGCATCCAAATTGTTCTCGCTAGCCATCGAAGTCACAAAGCTGGTCCAGTCCATCGTGTTAGCACATATGTTCAATGCAGCAGAACAAACGTTGAAGGTGTCTTGACTGGCTGTCTCCAAAAGCTCCTCAAATTGACTAGCAATTGTTCGAAGGAATTTTAAGGGCATTTTAATATCGAAAAACTCACCAAGAACCGGATCAGAGGTTTCCTTTGTCCTCCGCAATCCAGATGTGCTCTTGGGAAACACGGAGGCTATAGTTGTATAGATAGACCACCACGTAGAATACATGTGCTTGTTGTATTTATGATACGACTTGAACATCGCATTCACGTCCATGTCGCAAAGCTTCAGCGGGTGACGTGAACTGAAACGTGAAAGCCGATCCATTTGCGAGTGATGCAACTGAGACAGCTTTTTAGAAAGCGATCTCATGCCATCAAAACATTCAACAATAATTGAATGTAAACGGTCTTTCATATTCGGCGAGTCGATGTTGATGCTATAATGCAAATCAATCACACCATCAGCCGGAATACGATTTAGTTGATTTAAACATAACGCTAAATTTCTTGACTTAGATGATGTGTTATACATCAAAACAGAAGCAATCCCCGTTAGTTTCTCTAAACAGAAAACCTCTACGCAAAAAACAGTTCGAGGGTAATGTTCCGAAAAGGTGGCTAAAACATCAGTCAAGCCCTTAGAGCAATATTCGCGATATTTTTCCAGGGTGTCATACGTATGATGCGCCAAACACATCTGCTCGATGTAGTTGGTGTACCGAATAAAATCTTTCGAACTGCTCAACAATTGACACACCGTGCTCCTATTCACATTACGGTTATGCTTGTAATCAGGCTGCCTACTAGGACAGCCTTCAAAAGGACAGTTGAGGACATCATGATTACCGTTGGTAATAGAGGAGCGCGCCGCGCAGGCAGCCTCCAGTGCCTTCTCAAATTTCTGAAACCTCGATAAAGCCTTTTCGTACGCCGTTAATGAGGCTGCATATGTAGATGAGTAACTTTTTAGCATCTCCTTCAGCTTCTTCATCATGCTACCACCCTCAGAAACTACACCATCAAGCAACTCTATAACTTCTACCAGACTAGCGTCGAATTGACTCAACCAACGTAATTCATGATTGACAGCATCTGCAATGAACACCAACATACCTCGCAGAAGACGGCATAAGGAAGACAAGAGCGAACGTTCATTTTCGGATATGTCATTATTTAACGACTGAGCCATATTCAGCGGTGTCGTAGATAGTCCATCAATATCCATACTTCTCGATTGTGATGGACCATTTATTGAACAGCCATTTACAACGAACTCTGGTGTACATAATTGGCTCAGCATAGCAATGCCAGATACGTTAGAACGAGGGGAAACGGCATCAATAGGTGAGGATGGTTCGTATGATGTGGCATTTATATCCTTCAAAGAGTCATAAAAATACCTATAATACCGTAACGCGTCTAAATTGCCGTTGATATCCTTGTGGTGGTGGTTCGTAAGGTTATCTGCGCTTCCATATGCTCGAAGTATCACAGAGGTACGATCATATACATTCTCGCTTTGAACTCGTTGCAAAGGCCGAAAATGGTTCTCATCAGACGCCATATCAATATTCCTCAACACATATCTCCCAGCCACCGGACTGGTGGACATATGATGTGGTTGAAAATCATCGGATAGGGCCAATGACCCTCCCTCACTACCCGTATCATCAGGTGGTGAACAAGAGGCCGCAGTATCACCCCTAGATATGGAAAGACCATCAAAATCGTCGCATGGGATACAGCTCCCATCGTCAAGCCACGAAACGCTTAGTATCGAATCACGATAACCATATCTGAAATCAGTGTCGATCATCCGGTACATGTCCTTCAGCTTGCACTCTATGACATATGGCCGAAAGTAATCTAGCAGAACCCTCAAATCAGAAGCCTCCTTCGACGTTATCAAGATATTCCTTAGGCGTGACGCCAAGGACTTCGCGGATGCACATCTCACATTGTAGCAAGAGACGACAAATGACAGACTGCCGCTGTCACTAACTGACAGCTGCATCATAAGGGGATACTGCAGCGACCCTCCTTATTACCCCTTGTACCAAATAGATGCTGTAACATCATCTAATGAATATATTCAATACATATATAGATGAGTATTGGCAACAACCTCCGAATTTGTCACATTGTGGTCCAACAACAATTGCTGTAGAAAATCAGCACAGACGAAAGATGAAGAAACAAAATATATGACATGAAGTAATACGCAATTTATATTCAAACCTTTAAAAGGTAATTTCCTCCTGCTTCCAAAGACATTTTAGGAGGATCATTATTGGATATTTGACTATTGACATGACCTACAACAGTTTTAATTGGAAAAATATAAAACATTAAATATTTATGATGTCATTTTTATAATGAAAAAAGTACAGAGGCGGTCTCTACAGTGGTAGTGTGTTGTCACAAGCGCCTGGCGCATAGTGGCACGGCATTTTCTATTTTGTGCATACTATGCAATCGTATAATAGTTCGCCCAGCCACGTGCATCACATAAATCGTTTCATTCGATGCATTGTTAACACTTCATTAATAATCTAACATAAATGTCTAGAGCGTTGGTAGACACATGGCTTGCCAACCTATTTTATTCACCTCAATTTGCGTTTTAACCAAAAATTAATATACCACAACCTATAAAATCCGTACTAAACCGATTGTCGCCGTGATCATGTTCAAAAAAAACACATATGGCGTCCGCGCCGCGCACACGTTGCTTAGAGCGCGAGAGCAGCATTTCATTACTGTGGCAGTGCCGCATAGAATCTTGTAATGTGTTATAATAATATTTCGAGTAACTGGGTGTCACTTCATCCTATGGGTCTGTAATAGCTGGCACCTGGAATATAAACATTTCTAAATATGGAACCCGCTTTAAACAGCGCAACGGCCTTAAAGATAAATGATACCATACACCAGGTTGAAGCAATGTAACGGGTTGTTTCGTAAATGCTTTGCAAGCGCAACGGCACCGAATCAACCCGCGAAAAAATCATCGTCAACAGCAACAAACATTCATGCCATTCTTGGTGCTGACAAACCAACGCAACAACAGAAGGTAGATGTGACCTTATACCATAGTCATCTCTTTTAGATCAGTGAGGAAGGGTCGTACGATGCACTTTACCAAGAATGCATGACGGAAATATATAAACGAAGAGCAGAGGCAGACGGATATTCTGAAGAGACACGTGATTCCCCAGAAATTCTTGAATTAACGAGAAAAGAACGAGAAATCACTAAAGCAATATTCAGGAGGGCAGACCCATTCCAAAAGGTTTGACAAAATTCGACAGAATTCATAAGTCACAGTTAATACCCAAACTTGATCATAAGGATGACTATATAGACCCATATTGGGATCCTTTCAAGCGTCTAGATGGATTGAAATTACAAGTGGCTGCGGAATTCAACGATCTTGCAAGGTACGAAATTATTATACAATATCGGAGCATACCTGCTCAGGCTAGTCAGTGCTGCAGAAGTCCGTAAACAACGCAAAATGATAAAACAAGCAGAGCAAACGTTCGAAAAGTTTTGTGACCCTTATGCTAAGGAACAAGACGGTAGTGAGGTATGAGTTGATCGATGAACACATAGCTGTCGAGTGTGATATGTTGTAATCTAAGAAATGTGTACAGACCACGGAACCACTGCCAAGCGATCTCAACGAACGGTTCTGGGACCCAGACGTTGAGCGACGCATTGTATTGGAGAACAATAGGAGGCCGTTCTCATTCAGAGGTTAGCAGAAACTGTTGCCATATGACAATGCCATGCAGACCTACATGTGCTCCATAATTTTGTAGCTGAAAATGGCCAAATATTGCCGAGGAGGCTTACCTGTGCTACGAGGCAGCAGCAGAGACAAATATTTAAAGCTATACGAGTAGCAAGACAAATGGCGCTATTTCCCTACGAATGGAAACCGCGATATCGGGATAGGATACCGTTGATGGATCCTCAACAGGTTAGAAGATCTGTTGAAATAATATACATCTGTTTCCAGTACTTCGCTGACGAACTTTTCCATCGGTACAAAACACTGGGCGATCTACGCGCAAGGGCTATGCTGCACGTTATAATCAAAAAATTTCCACATGTAAATTGCTTCAGGTATGGCTTCACAAACACAAAACAATTGTTTCAGGTTTCTCAAATATGAAGCACACAGGTTCAAGTCGAATCTCAATTTCAAAGATACACTAAACAAATATAAAAGCACATAGCTTTACACCGGTAGCTGAATAACACAACAACAAAATTAATACTTCTATGGAGGTAGCTGAGATTCCAACAACTAGACAACGAGGTTAATGGCTACCCCTACATTCCACGACCCTAGTGCCCACGCCGCACGGAGAGATATATGTTAAGGATTTCAATGAGATGTGCACACTGTGCATCTAGTGCTACTATAGAAATTCTGGTCTCCAACTGTCTTGGATCTAGCATATTGGCGTCAGTATTTGCAAATAAATGATGCCTGCCTCCACGGCTCGCGCTCTGGGAGCATGTCTGACAGAAAAGGACTCTATCGCTCGCAATTTCGACTTTAAATCGGTCTTCTGAAGTCACAAGCAAACGTAAATACTTGGTTAAAATGGGGAGCGACCTCATATGTTCGGTTGTAGAGGTCGAACGCTTCCTTAAGGACCACGATGCAGAACAAACAATTATTGACGCTTTCAAGCACATCAAAGGCGCCCTATACGGCCAAGAAATCAAACGTTTAGGGTTAAAAGCGTCACGCGTCTCGTCCATTGATGAAACGAACAAAACTGTGATTTCAAGGCCAAAGGATACGGTCTCTAAGTGGATACACAATCTTTTCTGTGGATGCTTTCAACAGGATGTCACTGCAGTACACGAAGATGACGATTCTGCCACTACTCTATCATTGTCCAGTGAGAGCAAAGAACCTCATGGACAACATGATGGGTTGCAGTCACCATGGCCGCGGAAAGGATGGGTCATATGCGATAGTAAACGCAATGTACCACATGACTATGACAGTGAAGAGGAGTACCAAAAGCTATTTGCGCAGCTTGGTAATAATTGGAATATGGACTTCTTTGCATTGTCGAAATTTAAAACTCTACAACAAAGCGGACCAATCGTCACTGTGGGCCATGGGTTGATTAGTCCAGTTGGAGACCGCATACACCCGAATTTCAATCGCTTACTAGCGCCAGTTTTAACTACCATACAAAATGTGTACCTACCAAATCCTTATCATAACGCGTTACACGCAGCATGTGTTGCACACATGACCGCTGTTCTCGCCAAAGCACTAGGCCTGAACAAATACCTAACACCGCATGAAGAGTTTGCATATCTTATTGCGGCAATTGGACATGACTCTGGACACCCAGGTATGTTAAATCAAACACTTATGTCATTGCTCCGCAGGGAAGACTAACGCTTTCTTGCGCTCGACGCAGAGCCCGTTAGCGATTATTTATAATGACGCAAGTATTCTAGAAAACTACCACGCGTCTCTAGTTTGTCATATTATTAGAGCGAAAGAAGAGTTTTTCGCATTGTTCAGCCAACAGGAATGGGAAAATGTAAGGAAAAGAATTATTCAGCTGGTGCTCGCGACCGATATGATGGCGCATTACACTCACATCAACAACGTCAAGGAACGCAGACTCAATGGCACATTTGATCATGTCAAGAACCCTGAGGACCTATGGTTTGGTATGGTACTTTGCATCAAAACAGCAGATATTGGACATAACTTCCTACCGTGGTGCGAACACTTACCATGGACTAAAGCTCTCTTTGATGAGTTCCATATGCAAGGAGATGAAGAGAGGCTGCTTTCGCTGCCACTCTTACTATTCTTCGACCGTACACGCTCGGCTGACATCCCAGACTCGCAGTTGGGATTTTTCCAGGGATTCACAACGCCGTTGATCGACGAACTCGCATATATCAATCCAAACAGCACCTATCTAAAGGATGTTCTAAATGAAAATGCGTACGATAATCTAGAGCATTGGAAGAGTAACAGTAAACGATTGTTGGATGACATCATGACGGATCTCGATAAATCCAATGAGGTTTATCAGATCGCAGATGCTACAGTCACCGAATCATAAACGCGCCTAAACGGACAAAAATGAAATCGAATTGTTAGAAAGCGGCGTTTATGGATCAAAGTGGCTAGGCAATACTGTCATCGAATTTGAAGCCTATGGCCATAAACTAATTTATAAGACTCGCAGGGAATCTGACGGGTCACATTGACGTAAAAAAAGTAGTGACAAAAGGAATGTTTAAATTTTTTAAAGACGGAGCGTTACTGCTCACATCGGGCCTTCGGATCATTTTTAAGCGCAGTGTTGTACCTGCGAAAATGTACATGAAACTGCGACCACAAGTCGAAGGTGCCCAATACGTGACGCGTAGATGGTCGAAGTTATACTGAGTGACCTCTTTGACCGTCTTGATTTTAGGCGCCATGCCATAGTAACTGATTAAGAAGTGATATACAAATATTACTGTAATGTTCATTGTTTTCAATTTCAAATATCTTTTTTTCATGGGATGAACTAGTTTACAGCTCGAAGCATTTATTTAGTGTAGAAGCATGCTCTATGAATGCACTTTTACACTGTCCAAGTGGCACGAGACATACATACCTTCTGTGCTGGTATTTTAGTTCGCAGAATACTAATTCTATGTTACTTGCACTTAGAAACTGTAATATTATCATGTGTTTGCATGGTACCTCTTGAAGTTAGTTTTCACCAGGCTTAATGCAACACTGGACAAACCATTCTAGTAGTGTTAAACCATGTCCGATGGCAATGCGTAGATTGACACAATTTTAGAATACTGTCGAAACACATGAATCAAAACATTTCTATGAGTTTGTACTATATTAACACACCCTGTGAACATATTCGCAAGGGTTCGCTTTCTTAAAAAAATATCTTTCCTCGATATGATTTATTAGACACATCACAAGGATGGTGGGAGGAACGACCATCCCTTCGACGTATGCAAATACCATATCACTTCTTCAAATGTTCACATACTCACTTCACTTCGATATAAACGACTGTGTTAGATAAAACCGAATCATTTTCCACAAAAGCAACTCACCATACATACTCGCGTCGGTGCTTCTTGGCACAAGCTAAAATTATCGAATATGAGGCTCTACAATTCAAAAGTGTTGCTAATAACGAGTGTCGAAGATTCGTTTTGATTTTATACTTCACATAGCTAACACTCCCACTGAAGGTTACGTTCAAACGTAACGATCCGAATCTAGTTGAAAAAGTCTAGACGCACGTCACACAAAATCAGGATGACACCTGGACCCGAAATATACGAATATATACCGCATGTCACCGTCGTGAGAAATCACGATGTATCCAATCACATCGGTGCCCTTTTCCTAGACGATATAGGTACAGTGCCCATATTTCTTGATGTTCTTGAGTTTTCTGGTAACATGCGGCCGTTGTTTTGATTATTAGGCACCCTGACTTCTGTAACAGATCTTCTTGTACGAACACCATCGCGTCCAACTGTTTCCTCGGTTGTGGTCACCTCAACGGTGCCGTCTGGTAAAATTCTCTCTGTCGTTGTGACAGACGAGGATGTGCTGTACGTGTTCCCAAAGTTTCCGCGGCCGGAACTACTGCGTCTAGGTCTTCCGTGTCCCCATGAAGATGATGAGACTGTAGTTGACCATTGCTGCGGCATACCCATGTTTGCAAATGCTGAAAAAAATGAAATCAATACTCTTTGTACTTACGGTCAAATGCATCGAAATCCATTCCGTTCATCCCGAACATACGAGGAAACTGAAACCTGAATGCCGTCATCTTTTTATTAAGTAAAGAAACTTACGCGTCGCCAAATACATCCTCAAAATCACCCCAATCAGACTGGAAAAACGATCGCCCAAAATGCAAATCTGCAAAGTCGGGGTGGAAACGAGCTGATCCGTTGCTAGATGCACCGTCTTCACAATGACCAGAAGCTGCGGCGTTCGTCATCATTTGATAAAGCTTGAAACTTACCATCATATTCAGCACGTTTTTGTGGGTCTGACAGTATTCCGTAAGCCCTCGATATTTTTTGGAACATTTCCGTAGCTGCTGCTGCGTTTGCAGGATTTTTGTCTGCAAAATAATCATCCAATCCTCAACTGTTAGATATCAACGGCACTATAGACCGCACAAAGGTGGTCACAACAAAAGCATTCTTGTGACGCTGTTGATATTTCGATAAAAACTTACCCGGATGCCACTTGATAGCAAGTGCCTTGTATTTTCTCTTTATTTCTTCGATATTGGCGTTCGGATCTACTCCAAGGACTTTGTACAACCCCTCAGGGTCTTGTTGCCTCCCTGAACCTGTGACTCATGACTACCATTCCAAACTAAGTTACACATGAAATCTTTGATTACGTGTTAGACGACATGGATGCAGGCAAAACTTGATAAACCACTGAGATAAGTACCAAAACTCGACCACATTCACTAGAGGGCATATTAACACACAGAGCGTAGCACATTTTGAAACGAACTGCAACAAAAGTAACACATTTAACATACCTCTCCACATCTCGGATTTAATGGAGTGACTTCACTTGCCGTATGATGCTCTATCCACAGGCGTCTTTTAGCGCCCTCCGCGCCCGTCTTCTTATATCAACGTCGAGCAATTAAACAACACAAAAATCTTTTTATATGACGGAGAAAAATAGATTGCCAAATCGCTAGCACCAGAAGTCGTTTAGCTTACGTGGACCTCGTTGAGGCACTACGCGTCACTCGGGATATAGGCGCTCGGAACCTTGAATAAATTTCTAATGTGTAAGGATTTATATGTTTTTCCCACCTAAAATACTGAAATACGCGAACAATCAGCGCTTTACTCGGGATATAGTTGGTGGATCCCTTTTTGTCACTTCTGTTGTTGTCACTTTCCACGTGTCACCTATGTGCCATTGTGCTCATAGACAACCGAGCCACCGATTGCCACACGTCCTTTTGAATACCCCTGCCTGAAGCAGCGTAATTTATTGTAAATAGGCCTATTTTAAGCAAATTAAGTATATCTTGGAGAGTGTCAGTTGCGAGGATGCGTCTCTGTTTATAAAACGTATTAACCTATTTTAAGAACCAATTTCGTAATAGTCTACTTTGCCGTTACTACACGGGTTTACTTAGACCTGTTTTATCACTTGGCGAGATCTTCTCATGCAAACCGTCTTCCACGGTCCCGCGGGAATGCTGAGTTTCATGTTAACGGTTATCCGGCGCACGTATTTTTTCTAGTTCATTAGTAACCTTAGCACAGTCGTTTTAGCGTCTTCGACAAATCTGAAATGGGAACTGTGAAATAAAGGCGATGGGAATCCGCTCACACTGTGGTGAAGAATTCTATAATTCTTTTTATCGACAGTGCCGCCACTATTTAAATCGTGCAACAGTTCCATTTTATGCTTAGCTCATCATGTAGTATAACAATCGTTTTCTGGTACGCCAAAATTTTGAAGTATGGCCACCGGGTTGATTCACGGTGTCCGAGTTCCACTTAACTTATCTATAGGGATAATGATTTGAAAAACATTACTCTTTATAACTATAACGTTTCTACGTTTACATAAATACGAAACTCCATCATAAATAGATATTTCAGCGAACATCTACCTTTTTGTGAAATTGGCCCTTAACTTCTCGATGTGACATGGATGCTTAAGTGGTTCAATTTGTTGCATGGTAAAGGGGACTATGTGGCTTGTCAAAATAAACTCAATTAGCTTTTAAAGAATAATAAGACACACTTTGTACTGTTTTCACGTAGGCTTGTTTATAGTCAATGCTAGTTTGTAGGAGGTATTCCTGCAAGAACAACGCCATCAGTGTTGCTTTCCATGATGTACACGCTACTTCGTTTATTATCACCATATTTATTGTTTTAGTACTCTAAATGTCGTCTATGTGAATATATATAACGAATCGTTTGTCTGTCGAGTTGACGCTTCCTTGTATTCCTCAAGCATATAGAAAGTTGCACACTGGAGGTTCGCCAATTGGCACATGCGTTTCTGGTTTACTTGTAAGGTGCAATATATTGATGAAGATGCCAATTTACTAACCATCATGTGCTATGTGCATCTGTTCTGCTTCTCACAACTAATGTTAATTTCTCAGCAAAAATGACATGGATGATCATTGACCACATAAGCCCATATACGAATCTATATCGTTGAGCACTGAATGCACGCAATACATATCGGAATCCATGCCCGTATATGGAAGGCTGTATTAATCTATACTGATAAATGAACACTTCCTGCAAAGCTAACATGACAAATATATACAAGATACTATAAACTTCATCATTGGCTATAGAAGCTTACGTTAAATAGTGTATATAGATTGTTAGCATCCTATAGTGGCACGATATGTCATGCTGTGGCCCGCAACCATCATCAGGTACAACAAGCTACCTTATAGGAAACACATTCGATATGTGTTAAACTCATCGTTATTATACGTAAGATTCACACAATTAAAACGCCTATATACTGTTTTATATCTACGAATTGTCTAATGTCCTCATTGAGAGCTTTTTAAAGTACGTGTTGCGGGGACGCCAGGTTTAATGTGGAAGTGGAGTTCGTTGATTCGTCATAAGTAAACGGATATAAATGCCACTATCCTATCTTTCACTTGTGAATCCGAAGTCTTTTTTATTCGGTTGAAATGTGTTCGAGGCTCGCCCACGCACACACTGCTGCGACGGAAAAGTCTTTCTCTTTGCGTCAACGGCCTTTTGAGTATGTCAATAGATTTACATTATCCCTTATTATGGTATTATGAACCGGGATAGGAGGCTTCACATCCTACGATGGATTTTTCTTTACCACTCACTTACGGCCGACCAGCAGAGGGAGCTGCTCAACTCCATCGGTGAACCGTGCTTTCCAGATTATACCAATGACACTAATTTTGTGTTATCGATTGATCGACCGGCGTATGTTCGGTTCTACAACATCGCCTTGGCACTGCGTGATCGATTTTTATGTCGATTTGTGCGTCTAGCATGGAATAAATTGGGTGTTGCGTTGAAATTGAAACTGGTAATTAGGGCGTCGGATTTGTATGACTCAGATCCTGGTGTTACACGGAAACGATTAGACGTACTTTGCGGGGCGGACAACTACCGCCCTACCACCGGAACATATGAGAAGTCGATCCTGGTTCGTTACGGCAGCGTGAGCTCGTGTTACATGGAGTTGTTAGATCATCGCAATATGTTATTCATATCCTTAGGTATGCGACCCCCTGATGATTGCGCTAAAGGTTTCATATGCCCAGACCGTCCATCTTTATTAAATCCGTCGGCAAATTTCGGTTTCCAAGAGCTGATGACGCAACTCTTCGGTAGCAATAAAGATTTGGTTCTGCGTTGTGATATTTTGAACAATCATAATGGAAATGTTGGTGACCCCATGTCAGTGGATTTTCCTCGTGAATTACAGAGTTCAGTGTCGACTCCAGAAGAGGCCAAGGAAACCACGGATTGTGAGTGCCATTGGAACATGGATAAAATTCAGCAGGTACTACACAGTGAGTATCCTCGTTCAGATGTGAATAAGAAGTTTTACAATCAGTTCGACAACTTGGTGATACGGGACACTGAAGTGGTCGTCGTCGGCGCCGGAATTTCAGGACTTTCTGCTGCAAGTTACCTGATGTCTTGTGGCGCTGATGTGGTAGTAATTGAAGGCCGTGATCGCGTGGGAGGCCGTGCGTGTACCACTTATTTTCCGGAGAAGAAACTGTCTGGCGAGACTATTCCGGCGGTACACATCGACCTCGGTGCAAATTACCTGCACTGCTGCAATCCACTTGATTTCGAAGGCCGAAAACGCAAGTCTGAGCCTGTTAAAGATGTGAGATCTCGTAGGAGTAACTTTAAATCTCTACTTGGCCTGTCCTTGCATCTGCGTCCCAACGTGGCTGACGTTGCCGGAGGCGCGAATTGGGAAAGCACTGTCTACTCTAGATGGAGCGACTTGGAAGGGCAAGCCATTGATATGGATAGCATCGTTAAAGCTAATATGATAGCTGAAAAGATCCGAGTACGCGCGGCTCGTAAGGTGTCTGTTATGAAAAAGCATATGAAGAATGTGGCAAGTAATGGGAAGATTTCGAATAGGTCAAAGCACCTATGGTATGTCCGTGAAGGCTTATACCGTGAGATATTCAATCGTCCTCCTGATACTACGGCTGTGAGCCATCCAGATGCATATGACTTTTCACTCAGTTCCTCTGCGTTATCACTACCTCAGCCGGTGACTACTGGTTTGTTTGAGGAACGATCTCCAGTCTTACCCACTATGTTTCCCGTTCCATGTGTATCGCAGCATGGTTATTATGGAAATACGAGTCTGTGGGTACAGGGCCAAACAGTCATGCCACACTGCAGAGGTTCGCTGGGTGTGGTAGGGTCGCATCCATACGTTTTCCCTCTTAATCCTCAGGTGGCACGATCGGAACCACCACGAAGCAAGACAAGCCCATGTACGAATGGTGGTGTATATGTGGAACAGTCCTACCGATATGGCAGTCCGCCTCCCGGTTGTGCGTTACCTTTGGATAGACCTCTAATCATTAATACGTTCGATAAGACCAAGGAATGGAATGCGTACGATGTTATGGATAAATTGTTGAAGAATACTCCGTTAGGTGTTGCGCGTTACATTGATGTGAAGTCGAAATGTGACTCCATGGCGTATTTGTTTGATCACGACGGTAACCGCAAGTCATTATGGGACATATACATTGAATCGATTACTGAGATTTTCCGCGAGAACGGTTTATCGCCAAACAACCTTAGCGAGAAAGAGTGGAGCATGATATTTGTAATATTGCAATCACGTATCGGTTACAACAGTGACTTACGGGAGACATGCATTTCAATGTGCCGTTTGCCTAACGTGGATGAAGATTTTGATGAATCATCTTTCTATTTATCTAAAGACAATTTGATATTGAGTAAGGAGTTTGTGTTGGGGAATTACGTGGAACAGACAACGGTGAAGAAGCGTCCTTTCGAATCTAAGAACGATAGTGACAAGTTGGTGATTGATGGTTGGGATTGGTTACTAAATACTATTACTAATGGTGTGGAGCATGCTATTTATCTTAATTCGTGTGTATCTCATATAGACGTTAGTGTTGGTGACCACGAGTACCCTGTTAGCGTACATGTTAGTTCTTCTATTGATTCGACTCGCCCTTCTAAATTGATACGAGCTAAGTATGCGATAGTGGCGGTACCAAACAGTATGATTTCTCCGTTTCCGACTAGGCGTGAACACCCAAATCAGATTGTTTTTACTCCGCCTTTCCACCCTCACAAGACTACTGCTCTACAGCGTTACAAGATGGGTCATCACAACAAGGTTATTATGCGTTTTCGGGATGAGGATATCTTTTGGACATCCGATTCGCCACAGTTGAATACACTGGACCCTCGTTTTCAGTTTTTGGATTTGAATATGTATGGCAAGCGTGGTTGCATCTTGGCACACTCGTTCCCACCGTACAGTGTGACATGGGATACGCACATGTCTGATGCGGAGATTGTTCGCCAATGTCTCGAGGTTTTACGTAATAGCTTCGGTATTGACATGGCATCTATGCCATATCCTATAGATGCTATGGTTACCCGTTGGTATCGTGACCCATTTTCTATGGGTTCATATTCATATCCTTCATTGAACGCTGTTGACGACGATATCATTCATCTGAAGAGTCCACATCCCGCTGAATTCCCACGTGTGTTATTTGCAGGGGAGTACCTATCTAGTAGTTATTATCAATGCGTCGATGGCGCATATGACACTGGTATGCGTGCGGCTGAGGATGTGGCCCATCTTGGTCTCAATAAACCTTACCCATTCCCTGTAACACCTGATACCCCTTCTCTTGACGGTTTATTTAACCCAGTGATGAAGGAGAAGTATTTGGGTCTTAGTGTTCCGCTTCCATCAGCGGATCTTTTTGGTTACTACTTGACCGATGGAAGTGACGATCGTATCAGTGATGATGAGTTTGATGTTGAATCTCGAGGTCTACCTACGTGTTATTCTGAGGAATTGTCGCTTTTGGAGAATGTTCAAAAGTTGGTGGATTTGGACACTGTGTCCGTGGATAAATACTGTGAAGACCTCAGAGCAGTACAATCCGGTTTGGAAGCACTGCATGTTCGAAAGCACTGGAATCTAGCATTGAAATCTGCTTTAAATATTGTGAAATCAGTTCTCTGTATATTTACTGAGAGCAGTGTAGAAGCATCTAAAACGATGCATAATATGAGATCACCTAGCACGGCAGATGCAATTCTCAAGGCGTTTGTAAGCTATGAGGGTATAAATCACGAGCATCTATGTCACCTTTGCCTTGCTGGTGGTGAAGTTGTTATTTGTGACTCATCGTCCTGTACTAAGGTATGGCACGCAGACTGCGTGCCTTCCAGCTGTGACCAGCCTGTCACTGACTCTACATTGTCATGGTTATGTCCATGTTGTCGCGGTATTGATATTCCGCGTGGTCAGTATAGGGTTGCTATGCCTGTGACGCAATATTGGTTGCGCCGTGGCATCTGGTGGTGTGTGAAAACGCTAATGATCCAATGCCGTAACGTTTATGAGCGCATAATATATTTGCGTCGGCGTGTAAGCCGTGTGAAATAACACGATACAATATTCTGCAACATTCTTAATTATATTTATTAAAAACAGATGATTTTACGGTAGCGAGCGCCTACGTGTATAGCTGTTTCTGCGCTTTGTCGTGTCATGGTCATCTTCCCTTGCTAATATCGCCATATATCTTATAGAAAAATCTTATAAGATGTTTGGATTACAGGAAGGCACTGTCTACAACTCCCACGGAGGTCAAAACGTGAGTGACGAGGTGTTGAATATCCCATCTAGCCTTCCGAGTCTTGACGACGTGTACACCTACTTCAGTCTCTTTCTTAACTCATATTCTGCTGATTCCCTACAGCAAGGTAAATTGAAACGTCTTCTGCTTGAGAATATTAAAAATAACAAATACTTGCTTGAGGTGAAGCTGGATGATTTGTTCCAATTTCAAAATATAGTTGAGAACAACCCTAACCGTGAAGATGATTCGATAGCGCACCGTTTGAAGAATCTTCAAATGAATCGTCCAGACGGGGCGAAGTTTGCGGCTGACAGTGGACGTGCACCTCCACCTACTTATGCGGGTGATCTTGTTCGGGTGTTAACTGAGAGGCCGCTCATATATTTATCGACCATAGAGCGTGCGTGTTATGATGTATGCAAGCTTCATCACAAATTTGAAGAAGAGGATGACTCTTTTCACTTCATCCAGATCAACTTGCTCAACACATTTTGTAGGCCAACTCCCATAAGGTTAGTATCCTATTTTTTTAATTCTTTGCATGCATTTCAGGGCCTTGTTAGCAGCTAAACAAGAGCGTTTTGTTGTGGTCCCTGGTATAATAGTCCAGGCATACCGACCTCAACATAAGATGAAGACAATGACAATTCAATGTCGTTTCTGCGACCACAAGATGAAACTTGACGTACCTTTATGGATCTCAAAACCACAGATCCCTCGTTCTTGCCGTTATGCAGCCACCTTGAGGGCTACAGGCGGTGAAAACGCTAATGTAGACAACCAACTAGGTTGCTTTAAGGCGCAGAACCCTTACGTAGTGTTGCCTAACGAATGCCAGTTCGTAGATGTACAAACGTTGAAATTACAAGAGTTGGCCGAAGATGTGCCAACTGGTGATATGCCTCGCCATTTGCAGCTGAATGTTACGCGTTATCTGTGTGACAAGATGATCCCTGGTGACCGTGTGATGGTCCACGGTGTTCTGACTAACCACAATGTCAGCGCGGGTGGTACTGAGGCCAATGTGATTGGAAATTCTTATCTGCATGTTTTAGGTATCGAGAAATTGACCCAGGGTAAGGGTGAATCCGTTTCGTTTGACCTTGAGGAAACAAACGACTTGGTTTTGCTGGCTACTCAACCGGATATCCACGATAAGATATTCCGTTCAATTGCGCCCGCTTTATATGGTATGGAAAATGTGAAGAAAGCTGTTGCTTGTGCGTTATTCGGTGGTAGTCGTAAGGAGGTTGGTAGCGAGAGTCGTGTCCGTGGTGACATTAACATCCTGATGCTTGGTGACCCATCAGTTGCGAAATCTCAGATTTTAAAATTTGTTGATCACGTCGCACCAATTTCAGTTTATACTTCAGGAAAAGGAAGTAGTGCCGCTGGTCTTACAGCTGCCGTTGTACGTGATCGTATGGGTGTGTTTTCCCTTGAGGGTGGTGCTATGGTTCTTGCCGATGGCGGTGTGGTTTGTATTGACGAGTTTGACAAGATGGGTGAGGATGATGTGGTCGCTATTCATGAGGCTATGGAGCAACAGACGATATCTATTTCAAAGGCAGGTATTACTACGATGCTTAATACTCGGTGCGCGGTGATTGCTGCTGCTAATCCTACTTTCGGTTCATACTCTGATGACAGGGAGACATCAGAGCAGCACGAATTTAAGACAACCATTTTGTCACGTTTTGATCTTATATTTTTGCTCCGTGATAAGGAGAATGTGCGTCGTGATACCACTTTGTGTAAGCATATTTTATCGCTGCACGCTAATCAGACCCAGGCTGAAAACTGTCCTATATCGATGCAGAAGCTACGTCGTTTGATTCAATATGCTAAGCAAGCGGTATCTCCTATGTTGAGCAGTGATGCGAAGGACACGCTTCGTAACTTTTATGTGCAGAAGCGCAGAGAGTACCGTGAGGACAAACGTAACGCTACCAAGAAGATTCCCATAACTTTACGTCAGCTGGAGTCTTTGGTACGCATAGCGGAGAGTTTTGCTCGTATGGAGTTGTCCCCTGTTTCAACGGACAAACACGTTCAGATGGCTATTGAGTTATTCATGGTTGCCACTGGTGAGACTATGAAACAGACCATAGCTGTAGAGGTTATGGGTCCTCATGAGCAATTGATGGTGAAGCAAGTTGAGGACTACATATTGCACCGCCTACCGACCGGTCACAGGTTATCTCGTCGATTCTTGATTCGCGACATGGAGAACCGTGGTTTTGCGATTCCACACATTTCAAAGTAAGTTATAATGTGTACGTGTTCAAAAACATTTTCAGGGCATTAGCTATTTTGATTAAACGTGGTACAATACAAGAGCGCGGTGACCTATCACTACGACGTGTGGCTGCCTGAGGCAGCGCGCCGCGAAACTATCGCAATTTCTAATAATTTCTACTTTAACATACGCCGTGAGACGCCGCTACGGTGTACTTCCTTTGATAATAGATTTATATGTTACGTTGGAAGGTCGGTGGGGTCTCGATTTATATTTTTTTGGCTATGAAGGTCGTTCGTGTCACCTAATTGGGTGAGATTGCGCGTTATGGTCGTCTCCAGACACGCCTGTTCGGGCTTCATTTCTGGTGATAGTTTTACACACATTAGATAGTTGAAAATATTACTTTCATCGGTTAGATTCCGCAGGGGAATATTGCATTTAAGTGTACGTCTTCTGCTTGGTGTCACCAAAGCGTTGAACTGTCCCCTGTGTAAGTATGTTAATTTTCCAGATGCCTAGGCCTTAGGGCACCTAGGCGTCCGCATAATAGATAGGAGACAAATTGCTGGTGAAGTAGACATGGCAGCATGGAAATAAGCTAAATATTTCTCAGCCGATGGTGCATGGTCGGCCCCATTAGTTGGTGCCACTTCTCCGGTAAGTGCCACCAACCACCCGCGCTCACAATAAGAGTAGAACGTATACAACAACTCATTTGTGTAAAAGTTTTTTAAATTGGACATACGTGTCGTCTCGTCCAAATACAACTTTAGCGACGCAGTGCTTCAGCTTGTCTTCGCCTCTACGAGGACACGTTATCGTGTGATCGCAGCTCTACTTTTGTATAAATTTGTACGACGGTGTTCACAATGCAAATTTTTGTTAAAACCCTCACTGGTAAATTTTTTGAACATCTGTCTAATAGTCGTTGCAGGTAAAACTATCACCTTAGAGGTGGAGCCCAGTGACACTATCGAAAACGTCAAGGCAAAGATCCAGGACAAAGAGGGTATTCCCCCAGATCAGCAACGTTTGATTTTCGCCGGTAAACAGCTCGAGGATGGCCGTACACTCTCTGACTACAACATCCAGAAAGAAAGTACCCTTCATTTGGTGCTTCGTTTGAGGGGAGGTATGCAAATTTTTGTCAAGACGCTAACGGGTGCGTGAGGTACACATTGAAATAATGTTTCTGTAGGTAAAACCATCACATTGGAGGTAGAACCCAGTGACACTATCGAAAACGTCAAGGCAAAGATCCAGGACAAAGAGGGTATTCCCCCAGACCAACAGCGTTTGATTTTCGCTGGAAAGCAGCTTGAGGACGGTCGTACACTCTCTGACTACAACATTCAGAAAGAGAGCACCCTTCATTTGGTACTTCGTTTGAGGGGAGGTATGCAAATTTTTGTCAAGACTCTAACAGGTTAGTGATAAAGAAATTAAAATAATGTTTCTGTAGGTAAAACCATCACATTGGAGGTAGAACCCAGTGACACCATCGAGAATGTCAAGGCAAAGATCCAGGACAAAGAGGGTATTCCCCCAGATCAGCAACGTCTTATCTTCGCGGGGAAGCAACTTGAAGATGGCCGTACACTCTCTGACTACAACATTCAGAAAGAAAGTACCCTTCACTTGGTACTTCGCTTGAGGGGAGGTCAGATGCTCTAACGCAAAGGGCATTGAACCACGTAAACATATTAATAATAGAGTTACTGCTCTGCATATTTCTTGTACAGAACCTTGGAGACACACTCGTCCAAAATGAGCGTCATCAACGCGAATCCAATGGCCATGAGGTATTGCCACCATGGGAGCGGTACGAGGTGCATGATTGTGTTGAACTTCGGTAGCACAGTGGCTAAGAAGGTCGCAACTGCAGATATACCACAGGCAACGTGCATGACAGGGTTGCGGTTGAAGACGCGGTAGAAGAAGTCCCAGCTACGTACTGTGTATGCGCGAAGCATTTCACACCAGACAGCCGTGATGAAAGAAATCGTACGGGCCTGAGTAGACTTGCGCGCCGTAATGTCGTGGTATCCATAATCAGCAGCCCCAAGTGGCGCCTTCTTGCCATTATCTACCTTTACACTGTCCTTCGGGCGGAACCACCCTAGTTCGTCACGTTCCAGTGCATTTTCATGTTCGTTGGGAACTTTATCCTTTTCGATCTTTGCTAACTTCGTCTTCAACTTTTCGTGTAACTCAGCACTGTAGGGTGTTAGATTCTGAACCTTACCTTTGGCCGCTTCAAGTACCGACACCATCTTTCTCTCATCCAAATCAAAGTAGTCAATGTTGGTTACCCATCCAACATAATCCAACTTGACAACGTACTCGTATGACTGGCAAAAATATGTAAATTTGTGCGGTACATCGTTTGTGTCTTTAAGAGTAACCTTCTTACACTGTTCGTGTATATCGTGCATGAATACAACACCGGTACAGAGGTAAAGGGCAGTGAGAATGCTACCAATAACCATAGCTGCTTGGAAAATGGTGTGTGGAAGGTTACCGTACAACCACCAATTGCGTGTCATAATGGGTTGTTTCGGGTCTCTTGGTTTCGTGGTCATGACGTTGTCATCTGGTGGTTCCCTGGAAAGTGCCACCGCTGGGCATCCATCTGTGACGAAGTTAAGGAACAGAATTTGAAGTGCCTCCACAGGTGGCAGCGTTCTAATAAGGATAGCCAAAGTGAGATATACAATTTCTCCAATGTTGGTACCAAGTAGGAATGAAACGAATTTCTGGATGTTTGCGTAGATCGTTCTTCCAGACTCGATAGAGTTGACGATGGTACAGAAATTGTCGTCCAAAAGAACCATATCAGAAGCACCCTTGGCGACATCAGTACCGTTTATACCCATAGCCACACCGATATCAGCGGTCTTAAGGGCAGGAGCATCGTTAACACCATCACCTGTCATAGCAGTCAAGTGCCCCTGTCTCTTCAATGACTCGACAATGGCCACCTTGTCTTGCGGCTGAGCACGGCAGAATACGGATACAGTAGCTGTGTATTTGTCAACGACGTCATCCGGTAGGTATTCTCTGAAGTGATCATTGTTAACGTGCATATTGCTGCATTCCAATACACCGGTGTTTTCATCACCCAAGTAATCGAATTGGTTGAAAAGACCGATATCTTTGGCAATAGCAGCAGCCGTAGCCTTTTGGTCACCAGTAATCATAATAACACGAACACCAGCTTTGACACATGTTTCAATGGCACCCTTGACACCGAAACGTGGTGGGTCCAAGCTACCAACGCAACCTAGTAGCACCAGAGGTGAACCGCCGCTTTCTGAAGCATTCAATAACCATTTGAGCCTTTCATCGGAATCCTCACATTTACCCAAGCCTTCGACATCACCGTCTGTCAGTGGGAAGATACCAACCAACAGTACCCTGAGTGCCCTGCTGCTGAGTTCATGGTTGGCATTTTTCAAGGCATCAACTTGTGCATTGCTGGCAGTACCCTCTGCAGATGCCCAGTCAACCTCACAGTTGTCTCCATCTCTCTTCAAAGTGATCATACGAGTGTTGAATAGCATGTCGGGAGCTCCCTTAATTGTGGCAACATGGGTGTATTTGGTTTCTCCATTTGTTAGTTTGGCATCACCAAATTTGTTTTCTTCTTTAAGTTTGTGGACTGTGCACATCATTTTCCTGCTCGAGTTGAAGGGCACATCAAGTGCTTTAAGAAGAGGGTAGTCATCGTAGGTCGTGTCATCCTTGTTGAGTGCAGATCCAATACCACACTTGGCAGATGCAACGATCAAGGGGCACTCCGTCATGTTTCCAACAGCGTTCCAGGTGTTGGTGGCCTCATCCTTTTCTATATGTGTAGCATTTGAGTTGAGATAAGCAGCAAGCATAGTTGCCTTGACCTGAACAGCAGTAGCGGTGTTGTTATCGTTGCCACAAATGTTTTCCTTTAAGGTGCAGAAATAGTTCTGAGAAGCAGATTGCTGTGACAGTTGTGTCTTGAATTCGTCAGTAAGATGTTCCTTCTTGAATACACCACCTAGTGGGTTGAATCCCATGGTTGGGTAGAAGTGTGCCTCTTCACTATCGCATTTACCGTCATTGCCGTGGAATATCACCATTGTGGTAGTAGTCATCTTTCCTTCAGTCAAAGTTCCTGTCTTGTCACTGCAGATAATTGAGCAGCAACCCAAAGTTTCGACAGCAGGCAGTTTTCTGATGTTCGCATTGCGTCTGGCCATGTCCTTTGCACCTAGTGATAGTGAGATTGTCACGACCATAGGAAGACCCTCGGGGATGGAAGATACAGCAAAACCTACAGCCAATAGAACAATAGCAAGTACACGGTTAGTGTCAGGTCTTGTTGGATCTTCGTAGCCTGTGGCTACAGCAACAATGATAATGGAGATCAATACACCGATTGAGATGAGTCCAATGACACCACCCAGACTGTTAAGGCTGGCTTGTAGAGGGGTAAGATCACTCCCACTTGACGCTTTCTTAAGTTGCATAGCAATGTGTCCAACTTGTGTTTCCATACCGGTGGTTACCACAATACCTTTGGCTGATCCGGATACAACCGAAGTTGAAGCGAAACATAGGTTGGTTGCAAAAGGTGAGTGAAGATCTTCAGCTACCAATTGCTTCTTAACAGGTTCGGATTCTCCGGTAAGCAATGCTTCGTTAACTTTAATTTCGGTAACTTCGAACAATCTGACATCAGCGGGTACAGTGTCACCCATGTTGAGTATGATAACATCACCAGGCACAATATCCTTGGAATCGACAACTTGTTCTTCACCATCACGTATAACATTTGTGGTTGGTGATGAGATTGCTGCTAGTTTTTCTAAAGCATCAGCAGCTGACTTTTCCATGTATGTGGCCATGGCGGCGTTGATATTGGTGATAAGAATGATGAAAATACCTTCTACAATGTTTCCAAGTGCAATACTACCAATAGCTGCCGATAGAAGCATGATAACGACAAAATTGCAGAATTGTCCAAGGTAAACGCGCCACAGGGGTGGTCTCTTGGTTGTTTCTAGTATATTTTTGCCGTATAGATTGCAGTTCAAGTTGTACTGTGCGTTAGTGAGTCCAGTAGCAAGATCGTGCAATCCTAGTTGTTCCATAATTTCTTCAATGGTTGCTGTAGCAAACCTGGAATTTCCCGATGAAGGGTGTTCCTGTTGCGCCTTTTCCTTAGCCTTTTCAACAGCCACGCTATCACGTATCCTTGCTACTTCTATGATATCTTCAGCGTTCATGAGGTTTTTTGACAACCTGGTGGCAACTTCTGTTTCTACATTGTCTAGGTATGTAGTTAGCGATGTTGACGCTAGTGTCTTTGAGAACACTCGGCTGATTGAGTGTATAATTGAGGTGTTGGATGGGCGATGTTCCGGTGCACGTGCGTCGACATCATCGCCTGCGACTGTGGCGTCGATAGACACCTTGCAATCATCCTGTTTGATGTTAATCTCTTTATCCTGTGTGTGCGCCATTGTCGTTCCTGTGCCACTTTGATCCTATTTTTTCCAATTTAACTTTAGCACACCTATGCACCTCGGTGTATTACAAATACACTAATAAATATTGTTTTATGCAGTATTTTAGTAGTACCCTATGGTCGTATGTGTAACCTCCACTCCTGCACACTAGAACACGTTATGTATGTGATAGACAGTGCAACTGTGATGAAAAAAAACCACATACAAAACAAAAAATTTATTGATTGTTATTCACATAGCCAAAATGTTTACAGATTTGTCACAGTCGTTGGGTACACACATCAATTACTAGTTACTAACAAGATGGCTCCACTACTTGCATAATACCACTACACATCGCTATATAATCAGCCTCGATATAACGTTGATGTATTATATCTTCTTTCTTAGACCTGTGCATACTCTCCCTATCTCTTCATGTAGCAGATTTCCCACCACGAGCACAGCCTACCTGCATCATGTTAAAAACATCCGTAAAATTACTTTTCCTGTTTCATATAATGCAAATTATTGACAATATTAACCGTCTCTATTTTTAAGATCACTTTGGTATATACTAGAATGAGCATGTAACGGGGGATCACACGCGTTGTCGCGCCAGGCTACTATGTTGCTGTTTGCAGCGTCATGGAAATGCGCACAATTGCGCCTATCATGCATGACCTTGTTAATTAGCATTGCATCATTAAATAGTACAGTGGATGCTCACTTTATACGAAAGTCCCACCGCCTGTCTAATTCTGTCGCCGCTATCATCCCAGCGTCTAAAACTCATAACAACCAGACACATGCTTCACATCCTGTGATACTAGCGTCTATTCCTTCATCTCAAGATAAATCAAAACCCGGAAACAACTCAGCTCGTTCAAACTGTGAGGTGGGTGGCAGTGTTGAATCCGGGCTGCGGTATTTTAGCGATCTTCTCAATGCGGAACTAGAGGACTTTGCAAGTCAGCAGTTTGCTGACTATGCTTCCAAATGTGAGCAGGCTCGCTTGGCGGTAACAAGGGCGTTTGCCAGACTTATAAAGCGTTATGTAGATTTGGCCGACAACAAACCACATAATACTAACCCTTCGGCACCTGAACACTCCAGTGACATCAACAGCAACAATGGACGGCTTCTGGACACCGCATTTGTGGCGGCTATCGCACGATATATTGCATTGACTATGACAGGACTACCAGCCAGGCGCACTTGGTTCTCATATAGAGGGACCATGGAGCTACGTGATGAGGACCAGTTGGTGCGACTGAATCAGTTGGTAGCCCTGATGCTCTCCGTTGAAGCGCTGATGTACGATGCTTTCCGCGAATTTATCGCATCACACAAACTAGTATTTGTATCGAAAATGTTCGCCAGTGGTAGACACGCGTTGTTGAAGTTGACAGAGAAGACGTTCGTCAAGAAGCTTCAAAGGGACTTTGAGACAGCTGCTAACACATTGCTACCCAAGTCATACAATATATCGCAATCTCCCGACAAAGTAGTAAGGGAGCTGCTTCAGCATGTAGTCAAGGTGGACCCATCACTGTCCGACGCCCTAGCGCCGCTAAAATCGCAGAAGCCTGATGCAGAGCTATCAAATAAGCTCTCGAAGTGTATTAGGAAGTGGAACATCAAAAAGGATGTCGACGAATTCTCGGCATTACTCACTAATCTGAGTAACACCGCCCGTGCGAGTATAAAGCAACAATTGGAGGACAGTGCCAAGAAGGATAAACTTTTAGAAATGCTATCTGCACAACAACAACAGATCGACATCTATGAAAAACAGCTTGCAATGCAGTCACAAAACCAATCTCCGTTGAGTTACGGGTTCTCATACAGGATGCCCAATACTAACTTGAATATTCTAGGTTCATTTCAGCGGTATGTTTCCACTATGTGACTCTAACTATTTATAGGGGTAAAGGCAATCTTCAGATAAGCTGTGTCCCGGACGAAAGTGCCCGTTTACTAGGTCCATATGGATTTACTAGCGGAGTTTTACCAGGCAATCTGGGTTTGAACTTGAACATTGACATCTAAGGTTTCAGAGATCATCATTCGGATTGGCATTGAATTCCGTGCTATCACCTTGTGTTTTTTGTTGTGCAAGTGCGCTTATAATGCTCTGAATACTTTTAAAAAATAGTTCAACTAACTTCACTTACTGTAAGGACATTGAAATTCTTTGGCTCGTGGTCACCCCCTGTTGAGGCATTGGCATCGTGTTCGGCACTGTTGGCATGTTTGTCCATTCCAAATGCCTGTCCCAGATTCCCGGTTAAGAATGATTTCGCCAATAATCCCACTAAAGCAGATATCTCTTCAGATCCAGATGAGCGTGATTTGCGTTTCTTGGATTTGCTATGATACTTGTGTGCTTTTTTAGAACCTTCTTGAGTCTTTGTCAAAGGCCTGATGCGCTCTCCGAAACTCTTGGCAAAGGTCTTAACGTATTCCGCAGCAAAGTAGGGGTCGTGGTATGCGTTCTCATTTCGGAACACGTAGACATGTTCACCATCTTCCAAATTTAGCGACTCAAGGACCGATTCGTGCTGCTCACATTCGCTCACAGGTATGGATGTACCCTTGATGTAGATGTTCCAGTGCTCTGGTACAACTTCAATAGCGCTGAATGGTAGAGCACTTTTGGCAATGGCGGAATCAACGGCGGCAATGATGCTGCACAGGTCACCCTCGAGAGACACATTTCGTTCCACACCGTCAAGTACAATCTTAACATCTAGAGCCTGAACAAAATAGTTAATATATGATATGGTTTGGTGTGTGGTTCGTTTAAGATCACAATGACATAAGATCACATCAACCCACCTGTACGTTGTTGAAGTAGAAACCAGCCGTAGCAACTGTCAATAGACAGGACAACATAACTGAATTGAGCTTCATTTTTAATATTTTTGTGTAGACAAAAGTTATATAAAATAATTACGATAACAGACAGTGTCACATACGTGAGTGTAAGGTGAGGCACCCATTGGATTCTCTGTGCACCATTCACAATGAGACGAATGATATTACACATCACATGAAATGTGATATTATAGTTAACATATTAAGTTATATGTATTATCGCAATGGCTCCAGGAGGTGGATTTGGATCCGAAGGCGCTTCGTGGAAGGACCGGAATCGAGAACGAGCGATTTATGGCATTTTTTCAGCTTTTGATTCCGATGATTCTGATGAAGGAAATGGCAGATATTTCGATAAAAGTCGAGGTAGCAATGCTAGGCGTCGTCGCACGAAATTTGATGATGATGCTCCAGCGTCAGCTACCTCTACACGTTTCGTCAAGGGTGGCGTACTAAATCCAGACAAGGAAAAGTCGTCTGAAGACGCCACCTCTCATCGTAGTACGATGCACATATTAGAATTTGAGGATGAAGACGATATTATCTATATGGATGTCGACGAGAAGGAGGATTTAGACCTCATCGATCGCTTATTATCAGATAATCATGTCAAATACGTTAAAGAATATGACAATGATTCTGGAAGAGGCACCGCATCTTCTTTTCACAAATTAGGTGGACCGATGAAGCAAGATACTGGTTTCCAAAAAAATCTACAACACAGGGATAAACCTAAAAAAGGTCTATCGTACAACCCTGATACCGGTCTTTTACCACAACAGATGAATAAGATGTATGGTAAGGGTTTGAAGATGTTACAGAAGATGGGATACAGTGGAGGTGGTCTTGGTCGTGACGGTACGGGTTTAGTAGCACCAATAGAGATGAAAGCCAGAGCTCACCAGCGTGGTCTTCAGTATGAGGGAGACTTCAGCGCAACAAATCGACATATGGTACATAAGGAGCCTGTTCGTATGACTGGCATGTTGGTATCATACTCCGATGATTGGAGAAAGAAGTCAAGGAGCCAGCCTAGTGACAGTGGACCGTCGAGGTCCGAGCATGCACCTGGGTTCGATATTTTAATCCATGAACTAACCGAAAAGGTGCAATGTTTGGAAAAAATGCAACTTAGTAACATGGATGAGGTCAACCTGGCGGAAAGTAATGTGAAAAAATTGCAATGTGATATAGCGAACATGGAAAAAAACTTGTCTGATAATTTGGCATTAATAGAGCAGTGTGAAAAGGAGATAGTTAAGATTGTAAATGCGTGCGAGATGTTGGATAGAAAGCTAGATGTTTTAGGAAATTCTAAGGACGATAAGGCTTACACTTGTGCACTGCGGGAACTTTATGATTCCCTACCAGCATACGACAGTGGTTCAGCAAACTATTCGGTGTTGGCGGTTCATGAAATTGTGGACCGTTACGCTTTACGTTGTGTCTGGAAGCTGCACTCTGACTGGGATATATCAAGAGATTACCGTCTTGGGGCTGACATAATACTAAAAAGCTACGCTATGATTGGGAGTAATGCACTATCCAGTGGTATATATTCTCACATCAAACAGAACATAATGGGTGTTCTCGTTGATTACTTTAAGAATAAATGGAATGTCGTGGATACAGATCAGGGTCTACAGTGCTTCGAAGTGTGGAACAACATCATGACATTGGTTGATCAACCTGCTGGGACGCTTAGCAACGAGCTTCAATCCGCAGTTATTACAAGGATGTTGGAATTGATTTCCACCCCGAGCAGACTGCATTTGTCCCACATCGTCGTGCATCCATGGCTGTCTAAATTTGATATTTCGAAGATCTGTGATCTGATATCCTCGTTCATGCAAGCTGCCAAGGAGATGATATCAATCGACTGTCTCAATGACTCAAAAAAGTGTGAAAAAGTTTTAAACGCTTGGAGTGATTTACTAGAACGCGATAACATGGACCTTTTAAAATCACACCTTTCTACGTGCCTAACCGTCGCGCTAAAGGATGTTAGCATAAACCCTAGAAACCAAGATACTGATGTGATAGAGAAGGTGTTATTATGGCACGAATTTTTGGGTAACGATCGAATGTCAGATGTTCTGTGTAAAGAGTTCATGCCACGATGGGTCATGGTCCTTCGTAACTGGCTCGCGTTTCCGTCTGTTAATTTCGATGAGGTGATTGTCTGGTACACGGGTTGGAAATCGTTATTTCCATCAACTATGTTGAAGGGAACTGGATTGGAAAAATCTTTTAAAGAGGCATTACGTATAATGGACCAGGCGTCACGTGAAGTTCTGAACACCCCTTCATCTGAGGATACCCATGCAAAAACAGCGGGTAGTCCGCCTGTTACCGACTCTTTGAAACACCGCGTTGAGGAGCTCGGCGCAGAGCATGGATTGACATTAATAAAACGTGGTGCAATTCAACGCGATGGGAAGCAGCTCTATGCATTCGGTTCTGCAACCATATTCTTCGAAGATGACTGCGTCATGTTATTGAAGAATGGAGTATCTACATCTATCTCGCTGGATGATTTGATCAAGACAGCAATGTGATTGTAATGTTGTGTCTAATGTCACAGTATACAGTCGAACATTAACCTTTTAAATATTATTTCAAAATAGATATATTGACATCACGATTGATATAGCAAAATAGCTTATTGGCATTTGCTTATATGGACTATAAGTCATTTTAACAGCAAACAATGCATAGCTGTCGCAGGTTACACATTTTTTGTGTACCTATATTTAATCGAGTAGGATATTTTGATAGATGTATAAAAGGTTAATAGTGTTAAAATTTGACGCTAATTGTGTAAGGTGCGATTGCCATCTACATCTGGCGGCTTCCTATGCCAGTGTTTTCTACCATATGCTGATTGTTCAGTAACTAGTTATGATAATTGAAGATTTCATGTAGTATTTTGGATGTGTATATTTTCGCCATGGTACGGCGCATGTTTTTACCGTACTACTCGAAGGCCCGGGGACCGCCGAGACTTCGTTTCCAGGTTATGGGTATTCGAGGTATGTTTTTTGCTATATTGAACTAGTTCCAACCTTATATTTCACTTCTGAACTCATTTTGGTTTAGGTCGTAGATTTTTGAAGCTGGTTGCTGCGAATCAGCGTGATCCTCGAGATGGGAAACACATGGAAGTGCTGGGAAGCCTACAACGGCGACCGTTAAATCCCATACCGTCAGCGATTGACGAGACACATGACAGTCTGTGCGAGATACGGCTGAGATTCAGTCGTATAAAATTTTGGCTTGGAGTGGGATGTGAAATGGGCATTCCTGTACAGAATGCTCTAGCTCACGCCAACATTATTCCTCCACCTCCGCCAAAATATGGTCTTCGAACTAGAGGACACTATCACTTATTATCGCAAATAGCTGAGCGGCAAGCCCAGATGCATCTAGATCAGGTTAAAGCTTTCCTGAATACGGATGAACCATTGTATGTTGATCCATCGGCACGACCTGAGCCACCTGAACCTGAGGAAAGTCCGGCAAGGACAGTCGCTCAGGCTATGTATCCTCCAGAGATGCGTGAACACATGAGAACTCCTGTGGAGTCCGATCCCTTGGAGGTGGGACATGCACCTCCGGGAAGTGGCGTTATTCGCCGTATAGTTAGGTAACATACCAACATAAATTTGATGGAACCAATGTATATTAGTTCAATGTATATGTAGTAACTCATAGACGTTATAATCCGATAGACAATCAGCTGTACAATGAGAGTTTACATAGATATTCTTTTCAGTGTCCTCGTTGGGCCATAGCGGCTGACGACCTATTTCTAGATATTAGTTAATGGTAGTCAATCTTGTTATTAACTCGATAAATATTATATAATTATGTTTAATAGCGGTTTTTAGACCAAATGTTTTTTTTTGGCCCCGATGGTCATACCCTTGAGATTCAACCCCTAGGGAATATTATTTATAGGTGAGCGTGACTGCCGTTCTATGTATTCATCCCCAATATTGCTTGCTTAGTGAGTATAGCAATGCTCCAGAAATCGCAGTTGCAGATCCGTACATACCCATGCTTGTTATTTTGGTGTTGAACAGAACGGAACTTGCGACAATGAGGAAAATACGCTTAAGTGTGTTTGCAACAGCATGGCTTACCGGGGTTAGCTGCGATAGCGCAATAAACGACACTTCATTGTATAGGATGTAGAAGAATCCTGATAGGGCGATATGTCTCGCTAACTTCAGTAGACCCTTGTTACTGAACTTATACAGTAGACTTTGGTATACAGTTGCCCATTTTGGTGCCTCCAACAAAGCGAGAGGAGCGAGGAAGAGTGAGCTGAATATGGTCACTAGTGAGGATACATTTGCTGCATCTAGATTTTGTCCGATCTTTGTGAGGTCCTGTTTGAAGAACTTCTTCGCTTCTATACGTCTCACGGAGGCGAACACATTTGACATGAGTGATGTTACAAACGCCATCGTTGAGAAATTGACCTCCTTCATTGACGCCATTGCAACTCCCCCTAAAATTGGCAACAATGTGAGGAACGTGACAGGCGACATCGATCCCGTTCCCGTCAGCAGCGATATGGCCGAAACGAACAGGGGTTCCGTGGCCTTGACTATATGTACAAAGCTTATAGCACCCGCTCCGAGGGCAGTCACCGATAGTAGGTGTAGCATGGAGAATACGGCACTCTGTTTGAGTACGGATGAATATGCTTGTACAGCATTAGTGACTTTCATGAGTCCGTTCCTCACTCTTTGTTTGATCCCTTGTATAACAGTGGCGTGAGGATTAACAGGTTCAATTCCGTGGTTGGAAATATGAATCTTTGGGACTGGTCTTATTCCAACCATCCACCTGGTGACAAAGTAGGGTATTCCTATAAGCATTTGCAGAGCAGCGATTGATTTTGGTAGCGGGCACATGTTAAGTGCCTTTTTGTTCTCTACGTTGTACATCACGGTGCCGGCGTACCACAATGACAACATAGAAATGCTCTTCAGTGCATCTTTAGCAGCAGAATATTTAGAGTTATCCTTCATAATAGCCCCAATGTTATTTGGTGGCGCTGGAGTGGTATTAATTGTCGACCTCGCGTTGATTGAGTTTATCTCTTGACCATTTTCACGTTTATTTGTCATGTTATCCATATGGGTCGTCAGCTCAGCATACGCCCTCGCTACCCTGGGTGCCATATCTATGAGCTTCCCTAACGATCCAGAAGTTACCGAAGTAGGTACACGATGTGTCGTTATGTATCCTATCTTGTTACCAGCGATAGATGGGTTGATATAAGCTGGCTTATATACTGAGTCAATATTAATACAAATGTATGGAAATGTATCGATTCAATTCGTTGTATATTAATAAGCTAAGGAATCCACTTACGATTGATTACTCCTTTCTGTTTCTGCACTGTAAGGCTTCTGGCTACATTGATACTATGTAATACACCTCGTTTGGCCTTGCACTCGGGAAGAAGCAAAGAACCTATCACGAGGCACGCTGCCAACCTGAAGGTGATAGACAACCTTCCTTTGGTTAGCCGGAACATATTCGGATTCTCTAATCAGTTAAACTATTGATTTGCTCATCCTGCTTTCCCGTTTTCCATTACTCTCTTTATTAGGTGTGGGGAATACGTGTGAAGTTACACATCTTTGTTCATGTAGGATCAACAAAATAGTTCATCCCCTGCGTAGTCATCTATATACACACCATTTGCTTATGTTATATCTAATAATTATCGGTGTCTAATCATCAATAGTCCGATATCTATGATTCGGCTAGGCCTTCCGTAATTTTGGCAAGTTTCCCCTCCATATTGGCAAAAATCTCCTGCGACCCTAGGTCTTCCGTGTTACATAGCTGCTTTATCTCGACGATCCTAGTGTTACAGCTTTTCATTTTTTCCTGCAAACATGATACTCCACAACAAAATAACAAACCATGTTGGCACTGTCCAGTTTTGCCACTGAAATGTTAGTGTATATCTTTTCAATGAGCGATTCAAGCGCTAACATTAGATCCAACTTCGATGGTGCCTCGTGCAATCCTCTTTTCGTTGTTTCTTTCGTTAGAACCTCAAGGTAGACAATATAGTCGTTCAACGACGTCTTCTTTATAGACGGCACTACGAATTATAATGGTGATAAATACTGGATATGCATGATGCAGCGGCCATTGAATATGCATACGTAATGATTATGACATGTGGCAGAATAAAACACATGTCTTCTTTGAGATACCTTTCACCTTCTATATATACATACATACCGTACTTGCAAAACTCCATCAACAAATTCATGGTTAGGCTATCCAACGAATATAATGACTCCAGTGTGCTCGCTAGTAATTGCGGAGTGAACTAATAATGAAATTAATGGGCTACCATAGACCTACTCACCTTGTTCATATTTATTTTGGTGTAGTGACAAAGTTCCGTTACGACGCTCTCGTTATATCTGTTGCGACTAGCCATACCCTTCAATATGTTAGCAACATGTAGGGGATCGAATAGTTTGGCAGGTATATCTTGGAGTAACTCTGTAACATACGATGTATATTTCGCCAATCTTTGATTACCCATTATATTGTCGTAATACTTGCCAAATATTTCTACCTCCCTCCTTGACAACGCATAGAAAAGTATGGCAATATGTTGAGCATTTTTAATAGGATCATCGTGGTCATAGAGCTCCATGTATCTGTCAACAAGCTTTTCCAGTTCCTTGTTTTTTGGGGTCACTTTTGTGACATAGGTAACAGCATTTGCAAGCTCCTGTGCATCTTTCAGTAGCCATATACCGAACTTACCAAATTACTTAGTTCGTCGTACGAACGTAACAATATTTGAAAGAAGTGTTCAATCAACTCCTCATCATTGATATCAACCTACATCGATTCGTCTAAATCGCTGAGCAGCTTACTTTGGATATAATTTGGAGTATAGTCAAGCAGTTGTTGGCGGTAACTTCTCCTTGAAACTGTCGTTTCATGATAGCCGTGATAGTTTCTTTGAATATATCTACATTGATTATATGTAAAGAAACTGTGACATACCTCGATTTTTAACATCCGGTGTACATATTCCACAAAGAAAAACGGTTACCATGTCGACGGTAAATCTTTTCCTTTGTTTCATGATCTTTGCCGCAAAAAAGTTTATAACATCTTCGTGCTGCGAAACATTATGTCATACTGATGGCAACGTACATGTAGTTTTGACTTTGCCATTGAATTCGCTACCATTACCACTTCTGCAGGTTTAAACAGCTGGTGATTTAATTCCTAGTCAACATTATAGGTTTACTTGTGCAACATACCATTTGCTTGAAAAGAATATCAAAAAGTCCCTTATCATAATATGCAAAATGTGAATATGCCCTATGAATCAACGCCAAATGTTGCGTGATTTTGGCATCACTTGATGACTTTTGTAAAACTGAGGGATATGCATCATCACTATAGTCATCCATCTCCTCATTTCCAAATTGCGTTTCATTTCTACGCAACTGGTTGTTTTGTCTCAGGATGACTTTCAGCTGATTGGACAATTGACCGAGCAAATCCCTATTTTTATGCCGCAATGTGTATAAACTGCGATATTAATTTAACCAGAAAACAATTTGTCTTACCTATCCAATAATATAGCAATAGCTGCGGTTGTCATTGGTACCCCCTCTAAATCCAATTTTTGGAGTAGTGTATCCAGGAGCTTATGATCCCTGTGATTCGCGCTGAAGGATATTTAAAAACCTTGCAAATTCACTTACTATGATAACGCATTGACCAATACAATTATATATCGTGAAGGGACGGTATTGGCTCCATCCTGAATTTATTGTAATAGTCCGTCTGCTGAGTTACCTTGATTTTTTGCGCTATATCCAACAAAACGGTGCGGTCATCGCATCTAGATTTGGCAATAGCATGTGCGATTAGTGCGAGCGCTTGATAGTTACATTCCTGTAATTATGATGTGTGACTAAAAGTATTAACATACATCTCGCAGCTCGTAGTAACGTCTTACTATCATATTCCAAATATTTTCATCTGCTATCCCCGCCTTTGCCAGTCCATTTGCGATATATGTGAGTGTTTTTGAGTTGAGGCTGTTGGCAACGTATAGTAGTCTTCGTGTAATTTGGCTCCAAAAATGCTGGTCACCAAATCCCTTCTGTGAGTATATGTAGACAGATGCACATCGTTGATGAATGGTTAGATATAAATTTTGAGCAAGCAGAGGACTAACCTTTGAAGCTATTCTTATGAGATGTGCCAGTTGTGATGGATTTTTGTTAAATATTTGTATATCCTTCACATCTCCACGACTCCTGGGTCTCATAAACCCGAAGAATCTTTTTATCAGCATTGATGTGCTATCATCTCATGACTGTTTCACTGTTAAAACTGTGTTTCGTTAGATCCATCAACGAAGCGCCGCGTTACTTGGGTGTACCAGCGCGCCATTAATGTGTAACACCTATGGTCATTATGGTATATAATCGTATGATTTACTGCGATGTGGCTATCAAAAAATCAATACATTTGTAGCTAAAGTGATATATAGGACATAGTGTAATACACATGTTGATTTACAACGTGTCTGTAACCAGTGGCATCATGACATCCTAATTTGATAGTCGCCATTTTGGGTAATATATCTGACCCAAGGTAATGCTTGGTATCCACTGCTTTCTGTGATCCTAAGGTGTTTTACCGATACTCCCGATACAGTGAAATAGGGAATCTCAAACTTCACCTTAACCGATCTCTTTGAGAATTCGTCACGGTTGTCATCTGACAAAGAAGGTAGTCCGAAAGATGCGTGCATTGTGAATTCCTTCTCGCCTTGGAATTCTTTAATGCTCCATATAGTAGCATCTTCATCGGGTAGGTACTTGGCAGTACCAATTGAAGTTTTGAAGTTTGGGAATTTGACATCAGGTGGAACTGGTATGTGGAACTCCACATTGTTAGCAATTGACTTAGATTTGAACTGTGATACAGCTCTTATAGTAAAGTCTATCCTTGTAGCAGACCTGTTGGTTACGATGACATCACAAAAAAATAGCGGTTTCACATGACAGTTGAGACGATATGTCATGAGTTCAAACTCCCCATCAGGTGGTATGAAGTTGATAGTACGATCTGATTCGAACCTGTCGAGTTGTACACATTGATGAAACTTGACGTCTTCCATTTCTATGGTTTTCAAATTTCCAGGCCTTTGGTATGCAGACATGGACCCATCATTCGCAGCAGCGTTTTCAAAGATGGTCTTCTGGTTAAGACCCAAAAAGAGATGTGGCATACCGGATAGGTATGACTTCATCTTGAGGCAACCACGAATCTCCGAACGTAGTACCGTTCCAGATGCAGATAGAATAATGTCAAGGCTCTCGACAACATCAAGGAATATTTCATTTTTCTTGTGTTTAATGCCTTCACGACGCCATGATACAGCATTAGTCATTGCAGCAGGAGGTTTAATAGCATCAGTTGTAGTTTGGTTACTACGGTTCCTTATGCATTCCCTGAGTACACTGACTTCTGTAGCTTGAGGGTAGCCATTGTCTATCATTTCGTCCAGTAGCTCATATATAACCACGAAATTGTCCCTTATGCTCTCTTCCGCAAGTGTTTTAAAGTAACCTTCAAGGACCTTGACAAACCTGTATAGGAATGCTAGTACCATAGCAACATTGTAGTTCCTCGAGGCGGCTGCTACGAAGTATAGGTCATTAAATAATATCCAGCTGAATGTACTCCCATCACTATGATACACCGGTTTAACGGCGTTCTGTTCCTTAAGTAGCACGTTTGCATAGAACGACTCGGTAATGTTGGTAAGTACATCATCCTTATAAGTACGGTTTATCATCATTCTTCCTTTATTATCAAGAATGTAGACAGCACTGATGCCTCCCATTTTTTTTTATAAGTCCGCGTTGGTCTCTTGGGTGTAAAGGTAAATGGGCTTGGCTGCGATTATTATAGGGTCGGCGTGTGCCCCTATTAAAAGGAAATAATCAACCAACACATTGCTGCTGACTGATAACTAACCGACTTATTGTATATTTTATGTGTGACCCAACGGGTGTGCTCCCCCCCCGCGGATACCAGTATAGCGAAACACCATTATTCAAATAAAGAAATTAAGATTCAATATTTCAGTTTTTTAATTGTACACCATATATCGACCTGTAGCAGAGAACTTCTTGTACCCCTGTATTACCTTGGTTATCGCATCTATGAAATCCTTCTCAGTTATGGTCTTCCTCCTAGCTCTGATGGCAAACATTCCAGCCTCCGTACATACACTGCGCAGGTCTGCGCCAGTGCTGCTGGGACAGAGTCTAGCCAGCAACTCGTAGCGAATGTTCTTTTCTACGCTCATAGTCCTGGCGTGGATCTTGAAAATGTGTTTACGCCCCTGAAATAATGTAATTGTTTATTATATACATACCTCTAAATCAGGTAGACCGAACTCAATTTTACGATCTATACGTCCAGGTCTAAGCAAAGCGGGATCCAGGGTATCGGGTCTGTTAGTAGCCATAATCACCTTGATGTTACCCCTAGCATCAAATCCATCTAATTGATTGACTATTTCCAACATAGTACGTTGCACTTCGTGGTCTCCGTGCGCAGATTCGTCTCCACGCGAACCTCCGATAGCATCGACCTCATCGATGAATAGGATGCAGGCTTTCTTTGACCGGGCCATTTGGAAAAGCTCACGTACAAGACGTGCACCTTCACCAACATACTTTTGTACCAATTCAGAACCGATAACACATATAAAGCACGCGTCAGTCCTGTTCGCTACAGCTCTAGCAGTAAGCGTTTTGCCAGTCCCTATGTATATTAGCTCTCAACAATACACCACTTACCGGGTGGACCGTATAGCATTACCCCTTTTGGAGGGTCTATACCTAATGCGACAAATCGCTCAGGATAGAGTAACGGCATTTCAACGACCTCTCTAAGCTTCTCCAATTGGCTCTTGCATCCTCCAACATCATTATACGTGATATCTGGTTTCTCCTCTACTGTCATCATGGTAACGGAGGGGTCGATCCTTGGTGGTAACGAGATTTGTATTTTATACTTGTTACGATCCACCCTGCGTGAAATATGCCAGTAAATTGATGTTATCTTACCCTACACGCATACCTTCTTCTATATCCGTGGCGGCTGCTTTTTCGCCGAGTCCCTGAAAAAAAATATAGACAAACATAATCATGCTACATTTAAAATATCACATGTACCTTAATATTCTATTTTTAACTTACCACCACAAACTTAGCGATTTGTTTCACGTTGATAACATATTTCGCTTGAGGGGTACCGGGGTTGATGATGCTTGTACAACGTGCAACCTGTAAGGGTACCCCTTCTTGGAGAGACTGTTGGTCGTAAGTTAGATCCCACATATGAGGTGGATTAAGCCCAGTGTCACTTTCCTTGATACCTATAGTAGAAATGATAAAGTTGCAAATAATATAAAGATGACGGCTCAGTTCTTTTTCAAAACATACCGGAGAGTTTATTGATCCTTTGAATGACTGTCTTTATGCCCTTTTCGGCCTCCTTTATGGACTCCGTATACGGGCCGATACCCTGTAGACAAAATTATAACGCTAAAAACATCTTGCGACACGTAACACAACGGCGGGGAATCGTATAGCTTTAGACAATCTATACAATACACCGCAGAACCTAACACGGTTAATGATAAACAATTATCCCATCGCCAATGTATTATTCAATTATTTATTTAACTTACATAGCTCTTGAGGATAGTGATTTCGGCATCGTTCAGAGGTGTAGAGACGGTCTTCGTATCGCCGTCCTCCTCAGGGGCAGCCATTTTATTGAAATAAATATATTTACGGCTAGATACCGTTGGTATATTATTTATATTTAGTGAATTAAAGCGCTTTACCTCCCCACAGGTGTCACCGTGCCATATCTCAGATACCGTGCCTTCAGCAACACACATTGACTTACCTATCACTCAAAATGAGTTACATCATAAATTAATGATCAATATCATAAATGTGCCTGCTATTTATAACCGAAGGTGTGAGGAAGAATAGTAATATGATGACACAATGAAGGCGCTTGAAGAATCAGATATCCAGCTCCTACTTAACGACCGACATTGTAGCTCCAAGATACTCGCAAAGTACTGCTTACGCAGTAGCAACAGCGTGGCAAATGACTATTTTGGTGAGACAAGTTCATCATTCGAACAAGGTGAAACGGATAATGTTAGTACTGACCGTTTAGATACGACGGCTTTAGGTACTAAAGGTGAAATACACCCAGCTACCTATACGGATGACAACGTTAAGTTCGATGATAACCCTACTATGCTAGAATTATTGCGGCGCCTTGATGGTTTAAGCGACGCTATATGGCATTCAGCTGATGAGATACGTAAAAGTGCTAGAGATAAGTTACAAACGTTATCTCAGAATTGGCGTACCTCTCGCACCGGCGATACGTCAATGGAAGTTGAAGGGGTCGTCACTTCGTTGGGACAATGTGAGAATATTGTCGGATCAGTTTCGAGAAAGAACCTGAAATTCAGGGATATAATGACACTGGACTACCTTCAAGCACTTTTGCAACTTAACATGGACGCGATTTCGTTGATCCACAATTGGGATGACACCCTTCGTACTGTCCGTGGGTTGTTCAAAGCATATGATCGACATCGCGAAAATGGACGAAAAGCAATACATATATTGCAATCAGAACATGAACCCAAAGAGTTCAGTTATGCAAACGCGATTGAGTTACGTCGGATATTGCTGCAACTTAAGACTTCGAGGGGGCTATGTTCAAACAATAGCCCTGATTTCCAAAAGATATTGACAACGATGGATGAGCTAATGGCACAATATAACTCACTAATAGAAGATATATTAGCTGAACTAGTATCATGTTACTTCTCTCCATCCGCAGCGGACGTGCAATTGGATGGCTCAGAAGAAGTATTTGAGAAGTTCGCTGAATTGTGTTCTTCCATTTTTGACATCAAAGAGGTTGAACACTTGATACAACACTCTTTAGTATCAAATATAACCAAACTGTTTGCTGTTCAGTTTTCAGCCATCTGGGATGAACACGCTATGGCATTCAGAATGAGTGCGGATGAAGGATTGTTGCAGGAGGATCTTGATAATATCGCAGAAGCACTGTCTAGTACCACGACGGCATTCATACAACTCTTTACAAACACCATATCGGATAAGCTTCCCCTGTTCAAGGAACTATTTTCAACTTTGGTTAATCGACAGTTGATCAATGACACTGGCCGATCAATACGCCGTTTGGTATGCGACGTTTTGGCTAATGCACTGAGAAACTTCGAGGCATTCGATATAGTCCTCGACAAAATGCCTAATGAAGCATTCATCGGTACAGCCACATCTGCAATACTCACGTTGGAATCTAGCATTGAAGGGGTAATTTCAACTTTTCCCACATTAGAGTTACGGGAAAGTGTATCGCAAATGGATATCATAACCAACTCTATGCTGCTGCGCTACTTATCGGTAATGGATCACGTAACACAGCAGAAGGCCTATCGCAGCATTATGGATCACGGTACCTCATTGGATTCCCATCTGTCGAATCTTGACGTATTTGTTAAGCACATCGCTAGTTTCGATACTAATGAACGAGGGATGCTGACGTCTGACGACTCTATAAACATATGCCCAGCGTTCGTATGGGTTTACAATAGAATGCTGATTTGCAGATTAAGGGAGAACTATTCCACGGTTATGGCGGGCTGTTGCGCAGCTATTGGATCATATTTCCTTGAACTAAACCAAGGCGAGGTAACGAGAGATATAAGGACAGAAGTCGAACAATACTGCCAACAGATATTATCCGCATTGGTCAGTGCATCGCATCAACTTGAGGAAGAAGCAAATAAAAGACTACTTGGAAATACCAAACCGATAGAGAGTGATTCCATGTTGTCAGCATTTGTGTCAAACTATATGAACGATATCGAAAAACTGTCGAGTATCGATGGCCTACCTGGTTCAGTGCTCCGTTGCTTTGAAACAGACATTGATACAGCGGGTACATTGTTCCGCGACGATTCCGAAACTCTGGATGCCGCGGCAACTCAGGTAGTTGGGTTCATATCACGTAAGGCATCTTTTCTCATGCGGGAATACTATAGCGGCACATTATCTGAGGTGGACTCGGATATATCCAGTGCGGTTCTATTGGTAAGCGAGTATTTCACAACACTGTTCCCTCTCTTCTCCGATGACACCATAGTCCATCTGAGGATACTAGGCAGATCGTTCACATCTTTCATTGATGAGGAGTTGGAGCGTCTGGCCGCCGCACGTCCAACAGAGCCTCAACTGCAACAAATGTACCAGGCAGATATATCGCAACTGATTGTCATATGCAGGTACTGCGACTCAGAGGTGAGCGAATCGCTAGAGGCATTGCTAGATGCTGCCAAATAACAAAACATTTAATATAAAATACATGAGACTACATTAGACTCAGTTATTGCCGATGTCACTCAACCATCACACTATCGTTCTTTTCAAGAATCACAATACCCTCAAGCACGCTTGTGCAAGGGACATACTCTTCAGACGCCACCTCAGCACGCTCGTTAGAACCTACAAGAACCGGCGTTTGGTGGGTCTGGAATCCCGATATACGACGCTGCTTACCAACGGTACCCGTGGTCTCAACCATGTTACCCACCCTACAGGGCACCTGAACGTGCTCGAGATCTGGAGTTAAGGTTAGCATCCACCTGGGCCTAATAGCCAAAGCGACGAATAGTATGGTGAAAGGCAGTCCTCCGATAAATGTGCTCTTCATATCAAGAGCAGCTGTAAATACGACCATAAGCCCCGCTAAAGCAGCCTTCCTTAGCAAAAATCCCTCAGAATGTAAGGGAGATATTGTAGTAGTACCTTTGCCCATGTGCAGCAACCCTGCTGCGATCCGGATTACAAATACCACATTCGTATCACGCATATGGATCTTCGCCAAGTTCAGAAGCATAAGTGCAATACGTGAGTTGTTAGTTCCAGCTCCGACAACACCTAAAGCAAATATAGCGTTCATGATGACATTATAGTCGACATCGTGGGTAAGCTTTGATAGTATGTCTATGACCTGAGGACTGGGATTCGATGTGTAAGCAATGGCCAAAGCTATCGGCGCAGCACGCCTTTCACACATACTGCCAAACTGTAACGGGTGTTCCAATAACCTCAATAACATCGATGACCCTACAGGGTCACCAAGTGCAATTAGGGCAAGACCAAGTATAGCAATGGAAGAATGGTTTACAGGTTGAAGCTTGCCGCTCTGAGATTCAGATTCCGCTCTGAATCCTACCTTCAATGATTTTTTATCCTTCGGTGAATCCTGTGTTGCTCCTTCTGCAGGTTTCTCCGGAGTGAGTGGTGGGAAACTAGTGGCTGCAATATTGTCTGACTTAGAAGGTGTATCAACCTCCATGGCATCATCAGTTTCCTGTGGTGTATCTTTCTCCTTCGGTACGTTTTCTGCATTTGCACAACATTTGAGGAACCTTTGCGTACGTAAAACGTCACCTGAACCCGCGTAGGCGCAAGCCTCCACCATTATCTCAGCGATGCGACCATGCTCACCCGCAACTGCCTTCAAAGCATCTATTACAACTTCAGCAGCGTCCATCCTGCCCAATTGTAATATACCTAATGCACAAGCTATTTGACACTTCTCTGCTAAATCCATTGTGTTATCAGTCATATCCAGGAGCTTTTGTATAATGGCTTCACAAGCCTCCTGTTTACCAGTTCCCACGAATATCAGACCAATAGCTACTGCTGCCATTGCGCTACACTCCAGAGGGTACTCCGACTCGCCCGATATCGCAATTGGTACTAAAAGCTCCAATAGACTTTCACGGTTAGTACCGGCATATCCAAATGCCAGCCCTAGTACCGCTCCTAAGCATTCGGTTTTGTTTTGACTGTCAAGTTTATCCAATAGTAGACACGAAAGTGGATCTGCCTCCGATAAAATGCCACAACTAGATAATCCGTAGGCAGCGTATGATCCCGCTTTTACGAAATGGTTAGCACTGTAAGCATACTTGTCAACCTTCGACAACCCTTCGTCGACGTTCCATAGGCAAATGATCCCTACTGAAGCAGCACTACACAACATACCATATTCGTGATGGTGGAATACCCAATCTGAATCAGGTATGTTGATTAGTAGATCTGTACCAAAACCACAGTTTAGGAATGCGTTCACTATAGTATTCGACAGGTTACCTAAGGCTGAGTCAAGTCCCACCGCTTTGGTCATTCTGCTTTCATTGAAATTCGAATTGAGCTTAGTCGCTGGGTATGATTTAAAAATATCCTTGGGTGACTTTGGCTCAACTACATCAAGCTCACTTGCTAGTGTGAGGAAGAAACCGCTAAAGTGCTCTCCCGATGATATGGCATTTAATTCCTCTATATCTTCAGGAGAAATACTTAACCCCTCAGCAGCGTCATCCTCCGTATAACTGAGATGTGTACCATTACTTGCACATATAAAAGCAAGTTGCCTTCGCACAGCTGGGTTACTGCATCGGAATATTACCTCCTTGACCTTTTCATGGTCATCGAGTTTAAGGGCAATGCGAAGCGCCTCAGAAAATCGAGATGATTCTAACAAAATATCATACGCAACGATCAATATCCTCTTAGTTTCGAAATATGTAGCGGCAAATGCTGATATGGAGACAAGATAGTTGCTCACCCTAGTTATAAGGTCATAATCGCTACCGCATTTACCACGTATAGATTCGATAAGATCAACTTCTAACAGCAAATCTATGGATTCAAATTCAAAACCATTCTGGAAGAAATAGTCCGTAATAGCTTCTGTGAATTTCAGTGCCTCTGTTATCACCACCGCAGTGTCGAACTTTTGCAACACTGACTGTGGTTTATCCATAGACACATCCATGGGTTCAGCGTTAATTAGCATAGTATCGTATACATCCCTTGTAGCACTTAGATTGAAGAATGAAACGATTTGTGTACAAAACGACGTGAGATATTCGTTACCCCAGTCATTAATCTTTCTTTTGGACAGCCTTTCTCTAACATCATCGGGTGTCGCTGGGTCCGAATTCAATCGTTCCGCGACAAGACCAGCTTCTATCTTGTATAATAAAAGCTTGAATCCTGGAGTTTCATCCTTGTTATCCTTATCCGATTTCTTACCGTCATCAGGCGTTGCGATAGCTTCTAAAAAGCTCATTAGCTCCAATAAGAGGTAAATTGAAAAACTATCGGGACCACCTTGCTTGGCGTAGCCTGTGTATACCTGCAGAAATGTCGGTTTGTGATATATGAGGAACTGCAGTGACTTTGGTACCGATGTGATATTATCATTATCCTTGGTGGCATGAACCTCGAGCTCCAACAGTAAGGGTTGTGCGATAGCATCTTCTAGACCTGATTCAACAAGATCATGGACCAACTTGTCCAACTCATCTTTATACGCTAGGTCAGCAGCGTTAAGCGAGTCCCTGTTCTTCCCATTCATATCTAATAATATAGGTTCGAAGGCAAATAACAAATCTCAATCATCCAGAATCCTTAAAATTATATCAACTAGTAGATATATTATTCGTTCTACAATCTTGAGACGACAATATATATATGTTAGACCTTCGTTTACGTGTCTTCAACCAATGGTGTATCCCGAGATTTATTTTTTCACGTCAATATCAAATTGATACCATCAAACCACGATCATTCTTAGGATTAAAACTTAGTAGTTTTTAGGCCGCCTTTAGCGTGATTTACGTAGGATTTCTTGAGACGCGACCAGCGTGTGTGGGGAGCCTATGAGTAAGCAGTTATGCTAAAATTTTGAATTATAACAGACTCCATAACCACTTAGATCCACTCAAAAAAAGATATCTCACACCAATTTACAAAAATAGAACCAGTGTGTGTAACTGTGCGTCATTGCGCATATTGAGGGGTGTGTTCATGAACATAATATATATTTTGGAGATGGGTTATTTCATAGGATAAAATCAAGTCAACAAGATACTAATTCGCCAGGGATTCATACCATTACACATAGTTCGGAGAGTCACTCTGCACCAGATATCCTGAAGAGAGGTTAATAATTAACAAAAGAGTGAGATGAAGTTAACACAAATCGACAAAAGCAAGTGTGTATCAAACATTTGCATAAACTATTTGCATCAAGCTTATACCAGTTAACAAGATTGAACCTATTCTTCATGATTATATATATATACAATTATATTATTTACAATTCATATCATGGAGAACCATTCGGAAACGTTAGACAGCAGTCCTGTGGTACGGCGATATGTAAACGGCCGTCGTTACAATGCAAATTTGATATATGAAAATGTATCGGATCATGATTTGCAACAACAAAATGGATTACAATATCAACAAAGTTCACAAGCTACAATTGTAGGAAAGAGACGTGAAGAACATAGACCATGTTGTAGAAGACATCGGCATTACAAATTGCAACGTCTCGCATCACAGTCCATAGATTTCCTAGATCTAGCATCATTAACAGGAGAAAATGCAACGGGAATATTCCTCAATTCAAACGCAGTGAGAGGAAGGGGATCACCATTGTTGAGCGCCACATCAATATCACCGTTCTCACACTCAACTTCAGAAGCTACAGCACAGGCTGAAGGATCTGATCATGCAAACAATGCTCCAGAATTCAATCTTAATCAGGCTAACGGCTTGACAGATACACAAACACTGAGGGCGTCAACATTGGAATACGATTGCGTTACAGCTTTGGTAGAACGTTGCGGAAGAAGAACATTCTCAAGTGTATTAACACATACAATATACAGCAATGAAAATATAGCAAGCATTGATCAAGAGACGTCGTCAAACGCATCGAAACATCGAAATGTTTACAGACCGTCCTCATTAGGCACAGTACACTCATCGTCTTCACTATTATCTAATGGATTAGATGTTGTTGTGGATGGATCAAACCTATCTGAATCGGGATATGTAGAATCAGATTGTGAAGAATATTGTTTCACAGAAAGAGGAGAACATTCACAACAGCTGGCAGTATCAAATGAAAACACTTCACAGCAAACAGAAGCAAATATGTTGCTAGATATATCAACTGTAATAGATGCAAATGAAAAGATAACGCCGGCATCAAGTAACAACTATACATACTCTCCTGAAGCACAGTTCGGTGTATTGAGGTTGTTCTTCCAACCAGATTGCAATGCGACTCGACAAGTGGAACACACTTCGGTCCCTTCAAGAGTTGTCATTAACAAGTCACCCTTCTTAATAGGTGCCGATGCAGAGTGTGACCTAGTATTTGATAATACAAAGTATAAACAGATATATGGTCGCCACTGCAAAATTGTTTTTTCGAATTGTGATACTGGTGAAACAGACTTGAAATCACTCGGAATATGTGCATACGAGGTCGAAATTGCGAAGATTAACCCTGAAGCTACCATATTCGTTAACAACGTACCAGTACGATGTCGAGGAAAATTACGTAATGGTGATGTATTGGCTTTTGGACCAAGAAAGGTTGCACTCTCATTTACAGTCGCTTTCAGAACAAGAGACGCATGCCTAGCCCTCATTAATCAACTCAATTCACTCATGTTAACACCATCATCGGATTCTGTACAACGAAGGATCAGGGATAGGTCGCCAGCAGCCGGAGATTCAATATTTTCACCATCAACCAATGTTGAACGCGCTAACAGAGATGTCGATCTGGAATGTAACGTGTCGGTAGCAGTGTTCGAACAGTACTATGGTGATGCGTCGATTATAGGTGGTTTGTCGCAGGATTGTGACGAAACGCCATGTGCAGGATCTCAGTCAACCGCTTGGAGTGTACCGCAAACACCCTCAGCCATTATCGGTTTTACAGATATACTAAGCGGAGATACACCACAACGCCACTCTTATACTAATAATACAAAATCGCAATTATCACAAGGACCTACAAGAAGCCCTATTAACCTCATGTCCACTAATCATAATGAAGTATTTTCACAGGAAAGTGACCCCAAGACACCATGCCAACTGTTACGTGTCGATCTGGAATCATGCAATATAACCAATAACAATTCTATATCGAGACATTACCAGGATGATGAATCCCTAAGCGGGCAGCTACTATTAAGTGCGTACACTACAGGTTGGAAATCAGCAGACGAAATGGATCAGAAATATGGTAAAAACGGAGAAACAAAACATGATGACGCAATGTCAAGAGTTAAAGCTGCTAAAGTTGCAAAATTAAGATCACTTAATAGGTCGTCGGTACCAATTGTCGTAGATTCGTCGCGCTCCTTCAGCTCAGAAGAAGATAACCCGTGTATCACAGTAGCAAAACTACGCTTTCTAGGGATAGTAAATGCTACTTACCAGACAACTCTAGAAGACCTACTGCCTTCAATAGACGGTTTACTAAGGATTTACAAAGATCAAAGCCCTAATTCAAGACGTAGTGTACTCTCGGATTATGAATTGCTATTGAAACGTAGTGGTGATCCACTTTCTGAGGATGCGTGTAAGTATAACTGGGTATTCCAACTAGATTTCTTCGATCGTGATGACCCACTCTTCCGTAGAGCCATCTATAGCTCACACAGATGTGTTGAGTCAGACAGGGAACGTTTGAGAAACGCAGTTTCATCCACCATCGAACAATTGAATCGTTCACGAGTATTGTATATTCAAACACGGGTATTTTAATTATTTGAATACATTAAAATATTTGATTCTATGCCACTTTAGACTCGCTCAGATGTGCGCCTATGTACCCAAGTGACTCTGTGGTGTTACCCATAGCTGACTTTCAGTTCCCCGTGAGTTCTGAACAGGGACAAACGGAAATATGGAGGACGTTGCCGAGCAAATAGGGGCCATGACACTCCGCGAAGTGTCAACATCAAGCAGAGACTGGTTTATCGTGGCCCATGGGAAAATAACACAGCTCTATAGGTTCTCTCCACGTGGCGGATCATCATCACGTAAGCTCGTATGATTAAAATATTTATTTTTCGCAGCTGATGATGAATGCGTAATGCTTTGGGAAGAAAACGATATAGCGTTTTGTTGCCCGAGTAACGATGGGCACAAGGTAGGAATAATACCCATAGGCCAAATCAATTTATATGCAGGTTTGCATTCATCGTAATGGATCTGCTTCTTTAGAGCTGTTTAATTTGCTCGCACGTTCACCTATCACAACAATAGACTTGCCGTCAGGTAGGAATTGTAGCTATCTGAAAGTCATATTCTTCAGGATGTCCATTATCAGCAGCGTTATTCAGTCCCAAGGACCATTACCTAGTGGTACATACGGCCTGGTCGGAGGAAAATGATAACAACTTGGTTATATATCGACTAAATGGTAGGAACAGTTATTTAGTCATTAACAATAATCAGGGGACAAGGCAACACCTGTGTTTTCCACTCAATACAGCAAATCGTATGCCGTAAAACGATATCCGGTTTGGACACCATGTGAAAAATATTGCGCCCTCAGGGTGAACAATGATATCCTTGTATGGCAGGATGGAGATTTCTCCGCCGAAGGATCTGTCGGCAAAATTTCATTCAGCGCTGACGCTGAAACCGCGAAGCCATTCCCCACCAACGCAATACTGTCAATTTCGCCAGTGGTAAGTCATATAATCATGATGATATTCGCGTCTTCTGCGGATATCAAGCATGCTTTCCTTCCTAAATCACTCGTCATCGTCATTTGCAGAGCAAAAATGGAGCTTGCTATTTAGCAATATTCTCTCCAAATTACCAAAAGTTCGCAAACGGACTGGTGAAAATTTTTAACGTCACAGATGTCACCAAACCGGTGTACGAACGCCTCTTCACCGCAGCGGAGGAGGGCGAATTTTTTTGGAGTAACCGTGGTAATACAGCGATCCTAAGGACGTTCACTAACAACGTTAAAGGGTTATCATCGTACTACGGTGGAAATGGACTATACCTGTTACAACCTGGTAAAGGAAAACATAGAACGGTAATGGAACCAACGGAGGGCCAGGCACATGACATCTCCTGGTCACGATTATCAAACGACGTACTGATCGTCAAGGGTACAAGACCAGCAGAGTTAGATATGTACGATGGGACTAATGGAAACAAACTATTGACTTTCGGAAGAAACAACCGTAACACTATTAGAAGGGATCCATTCGATCGTCTCGTGCTGGTCGGTGGGTTTGGGAACTTGAGCGGTGAAATTGACATATGGGACTTGAAGAATAGAAGAATAATCGCACAAAGTAAATCCGAATGTGCGGTGTTTTGTGATTTCGCACCAGATGGACGATACTTCGTTACCGCTACGACGCAACCAAGGATGCGAGTTAACAACTGCTTCAAGGTATATAGTTATAGCGGCAAATTGATCAAACAAGTGGATTTCGACGAACTATACCTTGTATACCTGTGCGCTCCGGGAAGCAATTTCACGGAACGCGATCCTTCACCAGGAGCATGCACTGTGGAAGCTACTGTAAAAAAATCGGTTTACCGACCGCCAGGTTACAGAAGTGATGGACCAGCGGCAACACTCGCACGAGTCGATGTGCAAACAATGGTCGCCACACCTGTCACACGCAAGGCCGCATCGGTCCCCAAAGGACCACCCGGAGCTGATCTAACCTTGCTAAATGCAGCGGCAAAGGTTTGTCGGAAGAAAAAAACACAGCCACATAGCGAGAACAAATGACAATACAAAGTTGTTAAACATATGATGTTAACATTATAAATCATTGCTGCTTGCACTGCACGCGATTACCTTCCGGTTCATCGTCCCTATCGTGTTCCACGTGAGCATGGACGCGTGCTCTTTCTTGGATTTCTTCAGGGTCAACCTCGCTGGCTCCAACGTTCACAATAGTGGAAACACCTGATGGCGGCTGCTCAGGTTTGTAGGGGAAAAGTTCCAGGAGTCTCTCTTTCTCGACGGCACTAAACTTGCGTGAAATCGGGAATTGAACCTCAAAAGTTACATAAAGATTACCCTTGCCAAACGCACTCTTGAATACAGGCATACCCTCATTCTCAATGACAAATACAGATCCGGGACGAACAATCTCATTCTCCGGTGTCTGGACAGCTAATATGCGCCCATCTAGATGTTTAACGTAAAACGTGCATCCGGTCAATGCTTCATATAATTGAATTGTCTTCAGCATGATAAGATCAGCGCCGCTACGCTTGAATTGCTCATGAGGTGCCTGGCAGATGATAAAAACAACATTCCCAGGAATTTCGTTGGGTCTTTCATCAGCTTCACCATGGAATGTTACCCGGTGCTGATCTGGTACACCACGCTCGATGCTAACTTCCAATATCTTCTTAGTTTGCATCACACCTCTACCGGAACAGCTCTTGCAACGTTTAGAATCGCTGATTGTACGACCTTGTCCATTGCAAGCATTACACATACATTGAGACTGCTGAATCATGGCACCCATCTGACGAATCTGAACACGGATACCACGACCGTTACATAAGTCGCAGTTAACGAAAGCGTCACTAGGTCCACCGAGACCGTCACAGCTCTCACATACAACATCCTTGTTAATTGCTAGCTTTCGCATAGCTCCGTTGTACATCTGTTCCAGAGTGACCTTGAGCTGCGTCACAACATCTTCACCACGCTTTTTACCCTTGGATTTACGACCACCGCCAAAGAACAGGTCGAATATATCACTCGCGTCACCATGGGAGAAGTTGCCATCAACGCCTTCCTCACCGTGTTCGTCATAGATGCGGCGTTTCTCGGGATCTGATAGTACCTCATAAGCCCTGGAAATCTCTTTGAACTTCTCAGGATCACCACCCTTATCAGGGTGATGTTTAATGGCGAGTTTTCTATAAGCCTTCTTAATCTCACTTTCAGAGCAGTCTCTCGACAATTCTAGCGTTTTGTAGAATTTTTCATTATCAACCTATGGTGAATTGTAACGGCTATGAACTATGTACTTACCTCTCTTGAACGATGATGCGGCATGCCTCCTGGCATTCCGCCAAAGCCAAAATCACCGAAGAACATCGTGCCTTGGACGTGTTAATAAAGGATGATAACCTGAATTTTATTTGATGACAATAGATTAACACAAAATGATCGACCCCAGCTATGGCCCTCAACAATAAATAGTCCAACGTAGCTGAGGATTCCTTGAAATAAAACACGCTAGCCAACTACGTAATCATATAGCTATATATGCGACATATCAACACACAAATTTAAGCAATACATATCATCTTAAACCAATGATAAAACACATTGTGAAATACACGAACAACGAACTTTAGTAGGAAACGTATCACATAATACGACATTTCAAAAATTGACATACCTTGTTATGTGATGTTATGAATATGTTGCCGCCGTCACCAAGTAGCGATTTAGCGAAATGGCATACTCTTTACAGATTCCTATAAGGGGTGACGTATATAAGGACTCGCGCTATTGGGGGGCTGGACCCAAGGGGACATTAAATTACTGTTAAAATAACTGCAACTAACTCAGCAGCTAGTCTAATCCCTCTTTTCATCTAATAACATCATATCTGGGGTGTATATGCCATAGGATACACTAGGTATAACAAGCTGTTATTGCTCACTTTCAATTAAACCAGACCATAGCCACTTTCTAGATCATATTAAGTTATGTCAGACGCACACATACGCCAAATTTCAAAATGCGGTAACATTTTGTGTGCAAATATTATCATGTCATGAGAAGCTGTGTATTATAGATACGATTCAACGAAATGGTTTTCTCAAAAATAAGGAAACTTATAAACACTAACGTTTATCGGAACGTAGGTGTGGCTCTCTCAACGTGACTTTTGAAATTTATGTAAATCTCAATTGGCATGAATTGGGGATGCCGACTCTGAGATCACATCCAGTGCGACAATACAGCTATCCGCAACTACCTTGACAGCGTCAATCTTGTGTGCCGTAAGAGCATTGATGATGTCTTCTCGGTCCTTTGCATTCGGGCAAGCGGCAGCGCAGGAACCAAGTGCAAGTGCGGCCTCGTGGCGTGCTATTGGCTCCTCATTTGCGTTCATTAAACATTGGAGTAGTGCTCTACTCGCCGCCATCGATTGCATTTGACCCAATACAAATGCACACTCGTGACGAAAAACCTCAGAAACCTTATCTGAAAGTAGAGCATCACCAATCAGCGATGCAGCTGCGTCGCCTCCAGCATTACGTATCTTAAACAGAGCTTCATACCTCTTGTAAAGTGGCAATGATTCGTCACACATAACTGCATTTAAAGCTGAAAGCGATTCGTCACTCAGCTCTGTAGTTGAACAGGGTACTGGATCGATGGCGCGATACGCAGAAGTTGAAATAGGTGCGCAAACACAGCTACAGATTGGAATGTTCTCCGCGTTATCATCGTCGGAAGTACCATCATTTAAAAGGGAATGAAGAGCGAGACGACAGGTGTCCCGTACAACAACGCACTTGTCATCTTTATACTTCTCAATCTGATGAAAATATACAACCTACAGTAATGACATACCACTTCGATAAAATCTTTACCGCCGATTGCCGCAAGAGCCTCCCCTGCCTATCAACTTTTATCGTCAATGTTATCACTCCGAGCCTACCTCATGACGAACCATAGGGTCCTCATTCTCGTTCTCCAAAAGTGCGATAAGGACATCCGATGCTTCTTTACATGACGCCTGGCCCAAAACATAGGCTATTTCGTGTCTGATTGATGTGAATACATAATTTTATCACGCTATAATTACCTTAGGAAAGCATCGTAATGTACATTCAACGCCCTTTTCAGTATTTCTGCACATTGCGATGATGACAAGTCACGACAAAAGTAAAGAGACCGAAGCTGCAAAGATAGCTTTACACCATCAGAAAGCAATATAATTGACAATAGCTCAGCGCTAGGTTTCGAAAATTCATTAAGAGCAGCGAACTCCGCGATCGCGACGTCAAGGCTAGACATCCTCGGTCGTAAAATATAAATCTCAATTAATCATAAACAGTGCGTCGCTCATCTGATCTTTCCATAATCGATATTTCAATTGTCAAACGTATATGTCACCGATCAAACGCGACAAATCTGTCACAAGTACCGAGCCTGTACGCGGGTACGGGCCCCGGAAGCCGGAATTATTGCAGGTAAAAACTAACGTAGATATCTCAACTATAATAAATAAATTGTTTATTAATCAGGTCGTAGTATATAATTATTAATATATAATGTGTACCATCATAGACGTATTAAACGAAATTCTCTAGGTCGTGAAATAAATCGTTCTCCTTTAACAGAAATACACTATGGAGCAAAAAATACTCACGGCTCTCATTTGAATTATACAATGTCAACACCGATGTAAGCATCTATACGAGTAAATCACATGATTTCAGCAAACGCTAATCAACAATATTTTTTGTGATCGTGATGTAACTAGTCTAGTACGCATACAGTTTTTCATACGAATACTAATATAGAGGAGCGTCCTACATACAGTAGTATTTAGGTAAAGCAGTGCAAAACGGGTAGAACTGATCTTATAATCATAACATGTGACTGATAACCACATTCAAGAAATAAAACCGGTATTACATGTAACAAGCAGGAATCTCATCATGTAAAAGGATAAAACAGAACTGGAAGCTTTTTTATATATAAAAATCCAAACTACATTATATCATTTAATACTAAAGGAGAGTCATAAGCCTTACACTATGAGAAAGGTTTAGATTGCATCCATTTGGCATCAATGTCAAAATCACTGTACGCATTTCGAATTCACTTAAATTATACATTAAAACCAAAGTTCAACAATATATGTTTCATTCCATAATGCTCGTACAAACCACTCCGAAGCTTTATTAGCATTATTATAAAGGGGAAACGGGATTAGGGCATTATTGCAGGTAATGCGATTACTAAACAAGCATTATGTTGTCATCTATCACGTAGATATTTGTCTAAAAACAAAAAATACTAATTCCATTTTAGACAGCTTCGAAAAATGGCCTATTAACACAGTGTTAGTTTCCCGTGTTCCTTCCCTGCACCTTATTCCTGAGATACCTCATCCTCCGTGGTGGTTTCGGAATCGATCTTAGGCTCTTCTACGATGGTAGCAGTTGACTCTTCTGCAACCGTTTCTGCATCAGACGCAGGAGAGTTAATACCCAAAACCTCTTTAGCTCTGGGCAATACTTTACTCTCGAAAAAATTTTTGGCCTGAGGGCCCAACTTGTTTTCAAAGAAATCTTTTGTGGGAGCACCAACCTTGTTTTCAAAGAAATCTTTGGTACGAGGTCCTACCTTGTTCTCGAAGAAAACTTTGGTAGGAGCGCTAATCTTGTTTTCAAAGAAATCTTTGGCACGAGGTCCTAACTTGTTCTCGAAGAAGAGAAACCACCCTCGTGGCTAGAACAAGAGTTTCTTCAGAAAACAACCTTACCGCTAAAACCGTTCCATGAGGAACTTGAAGAACTTGGTAAAGAACAACCACGGGGCATCAACGTAGCTGGTAAGGGCAGAAAGGACTACCTTTACAACCATACGTGAGTAGCGGTGAGCAAACGATGAGAGCTGGGGAACGTGGGTCAACATGTAGTCGCTGTAGCTGCCGGTGAGATGACGAATACGCTCGATGCTGTACTCTCCGACATCCTCAGGAACGTTCGACCTTACGATGGTCTTCAGTACCTTCCTGATGCCAGAACCGAAAATGTGGGTGGCGAAGGACAATTTGTTGAAGATCTTTGCCTTGGTTGCATCCACAATGAGGTAAGTCTTGTAGTAGAGAGTAGCCATGAAGAGGAGCTTGCTTACGAGGTACTCCACGTCAGTAGCATCAGGTTCCCGAATGATGCTCACACTAATTAGGCTAACCAAGAAGTTGTGGTAGTCACCGTGGCTGCCTCCATTGCGGAAACGCATCCATGGGCGCTTAATAACATTCTTAGAAGGGTTGGACTCGCTGTTCCTGAATAGGGTGAAGGCGGCATCCAACTGGTAGGGGTTGGGGAGAACGAGTGGCTGGTATTCAGCATCCATAGGGTACCTTACGCTGTCAACCTTCAGGCAGCCGTAGGACATACAGCGGCTAACGTAGGCGCTCACAGCTTCGGCGCACTTGGCATCTTGAGGTACTTGCATGCATATTTCATCAACAAAGCCTTCGCGTACGCTCATCAAGTAATTCCTCATGTCGTGGCTGATTTCGCGGGCGGTCATTTGCGAAGTGAGGACAGTGTCGCCAGCTGCCAAGCTCTCACTCACATTACCGATGACCTCCGAAGGAGACAGAGAGGTAACATTCTGATAGTGACGAACAGCGTAAGCACTCCTTGCTACAAGCAAGAAAGAGCTAACGAATACGCTGATGAAAGCCTTCATTCTTAACACCAGGCAATGAATGTGTAGTTATTAGACAATAATATGACTTCTCTAGGATATCAACACACTACCGCGTATATAGCACTGCTATAATTAACGAAACAGGTATTGATATTGGAGTCTACCGACTCAGTATGTTTGTTGAATGTTTAGTGTGCAGCTGAAAGACGCCCTTTCACACGCTAAACCTGCACCTCGTAGGATTACAGGAAGTGCAGCTAAGTGCGATTCAGCTAGAAAAAGTGGATTTATCAAAATAGACAGCCTTTATCAACCTTGCTTTTCCAAAATATTGCTTGAAAAATCAAGAAATTACATTCATATGCTAACTAGAATTATATTTACACTAACTAATATACACATCGACTCCGAGATTCCTTTTGGCTTTGGCTGACTACACATATTACTCATCAACGCAAAATATAAACCTCTGTCTATTATTCTTCAACACTGCGTAATAAATGTGTGTGGCAGTGGACTACATCGTCACAGGGGTATTTTCAATTATCGTGCCGCACTCGCACATTGTCTAAAAATATCAACACACTCACCGGTTGTCAATGCACATCCAAAATTTCAATGGTATATAATTACATTTAATACATTGCCATATATTCTATAAATTTCGATAGGGAAATGACCCTACGCCCCTCGGTTGCCTGTGTCCAAAGGAATTGGTCTAATGAACTGTGCGACCTTATATCCATAAATTCGTATCAATGGCGGCATCCGAATTCTATATGACATAGTCGATAATAATAAACAGCGATGACCACGTGAGGCGCCACTCAAACCATACATATATCACATAATAAACTATTCGCTCATGGGAACAAATATTAATTTGTACCATATAGTTCAAACCGACAATATAACATATAATGCATATCACAAAATATCTATAATACGATAAGTGAGCGACGTTAAGCACTTCACAAATAAAATGACTATTAATATTAACATTAATAAATTAACTAAACCTTAAGTATTCACGGTTTAATCATTCTGACTTTTCAAATCTTATAGGAATGCTTCATATGCATTATTTCAGACCATAAATATGTGTTGTTTACAAGAATTTAAACTTTAGGTTCTTAAATATTATTAAACGCAATCATCCATTTTCCTTCGATAGTGCTCGTTTCCGACAACCCTGCATTCGTATAGCCATCTTCGCGAACTGGTGGCAATATTTCTTATATTAAACTCAGGGTATCCGATTACTAAACAATCATGTTATTGTTTCATGGAACTTTGGCAGCTATCAAAAAGGAAGAAACACAAGCGTTACATCGTAGAGCCGAGTATGAGCACTTTTCCTAACGAAATGGTGTTGTCTTCGATGTACGCTTTGAAGCTGCCTTATTCTTGAGATACCTCATCCTCCGTGGTAATTTCGGAATCGATCTTAGGCTCTTCTACGATGGTAGCAGTTGACTCTTCTGCAACCGTTTCTGCATCCGATACAGGGGACTTGATGCGCAGGAATCTCCTGCCACCGGGAGCGAACTTGTTCTGGAAAAATTCCTTGGTGGGAGCACCAATCTTGTTCTCAAAGAAGTCCTTGGTAGGAGCGCCAATCTTGTTTTCAAAGAAGTCCTTGGTGGGAGCACCAATCTTGTTCTCAAAGAAGTCCTTGGTAGGAGCGCCAATCTTGTTTTCAAAGAAGTCCTTGGTAGGAGCGCCAATCTTGTTTTCAAAGAAATCTTTGGTACGAGGTCCTACCTTGTTCTCGAAGAAATCTTTGGTGGGAGCACCGATCTTGTTCTCGAAGAAATCTTTGGTGGGAGCACCGATCTTGTTCTCAAAGAAATCTTTGGTGGGAGCACCGATCTTGTTCTCAAAGAAGTCTTTTGTTGGAATGGCGATTTTGGCAAGGTACTCCTTGAACTTCTTGAACCATTTCTTGTACCACGGGGCATCAACGTAGCTGGTAAGGGCAGAAAGGACTACCTTTACAACCATACGTGAGTAGCGGTGAGCAAACGATGAGAGCTGGGGAACGTGGGTCAACATGTAGTCGCTGTAGCTGCCGGTGAGATGACGAATACGCTCGATGCTGTACTCTCCGACATCCTCAGGAACGTTCGACCTTACGATGGTCTTCAGTACCTTCCTGATGCCAGAACCGAAAATGTGGGTGGCGAAGGACAATTTGTTGAAGATCTTTGCCTTGGTTGCATCCACAATGAGGTAAGTCTTGTAGTAGAGAGTAGCCATGAAGAGGAGCTTGCTTACGAGGTACTCCACGTCAGTAGCATCAGGTTCCCGAATGATGCTCACACTAATTAGGCTAACCAAGAAGTTGTGGTAGTCACCGTGGCTGCCTCCATTGCGGAAACGCATCCATGGGCGCTTAATAACATTCTTAGAAGGGTTGGACTCGCTGTTCCTGAATAGGGTGAAGGCGGCATCCAACTGGTAGGGGTTGGGGAGAACGAGTGGCTGGTATTCAGCATCCATAGGGTACCTTACGCTGTCAACCTTCAGGCAGCCGTAGGACATACAGCGGCTAACGTAGGCGCTCACAGCTTCGGCGCACTTGGCATCTTGAGGTACTTGCATGCATATTTCATCAACAAAGCCTTCGCGTACGCTCATCAAGTAATTCCTCATGTCGTGGCTGATTTCGCGGGCGGTCATTTGCGAAGTGAGGACAGTGTCGCCAGCTGCCAAGCTCTCACTCACATTACCGATGACCTCCGAAGGAGACAGAGAGGTAACATTCTGATAGTGACGAACAGCGTAAGCACTCCTTGCTACAAGCAAGAAAGAGCTAACGAATACGCTGATGAAAGCCTTCATTCTTAACACCAGGCAATGAATGTGTAGTTATTAGACAATAATATGACTTCTCTAGGATATCAACACACTACCGCGTATATAGCACTGCTATAATTAACGAAACAGGTATTGATATTGGAGTCTACCGACTCAGTATGTTTGTTGAATGTTTAGTGTGCAGCTGAAAGACGCCCTTTCACACGCTAAACCTGCACCTNTCTTTGGTGGGAGCACCGATCTTGTTCTCAAAGAAGTCTTTTGTTGGAATGGCGATTTTGGCAAGGTACTCCTTGAACTTCTTGAACCATTTCTTGTACCACGGGGCATCAACGTAGCTGGTAAGGGCAGAAAGGACTACCTTTACAACCATACGTGAGTAGCGGTGAGCAAACGATGAGAGCTGGGGAACGTGGGTCAACATGTAGTCGCTGTAGCTGCCGGTGAGATGACGAATACGCTCGATGCTGTACTCTCCGACATCCTCAGGAACGTTCGACCTTACGATGGTCTTCAGTACCTTCCTGATGCCAGAACCGAAAATGTGGGTGGCGAAGGACAATTTGTTGAAGATCTTTGCCTTGGTTGCATCCACAATGAGGTAAGTCTTGTAGTAGAGAGTAGCCATGAAGAGGAGCTTGCTTACGAGGTACTCCACGTCAGTAGCATCAGGTTCCCGAATGATGCTCACACTAATTAGGCTAACCAAGAAGTTGTGGTAGTCACCGTGGCTGCCTCCATTGCGGAAACGCATCCATGGGCGCTTAATAACATTCTTAGAAGGGTTGGACTCGCTGTTCCTGAATAGGGTGAAGGCGGCATCCAACTGGTAGGGGTTGGGGAGAACGAGTGGCTGGTATTCAGCATCCATAGGGTACCTTACGCTGTCAACCTTCAGGCAGCCGTAGGACATACAGCGGCTAACGTAGGCGCTCACAGCTTCGGCGCACTTGGCATCTTGAGGTACTTGCATGCATATTTCATCAACAAAGCCTTCGCGTACGCTCATCAAGTAATTCCTCATGTCGTGGCTGATTTCGCGGGCGGTCATTTGCGAAGTGAGGACAGTGTCGCCAGCTGCCAAGCTCTCACTCACATTACCGATGACCTCCGAAGGAGACAGAGAGGTAACATTCTGATAGTGACGAACAGCGTAAGCACTCCTTGCTACAAGCAAGAAAGAGCTAACGAATACGCTGATGAAAGCCTTCATTCTTAACACCAGGCAATGAATGTGTAGTTATTAGACAATAATATGACTTCTCTAGGATATCAACACACTACCGCGTATATAGCACTGCTATAATTAACGAAACAGGTATTGATATTGGAGTCTACCGACTCAGTATGTTTGTTGAATGTTTAGTGTGCAGCTGAAAGACGCCCTTTCACACGCTAAACCTGCACCTCGTAGGATTACAGGAAGTGCAGCTAAGTGCGATTCAGCTAGAAAAAGTGGATTTATCAAAATAGACAGCCTTTATCAACCTTGCTTTTCCAAAATATTGCTTGAAAAATCAAGAAATTACATTCATATGCTAACTAGAATTATATTTACACTAACTAATATACACATCGACTCCGAGATTCCTTTTGGCTTTGGCTGACTACACATATTACTCATCAACGCAAAATATAAACCTCTGTCTATTATTCTTCAACACTGCGTAATAAATGTGTGTGGCAGTGGACTACATCGTCACAGGGGTATTTTCAATTATCGTGCCGCACTCGCACATTGTCTAAAAATATCAACACACTCACCGGTTGTCAATGCACATCCAAAATTTCAATGGTATATAATTACATTTAATACATTGCCATATATTCTATAAATTTCGATAGGGAAATGACCCTACGCCCCTCGGTTGCCTGTGTCCAAAGGAATTGGTCTAATGAACTGTGCGACCTTATATCCATAAATTCGTATCAATGGCGGCATCCGAATTCTATATGACATAGTCGATAATAATAAACAGCGATGACCACGTGAGGCGCCACTCAAACCATACATATATCACATAATAAACTATTCGCTCATGGGAACAAATATTAATTTGTACCATATAGTTCAAACCGACAATATAACATATAATGCATTGTCTAAAATGATGAGTAATAGTATCGCATATGGTAGTTTATATCGAGGGAGTGTCAATAAGACGTCAATCGGAGGACGTTAGCAAACGCCTTTTTCTTGTAAAATTTGATAATCTATGTAGAGGACGATACACATCTGGATTCAGCATTTCTGTGATTATATGCTACCATTTAAAAAAATGAAAAAAAAACTATTGTATCATAATTTTATATGATCAAGCTAACAATTCGTTTAGCTGTACAATAAGATCTCTATAATCTTTCACAGTATGGCCCATAACATCAGGATGGCTATATATTTCATAGTCATTTCCTCCCTATTTATTTAATCATGACCAAATCTCGGACTTACTGGTTTAGTGTTGTCACCGAAGTAATGAATCACGTCATATTCGCCAAGATTTATCAGTGTAATTGACTTGTCCCATGACTGGAGTGATGTGAATATGGTATGGGATAATGTGTACATGCAATATTGTTGTAAAATAGAAATTTACGACTTCATTTTTCATATAACATAACCAACCTTTGGGAATACATCAACCGAAATTTGCCCACCAGCAACAAATCGCAGCTGCACTTCTCCCGAACCAAATTTAGATTCGAGCTCGGATATGAACTTCTGACGAATGTTTTTCGAATTATCTAGTGCTGCAAAAGCAATGCGGTCTTCAGCGGAACAATTTCGTCCAACGGGGCATAAGTTGATCAAGCTTTTGCGATGTTCCACAAATGTTCCCCTGTAAACCGATAAATAATATTATTCAACAAAATAGCGGTACCACTAAGCCAACAGACATTACTAGCCGCACAACGTGATTGGAATAAAGAGGAATCATTCCGTGAAGGAGATGCCTTAGTATTCCAATTCCACGACGCATTGACAAGAATCCAATCAAGGTCATTTAAACACACCTTTTCACGGGTATATCGAGGTCCGCTATGTATCGTAGACTGAATTCTACTAACTCTTTGAGAGTCTTCTCCGGTACGAAATCAAGTATATCCTAAAAGATGAAAGGAATCACTCAGAAACACCTACCAGCGATTTCACAAGCACACCATCCTCGTAAACCTGTGTACCGTTTTCAGCAAATATGAACTTGAAATTGGGTAAAACTGCAAAAGCATTGTGAAAATTAATGGAGATAACAAACATTCCTCTCCGACTTGATTTGCAATTTTCATGTACTTCGATCCGGAAGCTATTGCGATATCATGTCCCTTCTCTTTGCAGCGTAGTAGCGCTACTTTCATGTCATCCGTTAATGGCTGAAATAATATATTATACCGCTTCACATATGAATAAAGTCTAAGGGCATCTACACACCTGAACAGGTTGGGTCAATGTCCCGTCGAGATCGAATACAAGAATGCTTCTAGTCATCGTACTACTTATACTAAGGTTCCACTTTAGGATTAAAAGTGCCTCGTGAATGTTTGTGCAAAGCGACCGTCCGTTGGCGTACTCATGATAATGCCACCCCTCCTAGCCACGTTTCTCATATTAGGATCGTAGTAGGCATAAGACAATAGTAAATCGCATATGAAAACATCAGTGGAACGTGTTGACGGTATTCGGACGTGAAGATATATTATCACTTCTTCTAATAGGTCTGCGATGGAATCCCGTATAAATGATCAAACCTCTATGAGTGTAATAAATAAGAAATCGACGCAATTGACAACCATAGATCACATAATATCATCACATAACACACTTAAACATGTAAAGCGGGTGCTACGTCACTTTGGCTCCACAACGTTTCACCAAACATAGGGCCACATCATAAACATGGTATAACTTATTAAGGATTTTTGCAGCTATATTATGCTTTTGCATTTGAATTCGATTCGGTATAATTTTAGTAAGACCTGTGGATGCTTTTAATCTTAATTGTTATGATACATTGCATTGCTAACCAAAGTGAACACTGTCTACGGCAAAAATACAAGATTGCATTCTGCAACATTATCTTTACATAAAGCCATAAAGTTGCAAGTGGATTCATCATTGTGAAATTGGCCCAATGAACAAAAGTTGTACTGGGTCAATTTACAAGTTGGTAGTCCGTAGAGTAGTGTATTAACCATATATGTCGACACGGGGAATTTAAACAAAAAGCTAGGTTCTTGGTAGACTTGATATAGCGTAGCTGATACATCAATGGATCGAAAGGTGTTGGAAGCGTAGCTAAAAAAGTATTTGGAGTTAAATGTAACACAGAGTAACAAATATATCGCCAAAGCCATAATGAAGTAATAGTCTGTTATACGTAAAAAAATGCTAAGTATTGAGAAAATATTTGCTACCTATAAAATACACGTGCACTCGCGAATTAGTTATGGCATAGCGTAAGTATTTAGGAGACACCTCACTAAGGGGACTACGACGTGCGACTCAATCTTACACATAAGGCACATCCATTACCTATCAACATAGTAACTCTTCATTTAATATTTAAGGATAGAACTAATGAATTCACACATTCGAAATCGCAGGTTGCATCCTGCACACAGTAAACAACAGGACCATGCCTCTTCGAAGAGTAAGTTGTGTAACTGTTGTACGCTATATGCCACAGCTGACGATAACGATAAGACTTCGAAGCATGGGAACTCCGTAAAACCGATGAGTTTTGCGTCGAAAACTCCCACGACAACTTTTGATGGCCCGTCCCATCCTCCACCCTCGTCTGATCAACGCGAAAATGGAGCGACGAGCAATATAGGGGACAATAAACCGGTGCAGAATTCTGCAACATCGCAGCATATAACGCAGAAACTACCAAGTACCAATGCATTCGGACAAACGGCGTACTCGAAAAATCATGAGAAAACTGAAGAACTGCATGATTATCTCAACACTGGAGTTCAACGTTACTCCATAGGGGATTCGGATGATAATATGGCCCCAATTAACACAACACGTTCAAACGGCAGCAACTCTGGATTTGGTCTACATCAAGCTGTCACGGATACTTCTGTACCAAATCCGTTCCATACAACCAACATACAACCTACCTGGCAGCCATTACGTAAGTCGCGCACCTATGTAATTAATATACTTTTAGAACAAAATGATGCGCAATCTCACTCTGTTCCCTTTGGCGCTATGAACGTGAAACAGAACGCCGGGACAAACCAACCGCAATTTCCTGTAGGAAACCTGACCGGTTGGCAAGGTAGTTTCACACAACAGATGAAACAAATCAGCGAGTATTATATGTCGAATGCGCAGGAAGAAGCCGATGTCGCTGACCCGCCTCTCTTAGAGGAACTTGGGATTGACCTAGATGACATCATCAGACATATAAACTGTGTTTTGTTGTTCAAAAGGTATGTAAAATACGTTCATCTCACGTATGCGCAGTTGCAACAATGGTGAATTACAATACGGGGATTTCACCGGGCCGCTGCTGATACTTTTATTGTTTGCTGTATCAATGTTGATATCATGCAACCTTAATTTCGGCCTTGTATATGCAATTGAAATGATAGGGACGTCATGTATGTATATACTATTCAATTTATTAAGTCAAGACATCTATATTGACATGGTCAAGACTGCAATTATTTTGGGATACTCCCTATTACCTATATGTCTGGCTCCTATCATTTGGATCTTTTCAAGGTTTGCTAAACCTGTAGCAACCGTACTGGTCTATTTGTGCGTCATATGGAGCACGTCTACTGCCACGCGTCTGCTAGCAGCGGTACGTCTAATTAAAATGATTTTGACATGTACAACAGGAGCTAAACATGACTGGTAGGAAGTACCTCGTCCTCTACCCTACGTTTTTATATTACATGTTCCTAGCTCATGCTGCAATGAACTAGATAAAGCTTTTGTAACATTAAACTTAATGCCTTTTCAAAATACTTTCAGTTTATTATGTTCTTAGAGCACTTGGTAGCCGAAATGACAAAACCGCAACAAGGGCGGAAGTCGGCCGCCATAATCGGATGCGTACGCATATGAAGCATCTGTTGATTTATTATATGATGAATGGAATACGTACCTGATATTCACGCATGAAGACCTCGTCAAATTTGACGTTAACATATTCATCACTCAGGGTAAGCATCGCTTGCAGCTCCGCCATGGGCTGATACTGTTGACCGAATAGAACCAGTCGTCCTCCCCAATCAAGATACAAATCTGCCGCTAGTTTCATACGACGGGTATACTCGGAAACTACGGAGTTCACCTTGTCGCATTTGTTAAAAGAAATATTGCCAATAATGACCTGGCATCCTTTTATATCGTCCCTTGAAGGGGTGTATAAGGGATATACCCCCGGCATGTTGCTACATTTTTGCCGTTTTGGTTCTGCAACTTATACAAAAAATGGAAATGAATTACCTTTTTCATCCGCTGTGTGGTTACCCTCATATCCTTCATTATTGATCCTTTTACCGACAAGGCTTTCGTGGTCCGTTTCTGATAGGCAAGATTGTTGATTTTCACTATCACTGCAATGCGATGATTCGTTATAAATTTCTGGTTGAAGGTCATCAGGTGCATTTTCGTCGTTTCCAGGAGAATTTCGAGTTGCAGTTGCATCATTTTGTAAAGACAATGAAGATTCACCTCCTTCTGAGATGTACCGATTCAAATCAATAGAGATTATGTTGTCTAAATAACGGATGCCCAGTTCGTGTACGATCTTGTCACTGACCCCCTTAGCAACTAAACGGTATATTTTACCGGAACCTAGAATCGGATGAATGAATTTGAATTGAATGCATGATAAGTACTTTAAAAAGTTGCGGCTGTTAGATGTGCAACACAAAAGGAATCGATAATATTTTATGGTAAAACATCACATAGATGGGACGCACTATGATGTTTAAGGCTCTACCGACTTTACACAATTCATTCGTTGCCATGGATGGTGAAAGGGTAACAAGTAAACTGGCGTACCTGAGAGTCTCTGCGATACCGCTCCAGTGATAAGCCCGAGTGAGTGATCGAAAACCATGACCTTGTACCCGTACCTTATATCTGCCAGATAGAGCATCATTCCAAGGTTGGCAGAATTTAGATACCTGTATATTCTGCATTTCTCTTCATGCTAAAGTGACATACCCGATTTTATGAGGAAAGGAGTTGAAGTAACATTCGCAAGCGTTATATACGTCACACGGTCTAACATAAAATAGTTTTATATGTCGTTTTTCCTTTCTCATGATATACTTTTCTTGTGCCATTTTGCTTTTTTTTGCAAATGTCTCAGAATGATCGACTATGGTCTCGATAACTTCTTGAGCATTTTTATCTGCGACGAATTAATGCGTTGGTAACTTGGATACCTTTCTTCAGTTTCTGTATATCGCCATAGGTCAACTTCTGAGCTGTGTTATCATCGTAAATATCACGGTTGTCCAAAGTCGTGTTATCATTGTCGTCAGTGTAATTCTCCTTTATACGGCTACGATACTGCGAATACTGGGAGTCATCTCGACGAATTTTGATCCATTCAGTTCGTTCTTTGATGAAAACGTCGCCATAGGAGCATCCTATGAGCATATCCAGCTGCAGAGTATCTTTGCATATCTTTATAGTCCTGTAAGCGTTATGTAGCGCTGGCGTCATAAAAGTAAATGATACTATTACGGTAAGAAGGCCAGATTTTTAAAACATTTCTCATGTATCTCAGCCAATATGGCAATAGAATCTATCACGAAACATATATCCTACTTTCCGCGTTCAATTTTTGCCGTAAAGCCGCCCTTGTTGTGTATCATGAGAATCACGGTATCGTGCTCCGCAACTGGTTGCGATAGATCATGGCCAAATTGCGAAGCCATTTTAAAAATATTTTAGGTAGACATTTAGCGCTTTCAGTGTAAATGTGTTGTGTTACTGCATCACAACATCTAATGTGCGAGTAGATCGCACATTCCCAGGTATATATAAATGATACAGTTACACATGGCGTGCAATTTTAATGCCTAAGATATTATTTTGGCGCTGTAAAACAAACTATGAGAGTGACGGTACGAAACACACCTCAGACACATGTCTATATTACTAAAATATTAGACGCTAGATTATTCCGTATATAATACGAATTGATGTTAGCTGTGAAGTTATCGCTTCCCACGTTTCTGGGATTTCCTCTGCATCCTAATATCTTTTTTCATCTGATCTAGATGTGAGACCTTCGTGTAATCACGTTTGCGGAACTCCGGCAGTAGCTCGCGTGTCACCGCAATACCCATGGCGTTCGCAGTTCCAATGATACGTTTACATATCACATAGAGCGGTATTCCTATAAGCGGAGGGTCCATGCACTTGCATTTTGCGATATGGTATACCTACAAAAGTGATGTACCTTCAAAAGATAGATGACATAATGACATTTCGAACAACTCTCATAACCGTCATATAACGATACTTATGCTTTAATTCAATGACATGAAAATGATTAAATCCAAAGGAGTGTCACTACGATCATGGTAGTGATACACCATGATTGAGATAACAAACGGCATTATAGTGAAATCTTATTAAGAGTGCTAACATACCTCTTTAAGTGTAACATTACCCACGATTTCGTGTTTTGGTTTTGATGCTCCCATCGGAACTCTTGCGATTCGCCGTAAAAACCATTGTGATCCCGGAGTCCTTAAAGAGAATTTGTATGTTGAATTAGATAGTGTGCAGATTTTGACTTGAATTGGAATGTTCGGGCGAATCAACTGTGTCCTTTCATTGAATTTCTTGCAGAAATCGCTCATGTTTATACCCAGAGGACCAAGAGCTTGACCGATAGATGGCGAGGGCTTTGCCACAGCAGCCGGTACTATCAGCCTATATCTACCCAAAAACTTCATAGTGCTCCCAAAATACTATATATAGAAAAAAAAGGTAGTGCGTTAAATTAGTTGCTCAATACATTTTGTAGATATTGGCGATAATAACGTAGAAGGATAAGACTTGCCATTTGCACAATACCAAAACAGTTATCACCAATGTTACACAGTACGCATATAGCTCAAAGCCTTTATCAATGCAACATTTTTTGGAGCGTTTAATTTTTTGATTCTAATGTGTAAAAGAGGTAGAGTTGCTAAGCAACGCCAAGGTCCTAAAGGACGACATGATTTACATATTACATGAAAATATTTCCAAATATAATATGAATATTTGCATCACATTCTTATAATTCGATGCGGCACATAACTCAACGGCGCAGAGCGCCTCACAGATCGGCTTTGGTATTACACGAAAAGTACAAATGCGTAGTTCTTTTTTATAAGATGGCGCATAACATTAGCCTAGTGCCACGTAGACGCTGCAAAGTCATATAATAGTGTTGAATTTCTGCTATTACCTTATCTCTAAAATCACATAGTCAATCTACATAATCTAATTGCATCGCAGCGAGCTATTAATATATGGTAAGATTTTAATTGAATAATAAAATTATTCGTATAAATATCATAATAAATGCCCCTGTCGATTAGCCGATTATCTCATTGATATATGTGTAGCGTGGTTTCTACAGTTGCAGTTGTATGTTCGTATTGTTGTTTAAAACGTGGTTCAACCTTCAGACTCCGTTGTATTGTGTTCATATTGCGGAAATAAGCAATTTTGATCTTCATTCATTTCATACATGTCAAAAGTGTTCACTCTTGCTTGCGTAGTCCTGCTGAAAGGTTCACAACCCAGCTCCCATTTCGTCATCTGACATACTTGGATATAAGATCGTGGAGTGAACAATACGTTGCGGAACAAATTAGCGTCGCCTTGCTGGAGAACTACAATATTTCAACATGTCAATGCTGCCGAGTGTCGTGATCGACACTGGCTCTCTGTACCTAAAAGCGGGCCTCAGTGATCAATTGGAACCGCAGGTACATGCGCCAAGTATTTATGGCGATGTTAGAAAACGTTTTCAGAAAGAAATGCCAAACGAACGCTTATATGGAAATGAATGCTTGCGCCAGCTTCCATATATGTCAGTAACAAATGTACTGGATCACGGCCACATATTCGACTATGATGCTGCTATTGGACTTTGGAAGTATGCCTTTGATATGATGGGCGTGGATTCACGTGGAAATTCAGTGCTCTTGGTCGAACCGGTATTATGTTCGCCCGACCATCATCTGAAAACAGGAGAAATATTCTTGGAAACGTTAGAAGTGGACGAAATACACACTTCAATATCAGGCGTATTAGCCATGTACGGCATCGGTAAAACATCTGGGATGGTTGTTGACATCGGAGCCGGAATGATACAGGTTGTACCTATGGAAGAGGGACACCTTGAAAAAAAGTCAATCAGACGTATTGATTTCGGAGGAATGGAACTCACAATGTATCTACAAAGGTTGCTATGCGAACTTGGTTACCCAATGACATCAAGGGAGGACTTTGCTACCTGCCGCAAAATAAAGGAGGAATTGTGCTATTGTTCCTTAGACCCAAGGGCAGACGAAAACAACCCTGAGGCGCTTGAAAGGGACTTCGTGCTACCAGACGGTCAGACGTTGAGGGACGGTGAGACCAATACCATTACTCTCTCTGTTGAGAGGTTCTATGTATGTGAAGCGCTGTTTAACCCATCCATCTTTGGATCGGTGCAACCCGGACTGGCAAAATTGGTCTGGGATTCGATCCAGGATTCGGGAGTAACGCAACGCAGGCTGTTGATGGACAATATATACCTCTGTGGCGCTGGCTCTAAATTTGAAAACTTGAATGAAAGACTCAAGTTCGAGCTCCAAAATCTAGCACCTCCAGGAGCAAGGTCTAACATTGCAGTACGCGCATCTAAAGATCAACATCTGCTAAGTTGGAAGGGTGCGTGCTTCCTCGGCACTCCCGAGATACGGCACACTTACCAAAAGCAGTGGATAACAAAGGCCGATTATGAAGAGGAGGGGCCTCGGGTATTCTTACGTCAGATGATCAAGTGAACGTAAATAGTTACCCCTAAAACACACTTTTAAGATATGAATGCGATGCATACGAAGTTTCATTGCAAAGTAAAACATGCCACATACATTAAGTTACGTCCTCTGGCAACATGTTAATATAAGTAAATCATGTTTCATGATTTGAAAATTACACCGCTCCTAACAGACCCCTTAGAGTATTTAGAGCTATTGTAAGAACTCCGTAGCTGCAGATCAGCCATGCTATTGTGCTTTGCGATAAGTTTCTGAACGAGGAGTGGAGTGCGACAGCTTGGTGTCTTCGCCATGGGTGTCGCCGACGTTTTTGATTGGTATTTTTTTCGCAGTCGTTCCGCCAGGTCTTCTCTGGCTATTGGTTTAGGGACGCTATATTCACGTACCTCACCAACGGATGTTAACGGTGTCTGTACGAAGTCATACCTTTCCATCTGTTCCTCATCAACAAGTTCCTTGCACTCACGCAAGCCGAACTGCGTAATTAGATCGTTAACTTTACCATGGTAGGCGTCCTTCACCTTTTCTGTTCTACGCGCCTTTTGGCGGCATTCAAGCGCTGCCATATGCTCGTCGTGGTCAGATGGCATTGCTGTATTGGTGGCACGAATGAACGGTGTGCCACCTTTATTGCGATCGGGCTCAGAGTTCTGATTGAAGAATAATGCATTCCTACTAACCGAACGGTTAGATTGTATATTCTTATCAGTGATACCCAAATTGGTTTTAGATTGTGTATTGGCGAGTGCCATATTATGTTTGCGTTCTCCTTCCTCCATCCATCCGCTTAGTTCGTTATTACGGACAATGGACTGTTCCATAAGACGGCCAAAACTACGATTATCTTCAGAAGTAAATATACGGCTGAATTGGTCAAGCTTCAAACCGCCTTTACCAATGTTCACAGACACATCTTCATTTCCTACCGTCCGCAACTTCACGTTCATCTCCTGATCCTTATCGTGATGTTCTAGCTTTTCTCTCAAGTATTCCGCCCTGGCTGTATCACCACGACTCTCTGCCTCCATTAACAGGTTTTTTATACGCAATTTCACGAGATCAGGAAAGTAATCGCGCTCTATAATCGTTTCGAGACAACCCACATAATCCTCTTCACTCAACTCCCTCAATTTATAGTTTGACCTAATCCGTTTCAGTACATCGGCGTAAGGTACAACAGGATCCTTTGGTATTGTCGACACCGCATTGGCCCTCCAGTCCTGTGGTCCATTCGGGGAACGTGCTAATGCTCCTCCTTTCGCAGGTATAAACAATTCATTACTACCACTGGAGCGACTGCCTGAGGACGCCGATAAATCATAATTGTTGTCGGATCCTTTGTTTTGTATACTTCCTATATCCACTTTAGGGTCTAGAATCGTGTTTTCAAAACAGCTGATTTCAGAAGGACCTAATATTGATAAGTCGGATGGCAAGGCTACAGATTTGTCAGTATCTGGCATCTGAGCATCTGCCACAGCGTGAGTTGCTTGGTCATCATGGTGAGATTGTTCATCCTGGGTAACGACGTCATCACGGTTCCTTTGACGCCGCCGACTCCAAGCATCGCCACGTCGTACACTGCTTAAATCTCGTAAAGTGATGGTTTCGGTTTTACATTTGAGATCTCCAGTAGCAATTTGTCGTATATCCGACGGATTTTCGCGTTCGTCATCATTACGCTTCCCGTCCGACATTTGTATTGACGGCTAGTTTGGGTTGTTTCAGCTACATTTGAATACACATCGACATAGTAACCATATTTTTGTCAAATATATAAATTATAATGTCATAGTCGTAAAAATGTTCCAACAAAAATTGCCGCCGGATCGCGCTACACCTTTTGCCACAGCATCTCTGAAGTCATAAGTGGGACATAACGAAATTATATCGCGCTATCTAATTATATCACAATGGGCATAACTGGGTTGTCTGGCTTTGAGGCGCGTAATGCTGAACTTTATGGAGCAAGATGGTCGGCGCTATCGCAGGCGATACGACGTGGCACAGCCACTGTTGCGTTGATCCCACCGTTCTTTTGTCATATACCTGAGCAGCAGGAAGAAGGAGAAAGACGGCCTACATCAGAAATAAACGCTGCTGAACTGGAAGGTAGCGCCTATTATCGCAGGTCAGAGATTCCGTACTGCTATGAGCAACAGGTCTTCCAAGAATCGTCACAAGGTACTGATATACGAGAAGTTGACCTATACGAGAAGAAGGCTGTACTTAATGCCAACAACTTAGTGGCAACTGTCGCAGATTGCGTATACCACATGAATCCGGGGCTATGTTACGCCTGTCATTGTCTGGATGCTTCACCCGGAGATAGAGTACTGGACATGTTTGCACACGGTGGAGGCCATAGCCTCATCTTTGCTTCACTTATGTTCCCCTCTACGGAAACAATGTCGGGGATCTCTGGTGAAGGACGGAGCACGGCAGAGGTGATTGCACTGATAAATAGAGCTCGCAAGGAGATGCATGACAAGACAGATAAATCGTTCTTAGTTTGTGCTGAATCTAGACGTGTGATGTACGATGCTTGTAAATGCAATCTGCGCAAGTACTTGCCAGAACGACTTCTGAGTTCGATGAGCATACAGACGTTATGTCACGATGGAGAGGAACACAAGCTGCGACGTTTTGGTACATTCGATCGCATATTTGTCAGGATACCGCAATCCGTTGACCCCGCATCTCCATATCAGTGGAGCAAGCGTAATGTTAAGGCGAGTTCTGCGAAAGCGCTGGCTGCTTTGAACACTGCACTTGGTCTTTTGCGACCTGAGGGCACCATTTTGTACGTTACACATTCACTCGATCCTATGGAAAACGAGCTTGTCATTCACACAATGCTGCAGTCTACGTCTCAATTACGTCATGAGACGATTGATATGCCCACAGTGTTAAAAAAAATTAGAAATAAGCTTTCATGGACGCAAGAAGTTGATGCGAAGTTACCTTCGGTAGAGAGCCGCAAGTATGGTTGCGCTCTAATGCCGGACAAAACGCCTTGCGGTCCGCTCTATATATGTAAACTTGTTTCAATTAAACAATGAACGCACTATAGTACGCAATTGAGGCACCACATTGTAGAAGGTCGCGAGGCCGTATAAATCCCGCACACCTCACTTTATTCGCGCTATGCGGGAAATATGAGTATCGCAATAACGTGGCAAGACTTAAGGTGGAGGTCATCAAGACGCATTATCTCTAACCTCCTCAAATTCCATACAGCAGGGCTACTCTCTGTGATATTGTTCAAGCTCTGCTTATCGTACATCTCTAGGGTTTTGTATCGTGGAATCCAAACAGGTCGGTACACATATCGAGTCGTTAAAGTCTGCAGATGCTATCGTACAAAGCATCTATTGCCCATGTGCGACGGCACTCGCGAGTTACATCGCGCTCCTTGCGATGCTGGGCTCGCGCCATGCAGCCCTTAGAGGTACGTATTCATTTTACGTGTAGCATAGTGTCACCGTTAAGGCGGTATTGCATCCTCGTAACTCCGTTGTCTAGTGAATCGCTAACGTGTTCCCTCAATTCTACGTTGTTTGTGACAATGCCCAAAAGAGCAACTGTCCTGGCGTTTGTGTGTTCAATATGTGAGTGGATTATATGTTGGAGCTGCGTTTTCAGATTTATCTGTATTAATCCACGCGCAGCATCATCGCGTACCGATGTATACATCGAACTACTGGGCTTGACCAACGTCATAACGACTATCATCGCAATCGCTGTGATATCAAATTTAGTATGTCGGATCCATATTACAAGGTTTCATTTAATGATCCTGCTATGCGTATCGTAAGTGAGGTGGTATATCACACAATCTTCCCAGGGCAATATACCAGATGCGTGTGAGGAGGCAGCGAATTGACATTATACGAGCATTAGATAGAGAGCACATAACTGCTCCCTACATGAGGACGGCAACTTCATTGGCGATGTTCCATGTGGCTCTATCGCTGGTTGTCGCCACTACATTGGCCTTCACAATAAGCCTATGCTCGTTAGTATGGTCAATGGTACAATCGTCCACATACTTCGGATGGAATTCGGCCGACTCTCTTAATAAATTCCTAGCTTTGATTCCGGGTATTGGGGTATACAGAGGCAACATATACGGGTGAGTGAATAACGACAAAGTTAACATATTGTATAGCGTTGAAACAACCACTGTTCTGATCGCTGCCGTATGGGCAATAACTCTCACGGAAGCTTATTATGAGCACGTCAACCAACAAATCTCACACCGAGATCATGTAGTCGCAAATACTCTGGAGCAATTCCCGCCGCATGGGTCACTTAACTACGAGGACGAACTGATAATAGCACGCGCATTCCTCAATTATTCACTTGGAGTGAGCATGACGTTAAACCCGGTTAGGAATAAGTTCGAACCAAGAGGGAATTCTATGAACGCCTCATTACCTGACGATCCAAGACGTTGTCCGATGCTCCCCTTCATCAAGATACCACAGGTGTCGGTTTATGCAATTGAAGGAAAACGCCAGAGATATCAAGTTGATGCAGTGGTATATCGCATGTTAATAGATGATGAGGGGCGAATGTTTTCGTCGTATGTCGAGGCGTTCGTGGAATGCATGGTGGAAGCCGAGAGTCACATAGTAGCGCTCACAAGCAAAAGGGAAAGCATGGCGGATTTGCGCATTGATCTTAAACCCGATTCAAACACATGTGCATCATGTAGTGGATGGGCAGACTTTGTTCTTGGTGGTTGGCTAGGTGTTACGCAAAAAGTACCTCACAAGGTGGGTAGTTAAGAATAATGTACAACATTTGCGTAGGCTGCCGACACCATGGTGCTAGTAGTGATATATATGAGGGGTCTGGCGAGTTGGTTGAGCATTGCAAATATGCTAGGATATGCTGACACCCATATACAACAAGTGGCCAAGGAACTCGTCGCGCAGTGCGTGTCACTTTCCAAGGCTGTGGCAACTATTCGCCGGTATTCTATGCCTCCATACTTTTACAATACTCTAGATGTGATCACTAATGGTACGTTTCCTCTTAGACATATCACCAATATGCAGTGATAAATACCACATTAAAACAAATGACGGTCTATGCGGACGCCATGCTCTATTCAACATTCGACACGGACTTCGACACATTCCGACTGCTCGAAAAGATTTACAAACCAGTGATACATTCGGCTTTGCCTTAACAAAAATGTTTGGTTATTGGCGCTACACGCATAGACGATACTATTACGGGACTAAGACATGTTCACCAGGCGGAGCTGTTTTCCTCCTTACGCCTGTGTCTAATCCCGTAGAGACCTCGGTCATCTGCACATGAATAAAATACATGTTTAGGAGGAGTGTTATCGGAACGATTCCGAAAAAATTTTAACAGATGCTAATAGACTATATGAATAGTTATTGAAAATCGTAGCGCACAAAAAAAAATGTTTGCCTGACGTACCCTCATTTTTGGAACCCGTGGACATAAAACTGCGACTATTCCCGCGATCGGAACTTGACGAACACCTCCAGCTAAAATCGTCATCAGGAGGTGACGTGATTCTGTTTCTGCGATACGGCCCCTTTCGATTATTACGAGAATTACGTCTCGTGAAAGGTTCGCTAACGTCCTGAGGATCGCTTGCCAGAAAGTCCGCCCGGTGACACTCGAACGTTTTCTGTTGCCGTGGTACCTCGGTCGGTGTGCAGGGAACCGCCTCTACAGCAGGTTCCTTAGGTGTAGTAGGTCTAACAACGCGAGGAAGAGTATCTTCAAGACCAGAATCAGAGTCGTCTAACTCGTCCGCCCAGCGTATTGACGAGTCTTGAGTTAAATTGTCGGCATTCATCGTCTACGGTGCAGAGGCAATGACCCGTGACCAGTATCGGGGGAAAAGTCTATATACCTACTAGAATAGCCTTTGGCTATTACCGATCCCGATCCAGCGACCGCTAGGCGCCGGGCCTTCCGGGACGATAGGTCGTCGATGTCGTTGAAGGTTAACGTAAATATCTCACGCCGGCTCCGCATGAGATATTTCGTTCAATATCTCCAGCAACAACGTCTCCTACCGTATGTGATACGGTGGAGATGACAGATCGAAAAAAATTCAAGACGACCAACTGTAATGGGAACGAGAGCAATTTGTGAGCTGATTAGTTAGCGTCCAACTTTATTCGTTACTAAATCAGAAGATATGAAGATGTATAGACTAGCGTAAACGTTAATGATCCAGTTCAGTTCACATTGATGGTGGAAGGTCACCTAGGCCCCACCCAAAATTTTGAAGGAATACGACAATATCGCCGGCGAATGGCATTAGAAATTTACATGTTACATCTGCTTGCTGGTTGAAATCTGGAATACGATAGTCACGCTTTTGTACGAGCGAAATGCTCAATACACCCATGCACAATGTCATTTGGATTCCACACATTGAAATAGATACGGGAGTGTTATCAACTAGATGATCCATATTATATCTATGAAAATGGAATAAGCACGTTATGATTGTAATTTCCTTCAGTAGTACGTAATGACACCCATAAAAGTGGCCCTACCGCTAGCAATTTTGTATGCAAAAGTGAGCGGCACACGGTAATAGATCCAACCCAAAGATTTTTGCAATTGCTGGTATATACCGAGTATGTATTCATTTTCTGGCCGAGGACTGATGGCCACGGCCGATGGAAGTTACTATATTTTTACATAGCTCGCGGCACATTACAGCTGTCATAGATTAGTGACACATCGATGTTCTACTGTCCCCTAATTGGCTGGTAAGCACGGTTAGAAACGCTGACATAAAGTATTGATATAGCGCTCCGCGTGACGACGCTCACATCTGTGTTGGCGTGGCACATAGTTTCGCACATCAGTCGACACACTTTCATTAATATAGTATCACAGCTTCATGGCAAGAATGATGTTTGCAAATTTCAGAGACCAACTACGGGGAAAGAGCTTTAAAGATCTAGCAAAACTACTGCTAACAAACATACTAACAAAACCAAACATATTTTACGCCGCGTAAGTCATACGTCTTCATATAACTTTGGTAATACAAGTAACTCGTTGTGACGTGTGGTATTATTTCAAAATGTAACAATTTTTGTGTCAATTATAGCGTTTGCAATGTCTCATATGCACGCAGGTCGACGTTGCTTTTCTCCGTACTCTTCTTACTCATATTCATATATTATCGCATCAGGGGCTTGGCAAAAGTAAGGGGTAGCTATTTTTCAATTCAATGTATTATTGGAAATCCATGTTCCGTGGGCGTTACTTCACCTAGAGCTCATGCTTGTTGTGTTTTTCTGTGATATCAAATTATTCATATGCTCGTAGGACTACCCTAATATCGTTATGATCAAGAGAAACCTTGAAGCGATTGCGAAGGACCGTCTTAAACGGTATTTGCTGCAGTCTGCGCATTTCTACTATTAGAGTGTTTTTAAATACCACTACTAGATATGTTGAAACATTCTAACTCGATTATATAATGTTAAATACACAGATTCTAATAGCACCTTTTTTATATTGAGAGGGTACCATAGAATGGAGGTTTACATATAGCCTAATAGGAAAAAGATCAGTTCAATATGTCTACCTTTAACTTATTTCATATGTAAAAAATACTGCAGCATTACTTGAAGTCTAATTGACTAGATTTCACGTAACCTCCCTTCCGTTGGTAATATGCACTTCTGACCCCGACGACCAAGACAGTGATGAATAGGGTGCGAAATTTTCAACATAACGACGAATAAAAACATGAAACTAACGATATGCGTTAAACTGCACGTGAGTAATGCATCAAGTCCCAATTTGACCTGGAAAGAGTTCGCTATAGTGCTGTAAAGTTACAATGCTCAGATCAGTACCGGTCCAAGGCGTCCAGAAGGTCAGAGAGGTCGAACCGTTTCTGGAGTCCAACAGCTACGTCCCTCACAGGTGCGAGAGACTCACGTATGTACTCCGGCTTAGCAAACTGATGTTGAGCTGTGAGTGAAAGAGATCGTCGCAGTGCCCACGTCACCTTTGACGAGTCTCCACAATGAGCAAAAGATGCAGCCACGTGTGCCAGTGCCGAGCACTGCTGGTCGAGTTTCAGCATTCCCAAACTGTATTTTGCAAGACGCATAGCCATGCTAGAATGATGTTCCGCGTGTAACACCGTTATCTTCGAGCAAAAAGCTGAGATTAAATAGAGCAGACATCTATGCTGCCTCTGCGATTCTATCAATTCCTCCTCGAAAATCACACAAGCTGTTGCGATAAAGTTGTAACATACGGTGCCGAAGTTCGAATAATTTGATTCTATGTTCATGTCTAGGTCCATTAGAACACAAACTTCGTTTACCGTCATGGCGGCTAGCATGGACAACTTCAGGGCCTCTTCTGGTATAAGTGGCTGAATCATAGATAAAAGGTCGTTGACGAACTTGAAAATGATGATTGCCATATCAGCCGCGTCACTTGCATCTTCAACTCGCTGAACGGGTGTGCTTTCACCGGGAGGTTCGAACGGCCTGAATACCAATTGCAGTGAACGCACAATTAATGCAGGCATGCTGTGGCGATAAAACATTGGGCCACGGCGTATCAACCGATCCGCGAGGCGTCTGTATATGGCGAATTGATCCTCAACCTCATACGATTCGATGGTTTGGATGAACCTGGAAACATGGTTCTGATCCTCCCGTATCTGTTGCTCAGAGTATTCAAAATCAGTTGGTTCGAAGAATGAGCCGAGATACCGACAGAACGACTCGAAAATTTCACAACTATCGATTTTTAGTTGCGACTCTACCAAAGCGTCAACCATGGCACGAGCGACATTCCCGTGCATATGCTTTGGTAAGAAACCCAGTAGTGGGTCATTGTGGTTCATATCGAGTGACCTAAGACCAAGGGTGCGCAGCGGCAGCGTGAGTAGTTTTACAATGCTCTCACATGCCTCCTCTTCGACAACATGATCATCCGATCTGCACGACTGCAGAACACTTACCACGTGGTTGAGGATCACCTCAACATGCTCAATAATACCAGGATATACGGTAGTTGTAAACTCTACAAAACTGGCTTGTAGGTCTAAAAAGCTCTTGAGCGTTATACCTTCCCTCATATTGACTGCACTTAGATGTTCGTGGAAGACTTCAAATACGTCCCCTGTGTTTGCTTCGGTGCTGCTCGGTTCTGCTGATTGGAAATAGTTTGACAATCTATTCATGAGATTTGTCAAAACTTTGACACATTCGTTTGACGATATTGAACTTACAATAACCTTCAAGATGTTGGACAAGGACTTGAGGTGGTATTCGTCTGAGAATGCCTGTATAAGGCAGTCAAGTAGATACTTTTTTGCAGCGACATCTCTTGTAGCGGCTATTTCCTCCAGAATTTTAGGTAGTGCAATATTGGTGTAAAATTCGCTATCCAGACGTTCCAGCTGGGCCATGCGTACCAGGTTAGCTCCGACTAGGAGTCCAAGTTCCAGGCGTTGTTTATCCCGTCTCCTCTGATCCATGAGGCTCGTACATCCGTCGTTAAGCCTAACCCATAGTCTTACGGATTCTTTGAAATTTCCCATCAAGAATTCAAATGACTCTGATGTTCCGTTGGGATTGTCGCAGTCTGAATCTGGAAGTTTGTCCTTGCATATCTGTATTAGGAAGTATCGCAAGAAGAGTCCGCGAACAGGGTGTTGAACTCCTCTGCATAGTTCAGTGACGTCACTTAAAATTTCTTTAGACGATGCCATTCCTTCCCTGATGCAATGAGATGCTGTCATAATGAGGAGGTATAGTCGTGGAATAATGAAGGAGCTTTGCTGTACTGTTTCGTATAGCTGTTTTAGTTTCATTCCTCGTTTTTCATCGTTTCCCATGAAATCTGACAGCATCTGCAATTCGTTGAAAACCTTCATGTAGAGTTCATAGTAGTTTGTCGGTGTGAGGCTTGAAGTGCGCAGCTCACTAATGACGTTGATGCCACGCTTCAGCGCCTCCCCCAAATCATTAGCATCCTAAGAGTAAATGAACAGTGTTTCATAAATTAATCGGATTATACTCATACATATGAATCACAATAGGTGACGAAATAAGGTTACTATAGATCACCAATAATGGAAAAGCATTTCAATGCCAACAAGAGAACGTAAGGGGAGCTGTTTCACCGGATGAAAACATATATAACTGCCTTGTCTAAGTATTTGCGACCACAAGTCAGATATAGTAACGCATCAAGTATATTAAACACACCAGTGCCTGACGCATATAATAGGCATGTTCCTTAACATAGAATAGCGATTCCTCTAGTAGCTTGCATTGGTCAATAGCCTGGTAGTCGCACTCGCCGCCGAAGGCGTGTTCATCGGCGTAGCCGCAGCGCCTCGTCATTGTGTTTCTGGATTTCGAGCACACAACGACCACACCTTCTCACAGAGGTTTATCTGCGAGTTTATTGTTAAGATAGGTTTTAGATTGCAGTTATGCTGGTTGCAAAACTCATTCTGCCCACGTGCGAGGTAGCTTCTGCGTAGGCAGCGCACACTAGAGTCGGTGTGTCCATAAATTTATAGTGTTATCATCCTTGTTAGAAATAATATAATAGTTTAAAACACACTAGTAAAATATATAGCGCCATGTTGTTTTGCTTTTGTTGAATATACAAAATAACCTGTATTCGGTATATAGCTAACTGGAAGGTTGTTGTCCTTTCTTACGAAAATGTATGAACGGCTATAATGTGTTGGATGTCACTTCTGAGTGATATTTTGTACGAAAATACTTATTTTGTGTGGAACTTTTGAGTATTTCCTTGCGCAGAGTATCTGACACAATAACATAAAGCGAACGCATTCATTGCCAGCTCGCAACAACCTTGTGTACTCTGCACTTCCCCAAATGGCGGACACTGATCAAAGTATTGTGACGGAATTGTCAGAGGCTGAAGCAGGAACTACGACACCGAGCCGTAAGGAGCATGCTGTGCTGGATTTGCATCTGAACCAGTTCCTTTCATTTATAGCTGATGAATACTCGTTCTTGCCGTGTGCTATATACAGGCCACGTATCGATATATGTTTGGACGGAAAGTTAATCTACAAGAGCAGAGTGCTTAGTCATGAGGATGACATCTTTAACAATGCCGTGAGGATCCGCATACAGTCACCCACCTCTGTGCTTACGCTTAAACTATACGAATGCGTTCAACTAAGATGGGAAGAGAAGCGTATCGACAATATCATTCGTCCTATGCTCCTTGACGAGGCTATGGATGAAGTTCTCATCTCTTGGTGTGATATAGAGCTGGCACTATTGGTTCCTGCTAAACAGTACAAAATGGTATGCGCATTCCGCGTGAATCCGTTGTTTCTGCATTACAACCCTGGCGGTATATTGTACTACCCTATCTATAAGGGCAGGCCATTCATAGACAACAATCGTGTATGTTCCGCCTGCAGGGTCTGTGCTTACCTTGCGTCGAACACATCCAAAGTTCACAAGAAGGCTCTGAACAAGTATTTTGATTTCTGTTGTGATGTGCACGAAATACCCACGCCTAAGAATTCTCTTCTAAAGGAAGACAGTGATATCAATGGCGTTAGATCTGACGGCAAATTGGAGCGTGGAACTGAAAATACTGTTAAAAAAGATGACAAAGAGATGGCTGGAAGTGAGAACAAGGTTGTGAGTATGACACAGGAGCAAAATTATTCTAAGGAGTTGACCGAAGAGGTACCATTTGTCAACAAGATTGAGACACTCGATCTCAATCTGAAAAAGGTATTCTTCACTAATGAGGGATGTACCTGTTGTAAGTTATCGGAGGTTCCTCGCCAGCTCCGTGGTATTAATTACAGCTTTTGCCCATGCTGCCACGACTATCAGGTGTGTTGTGAGCACTCGTTACAAACATACTATTATGCTTCCGTATCTATGAAACTGGTATCTAGAACCCCAATAGACTTCAAGACGGAGCTATTGGCCCTTATGAGCTCTTCTTCAGGTACACGCAAACGTGACAATGAACATACCGATTCGCTTTGTGCGATAGTCACACGTGCGTATGAGCTGCACGAAGCAATAGGTTTGCTGAAGAACCATTTTGGATTATCGCCTGGTCACTTCGCCAGCATACCTTATATATATGTGTTTTTGGCGGTGATTTTGATAGGGTTTGTCTTTGACGGGAAAACACTGACGACATCATGTTTTCTCCTTGGTTTTCTCATCATGTATTTACGCACATCATCACTGAGACAATACCACCGCGATTGTGGTGATTCTATGGAGGCCACTAAGCGCATGACTTTCAGCGGTCAAGGGCTTGAGAAGACGATGCAACACATGGTGGAGGAGGATGAGGACTGCGATACAATATTGGAAACTAAACGTCGGTTCCAGCGCAACATGAAATGCATACCTCAGCACGAGTTTGTCGACGAGGTTAAGATCTATACGAAACTTTATACCTCGCTTCATCGCAGGGAGAATATTTCCATCAAGACACTGACACAGTGCCTTTCCAATAGTATACCACATAAATTGAGGATGCGAGCATTGGACGCTCTCGATGTATTAGATGAGTGTGTTTGGTATGTGAACGCCATGTTGGCAATAGTGCGTCGCTTCGGTATGTTTATTGCCGCATTCTTCTGCGGCATGGGACTGTTGAGTCTCCGCTACGCATTTTGGTTGAAATGCTGCATCAAGATGTTGCTCTTTGTCTTCATCTCATCTGCATTAATGGAGGGGCACCCTGTAGTGCGATGTAGCTTCGTGCAGATGGGATACTTATTGAAGTATCTAACAATGCGCATCTATCGCCGTGAGTGGTTTCTCAACGTTGACTCTTTTCCTTGAGATAACGCTCTACCATAATCATGTTCATCTGACTAGGGTTTGCATCATGTTCTAGAAGCGCTCTTTTTCGCTTATAGTGGTAGTACTCCAGGCAGAAGTATTGCTTGAGTATGTAGAGATATCCTACACCTAGCACGCAACACAGCCCTCTCTGAGATATCTTTGATCCATATATATAAGGTGACTCACCACTGAAAACAGTTGTCTTCCGAATTTCCGTAGCGCCATCGGCGCGTCGCTGTGTGTTGGCACTGCCTTGACTTCGGTCACGCAATATTGGGGCATTATTGCCGTGTAGTCCAGGAATCCGCCACCCATAATTGGGGTCTCAATTGCGGACTTCTATTTAGGCCCATGTAACGTGCCTTACTGTGAGATATGTCCCTTTTGCCTGGAGCGCGCAAGTTCGTGCCTACGGGCAACGAACCAGCTCACTACGCCCCTGGAGCAGGACGTGGGTAAGTTAATATGCCTTTGTTAATGCTTAACTGATCTCAGGGCAACGGCTTTCACGACCAGGGCTGACTTTGGTTACTCCTCAATATCAACGAATGAGTAAGTTCCCTTTATTTGTATGATCAAAGCAAGCAGTCCTTTTGGTAAGCCTCCACCGGGATATATCCCGGGTCGTGGAAGAGGTGCTACCAGTTTTGCTGGCGGTGTCTCACGTGACGATGTGAGCGATGCCGTTGACCTCTCTGTCGTCGGTGGTGAAGATACACTGAACTTAGAGAACGAGCAGCTTTTCAAAGATGCCGAATATGACGATGAAGATCGCGAAGCTGACCTCATATACGAGTTTATCGACAATCGGATGGACGAGCGTCGACGTTCGAGGCGTGAATCGCATATCAGGGCTGAAGTCACACGTCAGCGTGCAGAGAAGCCAACTATACACCAACAACTTGCGCCACTTAAACGTGAACTGGAATCTCTGACTATGGAAGACTGGGAGTCGATCCCTTCCATAGGAGACTATTCTTTAAAACGCAAACAACAGAACAAACGGGAGCCTCAGTACACGCCGGCACCAGACTCCTTGTTATATTCTGCCAGAGCTCACATGCAGAGCGAGAGTAGTATTGGCACCTCAACTCCACTCGGTTTTGCTACGCCTCTGGGCATCATGGGAGGCAGTATGACCCCTTCAGGTACACGTTCTGTGTCGGTAATACGTACTCCTGCTGGTGATGCGAGTTCTCTGAATGACTTAGGTGAAGCTAGAGGAGCCGTACTGTCGATCACTTTGGACAAAGTGATGGACAACATTAGTGGTCAAACTGTCGTTGATCCGAAAGGTTATCTGACAGATTTGAATGCCATGAATATTAAGAGTGACAGTGACATCGCCGACATCAAGAAAGCACGTACATTGTTGAAGTCAGTAATCGCAACAAACCCAAACCACGCTCCTGGGTGGATCGCTGCAGCTAGAGTTGAAGAATTGGCCGGTAAACTGTCTAGCGCCCGTGAAATTATTGCTCAAGCTTGTGAGAAATGTGGTGACCGAGAGGACGTTTGGCTGGAGGCCGCTCGTTTAGAGAAACCAGAGTATGCGAAGGCGGTACTTGCTAAAGCAGTACGTATGGTACCGCAATCTGTGAAGATCTGGGTTGAGGCTGCGAAAAGGGAGACCAATGTCAACGACAAGCGTCGCATTTTACGTAAGGCACTTGAATTTGTACCCAACTCTGTGCGTTTGTGGAAAGATGCGATATCATTGGAAGATGAGGAAAATGCTTATGTTATGCTTAAAAGAGCTGTTGAGTGTGTGCCTGATTCGGTTGACCTCTGGTTGGCGTTGGCAAGGCTCTGTCCCTACCAAGAGGCACAGAAGGTTCTGAACGAAGCGCGCAAGCAACTTCCTACAAACCCTGATATTTGGATAACCGCAGCCAAGCTTGAGGAGTCTAACTCCAACTTGCAAATGGTACGTTGTAGCCATAATGGAAAATATACTTTTTTAGGTTGAGAAGATTATTTCGCGTGGTCTTGAAAACCTTACAAAGAAGGGTGTGATTCACGTGCGTGAAAATTGGCTGAAACAAGCCGAACAGTGTGAGGCGAATTCTTTTGTGGCGACTGCTCAGGCCATCGTGAAGTGCACTATGACCATCGGTATCGATCCAAGCATGTTGAAGAATACATGGCTGGAGGATGGTGAGAGATTTGAAGAGAAGGGTTCTTATGCGTGTGCACGCGCAATTTATCGCAGTGCGCTTGACCATATGAAGACGAAGAAGTCGCTTTGGTTAGCTCTTGCTGAACTTGAGACTAAGCATGGAGCGCCGTCAGATGTAGACGAAGTTCTGGCACAGGCAACAAAGTATTGCCCCAATTCTGAAATACTTTGGCTTATGGCTGCTAAGCACAAATGGATGCAAGGAGATGTTGATGGTGCCCGTTCAATCCTTGCCGATGCCTACTCCAAGAACCAAGAGGCGGAGTCCATATCCCTTGCTGCAGTTAAGCTCGAACGGGAGCATGATGAATTTGACCGAGCTCGTGAATTACTGTGTCGTTCACGTGAAAAATGTGGTACCCGCAAGATATGGATGCAAAGTGTGCAGCTAGAGCGTCAACTAGGAAACTATAGAGCTGCTATTGCACTTTGTGACGAGGCGTTGAATATGCATCCCAACTTTGACAAGCTATGGATGATAGCAGGGCAAATGCGCTTAGAGTTACCTGAACCAGACGTAGGCGAGGCCATCCGTATTTTCCGGACAGGTACTGACCAGTGTCCTTGGAGTGTAGCACTATGGCTTTTGGCACTCGAGTCTCTAATGCGTGACAATGAACATGCCAAGGCACGTGCTTTGGTTGATGCTGCAAAGACCAAGATACGTTGTATCCTGGGACCTCGCCTGAAGCATTCCGAGAAGGTGGCCACGGTAAATACAAAGAAGCTGTCTCCTTCTGAGCTACTACGTATAGCGAAGGCTGCTACTGACTTTTCACCTGGAACGGCAACGTCACCCCAAGAAGATGAAGAGATAATAGAATCCCTGGCACAGATGATCCTGAAGAGTTGCGATTTACTGTGGTTACGTGCTGTTGAAATAGAGTTGGAATGTGGCAATGCTGGGAATGCGTATTTTATGATGTCCTCTGCGCTTCAGGAGTTCCCAGACTCCGGTAATTTATGGGCGCGTGCTGTATTTTTAGAGGAGCGTAACGCGCAGAATGCCAAGGCTGTTGATGCCTTGAACCAGTGTCCCACTTCCGCCTTGGTGGTAATGGCGGCGGCACGACTTTTCTGGCGTGACAATAAAGTGCTCAAGGCTCGTAAGTGGTTCCAGCGTGCGGTTGCTCTAGACGATAGCAATGGTGTGTTATGGGGGACCTTCCTCGCATTTGAGCTTGATGACGGCGACGAGGATGCCATAAAGGAGGTGGTGAACGGTTGTACCAAGGCTGAACCTACTTCTGGGTATGATTGGTGCCGGGTTGTGAAGCGTGTTGCTAATTGGCGTTTATCGTGGCCGCATAAATTATACCGATATGTCGAGGAGCATTTTGGCGATATCTTGTCGAAGGCGTTAGAGCGGTTATCACCGGATGTCACCGGTGTACTGGTACCAGGTTCACCGCATCCTGGGAAGGAAGCGTCTTAGATGCATGGCTCCCCGTTTTGTAAATTAATAGATTAACAAAATCACAACGATGCCCACCATGAGACACATATATATAGTGCTTTGACTGAGTGCTTTATCACACAGAATGAATGGGCATCATTTGTTTGATGCCAATGTTTTCAAACTAATTTCGTTATTGTTTTTTGTTTTTTTGTGTTGCACAATACGCGCAAACAGTGGTTAGTGGTCCATTTAGGATATTATTTAATCCGAATTTTATGTTCTACGTCGCCTCCGTGGCAAGGACTCGTTCACGCTTAGTCCCCTTTTCCCGTTCCTACGCGAGTCATCATCTTCACCACTAGTAGAGAGTTCGTCAGAGCTCTCACTTCCATTGCTGTCAGAAGTGGAAGTTGAACCATTTGCTTCTGTTTCTGGAGTTGAATAGGTCTCGTCAGATTCATCAGTTGAAGTTGTATCGTCCTCGGTAGTTGACGTAGTGCTTGAATCCGTGCTCAATGAGCTTTCTGAATAGCTGCTTGAAGATCCTTCATCAGATGACCCGATTCCGTGATGATTAGGTAGAATTCCATTTAACATTGGGGCTTGGTTTCGTTGTCCCCGTTGTCTGCTGCTTACATATGCGAAATTGTAGCTGATGTCATTTGAATAATTATCCTGTTCCTCGAGATTATTTCCATGTGTGACGCCCGTTGCCTTCTTTCCTTTAATTTGCTCCAAAGTGTGTTTTTGTGAACTTTTGTGTTTCTTCAAAGCATCGTTATCGAAGTCTGTGTCCGCCATTTTCTCAGAGCTTGTGATGGAGTCGGATGAGAGCGAAGATTCACTTTGAGGTGTCGTTAAAAATTCACGTTGTGCATTGCATTTTAGCTGTTTCGACTTTTTTGTTTTTTCGCTTTTCTTTTCATTAAAATTGTTCAGATTGTTGCTTTTCACCTTGACTGATTTCTTCGCCAATTGATTGTACATGTCGTCCCACCAGTTATGCCAAGGATCATCTTCCTTACTTCCGAGCTGAGTTTTATGTAGTCAATTAATACGAAACTTACCCCTTTACTCTGCTTGACGGCCTTCAGAGACACTGGGTCAACTATACCATCACCTTGCTTTCCTAGTCCATCACCCCTGTACAAGTTTAATTGCTACTAGAGTTACATTACTCTTTCCATCCATATTTCGCGAGTATAGCAGCTCCAAACTTCGATTTAACTTTCCCAGCGTTACCTATATTGTATTTAATTTGATGACCTTCTGTACATACCTGATCCGGCGCTCCGCACCTTTTCCCTGAACGCTTTTGACACTGACTTCATTTTAACAGCAGTTTGGTTGAAGATGGCAGAAGTTGTGTCGGTTCGTTTATTAGTAACAAAAGTAGCATAAAAAATGATAAAACAAATATCCTATATCTCTGTAACCTCGACGTATTTAAACTATGGGACCTAAAACCACCAAATAGCCTGATATAAATTAAAAATACGATATAGGATTTTCGTTTCAAAATATAATGTAGGCTTTGCGTATTGTTTTATCGCATATCCCACTTAATCGTCAACTGCGCAAGTACACATTGTTTTTGGAGAGGCGTTTTTATACGAATTCTCCTAGCAGATTGTTCACAGATTGCCTTTAAATATATATTGGCAATTTTCATTGAACTACATTGACCTATGAATGCGATTCGGCTGCCGGTATTCCGCGAGATTATTGTGCCTCGATAAAAAAGCTTATCCTTTCGACACTTAAGCATTAAACGGCTATTAGCGATTAGCTAAAATAATATGAACTACGTTTGTAGAGCTAAAGCTGCCAGTTGTGGGCTGAATAAGTTTTTAGACAATGGATTCTTACACATCAGACATGGGGTGATGGTATATCTCCTACAGCTACGTTACGCTGTTGAATACGAGATTTGGCATGGAATCTCGTCTGATATACGTAGTTTGTGATAATGTCTAACTAATTCAAATGGAATCTGGCCCCCTTAGACAGTATTGTTATACAGAAGATTATATATATTCCTAAGTAGATACATTTCAATGCAGCCATTTTTGATAGTCGAGCTTTTTATATGGCTCGCCTTGGCCCTTTTGGGTTATCCTGGAATGATGTTACGTCTTATAATGCGTTTCTACTGGTGGTTCAATGGGATAACTTTGGATACGACAAAAGGTCATCCAAATGTGATGAATATGTGAGTTGAATTTATGCCATAAGTATGTGTATCGTGATGATTTCTACACAGATTTTGTCAACATTGAGATTGCATGTTCAAAAATCTTCGGAATCCTTGAGTGTATCCTGCTGCGATGAATAAGCAGCTTTTGCTGTCCACTTATATGCGTTAACAAGTATACATTATATCCGATATTGTTGTGACGGTATCATTTGTGAATAATAATTATCTGTTCTATTGTTATGAATCCCTAAAATGCATTTTTTGGTAATAAAAAAGTACCATGGTAACAGGTTAAAGATGTCGTCTTTCTTTAGTATTGTGTCATGTTTATTTTAAAAAATAAACGTACTTTTGGTGAAAGTGCCGTAGCTTTGTGATATTTAATCTTTCATTAAATGATATTAACATTGTGCAGACTCCAGATCATATTCCTAACGGACATCGTCCAATCGATGTTGTTTCCAACTATGGTCAACATGTGTCAATTAGCTATCTTCAATGACCGTGTTTTCGTACGTTGATATTAGATAAGTTTACAAATGTTTTTCAGATAAGTTGGCTTACGGCAGTGCACCATTTAGGTGCCGCCGTTGGTGGTGTCCTGGCCTTGGGAGCAGCGTATTGGCGTCTAGATAGGCATTTTCACGTGGTTCCGAAGTATGCATCAGTTTTCCTAACTCTACACCTGATATACTTCATACGCGTGCTGCAAAAGAACAGCATGCTTCTTCACGTGATTTGGCACGGGATTTTCTACGTTATATATTCGTTCCAAGAGATTGCAGTACAAAATACTCTGGTAACGTCTGTAGATAAGAAAGAGATGAGTAGCTATGTTACACTTTCCTCGGCTGTAGCTAAATTGGGTAACATTGTCGGCCCTGCTACTCTCATAATGGTGTCTACGCTAGAGATCACAAGCTTCGCCCATTACAACGCCCCGTTCAGCTTGAGGAATGCTGAAATGGCCTATATGATTGTGGTAGCCCTTTTTGTAGTGCGTGTAGCGTACACGTTTGAGATACAAAATTCGTACGGCAGGCATATGAAAGGTCCACTTGAGGATTTGGTACCGCCAGTGACGACAACGAAGGAGGATCAAACGACCCTTGCTAGTCCTCTATCGGATGGTGAAAATGTAGATGGTTGTCTGGATATCGTAAACGAACGCTATCGTATATTACCTTACGTCATGCTGGGTACTAACGTAGTTTCTCTTATCGGTGCAGGGCTTTCTATAAGGTTCATGTTCCACTATATGGTTATTAGGTTCCAGATAGAATATCGTCTTGTCTGGCTTGCTAATATATGTATCCCTATCGCATCTTCTGGCATGTTATTTGGTGAGTTCATAGATGTTCGTTTGTCTAACATGTGCAGTTGTCGACAAGCAGGCCCGTCGCCATGGTCAGCTGATAATTATCTTTATTTGCAAGGCTGTAGCTTTAGCGTGAGTCTTTTTTGTTTATTTTGATAAAAATTATTCAGACTGCTTTATGCCTTTGTTAAATCGCGTAACCGAAAACTGATGTTGATATTTTATGTGCTTAGGGCCACATTCCAGAATACTCCACTCGCCCTGAAAACTGCCGTCATGCTGAAACATAGCAAAGACGGGACCAACGGTTACTGGATCGCGTCAGATCAGGTTTTACGTGTGATAATCTTCATTTCTACTATTTTGGGTGGTTACCTCTCCAACTACGCGGGTCTGGAATACTGTTTCCTAATTACGGGTAAGTGAGCACGATCTGTGTTAATAAAAGGATCAGGCTGCTTCTACGGTGTCGCTTTAATACTGCTACTGCCCTGCGTCGTACTTTTCCCCGGTGTCTAAGACGACTATCTATGTCCAAGCGACACACTGCCGGTATTATAGGGCGGCTGTGAAGCTGACTAAAATACACAGAGCGGTTTTAATATTTAGTTATGAGATCATCTGACATGTAATTACGAACCAATGGCCACTACACCTAATCCCGAGGTCGACTTCGGCCATCTAACTGCTGAGCAACGCTCTCGAGTTCTCGGGCACCTTAATGAGCTTCAATATCGTGACACATTGGAAACATATAATGGAATGGTAGATCGATGTTTCAACGAATGTGTGAATTCGTTCCGTAGCAAGGATCTGGACTCTCGAGAGGTCAAGTGCATAGAATCTTGCGTGAAGGTTTTCTTTGAATTTTCACAAAGGGTAGGGCAACGTTTTTCAGAGAAACAACAAAATAAGTCTTAAATCGCAAAGTTATATTTGAAGCGCTCAGCGAAGGAGCCAAGACCGTTGCCGGTGCCAATGGATTTAGCAACGCACGCTGGTATGTGCACGTAAGTCAAAGCCGATTCCCCGCAAGGAAACGAGACATCATTACTACCATGAGTGTTCTTGGAGAAGGGGACGTCTATCTCTAACGCTACTCCCTCAACACCACTGGTGACGTCATGATCAGTCTCGATAATCGCACGAACGACGTCCATAACGTCGTTACGATGCATCTCCATAAGCCTTTTTAGCTCCAATGTGGGATACTTATAAAGGCCAGCAGAAGCCGGGTCTATGCCGAATGCGACTATAGCATGGAATGCTGCACGGAGCTGGTCCTGCTCGAAAACGTAGTCAACTCGAGGATCCCGTACCTCGAGAATTAACAGTTCCAGTAACCCATCTAATCTATAGTTTAGTTTAGAATATGCATATAGAAGGTGAGAGACTACTAGTGGCGTTAGCTCGCGCTGTCGGCATACCACTTCGTTTGCCACACGCTGCAGTGCCCCTTTGACGTCTCCATCGTTCCATACGCTGTGCATAGCGAAGCTTTGTACAATCCATAACAGTGAATGCATCAACCCACGTTGTAGAAACTGTTTATTTCCGCGGCAGGTGCCGAAGGGATCTGCAGAGAACACTTCCAAGTGGTTGATGTGCATAATGTCTTCATCTTCACTGACCGGGGACGAATCGGTGTACTCATTCTCTTTGTTACTGTCGATTTGTTTGGTATTGTTTGTCGTTTTAGTAGTATTGTGCTGGTGGACTTCCGGGCATCCCATGGCAAAAGATATACGTGCCTCCGCAAGAGCATCATCTACACGTACAGGCACCATGTCGGGGTAGTTATCACATATGTAGCGTGCTACAGCCAGTAACATTGGTTCGTCGCGTACATTCAACAGATTGTGAGCACGTAACACCATAGCCACTTCGTTGCAACTATAGTGATCCAAGAACCTTTGTAGATGTTGTCCGGCAAAATACATCAAAGGGCCATATAGATGGCCAGCCCTAGCGTATGAGAAGCATAGTGACGCCACTGCACGGGGGTACAATCCAAGTGATATCCTGCCCACACGCTCAGCCATGCGATCGAATAATTCGCGTCGTGTAGCTGCACGACGGCTGAATGCCGCTGATAGCAAGCACAATGAGTGTACATCAAACTCTCGTAACTTATCGGGTACTTGTTTCCTTAAAAACTCCAATGCCTTATCCGATTCTTCACGCCTCGATATGGCATTCGCCACCAATGAGAACGCCTGAGGTGGTAAGTTCTTTGATTTACGATATACCTCCGTTTCTACGACCGAAAATAGATGAGGATGGCCACAAAAGTCTAATCTACCCAATGCGTTGGCTATTAAACCCAGTTCTGAGTAGGAACATAGTTCAACAGTTGTACAGAAATGGCATCCAAGCACCGTTTCCAACCGTCCCCATCTTACGTGTAGTTTTCCTAGAGCGCTTAATACATGACACAGTTCTCTAGGCCGAACATTGTGGATATTTCGCAATACGGCGGATTCCACACAAGATGTGAAGTGACGATTGTAATACCCCAAGTTCGAATATGAATAGAATACTGACGTCAAGTCACACAATGAGAATGTTTCCAGGCGCTTTGCAATCTCCGGTAACATCAATCGGAACATGAAATCGTCCCTATGTTCTAAAATTGAATAAGCTCTTAATATACGGGTTATTTCCGAGCTGCTGAGTTTGAAACATGACTGATATATACGTGTAGCAAGTGAGCGTAGTAGGTCTGTATGTCTATATCGCATATAGCTATATGCATCGAGTATCTTAACAACGTCTGCGATATCGAATGTATGAGCGGCATTAACAATGTCCTTGGAATAACTGCGCCAGAGAGTTACATCGGTTTCACCAAACCTTGCTGACTGCGCTATACGTATCGCCAGCTTTGAAGCATCGGATATTGCCGGTTTAAGTGCCTTAGTGACCGTTGACATTTCTGTTTTTTATCTCTAACCGTTGAGCATCCTTGCTTATAAACGACTTTTTAAAAATCCCTCTAAGTTACTTCCACTTATGTGCAATCGTTCACTTATTATTCCGTTTTTGACTCCGACATTGTTCCTATTATGTCCTCCACGGCTTCCAATTCCTCGCTGTATAGACACAATGATGCTGCTCCTTCCCAATTCAAATATATAGCAGATATTTTAGATTTGAAATTTTTATCGGTTTTGTGGAAATTTTTGATCATATCGATGGCATGCAATACATTCTCGACGATCTGTTCCACTGTCATTGATGCAATTGCGACCTTAACAGCGCTACAGTTACCAGTTGATACTCGATAGAAAGTTGAATTGATTGCCTCTTCTATGCGATTTTTCATACCCACGCGACCTAGGGTTAATGATATTGGCAATTTTTTCTTTTCCATAAATATTTTTCCCAGTAGAGAAGGTAGCGACGGAGCTACCGCTCTGTCGCTAAGAAATAGGTCGAAGCTATTGACGAGCAGTCTTCTATCTTTATATTCTTTGTATTTTTTCTTTAATTTTTCAACACTGATTACTTTCTGAATCTCGTGTATGTTGAGTTCGCGTATTACTTTTTTCCAGTGTTTCTGAGGGTCCTTAACGAACAGGCATACCTCCTTTCCTTTGTAAATTGGATTCTTCAATTTGATCTGTAGGGGTCTTACATGAGCTTCGGTAAACACCTTGTGTACGAACACTTGCAAGAATATATACGACCTTGAAGGATCATCCAGTAAATCAAGTGTCCGACTCTCGCGTTCGGCCTTAGCGCGAGCTTGCAATGCTGTCACTGCTTTCCTTACTGTGCCCTCGCTTACGGTGATATGTTCGTTATCTAGCGCGCTAGCACCGACCTTAGGTATCACCTTTACAGGTTTTGATGCTGGTTTTCCAGAGCTCTTGGCGATTTCTTTCTTGGTCTTTTTGTCCACTGACACCTCTTTCGCAGTGCGGTTAAGTCGGTACAACGATGGCTTTGCCATGGCATATTTAATATGAATTTATAAATATATGTGCCGTTCTATGGCAAATCATTCATCAATAGGTTGGCCTTTCTAATACATTGGGCGCCAGAGTAAGATTGAGCTTGAGGGTAGTCTGGTAATATAAAATACATTCTAGGTAAAACTAAATGTGCTACAAAAAGTCGATTGTATAAAAAGTTATGTGTACGCTATTATATTTAAAATTAGAGACACATCAACCCAGTATAAATACCTAGACCGATAACCCTTATTTCTGCTGAAAGTATCAATCATATATTAATTCATTGATATTCGATGCTGTAATCACCTTTGAAGTGATTCGATATTCTTTTTTAGGTTACGGTGATGTTGCCATGCGGCGGACAATGTTTCTTTCGTTATGATTTCAACCAGACACGTCAGCTGTGTATATATATTTATGAATACATGTATAATAAATGTCGTATACAGTGGTTGGATTTGTCTATATATGGTAACAGTGTCGATAAGTATGCCCGATGTCGTGATGGTGATGTCGTTTACACATGTCGGGGTGTAGTCTACACATTGGCTGCTGCAGTTGATGTGCACGACTAATCGCGCATAATGACAGCATTGACTGCTGTGTGTGCGATGTTTTGCGTCGTTAGAGTGGCACAGACACTCACGCTCGAAGAACGCAGCTCGCGCCAACACACATACGAACTTCAACTGAAAAAGACCGACACATCACGAGAAGATGATATGATACGATCATATATGAATGAGCAGAGCACAAGAAATGCGATACAACTGTTAGGAGTGGATGCCGTAACGTCCAGTACTATCGCACTAACGGCAGCTAGGGGTAATAGGTTATGGGCAACCTACTACGGTGAGATAATACTAGGTGAGTAAGGATATCGTCTATCATCCCGTTGAGCAATAACCGTATTATATCTCCTACTTAATGTCCTAATGTATGATAGAAGGGTATGGAGACCGATGATACATTCCGTATCATCTTAACCTTAACGGTACCCTCGACGGTCTCTGCTAAACGATGATAGATGAACGTGCAATGTCTCTGTTACTGTCATTATAGTCTTTGTTTATGATTACTTTTATCTAAAAATTTTTAAAATATATATTCTAATGCTTTGTGTAGGAAATGTTGAAGATGAAAGTGATACTTTTAAGGTTCTGTTCGACACAGGTTCATCGGAGCTGTGGGTCCCTGATGAACTCTGCCAATCTAGTGCATGTCTAAGTCGGAAAAGGTTTGCACGTGAAGGCCGCTGGACGGCAAAGTTCGACCAGCATGGAAACTATGTACCTATCCTCGTGAAATACCTGACGGGCGAGATGCGTGCTGTAGATGGTACCGCTGATGTTAATTTAATGAACGGGATAACTGTGAAGAATGCAAATGTTGGACTTGCAACTAACATCAATATACCAATATTAATGGAGTTACCTTGGGATGGTATCTTAGGGCTCGGTTTCGCTACAGACGATCAGCTTTCACGTGGATCTAGACCTCTGTTACAGTCTATACAAGATAACTCTCTGATGTATCCGCATTATAGAAACCAATTTGCCTACTATATCACCAAAACTGGTGGTAATGTGACCTTTGGAGGCTATAATAACGACTATAAACGTTCACCAGAAGATGAGTTTCAATGGGTCCCTGTTAGTGAGAAAGGCAGTTACTGGGCGGTGAATCTTCTCGAGGTGAGCGTGAAGGAGCCGGAGAATTATGTGACCCGTCGTCGAGCTCATACAAGTAAACTGAAAAATAACGTACTTGGAGGAGCGGTTGACTCGCCATTGGGTTCAAACAATCATACAGAGGGAGGGATTGAATCGGATATCGCAAATCGTGAGGGCAGTAGCAGTGTTACCAAAAGTGATGCATTCACGACATCGGAGAGAGCTGCATCAGTGCGAGAGTCGCATGATGAAGATACATATACGGTATATCGCAACAAGATCGACGATACTAAGGTCATCATCGATACAGGTATGCACGGCTTTTATCAATATTCACAATATCGCAGGCACTTACCTCATTTATGCACCACAGGTAGACAAAAGACAGTTGCATTACATTCGATATCAGACTATGCGAAACCTTATTGCAAGCCTCACAGTGGACAGGTGTGATGACATGCGCACGTTACCTACCCTGATCTTCACACTGCAGGGTAATAGCCGTGAAGGTGGGTTCCATACTACGTTCATACATGGCACCTAGGCACGGTTAAAGTCCAGCTGACACCAGACGACTATGTGTTGAAGTTCAACGACGACGACGGTCAGCAAATATGCACCTTAGGTATCACTGTTGATGACCAGCAGGAGGTGGGTTGACTTTTCAATGTCTAGTACATTTGTGTACAGGAATTACAACTGAATGCGTGGACATTCGGCGAGGTATGCGGTTCATATAGGTTGTAACATTCTTGCAGGTATTCCTAAGGGCATACTATACTGTATTCGATTATGACCAAAGACAGATCGGATTCACACCTAGTAGGCGGGACGCGCAGTAGTGCTGCATCCATATAATATGGGCAAATTTTAATAAATATGTACGATAAGCTTATATGTCATATTCTGGTATTCAATGCGTCATTGGCGCGTTAGCGATTTTAAATTCAATAGATATGCATCATATATAGCAAAAAGAGACGGATTCGGACGGTCATATTTTAATGGATTACAAAAAAATTACATTTTTTATAACCTAATGCGGTTATTACCGCATCACGATTGTACACTGAGGTAAAGTTGAATGCGTTCTTGTGGCATCACCTGAACACATGCGTATCAATCGATTCACACAATTAGAATCCACTTTAAATAATATAGCCATATATTTATATGAAAATAATATTTCTATATTTGTGTCGTTATGGTTTTTTGATGGATTATAGAGTCCAAAAACGCGACGTCTCTGGGGTACCGGCACTTGGATTCACAAGCTGACAGGTCCACCAGGATTGCCAACGAAGTTACAACGTTCCAAAACATATATCTACTACTCTGAGAACCAGTGGACCGCCGTTCCGCGTCAACGGGAAAACCAGACGCTGGAACCGGTAGGATCGGAAAACTGTATTCCACACATTGCAGAAGGTTAACCATCAACAAGTCAATATCGAAGCTCTAGATAGTGTGGTAGCGTTGCCATCAGACGAATGGCAAAAAAGGTCACCAATATCAACTTGGACGATCACAGGGGTGCCGAAGTGCGCAACATACATATTACATGTTATATATATAACGATGAAGATGAAGAACAACACGGCAATATCGAATGTGCGAAAGCAAAATGATTTCACTAAACTGTAGGTATACCCGGTTATCAATGGTGCATAATAATACAGGTTGCTGGCAGGTTATGACCTGGAGTTGGTTAATGGCAACATGCAAGAATTTAACGTAACCTTTCATGGTCCAATTGGAAGTGAGTAATGTATATATCATTGTAATTTTCATCAGCTATATATGAAGACGGAGTCTGGAAGGTTCATGTAACATTACCGGACGACTACCCTTTTGCCTCTCCTTCAATAGGATTTATGAACAAGATGTTACACCCAAACGTCGACGAATCTAGTGGATCTGTCTGCCTCGACGTTATAAATGAGACTTGGACACCTATATATAGTGAGTTTTACAAAGTGACAGTGTTAACGCCACACAGGCCTCGTGAACGTTTTCGATACCTTTCTCCCACAACTACTCACATATCCAAACCCAAGCGATCCTCTAAATAATGAGGCAGCTGCGTTGCTCATGCTTGACAAGACAACTTACGAAAAGAAAGTGAGAGGTAGGTATCTCCATCAAGTGAGTGCAAATGTGTTTTCTACTATATCCAGAGGATGCTTGAAATATCCATTGACCTATATGGGCAATGTCTAGATAATGTGGTCATACTATTGTATGTCATTTCGTGGTATTTTCTGCTATATCCTCTGGAATTACCCAAATGTGTCTCATAATATTTCAGAACATGTAAAAAAGCATGCCAGCAAAGAGGAGTGGGAAAAACGCCGCTCCAACGGAATTAACAATGAAGAAAGTGACAGCGCTCAAATAGCAGATCATGAAGCTATTTCAAGTGACATTGATGAAGAGGAATATGACAACTTTTGACGGCTCCAAGATATGTATTATAACCAACCAAGAGGACGTATCACGAAGATGTGAGAATATCAGCTAAGGAAGTAACGACATCGTATTGAAAAATAGAAACGAGTCGTAAAAATCTACTCGCAATAAAAGGCGCGAAAGGACGCAAACGCGAGAACAGGCGCAAGCGGATATAACGGAGGTCGAGAAAACGCGGCTCACCGCTGCACACTCATACTAACTAAAAGCCCATACCACTGAGTGGTATAGCTAGTGTCGATTTGTGGTTAACATTTTGAAATATACAGTAGTTAAATGCACACGCCGGTGTTGGCTAGCCATGCAACGCTCACCAACCGCATAACATAGACGTCGATCATGTGCCAGTAGCAAAGATGATGCGCTACCAGCCTGGAGATACACGTAGACATGGGTTAGTATTATTTTACATCTCCTCTATGGCAGATGATAGCACGAATCAACAGAGTCACATATATGTGTAGGTCGGAGATCTCAGAGCATTATGCGTTATCATCGGAAAGGTAATAGCGATATCTGTGGCCAACATATCACTCGCAGACACACGGGAACTCAGGTATGCCTGATCCGTGTACCCCTTTTGTCGCTACTCAGCGTAGATGCTGGTCCCGTTACCCTGTTCCAGCCGTTCAAGAGTCCTCTAGAGGGTCATTTACCAGGTGCGTTCAAGAGAATATATAACCGATAAACCTTTATTTACAGGTGTAAGTGCAGCATCGCAAAGGAAGACACTAGGATGTAAAATACGCAACCTTGGAAAACCGTTCACGCCATCAAATGTCGATTTTGGAACTCTTAGGAAATTGGCAGAATCCGATGACGGCCTGCCGCCACCAAATCCACTCATTTTATACACATCACCAGAAGATGCAGAATTTAAAGTCACCATAGAGGTCGATCCTCTACTCTCACGTTTCCTGAGAGACCACCAACGGCAGGGTGTACAATTCGTTTTCGATTGCCTCATGGGTCTTAAAGAGTTTAATGGTCAGGGATGTATCCTTGCGGATGATATGGGTAAGCCTATATTTTGAAAATAAAATGTTATCTCCAGGTCTCGGTAAAACCCTGCAGAGTATCACTGTGATGTGGACATTGCTAAAACAAGGTCTAAACGGGAAACCCGCAGCAAGAAAGTGTGCCATTGTGTGCCCAGCTAGTTTAGTTAACAATTGGGAAAGTGAAATCAAAAAGTGGCTCAAGGGAAAGTGCCCATGTACTGCCGTTGCAGATGGTGTTAAGGAGAAAGTGGTATCAAAGTTCACAGGGTTCAAGTATGATAGGCAATCTCATGTACTCATCGCATCATACGAAACATTTAGGATGCATGTGAAAAAACTAGAAGGGGTGCCTATTGACCTGGTAATATGTGATGAAGCACACAGACTCAAAAATGACAAAACTCTGACATCGGTCGCAATACAGGGTCTACCAGCGAAAATGAGACTTATGCTAAGTGGTACACCCATACAAAATGATCTCAATGAGTTCTACTCACTTGTTTCGCTATGCAACCCTAATGTACTGGGTGATATCGCTAATTTCAGAAAAAAATATGCAAACCCGATCATAGTAGGAAGGGAACCGGATGCTTCCCCTAAACAACAGGAAATAGCAGCGGAAAGGTTGGCGGAACTGTCATATATCACCAATCAGTTCGTATTGAGGCGTACCAATACCTTACTCAGCAAGGTTCTACCACCCAAAATTAACATGAACGTCTTCTGCAATCTCACTGAAAAACAAAAAATCATATACAAAGCATACACGAACTCGGCTACATGCAGGAGACTTATCAAAAGTGATGAACCACTAACTGCAAAGTCATTGGGAGCAATCATATCCCTGATGAAGGTCTGTAACCACCCATGTCTAGTCAAACAGACTGCCTCAATGAAGGCACCCGCGGCAGATGCAGTGCTCAAGGAAATGCATGAAAAGTATTCTTCATTGTCTAAAAACCGAACAGCTTACCCAGAAATGTCTGCTAAAACACTCGTGCTATTCAGACTACTTCATCACATCAGGAGTACCAGCGATGACAGAGTTGTCATTATCAGCAACTACACACAAACGTTGGACGTGTTCGAAAGGATGTGCAAGCAGTGTAACTATCCAAATGTAAGGCTGGATGGTACCCTGTCTATCAAAAAGAGGCACACCTTGGTCACCACGTTCAATGACCCAAACTCAAACAGTTTCGCTTTCTTACTTAGCTCCAAAGCAGGAGGGTGTGGAATCAATCTCATTGGTGCAAATAGACTGGTATTATTCGATCCCGATTGGAACCCTGCTAATGACAAACAGGCACTTGCTCGTGTTTGGCGTGATGGGCAACGCAAGACATGCTACATATATAGATTTTTCAGTACGGGTACAATAGAAGAGAAAATATATCAGGTAGGTTATGGTGTGCATACGTCATCATAATTTTTGCAGCGACAAATATGCAAAGACGGGCTCAGTGCTATGCTTGTAACAGACGGTGTTAACGAGATGAAGGATAGCCTCAGTGGAGAGTACCTGAAAAACCTTTTTGAGTTCAAAGATGGAACTATATCAGACACTCATGACTCTCTATCTTGTACACGCTGCAAAGATGCTAATGGCCACATCCCGCAGTCACCGGATTTCGTCGAGGACGACCTACTTACGTGGGCTCATCATACCGACCTGGAAACGGTTCCTGATCCATGTTTGAAAAGCGCTATATTTGAAAATCAACCACCCACTGAGGTACCTGATGGGTACAGACCTGTATCGTTTGTCATGAGCTGTTTGGTTGAATTTAAGGATGTCCAGCCTCCCGCTCAACAGGCAATGCAGGCGGAACCACCAAAAATGACAATTTCGCCTAAACGTGAGGTTACAGAAGTCATGCCAAAACTAAAGAAGGAAGCTAAGGCTGCAGTTAAACGCAAACCTGCGTCAAGTGACGAGGATTCAGATGTGGACGAAGGTGAAACCACTTTTTCAGATTCGATGCTTGACGAAGATGATGATGACGATGAAGAAGAGGAGGAGGATGATGACAAGGATGCGGGGGAAGAGACTGAATTAGAGGAATCGCTATTCTCCTCTGATGATTAGTAGAGATACCACCGCCTAAAAGCGCAGTGCGCATGAATAAATATAACAACGGAAGTAAATTATAATATTTTAACCTTTTATTAACATACATGCATACATATGCGTAACAATACGTTGCGATAAGAGTTATATTACGATAGTGAGTTTTGTGTCTAAGCGATGGCTCATCCCCGGCACCGTTAAAAAATATAGATAGACACGCCACCAGCTCACGATGGGCGTCCTCCGGGCACGATCATTGCGACATTGTTGCCGTTAACTAAGGCATCTTTGAGCTCGGTGGTTTGGATACCCGACGGCGTGAAAGTGTACTCTATGACCTCCTCCAGCACCTGAGCGGTAGGTAATAACTACTGTGCGGGACGCTTACCATGTTCATGTAGTCGTCGAAGCCGCGCAGGACTCCAGAAATCTCTTTCTCACCCTTCATGATTATCCATATCTTGGTGCCAAGGCACTTGTCGACCAGTGCAAGCGGCAAGTAGCACGCACTGCTCTCAATAGTCGCCATGTTTTACTTCCCTTTTTATCCGAAAATAGCCGGGTATAAGTGACAGTTAGCTGCAAGTCGTGCAACCCCCAGGGCAAGGGTATGGTACCACGCGTGTGGCATTGGGTGTTTGGAAACCCTGCACTGGTTGAATTTTTTGCAAATATATGACATTTTACCGAAAGGTACTTAGCATGATCATTAACAATGTGTATTGAGCTCTCCCAATAGTAGATAAGCCTTCAGTGGCTGATGGCTCGTGTCTATGTGTGTGTATGCTGAAGGGGTGGCGCTGGATCCCTCACCGGAATCACCCTGTAATAGGCATCCAGCGATGTTTTACAGTATCATCAATCGCTGCATATCATTTTCTTTCATCCAATAGTCGCCAGGTGACGATCGCCTGGACAGGCGCTATATCTCTATATTTGGTTTGTTGATACACACTCTCCTCAAAATGGCGGCAACAAGGAAAGATCGCGTATACGTCCTAAGCAACTTCTTTGTTATGGCATTCTTAGGATTTGCCACATTCATGAGCAGCAATTTTATCAGACTGCTTGTGGTTGAAACCATACAACAGGAGTCACACTGGATATTTGTTTACCAGATGATGTTATGGTCCGTAACGGTGGCAGCCATGTTTGTCAAGGTACCTGCAGCACCCAGCCTTAGGTACTGTCTTAGGTACAATGCATTCTTTCTAATTCTCGCGGCTATTATTTTTATCATGAAGTGGTTTGAGTCAATTTCCTTTCATCTTATTATCATATTCTGGGCCTACTGTGTAGGAACAGCGCTCGTAAACGCGGTAGTTTTCGCGTCATACCACACTTCAGGGGCTCGCGGATTGGCTGTAGGTGCCATGCTCTCATTCCTATCTACATATATAGTCCTTGAGATCGTGAAACATTTGATATGGAATAAGGAGGATACCGGTAGATATAGATATCTTATTTTTGCATATATATTATTTAGGGTAGTTGTTAATTTTGCGGCTATGTTCGTTCTAGCAGCGGGGGCCAAGGACCTCCACTTAGAGGACTATGATTCGGCATTCAAACAGCTGAAGACAGGTGTGATGATGGAATGGCTCAGTGGAACACTTCATGAACGGGATGTGCAAATTGCCCTTAGCGAAGTTGTACCAACATGCATTACCCCAATTGCTGGATTGAAGGAAATTTTTAAAAACGGCAGCCTCTCTCTCATTTGGCTTATGTTCATGACTCTCTCTTTCAGCTGCTCGATATTTACACCCTATGTAGGCGTTTCTAATTGGGATCTCTCCGTATTTAAAATTGGAGAAGTTGATCGTGCAGAGCACGTTGGTAACGTACTAGGCGCCGTAATAGCACTCGTGTGCAAGCAGTCATGGTGTAGCGTTACTTTAATGGGTGCTTTATATCTTGTACATATCATAATCTCCATATTCATGACTTGCTATGTTCACAGCTACAGGTTGAGCAAGAACATACCACTGGAACCCATGCTTGTAATCAACTGCATCAGCGCTGTGCTGGGTAGTTTCCTCACGATCGCCACTTTCACACAGTTCTTCGACAGGGCACTTGATGTATCATGTGAAAAGAAGGATCAGGCAGTGGAAACGTCTGAGTTATGCTGCCGTGATGACGAAAGTCCCCAATGTTTATGCACGGAACAATTCTGCGATGAAAGGTGTGGCAAAAAACCTTTGGAGCACACGAATTCATGCAAAAAGAATATTAAGGTATACATACCCCCAAATAATGAGGAAATGTATAAACTTTGGGATCTAGAGTATTGCCTGTTATGCTGGATCTACAGACATAATCCAGATGAAGTTTGCAATGCAGCCGAAGAGAAGGACAAGCAGTGTAAGGACCAGGACAGCCAAATTTCAGAGTGTTACATTCTCAGGAACTGCAAAGTCTCTTTATGTGCCTACTGTGATATGAATCTTCTATTAGAATGCATTAAGCTGAAGTGCAGCTGTACAGATGAATGTAAAATACCTTTGCCAAACGCAAACATGATCAAGGAGGATGATGAATATAAGAAAGAAAAGAAGAAAAGAGAAAAGAAGGAAGAAAATAAAGGAGAGAGTGGTAGCGCTGGCGAAGGGCAAGGAACCGAAGGTTGTCCAAATGATAAAGCAACAAGTGGCTCAGGAGCAACAAATGGCGCTCCACAACCACAGCAAAAAGAACAACAACCGAAAGCGGAAACTGATGGGAAATCCGAAGGTAAAAAGGATGAAAAGAAGGACGAAGATGAAAATACCGATGAAAAGCCTGTTAAGATCCCACTTCACGAAATGTGCCTTGAAGGCGAGAATATATCGATCGTCACAATGGCATCAACTGATTTTGTCATTCGCGATTCCACTTGCTGCACTTGCAGGCCGACCAACACTGAAACCGAGGACGACGGTGAATCCCGTGGGAGGGATTTCGATGTCGTCTCTGTCTGTTGTTACGCGTGTTGCCACTATGATTTGAAGGTCATGCTTAGGTGTAGAGAACCAAATTCCAAGGTGCACATGGTGAAGAATCCATATCCATACAAATTTAGTCCTCTAGGAGCAGTTATATTTAACGGGTGCTGCAAGGGTGATCCTGGCCATAACACGGTAGATTGTACCCAACCTAAGACTCCGTCGTCGATTTTGGATGCTAGAGAAGTGAACGATTCATTGAAGTATGCGTGTAAGCAGTCGAAACTGTTGTCGGTGACGAGGATGGCATGGGATGAAAAGGCATCTGCCGATAATGGTCTTGCTGCGTGTTGCAAGGTTGCCACAAGGTATTGTGGAGAGAAGGCAAAGAATCAAGCTAGCGATAGTACGTGTGTATCACCTTCTACTTCGGCAGAACCAAGCCCGGCTACGTCTGCAAAGGGTACTTGTAAACCGGAATGTTGTCATATGAAGGTGCAACCTACAGCTTTCCCATTCCATTTCAGAAAGAAGGAGCTAATTAGGAACAGTATTGTCAGTGCGTTTTTGTTCATCGTCTTTGCTTTTGCCTTTGCTAAACTTCTTATGGCAATGATCTTTTCGGTTCTGGAGTTGAAGCATGGTCTTGATTTATCGTCCAATTTTAATGTAATTGAACCCTTCTATTTGAAATCTGAGGACCCTTCCTTTTATGGATTGGGCGATAAAAAGACTAACTCGGAGCTAGAAGAAATTTTCAAGAAGGAGAGGGCGGATGCTACTGTTGTCAAACCAGCGGCTGTCCCACCAGAAACTGCAGCTGGAAAACCCAATGACACTGAACCAAGTAAGGGCGAAAAGCCGGTGGCAGAGAAAACTCCTTCACAGAGTGGTGACGGTGCCGCAAAAGGTGAAACAGATAATCGTGTCCAACAAGAGCCCGCTGCCCAGACCACTTCCACCGCACCTTCTGGTGGCCAGGCGGAAGTTGTTGTACTCTCGAGCAGTGTTCTTAACCTCATTGTAGACCCGCAAGCCCTTGCAGCACCCCAAGCAAAAATACAGACTGTTGGAACATCTAGTACAGGAGAAGCTAAACAACAGGAAAATGTAACCACTCAAACGCAGGATACCCCCGCTGCCGGCACAACAGAAGGAGAGCAAGGCATAATTGGCGCGGAAACTGAGCAGACTGAGAGAAAGGAGCAGCCAACTAATGAGGCGACGGCAGTTGAAGGTATCAAGGAAGTAGAACAGCCGACGGAGGCGGCATCAAGCAAGGAACAAGGGAAGGAAAAGGAAGGAGAGGACGAAAAGGAAAAGGTGGTTCGAGGTGATCAACCATCTATATCAACTAGGGAGCAGGATGGCGAAGAAGAGGTGGAACCAAAGAGGGGAGAGACTGAAATTCAAGAAAAGACACAAGACAGTGCGCCAACGGGGGAAGAAGAAGAAGACGACGATGAAGATGAGAAGGAGGTAGATGATAGCAAACTTACGTTACTTCAATATGAGAGGAAGCAAATGTATAAGGTGATGAAACAATACAAGCGAGTATTCAACGAGTTGGAATACGCATATGCGGACAACTGGGTACACGAAACCGTTAAGATTAGAGAAAAGGTGGAAGATGTTGAAAAGATTAAAAGAATTAGGCGTGTTAAGTGGTGTCTGGAGTCCGGGCTGAAGTCGTACGCTTACAGCAGTGCTAGGTCAATCGGTACCTACTTGCATGACGCGAATAGAAAATGGAAGGCAGAGTGGTATCACTACGAGTCGGCAGTCCGCAATAAACTGAAATTGATTGATGACGGCACGTCTTTATTAGAACCGGAGAACGCTGCGAATCTCGATAATCCTCAATGGAAAGTCGAGCTGGAGAACGCCAAAATCGAGATGTGGAATGAAGCCAAGAAGGATGCTAAAAAATTCACGGAAGACTCAACGAAACTCCAGGAGCTTAAGAAAGCTGTTAAAGTAGCGGAAGGTACTCAAGTGATTCAGAATATGATCGAATTGTGGGCCTATAGGGTTGAAGTCATCAACCGACTGACAGAGGAAGGTCTCATATTTTTAAGTTGGCATACGTTTTTGGCCAACTGGGAGAAGATTTTAAGTTGGAAAGAGATTTTCCTACCGCTGTATATCGAGGAATACAAGCTAGTCAACGATCCGTGGTCACTGATACTGGATCCGGATTTATGAGGAGACGAGCAAGATATTAGACACATATCACAAATGCGTGAAACTTTGTACCTTTAATGTTTTATATTTGTTAAGTTTTACCTTGATGCTGCGTAGATGGGAGAAGTTAAGCGGAATAGTTAAAACTACACTGCTAATCCTTGCACGGTGTTGTGCAACTATGTTCACCTCGGCTCTCACACACATCCCGCTAATCACCGAGCACATCCATATTATTTCACTTGCTGAATTATCGCCGAGATAATTTGCAAAATGGGATCGGCAGCTGTAGTCGACCACGTGGTAAAACATGTGTTAGGGGTAGCCTTGAAAAAATCGGAGCGAACGCCACCAAGTCAAAGGATAGCAGGAGTACATAATGAAAGGTTATATGTAGGACAGTTTTATACCCGTATTACAGGGGTAGCATCCACTGAAGATGTCACTATCAACATGGATGGGATCGATGATGTAGCAAGGTCGGCGGTATTCGCCTGCATATTGCATAATAGGAATCCGCTAACCTTGATGAGTGATGCTTTTACTAGGGGGACGCAAAGTGCGGCGCACATAGAAGCAGAGAGGAATCCCTTCGATATGCCCGAACTCACTCAAGGAGGCAAGTTGCAGAAGGACGCTCAGGTGTATCTCCGGCAGCTGATCGCAAACATCATTAAAATAATCGTTGCCAATTCAGCTTTGTTGATGGTGTGTCCGATGTTTTTTAATTTGGAGGATTTAGTGGCAAAAGAAGATTTGAAAAAAGAACCACTGGATGTGGCGGACGACAATGTGAGGAGTAACATGCTAACGGAGACATTGTTACCAATAAAAAATGCCAGTTACGTGCAACATCTGCTCACTGAGATGTGGAACAATGACGAAAAAGTCACTACCGATGAAATGTATCGTGTGTTTACACAAATCAAAAACAGTGTAATAAAGAGGCCTATCGGTGAAAAGCCCCTTGCAGAAATAGCAGCGCTCACAAATTTGGTTGGTATTAAGATAGGTGCAAGCCTTTTTGTGAGGTGGGTAAGGGAACACGAGACCATAAAGGTATCATGGAAGACTTCCGGTGTCCAGCGAGACGTCACCTCCCTAATGGGACGAATACTGTCCTCACCACCCCTGAACGAGGAGACGATAAACTCAGCAACAATGATGACAAGTGATTCCGCTATATACGAGAAAGCGCAGAATTTCAGGAAACTCCATTTCCACGGAAGAAAGGATGTAACTTCAATTCGCTCTTCACTTGCCAGCGTTAGACAAGAGCACGAAGCATATATAGAGCTAGTTGCCAACTTTTTAAAGACGATATTGAGAACAGATTTCAAAACACGAAAGGAATTGCTCGTTCTAGTAGGACAACTCGTAGGATTTAACTCCACGAAGCGAAATATATCAAGAATCACTCATGTCGATCAACCGCCCATCACACTCGATGATAACTTCAGTAGGAGGCAATTGCTCATGCCAGACTCGACTTTTGGAACATCTCTCAATATAATGTGGCTCATGTTAGTACTTGCAAGTGGGATCACTGAGAAGAAACTGGACAGCATAGACCCGAATTTTTGCCAAATTGGTTTCTACACCAAGCACAAGATACAAACTGCTAAGGAGAGGCTTTCGAAAGACGAGGAATTCATACTATATGACATGGCTGCGATGCGTACAGTGGTAGACGGTATGATCGGATTCATCTCTTCGGGCAATGCCGGCATGGGGGATGAAACTCAGCTCATTGAGGTGCTTGAGAAGCAAAACTTTGACGTAAAGGCGGCTTACAATGCGAAATTCATTACACAGATATTTTGGGGCACGCTTCATGCATTGGGGATGCTCTACTTGCCTAGCATCCAGGAGTTCCTAAAACTCATCATATTCACAGTGCAAGCTGCACAAGCGTCAGCCGACCCTCTTAACGACACCATATTTGATCTGTTATCTCATGTTTTCATATGGAGATGCGTGATGCAACACAAGAAGTTTCTAGAGGCGCTATGGCACTACATCAACATATCACTTCAATTCTTCCTAAGATGTGCCTTGTTGAGCAGAATGGAAACTATACAAGCTGTGGAAAGGACTAAACTAGAAGGAACCGCGCTTTGTGTTTACATGGTTAACCAGTTTGCCTCTGGCAAGTTACAAGGTTCCGACGAAATGACACCAGAGTTCACTGTACTTCCCGTGGAGTTCATTGATATCGTGTTGGATGTTATCAAACAGCTCTTCATTATGCACTACTATGTAGATCATATCAAGCCAGAAGATGTGGAAGTGTTTGAGTTTATGGACTTTGAACTCGTAATCGCAACGTGCATATTCATGATGAAGGCGCCGCAAATGACTATTAAAAACCTCACACTTAAGTGTGATACCGTCTCATCAATCGTCTTACACTTGTGCAAATCGGCTGAAATGGCAAGTTTTGCCACATCTCAAATCGCAAAACAGCATCTTGTGGACGCACTTACAAATGTGTTTATAGCATCACAGAGGGCAGACTACAATTCAAGGGTATCATGTAGGCTCAACGTAATACAGACTTTAACAAAGCTCTTCGAAATAGAGGTATACAAAAGAAGCTTTGTTACACATTCTCTTGCCAGCAAAGATGTATTTGTGCAGTTTATGCACCTACTACTCAATGACACGTCATTCATATTCGAGGAGGTGGTCACATTCCTATCGGAAATCAGGCGCCGAGAACTTGCTGGTATTACTGACGAGCAGCCGGAAAGAGAACGTCAGAACGACACAACATCCAGCAACAATAGGGCTGCTGGGCAAGAGCAAGGGGAATCTGAACGACAGGGGCAACGAGCTGATGACGAGCCTCTCGATCCATCACTTCAAGACGGGAATATTGACCCTAATCAACTCAAAAGTATGAATTTCGAAGAACTCAAAAGGCGTACACGCAGCCTTGTGGAATATGGTTCTGAAATTACAAATCTGCTTCACATTCTTTGTAGAGAGTTCCACAATGAAATCACCAATCTAGCAGTGTTATTGCCACAGATGGCATCGTGCCTTGGATGCTGTCTGGACAACCTGGCTGGCGAAAGTTGCACAAAACTCAAGGTAAAAAATATGATGGAATATGAGTTCAAACCCAAGGAATGGTTAACTAACATAGTTAACTGCTATCTTGCACTCTACGGCGGAGAGAACCCGCAAAATGCGGAGCCTTTCATGAAGGCACTAGTTTCAGAAGGTCGTTATTTCAAACCTATCAATTTCGAACGCGCATACAGGATCATCACCAGGGAAATGCTACTCACGTCTAAGGACCGGCGTGCTTTCTTCAACATGTCACAGAAGCTTTGTATGTACGCGAAAGCAAACAGCAATCTATATCAGAGTGCGCTTGAGGCTGAAATGCCAGAAGAGTTCCTGGATCCAATCATGAATGATATCATGGAGGACCCTGTGTTGCTACCAACTAGCGGAATAGTGATGGATCGCAAAAACATTGAACGCCACCTCATGTCAGAGGCAACGGACCCCTTCAGCCGGCAACCACTGATCAAAGCGGATTTGGTGCCACAGGAAGAACTCAAACGTAGAATTGATGAATTTATGGCATCGGTCTCTCATAAGGGAGGTGGTGCTGATGATTTCTATCAGTCTTAAGAAATTATGACATAAAAACACAAATATATGTATTTATACACAATAGTGCATCATTTTTTAAGCGATAGACAGTCACAGATCGGTATGAATTCGTGGTGGTATTCCTTTTGTCAAGCGGTCATGACACCGTGTTGGTAACATATTTTATATTCCACCTTACATGTCACATATATAAGTAGTTATCATCTCTAATGACTTCTTATATCCGTTTGTGATCAGTATGGGAAATATTTTTGTTTTTAGCTTCAAAAATTTTTATAAGGTGCCACGTAACGATGGTGCCAACACTTGTGTAAAATATTTCATTTCCCGCCCTTAGGGGATACGTTCAAATGTTATATGGCTTGCATAGAACTAGTATAACTGATTGACATGTGTCGAAGAGCGAAAACAGCTCTATGTTGTACACTTAAGGGGATGAATAGTTACACTAGAAAAATTCATGACCTGCCGTATTGCAAAAATTATTATTTAACGATATGAAAGCACACTATATAGGTTTTACTAACATTAAATCACTGTTGGGGTGTATATTTGGTGTTCAGATACTCTGTTATTTCGCCAAGGATGTAAAATTACTAGCCATCTAACACGAACGATTCCACACCCATACGACGTGATGCCGAGACTTGTTGATCATAGGCACTTGAAGGATAACGTGCAGAAGATTCATTTGATCCACGCAAATCGACCTGTGGCAAAACCTTGCAAAGACCTCCTCCCAGCATCACCGGGCGCCCAGCTATTATCGCTCCCGCCGGCGAACCTAAATTGTCGTAGCCACCACGCTCACAAGCATCCATCATAAACTTAGTTGTAGACTCAAACGACATCTGTAGCAGGGGAGAAGAGTGATGTGCCATGCCGTATCGGTTGAATGTCCTGATATCTCCCCTGTTGGTCATGAAGTCAGCGATTAACGACAGGTGTCTGTAGTCCACATTGATACCGTATACAGAAAAAACATTCTGTAGCTCAGAAACTATAGAAGCACGCGCTGCTTCCACACCGTAATATCGTAACACCGTAGCGATATCGTTTATACGGATGCGGTTGAGATCAACCAAACCTTCCTTAAGCAAAAACAACCGCTGCAAATTTGTCCCATCACAATATAGATTGTACACCTCTTCACCGTCATGAGAGGTACATACCACTCTTGCCTGTCTCACTCCAGGTGAGTTACGTAAAAGCTGGGCTGATGTCTCCTGACGCAAGAGTGGCAAGAAGTTCAGGTGGTAAGGGCACTTTTTAAAGGGCCAGCCAAACTTCAGCACCATACGTCCAGTTTCCGCACAGTATCTTAAAGACTTTGCAAAATGGAAAACCTTCGCATCCAGCGAGCTCATGGCCTGTTTTCCACGCTTTATGTCATTCTCGAAACTCATAGAAGCTTGATCCTTGCTTCGGGTTTCGCCGCCGGGAGTTTCCGGATTTGTAAGTTGTGCAGATTGCTTTTTCCTTGATACACTACTGGGATTATTGACTTTCACAGTGCCTACATCACGAGATGGTGTCGAAGTGCCTATGGCCGTCACATCACCCGAGTCAGATAGTGCGGAATCATATTTTTCCTCGTCGGAAGTATTGGAGGTTGCTTCCGCATCTGCACCATCAATATCTGAGTCATCCTGTGATTCAGGATCCGAATCCTCATGATCACTGTTCTTTTCTTGGTCAGGGTCGTCATCCACCGTGTCCGACGGTTCTGCAGTCTCGATTTCATCCGTTTCCACAGGTTCAGGCATTTCGTCATCGCTACCAGCGTCATCTTTATTGCTGGTAGATGACGCATTTTCCATACCTTCGCCTGTATATAGTGACATCTTAGCAGTGGAGGTGCCCAAAGCGGCATCCTTCGACCCTCCCGCGAGCAATGCCATCTTACGGATACGTGTAGCTAATTTCCCCCTCTTCCTAAGGGCTGTCATCAACACTAAACGCCTCCAACACTCTTGAAGGTAATCACTGTTCTCCGTAAGTTCGCATAGCACATTACTATCCATGGTAACGATCATAAGTCCAGTGGCCTTCCTCAAAAAACCGTTGAGAAGACAGTGTGCTGTAATTCTCAAAATGGTGAATAGATCTATGGAATCCACTGCACTCTGGAATGCTGCCAAATCCTCGAACTGGACACTAGCTTCATACTCGTAAAACTTCTCTCCGTTGGCGTCAACATAAATAGCATCCTCAACGGCCACCGAGTGTATCACGTCAGTGAGTGGCACTGTTCGCAGCGCATTTATTGCAACCTGCGCATTCTGTGCCATCTCCTCGTGTGAATTGCCCAAGAGCGGAGCAGAGAAGTATGGTGTTGAAGCGTTTCCCGTAGTCTGCAAAATTTCGACTAAACGTGGTATACCTAAAGTCACATTGGTAGCCCCGTGACCAGCCAAGTGGAATGTATTTAGGGTCATCTGAGTGGCAGGTTCACCAATCGACTGCGCAGCAACGCATCCAACAGCTTCTCCAGGATCGCATTTGGAACGTTTGTAATGTCGGTATAAAGTTTCCTGTACTTCGGGTGTTTTAAACGTTCCACCCAATAGCTTGGAGAAACCTGATTCAAACTTCAACGGGGTATCCCCTAGTCCACGACCGACCAGTGCAGCATTGTCGACAATATCTTTGGGGCGTTTCAAATAGGCGGACTTCTGTACGTCTATACCGTCCTCACCGTAGGCGAACTGGATGATCGTCCCATCACAACTGCGTACAGTTGAATCATAACAACATATGACATCCTCCATCGCTTTCAAAACGCAACGTTGTAAATAACCTGATTTCGCCGTTTTCACACATGTATCCACTAAACCTTCACGCCCAGACATGCAATGGAAAAAGTATTCCTGAGGTCTCAGACCAGTGAGAAAACGATCTGTAATGAATCCACCAGCACGTGAACCTAGGTCACCAAATGCGAACGATGGTAATGTACGAACTGAAGGCATGACCGGTACTCGACGCCCTTCAAGACTCTGCTGTGCAAGCAAACTGCAAATCATGCTAAAATTGACTTTGCTTCCCTTAGCACCTGTCAATACCATACCAGCAAACCCATTCTGTGGGAATTTCAATAGTGTCCTATCTACAACATTGCTAGCTTCACTAGAGGCGCCAGTAATGTTACCCTGGAAAAAACGGTCAAACATTTTGTAAAACACCTTTTCATTACCCTTGAAACGCTCATTTATCAAACTGTAGAGCGATGAACACGTTTCACTGGAGTCACCAAGCGTGTAGCACCGATCAGACGCGTTACGAGATGCTCTTACATCCATATCGTAGTTTTTTTGCCACGACGGATACTGTTTCATGACTAAATTTTCGTTGGCCAGGGGCTCCTCTTTATCTATTGCAGCAACACGTGGCATTTGTCCAAGCACGAACCCACGTAGCTCCGGTACTGCGCACAGGGCTTCAAGTGAGCTGGATACGATAGCAGCAAGTTTGCGTCTACTCTCGGGCACGATAGTGTTTTTATCCAGATATTTGGACACAATACCTAGAACGTTTCTCATGTCTGATAGCGATTCTATAGCCACGCCACGCAGCTCAGATTTCAGAGCTGGAAAATCCTTTAGTTGATCATACATTTTTTTGAAAATAGACAAAGAATCCGAACCAACTTCTTTGGAAGATCTATGAGTACCACTTTCAGTTTTTTCAACATCATTTTGCCCGTTTGAGAATGCTGAAATGAAGAGTTGCTGTAGGTGGATACCTCCATGCTTGATACGACGCAGGATACGGTTGCGATCACGTTCAGCGTCACAAGTCAATATGAAATCCATAGGACTACATGTAACTCCATGCATCTGCAGGAACGATGTGAATAGGTAGGAAAATGCGTTCAACAGACATCCTGATGCCCGTGGGCCTAGCAGCTCGTACACTAGATGGGTCAACCCATAAGGGGTCGAACCAAACTGCGACTTGTCCAATACACCTTGCAGCAGCTCTGAATTCCTGATTATTATGATGCCTTCCTCTTTGTTACCGTCCATGACTCCACCCCAGGCATCACCCGGAGTCTTTGATTTGGAAACAAGGTTGATACCCTTGTAGTTCCGTAAGAAGTTCACATCTGTACTGCGTAATCCCTGTGCGATACCATCAACTATAGTCTTTAATATTGTGGTTATCACCTGCTTTCCCGTCCATCTAAATTGTGGGAATATAATAGCCGGTTCTTCCAGGTGTATCTCCGTGTTGCGGTTGGCACATCGCCGCGCATAGGGGTCACTCAGTATCTTAAGACGCTTAGTCAACTGGTGTAACTGTATATCCAACTCCACGCCATCTTGCATCCTCACAATCCCAGTTTCCGGACGAATGTACATTGTACGGTCCCATCGGAAAAACTCTTGCAAAGCGACGTAGACCAGATTAAAGTATTGGTCGCGGGTTAGAAAGGTATCACGACATGTTAGATATGCACCTCCTATACAATGATCCTGTATAAGACCTCTTATCGGTTGGCCGTCTTTTGGCACCGTAAACTGGCAATCCGCATTGATGATAAGTCTCGCCTCGGACTGTGCTAATGGATCTTGTGGTAGGTGTAAGTTCATCTCATCACCGTCGAAATCTGCATTGTAAGTGTTACAGTTTACGTAGTTTAGCCTAAATATCTTCTGGTTTGTAAGGACCTTTACAAAATGTGCCATGATACCGGGCTTGTGCAGCGTCGGCTGCCGGTTCATCAGTACCACATCCCCGTCCAACACATGGCGGTATACTACACGCGGCAATTTTCCGTCTGAGCTGTCTGTCATGAGTAACTTTGCTTTAGCTTTACGTTCATTGAACGTCAGCGCTCCCAAGTTATACAATTTACCGTGTTCATCGCGGTAGAAGTTAGCTCCAGGGTACACCCTTGGTCCATTGACCAGTAGCCTCCTTAGCAAGTTTACATTGTAGGATGTGACGTTTTCCGGGATAGTAAGCTCGGTTGCAAACATGAGAGGGATACCCATCTGGTTCGTGTCCAGGAAACAATCTGGTGCAATAACCGTACGTGCTGCGTAATTGACACGCTTACCCAACATATTATGCCTTACGGCACCATCTTTTTTTTCAAGGGCTTGTTTTATACCTTGGTGTAGAATTGCTTTAGGGGAACCCGCAGTGAGGCTTTTTCTGCCGTCCGAATATACCGCAATTTTGTTTTGCAGGCTGTTTATGGCATTCAACACAGCAGTTTCAAAGTCCGGACCACATCTGACTATGTAATCACGGAATGCTTGCACTTGACGATCATCAATACTACCTAATAAGCTTTGGGCATAATCGGTGTCACGCAGACATCTGGCTAGATTGGCCGCATTTCCTATCTTCAAAAGCGCGCAGACGGTTTCCCTAGCCGAAAGTATACTCAACAACGCTGAGGAACGGGCATGCAGCGCAACGCGTCGGCCTGCAGTGGCTAATACTGGTCTGAAACGATTCGCAGGGACTCCCATGCAGAACATCATGAACATTTTCCATCCCATCCTACGTGACTGTGGAAATATATGACTAAGGACTAGTTTATTTTGTTTAAACAGCTCTTGTATATACGGTACCACATGAAATGCTTGCAAGTGAATCTGTCTCACAGAACGGCCAGTAACGCTTAAACGGTTGAGAACCGGGGGTACTAGACCCTGTATCACACCCGTAGCATCGCTCTGTAAATCGGTGATATCGTTACCTTCGGCATTCCATTGGTAGCTAGCAAGATAGTCTATGATGGGTGGTTCCTCGATATCATAAGGCCACGAAATTTCAATCGAGCTAAATTCGTTGGACGGTTTGATTAGGAACACATCTCTCTGTTTACAGTTATGGCACTGGATAGTATTACCTGCTTCCGTTAGGAAACGATTCCGTAACTCGTTCCAGAAGGCCATATCAAAATGTCGCGACCTACCACCTTTACCGGTGGTCGACGGTGGCACCATAGACTTTGCTTTTTTCGTAGGTAGACCGTCAAGATCGTTCCCCGCACTTTCGCCATCATTTGTTGTGTTGCAATCGATAGATGTTGTACGGTTGTTCGTTTCAGAAGGTATATGCCGTCTCTTGGAATCCAGCTTGCTCATAACCTCATGTAAATATTGCTCCTTGGATGTAATTGAACCCAAGCTTGTCAGTGATGTAACATCATCCAGATGTTTATCAGCTGCCGCTCTGGACGGCGTCTTTTGCGACTCCTCCAGTACAAGGTGTTTGGGGGTATCGGGACACCAGTCGTCGAATAGCAACATGTCCGATACCAGTCCAGCGTGCAGTAGATCAAACAGCTTTACATATTTGATCATTCTATGTTCTGGCAATTTTAGCCTACGACAATATAGGCACGTTCCTTTTATCAGTTTCGTCAGTCTCGGTAGCAACAGCGGATGGTATAATGGCAGTGGAAAGTTGATGTGTCCCATATGTCCGTCACACGTTGAAACCTCATTACATGTCGAACATATGTTGCACAGATCGCTTGGACCGAGTGCCGAGTCATGGATACAAGATCGCTCCGTAGATTCTTCGCCATTATGTCCTGTGTTAGATATTTCAGAAACAGACATCTTTCTGATAGTTTCCGCTGGTAGGAACTCGAATGAGAGTCCTGTAACCTCCGTAGAGACGATAGTTTCGTATTTCAACATCTTGTATTCCAAGTTGAACTTACATTATCTCTAGTCCTGGAAGATAATAGGACTTGAATAACCTCTTTTAGTGCCACCTAAAATAGCAGAGCACAAACATCGACCACAACGACCTCTCTATATTACTAGAATAACGTTTGTTTGCGCATAGATTCCTATTGTTTCACCCTTTAACGGGTGTAGCAGCGGAAGGAAACCTATCCAACGTGTCACTCACGCTCTAGCTGGAGACTGGTAATACGAGAATATCAAATAAAATCCGTGGGAAACATTGCTGATGATTCGTGTGTAAATAGTTAGGACGTATTGGAAGACCCATCGATGCCGTAGCCAACCCACGAGGATCCCCAAGCTGTCGCGGTGGTCTACAATTGCATGGAACAACTTATTAACTAGGTAAATTACGGTGAAAACGGCGTGAAAATGGCATTAGACCCCGTTTACAGTTAATGTGTGATAAAAAAAAATAAAAATTACGTTTGTACAATACGGTAAATGCAACGCAGGTCTAAGCTACCCTAATTAAAAATGGACCTTTATCCGTCATGACCCGGCCTTATGCCACCAATTTAGGCATATTACTATTTAATAATCGGCTAGATCGTACGTTATAGCACCTTTGGCTGCCTACACGCTATGAAATACTCATAGCCTCACTTCTGGTATTGCTCAATGATAGGCTTAACATCATCAGCTTCGGGATCCTTAGGCTCGCTGAACAAATTAGCGCCTCCTGGCACACCAATAGGTCCGGTTTGTGCAGATTTTGGAGCCTTGTTGGTGGTCGTAGATGCGCTACCTTCCTGTGATGAACGTGATTGGTCGTTTGATCCATTGATTTCCGCAACCTTCTTTTGTATCCAATTTTGTGCAGAGCTGGCGACCTGGGAATCCTTGATTTTTTCGTATAGTGCTAAACTCACAGATGTAATTTGGTGCGCGACCTTGGAAGCCTCATGTTTAGCTTTGTTTTGGCTGTTCTCCCACCACTCAGGGTCTTGTACATTACTGGCGATGCGTTTTCCTTGTGTTTCCAACCATGATTTTGTGATTTCGAATGCCCCTTTAGCCTGATCAATTACACCGTTATTTTTCAGGTCATTAACTGCGGTTTCTGCAGTTGTCATTGCGTTGTCCATGAATGATCCGATGGCACTGCTAAGTGAGCCTAGGAAATCAGTTTTCTGATGTCTTGGGTCAGCTGCGCCAGCTGAAGCGGAGCGTTGAATTTTGGGTTCTGGTGTCGATTGTACATTAGCCCTTTCACCAGATGATGATGATGGCTGCTGGTTTTGTTGCGGTGGTCTGATATCGACTTCTGTAAATTCAACAGATGATTTGCTTGTTTTCAATCCAGTGGTATTTGTCGGAATCGCATTGTTTGGGGTAGTAACTGATCCAGCCGGTTGTTCTTCAGGTCTGCGTGCAACTTCAGGGTCGATTGCTGGTGGTAACTGCATCCCATCTACTAAGGCGCGCAACCTTTTGCGGTAATAAGCAGCTCCTTCGGTGTTGTAGCGTTGTGACATTGGCATATCAGATATATTCATTTCATCGAAGAAGTTGCGTAGATTTTCATTACCTCCATATTTCATGTATAGCAACTGACGTGTGGACCAAGTGTCCATGTTGATGCTTTTGACGAAGCTTACATGCAATCCGAATCCCCTGAACAAAAAATGTACTGTTTGAGGTCGTAGGTGCCATACCTGTGGACGCCAGAGCAGCTTAAGCATATGAAGCTTCCATGGGACAAGGAGGCCCATGAAGGGCCGGGTGCTCCGCAATCAAAACATTGGCTATTAGCTTTTTGTGCCAGAAGTTCTTGAAGTTGGTTGATACTGTATTGGTCGTCCATTGCGTAATATTAAGATCCAAAACACGCGTCAACACACAACCAGAGAGTATGGATGGTTATTGATATGCAAAGCACAAAAGTTGGAACTTATTTAGCTACGAATGCTGTTGCAAAAAATGCGAGCGCAATAGACCATATGTGAGTAATGGTGGTTTAGTCGCGCAACACATGTGGGCAACGGATGCACCTGGATTAGCGCTTAAAATATTGCACTTTTGCTGACATATGCAGCTATAAAATAGCTAATAAAGTGTCAGCTTGTTCCAGGAAATCCTCAAGAGCGGCACCGTTGTCCAGTACTATATCCCCCCAGCCACGTAGAATAGAGTCTGGCACTTGTGCCGCGATGATGTTCTGCAACGTCGATTTCGGTATCGATCTATCACGTTCTAGTAGGCGTTCAAGTCTTGTTTCTTCTGGTGACGTGACCACAATTGTAGGACTGGTGATCATCACTAGTGGTGTGTTGTAGAGCAGAGGCACATCCAACACTGTACAACGTCATGGCAATGGAGATATACACTCACCGACTCTCCGTCTCCACTGTAGCACGCGGTATTTAAAAATATTCCAAACCACGCGCAATCCGATATACTTGTGTAGGCATTTATTAAGTTCCAATCGGCGTGCTTCGTTGTTGAAAACTATTTCACGCAGCTGCCTCCTATCAATTTCGCCGTTATCTAATACTATTCCAGCCCCGAATTTGCGAATTATGCTAGCATATGCTGGTGACCCTGGTAGCAGCAACTGCGAGATATCTACAACCTATATATTCAACACACACCTCTCTATTTATCGCATCACAATCTATTACAGTGTACCCGTTCTCTGCTAGTGTCCTGGCTGTATAGATATATGTATATAATTGAAATCGGCAACGTACCCAGCGTGCTCTTACCGCTTCCGATCCCACCTGTAATGCCTGGCACACAGATACGTCTAAGGCAGACAATAATGGGTAAACTCCAAAAAATTGCTGTATAACGTTTGTTGAAATAGAGAAAAGCCTGTTTGTTTTTGTATAAGAAAAGAGTCAACACACCTCCAACACGACAATCGCCAAAAGAGCCACTGCGTTATACAGTGACGCTCCTCTCCGATGCTGATACTTGATCTGCAAAAGAGCCAGGGGACCGAATAGCAGTAGACACAGCACGTCACAAGGGTGGCTGGTGATTAGCGATAAAAGCGTCACATTAGCCACCATTGACGCAAGTCGCTAACCAATTATAGTACATTGGTTGCGATATATCGCAGCGGCAATTTAGCCGAAAATTGACAGGTGTACACGGATATTGTATAGGGATCATCAGGCAGGCGACGCACGACACACATATGCAAGACAAAAAATTACACACTCAATCTGTTTGTTCATCCAATGATGCTAATAGTTTCAACACAGATTGTGCTGGATTCAGTATCCCATCTTGTGCTACACCGCATTTTGCACATTTCATGTTTCGGGAGTACGCTCGAATAGCGCACGACTCGCAGAAGTAGTGACCGCAAGTGGTCACTATAGGGTTCATTGATTCACGCCAAGCTTTACGGCATGCCAAACAGGCAAATGGTATATCAAGCTTGCGTGCGCATGCTTTAAGTTTCCGTGCATAATGGGACCGTTCGGCAGTGCCAGATTCTGAATCGGAGTCATCCGACGAGCTGTCTGACCCGCAGCTGGAATCGGAACCTTCGCCACACGAAGCATCACCTCCTGATCCCGAGGATGCCGCTTCAGGGTCTGCAAGGTTCTTCTCTACTTTGCGCTGCCAACGATCTAATTTTGCCTGTAATTTTTGTCGTTTTGCAGATTGTTCCTGTTCCCACTCGTTCTCCAATTGCCAGCCAGATTTATAGTCGCTACGGTCATGTAGGAATTTGCACGAGTCTCCAAATCCACAGTACCCCGTTTCTTTGTAGTCCTTACAAACGTCAGGTTGATAATCTATGCGCAGTGTAGTGCGCACATTTGTCATAGAACCACGTACAGGGCCGTATAACCCGGTGTACTTAGCTGCAGAAATACTACCTTCACGTATGTTCATAACAGGACGATATGCTCCACGGCCACGGTATACTCCCTCTTCAAGCTCATTGTTCAATAGCTGACGTCCGATCTCGGCATTGCGTTCCAAGATGCTACGATGGTCCTTAGTTGTCTCGGTATCAATTTCGTATGTTGATGTAGCCCTCTGGTCATCCTTTGGCTCCTGCAAGGTACGTTAGTAACAAGGTATATTCTAGTTGAGACGGAAGATTTGTTGCCAACGATGTGCCACTGATACTAACCTCTGAGCGGTCCAAAATACCAACGTCGCCACTGATGTCTGACTTTGGCCGTGTATCACGTGTACTCTGCAACCGGTAAGTAATATAAAAATGCAAACTAACTCCAGCGCAAAGTTTCCGGTTAGGACGACGGTCAGATAACTTTACGGTAGTAGAAGCAGCTGCATCACATAGACATATTACCCTGGAACACATACCGGTCTTATCCTGTGATGGATTTGATATACTCTCAGGTTGCTCTAGTGGTGTGCGATTCTTCAGCGCAGATAGATTTCGCTTTTGGAACATTGTGCAAACACAACAACATTAGCCGCTGTAAATGTCGGGAAATGGGTGAAATAATGTGTAAAGTCGGCAAATGATTCCACCGAAATATGGTATTATGGCGGGCGTTATAAGGTGTGGATTCCAATGCTAATAGTTAAAATTTTTTATAAAAAATAAAGTATAAATATATAATGATATGATTGTTGCAAAAAAAAGCACAGGGCTCCGGCCAGCCGGATAAAGTTGTTTACTGGCTTTGGAAAATACGCCAAACTAACGGTTATATTCCCATAACGAGAATTTCGTTTCATAATTTGGCAAATATTATCAGGTATGCGGCTATAGCCCACCAATTATACATTTTAGGGCAAACATGGTGGTGCCGCATACGCGCAAAAACTCACTGCAAAACCAAACCTTATTACTGGGCATCTGCTGAACAAGACACAGAATCTTCGGCACCGATGGTATCTATGGTAGTTGTTTTTGCATTTTCTGACTCGTAGGCATCTACCAAATCAGATAAAAAGCTACTCATGTCGGTCCATCTTCTTGCCGCTGTGTCTACATGTCCTTTTTGACACTTGTTGGCTACATCTTCAGGCTTGCCGGATTCACTTTCATACAGAAGTGTTTGTATGCTCACCAAAAGTTGCCATAGATTGTGTGCGTCGTTGCAGATAGAACTTAAGTTAGAACGATCATTGGATGTTGCTACGCACTTCCCGGCGATCAATTCACACTGCTGAGCAACAGTCCTATAAACATGCCCTAATAGCCCTTTGTTGATGTCTTTAAGGGTAACTTCTTCGTTAATCACACCATCCTCGCTGGCACACTGTAGTGACAATGGGACTGTGGAACTGCCCTTCCATCCAGAGATATTGCGAACAACATTCGGACCGCCAAAGTAGTTAATTAACTGAGAAGTAGAGTGATTCTGGTTACCACTTTCCGCATCTGCATCATTCTTGGCATCGGACTCTTCCATAGATGCCTGAATGATGGTATCCAGGTTAGAAATCGTGTAAGTAGGTGTAGGAGCACCTGCTGAAGTACTGGCGGCATTGTTCACACGGTCGAACCATGGGGTGGAGCCATCGGCTAAGCGCTCTACAGAATCATCCACACGGCTAGTCAATCTCAACGAACTTGAATATTCAGCTATCTTAGACAGATCATCAGGTTCACGTTTCATCGTGGCGGACTTCTCGCTAGATGACTCGTCAGAGAATAGCAAAGGGAATCTTGATGAGCTATCCATCTTACTACTGCCGGAGTAGCTACTTGTCTCAACCATGTCATCAGTCCAGCGAATGGTGTTCAACTTCTCGACACCCTCGGATTTACCGGGATCGGAAGACAGAGCATCGAGAAGTGCTTCCTTACTAGACATACGGTTTACAGCTTGATTTCCAGGCTGAGTAGCATTTGGTTGAAATGTGCACCCCGAATAATACTGGGTTTGGTTGTTGGTAACACATGAGGCCACTCCATTGGCAATAGACACTGCTTTTCCTTGGTCGGTACTATGTACTTGGAATTTGCATTGCATTTGTCCAGTGGGCAAATTGAGCAGTTGTGGAGATGGTTGGCTTGTATGTAAGAAACTTAGGGGCATGACTGATATTCTTGGATCAGTGTCACTTTTGCCAGACAACCTTTCCCTAATCAGAGCATAAGTGGAAGACTGTGAATGAAAGTTGCGGATGTTATCTATTATTGTCACATGCTCGAATGCAGGAATGTTTAATCCCCGTTTACGCGGCAAGACGAACTGGCGTGGCACACGGTACTCGGCTAGACCGTGTACCATGTGGCAGTAGTAAGTCCGGCAATTGCCATCGCGGTATTGCGAACACACTTGCGTTTTATACACTAGAGGATGGTAATGCATCTCTTCCAGCGAATGAGCAAACGCACAGTTGTTACCACGAGGGCAAGTGTTCTTTAGAATGGCGCTACCTGGTCCCAACTCTACGTCAGGGCAGCATGCGGGTATGTAACGCAGAATTGACGAGTCTCGAAGATAAAAAGGACATCTTCGCGCCCAGTACAGATTATGCGAATAGTTACATCTCTCCACTCCAAAGTCACAACGCATAGACGAAGCCAGGGTGCAAACCTTAGTGCGGAAACGTTCGAGATCCTCTTCGCTGAGTATCGGCATCTTGTTATACTAATAGCGCATACAAATCCAGGCAATATTTCGAGGTGAAAATTAGAGCGTAACCTTAACGATCCCGTGTTACGCCGTTAAAGATAAAAGGACAAAAAAATACAAACAAAATATTACGCTTCGGGGGTTACTAAAACAAATTTTCACTACCAATACAGCTGAAAATGGCTGATATACTTTTCACAAAACCCAAAGCAAAACGAAGACGGTATTGGACTGCAATACTTATATTAGAGCGGCAAAAATTGCCGGTTGCTCCAAAGATAGAGGCAACAAAAATTTACACGCAGCGTTTATAAATATGTAATTTCGCAAAAAGAGCTCAAAAAGAGATTCAACACCTACGACTTTATGCAAATTTTTTACAAAAACAATGAACGCGGAATCGATGCTCACACAACGACCAGGGTACCAGCAATTGAAATCGATTCGATAAACAAAAAAACAAAATCACTGCAACAGAAATCTTCTCGTTAAACGCGTACACAATATGCTACGCAACTGGAAAAGTCACAGCAACTGGACGCGAAGCATGAACTGCAGCAGCGAATTTTTTCTTGCTGCTCCGGACATAGGGGTGCTCTATTTCTCGAAATAATCCTCAAATACCGCTCAAAATATTGGTATACAACATGTAGATTGGCTGTCTACATGTTATTTTTCGATATAGAGGCACATATATAAAAATTGCGCTCAGAGCCGGTGAGGCCGTAGACAAGGTGGAAAAGAAAATAAAGGCAGCGCTGTACTCGCTGAAATTGCCAATTCTCACCGTGCACAATGACTATGAAAGTTTCATTCAGTCAAGTAAGTTTCTAAATACGATACAATCAAAACACCGTTTTTACATTGATGATTTTGACATCAGTTAATGGTTTATCATCGCTGTTGGTTGGCACCTGCAAAGCGTCAAATGAGTCGTGCAGACACTTACCCGTTCAATTGCCTGCACGATGTCTGTCCCTCCTATAACTCGCCCGAACACTGTGTGTTTACCGTCAAGCCACGGGCATAGTACGGTCGTTATAAAAAATTGTGACCCGTTAGTATTGGGTCCAGCGTTAGCCATAGAGAGTGTAAATGGTCGGTCGTGTTTCAAATGCGGTACAATCTCGTCTTCAAATTCACTGCCCCAAATCGACTCGCCTCCAGTCCCGTCGCCACTTGGGTCTCCGCCCTGTATCATGAAGTTCGGTATCACTCGGTGGAATATGCAGCCATTATAGTATCCGTTCAAGGCGTGTACCGTAAAGTTTTCTACGGTACGTTTGCAATCCTTGTAAAATAGTCGCACGTGTATGTCACCCATGCTAGTGTGGATGACCGCCTCACGTGCCAATCGTTCGCCTGGTGTTGTAGAAATGGCGCCCTGTAATGAACCAGACATATTTTTCGGTTCCGAAGTACTTCCGACATCTCGGCTCTCGAGATCCTCATCTGTTGGTTCGCGGGTGCTGAATAGGAACATACGGCATTTTTGGAACCCAGTAGCTAACGCCAGTGGTTCCATAGCATCACCATGCGATGAGGAAGCTGTACTGTGGTGCCTCTTTTTTGAAGCATGTTGCAGAAGTACAACTTTCAAAAAACGTACCGACAATTCCGAACCACCAATGACACGCACTAGCGTATTAGTTATGATGTTCACCACCTTGATACCTAGCATACATGGGTATATTAGGTAATTTGACGACGAATCAAAGCACATCCCGCTGTACTCTCCCTGGTCAACTCCTACCTTGAATATTTCAAGTTCCTGGGCTCTACGCTTAACAAAGTCGAGCGGGTCGAGGTGGAGTGTCTCTGCATTGGGATCGCTCTGAGCAGCGGAGTACATCATTAAGCTTTCGTCGTAAACTCTGAACAGCCGTAGTGTACGGAAGCGGTACAACCGTATCATCCCATCATGACAGTGCATTGCCGCAAACTCACCACTGGGTGATATGGCAATTGAGACCGCATGGGTGTTAAGCTTACGTAGCTCGTAAAGATCAGTATCCCCTTTCATTTGGAATGATAGTTGTGAGTGTCGTGAAGGGAATTTGAATGTGTTTGCATCGAATATGTCAACATCTCCCAGCCGGTTGGCAGCTAGGCACACATCGAAACGAGCGTTGTAGACTAGAGTGTGTACGTCGCTTGTGCTGATGTTAATAGAGTTCAATGGGGCCGAACTGATGGTGGGTTTGTATATGTAGACACGGCTATCTCCTGCTGATGCTCTGAGTTTGTGTGAAATGTCGTCGTTGTCTGAAACTTACATTGCAACAATCGTGTGCGGTGACGTATGATTTGTGATAAACTCGAAGCATAGCGGTACAAATTCCAAATTAAGCCTGGTAACTACGTCAAAAGAGGGAAAGTCGATATGATTGTACTTCCGGTCCAACGAAATGCTTCCTAGCACGAGTCCATCGCGTGTACCACGCATCTGAGTGATACGAGCTCCATGTGCTTCAAACCGCTTCACAAACTGGACCCCGTCAGTGTCGTAGTACCAGAAACTGATGTAACCGTCATCGCTGCCAGTAGCAATGTAACGCGTAGGTGCGCTACAGACAACTGAGTCATATGGAGCGACGATAAAGGTCGACTTACTATGGCGAACAATAGCCTTGTGGGCAAAGCTTCGCTCGTAACGCGATGCATCTGGCAAATTTGGAAGATATAGTGAATCATTGAAATCAACTGCGCGGCGTTATATTTAACATGGCCAAACGTACTCTTGCGTTTCCGGGGCGACGATGCGGGTCCATCCGGAGGGAGAGGACCTGAAATAAAGTAACCAAGTGATATATAAGATGTAAACAACGTCAAGGCAACGATATGTAATGGTATTAGACACCGACATGGAATCTTTTGCAAAACCCGGCAAACAGTAACAACACAGGGTTATGGGACTTACCAAACTCCTCATCACCACTGTTTATCTCAGTAACTCGTCGTTCGGCCATCTTGACGCTTAGTATGACCAGTTTACGTAATGCCCGCAACTAAACGCGACGCGCAGTGTAAAACAGCAACGGTATCCGCATTGGAGCCGCTTACATAGTCAACAATGATGATTGCTATGTTAGTATTTACACCTGTAAGCTCATAAAAATCTGTCAGTTTGAAAATGTGAATAACCGATGAGGAGGGTGTATGTGTGACCCACGTATCACAAATAGTCGTTGCGCAATGGGTTTATAGTTACTTAGACACGCATTTCACTCCATTATTACAGTTTGTTACCTTATTTATCATGTGATAGTTTGTTTTACTGGCAAAAAGTATTAAGATTCATAGCATAATAGGTACAAAGAATCCAGGCTAATGGCAGTATAGAATGAGTAGAGCTAAGTGAGCGGTATGATTGCACTAATACTAGTCTTCCATATTTATATTTGTGTATACCATGGATCTGCGTTATATTAGTGGTGTATACTCCGCCAAGATGGCACTTTGGTTGCCGCCTTTGTGGCACAAACTGAAACCACACCTTGAGCAATTCAGGGATGCGAAGAATTTACAATTAGAGATCTATACGGAAAACCAACATGAGATCCTTGATGATGAGGTGTATAACTTAATGTTCAAAGAGGGAAATATATGCACTTTATGTACAAATTTCACATATCGCACGCACCTGGATAGGGCCCTGAAGTCTGCTGCTGAAGGCAAGTCATGTATTACAAACTGTGCTGATTAAGGCATCAAACGTTGATTCATATGTTCTAGGTGTTCAGTGACTATTATTGACTTTCACCAAAATATACTGTTACAGAGGCTATGCTCTATGGTGACGACTCGCCAAATAACCGGTCTCCGGGCGAAAGCACCGGATCCCGTGTATCCGATTACTATGCATTGGAATCGTCAGATGATGAGACTGAATTTCATAAATATCCCAACAAACCGGCCACGCTCTTCATCATATTCACCAAGGATGACATAATGAACTCATCTGCTGAAATACTGAAGCAACGGATCGTTACAACTATTGAGGTCCTACGTATGATCCATAGCAACGTGAAATTGCTAGTGATAATGCATTCCATTCGTATTTATGCACTTCACGGTCAAACTACAACGTCAGATTCGCAAGAATCGCTGCAAGAGGCACGGGCACCGCATATACATAGCGTTGCTCTCGATGACATCATATGCTCACTGATGATCGAGCATCGAGTGGATACAATTGAGGCAGAAGATGATGTTGATCTGGTGTGTGAATTATATACTTTTTGTAAAATGTGAAGGCCAAGTTTATGATTCTCGCAAGTTCCTCCGTCGAACTATGCTCAACGAACAAGATTGCGATGGCGTACAGAACAAAGCCACTTGGAAACGTCCCTCAGGAAATATCATTGATATGTAAGACGTAAGTCACCTGATATATGTTTAGACACGACTAAAACAGGTGGATAATGCAGCTCCAGCAAATACCAGAGGTCGGCAGGGATGCTGCGGCTACCATCGCAAACATGTGAGGTGTCAACAAATATCGATTTATGATTACGCAGATACAAGACACCTGCAGAAATCATGGAAGCGGTAGCTGCATCTCGGGAGGAATTTGTACGTTCGTTACGTAACCTCACCATTGGCACACGTGGTTCTAGAAAACTGGGCATCAATGCAGCCAAAAGGTATAGCAGCGTATTAGTTGACATGTGATGACCTTTAACTCAGGATTGCAGAATTGTATTCGCAAAAAGTCGAACCAACAGCGCGTGTTATGGACGACATAAGTCTCTAGACAATTTAGAATTGTGCCAAAAATGGGCTACACACATTGATATCAATGGTGCTAAAACATCTTTCCTTGTAATTTATTCAACTATTGACCGACACATATAGTGTGTAGAGTTGGCCCCCAAATGGAAAGAATCTATATCGAAAACCAAGAGCGGCGTCACTTTTCCCGCGGAACAATATAAACATAGTGTATTCGTAGACAAAGCAACAAAATAATATAATATATTTTAACGTTGAGAAGTATTCATTTCATGTGCGGATAATATATAGAGGTATCGGTTAGGGCTGGGTGTATGCGCAACTAACCAGGGTCTTCCACGCTAAAACGCAGAGAATCCCGTATAACAGTGATACGTGTACTATAATAGGTAGTATAGAACCCTTCTCTATCAAGGATAACAATTCTTACGACAGATTGTGACACTTTATATGCATTTTATTCGGCAAGGTATTTTTATGACGATTACGGCATGTCTAGTCTGACATTTCATTCATGATGGTGGTAGCATCCGTAGTAACGGGATAATAGTGCAAGAGCGTGGAAATTAGAAGATGTAATGAGACTCCAGACAACATTTGCATCCGTAGGTGGCATGTGCCTCGCTGGGCACTTCTACTACTATAACAGTGGTCTATGCGAAGCTGCGCGCTGCAGAATACTTTCTGATACTAGCCATATCGGATTTATCGCATACAGTAATCCTTTTCGCTATGCAGAAGGGACGTGGCGTACAGGTATCCGCCCATTACACGGTTCCGATCCACTGAATGTCCTAAGCGAACCTACGACATCTTGTAAAACTGTAACCTGCAAGGAATTTGTGGAGCAGTTTTGTAGAGCAAAAGATGTGACCGATGAATCGGAAAATACCGTGGCCGAGTACACTGGTTCCGACAGTCATATACGGGCACAACCTGTTATAGAGGGGGATGCAGATGGGCATTCTAAACACCTGTACAAGGTGGTAGCATGGGTTAAAAAGATAATCGAAAATAGAGACAAAACTGCCGCATATCTTGAAGTTGTGGACGGAACCACGTCCGTGCATGTCCCGTTGGTAATCCGTGACACCCATCCAAACTACAGGGATCTTCAAAATGCCGATGTCGGTGATGCCATAACAGTGGTAGCAACACCTGAGGCGAAGCAAACTGGCCAAGCTGACAGACTGACACCAATGCGATTGGTAGTAGAGAGTGAAGCTTTGGGTCACGTATTCACGGTACACCACAGTAGTCGCAATAGGGATGAAATCAGTCCGGTTGCACTAAACGGTGTCTACCCTATGACGTACCTTCGTGAACATTGCAATCTCAGAGTCAGGAACCATATTGTACAAGCTACTTTCAGGATCAGGTCCAAAGTAACAGAGAGGCTTTTTAACATTATGGCGGTAAGTGGACTCCTGTCTCGTAACGTAATAAGACACAGGATATGGGATTTGTTCATGTTACAACACCTTCACTCACTAACATGAATTGCGAGGGTATGGGCGAAATATTCAAGGTTGGTAAAGCGGTCTTTGAATACATGGCTCCACAGGCAATCCCGCCAAAAACTGACGATGACCAGCAGGTAATGAAATTGTATCAGAAGATGTATAGCCATGCAGGTGGATAGTACATACCTCAGTGTCTCTGGTCAACTGGAATTGGAGTCGTTGTGTTCCGGTATTAGCAGGGTGTGGAAACTCGGGCCTGCATTTAGGGCTGACCGGTCAGATGTGAGTTTTTCCAGATTGTGTTATTCAACCTCTACAGACTCCAAGGCATCTTTCGGAGTTCTGGATGTTGGAGGCGGAAATGAACGGGGTCACATTGGCTGTAAGTACCGAAGAGTCTATGCTTTACCTAGGTTCAGGAACTTATAGACGTCATACACACGATATTGGTACGTGCGGCCAACGTTATACTGTCTGAGTGTCAAGATGACCTCGCGGTGATTGGCGCACATGGTGATGGAAATGCGGCAGAAAGGCTGAAGATGCTGGCAGGGAACTCTAACCGAATCGAATCAGTCACTTACAGTGACGCAGTGGGCATGTTAAACGAACACAAGGATTCCTTATGTGAATACTCGCATGTCAACTGGGGAGAGCCCTTGACGGCAGCTCACGAACGTAGTCTTCTCAAACTTACCAAACAATCGCTACTGGCAGTTACTCAGTTCCCTGCCAGTGTGACTCCATTTTATATGGAACGTCTTTCTGACGGCACAGTGAACAACGTGGACATCTTCGCGGATGGAGTCGGAGAAATCGCAGGAGGATCTATCAGGGAAGTACGATACGATATGTTAACTAGGTAAGGTACCACTTTTAAAATCACACAAACTTGTAGTGCAATGAAGGAACACGGCATCAGCGGCGTAGATTATGATCGGTTAGTTTATCAATCAATATTATGATATTGCTCAGCTACCTTGAGTTGCGCAAGTTCGGAAATGTCACCCACGGGGGTTTTGGTATAGGGTTTGAACGTATACTAATGTACCTACTCGATATTCCTAACATAAGGGACGTCATACATTTCCCCAAGTTGCGTAAGAAATACACTGTAGAGTGATTTTGCCCTGATCAATCAGTACGGCGAGTTATTCTAGTGGCCGACATCCGCTTTCCTAGCGAGATAAACACAGTTCTTTCAATTGTGTATTACACTTTTCTGCCTCGCGTAGTAACATTTGAATATTGAGTAGCGTCTGCTAATATAATAAACCACACGTTTTTACTTACCGCGTCGGCCTTTTGTTGATGTTCGTGTAACTTGGCCAATAAGCTGGTTCTTTGTTTCCAAGTCCCTGTGCCTCTACAGCATATGTCAGATAATCAAAGATTAATCTGGATTTCATTGCTTGTGTGGTATAATCAAACTGTTGAGTAAGGTTGATACAGCACATCGCTCAGCTTCAACACCGAAACACTTACCCTGAAAGAGAAACACCTCCATCTGCAAATCCAGTTATTAAAGGTGTGTTATGACGCATGCGTAGTCTCTTCGAGCTTGTTGTGGAATTTTGTAGCCCGGTATCTCTCTGAAACGAACGTTTTTGCCTGCAGGACGGACTAGTCAAAACATCAGCACTGCTTAAGATGGTCGGCCTCATAATCTCATCGTCGACATATCTGACTTTAGAGAATGGGTTAGATGATCGGCTCAATCGCGATGTACTTCTGGATTCGGGATTATCGCCGGTTACCGTGTTGTACAGCGTGATGTTCCGTCTCGTAGGGGTTTTCATGGTTCCTTTCAAACCCGAAAATACTTTGAAGTGAACGGTTAGAGTTGCGAGCGTTACCTAGTACTAGATAGGTGTTTCTATGGAGTATGTGTGAGTGTTTTCCGAAGATGTAGATATGCCGTGATTGTGGCCAATGTGTTAGCAGCGCTTGGCTGCGAAGGCAGGATGAATTTTCCCCTTAGCAACATCTGTAGTGCATCAGTATTGGATCATGATATACGATAAGTGTTCGTGGGTACGCAAGCTGGTGGCGATGTTCAAAATCATAGATGACAACATAATTTGAACTGGTTTCAATACACCTTAAGAAGTCCACCCGTGTAACGAGGACACCAGATGATTCACGTTAGGCCAAAGCGCACATACCTGGCGAATCACTATGGAAGGTACAATGGTACTACGGTTTGATGCAGCGTACTATGTAAAGCCAATCGCACACATATAATAATAACCACAAAAGAATGGAAATAAATCACTTGAAAATATTACAAAACAATATACCGATGTGTATACCATTAATGGGATCTAATTTGCGTATGGCAAAAGACGCCACGCGTGCAATGTCAAGTGCGGAATAGGTAGAACCCAATGCAGGGATATTGAATACGCTGCGCGAACGAATGTACGCAGAATCAAACTATGGCAAACTATAGACGATTGTAATTCGCTCGACCTTGGTGTCGACACCGTTAGCACGCAAAGTGGACTCTGCAGTTGTAGGAACGCAAACGCCAAGTGGCAGAGAATCGAAACTGGGCATGACCTGTTGCCTTCAAGGGCAAGGTGCTGAGTTTAGGATTAAATCCTTTAGCGACTAAAATGGTAGATAGCCTCAGAAGGGAGAACCCCGAGTATATCGGTCAATACTCGCACGCCACTGACACGGATGAGCATAGAGCGATGAGTTATATCGCCAGAAGGGGCGTTGACTATAGTCAAGAAAACAATAATTACGCTTCGAATTCAGAAATTGAGGAAATGACTGCTGATGGGATGGTGAATCGTGACGAACTGTTATGCGAGACCGATACTTATTTAACGACGTGTGAGAGTATACATGGCATTCCAGTGGGAGATAATGGTTTATCTGATGTTGTAGAAGAAGATTGTGATTCTGTAAATCTCAACGAACAGGTCAGTCAGCACCCTGTGAACGACGCCGATATGACGTCTGAAACGCACAGGGATAACGAGATTCCATCATCAGAAAACCAAAGTGGATCCGATTCACATGTATGTGATGCTGTATCTGATACTGTTGAAGAACAACGTACCGTTGATGTGCATAACGAAGAACAATCTTCTCAGGATGAACGCACTGACCAAGCTCTATCTAAAAATTCAAGTAATCAGCACAGCGAACATGATGAAGGGTCCTCTTATGATAAAGAAAGTGAGGGTGTAGTTTTTGATACGGAAAAGAATGACAATCAGCCAATAGTACGTGTTGAACTTAAGAACGATGCGTATCAACAGTCAATCCAGCATGAGGCTGAAGGGGAAGAGTCTACCATTGATGTCGCAGTCTCATCACAGGTTTCAGAGCAGGAAATACCTGATGATTCTGAAGAAACCGTGGTCGCGGCACCGGAAGAAACTGATGTAGATGATGTTTACGCCCAAACTGAGACCACTTCTGTTGATGGAGATGAATCTCAAGTGCAAGTTCTTTCTGAAGATAACACAACTGAAAATGAGGAACAGCAGACTTCACTGGAAGAATCACCTGGCCCTTCTGATGTTGAATCGCAACAAAGCAAACAACAGCTACATCCTGATTCAGAGGCAGGGGATGACTACGGAAGTCCCACAACTAACCAATCAATGGATAGTACCGATGGCGATAACTGGAAGACTAGGAGCACTCCAAGTGATGACAACAACAGTGTTCAGGACGTTGAACCGAAACAGAAGTTATTTAACATTTCCAGGAAATCATCCAGAAAACGTGTAGAAAGAACGGTATTTGGTACAAGTGAAAATCCTATAGATATCACTGATCTAACAGTAGATTCAGGGAGTTTACTGCAGCTATACCAAAACGACTACTTCGACGCCTATATGCACATGTACCACCTTTATCATAAGAAAGAGGCCGGTGTACACGAGTATCTGGTCAACTTGCTTTATTCAAAGCGTACAGATCAAGAGGTCATGTTTTACCTTCCTCAATTGTGTCAACTTTCCATTTCAAAGTACGGAAAGTCGTCACTGCACAGGTTCTTACTGGATCGAGCTTCTACGTCAATGCACTTTGCTCTGAGGCTGTCGTGGTTTTACCAGGCCATAATATCGGATCAGGCGTCCAAAATGGGACATCTGGCGCAAAAATTGACGCAAGAAACTGAGATGGCCGTTGTAAATTGTAAACTCATTTCACCGCTATCCAACTGTGCGGCACCTACAGAGGATAGAGAACTCAACTTGTGTTCCAAAGGCCTTCTTTTACGAAGGACGATAATTAGGGCCATTAGAGCAGGGCACGAAGGTGACTTTAACGCAACAACAGATATAGAGGCTCTAGAGAGACCGAAAGTACCCGATCAAATGACATGCAATGCAATGACACTGATATGCCCACACTCCAAAGTGAAACTGTTTACACCTTATGCAAAGATAGGTAACCCTGTAGATATCGAAATACATCCTTACGTTGAATGTCCTGGTGAGATACAATACGAACTTGAACGGTTGATGATGAAACAGAGGCGGCTGGACTATTTCAACATGCTTAGCAATTTTGTGAAATTGTGTATGGACGTATCTAAGCAGCTCACTTCAGTAGCTAAACGTGACGCTAGACTTCCTTTACTAACGCTATTCGCCAAGTCTATGAACGAATGGCTGTTAGTACAGCGATGTGTAGTGTCCGCCTGTGAAGAAAGTTTCGCATACAGAGGGCTTTCGTTGCCGATGCGCAAAATGGGTAGGGATAGACATACCAATATACCCTTCCAATTTCTTCGCATCGTTGAAGACGAATTAAAAATATTCCTCTCTAAGAAACGCGCACCGTTTGTGTTTTACTTTGAAATCGCAAATCTTGACGAAGATGTTAGGAATATATCACGTGGAGAGCGTGGTCAATTTATAGAAACTGTAACTTTTAGGGATTTATATGTTTACGAGGCCATTGTTAAGGACCTTGTGGCCTCAGGTTTATTAGATGTCGCGGATGTATCGTACATCAGGAACCCTCTAGAGTGTATCAGGTATACCATGGGTATGCTTCCTGCAGATGTATTGGAGCGATATAACGATCGCAAGGACCAATTTAAATCAGGACCTGCAGATAGTTGGAGAGGTGGTGACGACGAGAGTGCCGCTGCCTTGTTATCTGCGATCCAAGGACTCGTAATAGGTTCAAATAATAAATCGTTCCAATATAACAGAGACGATAATCGAGTGTTTAACAAGACTCCTTCGGCGGTGGAGACTAAGTTCCCACTACTCGAGCAAATGTCTCCAAAGGAGGCGAAGGCGGTTGTGTTCTCAGAGCTATTTGAGGATAAGAAGAAACGGCTCAGAAAATACAGTCCTTATGGCAAATTGGAATCGTGGAATGTTCGGGCTGTGATAATCAAGGGTGGTGACGATCTCAGGCAAGAGTATATGGTCAACCAGCTACTGACGCTGTTCAATGAGATATTCACCAACGCCCGGCTTCCACTTTGGCTTAGACCCATAGAAATTCTTGTGACGGGTCCTAATTGTGGAATCATCGAATTCCTGCACGATACGTGCTCTGTAGATGTGGTCAAGCGCAAGTTCAACGTTGACTCTATCGCTAGGGCATTCGAGCGCATTTACGCTGACAAGATATATGAGGCCCGTAAAAACTTTATCGAAAGCCATGCGGCATATTCTATAGTATCTTACCTTTTACAGGTCAGGGACAGGCACAATGGAAACATTTTGCTCGATAGTGAAGGCCACGTCATACACATTGATTATGGATTCTGTCTTTCCAACACGCCTGGCAACATCAGTTTCGAAACCTCGCCATTTAAGCTTACAAAGGAATATGTGGACGTTATGGGAGGTGAAACTTCCGATAATTTCGATTATTTCAAGGCGCTTGTTATCCGAGGCCTCCTCGAAGCCAGGAAGCATATGGATCGTATCGTGCTTCTGGTCGAAATGATGACCGATGCATATAAGATGCCTTGTTTCGCTGCTGGTACCACTTATACTATGGATATGCTAAAGGAGCGGTTTATGTTGAACTTATCGGAAGACGTGTGTATCGACCGGATTGTCGCGATGATTGAGGAATCACTTAACAATTTCACCACCGTACAGTACGATAACTTCCAGCGCCTGACCAATGGAATCAAGTAGTGAAAATACACAAACTATTTTGTATAATAGCGTAGCAAACTAGTGAACTCTGTGTAACGCGTCCTGATCCTTAAGATGAGCGATGACATTGACCCGGAAGATGGCACTTTCGAGGAAGTCGACAATCTAGAATTCCGTAAAATTGATGAGTCCATAGAAAAGCTTGACTTTGTCAGCCTTTCAGCCTTTGACGCTAATGTAGATTTGCAATCTGCGATAGAGCATGACGCGTACATTATCAATAACGTGGTTACACGCGTTGGAATTTCAAAAGCGCTTACTCATGGTGTCAAACTGTCATCGATTATCAAAGCGAAAGCACTGAGACTCAATGAAGTTACCACTCAAGAGCTACTGGGTGTTGTGCTTGAGTTATATTGCAAAACCTTCGCGGCTGAAGATACAGGACCACGACAGGTACAAGATGATGAAAAGGAAACCAACTATCCTGCTCTAGACTTCACTAAACTGTCCAAATTCTTCTCTTCAAAGGCGTTTGGTTATTCACCGCTCTCATGGAGCACTTTGCCACTCCCTGCTGACGAAGAACGGCCGACACCTCAGCCGGTTAAACGCGTACGTATCGAGGAGCCTCATGTGCCAACACCAAAAGTGACGAGGAAGGAGCTTGCTCCAATGTTGGAGTACAGCGAGACGCTGGAAGTCCAAAAACATACTGAAATAATCAAAAACAAATTGTTGGAAGTTGCACAGGACGAACCAGTTTCATTTTGGGATTTCGTGCTAGATAGTGACCCAAAAGATGGATATAACCAGACGTGTCAAAACATCTACTCTCTTACATTTTTAATTGTAAGGGGCTTTGCTGCCTTTACGAAGGATGAACAGGACGTCTTGCTACGGGTACGTTAACTTTCTAAGTAGGAATGATATCATGGTAATTTAGGGTATAGAGGAAGCGTCAAACGACAAAGAAAATGCCCAGGGGATTGTCACCGCGCTCTCCTACGAAAAGTGGCAGGAGATGATTGGCAAACGTAACCTGGCGGAGTCGCAGGGCTCGGGCCAAGAACAGCGTGAATAGCGTTATAAAGTTCATTAAAATATTTGTGATATGAACAATAAGAATGTTGCAAAACTGTGTAAATGGTTCATACCTTTCGACAAAATGCCATTTATATGAATTTTTGATAGCTGCATTTAACTGCTGTTGGTTACTTATTCAACAAGTGATTGCGCGATTTCAAAAATTCTACTGCCTTCATCACCATTTGTGATGTAGAACCGCTAAGTGCTGCTGCCTTGGGTGTCCTAGGTGGCTTCGGCGCTTTCCTTTCACGAGGTTTAGTTTTAGCTGCACGGTTGACAGATTTACCAATGCTACTAGGCGTTATGCCTCCGCGAGTTCGTTTACCTCCAACAGAACGGCCTGCTTTTGGTTGTCCGGGTTTACGAGATCCAGCAGGGATGTCAACCTGGCGCGGGTCATTAAGGATGTCACTCGGGCGCTGCTTCAAACAGAATGACGCTGCGTAATGTCCCAAATGTAGCTTCTTGAAGTCAAATACACGCCGCAATTCACGTGAATATGTCTTGTAAGATTGCACCGATGCACGAAACGCAGCTTGCGCGCTTGAAAGCAGGTCAGGGTCACTCGCCACGATATCTGAGAAACAGTTGCGCAAAAAGGGTACATTGTATCCTTTGAAAGTGCGCAGATGCTTGGGAACGTGAGTTTGTTCGATATAGGACCATATCAAACTTTCCATCACCTGTTTCACGCATACACCGCGTTTGCGCAAGGCATTAATGAACTGTGCCTCGTGTTGCATAAGGATCAGCATAGCATGACCTGTTCCACCAAGACGTGCAGTACGGCCAGAACGATGTATGTACTCTTCGAGCTGCTGGGGAGGATCATATTGTATAACACGGTTAACTTTTGACAGGTTCAGCCCTCTCGAAGCAACATCTGTAGAAATCAAAATCGCAGCATTGTGACTCATGAAGTCGCTTACGTAACCGGCACTGCACAATATATAAACAGATGTACATTGTACTTACCGATCGTTGGCCTCCATGCTGCCGTGGAGCATTAGTATTGGCACCTTACCGAATACCGCTGGACCACGGTGCCGATCTTCGGTAACGCTCCTAAAGGCAACAGCAGCATCTCCATGGGAGAGCATATATGAGTCGATAGCTTCCGAGTGTTTCATTAGTTTCTTGTATGCACGATCATTCAATGGCATGTCACCTTGCTTCTTCCCGGCGATAGTTGGCCAAGTTAGCGTCTGGAGTAGTCGGTGTAAATAAACCACCGTCTGGCAATTAGCAACAAATATCAGCACCTTCTCTCCATTTGACACGTAATTGAGCAAGAGAGAAATGAGGCATATCAACTTGTGTTTGCATTCCACCAAAACATATTCGTGGGTAAGTGTGGATGGAAGTGAAAGTATATCATCCTCAATACCTATAGTTTGGCGATTGTTGTGCAGGCAGAAGTCAGCCAGATGTTGAACAGCATCTGTAAGTGTTGCAGAGGTCATCACTGTCTGGACTCTGCCATTTGAGTTTTCACTCCTTTGTCTTCGTAAGAACTTGTAAATTGCACGTATCTTGACTTCAAAGCCCATATCAAGTAGACGATCGGCTTCATCAAGGACGAACATTTGAATATTTGCCACGTTGAATGACGACGTGCTTTCGCAGTGATCAAGGACTCGGCCAGGAGTACCAACAAGCACCGTAATACCCTTACGGATTTGTGCCTTTTCGGACTTACGGCTGTCCCCACCTAAACGGGATTATATCAATATAAACTGTATCATACCCTTTATAGCACCCACAACAATCCATGGGAACGGTCGTGCAAGTTTAGCGATAGTGTCCTTGGTCTGCACGGAAAGCTCACGTGTAGGACATATTATCATCACCTGCTATTGGATTAGCCAGATATATTATTAACTTACAGCTGTACCATCCTGACGTGTTATCTTTGTGCCGCTTGGTGGATTTACAAGCCGCTGCAATGCCGGTACAAGAAACGTCAGCGTCTTGCCGGACCCTGTAGCGCTGCGTATAAGCACATCGCAGCCTTCCAGTATCTTGGGAATTGCTAGTGACTGGATGATAGTAGTCAGTTCATAACCGCAACTATTCAGAGACCGGATAACACGATCACTGAGTATTCCACTGAGGTCAGCAAAAGACCCTGAAAACAAAGATGGGTCACCACGACTAACGGCATCTTCACGACTTGGCGTATCCCTGGCGGCGACTTTTACCCTGGCAGCCAGATAGTTATCAGTCGTACTGGCTACAGATTCATCATCATCCTCTTTCTCCCGATACAGTTGCGATAATCGGCGGCATAGAGCCAGGGTATAGCGCGAATGCCCTTGAAGCAGACGCATAATGAAGCGTGATGTTAGAGATTATTTTAACTAGCAGCTTTTAAAGTGAATTGAAATATGTATGAACCATAATTGTGGGATGATTCATAACCAAATTTCAGTAGAGGCACGACTAATGTGGTATAGAGGCTGCCATGGGTACTTATTTCCCAAATACACAAAAATTTATCTAAATCTAATAGCTAGAAATGACGATGTGTGGCCAAATATTTTGAAATAAAAATGGACACTACGGGAACGGAACGGACTTTCGTAGATATGGTTTGTGGCGCCGACGACTGTGCCAAGATGTACCTGTGCCTCTAACCATTATCAATGGCTGGCTGATATAAACATAGTGGTAATGTGCGTACGGTACACCTGTTAAGGTGAAAGGGAAAGATGCACAGTATACTAGCCAACGAACTCTGCACACCTAACTAATGTAACTCAGCCTACGCACCACTCGATCTAAAGACAATGAACTACAGTTAAGACAGATAAACCAATGCTAACGACGTAAACGAAATGTTCTACCCAGTCATCTAGGTGTGTGAGTTATTGGGATCTGCTGTACGCATTGCCTTGGAAAGCACTAGGAAGCCCGGTATCAATTTTTATTATTAACCTTTTTTAACACCTTGGGTGTGCAAAAGGGCATTTAAAAACAGCACCCGTGGTATATCCTGTATCTGTGTCAAATAGCTGTGTCGGACATCGCGCAAGCGCACTTCCGGCAGCGCGACAATATTCTCAACATCTGAGCGATATATATATTCCAGAAAGTAGCAAGGATACTTACAAAATATTGAAACATTAAATATTTTAGGATAAAACCAATTGGAAAAGACAGAAGTAGCTGCCATAACACACAACATTAATAGTCAAGATGGAGCCAGCTAGTTTTTTGAATAAGGATAGCAACCTATCACACAAGTCCGTATCCAAGATTGTTGCAACAGCAGCACAGAGACATGAGCGTTTTTGTTTCGAGACAGAAGCAAAACCCTCATCAGCTGACGCAAGCAGCTTGGTTGTAGCAGGTCGCAGTTCGGAGCCGGATTCGTTTGAAAACCAGCCTGCTGAAAAATCAAAGGCAAGCGTTAAGTATTCGGAACCCTTAAAGAAGGCACAAGTAGAAAGTGTATTTGAAAATGAACCTTGCACCAAATCAGCAGCAACCATCAGAGCTTGCGATGCTGTACCAGTTCGTGAAGCCCCTACCGTATTCGAGAACCAACCTGATGAACAATCCAGAGCAACATTCAGGGCCTGTGATGTCATACCACTGCGACCAACAGCTTCAATATTTGAAAATGAACCATCGCGATTCTCCACTGCACATGTTAGAGCAAGCGACGCAGTATCTAAAAAAGAAACAGAATCAGTTTATGAAAATACACCAGCCACAGTTAGTAATGCTGATGCAAGGTCAAGCGAGGGTAGTTTGCTCAAGGTTACCAGTGGAACATTCGAAAATGTGCCGCAGAGGAGGTCTACAGCAGACGTAAGACATGACGATGAAGTCAGGGTGATGTCGAGTGGTTTGTTTGAAAATGAACCAGAAGAAAGGTCAAGTGCAAGTGTTAGACACAGCGATGTTATAGTATCAAGATCAGGGGAAATATTTGAAAACGAACCAAGTAGACGATCAAGTGCCTCAGTCAGCTTCAGTGATACTATTACACGGGTATCAAGCGGCTTTTTCGAAAACGAGCCTCAAGAGAGATCAAGTGCAAATGTAAGGCACAGTGATGTCGTGGCACCAAAGTCGGGAGAAATATTTGAAAATGTGCCACGAAGGAAATCAACCGCAGATTACAGCCATAGCGAATCTATCACACGTGTATCCAGTGGAGTATATGAAAACGAACCACAAGTGAGGTCATCAGCAAGTATCAGATACAGCGATACTATAAAAACAGTCAGGGACCACATCTTTGAAAACAAACCGGAACTGAGATCAAGCGCAACTTTCAGATACAGTGAAGATATTGACACACAGATAGTAGCTACCGAGGCGGTATCCGGAACTTATGAAAATGAACCTGTGTTGAGATCTTCAGCAACCGTTAGGTATGATGAACAAGTCACTGTGAACAACTCGGGAACCTTCGAGGCACAAAAATCACTAGAAAGCAGCGCAGATTTCACTGCAGGCGGATCGCTCATGACCGAACTGTATGCTACAATGGCAGAGTGCCGTATCAGCGTAGATGAAACCGATGATTTAAAGAACACTGAAGAAGCCACTTCTACGAGCTAAAGGTGTAAACCCAAACCTGGGCACACATCTTAAAACCAGCGTGCCTATTTATCAATTGCAATCATTTTTAAACTATGACTTCTTAACACTTTTTAAAGCGTAGTAACAACTAACACACTCTACTCTCGGTGGTGTAGTTATTGGAACGCATATTCCAGGCGGCGGTGTGGCTTGGCCTGCTAATATATCACATAAATGAAGCAGTTAACTATGTAAGTTGTAAATCAGTGAGCACTTAGCTGTTCAACGAGAATCTTACGGGGATGGTGTGTGTTGGCCAATACAAAGACCGATGAAACTATGGTGGTATCAAGGTCCACAAAACCGCCAAAAGGGGCACAGTATGCCCCTAAATTGTCCCTAGTCGTTGAAAGAATCGTCATTAACACGTCGATATGCAACTCTAGAGGTATGTTCTCATTGTCTACTCTGGCAATCTGAAATACAACAATAACAAATTGTACATCGATCCTCAGGTGATGATGTGAAGGGAGCTGTAGCTGAAGCATTTCAGATAGTCAAGACACTGTGGCATCCGAATGTCTGCTGCTATACGGATATGCTTCGTATTGACCAAGGGGTCTATGTCATGATCTCCGAGGGATACTCAGTCACCTTAGAAGATATTATTCAGCAACAACAATTCAATATTGGTATCGAGGGTGAAGGAAAGACACTAGAAGTCGATCTCTACAGTGTTGTGCATCAAATGATTTCCGGGTTACAGTATCTCCATGCACATGGAATACAACACGGGGCACTTGGACCACACAACATATTCATTCACTCTGACGGATCGGTGAAAATAGGATGCTATGCTGAAAGGCATTTCAATAGGGTAGCTTCATTGGCTCATCAAAAATCGGAATGCACGGAAAACCATGAGGGTATTGGCTCCCAAGATGTTAACGCGAACAACGGTGGCCACACTCCTAGCACACAGAGCCAATACGGTATATATAGGAAGTTATATTCCTCCCCTGAATATATGAGTGGGAGCATAGGGCCAACTACGTGGATTGAAGCTGTCAAAAATGACACGTGGGCCCTGGGCATAACATGCTTACAGATAATTGCAGCCATTATTTCCCAAAGTTATGACACCATAACACCAATAGACGTAGAAGAAGATCATCAAAGATTGCGTTCATTGAACTTATACGAGGAAATCTTGAGGTTGGCACGTTGTCCCAACAACGTATCTGTTTTAGAAGACGCTATTACTCTGGCAAGTGCGTTGATTAATTTGGCGAAAGACAGCCTAGATGGGCAGGGTGATTTGACGATTGTAGGCTTAGATATCATTGGTATATGCTTGGACGTTCTATACGCTAAGGAGTTGGATCAGACTCCGCATGTCACGGAAGATTTGCTAACTCAACTGGTGGATAGATTGTTAATCGAAGGTAATATTTCGAATCTTCATTTTACCTGCGATAATGAAAGAAGTTGTAATTTCGTCGACAAAGTTGATTCCCAGCAACCGTACGCATCGCAAACCGATGAACATGGGACTGGCAACATACACAGCGAATCTTCATGTGAAAACCATGCTATAAGAAAGAGAGCCGTTGTTATAGCTCTTCAAAAGGTCATCAGTTGGTCGACAGGAAAGTCAATAATAGAAGATATGCTCCCATTTGTTGGAGTCGACCTCGCAAAAGGGTTTTGTGACCAAAATAGGGACAACAATCCACAAGTGCAAGCTGTATACGCTATTTTCAACATCGCATGCCAATGTCTCGTTGTAAACCCGAATTATCGGAGAAGCAGCATGGACATTTTGCCAATCGTACAACGAACGAAGGCACATGATGGCAAACCCATCGGCACTTATAGATCTACATTCACTTGGAATGTATTATCTGCTAAGAAAACTGCAGTGGATTCTAACCTCGGATTGCGTATGCCTTTTTCGGAATTTTTAAATCGCAATTATAGGAAAAGGTATATTAACGTTAAAGAATTTGATACTCTACCACTTCACGTCGATGATGTCTTCTACTTCTGGAGGTTGATGGGCAATGACCCACTCGACGTTCTGTGCGATGTAGACTATGCGTCATATAACAACTATCCTGGTTATACCAGGCAGGTCGTGATGTTGTCTGAGCTCCTGAAATTGGCTAGGAAAGCGGATATTTTCCCTATGATCATAGAACACCAAATCAGACCAACTTGCGCTTATGCACGGCAGTTTGCATTTCTGTATCAATGGATACGTCTAAGGAGGTTTGAAAAGCTGCTGTGCAATGGATACGAGAGCAAGCTACAGGTATCCATAGAGGTACAACTTGACGTACCCCCGATGCTTCGAAAATATATATGGTGTATGATTTTGGGAGTGGATCTACCTTTCAGGCCACGCATGTCCGATGTTGAATATGACCACGAAATCCCCAAAAACGTGAAGGTAGAGATTCAAAAGGTTTTCAAAAGATGTGACAACGATTTGTTGTACTCCCAGAGATCTTTAAAAATGATGGCAAAAGCAGGGGACGCCATACAACAGGCTTATGGTATAGAATCGGTACCTAGGTGGGTTTCATTAATCACAGTTTACAATTATATGTAGCTCTCTCTATGTTACTTGTGTCCCACTCCTGCTCCTATACTACGAGTTCAGCGAGATTTTTTTGGACGTGGTCATGAAGATATTTGGCAAGTATCTCAAGAATTATTACGTAACCTCAGGATCGTTCGTACAGAATGATCTGGATGAATTTAACACTATGCTCAAATTCTTCGATCCCGAGGTCTCAGTGCATCTGCACCGTATAGGAGCTTTCGCGGACTCTTTCGCCCTTGTCTGGTTCATGAGCCTATTTGCAGAGAACACGTCCTGCCACCAACTCAAAGTGTTGTGGGATACCATGCTCAACTTTCCACGTAACTACATAAAATATCTTGCCGTAGGAATAATACACAGTGCGAGATCTGGGATACTCGAAACCAATAACGCGCCAAACGCCATATCATATGTATCAAGCCTCATGGATGCTATCAACATTCCCATGCTCAACTCTGTATGTGTACATATGTATAACACATGGGATTCGTTATTGTTCCCAAAGGAAGTGGGTAGAACCAAGAATCATAGGAGGACTACCAGCATAGATGAGCGCACACCCAGCTCTGAACATGCGTATGTAGCTGACGAAACTGAATATGACGAAAAGTCAATGGTGGAACGGCTCACGTTTACTTTTAATTCCGAGACATACCCACGACAGCGATGCTTCAAGGTGACCCTGCGTCAATTCATAGAACTTCTAGATACATGCGTCATTGTAGATCTGCGCTCTATAGATGCCTACAAACTCGGGCATCTGCCTAACTCGTGTCATATAGAGAGACTTTTCGCATGTATTGAAAAACGGGAACAGGCGGCCATAAACAGATTAGTCACTGAGGTGATTAACGCAAATACCACTAAGGCGGCGGAATTATATGTGAGTTAGGTTTACTAATATGTTGTATAGTGTTCAGCCTCAAAAAATACGGAAAAAGGAGCAGATGATGAAAAACTTCGAGACGCTTCTTGGGGGCTGTGCCAATACTTCGTCACAGGAAAGGCTAAAAGACGCTACTATCCTACTGGCTGCAGGGGATGGAGCTGAACTAACGAAAGAAATGCAAGCAATCGAACGATTGATATTTGAATACCACGTGCCACATCTGTGCTACTACCGCATCAACGCCGATGATTGGCCCAAGTTTTTTACCATCTCGCAAATATAGCTCTCCAAAGTGAACTACAGCGAGGTATAGATTGACAAACAATGGGTCACATGTTTTAACTAATTCTACGTGATATTATATTTTTGTGGACCGTATTACGTATTGGTGGACTTAAGCTCACATTCCAAAGTGTCTAAAAGATTAATTGGACTTAGCAACGCAATATTGCTTGTATAAAGAATGATAAGCCAATGGAAGGACGCTAAATCCTTACAGAGTTCATTAATAGAGGAAACCAGTTTTCACAGAGCGCACACATCGATGGTATTAGGTATTCTTAAAGCATAATATTAGACAGGATGAGCATGTAAATGTGTATGTAAAATAAATTTTCAAAACCTATTGGCATGGCTTACTATGAGCTGATGCTACGATGGGTGTGCACAATTTCGGGCGTAACATGCTAAAAATATACGGAAAACCATAAATTTAAAACTAAATATCATCCTAATTTTTAAATTAATGAATATCATGATTCTAGTCGCCTCATGTGCGAACTAAAAGTCGAATATTGGTCTCCAGTATAAGGGAGCAAATTACTTGAGAACTTCAAATGTACTGAGGAGGGATAATATCGGTGTTATATTGATGGAAACGAGCTCCAAACTCCTAGAGCTTCTATTATTAGCATTGATAATTTGTCAAAAGAAATTATGGACATCAGGAAGGCTGCATATTACCGGATGCCCCGGTGACGCTCTTGTTGCTGCAACGGCAGCCAACAATTATCGCAAACACTGTTTCATACCAGTACATAGACCAGTCATCAGCTCAGTGGGCATGAAGATACACAGTAGTGACGCCTATGAGAAAGCGCCAACAGTTAAAATAGACATTGAAGAGGATCTACCAAAGGACCCAACTGCAGGTGACGCGAGCCTCTATCAATGGAAGTGTGATATGGCCGATATACCCGGGGCATGGCATATTTACTATCCACTGTCTCTTAAGGATACCGTAGGGTTGAGCCCAAATGCTGGTCTCAGACCTTCAGTACTGTTCTGCGACATCAGCGGATCCGTAACCGGACCGCAGCATCCAGACTCGGGAAAGGGCGCATTCGTACTTGATGCTGGCGAGAGTGTTGATGTTGACGATTCTGAATCATATGTTCACAACAGAAGGTTGGTTCGTGATAGACCTTGGCACAACCAAACATTTTGTAGACTCGCTATGATCATGCTTAGTGGAAAGAACTACTCCAACATAAGACTAGTACTTCTTGGCAGAATATTCTATTCGAAAAATTACGTACTCAACGAACTCAACGGACTCGTACAAATGAGGGCAGCCATGTTCATCGGACAAGCATTTGTAGAGACATACGTAAGTTACGCCGGCATGGCGAGACATGTCTTCAGAAAAGTCCTCAACTAACAGAAACGCTGCTCAGGATAAGAACACGCATTACGACGGTATGTAAATACATTAAAGAGATGCATATTATTGCAGCTAGACAGCGAAGGAAATGAAGTCGACCCGCTCACCTGGGAGTACCAGGCACTTAACGAAAGGGGGTCACCATTCAGATGGATGCACGGCAATGACAAGTGGAAGTTACTTGGGCCGTTTACTTCTTACAGAGTATTAGGGCCAGATGTTAAGGTGCCTCATAGACCCATGATTTTTGACAACTATAGCGATCTAGAAATATACAACATGGTGGACCCGCTTAAACTAAATAAAACGCCATTCACACAGCTGGATAAAGTAGAGCAAGAGACTAAACGGGTTATCGATGCGGTTTTCGAACCGTCTGACGATCCAAAAAAACAATTTCAGGTTCCTCAAACATACGTCAACGAATTTTACCAAGAGGTTAGTTTAATGTGATATCGCCCTTTTTAATACATGTCTAGATGGTAGAACTCGCAAAAGAAGGTCCACAATATTACAAAGATGTTATGGAATGAGCACGACTATTCGGTCCTTATCTCAAATTCCTCGTCACTGCTCTGGTTATCAATCCAATCACAAGCAACGTCATCAGCGCTCTTCAAATCTGCTTTGGCTTCAGCTATAGCCTTTTCATGGGCAAGTTTGCTAGGGAGGCTTTGGGCCTGCAAATCGGACTTGCCGTCGAAAAAGTACACCTGCAGCTGGCGACCGTCGAAAAGCCGGTTCTGAAACTGGGCTATAAAAAGCTCAGCTTCGGCAGAAGTTTTCAACTTGACGCACACAACACCTTGGGGGTGACGTGGTATAGGAGTGACCTTTTCAACAGGGACAAATTTTGTAACTTCGGCAGTAACCTCTTCACGTAAATCGTCGTAAAACGGGTCGTCGGCCTCGTATTCCTGTAATATTTAAGATACTAACCTGCTAAACAAACCCAAGCGTCCTCTGCAGTAAACATTGGCTTGCATATGACAATACGTCGCCCGCTGCCATCGTCGATGTCTTCACCCCAGCTTTGTAACCTGAAAAGTGTAGCGACATGCCAATAGCAATTACCGATCCTGTTCAAGTTTGGCGGCCAAGTATCTCTTGCGCATTTCCTCGGCACTGAGAGTTACAGTTGATTTTGTCTGGTATTTGTGTGGATCGTAGCGAGCCTAATGTTACATTGTCACTATGATGGCAAGATTCCTACCTCCTCCACGTGTATCACACAGTTCTCACGAAAGTGATAGTTGTCAAGGTAACGAATGGCAAAATCAACGGACTCCTTATTCACAAAGGTCACGCGGGCATCGTTTTTGAACTTTCCCGAATCATCAGTATACAACTTTATCTTGTACATTGCTACGGATTGTTTGTTGCCAGATTTGACGGACTAACTAGTAATAGGGTCTATTTTTATCACTCCCGCGCGCCTAAAAACACTTGCAATCTCCTCAGCAGTGGTATCATCGGGAAGACCGGTGATATATACACTTAAGTTACGCTGAAATAGGTTAAACACAACAGCAACAGCGCCTACAGAAGAGTCCACCCATTTTCCGGATTCGATGCGCTGTCGCTTGCGCTGCAAGTATTGCTTCTTCTTCTCACGTTTACGTATACGTGTCTCATCCTCAACAGCAGGGGGAGCAACGGCATCTGCTGTGGATGTCACTTCACCGACAGTGGCACTCTCCGCAGGTGGTGAGGTTGTGTCCTGGATATGATCCTTAGAACTCAGCCCGCATGAAGCCGACTCCGCATCGTCCGCAGCTACATTTGACCCCTCTGATTGGAGGAATATAAAAGGGCACATGAACACTACAAACCGTTGCATAAGCCCTGTAACTCATCAACCTCGGATATGGCAGACCAATTGGCCATGCCTTCACGCCAAACGTTGCTGCTTTTGGTGATTAGCGACCTGTCATTATTCTAGAAACACTAGGCTGAAAGCTTACGTATCCAACAGAGATTTGAGAGCAATAAGGTCGCAAGGACCGCGGATCTCCGTGTCAGTACATTGCGCGTACCACTACGTAAATGTTACAAAGAAAATTATTACCGCGTAATGAAGCGGTTACGTTCCAGTACCTTTAACTGGGAACCTTCACATGAAACAGTGTCCGATGACATCTCTGGCAATAGCAAAAGTGTTCACGTTCTAGGTGTGTTCGATTTGTTGCTTTGGGATGTCACATCTGGGAGTAAATGTAAAATTCAACTTTGTGAAGCAATCGCTCAACGGGAACTTACGTGCCACCTTGAGGGAGCGAACCTCAGGAGATTGAAGATCCTTGGATACTGACCAAGTTAAGAACAGTCTATTCAATTGGTGTAACTGGCGTAGCTTGCCCTTGTTAATTAATTTGAACTTGCAACACTGCGCTACGTTAAGTATATAATAGATATGCATACCTTTCGGTCGTCAGTAACTTTTAGGACAATGACCTTGTCACCTTTCACGTATTTGATGGAGTAACGCGTCTGCATACATATTACACCTTGGAGTCAGGGATGCTCAAAAGTAGTCGCAGTATAACACTGCGGGAGGAACAGATGTCTAAACACCCACCTTCAGAGGCTGACTGAAGAACAGAGAGTGAGCTTCCTGAATAAACGCGCTCCAGTTGTCATAATATGTCATCTCAAACGAGTAATTGGTGAAGGGAATATATATGTGTACTCCAAACGTGTACGAGCGCTGGAGTCGCAGAACAAGCGAAAAGACGCCCTAGGGCTAACGTATTCTAACAAAAGGAGTTTCTGCTCTTATATAGATAACTATATGTATAATGACGATTGATCGAGATGTGTAAACTAGAGGATACACAGGCATGGCAGCAACAGTAACACCTATGGGGGTTATGTCAAGGGTAACACGCAGCGATACCGAAGCCTTCAAATGATGTAGCTACCGTAAGAGGTATATATTTATAATAAAAGACGTAACACACTATCGGGCGCCATGGGTGACTGGGATACCCCGACTTTTGCGTCGGCGGAGCCGTCGTATGCGCCGATGTTCTGCTGCCTTTGCGGAGATGTCGTCCCTAAGCCGACAGCATCACGGATGTGTCATCTCTGCATCACCAAAAACGTCAACTTGGCGCAAGAAGTTACAACGCACTGTACTATCCTCCAGTGCGTCACTTGCAAAATGTTCTTTCACGAAAGATGGTACGCTAACAAACAGGTTTCAAAAAAAAGAGGCGCACAGGCTAAAATGTGACCTGGAGAGCAAGGAGCTGTTGTCTATATGTCTCAAAAAAATCAAGGGTTTGGAATCAATGAAGATTATAAACGCCGCATTCACATGGACGGAACCGCATAGCAAGCAACTTAAAGTTAAAGTCTGCGTTCAAAAAGAAGTAGACAACAACTTCATGGTAGAACAGACATTTGTCATATCCTATTCGATCAAATCTAGTCAATGTGATCATTGCAAGCGTATGTATACGCCTCACACCTGGAAAGCGATGGTGCAAATTAGGCAGAAAACCAAGGATAAGAGACACATACTCATGTTGGAACAGATAATTATCAAGCATAATGCGCATGAAAATGTCTCGAATATTCTCTCTAGGCGTAATGGATTTGATCTCCATTTTCAAAGCAAAACCTGCGCACAAAAATTTGCGGACTTCGTGTCAGACAAAATAGTCTCACAAGTCAGAAATAGCAAAAAGCTTATCACGCAGGACAGCCAAAATAACAAGTGGGACTATAAGTATACGCTTCAAGTGCAATTAATACCCATTTGCACAGACGATATGGTAAGCACATTTCCCTTTACTTAACAATGCTTACAGGTATTCCTGCCGCCGAAAGTGGCTTCAATGAACGGAGGGATATCTCCATTCTTGCTATGTGTTAACCTTACGACGACAATAAGTCTTATTGACCCGTTCACTCTCAGGACACTAGACGTCTCCAATGACAAGTTTTGGAAAAATCCATTCTCGTCATGTGAGTCATCTGCCCGATCTGCTTATATTTACACGATGTGCAGTATTCAACAAATTCAACCTTTGCAATTTCATAGTTCTCAACATCGAGAAGGATCGCACAAGTAAATTTGTACATCCAGTCTATGAGTAGGTGACTTAAGCGGTGTACGCATATGAACTTAGGCTCGTCGAAGTAGAAATCATGGCTGTCAACTCCTCTACTGTAATATACACCAAATCGCATCTGGGACATATTTTAACCGTTGGTGACACTTTCAGTGGTTATGACATCAGGAAAATAAATATGAACGGTCTATCGGAGGAGGAGACCGATATCGCGAACAAAATACCATTCGATGTTATCCTGGTCCGCAAAGTCAAAGCGAAGAAAGCATTCAAAACGAACTGGGTGCTTAAGAGAATAGTTGAGGTGAGTGATATATTTAAAGTGTTTATAATGTAACAGCAAAAGGGCGCATCTTCGGATGACGAGATAGAAGAAGACGAGCTGTTAGATTTCAAGGAGGAACTGATGACCAAGAAGGAGCTACAGAAGAACGTTGAGTTTTATCAAAACCCAAGGTATGTTCAGTGGCTCTGAAAATCGGCATTGGGTGCAGAATTACTTCTAGCAGAAGTGCGAATTCTGAAGACGGGGAATTAGACGTCGTCGCTTCGCAACTCAAGGAGCTGTCCTTGCAGGACACGAACTATTTCTGAATACCTCATTAAAACGTAGTAAACACTTGATTTAATGACAAAGATGTCTTACATTTTGCACTAAAAACGGGGATTAGAACTCTGTTTGTGTAAAGGTCGATACCGAAAGGTTACTTGTAGCACGTATAAAATAAATCGCACATCATACAATTAAATGGACAAACTAATTACTCGATGTGTATACTAAAAGTGTGTTCTTCCTTCAGAAGTTTGGGAACACGATATTAGTAGGGCCCACGCACTCGACTTATGGTACTGTGATCCGCTAGCCAGGGGCCGAATCCAGGACAACCATTTGATAAACCTTATACACCTTAGTAAAATGAGGAAAAATGTTAATAAAAAGAGCAATGCTGATATCCAGAAGCAATTAGTGCAAAAGGGGGAATCCATAAGAAAGTCACTTGAGCACATTGTAAAGCAAGATGCAAAGGCAAACACCAGCACTGTAGAGCGCAAAACAAAAACTAAAAAGAGCCTTATCTCAAAGAACAATGAAGCGATCAATAGTGATAGCGACAGCGATGACGACGTCAACATGGACCCATACAGGCTCAAAGACGCTTACTACATCAAACAAAGCACTAAGTACAAGAACAAGAAAAAGACCATGGTACTCGCAAGCAGAGGTATATCAAGCCTAGGAAGGCAACTCATGAAAGACATACGACTCCTACTCCCTCATCACAAAGAAGAGGTAACTGCCAATATCGTATTCATCAGCAAAAATGTGTAGTCAAAGTTAGAAAAAAAAGAATCGCACAAGGCAATAAATACATTAGCAGAACTTTCCGGGTATGTGTGCCTTATTGGTGCTAGTTTATTGTATTTATAGGTGCAACGGTGTCATCTTTATAGAGAGCCGCAAAAGCGAAATGATCATGTGGATCGCAAAAAGGCCAAACGGTCCAACTCTCAAGGGGAGATTAACAAACGGTTAGTGATTCAATTTCTATATTGACAAGGGTATAGTGCATACTCTGAGGGATTCGACATATTTCGGCAACTGTCTACTTTACTCCAGGCCGCTCGTCACCTTTGATGCCGCCTTTGATTCCGCGCCACATCTGCAGCTTATGAAGCAACTCATCATAAGCGTATTTGCAACGCCAAATAATCACCCAAAGAGCAAACCGTTTTGTGATCACTGCCTCTCGTTTTTCTACTTCGACGGACGCATCTTCTTCAGGCACTACCAAATTGCGCCAGAAAATGAGTTCGCGGTCAATAAGCCGGATAGGCAGGTACTGACGGAAATAGGTACGTAATATAACCTAAAATTAATTATATATCATCACGCAGGGCCGCAGTTTGTTCTAGAACCCATTCTGGCACTCGCAGGGAGTTTCAACGGAGCAGTGCTATGGGAAAATCCCAATTATATGTCTCCGATAATGGTAAGATTGAGCTAACGGTAAAGACAATCAATTTGAACACAGATGAGGAGGATCAAGAAAGAGGCTGACGCTTTAAGGAGACAAAAACAAGACTTAAACAGAAAGGTAGCTGTAGACAGTAAGACGAAAACACTCCGTACAGAACAAGATAGACGAAACAGAACTGCCAGAGGACGAATTGTCAAACTATAAGGTTTTCAGCGCTCCCAAATAAACGAGGGTGCGTATGTTCCCGCATGGGGAATTAATGTTTGGTGGATCGCAGCGTAGCCCGCCCGCGCCTAACGATCCAAAAGAAATGTATATGGTAAGGCTACCTCGATAAGAGGGAGCCCAAAATATGTCTCTTGGACTGATAAAAATGCCTTAATGGAATATATGTCCTTCTATACAGCCGATGCTGCATTCAGAAATAACGCGAGTACACCATAACCAGCCGGTGGTGCCAACGCGGTACGTATTTTTATATAATTGAAATTTTCCGGAAAAGTGGCCGGGCAACTCCCTTTTAGAGATGGCCCACACCACCAAGGAAAACAGGGATGTCTATTATCGCAAGGCTAAGGAAGATGGATACCGTGCTAGAAGCGCCTACAAACTAATACAAATATTCCAGGCGTATGGAATATTTCATCCGATCGCAAGGCTAGAGCAAGTAACGGAACTTCTACGGAAGACGAAGTGCGAGGCTTGCTGCCCACACGACGACCTCAAAGACGTCCGTAAGTTCGACATATGCGAGCCAAGGGCTGAAATATACCATTGCTCAAACCTCCCTCGCATCAGAAATGTAGTAGATCTATGCGCTGCGCCCGGTAGTTGGACGCAGTGTATCAGGGATTATGTCTATAATGAATATTTTGTCTACAAAGATGTTGCCAAGGCGCTTGGCAAAGAAAACCCTATTTGCATCAAACTTAAAGAAAGTTGTATGCTAAAACCCGTTATTATAGCTGTGGATTTGCAAGATATGGCACCAGTAAAGGGTGTCGAAATTCTAAAAGGAGACATCACCAACGAAAAGGTCATGGAAAATATCAAGGAACTGTTTGTCAAAAATGTGAGCAAACGGTTGCTAGAGTCCGCACAAAATAATCCTGAACTTGCGGATAGCAGCCTAGCTCAAATCATCACTTGTGACGGTGCCCCCGATGTCAGCGGGGTACATGAGACTGATGCGTACGTCCAGTCATGTCTAATCCGTGCAGCTATCAGTGTGTGCTCATCCATACTGGATCCAAACGGTCTGTTTGTATGTAAAGCATTCTGTAGTGATAGTGACGCGCCGATATATAGGCATGTCAACATTTTTTTCGACGACTTCAGCATACACAAACCCGCAGCATCTAGGTTCACAAGTGCAGAGTGCTTCGTAATTGCACGGGGATTCAAACCCATGGGACGAATTACGAGGGGGTTGAACGGATTTGTTCACACCGAAGTGCCCCCAGACGTCAAACACGAAGCAAAATGGCTAATACCACTGATGTGCTGTGGTGACCTGGGGGGATACGACAAAGCAGTAAACAGCTGACTTTGTAATATTTATCTTAGTTTCAAGCTATGTAGCCAATGGCATACATACCGACAGAGAGAGTCCGCAAGCAGCTGTATTAATGGGCCATTGCCACCGGATCGCTGCGATTTCACAGACACTTGGATTCGCCATTTTCCATCAGACGGTTCAATTGCCAACTCCATATAGTACATTTGGCTGGTACAATAATTGAGAACACTGTGTGTGTCACTTACCCGTCCGAATTCTGTGCGTATTGATACATCTTCGTAGCTCCGTGGTTTCTCCCTGACGCAAGCGTTGCGATATGGACGTCGAAAAGCATATCTTCGAGTGGTTCGATATTCAGGTCCTTAATGTCAGAAACAACTTCGTCTGTGCTCTGACAAATTAAATCGCATTCAAACCAATTCTTTTGATATTCCTCAGATAGTAAGGTACTAGGTACCACCAATTTAAGAGGACCCAGACAGTCGTCAAGCGTCATGTCAAATGAACTCCCATTCGTTGAATTGACTTCTAACGTCGTATCCTCAGCATATGAATGCACGGATTCCGCACAATCGTCACGGTCTGTAGTATGAACGTCAGATGTGGCTGACGAGGTGAAAATGTCGGTATCAACATCGCCGTAAGAATATGGGAAAAACCTTAACGGTGGCTTTCCCTGAGGCCTAACATCTTCAAACAGATCGAAACTGTTGAACGTTTCGCGCCAATTAGCACTTGGTAGAGAAATACCCAAATCGACCTGCACAATATAGATCTATTAGCCAAGATCATACCATTGAGTTCTCCAGCATCGAAGTGAAGTCCTGTTGAGACTCGGCCATCACAATCTTTTGTGCCATCTGCATTTCATGGCATAATGCTTGCGGTAGCCAACTCACTTCGATGTCCGTAGAAAGCATTGCGTAGTAGAAGCTTGCCATACCTATGAGGTCGGGGTCCTGACTCTCATTTATGATCTATATGAGGTGTAAGCATTGATGAAACACGACACACCTTGCAAAATAGTCGACGTATTGCGTTATACATTTCAGGGGGTCTCGTGAAAAAAAGTTTCACGGAAGCGCAAAGGAGTTCCTTGGTGATTTCAAGGCTTTCAGGCATCTCGATGATGTCTTCCAATGTGTAAGGCGCGTGTTCGACAACACCGCCGTATTCCCCTGAAACATGTCTTGACTTTAATGTAGTAACCTACCTAGTATCCATATGTAGTACGATAGCGCTTGGGGCTCTTTAATGTAGCCCCTATGATCCTCAACTATCTGCAGCAGCTTGTTTGAAGCGGCTGGGTAGACCCGTAGTAAAGCTTTGACGACGTACAATGCAGCGCTTATGATATAGGGGATCCGCAAACTAAAGACGACCGAAATCTAGAAAGTTGTCTAACACCGACCCATAACATACCTGAGATATTATCGTCTCCAAATGTCCCGGTGCTTTCAATGCAATTATACCCATTGCCTTCACAGATTTTGCTGCTATATCGTGATTAGTGTCCGATACGTATTCATTGAGGTCGTTTAAGATCTCTAAAGAGTTTTCCTGATAAATGTGAATGAAGGCGGGGTATATCGGCATACCTCACAAGCTATGGCAACCAGCAGATTCAGTTTCACATGTTTGATGTAAGACGGGTCATCATACCGAAAGAAGAACACCTCGTAATGGTCCGCGAAAGGTAACTTGTGGGTCGCTTCAGCGCCGTTTGAATCGGTGCCTACATCCTCCAGTTGAGGAGCTGCAACATGTGTAAAGAAACGCTTCAAGCCTACCGTTAACCACGATCAGTAATGTATTTAGAAGAATATTGTAAGCAATTTCATTGCATGATTGTGATAGAAGCGCAATCATGGGGATTTGCAGGCGACGAATAACCTCCAACTGTAACATGTCGTCGTGTGCTGTCCAAGTCAAAAAACACTTAGCAGTTGCCAAAAAGACAGCCGTCGATGTACAATTCAAAAGATCGTCAAGCAAGTTCAAAAGGTCAAATAACTCATCACCAACAGGTATATAGGTCTGCAGCAGTTTCAAGGTGAGACACTGTTGCCACTCGTTCATCTTCTTTATGCGATTGATTAGGTACACTACGCTGGGCTTAGTCAGTCTTAAATCATCCTCGGGTTCTATCATCTCACTATATATGCACAACGAGTCGAACATGACGTCAAGATTTAGTGACTTCACAGAGGACTGTAAATGTTGCAAAATGTCAGACCTATACTCTTCACACGTAACGTCCTCCAATCTCTCCTTTTTGGCGATTGCGCACTGTGATTTGTAAATACGTAAACTGCCTATAATGGCAGAACGTTTCACCGCATCAGAAGGGTCATGCAACTTCTTCAGTACAACATTTTTTGCGTAATCATTTGACAGCTTTGTGTCAAAAGCCGATATATTACGAATTGCCAAACACCGAATCACTGGGTCGACGTTCTCAACGTCCTTAAGCAGTGTATTGATGGTGAGGACAGTGAGATCTGGGTTATCCTTACTGTATGTTGAAAGGAACATATATATCATTTTCTTTTGTACGGGGTCAGTTGTATGCGATATCATAACTACATCCGTATAAAGCCGAGAGACATCCATTCCAAGGGTCATACACCTTATAAGACGCTTCAGAATTTCTCGACACTTTGCATTGTTGTCAGAGTTTGCGTATTCTAGGGACTGTCAAGCGAAAAACAGACAAACACACCATTTAAAGACGATGAAGACTTGTAGTCAGTTGCCATCTTTCGTAGCAATAGACGTAGTTCGCCAACCTCGCCCTGAAAAACATAGTACATCAAATCGGTAAACACACCTTTCGGTGGTCAACGAAGAACCCCGGTTTGAACTTTGGAGGCGCCAAACCAAACCTATCCATTGTTCCAGCCGGTATAGCAATCATTTTGAACTATAATTGCGATAATGAGTGATCTTATACATCGATGTGTGTCGCGACGCGTGTCTTCACGAATTTTACGGACAATAACATCTTCTCTTCGCTCATATGGATAATTTTCTGATTATTTTTGAAATTGCGGCTAATATTTTGTGTTAATATGTATATCAAGGTGGGTGTGTTCATACGGTGGTGTGATTTGGTTACCTGAGGACTGTGATTCCAATATTATTTCTATGATTTCCCATTCACAGATGGGCATAACCCAATCAGACAGGTAAAAAGGTGATATACACCTATACAGGTGTTCTGGAAAATGTTTCGCCGATCTTACAACCATATCGCAAGAACAGTATTGCTCAAGGGCAGCCCGGCAAACAGGGTCGCTACATGGAGCTTTGGTAAGCGCCAATATTTCCAGTTATACAATCAAACAGGTATATGTATATCTTTAGTATGGATTTACGTTAGTGAGAAGCGTAATCCACGTGCAAACGGGATTTTCTTTACAAAAAAGGAGGCGGAATATTTCTCCGAAGAAGAAATAGCTAAGTGGAATAAAAGAGTACGAGCACAAAGTACTTAAAATACGGCATCAAGACGCACATTTCTCAGATATATCAGCTCTTCATGTTTTTCAAAATCAAAATTCAAACTGTAGCTCAATATCCTGAATTTAGGTGTGATATGGACACTTGTATCGACTAACCTTCGTGAATTGTAGATAGGTAGCAGAGTTGTACGATGCGCTTTGCCACAAGAGTGCTTTATCCACCGTAGCTGAACATATATTGGTTCGCGTATTTCAATAGTTGTCGTGCTTGACACAGAAAGGGTCTGGGTAGCAAAATCGTAAGTTGCCCCGACCAATTCCAGATTATCCAATATTAACCGTTCTTTAGTGTATGAACAGTGGCAAGTGGACAATTGTTCACGGATATTTTCACAGTCAGACTCGACCGAGGGAACAATTCTAGCAATAAGTTCCAAATCGTCGGCCTTGACTCCCGATGAGCTTGAAACGAGTAACCTGAGGACGTCCAGAAATTTTTGCGGCTGTGAAAAAACGTTTAGATTGGCCTTAACAGGTTTCCCTGATGTTGGCAATGTTTGAAGCTTATTGCATTCTGCAACGATCAAATCCATGTCGTGTTCCCTGTAACAGTCGGCCCATTGCCCACGTAACGCTGTGACCAAAAGAGATCCTGGGTTCTCAAACAGATGAATCGGGAACTCACATGGTTCACTGTTTCCATGCGCCGTGAGAATATCTCCACGTGTACATGAAGGTGCGAATTCGCAGAGTTTGCCAACGCTGGATTGCAGAATCAACGTATCAACGCAATTAGGAAGGCCTATCATAGATGGAGCCGTGACCTTCGGTATTTGTTTAATCCAGTCCACAATATTCTCATTTGGCAGCTCAATGGGATATTGACCTGGTTCTATGAAAGTCAAAATGTCCCACATTATGTTGATATCGATGTCACACGAAAGCTTTGAAGCATAAATGCAGTGAACACGTTGACGCCATTCGTGAACCAGAGTAGCATCTCTGTGAAAGTCGGCGCTGATGTTGACAATTTGTTTCAAGTTGTCCTCGAAAAGATCCGCAAAACGTAACGTGGCGTTAAAGGCCAGAAGCAAATCGTTGTTGTCAAAAGTGTTTGGCTTGGTCCAACCGAATGGGATATACGCTTGACGACAGATCACTATGGCATGAACTAAAAGTGTTCTTAGCAACAAATGACATCTTCTGTTGTCAGGGTCGTCAAATAGTTGACCATAGGTCTGGAATAGTTGATTGAGAATTGAGTGAAGTGTATCCGCTCCTTGGTATACAATTTTGTAGCGACGTGTAAGAATCGTTCTATCCAAATCCACTGCGCTGTCCCAGGTAATGAAGACCTTGGGTCCATCTGACAGGCGTGGAAATTGAGATTCGAATTTTTCGAACCACCGAGGAACAAGATGCGCATTCTTAAGCAAAACCCAAAACCCCTTCGATAGAAGAGATTGCAGTCTTGATTCGATGGCGCTGCATTCTGAAGGAACCGACATCGCCAAAGCCTTAAAATCATGACCCTGTGATTTGGTGTATGATTCCACAAAATCAGTTGGGTCTTCGAAGCCCCTGGTTACAATTATAACCATGTTGAAATAATCAAATACATTAGTTGTTATTCCAAACGTTTCATTCGTATCGGAATATAAATATTCATGTTTCATGTTTTCAATATCCTGGAAAATCTTCACAGGATCGTTATGGAGAGACGAAACATCACTCAGCAGTTGTCTTATATCGTCACACGGCTTCACCTGGTTACAATATAAATTCAATAGCTCAAATCCCCAATACATACTGTCTTCAGCAAATATAGACTGGTTTATCCATTCAAAAATGATTTGCATAAAAGCTTTCTTGGGTTCGGCATTGCCACGAGATAATTTCATAGCGTGTATCAATAAGGATACATCGAAGAAGCAGAAGCTGCCCAATCTTCCCAATCGTTTCGTTATATTGTACGTTGCTGAAACGAGCGAGATGAAATCGGAATAGTTAGATTTTAATGAGTTAAAATTGTCGACTACCACGGTACACTCAGACAAGGAGCACTGTATTCTATCTCTTTCATTTTTGTACTCCGCAAAGTATGCAGACGTATCGTCATCCAAAATGTCTGTGGTATCCACAAGGAATCCTAGCAACCCGTCTTCTTGCAGACGGAGCTCACTGCTTAGTTCGGTGGCTGTTACAGTTACATCTTGATGTGCCTTATAAAGCAGGGGATCGGTTTCTTGCATCAAGATATCCATACAGTATGATTCAAAATTGTTTTCCGACATCTCGAGGTGTAATATGAGACATAATTCGCTGATGTTTAAAATATAATGCTCATCTTCATTTTGAGGGCTCCTGCAGCGAAGTAAGTCATCTGATGATATCTGTAGAATGATATTGAATCCACTACCAAATACTTTTGAGCGCACCTCGTTGAGTATTGCGCGCTTTACTGTTGTTGTTGAATATACTATGTCTGTTATAAGAAGAACGAGATTGCATTCCCTGCCTGCAGCAAGCATAGCCATAAAATGCTCATCACAGGCTGACACGACCTTATAAGGGCCTTCTATGAGAGGGGCATAAAGCATATCAGATGCATCCACGAGGATGCAATGACGATAGTCCATGTTGGCCTTGAGTATATGGCGTTCGAAATTCGGTATGGATAGGAAATCGTAATCATGGAGAACATCCTTTGCCGCAAAGAAATCGTTTATCATGCCGTAAAATTCCGTGCGTGTATGCGACTCTAAACTCCCAGAAAGTACCGATAGTGCTGCTTGCATAATAGAGTTGCCTAAGATACAGCGTTGTTTTGTTTCTAGAATATCTATCGCTTTCTTCCAGTGTTCCACTTCGTCGGAAAGATCCAGTAGTAATGACTCTGATTTTTCTATTCTTTCAGATGTCCTATTGATTTCAGACTGCATCGTGCTTATAGATTCAAGCAGTGCAGAGTAATCATCTTGGTATCGACTTATATCACCTTCAAGAGTCTCTATAAGGGTTGATTGTCTTTCAAGCATGGCCTCATTCTCTCTGTTCGACACTTTCAACCGTTCAACCTCTTCTAGTAAAGGGCGTACATTCATGGCTATCTCGCCATATGACATTACGGAGACAACCCATTTAGCAAGTGGGCCTGCGGCCTTTGAGGCTTTGCTTATTCTATTAATATCCCACTCAGGCTCTTCCACACAATTCTTCACGATATTAAATGTTGTAGGAGTTATAATTTGGGTGTCGAAGTGCAAAATCTTAGAAATGAAGTCTGAACTCTTGACCAACTTTCGGCAAAAGTCCCAAGATACATTGGTGCTTGTCGAATTGGTCAAAAGTATTACGACCGTTTCCAGCGTATGTTTTATGATAGAAGGTGGATTTCCCATAGAACGTAGCTCATCGAGACTCTTGCGGTTTATCGATTCTACCTCTCGCTGAGATTGTTCAATTAGCGGTGCGACCTCAGCGAGTTGAAGTTGGACTTCATCATTGCGTGTTTTCAAAATCGAACGCTCTTCTTCCAGTGAATCATTCAACTCTTCGGCTTCCTGCTTTTTTAATCCTGCCTCCGTTTGTAGTTGGCTGATCTGTTTTAGCTTTTTTTCGGCTTCTTCATTTTTTGCGACCAAAAATGTTCGCCGAGAATCTAGCATAGCCCTTAAGGACGACACCTCATCTTTAGCCCTCTCGATTTTTTCGAGCCCGGCACGGAGACGGGTATAGTCCTTTTGGGTTTGCGTTTCATGTTGTGATATCAGGTCTTTGGTGAATCTCACGTATAGCAGATAATCGCAGAAGTTAAAGACGCCACCATGCAACCCTATATAGAGATCATATACCTTGCGTAGGTCGAAGTTGTAATCCGTTGGCATAATGGCACATTGTATTTGAGTCATCAGTGATTGTGTCAGTCGAGGTACGTGCAAATAGAATCCTATATCTGAAAGAGTCGCATCGAAATATCTCATACGCGATGAAAATACGAACTTAAGGTTTCGATCTATATTGCCCAAGAGTGTTGAACGACAATTTGCGAAGTCAACTTCGGGCTGCTCCGACCCTTCTTGAACAAGTTGTTCGATCATTTCCCTCGTCACAAATCTCGTATAGTCCCTTTGTACAATCATGTTTTTAAGTTGGCCCACTACTTCTGGGCACTGTAAAACTAGGATGTCCCAATCGACGTACAAACATATTTTCTGGGATTGGAGGCCTGTGCCTTCGATGATTTTATCCATTCTCCCACTCCATAATGCATAGTCTAAGGTTAATAGCTTGTAACCACTCCCGCTTGACGGCGCTTGGCACAACAGTTCTCTTATATGCATGGTAGAACCCGTTATACTCAGAGCGTTGCATGGATGCTCAAAAAATTCTCTTATGAAGTAGCATACCTCCTTGAAGTCTTCAATAGTTGTCAAATCTGTCGAAAGAAAGAATGGTGACTCAAAGTCTCTTTTTTTCATTTCACATGGCTTCATATCGAAATCCGTAATGGAAGGGAAATAACCGTATTTGTATTTAATCAATGTCCCGAGTAACCAGCAAGAATGAGGGTCAAAATTGGCTTCCTTCATAATTGTTTGGTATATTGTAATGTCGTCTGTTATATCAATGCACTTTTCCTTTAGAAATGTCCTCACGCCATCGTAAAATTTATAGGCCAGATTATTATTCGATATGAAAGAGTCATCTGCCTCATGCTCAAAAATTGAGCTGCCTGGGCTAATGCCTTCCTCAGACATATAGTTGCAGAGGTCGACATTGATAACTGGCAACAACCTCTTTAAACGGTTAGGAATCATGTCATAACCTGAATGGCGCGTCGCGATTGCAATAAATATGTCTTGTAAGTATACTGTTATCCAAGAGTCGACCTCATCTCTCATCTGAAATGAATTAAACTCGATTAGTTCACGAAGAAGTGGCCAGAAACCGTTTTTCCCCGAACCCTTTGTTACGCATTCGACATCCTGAATTAATAGAAACATTTTTGACGCGCCATTCACTTGTTCCCTTGGTGTCATTACATAATGGGAGTCTACTCTGTTCATGTTGGTAGACTGATACAAAACTTCCAGGAGAGCAGAATGACCACTATCCCGAGAAAGATACAAAGTTTTCACAAACCATCCTTCTAGAGATAGAACGACGTTTGTTATGATTGAATTGGAGGTATAGGATTGGCATCCACACAAAACGAAAGACATTGAAGACTTTAGAAATGTCGTTATAATCATGTCAAGCTTTGTGGCATGTGACGTCCCCAAAATGGCATCTTCAATTTCCCTATACGAATCTATATTTCTGTCACGTCTTTGGCTTGTTATATCCACATTTCTGATTAAATCCTGATATCCTAATTGTCCCATGTCTGTCCCAAAACCATTTACAAAGGAGAATATAAAGTGTGGTAGGTCTGGTTTTTCATCGTAAAGACGCTTGAAACACCCATAACGAAATAACCGCAAATCCTGGTCAATGATCTCAAAGTAATCGGCGTAATGCGGCAATTTCTGCAATTTACCATCATTTTCAAATCGCACTAACGCACAACGGGACATAGTGGCAAGGGTGACGTACTTCAAGCTGTTTGTTTCAAACAAAACTATTATATTAGATGTGAGTTGGATACGATTCCCGTTGTTTAATGTCAAAACCAAGTTGTCATCTAGTAAGGAGTTCATGCTTTCCACCCATGATGAATTCATATCACCATCGAAAACAATTACAACCTTACGACCGGAATCAGTGTACTTACGCATGAAATAGGTAAATAACCCATCGTGCCATACGCCGCTATTGGAGCTGCCATATAAGTTGGCGATGTCCAACGCATTAGGATCGAAACGTACGATGTCGTATGCGGTACCTTCTAAATCTCCAGCGATATCCAATGTCACCTTTAAGCATAAAGTTTTTCCGGATCCTGATGGGCCATACAAAATGATTCCTTTAGATTTTTCCAAAAGATGAAACAGCTGCAGTGCCTTTTCCTTCAGGTAATCACCCTCAACTACGTCGCCGAATTTTGTTGCTAGTTTATTCATAAACGACGCGTCCCTATCCGCCAATACCGGACAAAGCTGATTAAACTCTAAGGATGAGTTCAAGGACAAACAAGCGCTGAGTATACGATCTAGTATCTCCTGTTCAACCAATGGAAACCGTGGCGAGAGTGTAAAATATAAAGCCCGCTCTAAAATATATTCCATGTGTTGTCCATTATTCGTCAACTCACTCTCATTCATGGAATTGATTATTCTACGTACGTAACAAAGTATCGCTTTCGAACACCGCAACCCAAAATCGTATATTCCGTCGCCGAAGCAAATACGACAGCAATTCAAAATATCCCACAACTGGTTAGAAATTTTGTTTGAACCCGTGATACCATTTAACTCCAACATCACATGTATTATCTCTTTCAAATCCACCTTTTCCATGACAATTGGTCTGCAAAGCATTCTCATATTCAGAGGAAAACTGCTACGGCTAATATAGCCCGGGTTTATTGTAACGAAAATGCCCACATTGCGGTTTAATTGGATTTCTCTATCAACTAAGTTGATGTGGTTGATGTCATTCTTTTGACAAATCACAATTTGCTGGATTTTTTCAGCAATAGAAGAGAGTACACCTTCAACAAGCCTATTGAACTCATCGAAGATTCCCCAAGCTCCCAGTTGGCATAATCCAGCAAATGTACGTTCTACGGAAGCTGAATCCAAGCCTTCATTACAATTGAAGACCCAAGATGGATAACCACATAAGCTTGCCAAGGCCTTTACACTCTCCGTTTTCCCTGTGCCTGCTGGGCCCTGTGGGTTAGCTATGAGGCAATTCTGCATTGCTTCCGCGATGGACGTTAGGCATTTTTCAGTCAGTGATGTCACGATTAGATTAGCTCCTATACCCAGAAACTCATAGCCATACGGATAGACTTTGGACCCAATACGCAGCTCGACAAAACCAGACGGATTGATGTAATAACGAATGCAGCGTTGCCAACTTGAACAATGTTTCTGCGTTGTACCTAGCAGCTGTGTTTTCTGCAGCTGGTATATTAGAAATATTGAGAGCTTTTCCAGTTTTTGTAACACTGTAGCATCTCTCTCGAGATGGCTCGCAGCACATTTGATGAACGAATTTAGCAATGACTCCAAACGTTCAAAATCTCGATATGACGTCATTAGCTCCATCATCCTGGTCCACATTATTGATTGTGATACTATAAGAGCTTGAGAAATAGAGCTGGCCACCCATTTACAGTACGATCTGGAATCAAAAGTATCACATGAGTAAATGTCTTCCAACTGTTGGATGCTAGACATGATTTGTGACTGTATGGTTTCTTTAATGGCTTCATCCAATCTCAATATGAGTTCGTTTGGTTCAATGCCTAGTATGGGTATTTTTTTATGCAAAAGCATTACTTCTGAATCCTTGGATTTGACAGAAGATATAACTCCATCTTCAACATTAAAGCTAGCAACTCCGGGGAACATTTTGGATATATTGTCCGCCATGTACTCAGCGGTGCCCATTCCTATGATATGAAAAAGTTCATTGTCACGAAGGAAGAAGTAACGAGGACAAAGGAAACGTTGGTCATCCAAATACGACCTCAGTTTGTCCTCCAACAAACCGATTCTGGATGCCATATCTGACAGACTACCCAACCATTGCGATGCGTTAGAAAGGTATTTTGTCGTTCCAACCAGCGAATCCTGATGCTTTATCAACTGTTTCAAATCTTCACATTGCTGAACTAATTTCTGCTGTACGATGGGCGATGCAAAAATGTTTGTTATATACTTTAATTTGTTTTCAACTAACACCCATTCTTCTATAAAAGTCCGAGTCGACGATAATTTATTTATCCAATCGGCAAGATCACCTTTTATTTCACCAGCGTAAGCTGAGCTTATGTAGGTGTTCAAGAACGCTATAGAATCATCTATATAATACAACAGTGATTCACCATTTTGCAGTTTCCAGATTAGACTCTTGTTGCATCCTTCCTGCTCGGCAACCCCTAAAGAAATATCCTCGGAAAGCCACAAAAATTCTGTAGATTGCCATTTAGCGCTGAGTTGGTCGATGTAGTCATTGGCAGCTTTGTGAAATTCGAGAGCTTTTACTATTTCTTTGAGCTCCATGCAGTACTTTTCGTTTACCGCCAGCCAATATTTCAGCGTCAAGGTACCTGCGACATCGGTGAGTGAAAAGGTGCTTGATCCTACAAGAGTTTTCACGCACTCTATAAACTTCTGGTCGTCGAGAAAAGCAACCACGTTGCCATTTAGCAGCGTTTCCAGGGCCTTGATTTTGTTTTCCATACCTTTCCATAGCAAATTCATCTTGCCCAAACCTTCTTTCACCGTTGCCACCTCCTGCCGTATCCTCGGAAGTGCTTTTTGAGTTGGTTCAGACTTTAAAATGTCTTCATATTGAATAAGGAAGATACTTGCATCGCTCCACTGCTTCTTGTATTGTACTATCTCTTCCATGCACGCAAGTATGTGATCCATTCCGTGGTCTTGAGTCGCCTCAATATCTAACGTGACTCGGAGGATATCATGCAGGGTTAACATATGTTTTTTCACGATATGACAGTTAGTTTCGAGTTCTGTGAGAAGCGGAACTACAACCCCGTTGTCTACACGATCGTTATCAATGTTATCCTTAAGTTTCCTCCATTGTAAGCGAAGAAGCTCTTGGATGTTCCCGTAAACCTCAGGTAATTCAACAATTGTTTCCCTGATGTTACGGAAAATGGTGTCCGATGTACGAGTAGCAAGCAACGCCAGGTGTCCTATACGGCGTTTTATCTTCTCTGAAAATATCCAGGCCCCGGGTAGCTCTACACTGCATTTTTTAGACCTCCTCTCTAAGAATAGAAGAGATTCCGCCAATTCTAACCATTCTGCTTGATGTTTGTTAAGATTCTGAGTTGCTATACATATATCATATATAGGTTTGAAAGAGTTTTCCAGCGATGTACAATCCTGGATGTAGCTATCAACCAGGACTGCTAGGCCAGATTTGTTGGGGCGCTCCGCCTTTAATTTTTCGACCAAACCGTCGAATGTTGCGTAATCAAACTCGTTAGCTATTTGGCATGGCTCAATTGATACATTTGGGTCATGCGTAACCTGAGTGGCCATAGATGGGGAATTGCTGGGGCTGACTGCTGCCTCGGCCAGGGTGTCAGAGCCGAAGGCCTTTTCGATATTAGAGAGACTGTTCTCCAATTCTTGGCTTGAAATGAGGGCCATTTCGCATATTAAACTGATTATAGAACGTTCTAAGCGTTTTGTTTTTTGTTTGTGAGTTTCATCTGGTATTGATATTGTTAGAGGTCCTACTGGATTCGCTACAAAACGGCACTGCAATATCCCATCCAACTCTTTTACCAAGGTGGAAATGTCAGCCGTGTCTTGACGCTGCCTTTCGAAGTGTCTTTGCCAGTTCAACTCAAAGTTTTTCCATTGGTTGAACTGCTCCTCAAGGTGTGACAATATCGAGTTCATCTCACCTTTGGCATCGTTTAATTGATTGTTAATATTCTTATACAATTCATCATGCTCAGAAGAAGAAAAAACTTGAATTTCCTCTACAACTTCCCTCGTAATATTCGTTTTTGATTCCAAGTTCTCATACAACCTTTGTTGCACTACCTCTAGCGGAGGCTCCATTAGAGGTTCTTCATAGACTTCAATGAATCGAACTACCAAATCATCTGTAACTAGCTCATCGTTGGCATAAGTAGACAAACAACCGTTAATCGCTTGACTTAGCCTGAATTATCCAATTAATTTCGCTTGGTTCATTTAAACCTACCATTGATTGATGATTTTAGTTACTTTCTCTTTGAGATAGACCTCATGAATGACGTTTCTTTCGCTTTCATTCGAACTAAAAAACAATGTTAATGGCTTCAATTGCCGTGATAATGTTTGCAAGACCTCCGTCAACGTGAGTGATGGTGCGTGTGCATAAATAACATCGCCGATTGATTCCATCGCAACCATATGAGAAAACTCCAAAAAACGACTGTTCAAAATCTTGTAAATTGCTTCTATTGTGTTGGGATTGAATAGGTTGTCCCATCTGTTAGTTTCTAAGGCCCCTGCCAAGTCTTCTGGAAGTTCTAGTGTAGTTTTCCAATTCTCGTCGTTATCTTTCGATTTGTGTCTTCCCATAAAGGAAAGCGCCTCAACTATGTGTTTAATTGCCAAAACTATAGATAGAGAGGAATCCATTTGACATCTAGGGACATTCTTAAGTGAGAGGGCAGAAAAATTCATGTAGGTACAAGTAGTTACATATTCCAACGAATCGGTGAAAGGAATGTTGACATTATCAGCCGTACCTTGTACATGTTCACTGTATGGTCTAATGGCCGTTTTGCAGATGCCCATTCCATCTTCTTTGACATCTTGAGATTTAATGTCCATGATACCTACGTCCAGAGAATCTACTGCATCTTGAAGAGGGCGAAGGCTATCTGCGTCAACAAAATGACCCAACAATACTAGGAGGTGCTGTATAGCCTGAATAACTTTTAGCATTAAGAAGCCTGGCTTACCTCCAATTTTCCCTTCATCCTGGCAATGTTCAGTACCCCATTAGCTGTATCATTTATAGGAACATAGCAGAACATCGTTTGCAAGTCGCCCTTCAGCATAAGGCATTGTGATTCCACACATTTCACTTCACTCCATACGAGATTCAGTATATTTCCAAAGACATCCACTCCAAATTTAGTTCCATCACAAATTGACAGTCCCCTGGCGTAAGACAGGAGTTGAGGTATGCCCTGAATTCTATTAACATCACCAATAAGAGCAGAAAATTCTTGTTTCACAAGCAGTTCCACTTGGTTTAAGATGTATACAAATGAATTGATGCAGGGGTAAATATTCTTAAAGTCCAAAACGTTCGTATCACGCAGCTTCTTCTTAACATTTGACAAAAAGCAGGTATATAATTGCTTAGCTGAGTCTACAGACTGCTTTTCTAAATCTGTAGTAGTTTTCTTGGGTACGCCATATCCATCACGACAAATGTTGCCATATAAACGTTTAAGTTCCATAAGGATCTTTACATCTTTAACAGTTGTTTCATGTTTTGGCTCACATTGGTGAAAAGAATGTAAAACCTCTTGCGTTTCCGACACTAAAGTTGTTGATGGTATTACAGATAACGAAATAGAGGTTCCTATATCCCCTTCCAATGAATTCTTAAGATGGGTGATACCAGTTTTCCAGGCATTTAAGATCTCATCCAGGTCTTGGGCTGGGAATGTATACAGGTCCTTAGATGATGCAAAATCTATGGAATCACGAAAAATCACATAGCAAGAATGAAGCATATCCGTAGTTAGCCCTAAGACCATTTCCGTAAGTTTTCTGCTGCTGTAGTGCTTGAGATACTTAGCTTTAGCCAAATGTTTCAAGACTAGTTCAACGGCTTCCTTGAGAACATATATGTTATTAGCCTCTCTTAGAGCACTCACCGGGAATCCTTGCATTAGAATATTTATATTCTCTACGTAATTAAGCAGCTCTGACGTTGTGTCAACGGCGTCCCCAAAGCAATATATATTATCTACATCCACCATGTTAAATTCCAAAAGTCCTAGGGTGTATTCAACGGTAGTCGATCCAATTCGTTCATGCAGATCCGTTAGTGCGTTTTCATAGTTGAGCCAGAAGTTAACTTCTTCCTGAACATTCATGGGCATCTCGCAGCCAGTGACGGAGGAAATGGACCAACTGTTACGCATGATTAGATCAAGATTTTGAGAGTCTGATTCGCTCCCAGATTCGTAGACCAATGAGTCCGTGGAATCCGAGGACGTGGCTGAGGACGAGTCACTATACACAGAATTTGACGATTCCGTACCCGCAATGTTATCATCAGTTGTGTCCGAACAGCTGGATTCAGACACATCACTTAACACCGACCGATATAAACCCAAAATACGCGCTACTTCGGCTGACCACTCTACTACATTATGTTTGATATCTTCCAACATGACATCGTTCGGTATTTGGATATTCCAATTCTTTGCGCCAGTGCCTACATACATGGCAACTCTGCTTAAGGATTCTCCCACAGCAAAATGAGCATGGCGTATACTTGACTGAGATTCAACCTGCTGCAGAATGTTGCTGACGCGGTTGATTCCATTGAGTGCGTCGTTAAGGCAGCAATGCCGATTGTTGTCATAGCCACATTTGTATTTTTCATTTTCTAGTAACGGATATATCATATCCTCTAAGAATCTGAGTGCTGTTTTGCAAGGTGAAACTCCAGGTTTCCATACGAATGGTAAGATGTGCCACGGAATGGTCTCTACATCTGCGTTCTTCAACGGTTTGATTTCATTTACGGCAATGAAAGCAACCGCTTCTTTCTCTTCATTGAATAAGTCTTCCCATCCGGCTTGCAGTAATATCTCCTTCTTTTCACCTGTCTGATTTGACCTTTGTGCTGCAACCACTAATGCACTATTCTTATGATAGCCACCCAAAAGGACGCTTCGAACAAATTTTTCATTCTTAGCAAGACATTCGACCACATCATTATATTCTAGATCGAGATATGAGGCTGATACGTCAGCAACGTGTTTGACAGCTCTCATAAATATGCCGTGGCCCACGGCGCCGTTGCTTACGGTTTCACCTTCTGAGAGGCTGGTATTCATGATGTTTTGACGTCATTTGCTCTCTATATGCAGACTCGTATGACATAATGCTCGCTTGAGACGTTTGTAAGAGAGCGAAATTGTTTTACACCTCGACATGCATAGTGTTATTAAAATTTTTTTGGTACGGTTCGTTTAGAAAGATTCGAAAAACTAATGCAATGTGTATTACATACTCTTAGGTGATAATGCTGCGACAATTGTCATCATGCAGATCACTTCTGTAGCAGTTCAGGCATTACGCTACGCGATGCCACAGCGCACAGGTCCTCGTCGGCACATGAGTCAGCACTTACGTTTACCAATGGTTACACATGTCTATTCGACTTCTCTTTTGTGGCCATTTTGGGGTAATAATGTATATGTCTTTATTATTTGCATGATATTTTGACACATTTACGAAAAGATTAAAATATGGCCAATTGTTTGCGGTCAATCGACGCCAAAGGCACCGTCAAATTGGAATCATTTGTACTAGAGCAGATTTTACGACTATTAAGTGCCGGTAAACGATCGACGATGGTTTGCGTTAAACTTTTTTGCGAGACAGAGGTCTCATTTGTCATATGGGCCAGCCTTTTCCGTAGTGCATTAAATGAGCACCAAAAAAATCGATTGAAATATGGGCATTAACATGTCCGTTTTTTATATGAATGTATCCCACGTTAGGCAGATCTCTGCGTCTTCCTGGTGGCGTGTGGGTATATCGCTGTCGCGGCGGTTAGTACGGAAGGCTGCCACACGACAGCCTTAATTACAACTAACCAAAGACAAATCAGCCTAAGAAGATGCCCGTATATATTTGAGGTATCGCAATATTGTTTAACCAGCTCCACGCGGCACTTTCTAGAATGTGCAGTGGACTTGTTGCTTCAAATAGACACAATACTTTAACTACTCGCGTCGTACTATGCGTATGTTTGAGTCATTATGCACATTGGCACTTTTTACAGAGTATTTCGCGCAGGAGTCAACTAAAAGATCATACCAGGATGCGATGGGTTGCTTAATCCAAGATGCCGTTTCGCTAAGAAAGCGACAGAAGCTGCTGTTCTCAAAACTCTATTCGCATATCCAAACTCTGGTAAACCTGGTAGAGGTAAGTCATATTATAACAGTTAAGCGACGTGTTTACCAGGAAACGGCCACCAGTCTCACTGCTACTTCCACCCAAGCACAGTCATCAGATAGTCTCAACTTGAGCTGCAGCAGCGCTCTGTCCAATCATGGAGCACTGGATAACACACCTAATGGCATTTCCGAAAAACCCGCTGAGCCAAAGCAGTCTGAAGTACGCCTCGACATTGTTGTACCCCCCGAAGTAATTGAGGATAAAAATGGACACAACGAGCCAGATATTGCACTTCAGGAGAAACTTACCGCCCTAGCTGCTGAGGTCCGAGCTTTAGATGCACACAGACATGGAATGATAAACTACCGTGAATTCAAATCTCATTATGTGAATTTGGGTGCGGAGTTGTTCAAATCAGGGGAGGTGAAGGACATCGACCTTCTTCCCCGAATTTCCTTTGACGAGCAGTTGATTGTTCAAATGATTGGTATGCATCTTTTGCATTATGGGTTATTTGACGTATATTACGAGCTAGAAGCCGAGATTATTAAACGCTGGGGGCTGGATTGCCGAGCCCTTGTTTCGGGTGCTGTGTTCAGCGCGTACAAAATGTTGCACAAGCTGCTTGCACGCTTACGTAATAACGATATCCAGTCACTTATCGATTGGGCCACCAAGCAGCGAACGGAGTCTCATATACATGAAGGACGCTTCAACGCTCTTTTGATGAATCTGCATAAGGTTCATCTTTTGGGTGACCTTTATGTTTCATCTGAGGGGGTAATGGGTGTGAAAGAGTTTCAGATATCTCCGGAACGCATTTTGCAAGTTCAGAAAAGCCAGCTGTCGCATATGTGGGAATCTCACAGTACAGATATAGGAAAGTTGATGACACAGGCCCTATTAGGTGAGAATCTTCCAAGTGTCTCTGACTTTGTCCAATTGAAGCATGCCACCGAGAAAATGTTTATAAAACTCTTTTGTGAGAGCGGAGTTAAGGTCAAAAAGTCAGAAAAAAACATTGCGCATTTACTCGATCGCAACCAATTGGTCGTCGGGATGGATGGTCAGAAGTTGCGGCGTGATAGGAAGAATTTCGTGCGCAAGAAGGGTAAGAAAGCCAATGAAACCGGGCTTCATGATGAGGACTTTCTCTTCGCTGATAATTTCATCAGGAGGCCTCTTATCGGAAAACCTAAAGCTATACTCCCTAAGCTATCGTGGCTAGCTCTGCTTGAAAAAGAGTGCTCTGCGTCCGCTAATTTTTGGTCTTCCGCCGATGAAAGCAAAAATCATTTGTTTGCATTGCCAAAATGCCGTCCTAAAACTTTGGGAAAAGGTTGGTTGCGTTCAATCGATGGCTGCACCTCTTCACCTCGCCGGTTTCCAAGGCTCTGTTTTTCTAGACTGCAAGCTTCGTCCTTATCTCACGGCAATCATATTAAGACAGTCAAACGGTGTATAGCGGGTATATTCTATCCTGTGCACCAGTTTTACCATGTTAGGACTATATGTGCTGCGCGCAATGACCCAGAGACTGCTTGTCGCCAGCTTATACTGCAACCGTCGAAGTCGGATTCACGTTCCGTAGCTCTGTCTCGGGTCTATTCATCGGAATCATGTGATGCAACGCTAACGGCAGGTGATGAGGCTTCTGGCGAAGCACGGGTACGCTCTGCGGCAACCGCCGTGTTGATTGCAGCGAGTGAGCTTGCGGATGATTCCTATATAAACATCTCCAACATAAGGCAGCTTTCTATGTTAGCGAATTCCCCCTACCTTCGGCAACAAGCATTGCCACCACGTCAACAACAACAGCCTCAGGACGATGTTGCGATGGATTCACAGCCTGATGCACATCCTACGCTATCGTTAACTCTGTTGACAGGTTCGCCGCTTCTTCGGGACAACACGTTTACTTCATTCTTAGGGGAAAGGGATTCTCAGCAACGTGTTATGTCTGCTGGTGGTGGGCGTATCCGCATAACATTCCCGCCGCGTATAGAGCCATCCGATTTCCATACATCGCACGTTCGTCGTAGTACCGGTCGGGGTCTACGCATTCGCCCGTCCGATCCCTCTCTTGCCCATATTGATTCTAATGCGACTGCGGCACTTGGTGAGGAGATTGCTATTTCGTCTGGGTCCCGGGAACCCGCAAACATCAATGTTAGGGTACGTTTTCATATCGTTGTGGCTGACATGTGCAGGGTATTCTACGTCTTATAATGCGCGGTATTGTGGGTGATTCGTTACCAAATGCGGATGCGATGATACAATTGGCTCCAGATGCTGGCACTGAGCTTCCTAGCACGGGTGTTCGGCAGGATCACGATCCACCTGTGGATAAGAAAGATGAGCCTGTTGCGCAATGCCCCGAGGAAACGACCAAAGGCAGCTTTAAGACTGCGTACGAACGCGATGATTCAGGTGATTATGTACGAATATTCCTACCATACGAGAGGTAAGCTTATTTAAAATGGATTTAATAGTATTTCTTAGCCCGATATCTGTACTGATTTGCGCTGGCTATCTCTTGTACCCCCGCCTTATTGACGTAGTTGGGATGCAACGTATGAATGAGAGTATATCGTCGGAGTTCGGTTCATTGATGCGATCATTCAAGCAGCTGCCTATAGAGTCGGACCTGGGTCCAGCGTTTTGGTTTCACAGCTACTTGACATGTCCCATATCGAAGGATCAAACTTGTAGCCATAACCTGCCGGTTATGCTTCTATGTGGCCACGTGATTTGCAGTCTTTGCGCTGCAAACTTCGCCAGTAGTCGTCGCAAACTACAGTTCAAGTGTCCCATGTGCCCTCAGATGATCACCCCCGGCGAGGTTAGTTGGCACTTGTGCCTGTGTAATAAGCTTCAGGTGAAAAAGCTATTTTTGGACTGGAATTCTTGCGGGTTAGATGATTCTCATTAAGTGGTTGTTTTACCGCCCATATTTACTGAGTCACTTGTGGGTTAACGGTGGCGCCATGTGCGGTTGTGTAGAAGCGGTGTTAGACAAAATTCTAATAGATTATTACTTAACATTCTTTTCGTTCGATGGGCGGCGATAGGCGTTCTACAAGTAGATACGGCGCCGCTACCGGGAACGCGTCGCGAAGCCACGCAAAATGGGCTTCCGATTCGTGTTCTCCGTACACCTTATTCCGTAATAGCTTACATGATGCCATAATCGATGCATATCTACAAAGCAATATTTCACGACAAGAAGGTTTGACCCGTGATCAGTTGGTTGCCGTTGCAGAGAAGCCTGTGTCGGAGCATTTTCATAGTTATCTTTGCTGCTCTATATGTTACGAGAATGCGCTCATTTGTGCTGTTGGTACATGTACACACGTGTTGTGTTTCCTTTGTATGATGCGCTTAAAGAATTTTTATGACGATTGTAATGTCTACGAATGTTCCTACTGCAAGCAAGAGTCTGACGTTCTCGTTGTATGCGCAAACCCTTTTTTCGCGCATTTATGCGTTGACTCCACACTATACACGCACAATGGCACAGCCGAGCTAAGCAGCTGGGGTCTGGAGACATTGTTGCGTATACTGGGGGTTGACACATCAGATGATCGAAGCTTACTATCGCGAGATATCGTCAATGTCAAGGAGTTTCACCATATATTTATCGAATCAGCTAAGAAGATGAGCGCACGTGCGATGAAATCGTTCAATACGAATATGCAACAACTGCTGCATAAAACTCAACAGTTGTCAATTGAGAAACCTGAGCAACGTGAGCCGTTTCACCACGTATACAACGTACGGCACCCTCGACCACGAGTCCAAGGAGGCATGGTGTTTGTTGGTGCCCATCGCATGTTGTTTGAGAGCCCAAGTATATATTTGTTGTTCCGAGCGGTGGGAACTGCCGTGTGTTGGGCCCCTGACTGCAAATCATTATGGAATTCTTCTTCGTTATCGACGATGGAGGATATAGACAAGGCCGTTGAGGTTTTGGCGAAAAGTCGTTATGGGTCATATATGTCGTTGAGCAAGCACTTAAAGTCCAAGCATGGCCTAGTGATCTGCGACATTTGTCATCGACATTTCTGCTTTAAGAGGTTTATATGCGAGATGCCGTTATACAGGCTTCAAGACATCAAGAACCACGTTAAGCAAGGTGATCCAGATGAGGTCCCACCAATTCCAGCACATGTGATTTGCAGCGGATGCAATCGTTTACAGTGGGACCTTGCGGAACTAAAAAGCCATGCCAAAATGGATCACTTCTTTTGCAATTTGTGTGATTCTGAGGGATCATCGTGCGAGATATATACTGATTATGATACTTTGTTCAGTCATTTTAGAACGTATCACTATCCGTGTGAAGAACAGGATTGCATGTTCGTAGTATTTCCAGACGACATACAGTTACAACTTCACTATATGTCCAAGCACCCTCATAGACAGCGACCATCTACGCCGCGCAAACCTAAAGTACCTCCGAGAGTCGCCGGAGACCAAGTTCCGGGGACCAAGCCAACAAAACACATCTGCCCGCTTCCCAGCAACTGCTTACCATGGGATGGTAATATTCGTATCATACGGGAAGCTGAGCCTCCGCGTGAGGACCATGTGTCGTTGCCAGAGAAGGCACCCGTTTCTAAGGAGTTCGAGGAATGGTTGAGAAAGCATCCCTACTTAACGGATCCTCAGCTAAGTGGTATCGACAAAAGTCAGGAACTGTTTGATGTCTACGTAAAAAGTTTGATAAACCTTAACCTCGATTCCACGGTTAAAGAATTCGATTACGATACGTTCAATGTGAAGTGCGCGGTCCGTGTGATGAATGATTTGCAGCGTGTTCTAGAAATTCTAAAGTCAGGGTCCATTCCTGTTACTGGAGTTGTAGACCACTTGCCCTCAGATTTTCGGTCGCATATGGATGATTTGTTGGTTGAACTCCGTTCGAAGTACAACTCCTTAGTTGATTCATCTATCTCATGTTATTCACCCGCCGAACGTCCCACGACACTCCTGGATGTTGTAAAGAGCTCATTAGCTTCCGTTCTTGTTTTTGTCTACAGCATCGATTTTCACGAAGGCGTGAAATTGCCACGTTCGGTTAGACCTTTGTCAGAAGAGCACCGCGCCTCTCCTAACGCACTGATATTGCTGAATACGTTAGAGGAGATGATTCAATCTACGAATAGGATTTTAATTAAACAGTCATTTGATTGGGTGATCAAATCTTTGGATACCGCTGTTAGAAGTGCTTCTGCTACAAAACAGCCATCAGCTTCTCTTTCTGCCATGGTGAGCAAGAAAACGAAGCAAAGGATTGGATTTTCTTTAGACATGCTCGATCCTGGGCGCAACCTTGCGAAGGAAATCGGTCAACACAAACAGCAGAAACGACAACAACAGATTGCACAAAAGTTAGAACGCAAGACTACGGCTTGGGGCAAAGTACCAGAAGCAATACCACAACCTGTGCCTAAGGCGATGCCTGAGCCGGTGGCACCATCGTCGCCGGTACTGGATTCTGAGCCTGCCCCGAATACGGAATCACCTGTGGTGGAAAATGAGATCTATGTGATGTCGGTCGAGGAAAGTTTCAAGCAAAGTGTGAATCTCGACTTCTTTACTGCAATGATTAACGTCATTCGAAGCGCTCTTTCTGCAAACGCCTCAAAGTACCAGGCATTGTCTACCGACTACCGCTTGCGTGGAACCCTGCGTATGAAGCTCGACCAGCTGGTTATGTCTGGACCTCGTAGGTTCACGTTGTTATCTGAGTTTGTACCTATGCAAGTTCTCGAATTGCTCCAGGCGCTTGAACCTGAGTTTTACCGTTTGGTTAAGGAGGCCAAATACTCGGACATTGATGCTTTGGCTAAAACGTGGAGCTCACGTTGTGCATATGCCCTACGCCGATGCCGTATAGAGCATCTTGAGATCATCGACTACTATCTTAATGCTAAAACTACGGCAATGGCGTTGCTCAATGACTCTGAGTTTCCGGTTCTCGGAGACGGGAATGCCCAGCAGCACACCAAAACTCGGCGTAACTACGCTCAGGCGCTAAACGTTCAGTCTTCGTCGAAGTTTGTGTTACTGGATTCCGAGTTTCCAGCACTGAGATAGTCTGTGGAACATAGTAAGGTATTATTTTTAAAATGTGCATGTATTAGTTCATTAGTTTCTATACTATCCCCAGGTGTCGAAAATGATTTTGCCTCCCAAGACAGCGCTCTCCATGAACTTGTCTGCCGCTCTATTTCCAAACCCTGCGTGCTCCACCAGTAGATCCCTGAGCCTCTGCGTAACTTGCTTTGGCATGGGATGGGACCTTCCTGATATTACTATCATTCCTTTCACCATGATGTCCAACACATGGTTTGCATACTTGCCTATGGCATCTTGGACGTAGACTTTGCGTCCAGTTTCCCTGGAGTACACGACGTGGACATCACACCATAAATTGAGCAACCTCAAATCTCCAAGGTAAAGATGGTCTTGTTTTCTGCGCCTGAACCCAATCAACGCAAGGTCTCTGACCTTTGGGCGTCTAAAATTTTGGTTCCACATTTGTGTAAGCATCTCCACCCTAGCCTCTAATAAAGGCTTGCAGGCAGCAATGCCAGTGCCTGTGCATATGAAGAGTACTGGTGTATTGACTTCTAGCAACATCTTTGGAAGTTCCGACTTGAAGATTCTAAACCTTATAAGACTACCTGGAGCTGCATTCTTCAGCAATTCGGAGGCCTGTCCTTGTACTTCACGTTTATATGGCGTATTGTGTGTTACGTTCGCGACGCATAATTCCATGATCCCCGTCTTGGACCTTTTACGCATTAGGAAGCCTTTAAAGGCGCCATATGAAAGTTCGTTCGTTGCCAAGTCATGCATTGAAGTCCAATACCTGGATATACCGATGGTTGTGGGTATCGATGCAATGGAATACATCCTCGGGTAATATGGCGTGGCGATATTTACAAGTACTTGCAGCGGCAGACTCACCGAGTTGAAATCGCGTAGAACTTCGAGCAAACTTCTGTGTTCATCCTTGCAATATCGGTTGTACTCTGCGCATCCGTCCACTGTGAAGGACGCCATTTCAAGCAGTTTGTCCCTGTGGATTTCTACATCAGCAAATGCCGCCATGACGTACATTTGCCACTGCGTGCATATGTTATCCAAGGATAAGAATTCGACGAATAACGTTTGCAGCTTTATGGCTTTACCCTCGAAAGGCAGCTGTTCCTGTTTTTCGGTGCAACTTATGACATTGGTTAGAAGTTCTAAGTCTCGATTGAATTCCAAACGGCCGTTTTCTTCGCGGGATATCACAATGACCTCCTGCGGGTCGTATCCCAATGATTGCAACGCCAATTTCACCGCACCCGGATCGCCTGTAGGATAAAGGCAACACACATCTCCTACGTCATAGTTTTGGCCATTGCAGTCGATCAGGAGATTCCTCACCGGTCTGAAATGGTCATCGGAAGTGATCAGCTCATTTGCCAGTACGGTCCCTTTAGTGGCCCTTATATCAATCAAGTCATCTGCCCCCTCATTGCCAAGCCTCTTCATTGTGAGTTCGAAGCACAAAGAGGGTGGATTACCCAGTTCTTCGGTTGAGAAAAGCTCAGTTAAGCCCGATATCCACGTGATGAACTCTCCAAGATGTCCCAGCGGATGTTGATCATCCCCGTATGCAACGGCGTAAAAGCAGCTGGCACCGGCAGATTCTAGTAGTGCTACAAGTTTCCTTGCTGAATAGTTGAATAGAGGGTATCTTGAATCTCCAAGTCCGAATACTGTATATCTAACAACTGATCCAGTTTTTTGAGTTTTGAGCTCAACGGCCAATGGTTGTATGGCATGCGGGAATTCGCCGTAGGCAGCCGTTGACACTATAAAGATGCAACGATCGTAACTCGCCAGTATTTTAGTGGTCACCCGAGCTGCTGATCTTACCGTTATGTCTAACCCTAGTTGGTGCAGCTTGAGGTAAGTTGAGTATGCTAGCGCCTCGGCACATCCGGTTTCGGTGCCGTACACAACAAGGATTCTCATAGCATTAACGTTTCATTATAGCATATGTTACCGCAGAGCCATTATTACGCTGGCAATAAGGAATTCAGCACAGTAATACTATTCCCGTTGTTGTGCCTTATGCCACTCAAAGCCCGTTTGGACAGCAACGGATTCAATTTAAGAGGTGAATGAATTTTTTAGCACACCTAACCTCACACTGCAGTTCATGTAGACGGATATTGCGCTTGATATCGTCGTTGAGTTGTTGTTTGACTAGGTGCTCAGCTGTTGGCTTTGGCCCTTCAGTCATATCCTCACCAAGTATCTCTCCTACGAGTTCGGCGACAGCGGCTTCACCTGGATTTTTCTTAAAAGTAAGTGCATCCTTCGATGGTACCGACGTTATGTTGCTCGGCAATAGCGATTCCAATGATGCAGCCTTCAGTTCCTCTCGGAGAGCCAGTCCCGCGCACTGGTCATAGCACTCACCATATGCAGTTGCGAAACGCAAAGCGCGGTTGGCCTCTGCTGTCAGGTTGTACTCGATATGTTCTATATATTATGCGAGGTTGTCTATTTTCACTTACCCTCCTTTGCCTTGCGTTCTTCCCCGAGGAGCCGCTCATACTTGTGGAGATCCTTGAACTCCTCGGGAACTTTCTGAGCGTTCCCGGTAAAGACGGACTTTATGCGATCCAAGAAACTCAGAGCGCCCATCTAGAGTAACTCGTGTGCAAAATATATTGCGATCAACTGGCAGCGCGCGTCAGCCTTCCGGTGGTGTGTTGCACGTCAGGCAGATATACAAGTATTGTTACTCTATCGGTGTGCTGCTACTATTAGGTACATAATCTTTATTTATCGAGCACGACATCTGTATCTGTGCTCTTGTCTTGCGACTCCGATAGGGCTTCATGTCCGTCAGCGTCGTACATCGCATGGATGCGGTTACAGGCACAATTGTAAGCTTCAACCTTACGGTTGTACCGCTTTGTAGCGAATAGCTGCTCGCCAACCCTGAATTTGCGGTGAGAGGAGTTATCCGATTCACCCACCTGTTGAGATTATCGATATGCCGCTGTATATCTTGTGATTTTCCACGCCTCGCTGCCAGCGCATAGAGGGGAAGGAATGCGCACAGTTGGCTCTGTGTCGCTACGTTTGCTATGAACTCAGCGAGTGAGTCAAACTCCACCATGTTCATTGAGCAGAAGCCTATCCTCGTGAGGCACAGCCAGAGGTAATCTGTAGGACTCCTAAGGTGTACCAGATTCATGCTGCACCGTAATAACCTATTTGTATGATCTAACCACTCACCGCTTTATTTCTTCATATAACACTGGTTTGACAACTGGTCTAGAAGCCTTGCGCTGCACGCACCCAGCAATTATTTTAATGGCCACCTGCAGACCATATATTTCCGTACTTAGCATCATACCATCTTTTTGAAGAGAGTGGTAATATTCGAGGTCTTCATAAGTATTCCCATAACGGTGCTGTTCATGAATTTGAATTTCCCGTGTAGTTTTTCCAGGAGCGACATACTATGCTTATGACCATCTGCCGCGGACCGTTTTTCCAAGATTGTGCCCATGCGTTGAATCGATTCTCTTGGGTCGAGATACTTTCCGTGAAATGGGTCGAAGATTTTTCGTATGATCGCACTGGCCTCTGCTAGTTATGACGCTTGTTCCTTTTAGCAAAACTCACCTTTTATACCTTCACTGTCGCTCTGCAGATCAATTGCCCTGTAAAACTCGGAACAAGTTGTCAGGAACTTCTTCAATTTCCCAATATCCACTCTTGGTAGATACATGAGCAAGAGTTCATGGAATGTGACCTCAGAATCTGTGGAGCCCATATGCACGTTTTCTTGTGTCGTTTTGGGTGCCATCACATTTGTGAGAAACGGAGGGAGATCACTGTCCGCCGCCCGTGCAGTTTTATCTACGGGGTAGACGTAAGAGAGCAGTTTCCCCAGAGATACAGGTTTGCCTGTGCTCTTTGTTGGTCTCAAAAACGCTTTACAACAACACGATTCACCTGTGAGCTGCAAATCACCTTCGAAAAGGTATTTGAATGCCGCTACGTAATGTGATGACAGACCTGTATCATGGTGAGTTTATATCAGTATCTGTACTTACCAAGTGCCAACAATGCTAACCAATCATCTGTTTCATTATGAGTCGATACGAGCACTGCATTTGCATCTTTGAGAACTTGGAGTGTATGGTTCACAATGGCGTTTGTGACCATTGGGTGACTTAACATGAAAGCCACATCAAATAATTCCATGTCATTTTTGATCCTTGGTATATGCAGTTTTTGTTCTTTCTTTGGTTTTGTAATTTTATAGAGCATTTCGCTGGGGAGTTTGGAAGAGCTTCCATCGGCTATGCTCGTAATCAGGTGAACTACAGGAGCGAATGGCTCAATCTCCTGCATTTCTGCTGGTTGTACCATATAAAATTCCTGGTATGCGATTGTAAGGGAGTGTCTTATTGCACTGAGGTTCCAGAATCCGTTTCCTGAGCACCTTATTTCGCTGGCACTTTTGACAGTTTCATCTGCATTCTTCTCTAGATTGTATACCAGCCCTATTGCCATTTCTGCATACTGTTTGTATGCAGCGTATGGATCATCTCCTTCTGATTGTAATAGCTTAAATTTCACAACATCAATTGGCATACATTCGAACCATATCCCATAATTGATGTCTTTATTTTTTTCGTGCGTCGTGCTGGCAGATTTCGCCGTTAGTACGCTCCGCATGAACATAACTCTGATGATTTGTTGCACTAGAAAGTATATGATCCGTGAGCTCTGGGTTTTTGGAGGGCCTATGAGTTTTACAATGTCTGCAATGATACTTTTGTACTCATTGTGGTAGCCACTGTATAATGGGTTATCCTTCATGTCATCCTCTAAAATACCAAGATCCAGTAAGAATAGCCCCTCTTCTATTAGCGGCGCTACTGTTTCATATAATTTTTCCGGTGACGCAGCGAGTATTTTACGTTTTACCCCTAGGGTGGCAATATCGAAGAAGTGCGTGGCAGACGATGTATTTCCAAGTAGTTTTGCCATTGCGAAAGGCGGTATATCTCCGAGTTTGTCTAGCACATCGCATAGCAACGGCTGTATTTCTGTGACTTGGAACATTGCGATCATTTTCTCTGCTAGTGCCGTAAGCTTATCCTTATCATCCGCCGACTTTTTGATAAGTGTGGATAGTAGTTTACCCAAATGATTTCGGAAAACTTCTTTGTATGTGACATTTGCAGTAACTCCATTAAGTTTCAGTAAATCTACTATAGCTTTGGCAACCTGTTGTCTATGACTGTTTTGTTAGTTTTTGTCCTACCGGATCAGAGAATCCTTGGGATTCTTGCCACAGCCGACATGCACGCACACCTGGGTTGGCATGATGTGACTTCTTGCGTAGCTTGTAGTTGTCTATACACATTAATCGCGACATTGCGTGTCTCACCTTCGATCCACTTGATGAGTGTCCTCCTACCTGCTGGTCCGCAATGCAGTCCTGGTGTTACCGTGATTGAAGAGGCTTCGCCGTGTGCCGTTATAGAATCACTGTGTTGCAACGCTCTGTCTCTTGAGCGTGCATCGCCATCGCGCTCGAGATTGAACTCGACGCTCCAGCCACTATGGCCGGCCGGGTAGACCATATGCAGCCCGCTCTCTATATATCTGTTTCAAATAAAAATGTGTCATTTTACGGTCACACTTATTGTGTCCATTTGCGCGGTTGCGTATCGGTAGGTTTGTTTGCCTGCTGTACAGTCGCACACTCCGCTATATAAACGCTACGTGGGACCCTTTCTCAAGGAAGGTTGACTTCATAAATATACAGTGGTCTACTATTTGCGGTTATAACAGTAGCAGGTCACCTGATCGGTAGTTTACCATGCTTACACCTTTTCGCGTCATCACGCCGCTGTCTACTAGGGCTCGGTTTATCCCCGTTATCGTCTAAAACCTCAACATAACGGTACCGTTTGAAGATTCCTTGTTTGAACTTGCAACAGTATTTAATCCAATCAAATTGTTTGAAATTGTGTATTATCGAGTGTGCTTGGCGTGCACAAGTGCATAACCGCAGATTTCAGCCCCTCAATCATCGCCCTTTAATCTCAGGCATAAAGTATGGGTCTCGATCATATTGTAATAGGTTCTGTATCTGCTGATACATCCCTTCGACTAGAGTTCGCAAGCTAGGTTACGGCTACCGCGGCTGATCCCTAAGGTCAAAGGCGCAGCACCTTTCACCAGTTGTTGAGCGTCATGATCCCGTTACTTAGAAGGCTACGCATCTTGATTGGCCTCAGAACTTGCAGATTCTGCCTGGGATTCGGCTTCCTTCGGTTTTTGGTAGACATAAATATGTCCCTTTTTGTTCCTAAAACATTTAAAGAAGTTAGAAGCACTCTTACTTGTAAAGTGAGCTGAACTTGAGTCCTGCATTAACCTTTTGTGCTGCCTTAACTAGTTTGTGGGTGTTAACGAATGGCAATTTCACCACATGCTCCCATTCATTGGTTTTACCGTCTTCATTGATTTCGAACTCAGTAGGAAAGTATTGATGAAGTTCACCATCAGACGTAGACAATTGTCTGTATGATGGTGGTAGCAGTTCGTTACCATTTGGCGGTGAAACTGCTAGCAAATGTTCTAGCGGCGTGATAGGCCCTCCCTTGTTGAATGTGACATCTACTGTCGACACTTCGGCAAGGTCCGACACCAGCGGTGCATAATGGTACCTGTAGCTCCTGCAAAGGTTTGTGACTTCAGAGATATCTTGACATACCAGTCCCAACTCGGGCAGTCATGGTGATAGTAGCTGAGTATCCAAAATAGCCCCTGTATATGTGTCACTAAAAGCAAACAGTTGTAAGTTACCTTTAAGTAATCGATACACATGCGTCTGATATTGGCTTTTCCATACACCTGGCACTTTTGCGTATGATAATAATCGGCGTACAACTTGGGACTGCTATACTCACTGACGTCTTCAACTTGAGCCCTTTCCTTGAACCATTTCATTTCGTATTTCGAAAGCGCCTTGAAAAGCGTCTGAAGCCTTGGAATATGTATTTTGAGTCCATCCGTTAGAAATCCTTTCCACTTTTGCATGAGTACATAGTAGGTTGTTATCATTTCCAAGAAGCTTTGGTTTGCGAAATCTACCGTTGGGAGTCTTGGCAAGAAGTCGTTACCTGACAGACATTGATACTATTTATTGAATTTGAGCCCTTACCAGCTAGGAAAGATAGAAGTACGAAGTCGTCTGTTAGCCTGTACGGTGCCTCCGGTCTGTTCAGGAAGGCGAAGCTAGCTGTGCGAAACTTCATCATCAGATGTTTGAGGCAATGTTCGTACATCCTCTTCCGAAGTGTTCTAAGTGATACTACTTCGAAGTTTGTTTTTTTTAGGTCGATGAAGTCCCATTTATGTAGGTGTACAATACCTGTGTCTGTGGCGAAGTATGGCTCTCCTTTTTTTTTGCAGACTACATGTGGCGCGTAGTTCCTTTCCTCTCTCAATACCTTGATGTTTGGCATTTTAAGTGCCATTGATAGCATCATAAGGTCTGCATCTAGACCGTATACCAGATGCATCTCTTTGCGGGCGTGTCTACTTGCCTTGTTCATTTTGCGTATACACTGGAATATTTTATGTTCACCCTCTCCAGGCACTGTAACTCCATTGTATACCACTGAGCACTTGCCAAAGAATCCCTCTACTGTTTTGAGTGCGAGCCAATTTGCGACTTCGTTGTCGAGTATCTGCATGAAGTCTGTGCCAGGGGAGATGTGATTGGGGTTGAATGTGACATTATCGTATTCGTCAAACGGCAACCTTTGTGCGACATATGTATCTCCGTTTTCGCTGCTGACTTGGCTACATATTTCAGCCTGCAAATTTTGGTATGATACGGGCGTCATCTTACCAGTTGATCTACGTTCTTCGATATCCTGAATCTACGTCCTCGTTGCTGATTGATTTTGGCTGTTGGACAGACCCCGTCGACTCCCATATAGAGCATTTTTTTTGGTTTTACAACGTTGAATAGCATTTCTATTGCTGAAGTGATACGTCGGAGTCGTTGTTCATTTTCCATCTGTACTATAGGTGACATGTTTCCATGTGTTGCAACATGTATAATTGCATTCATATCGATGTAAAAGTGGTCCACTGGCCGTTCTGTTGACGATATTGGCGTTTAATAACGGAACGTACTATCTATTGCCTTTTCCAGCCCTGTTTTGAAGTTCCCAAAGTGTTCCTGTAGCCAGGAGAAAAGCCGAGGTACGCCAAAGCACTACATAAATATCAGTGTTTGAGTGATATACCAACCCTGAAGTCACGATCACGTGTCTTCCCTTCCTCATCATTTTCTGTATTTCGCGACGAGTTATAATTATGTCTTGTAGATGATGCCGGTGGAGAGAGAAATGCAATTCTTTTCGAATTCACGTGTCCTCCTAATACAGTCACCCTGACTTGTTGAAATACACCGATTATAGAACATATTGCTATGGCAAGTGCGGTCGCCCTGTGCCGCAAAATCATTTGCGTCCTTCGCGGCCGCTATTCACCTTGCATCTGAATTATTCTACCAATGTCTAAATAACGTCCATTATGTATATGTTCCATATCTGGAACTGTAGCTGCAATGCTTTTCGAGTTCTTTGCTGTGAAGTCTATCGGTGTCTTCCACGGTAACATTATACATTAGTTAATCTCAGCCTATATTTCGTAACAATTAAACTAAATTCACCAGTTATCTATATACAGTTGTTCAGAAGCCGCTAATCTGTATTATAATGTGACCAATTAGCTGCGTAATAGGTCGTGACATCTGGGTAATAATTGGTGGTACTTATATTTACACAGTGATAGTAGTGCTGAAATATTCTTTTTAAATACTGGCTAACTAGGTGTGTGTTGTGACTCCGTGGTTTTCTCCGTCGGAGATATAGCAGCGCGCTGTCGTTTTCCACCTTTTCACTGGTTTTCCTTCAGGATGGCATAGCTTCATCGTTTGAAGTGGCACATAGTTTTTGTTTGATATGTTAGTTTGTAAATTGTGTATATTATGCCATTGACGACTTCACAACATCGTTTGTGTAGTGTGTCGTGTCGCGCAGGGGTATTGGCGTGCGATCGCTGAATATCAGAGGCCATGGTTTGCGCACGTTTTCCGCAAAATTTCTACAACACCGCAGATGCCTTGAGCCATAGCTGGGTATATGCGGCGTTATAGCGATGGCGGATCCTAGCGCCTCGACCCCTGGCGATACGTCCGTGCAGGGTATGTTTGGCATCGGTTGTTGTCAATTTTTGTCAGGCGAGATATCGCTGGAACATATCGCTAATCGCAAAGACGACTGCGTGCGTTTCTTGGAAAAGCGGAGTTTGGAGCTTCTGTGTTTCACCTATTCGTCAAGTCCGGAGAGGGCGCAAGAATTTAATCGAGTTCTCGAAGACGATTTAGATCGCATATTGCTCGACGCACACAAGCAACTTGCCATTTATAGGCTCTATGGTGAGGAGGGAGGTAGCACATTTTCTAAAACACGCCTGCGTCAACTGGAGACCATAACTCGTGAGGCTGAGCAGTGCTATGAGCGTTTCGAAGCTGCGAAACGCAACAACCCAAACCCTTCTATAACGGCTATTGTACCTATTTTTGGTACAGATGACCTGGAAAACCGTGTACGTCAGAGTCTTGCGGAGCAAGAAAATGTGAATAAGGCGTTTTCTAACCTTATGGATAATTGCAAACGTTTACTTGAAAGTTCAGAGCAGATGCGTAAGATGTTGCGTAATTTGAGGGATCAAAATCAATTGATATTTTACAAACAGGTACAGCTATCGTCGTTGATCGATGGTATGTGTTTTTTCCAAAAATTTCAGCAATGTTTCTTTAGAGGTGGCAACATTTACGGGTGTTTGTGTTCGCGATAAGGTCGCCGAAGACCTCCACGCGGCATGTTTGTCTCAAGCGGCATCTGAGTTTACTGTAGAAGGTTGGCTACGGAAGATCAAGGAATGCCAGGCCACCATGCAGACCATTCGAACTGAGGCCCTCACATTCTTTCGTCAGAAAGAATCGACACCTGGTAAGGAGCAATCACTATTAAGTGAGGAGGATCGAAAGGCCATCCAGTCGACTATTTCAGGCAACACGGCTAGCATTTTACAACTTATGCGCGGCGCTGAGTCGCTGCGCCAGCAACTGTCGCGTGATGCCTAAGCTATCATCGCCGTCGCTTTTGCGACTTCAACGGGGTTAATATATTTATATAATCTGGTAACTATTACACAGAGCTTTCATGTCTGGATTTGCCGGATAACGTCGAGTTGCGGCCGTTTGACCTCAACGATCTGTCACGTCTAGAGCTTACTGTTCGTGCGCCCGAGGGTATTTGGCGTGACATCCCCGTAAGGTTCGAATGTGTAATTCCTGAGGGTTATCCTCATGAGCGTTTACGCGTACGTTGTTTAAGTGCGGTAGGTGTGTCTGGTTGCGTGGCTGAGTTTGTATAGATTCGACACCCGAACATCCTGGGTTCAGATGCACCTAAATGTGCTGGAGCTGTCTGTTTAAATATTGTGCGTGAGGACTGGCGTCCTGTGTATACTGTGGGCACTGCTGCGTTGGGTCTGCTTAATTTGCTTGTTGAGCCTCAGGCGTTTGAGCCTCTTGACGCGGAAGCTGGAGAGCTACTTCATCGCAATCCAGGTCGTCTACGAGAACTTAGCTTACGTAGTAATGTCTAATTCTAGATGTGTTACGGTATGGTGGTCGGTGTTGCTTGGCGTGGGGACGGCGCGTGCCTGTCCTTCGCACATTTTAGTTCTTGTTTAGTGGCAAGATGGGTAACACTCAAGGAGATTTGAACCAAAACCAAGGTAAGTAATATACCTGGCCAATTTTCGGTTTTAGGTTCCCTATCCCTATCATATTTCATGTGCGTTTAGAGAACAAGAACGGTAACAATGATGGTACCCCTAGGGAGAAGCCGCCACCTCCCGTCTTTGGTAAAAATAAGAAGAAGCAGCAACGCAACTTCGCACCGATTCGTATCCCTACAGGTGTGTTTTACTTTTGATTGGCTGTTTTTCATCATGGTCACTTTATATCGCGTTTTTCTCTAGTGGTCTGAGTGTTATTTGTGCCATATATTAGACTTTAAACCACAGTTTATGTCTGTCGATGATGTATGAAATTTATTTAAATATGCTATGGGTTTCTCTTTTCCTGTCACTAGTTTTGGCATCTTGGCGAAAATGTTCCAACTTGTATGCCATTGTGTTATTCGATCTCTGCCATTTTTGTAAAATGTTTGGAACGGTATCTATTTGATATTATGTGCTACGTACTTTATGGGTGTGGTCATGCGTGTACACATGTTTCAATGTCATTATTTCCTACTTATTTCCCCCATGTGTAACGGGGTTTTGTCTTGCTGTACTTGCTATCTGTGCATAATCTAATGGCTGAACAGTGACACCGAGCACTAAATGTCGTTTACGGCTTCTAAAGCTTGAGCGTATAAAAGACTATCTACTGCTTGAGGAGGAGTATGTGGCTAACAAGATACGTTTGAACCCTACAAAGAACAAGAACCAAGATGATCTTGTTCGTTTGGAGGACTTGCGCGGCAGTCCTATGAGTGTGGGTACTATGGAGGAGATGATCGACGACAACCATGCTATCGTTACGAGTTCTATGGGCCCGGAGTATTATGTCAACATTTTATCGTTCGTTGATAAGACTTTGTTGGAGCCCGGCTGTTCTGTGCTTTTGCACAACAAGACCAACAGCGTTGTTGGTATATTGCTTGACGACGTCGATCCTTTGGTGTCTCTGATGAAGGTCGAGCGTGCACCTCTTGAGTCTTATTCTGACATCGGTGGTCTGGAGGAGCAGATTCAGGAGATCAAGGAGGCTGTTGAGCTCCCACTGACCCATCCTGAGCTGTATGAGGAGGTTGGCATTCGTCCACCTAAAGGTGTAATTCTCTACGGGCCTCCAGGTACTGGCAAGACCCTGCTTGCTAAGGCGGTTGCCAATGAGACCTGCGCGACATTTTTGCGTGTTGTTGGTTCGGAATTAATTCAGAAGTATTTGGGTGAGGGTCCCAAATTGGTGCGTGAGATGTTCCGCGTTGCGGAAGAGAATGCCCCTTCTATCATTTTCATTGATGAGATCGATGCAATCGGTACCAAGCGTTACGACGCTACAAGTGGCGGTGAGAAGGAGATCCAGCGTACCATGTTGGAGTTGTTAAACCAGCTTGATGGTTTTGACCCTCAAGCTGACGTGAAGGTGATAATGGCTACCAACCGTATCGAATCTTTGGATCCCGCACTTATTCGTCCGGGTCGTATCGATCGTAAGATTCAGCTTCCTAATCCTGATACTAAGACCAAGCGTAAGATTTTCGAGATTCACACTTCTAAAATGACCATGGCTCAAGATGTTGATTTGGAAGAGTTTGTGAACACGAAGGATGACCTTAGCGGTGCTGATATCAAGGCTATTTGCACTGAAGCAGGTTTACTTGCACTTCGTGAGCGCCGTATGCAAATAACACAGGCGGACTTACGCAAAGCTCGTGAGAAGGCACTCCAGCTGAAGAAGGGCAATATCCCGGAGAGCCTTTACTGTTAGCTTACATCTGCATTAAATGTATGCATAGACACCTTGGCGTATTCTACATCAGCGGTGTTAGCGGTATGCTATCAGGTTTAGTCATATCATCTTGTGCCGTGTAGGATGTGCGCAATGCGGACAACAATGGTGTGCCTGGATAATTACTAAAAGTGTATTTTACTGTTATATGTATTCATTGTTGGCGATGCTCTTGCTGGAAGTTTTTGTCACACAGTAGGTATACCTTTGACATTTGGTTATCTAGGTGTAGGACAGTCATCGGTGTCGACACAGTGTGTTCCGCATAGAATCACGCCGAATACCACCGCTAATATTGTCAAACGACTATTTATTGTTGTTAGTATATTATTTACCGTAGCTCACTTCGATATTTATGCGGGTCTGTGTTGTCGTGCGCTTGTCGGCAGCCTCTAGCACAACGTACCACACCAAGGTACAATTTGATTTGTATATTACACATTTCAGGATTATTCCACAATATAAGCGATTGTTGTGAAACAAACTCGCCCTTTGAAGCGATGCCTATCGCTTTTGTACGTGTTGCGCATCGTCGTCCCTGTTAGTCAAAATGACTACTAGTGAGGGGTTGCGGCGCGACCCTTACGACGAGGCGGAAAAGTAAGGGGAAATATGTTTGTTTTAACCATATGTAGCACGGTCCGGCGTAATATCCGTAAGCTTATTGTGCTGCAATCACAAGTGCTTGAGGAGCTGAGGTATTTTTAATTGTCGCTTGTGCTGATTTTTCCAGGACTCTTCCACCAAATACGAGTATCTCGTCAACGTCCAAGGGAGCTGAGCTGTTGAACGTCTGCACCGGCGTCGAGAACGACATCGGGGAGTTACAGAAGGTTATCGATACTATAAAAGCTAATAAGGACAAGTACCGTATTCCACCAAAGGTTCTTGCTGCACGCCAATCAACTATCGACGAGTTCCGCTCTAAGATCAAGGGTGTACACGATCGCAACCAAGTAGTATGTACACATATATTGGCTTACATATTTCTCAGGCTACGCATTCCTCGACGAGCGCATCTAGGCAGTTTGGAAGCAATCTAGCACAGCATCAGCTGCAGACTCAAAAGGTAGGTGATATTGATTGTTACAAGGGATGATGGTTTTCCAGGACCTTTTGGAACAGCAGGATGCTCATATCACAGTTCTCTCTACTTCTGCACAAAATTTACACGCCAATGCGCGTGCGATTAATGTGGAAGTGTCGAGCCAGAATGCTTTGCTGCGTAGCGTAGATGCTGGATTTGAGGAAACGCAGCTTCGTCTGAACGCTCTAAGCAAACGTATGGCTGTGTTTTTGGATACAAACAACCCGTCACTGCTGAAGCTGGTGATGACCCTGTTGATGATCGCTATTTTTCTTCTTCTGGTGATCATCGTGTTCTAGAGACAATTAAATTGTGTAATATATATATATATACATATATATATATATATCGAGCTTCAAATCTGGGACAGCTCATATTCGCATAAGAATGGATTAGTTTCTTAAATGTTAGGTTTATCGCAGAAGCGTTAATATTTATATCAAGTCACACCAAAATGTTGCAAAGCATGTATAACTGATGCTTAGCAGGTAGCGGCTATATGTACCAGAGTTCAGGTGAACTCGAATGTACGGTCCCTTAGATGCCTGAACATATGCGGTTTTTGACGCACCAGCCTGTCAAGATTTTGTTTTCCAAGCATTTCCAGACATCTGTAGTCGATCGTCGCCGCGCCTTGTGGGCATGATAGGCCACGGCAGAGGAAGTTGGCCTCTCCTGGTTTGCCGCAATGGAAACACTTTAGACAGGCTTTAATTTTCTTTGGTACAGACAGCCACGGGTTTACACGTCGTTTACGCCAGTCGTTTGTGCGATGGTAGTAATCTACCATTTCTCCTCTGTCATTGCATCGTTGTCTTCCCCATTTATGGCGGAATGAGCATTGTTGGCATCTCATAGCGTCGCATCGTTGTTTGGAGTTTGCCGTACGTGCGCATGATATGAGCCCACAGAAGAAGCATACAGACCGTTTTCTTCGATAAAAATGTGCAAGAAAGGTCTTGTGGCATTTTTGCTGTACTTGCATCTTAACACTGTCGCTGGCTAGGAAATAGCGCCTCCCAGCGCTTACAAGACCAGCGGACAGATTCTCCCTCGCAAGTCTGAATAAGCGTGGGAATGGCACCGACGAACACATCTGTACGTGCTCTATATCGGCCACAATATTGCTTAGTTTCTTGGTATTCACCTCCAACCTGATGGCATCATTGCCTCGAGCGTCAACGGTTTCCACGGTTTTCTGTTGGGCAGGGTCCGTTATGTTAGTTTCTTCTAATGCGATTTTCCTGCGCAACCCTGTAAGTCTCAGTTCGTTATCCTTTTTTCTCTTGGTTGTATTGCTTTCCGAAACAGGCGGTTGTGGTTTTGGCATCGGCGGGCCCATCAGTCTTTGTGCTTTCCTTGATCCTCCTTCGCCACGGTCTATTGTAGTTGCCGAAGGTGAAGGTGACTTGGCATCAATCGGTTCTTTGACGACATCAGGTGATTCTACAGATGATACATCTGATATCTCCGATAGGACCCCCGTTGATCCGTTAATTGTATTAACGACATCACACGATACGCAGAAATCCTCACTGACGATTGAGTTGTATATGAACCTTCTTAGTTCTAGGACAGTACTGCGATGTAGTTCAGACTCCTGTTGAGTGAGCGGTCTCCGTATTATTGTAAGGGGTGCTACATGGGTTGCATATGAAACGTCTAGGGTGACTGATTTTTCTACAACAGGTTTACTATTGGTTGCTGAGTCCTTTATGTTGATAGCACAGTCATTAAGTTCTTCTTCTACTTCCTGCACGAACCCTTCTCCGTCTACGTCGATGTAGAAGGGGTTACCACCCTTCTCTAGTCTATCTTGTTTCGTCATAAGATAAAAATGGATGAAAAATTATCAGTGTTGTGCCGGCAACCGTTGATTACTCCACGAGGCCGCGGCCGTTAAGAGGGCTACCGGTGATGTGTAACGTTAGGTGTATTTTATAAACGAGGTTATTTGACATCTTAATTATCCAACTTTACTAAGTATCTTCTTTAGTGCCTTGACTTCTCCTTTAGATTCGGTTGCCTGTTACTATTTGCGACATACACAGTACGACCTACCTTTTGGCGTATTACTTCTGTGAGACCCTTGTGTCTAAGTGGGTTCAATGCCATCGGCGCTGCTATGAAGCACTCCGCTATAGCTGCCAGTTGTCCAGCTGAGAATTCGGTACCTTGCTGTAGCCTTCGCTGCAACAATATCGCTATGACATCTATGGCATCATGTTGGTCTAGGGAAAATGCCAAGTAGTGTAAAACATCTATTAGAGTCTGATTTTCGGCGGTTTCCAGCTGCACAATATCTATTCCTTCTGTCTAGTCTTTTGTACGTACCTGTTGGAAACTCGAACGTTCTAGCATTTCGATAACCTGTGCTGCTAGGTCCCCTCTATTAAGGTTACACCTATCAAATACGGAGAGTACATTTCCCAATAGGTTAATATCTTGCATGAACGTCAGAGAGAACAATCGTGATCCATCTATTTGTTTTGTGCTGGCACTATTGTATGTTGTAATTTCTGCCAACACACGATCTAGGTAGATTGTCAGAGCTTCTATGAGTTCCGGTGCATTCGGCGAGAATAGTGTGAAGAGTGTCTGGAGTACCTGTGGAATCCCTCCACAGGTAATTTCGTTCACCCTCCTCTTGCATTCGTTGAGAAGCTCGAACCTAACCCTTGAATCTGGCTTGAAATTCCTCACACAATTGAGCAACAATATCTGTAGCAGCGTCAACTGTTACGACATAGGTGCATCATTAACATGTTAAGGTTATGCCCTTGATTACTCAACCCATGTATATCTTACCTGTACGAACTCATCGCTACTGCTGGTCTTGATAAATGAGTTTGCTGTTTCTATCAAATGTAACACTGCAGCTCTTGTACTGGGGAAATAATTTTTTTCTCCATCTTGCTGTCTTAGAAACATCTCAGCTTTTTCATATATATCAGTTTCCAGTGCTACTGCATGTAGCGGCAATTTACTGCGAGGCTTCCAAACGACTCGGATATTGTTGGCGATGCTTGTCAGAAGGAATAGGAAGTGTGATCTGTCCTTGCTGAGCTCTTCGACGTTTGACGCTAGTTGGGTCAATACCCACTGGCAAATGTCTTGGCTGCAATTCACTGAGTGAATTTAAGATTGTTTTTACCTGGAAAGCTGCCCGATTATTGCAAGCGGTATAGCTATACGGTAAAAATCGGCATTGTTTTCAAATGTCACCTTATTTGACAATATATGGTTTGCCAAAGTACCCATGAGCTCAGCATCTAATTTACCAGTTAGGTAGAAAGCATGGAAAGCCTTCGCTATCCCACTGGTATCCAGTGCTAAATCATTGTGAATAGAGCGTTTCGACAACTTGGCCATGCATTCGTCCATAACATCCTCTATGTCTACCTTGTGGATATCCATGGCCAATGCGCAAGCGTATATGAACTCGCATAATTGCGTTTCGTTCACGGCATTAACATCTATTTTTCTAAATACAGTTTCAGATACCGTGGCCACGGGTATGCTGATGTTTCCCAAGACCTGCGCCAGCAAAATCATGAGCTCTAGATCAACCGTCTCAACCTCTTCTAAGTACCGAGCCAATCTACTTGCGATTAATTGTCCACAGCGCAATGCTTGCTTGAAAATATATGCTTCATCATCAGCTATGTTGTCATCATACATGCATTGGTGCGGTGCTTGACTACTGTCTGCGGGATCGAATAGATTGTTGCCTGCCGCGTAACCCTGTTCTATCTGTGGCATTTCACAGCTTTCACGTCCCTGAGGCTTGACCCTGTAACGACTACCAGAGCCTTGTATAGATTTGTCTTGTTGCGATTGAACCCTGATCATAATCTCTATGCTGGTTAGCATTAGGGCTGTTGACACTAGCATTTCAGTGTCATCCTCAGCTCCTTCTAAGCCTTGTTCCAACATGTCACAATATTGGTCCACCAAGGGGCTGTATAACAGAGCTAGACGTCTGTCCAGATGGACGATTGCAGACGCCAGCCTTGCAGTATCCTGCGGTGATAGCATATCCAGCATGCTGGCAACCCTGTAGTGTAAAACCATGACATCTTTCTTACGTAGCTTCACATTGGACGTCTTATGTACCCATTGATACAGAGCTGTTTTGTTACGCTCCAGACATTCGCGGCTGCTCGTTGCTCCTTGCAACGTGTCAGTGAGTTCTTGAATAAAAGCGACAGTATCGCTTACTCCTAAGGTGATGAGCCCATCTAATCGTTTCCTCCTTCGTTGCGCCACTGTTATCCCCTTATGCAATATCTTTCCTCGATGTAGTTCGCATTTTATTCCGTTCGTCGCATCAATAACCCTTGCGAAGGTAGCGAGACTGCCTCTTTCGGCTGATCGCAGGGTTACTCTGATCACAGGCGGCACATCCATGATCGCGCCGTCTGGCAGCTGCGATCATGTGTGTGAGCGTCGTGTATAGATGCTGGAATCCTCGGGTGGCAGCCACACATCTGCGATTGTTGTACCAAGTAGGTGTCTATAATTGATTATACGAATATTTTCAATGTGAACTACATATTAAAATTGCAACTATGGTGGAAGATGCGACAATGGGTTCTGTTCTTCTTGCTTGCGAGCTTGAAGGCCATTTCCCCGTGTCTTCTGGCGAGCATACGTCATCCTCACGTATATACGGCGCAAATTGCATTTCTAGGATCTAATTGTCGCTCTTCTGGTGACAGGAATCATGTAATTAGTTCCCGGTCTCAGCGCAGTCTTTCTCAGACAACAAACGTTGGCGAGGGTGTGCCTGTGTATGCTGTAGATGGTTTTGCTGATGGCAGAGGTTCACGCAGCTGTTTGGGAAACGATGTATGGCCTCTATTGCGTCCATCGTGCCTACAAGCGGTTCGTCATAGAGCCTCGTTCCCTGGCGTAGTGGATTATCCTTCCTTGAATATATCAAGGAATTTTGCACTGGGATCGTTTTTCGGATCGGTAAACAGCGTATTCACGGATGCAGAATATGATCATCGTCTGGAACTTAACAAGAAATACGATGCTCTTACGGACGAGACTGACGATTCCGGTCTTCCCCTTGCTCCGGCTTATGAGGATTACGAGGTTGACGATTCTACACCAGCTGAAGATGCAGATCTAACCCGTCCTCCATCGTCCAAAGAGGAATGGTATTTAAAGCGTTTAGCGCGTGGGCGTCGATTCTGGCATAAATATTTTGCTGAGCCTTCACAACAATCTATACGTTTCTACCGCCTTGTTAAGATGAAACATGATCTGAAATTTTGCAATCGTGTAGTTCGTCGGGAGTATATCGAATTACGTCCGGAGATCAAGCCGCGTGAAGTGGATGGTAAGATTCAGCCATTGACACGTAGGGAGCGTAATAAGAACCGCAGCCGTATCCAGGTTGTTCGTACAACAGTGGGCTACGATAACTCCAGTGACGACAGTAACATTTTAATTCTACTTACTTTGCCTCAAGAGCGGTTGGTACGTATGGTAGAACGTATACGTTTGCCGCATTTATTGGCATTGCGTAATTTTGAGATGTTGCGCCTATTACGTCATTCGATGTTATTCATGTCGAAGCCAAACATTTTCGAGAGCACCGTCGACTTTCTGCTGACATTTTCTCGTCTGGATACTTCTTATAGTGGTGAAATTCCACAGTTTTGTGATTTGCCTACTAAACCAACAAAGCGGTTCCGTCCAATGATATATGCTGTCATCGGCCGCCTGCGTACCGACCCATTCCCTGACCATCTACTTAAAGTTCGCAGTTCACAACCTCCTCCAATTAGGGATCCTTTTCCGCATTGTGATTCCAACAAGGATAGTGTGTTGACCCGATTTTTGAACGCTTGTTCAAGTTTAGTGTTAGAACGTTTACGGGGTGTTGAGTATGATTTTGATGCTGTTATGGACCGCAATTTCTCAGATTACTTCACTGAAATGATGCCTAATTACACAACGAAGGAGAGTGTGAATCGTATTGACTACCCTCTTACGGTATCATTTTCGCGTGAAATGTCACCGTATTTACGTGAGCCTGTGGAGTCACCTGAATCTTCAACGGTTTCTGCGGTTGATCAGGATAGTACCATTGACAAGGATACAGAAGTTGGTGATACATCTGTATCTGAGGATAGCAGTCCTAGTGCTCTGGTACCACGTCGTGGTTCTACAGCTCCTTGGACATCTGATGAGGTTAAGTTGATGCTTAAACGTGTATATAAGTTAGGTTTAACCAAACCTTCTACTTTAATAGATCGTTTCAAACGCCTACATTGCGATATTGGATTTAGTTTTGAGGACATTCTATGGTTGGGTCGTACTCGTCCGCAAATTTTCCTATTCGGCAATTACAAACAGCGTTGTCAGGAGATATATGATTGCGATGAAGATTTAACATTTGAAGATGTATTATCTATGGTACGTCGATATCCCAATTTGTTGTCTTTTAATGTGCTGCGAAGTTTGCGACCCAAGATATATTATCTCCGTCGCATTATGAGACGTGAAATCTCTGACCTTGTGGATTTCCCGAAGTACCTTAGTTTTTCGCTATACGATAGGATAATCCCGCGTCATATAGCATTGATGAACCGTGCCTATCGAGGGGAGTTTCTTAAGGTGTACCGGTTTTTGTTTGAGTCAGGTTTTTACAAAGGTTATGGCCAGACTGTTACAGATGACCGTGTTCCTGACATATTACCATCTGATCACGATAAGTATCTTGCGGTTTACGAGGGTTTAAGTCGTGAAGCAGACCTGCGTAGCATGTTGGTTACAAATGATGACCAATTTTTGCGGCAGTTTAATTTATCTTATCGTGACTTAGTACAGGGTAAAGAAGACGCACTACGCATACCTTTACCAACCGATTTGCTTTAATCACTGCTATGTATCGTGTTTTTAGTATATCGTTGAAATATTCGCGACTCAAGTCGTTGGTCTCTGGATGCTCGGATACAGTGCCACTGTTGAGCCATCCTCCGGTTTATAGCTCCACATTTCATCGCAATTTAAGTGTATCTAAATTTGAGGTAAAGTTATAGAGGTATTATCCGTAACGTGTGCTCAGTTCCTCGTGGATGGCGATATCCGCGCGCCCAGCGTTCGCGTATTACGTCATGGTAAATTTGTAGGTGACTTTGATCTTGAGAAGGCGCTAGAGCTTGCCCGTGATGAAGGTGTGAATTTAATTTTGTTTCGTCCTCGTGCATCACCTCCTGTCTGCGTCCTGGCTAATTATGCTGAGTTCTTGGAACAGCAGCGGCAGTCTAAAGATCGCAACGCAACATCTACCGATAGTTCCACAACCAGTGGCGCGACATTTTCGTTTGACCCTAGCTTGAAGGTCAAAGTTGTACAAATCTCTGCTCAATGTGCTGAGAGTGACTTTGCTCGGAAGATCCAGAACGCTCGTAAATTTCTTGAATCTGGTCACAGGGTTGAATTGGTAGTGTTCACAAAATCAAACCGTCGTGGCACAATACCCAAGGTGGCGCCTGACGTAGCTGCTACTAAAGGAATACCACTATCATTTTCACTTGACAATCCGCTTATCCAGAGGGTCGACTACATTTATGCACAGCTTGCTGATGTCGGCCGACCTTTTACATTGCGAAGCAAGGTAGATATGAACCAGCGTCAATTGGTTCTTAAATTTTGGCCTGTCTGATATTGAGTGCGGCACGTCGTGTATCTACATCCTTCAACTGTTGTTTAAATTCATGTACGCTTATTTTGCGCTGCATTAATGTCACTCAAATAGCATATATTTACAATACCTTTTCTAAACTCTTGGCGACATTTGGTGCCCTGAGTACACTCTCTAGTACCGTGGATTCGAGGAAAGCCTCTAGTGTCTTGAAATTGGATATTATGCGATATGCTCGTTCAGGACCTATATTGGATTTAAAATTTAATACCATCAGCTTACCGATATGTGGTATGAGCGGTGTTCCTTCCAGTCCGCATAATATACAGAAATCAATAAATTGTGACCGTGTCAAACCTGCCATTTTTTTCATTGAATTTGGCTTGTATGCTCACCCATAAGTTGTAGCATTTTGCGTTGATTGATAGTGTTACAAACGTTCCTCCCAAAATAGTCCCTGATAACGTTCGGTGCTCTGTACTACCTTAAACGTTTCACTAGTGTTACCGTACCCATATGCTATTGTGTTCGTATCGTCCGAGAGTACATGGTCATCTTCTTGATCGCAGAATTCAACACAGCGCCTTGCAATATCAGGTTGCCTTACTTCTACGCGGGCGAATGCATCGGTCAACCTTTGTGCGATCATTAACATATCCTTTTCGCTGGGTGCGGCATACAGTCTCCCCGATGCCTTTCGTTCAAAGAACGCACGCAGAGCTGGTACTAGATGCTGATTTCTAATATCTAATACATTTGTAGCGTGATCTGGGCTCCCTGTCTTGCTGGCTATGTACAGGTCTCGGACTGTGATGGATGACCCTAGGACAAAGGTAGCTTGGGTTCCACCATTAGACCTTACAGCCCGTAGTTGTTGATTCAATCTAAGTAACGGTTTTGTTGCATGATTACATATTTCGTTCCTAATTGATCGTACATCTATGAACTGTCGTTCGGCCTCTGATGCTGCGTCATCTATCAACAACCGGGTAGTGATAACCCACCTCTTGAGTATTCCAACCGTCTTCTTGATAGTATTGCTGTTGCTGCTGCGTGTAGGTTTCGTCGTAATAATATTGCGCAGTCCACAAAAATGCGCGTGCCTCCTAGGCCTTCGAGCGTTGGCGTGGCCACAATGGAATCCGGAAATCGTGCACATAAAAACTGTATAAGTCCGTTGATGCCCATAACGTCATTTCCTAGAAGTCATGTATTATTCTAGTCCGCAGTACTGCCATTAAGTTTGCGAATTTACACTCAAGCATGGCTGCGCCTGTACGATATGGTTCCTAGAACTGAAATTTGGATATATACCCTTTACATTCGTTATTAAACAGTTTAAAGTTATTTTTTGTGATAAAAATATACAGTAAGAACCTGCCCATGGCACACCCGAAAGATGTGCAGGGGATTCCGTGCAATGTGTAACATTTGGAATAAGCCGATGAGCTCAGCAGCGTTTAAAAAACCAATGAATACGTTATGTATTCACTGTGTGTCTCTGTGTTATTTATTAGGACCTGTTGCAACACCTTCTCAATGACGTCTCCTCCCTACTTTTGACGTCGATAAATTTTTTGTGGTCTTTGCAACAATTGAACAGCGGTTCTGCATGATGCTATTTGTCGTTACTATTACGTTTAAAATAGAAAAAATTTTGAAATGTCGCATCAGTCACGTGTCTATTCCGTGTATTGTGCCCCAGTGGCTAGTCCCTGCTTCGAGGAAAATTTCGACGAAGGAGGTGTCTACCCGTGTAAACGTCTACCATCGAGCCCTACTTACTGTCTCTTGCCCCCGTTTAAATCATAAGTTATTTATGATACAAAATTTTGGACAAGCTTGTAGTGCGATAAAGTCGTATCCTTAGGCCTAGTGGCCATGTTACTCTCTATGAGTTGTGCGAAACGCTCACCCCATCGGACTCAAACTGGTACTCATCTGAGCCATATTTAACGTAGAAAGTGAGAAATCTCAATCCATCGCCAAAGCGATTCACTTTGAAGTCCAAGGTGCGATCAGCAGTTCAACCTGCAACAAACTCGGTCCCATCTACCTCATGTATAACTTCCTCGACGGATAAAACTTACGAGAAACGTCAATGTGCCTCCGGATGCTAAAAGGCAGGAAAATTGTCTATAATGCTTCTTCGAACATAATGCATAATTCGCCAGAATCACATAATACCGAAACTGCAGATTCCATAATTTGAAAAAAACGTACCAACCAAGAGATACTCATTTGTACGTCATAACATAAAACTGCAATTGAGGATATCAAACTTAATCCATTGAACTCATGTACCCGAACCATCTGTTATGCTCGGCACCCAGTCGGTTGACCGTATGACTCCGGATACTTATACCAAGAGGATACTGACATATATGCTGTTGCGAATAGCTAAGAAGGTGGCTCTGAAAATAGAGTGAATTGACAGCAATATATAATCAGGATCGGTTGTATATCCCTGTAAAATCCCAAGGTATCGACGGCACTTACATACCAAATTCGGTAATTACCTTCGTTGTCTCACCGTGACACAATTGCGAAGTCTACCGATACTTCGTTAAAATTGTCTCGTACAAAAAATATTCATCATAGCATCAATTACAGGAATACCGAATCAATCGTTTATAGTGCCACAACTTCCAAATAATCACTATGGATCTAGGACTTTTTAATCTTGATTCAGAAAATACAAATCCGGTAGATGCGTCTGAAACAGATCTTTTGGGTCAGATTGACATCCTCCGTGACTACACAACAACTAATGTTTTTGCTTCGGGGCCCTTTCTCTCCCCAAATGCCCTCATCAATCTAAATGATCTGAAGGCATTCGACCGTGATGTCTCAAGTTCAAGTAACAGCCCAAATAGGACACGATCTACAGACAGTCATGATGACGAAAAGGTGGATGCCAAGCTTGAAAGTACGAAGCAACGTTTGGTAACACCAAAGATTAGACGTATGTACAACTTCCCACTTGCTGCAAGGGTCAAGTCTAACTGTTTATTCAAGATACTACTTAACCATACAGTTGCAGGTTTGTACATAGGAAAGAACGGTAATAACTTAAAACGTCTACAATCGAAATTTAATTTCAAGCTCACTCAATCTGGCCGGGGTGTCCGAGGAGATTTCACTGGTATCGGCTATCCCTGCCACCGAACTAACACCGCATTGTTATTTGAAGGCAATCTTGTCAACATACTCATGGCACTCCGTCCACTATACCGAATCATCCAAAACGACCGTCTCACCCTAGACAAAGAGTCACAGAGCATCGTTAGTGGTCGTGTACTTAATGTTAAATTCGAGCTGGACCTTGTGATCCCATTAGATCGCAAACGGCTACTTATGCAAGAGGAGGGTATGCGGTGTAATCGTCTGCGACGTATTTCGGGGGTAGGTATCATTGCCGGTAAACAGAATTATGAATGGGGTAATATCAAGGAGACAATTGTGACTTTATACGGTTTCGAGGAAAACGTAGAACGAGCTTGTGAGTGGATGGGTGTATTTTTACAAGACTCACCAGCCGTGTACTCCAGGGATTTTGCTTTTATAGACTACCCAAAGTATACCCTTGCTGTACCAGAAGGTGCTTTTAACTGAAAAGTTTATGTTATAGAGTATGAGGTAGACATGGGTATCTCAACATCTGCCAGCTAATATTATTCGAAACAGCGCACAGACACTAGGCGTTAGTGCGCTGTATTACAAAAATTAACAATGTTCATACCACGAGAATAAGCAAAGTGCATCTGCGTCCGAGTGTCCGGAAAATGGCACGGAATAGTTCACAAAAACCATTGAAGGTGTGCCGCTAACGTTTACCAGCAGCACCCATTTGTTTCAGCATACTCCCTGCCCCTTCTGTTTGCGAGAACTCCTTCATGAATTTCATGATGTTGCCGGCACCACCCATACGTTGAAGCAACTTGGGGTCTATCATGTTTTGCAGCCTTGACATCATCTGTTGAGGGTTCCTCATCATACTCTGCATTGCAGTGTCCTTGTTTAACCCTGCCTTGCCCATATTGCCGACCATGCGTTGTAACATCTTGTGGTTGTCCATGAGTACGTTGACCTCTAGCACGGAGCATCCACAACCCCGTGCGATCCGCAACACTCGTGACTCGTTTAGTGGTTTTTCACAGTCCAACTCTTCGTCATTCATCGAGTCCATAATATATATGAACCGCTTGATACGGTTAACTCCTTCCTGTTCACTCCCCGAGTCTATAAGTCCCGGTGCCATCCCCGGGAACATGGACATAACTTTCCCCAGTGGTCCCATTTTCAGCAAGTTTTGAAACTGATCGTACATATCACGTATAGTGAACTTTCCTGCGGATATACGGTCCACCATTTCTTGGTTATTGCCCATCTTAACCACCTCCTGGATGGTGTTGATGAGTCCGCCGATATCTCCCATTCCCAGTAGCCGTGACACGAACGATTTTGCATCAAATTTCTCGAAATCATCAAAATGCTCTCCGTGACCGATAAATATAATAGGTGAGTCTGTGGCAGCCACTGCTGCCAATGCTCCTCCACCTTTAGCATGTCCGTCTAATTTTGTGATGATCACGCTTCCAACGTCAACAGCCTTTTTGAATGCTGACGCTTGATCAAAGCAAGCCTGTCCAATATGACTGTCCATAACGAATACGACATCATCTGGTTTCACCGCTTCATGTATGAGTCTCATTTCCTCGAATAGTGAGTCCTCTTGTTTGTGTCTACCCGAAGTGTCCACAATGATAATATCATATTTTTCTTCTTTGAACTTTGCTACACCCTCAGCTGCCACTCTAACAGCGTTTGCTTCACTGTAGCTACCAAAGAACGGTATTTTGACCTTGGCCGCATTCTGCTTCAATTGATCGAATGCACCGGCACGGAAAGTGTCAGCACATATAAGCGCTGTACGCCATCCTTTACGTTGGTAATGATATGCGAACTTGGTACATGTTGTAGTCTTCCCAGCACCCTGTAACCCTACAAACATAATAACATTGGCATATCCTTTCTTTGGCGTGTATGGTTTCCGATCACTTGTGAGCATCGATATGAACTCTTCTACTACGGCCTAGGGCAATATATAGTTTTTTCGTTGTACAGTGCCATATTATAGACGTATACCTACCTTTTGTATGAACTTTCTCTTGTTCGCCCCTAAAGTGTCAGCATGGAGACGTGTTTGTAGCTTGACATTTTCCCTAAGTTGTCGAACAAGTTTAACATTTACATCGGCAGATAGCAGCGCCCGCACTATATCTCCTATAACTTCGTCGATTACCTAAATTTTATATTGTCACAGTGTAGTATTTATACCTACCTCCTCTGTGATAATCGTCCGTGCGTGGAGTTTGCGGAACGCTTGCGTGATCTGCCCGCTTAATTCAGCTAGAACCATAATGTTAACTTTAGTGGCTCACATCTTTCGATGTGTTGACTGCCTATATGATCGTGTGGTCAATGCATCGCTCAGCCACACCCAAGCTCGCACGTGAATCCCACTATTCGTGCCTTCCAGCTATTAATTGTTTTATTTTACGTGCAATAAATTGGAGAGATGGATTTGATGTACAGGATACAATCTGCTCATGCGAAAGGTCGCGGGATCTTCTGCAGTGTGCCGCGTGAACGTGGCAGTATACAGGGGTGAATTCGGTACAATCAATCATCAGAATCGCCAAAGAGCGTGTATATAGAAGATCGCTACTTACAAAGTTATGTTTTGTGTATCTATATGTCGCCAAAAGTGCGAAAATTGTTTGTTCAAATACGCGAAGAACAACCCTCTGACTTCAATTTGTTCATAGAACTATAAATTTCAAAGCTGTTGAAACGAACTGCTCCTACTTCTGCTTATAACACAAACCAGTGCATAAGCAGCAACAGTTCAGGTACATTAATACCCCTTGGAAATCTGAGTTAACTTTTCGGGGCCGATATGATTACTACGGAATCTCTACAATATTGGTTTCATAGGGAATTTAAACTAGCGTAATGGCAATATAAAGTTCATGTGGGTTTGTTATACTTGTAAAATAGGCAATTTGCGAGATATTGGCTTATGCAATGGCCGCTTATGACCAAAACTCATTGGTATTCATCTGAAGGTGCAGGTAGCTTTTTTGTAGCTGCCACTAAGAGGGCCGCCCTGCAATTTACTTTTGAGTGTGAATAAAGGGCGTATAGTTACATTTTTGTATTTTGTAATAGGAATGGCGTGCGTCACTTGTAATGGTTGTTCACTTTTGCTCATATGATTGAACACTAGGTACTGGCATAGTAGAATATGATGAAGGAAGGTAGCACCACTGTAGGTACCATGTCGACTACTCCCTCGTCCGTGTCGGAGACGCTCCAGTCTATGGAGCAGAAGTGCTCCGCATTCCATGATGCCTTAAAATTGTGTTACAAGGAGTCGTCGAAGATAGGCAGTGGTATGAAGAGCAAGTTCAACGATTTGATGCAGAATGTGACCTCTTTCTCGAAAACACTGGCAAAGGCAACTGACGCAAAGACACTATTGAACTTCCCGACTAAACTTGCCTGCTGCGTTTTGTTAGAAGCGATCACCTTTGCAAACAATAAGACCAAACCATTAGTGGCACACAATACAGCACTACAACAGCTCTTCTCTATTATCGATTTCCTTTATCAGCGTAGTTCTATGAACCCGGATAAGGTGGAGTCCGTTGGCATCGGTCTTGATAACAATGAGTTATATATCTATATTGACATGGTCTTCAAGATGTTCGAAACAATTGCAAAGTTGTCAAAAGTTGACGAATCGGTACATCTACGTACCGTACAAACACTACTTCAATCCTTTTCACCAACCTCACCCATATTGCTCTACGAAGATATACTTCGTCGTAGCTTTCAATTCCTCGATGTCATGTTAAAGGTTGACAGCAAGGTTATCAAGCCCATCGTGGATGGAGGTGTACGGCAGTTGATGCACTGTATCCTCACCAACCCTCGAAACTCCAAAGGGTCAAACGTGAAGACATCTGGGATACTAGCTTCAGGAACCGGCGCAAATGCATTATCGCCAAGAAATATCGTTACCAGGACAAACTCTGGGATCCCGGTGTTCCAAGATGCTCCACAGCTTTTACATGCTGACCTGTTAGTAGATCTCATGAGTTGCTTCTGTAGCATAATCAAAGGGGATATAACTGAATCTATGCAGAACCTAGATCCATCAAGCGCTTCAGCGGTATTGCTCATCGCCCTAGAGGCTATGCCTAGGGGTTCGCTTTTTGAGCACCCGAAGTTACAGGCACTGGCCAAAGGCGACCTTTACACTACCATGAAATCTGTTCTGGTTGGGTCCACGCTCTTGAACGACGCCTGTCTTATACTCGCAAGGATCATGGAACATGGTTACTACTATACTAGTTATTCGCATAGCCCTGACCGGGGAGTAGTTAACCCTTATGCTACCCTTTACAATTTCGTAGAGCTCGAGCTTATTGAAACTGCAACTCCAGATGGATTGCAGCGCAAATTGGCATGGATGAGGGGGTTTGTTACAATAATGCAGTCAAATGAGATGTTGAATGATATGTCTCATCATAAGGCTACACGTATTTTGCTCGTAGAAATATTGAAGTTTACTGTTAAACGGCATAAAATGGTCAATGATAAAAGTTTGGACCATTTGTTCGAAGGGATGTACAATTGTGGCGATGGCCATCAACTTATATCCGAACAAATTGACAATATCGAGACTGGATGGGTTCATCGTAGTAGCTGTGGTTTGAAAATGTTACCACTATTTGCAATTAAACTTGCTTCGGGTTCTTTTGCCATGGATTTTTGCAACATGACCAACGGTGTAATTGGCAAAACATCAAGGATAACTTCTAACGAGTCCATGGACATGCAACAATTGGAACTTGTCGAATCGGCGCTAGCTATCGACGCTATGCTCACGGCCGCCCATATGTTATATAGTTGTGTTGTGGGTTTGAACCGGCACGTATCTGGTTTCGCTCCTTACCGTATTTTCTATCCCAAGGTTGCAGGTGACGATCAGGAGATCTTACAACGTGATAGTGTTGAAAGTGAATCACAGGATGGCTCCGATCCATCGTCATCGGCCGAATCGATTGATGTCGATCCATGGATTCATCTACAGGAATCTACCGATATGTTAATTCGGCAGTTTGAACGTATGCTGAACGTTATGAGGTCTCCCGTGATGCAAGAGGCATTGACCGCAGTGTTACAAGCACTTTTAGTCGTCTGCAGCATATTCAGATGGGAGGAGCTTTATGAGCGGTGTGTCAAAGCGCTCGTCACGTATATTGTTTTGGTAGAGCGGCAGTTCACTACGGATTACCGAAAGTGTACCGTGGAAACGTGGTCACTCTATCTATTGCATATCCGTTGTTTGAACGCTATGTTGCTGAACTACCCCAATGCGCTGCAACACATCGCCTGGGAATCTTTTGTAGAGCACTTGATAGTATTTCTACTGATATCAAGACGGCTGGGTCTGGCCAAAGCCACGCATCTAAAAACTCTAGAACCGTTAGAGGTGGACGCTTCGATGGTAGCACTAGAGGAGATCCATGAGGAATGGGACGCTGCACTTACCGAAACCATTGGCGTATTCGACAGATTGAGGGTACATGATGTTGAAGTTCTAGAAGGATTCTTGATGCATTTCGGGTTCCATATTGTCATACCGCTATTAGCGAAATCAAAATATGCAGTAAAATTAAATCACTATTCACTGACTCCATGTGGATCGACGTTTGAAGAGAAAATGTCGCTAATAAATCGTACCATGGAAGCGTGGCCTGACGAGTTTGTAGGTATGATTGAAAATGACCGCGAGAAATGGCCAGAGTTGTTAGGTGAACTTGCACAAAGTTTAGGTAAGGATAGTATTCTGGCTGGTGCAGAGCCTGAGTTCCTCCATTGTCTATTTGGTATAATTACGAATTTCCCATATGCAAGACAACATAATGTTGTGATGTTGTTAACAGGGATAATGATATGTCTCGTACGCGACCGTGGTGGTATAGAAGTGATGATCCAAGCTGTCTGCCGCAATATCGTTAGTCTCTGTTTAGCTGGTCAGACCTCTAGTGTGCGTTCTATCGACGCTGGTGTATGTGTCTTATATAAAACATTAAGGGACAATACTGCACTCTGCATGAACGTGATCAATGGGCTCAAGATCATATGTACCACGGTACCACAAATATTCGCTGTCAGCAGCCGTGTCATGGACACACTCATGTTTGCTACAAAATATGTAGTCAGATCTGATGATACCAGTGCCACTATAGCCCTTATCGATGTCTTTGCGGCTATAGTCGAGGACTCTGTGGACTATTTGCAGGATGAAGCTTGCCTACAATTGGTACAATCCATCTTCATCATGTCCCACAGCACCTATAGCAGTGATAATAACGCGGCGTTCCGTGTGATCTCATTGGTCCTAGATTTTGCTGAGAAGATGGCTGCTAGAAGTAACTATTTTGGTGCATCTCGTCCTCCACGCTGTAAAGAGGAAGAGATGTGGACTTCTATTTTCACAGGTCTGCGTGAGCTTGGTCTCTCGGAATTCACTGAGATACGTCAATGTACTATAAAATCGCTAGCTTTATTTATCAAGGGGAGGCTTAATCGTTTTAGTATAGAAATGTGGGATCTCTGCTTCACTAAGATGCTGATGCCTCTTGCAGAAGGGCTGTTGGACTCGCTACACCATATCACAGCACATCAAATAATATTCATCGTCTGTGACGAGCTATATGTAGCATTCAAGGACTGTAATCCTATATACCGGCAGAAATGTGAAGCTATCATGTCCCAGCTCATAACAGGTCTTGAAAAGGTTGTTGACGCTACTATAGGGAACAAGTTGCTGTTACCAAACGAGCTCAATTCGGCACTCAGCATGGCAATTAGCATAGCGACAAATATCATTATCGATTATTGCCGTTGTGATTTTATCTGGGTGAAATGTGTTTCGATCTTTCAAACTGTAAAGGATAAGGATATTGACCTTTTGCGCCAGACTTTCTTCAAGAGCATATGCAACATTATAACTTCGCTAGGGGAGAAGGAAGAAGGTATCGAGGAGAAGCTTATGGAGATCATCAAGATGGCATTAGGTGACCCTTCTCCTGAAGAGTCTGATGAGCTTGAGTCTTTTGCTACGGCAAATAGCGATACCGATCTGCATCGCTGGTTGGTGGTACCTCCCTGGATATTTATGACATCCATGGATTCTAAAGAGTTCACGGAAGCAATGGTTGAAGATAACCTACGAGCAGGTTGGGATGGTTTCCCAACATCTGACGACCCTTCACGTATCTCTTCAAAAGATAGTAGCAGAGACCAAAAGACACCCAATTGCGATCCTCAAACTACAGTGGAAACACCAACAGGTGGCCATGTAACACCCCTGACAATCTATGCCACCCTGAAGCTTGCAGACGATACAAAGATTAAATTTACATTGAGAGACAAGATACAAAACTCAATAGGGATATTGCAAGAGATGCAGCTGTTGCAGTTGGTCACGCTACATTATAACCCCCAGGTACTCGTTGGAACGGAGGCCTTGTCCAAAGTGACGCCTGTGGATATCGCAAAGGCATTGGAAGAGGTACCAGCACAGCGTACAGGACCGGAACCCATGGGAAACCGCTCAATCCTAGATATGGTTCTTACTAACCAGGAACGATCGACTGTCATCGGTAACATAGTTACCCATGTTAAGGAGCCGCAGCTGATCACTCTGGTGGAGACCTACAGCCCGGTGTCAAAGCTATTCAAATGTTTGGGCACAATCAAGAGCCCTGCGGTATACGAAATGTTGCTTCGAGCGTTGATTAACAAGTATCTTATTGGTAAGATAGCAAAGGTCGATTTGGCACTACAGCTGGTGGACAAGATCGTACAATCGGTTAGGGAAGTGCTGTTACGATTCCTGGCAGAGTGCTCAGAGGTGATCGGTATTAAAGAAAAGGCCCCCAATTTTATCAATTCAAAGGTATACAGGCTTATGATGCATACGGTACTCCCTATGGTACCTGTTATTTTTGAAATTGCAAAGAGGATACTCATGAAGCATACCTTACAACCGGTCGCTATAGTACTCTACCAGGCATGTGTCAATATGGCTAAATATGTCTATCTATGTTTATACGTGACCATCCACTTCCTGTCTGTAGTGGTGGAGCATCCGATGGTGAACTTTTGGAAGTCCCTGATGCCTACAATACAGTTCTTTGCCGCATTGAATTACACGGATGAATTGGAAAGTCGCGTTAGGTACCTCAGGATATTACATGCGGTGGCTATCGATACCTGCAGTGCCATAGTGGTCAATGTGTTCAGCGTAGCACCTCCCTTCATCTACACCGGCGTGGCTAAGGTGCTGGACAGCTTCGCTGACGGCCAGAGTGCAGTGCTGCGTCGAATAGCGTTACAAAGGTTATGCGACGCTGCATCTATACCGTTTATCCCGAGTATCATCGAGAAAACGACCAATTCGCTTCATACGAACGTTATTGCGATCCGTATGCGTGCGTTTTTGACCAAGCGTTTCTTCTTTGTACTTTCATGGCACGTGCGCCAGTTTCTGCGTAGCAAGGATTGCGAAATTGAGGTGCTCGCTGCTCTGCAACTTGTGGAGACCAACGCCACGTTGCCTAACGAGCTGCTATTCGAACCTGAGTACATACGTAAGCACAAGTACTTGAACTTCGTGGAAAAACGACCTTTGGTGTCCCTTACCATGCCTTATCTCCTGGATCTGCTAGAATCTGAGAATAAACGTGTTATTCGTTCTACAAGGAGGATTATATCGCTATTCCTCGAAGAGATGGGCGCCCAGGTAGTACCACCGTGAGAACGGTCACACCGTCCAAGGTCGCTATGCGTCCTAATCACATGTAGTTTACCATAATGTATTACATAATAACTATGGTTGTGCATGTTACGTTATGAATTTTTACAAGATAATTGGAAATTCGCTAGTTATTCGCGGCTCTGCCAAGTACGCTGGGTGCAGGAGACGGGCTGACACTAAACGAGGTTCAATCAGAGTCTGAGTCATCGTCAGGATTGACGGCGTCTCGAGGTAACATGGATTCGTCCACACGACCCATACCCTCATCCTCCTCTTCACTGTCATCAGAATTTAGTTCTTCTTCATCATCACTGCTCTCTTGGGCATCTAACAACGTTTCCAAGTGACGTTCGTCCTCGTCACCCATAACAGTGATATCACCACGTTGTTTGAATTCACCGCCAGGGTATGAGTGGATTACATTAGAAATCTCTTCGAGTGCTGTAGTAATGATATCCATGCCCTTTTCCTTGTCATGGCAACTGGTCATTACCTCATATTGAGGCGGTGCGATGAGCTTTACCTGTATTTTGATATCCTCGGTACCTTTTGCCGCTCTTAGTGCATTTTTCACCGCGTCGATACCATCGGGGCCGAAACACCAAACATCAATCATGCACCTGAAGATTATAAGATTGTGTATATATAAATAACAAAGTTTATTTTCAAAAGTTAGAAAGATATATAACATTGCATTGTATGAAATAAAATTGTTCGAAACACCCTTGCCATAGGTCGATGACCATGGTTACACGGTTTCCATTAATCTCCCGATCTTCGGCTCCCCTGGAAAATCCAGACGAAATTTACGATCGGTTCATGAATATAAAATATGAAACGTGCCATTGTACTTATAGAACACAAGGTAAATATTACAACAAATAGGCGACCTATTATAGTGAATACTTACCTCAAAGTCAGTGCCTGCGGGGTCAACCTTAATTGTATATCCGCAATAAGAGAGTCGATAACCTCGGGGGCGATAGGCAGGTCCTTGAATATGTTGCCGTTGTTGATTGCCGCTTCCTAGTAAAAGTGTTAAACTACATGACTATTTACACATACTTTGAGCGCATCGAGTGCATTGGTGTAACGCTGGTAAAGTGGCCATATGCAGATACGGTTCAGCTCCTCAACGGGTATGTTGTGTTTTTGAGCAATGTGTCGAACCGTCTGGTGTACTTTCTTTGCCTTGGAAAACTTCTCCTCGCATTTCATAATATCTTCAGGAGATACACGACGCTTAGAAAGGTCGATATAACCCTTCACAGGATCAACACGAAGTACCAATACCACTTCATGGCGTCCTACTTTCACGAGCTTATTGATACTCCTGTAACGACGCTTCGAAAGCTCACTCAACAGAATCAGACCTATGTCACATGACATCACAGTTGTTATGATAACTCACCTTCACGATCGTCATACTCTAATAATGAGACGTAAACCCCCTGTGCTTCTATACGGTTAACCTTTACCATGAGCAAGTCCCCTGGGCTGGGGAACTTCTGCTCGTAAAATCGGCAGTCGCCTAACGTACTTTTTTTCCCGCTCATAATAGACACAAACTTAGAAAGGCTAAGCTTTCGACGATTCAGACGATATAAGATCACTACCCAACAAAAAGTTGGAGGCTACCAGAAGGCAACGACGAGCAACATATACACCCTTCAACCAAACACGGAAACTTTGTATTGCAAATTAGAAAACATCGCACCTTGCTATTTATCAATGAACTTAACGGGCAACCCATTCTACACCACGCAGAGTGTCTACCGGAGCCACGCCAGGCAGAACATCGGACACATAAAGACTATACTAAGATTTACATAAACGGTCATGTTATATAAAATATAGTTACATAAGTACATTTGAGAGATTCCATGATAGCTACTTATAACACACCTCGCAACGGTTGAAATTATGCCATAAAAGGTAGATACGGTAACTCATATAAGTCGATCATTTCTAGTACCATTCTACTAATGCAGCGCGGTATTTTGTGGCTGAGCCGGGCATCTCATCCACTATGGCGTGATACATCTGTAACACTTGACATCGCAAGAAAGTCGATCCGACGACCAAGATGCCTACGCAGGACATTTAGTTCGAGCCCAAAGGACCAAAATTTGGAGGAGGATGCTACTGCTCTCGCCCAGGGACCTAAAGACACGCTTCTCATGTTAGGGTGAGGGATAGAGATGCCGCCATTAAATTACATTCAGATATTCGGTCAAGGAAAATGAAATGGAAACTCATGTTAAGGCACTACAAGAAACTCTAAAACTTAAAATGATGACACTGAAATACTATTCCGAGGATATGGCACAAAGTTTTACTGGTAAACCAGACCCCTTATACCATATACAATGACACCAGACCTTGCAATGGCACAACATCAATCGGTTCAGTTTATCAACGATGCTAAGGAGAACTATCTAAAAGCATTGGATATTTGGCGGCACCTTAGGGGACCTGAGTCAAGGGAGGTAGCAAATATGCTATGCCTAATAGGGGTTGTATTGCGTGACATCGGCGACATCGATGCCGCCATGTCAGCTTTTGAAGATTCACTTAAAATAGAGTAGGTATATATCAAAAAACGGAGTAAACAAACTTGTAGCAAGAAATTAGGCACCGTTGAAAGTCAATTGTCAAGTGTATTTGCCATCAACAACCTAGCAGGGATACAACATCTAAAAGGTAACCTGACGGAGGTAAGTAACCAGTGCTAATCTAGGAGGGATCATCTTAAATCAATCATAGATATAGGGTCTACATAAGACTTAGTTTTCGCATGAATATATGATAATTCAATGATTTAACGTTACACCATCCCATGTAGGCCATAGAACTGTATGAGGATGCCGTCAGGATCATGCTCACCGCCACTGGTGGTGATAAGAATCACCGAATGATTGCTATATTGTACTACAACATAGGTAGGGCCCAGATCAGGTTAACACAGTGTGATGCAGGGTGCTGCCACCATTATTTGAAGGATCGTGTAGCCGCCGAAACTGCACTACGCAGGGTAAGATTAGAAGCTACGCTAGTCATCCGCATGCTCAGGCAAGGGATATAATCGCAAGCATCGGAGACGTCCAAAGGTTAGGCGGACGGATAGAACAACTGCTCAACGAAGTCGCTATGGTACAGAATTGATGAAACTAAAACGTAACAACCTTTACAATGGTCACAGGGTTTTTTACACTCTGCGAACACACGTAATAGTGTTAATATATATTTTGTTTAACAATTGAGGTGTGACTGCATTATGTCCTATTGTACTCACAAGCATGTGTATTTCACAAAGTGTGTCGCTGTGAGGCCATTGCAATTCGAAGGTTGCGAACCAGTGAATGCAATATTGCACATTTCCTTCCCGTTGCATACTTCAGAAGTCTTAGAGAAGGTTGATGTCACGTGACCCTTGTCGCAAATAACATTTCCACGCTGACCGGAGTTCAAAATAGTGATCTTCTTACCGGCAGGGCACCTAGGAGTTAACATACCAACCTTAGTTTCGTAGAGCGTAACTTCTTCGCCATCAGCAACTGCGGTTTTCTCCTTGTCACAACAGTGGTAAAGGCCAACGAAGACAACACCATCCTTGCAGTTCAGGTATTGACCTACGCGGAAACGGTCAGGTTCAGCTTCTGTTTTGTTCACGGCGAGAACACAGGAGTCTCCAACATCGAAGAATTGTGGGCAGTAATAATCGAAGGCATACAACAACTCATCCTTGCGTTGTGATTTTGTCGCCTTCAAATTGTTTGCAAGGAAATCTTCCATGCAGATACCGTAAGCATCCACCACGTTCATGTTCTGGCCCTTGCGGCACTTGACTTCATGAGGACCTTCATTCTCGATATAGATGACTGAAAGTCCATGAGGATGGGGGTATCATGATAGGTATAAAAGGAGACACATAATCACATGGACCCAGTTTCACACAATTGTACTATATACCGTCACATGACCCTGTGGTATCATGGTAAATGGCAATATATTGTGACAGCATGGGTGTAAAGTGGTCATGAAGCATAACTTACGGTGCTGGCCGCTACACTTGGTAACGCCTCTGGCTGAAAACAAATGAATATTTATAATTCAGTACAAACCACTTTGAGAGGCAAAAATCGACTGTGAAAACAGTACCGAGAAGTATACGGCCGCCACTACGGCGCTAGGAATCTTCGTACCCTGCATCTTGCTATATATAAGGCTCAAGCCTTCAGCGCAAGCTTTTACAGGAAGAATTTAAGTGTTCTAATCAGCTCACAGTTTAACTGTTTCTGCCCGGGTCACAGAAGGTCGCGGGGAGAACCTGCACCTCTCTACAGAATTACCAACGACATTTGCATTCAACACCTGGACGCGCGGACAACAAATCGGCGCGTCTAGCAGCATTAGCAGCTTCATTAAGTATATCTAATTATTTGTTAAATTCTAGATCCATCGGCTACGCTACAGGTGACGCGTCACGCGACGAGAAAAAATGGTATCACACCTAAGAAGATTGACCTAAAATCTAGTCATTCCCACGCATTAATACACATGTAAAATTATTTTCAAATTGATTATAGTGAAGTGGTGGCAACCAGGGACTCGTACCGTCGATGGTGAAGGTACAATCTGGTGTCTTATGGAGTAACCTATTGGCCGCATCGCACACTTCATCACACCTCCAAAGGTAACACAACAAGCTTATGCATGTTTATTGTGGTTTACAAGCACATGTGTGACAAATGTAAACGATGTGCAGCGGTATGCGATAGAATCATGACGACGAGTACAGGTAGCCATAAACTGACTAAATAGAGCTATATTCCTCTTCACTTATAAAGGACGAAGAGACTGTGTACCCTGGCAGCGCTTTATGCAAACCTTTGTCTGCCCTGTCTGCCTGGCAGGTATCTTCATATTCGCAGTATACCGTGAACTCCTCATTGCCACCACTTAACACAATAACGTTGACCATGGAACCAAATTGGCATAACGATTCTTCAACCTCTTCCTGTAGCGCCTCAGACGATTTGACGCAGTGACAGAATGACAGTTTCAGTATACGGGTAGCCGGAGTGCCAGACGAACTCTCAGTGGCCGCATCGGTGGCGGATGCTTGAGCACCGCCACCGGAACCAACCGGTCTCTGGCCACCCACCCCTTTCATGGTGCGATTTGCCAAAGGAGAACTAGCTTGCACTATCACACCGACATTTTTGCCCACATTCTTGGCTATCAGAGGTGCAACTATACCCTGCTCATTAGCACCTAATCCCTTACCCTCGGTCCAGCCTAACTTCTGCATAATACGCATACCAATGTCTTTGGGGCCATCTTCTTGAGCTGGTGTCGCCGAACCCGCACTACTTTTACGTTCTTGCTCCTCAAGAAGTCTCATGCGACGTTGATAGGCTTCCTCAGCAGAAAGCTTCTCCAGCTCCACATTCGCAAATTTTAGCTGAACACGAGAAGCTGGCTGCATGACACGCTGTGCTTGCTCTCGTAAAAGACGTTCATAGTCGTTAGGGTACATTGGATCGTACACATCGTCAGGGTTCAACATCACCTGACCACGACGTTGACGACCAGAGGCAGCAGGCGCTCCAACAGCAGCAGATGACACACGACCGCCATTAGATGCCCATCTAGAATCCAACATTACGAACAAAAGCAACTATTACACGGTATCACAAAAGCCTGATGCACATTGCAGCAACCGGTATTACATTTGCGATATGTAACTCGTTAAGAACCTGAAATATACGCGTCTCCACTTTGGAAATATTACTTTTAAAAATGATATTATCTAGTGATCTTCCAGAGAATGAGACGACGAATTCAGCGGACCCAGGTGTGAGACACACTAGTAACATGTATATTCACCACTAATAGTTTAATCGTTCTTAAACTAGCTGCATTAGGCCGTAAATGTTCGTTGTTCCGCTACAGGCTTCCTCAGAGGAATCCTGTGCTATCAGCGAAAGACAATATATGGGCCGCTGAATATCGAAGATTCAGTGTGTTTCCAAGTCGCTGTAGTGTTGTTTGAGCTTCACAGGCTTGCGAGCAGAATCGGAACGTTTAGGATTGCAGTCCTCCTCGCTATCCTCACCGCTGGAGAAACTGCAACCATTTAGCAAAAATAAAATCACACTAACCTAGAAGCAGTCTCGGCCACATTGAGGTCAGACACTAAAGTGCTGTGTTTGACATCGTAAAATATTCTGTCACCCTGTAAATCACGTTCCGAAAACATCAAAGTAGACATACCGGGTGGACCGTGGATGGGTCACTGCAGACCACCATGTGGAAAGGCATACTTGTATTGCCAAATGTGTCGCTCACTGTACCTATAATACGCCGGTCTTCAAGACAAACAATTGAGCCCAGATCGAGCACTTTAGATGGCTGAAAATAATATTAAAAAAATAAATGAAAACGAACCTCAGTGCATTGTACGACAACCACACGGCCAACAACAGAGGTGCAACAACCCACTGGCTCGATAGGGAAATGGTCGGCCACCTTCTGAGGTAGATCAACAGTATCCACGATCTGCAGAACCATTGAGACGTGAAACAGGGGTTGCCAAGAAAAGGACAGGATGGTACCTATGCTGATGCAGACTCAGCAGCATTCACATGTAACACAAAAAAACCGCAAATATACACTTAGACTTCTACACAATCTAGATAATAAAAGAAAGAGATATAGCAACATAAACATACCCGAATGTTGTCGATGGGGAAATCAGGATCTACTACAGGTTGGTACTCTTTATCAAAACCAGTATAGGCCATGGCGTCTCTGCAAAACTGTAACGGCACAGGGATAGTAAAACCAACACATTAGAACGCAGTTCGCGGTGCGAAGGCTCAAAGTCACAGACGGAATCATCGGAGTCCGAATCACTGCTCATATCTTGTTGTCTAACATAATAGTCAATCACACAATCATATACCCTTTACCTATATACACCTATTGGAGGTGGTCTCCCAAGAGATTCAAGCTCACAAAGTCGCTCATTCTCTTTCTGTAAATATGTTAGTAGAAAAACAGCGAAGATGTGACGTAATATACATTTGTATGAACATCAATAACAAAATAGAAGACACTTTATCAAAATTAAGTATACAACAGAGGGGGAAAGTCGCTTACATGGGCAATGTGCATAACCAGAGCCAGGTCATCGATCTCTGTCTGCCCATCGATAGGCAAGCCGTTGATGGATTCCATTATATATGCAGAGCACTCTAAATTGTTGCGATATATTAATAGCAAATAGCATAAAAACGAAGCAGATTAGCGACAATGTGGCATTGGCAGTGTCATAATTTAGAGGGCAAATGTGTAACTATAACCGCACTTTTAACACAATACACAAACGCAAAATAAACACATGTGAAATTATAGTAGTAGATATACATACGCTATCAATATAACATAATCATTCATGGTGGAGGCGGCAGTGATTCTACGATTCCGGCGTTGCTTCTCGTTGCTATCGCACAGGGTAGAAATGCCCGTGATTTCAAAGGCAAACCCGCTATTATTCGCTACAAAATCACAATTCACGGAGTATTACGCACCTGTAAATTCAGACGCTGTGGACAGAGCACCAGGAACCACGGGTATCCAGGGCTTTATACAACCGCAATCTAACGTACTAGAATCAGAGATAGCTTGTAGGAGACATAGAGGTGGTAAGGTCAAGAACAAACTAAGGAATATAGAGAAAAGAAAGAAACGTGAACAAATTTTGCATAAAATATCATCAGATGTCAAATTCAAGTGACATTAATGAAGACTCCATCGCAACTTACAGAAACCAATAATATACAATTGGAACACCAATATGGACTGCACAGACATCTTAAAAGAGTGCTGAGAAGCTTTGTGTGGAAAAAAGAACACAACGTTGATACCTATACAGCCACTTAGGTCTATTGCATTCTATACGAACTTCAGACGATGCAGTGAGCTACACCACGGCTGGACGTTATCTGATAGACCGAATGAACAATTGGTGTCACATAGTTGTTAATGTTTCTTAAGTATTATATGAGTCATGTGAAAAATAGATACGATTTATTTAGGTTGAAGTTCTGTTACACTCAAGTGTTTACAACGGTTCGCTTCTTGCATCGTTTACAGTCATACATAACGGTCATACCCTCATCTGCCGAACGAGCTTGGAATGTAGAGTAGTATGCTTCTTCACAACCACACTTCTCACAAAGCTGACGCACCACTTCACGGCCACCCTTGTTGGCATTCTTGGCCATGAACAAGGCGTTTGAATCGTCAGCAACAGGACCAGCAGGATGCAGTAAATCGGTCCACCAACGTTTACCTGACCTATCGAATTCCCAACCTTGACGAAAACCGTACATATATGCTTTCTCACCCTCGGTGCCACGACCGAACGTAGCCAACCGGTTACAACTATCTACTAAGACGTCTGTACAATTCGAACTGAAAATAGGTGCGATAATAGTGCCACAATCTTGGCAAGTTAAATGGGTGCGCATGGCATTACCAGCATTGCGATCAAAAAAGGCATTCGCTGATTTAAAGTCCACAGAACTATTGCAGCGACGACATCCAACAGCTACCAAGTAGTCATAACTCACATGATCCTTGTTTTCCAATGAGTTCACAGACTCTGTGTTAATCGAACTCGGATGCATCTGATATTTGAAATTACGTGTTAGCTCACGGCCACCGGCATCCAATCCACTTTCAGCTTGTAGATAATGGACCATATCTATAGCTTCTCTCACATTCAAGTTTGCTATACTAGTGTTAAACTCAGGATCATGAGCTGAGACAGAGATATTCGCACCTTGCTCAGCTGCAAGAAGCAGAACGTCCAAGTCGTCCGACTTCAACATCTTAAACACACTACTGTCATGACCAATGTATAAACCAATTTTTCACATCCTTTATAGTTCTCGATAAGCCGCGCAATGTGGTCCAATCGTATAAAATATATAGAAGAGATGATGTGTCCACGACAGCCACAAGAATCCACTCAAAAACTCACACAGATTACCAATGACGTAGGAATCCTATTTGCACACCCTATACCATACGTTTAAAAGTAAGATGACTAGATAAAAGGCCAGCCGAACTACATTGTGTGGGTGACCACCTCTGGTAAAAGTGACGGGCGCTATCATCACAAAGCAGTGTTCATTACACAGCGAGGGTGTATGTTAAAGTAACATATGGTCTACAACACGATTAAACGGGTTATGGATGGTATCATCCGCCCGAATAACGTGCTATTGCTATGCGTCCTATCATGGGTTTGTGGGCTGTTATCTGCGCCTTTGATCAGATCGCTACTTAAACGATGTAAAAGGGTTGCACTAGGACTGTTCTATGGTTACAAATGTGTACCTTGTAAAAACTCGGTAGAGGAGGAAACAACCGACTCGGAAGACGATGAAGACAGTGAACTTAAACTTGTTCTATGTGTTCGAACAGGTAAGAGTGGCAGAATAAACGTAGAGGGAGCGATAACCATGTGCAGACCTTGAAATGGGCAAGGGAAAGATTGCTGCCCAGTGTGGTCACGCAGCACTCGGTGCCTACATCAACGCTGTCAATCGCAATAACCCATATCTTGATGCGTGGATGAGATCCGGTCAAAGGAAAGTGGTAGTCAAGGTTAAGGTAACAAAAGAGAGATATAGTATCAAACAATGTATACTACAGAGTAGAGAGGAAATGACAGAACTAAGGCACAGTGCTGCATCTGCTAATATAGGCTATCACACGATATGCGACGCTGTACGTTACAACAATAACAGTCTAATGATTCTTAGGGGAGGACCCAAATACCTGCTGGATCACACACTGTTATAGCCATAGGGCCAGGTGCGGAAGTGTCTCTAAATGTCACATATGTGCAGCACCTGAAAATATGGTGAACAAGATTACTGGACACCTAAAACTGTTATAAATCACATGGCTTAAATCATATAGTGCCGTCAGAAAATTAGAATAAGGACACGATCCTGCCCTACATGTGTCAGAAACTTATTAGCGCCTTAAATAGGGCCAGCAAGAATATACAAAATCAAAAATATAAAACAGAATGATGTGAATAAGGGGAAATGCTGGTCAATAGGGCACTCGGTAAAGTTGCCGCGGCTACCGCGAGGCGTGCGAAAGATGCGTCACTTAGGCCAACGGCAGCTATAAGAAGGATTGAAAGGGGACCGGGAATATGCTCTACGTTCTACCGCACATTAATCGCCCCTTGGTTTTTTCGTATGTTTTCAGGGCCCCTGGAAAGATGGCAACAAGCCTGCCTTACCAGGTATCTCAGGGAACATGGTATGTTTAGCAAATGAGTCTCTCCTATGTTCAATATTATGCTCTAAGCTACGAAATCATAGGAGAAATGCATTAGTAATCATAACATCGTAGGCCTTCTCTATGACGACCTTATGAGCGAAAGGGAACCTATCGTAGAACGGGCACTGGAGATGCTCCCTGAAGATTTAGCCACTGCTAGATTCAGGAGAATTGCAAGAGGAATGCATATATCAACGCTGAGGATGTATCCTCCACTTGAGGAACAGAACTACGACCCCTTCGTGCCTTATCTAGCCCCGTACATAGAAGAGGCAAAATTCCAATTACAAGAGGAAGAAGAATTGCTAGGATACCACCCACAAGATCGGCGAATATTTTGCGGTAAGCAGCTGTCATGTTCATTCTCTGCCATGAAACGTGGAGTCACGACTCCCGGGGAAACCAGAACCCTGTCAGAAAACTATACGTGGTTGCGTATCTCGATTTTCAAATCACACATACTCATCGTATCACAGGTGGTACCACAGGGTTTGGAGATATGGATCCAGGTATGCACTTTTTGACCTCGCTTCCCAATCTCTACGGAGCGGGCATGGGAAACATGAAAAAGAAGTAAAGCGGTAGCTGTGTAAGCTGCTGTAACAAATTTTATACAATAATGTGATATTTTTAAAGAAGCTTTACGGTGGAAGGCATGCTCTAAGGTGAGTAAGACACACCTCCATAACACGCGATGCACATAAGTCGCCACCCATCATGCGAGCAGCAATCTAGAGCACTGGTCAATGTTATCGAACGCTAGTGTGTGTGTGTGTGTGTGTAAACGTCGGCGACGGCGTGCCCACGTCGGACGCGACGCGTCTGTTGGAAGGTCAGCGACATGGGCATTCCGTGCGACGGCTCGGAGTTACGCCACATTTCTCGCAGAAGGCCGACAGTAGTAACCTTTCTCAACACGCAGGTGCGAAATTTTAGCTAAGCTGTGGTGCTCTAAGTTAACTTTTTTGTGGTGGCTTAAGCCAGCCCGACAGATACTTCAAATTTTTTTGAATCTGCTCCGCTAACTGGACACACCTGGCAATTAGCACGTTATTCTCATCAAAATGCACGCCGAAAAAAACCACATCTTCATATTCGACTTCGGATGCCACCAATCCGGGTCTATGGTACGCTTCCTTCGCGGACTGGGCATCACATGCGAGCTCTTCCCGATCGAAAATGCTGTAGAAATACTATCTAAGCGTATACCTGGTGGTGTCATTCTTAGCGGAGGCTCTGAAAGCGTTGAAGACAAGGATTCTATCAGCCTTAACCACAAAATACTGGAAATATGTGAATCACACAAAGTACCTGTTCTAGCCTTGGCCTATGCCATGTACGCTCTATGCAAAGCTCTTGGAGCATCTATAACCAATTTGGGGCCACAAGAAAGTGAATACAAGAAGGAAACTATCCATGTGCATGCTGGCTCAGACAGCATCCTTGAAGGAACTTCTAGTTCGTTCGTAGCACACGGATGCCACCTCGATAAAATCAACTCTGTTCCCTCAGGGTACACCACTTCTATGAAGGGGGCTGATGGAACTCCTGCCGGTATTGTGAATACCCATACCAATGTTAGGGCCTTCTGCTTCCACCCTCAAGATGCTGAGGATGGCCATGCCGACCCAATCATGAAAAAATTCTGCTTCGACGTATGCCACTGCCAAAGGACGTGGGATATGCGCAGCTACCACGAACAAACAAAGAAAGACGTTATTAAACAATGTGGTGATGACAAGTTTGTCGTTGCCGGACTCTCTGGTGGTGTAGACAGCACCGTTTGCGCCGCAATTGTACATGAGGCTATACATGAAAGGTTCCATGGTATCATGATCAACACTGGTCTTATGAGGTACCAGGAAACTCAGAAGTGCTATGACAGACTTAAAGATGAAATCCCAGGAATCCAGCTTACTGTACGTGACTCTTCTGAAGTTTTCTTCAAAGAACTCAAGGGAGTAGTTGACCCCGAGCAGAAACGTAAGGTGATCGGAAGAGTATACATTGAGGAATTCGAGAGGGCCATGAAGGAACTCGGATACAACCACGGAAATTGCCTACTTCTACAAGGTACTATCTACCCCGATATCTTGGAGTCCGAACTAAACAGAAGGAGCAAACTACCCGTCAAATCACACCACAATGTAGGAGGACTTCCCGAAAATCTTAAATTCGAACTTATCGAACCAGTGCGTCTGCTATTCAAGGAAGAAGTTAGAGAACTTGGTAAATACCTAGGACTCTCTGAAAAGAGTTACAACAGACACCCATTCCCAGGACCCGGTCTCGGAGCTAGAGTACTTGGCGAACTTATCCCAGAACGTGTTGAAATTGCCAGACAAGCAGACAGGTACATGTTCGAAGAGCTTGAAGCAAGGGGATTGGTTGACAAGGTCTCACAATGTGCATGTGTGTTGCTTCCCAACACCCGCTCAACCGGACTTAGGAACTCGGCTAGGGTATACGGTATGGTCGTTGTTGTACGTATCATCATGACCGTCGACTTCGTAACCGCCCAATTCGCCAGACACATCGATATGGAGTGCCTTGCCGCCATCTCACGTAGGATTACGGAAAACATCCCCCAAATCAACAGGGTGTGCTACGATATCACCGACAAACCACCAGCTACCATTGAATGGGAGTAGACAGTGTCTTGGGAAAAACGTCTAATTGCCTTTTAAACACTTAATTGATTTAATATTTATGTAAATGTAACGAACACAGGTAGTCGCTATATATAGTGAGGTATCACGCGTTATCGAATGCATCACTGTATACCTATAGGGTATGTGGACACCCCGAAACACTCAATTACGACGAAAAGTTTTGTCAGTTCAACACTTTTTCATGTTGTCTAAAAAGTAACTCTTCGGGGACAGCATCTGACGAACATCACAATTCTGATCTTATCTCGGAGTCGTCCTCTAGAGATGTTAACAGGCGCTCAGCGGTTACACGTCCAGACAAAACCTCCGATACAAAAGCATTCACGTTATCCTATACGATGTGTAAAGCTGTATGCCGCACTTACGAAAGTCAGGTTCTCTTTGCGCATCGTGGAATAGACATTCTTGCTTAAGTTCAAACCCAATAAACAAGGGATTAAAGATACACCCAGCACACGTTCCCACTGCGGGTGTCGGCCACCTAGGTACAATATGTCAAACAGTAAGGAGTTTCTTACCAATGGTGTAGCAGAACTGAAATGGCAATGATGAGTTTTTCTCCATCACCTTAGAAATAGTGTCCACGTGCATCTCGACCGATTCCTCTGGGAGGAAAAACAAGAGACATAGAGGGCCACTGCACTTTTGTTTCAGATCGTACACACTGTCAACATGAACTGGAGGTCCCATGTTGCGGTAATGACGCTTTGCGAAAGCTAAAATATCTTCAGCTTTACGCGGACCACGATACTCAATTGCTTTTGCAGGTACCTTAGATCCCTGGGCTAAAAGAACTATCGTTGGGTAACCTTTGACTCCATAACGCTGTGCTAAGGCTGAATGCACCGTAGCGTCTACTGAACCAATCTTCACCTGGTCCGCGATTGTTGCCATGCGACGCCACTCAGGTTCAAGCGCCTTGCAATGACCACACCATGGCGCAAAGAACATAATCAACCTGAACGATGTGAACATATGATAACGTAGTGGTAATGGCATCGACCTTGCTTGCCTAGTTGCTTAGCTAAACAGTTAAGGTTGGTATTTACGTCTAAAATGATCAAAAACTACAACCTACCATTGGTTGTAAGTGTCGTTCAAAACCTTATTGTTGAATTCAGCCTCGGTCAGAGAAATTGGGTGTCCGGCAGGCTTAGTGGGTTCCTTGCGTTTGGGAGCTGGTACCTTAGACTTTACGTGCTTGTTTACATGTTTCATAGTGAACGTCACTAGATCTTGGATATTCAAAGTACCAGTATAATCGGCCAATGTAGGCTGCTCGGATGGCCCTGAATGTGTCATGAAAATCGCAGGAAAACGCAGAGAACCTACCACGTCCAAGGAACACCTTGAACGTTGGAAACAATTTCACATTGTAACGTTTAGACACCGAGTCGTCGTTAATAGCATAACACCTAACCACATCCCTTGTGGCATTCGCAGCAGCTTCATAATCCTTGGCAAAACGAAGGCACGAGTCACATCTGTGTTGTGTGATGAAGTGGTGATTCGACTTACGTCTCGCTGTAGAACTGAACTAGCGAAACGCCATGAGTACGTAACGAGGTATCAAAAGAGCTCGCATCAAGGGTAGTAACTGGGCTAGAGGCGCCATAAAGGGTGCCACGGACGGACGGGAGGCAGGAAGACAATGCCAATAGACAAACTATACCAAGCTTTGCCATTATCGCAAAACTAGTTAACCCTGTCGTAAGGGACTATAAATTAAAGTTATGACCGGTTACGGCCAATGTGTAGAGTAGGGCGGCGAGACAAGAACAATTCACCAGATGTGTGACCACGAAGTTGCAGTAGAAATTGCAAGCTAGGTATCGAAAAATAATAAATCCATCATAGATGTACAATTATAGTATCACCAATGGAGACATGTTTATCCGATGACGCTTGCTATGAGTCGGATGCCAGTACTACGCGAGATAACAAATACACATCCGGCATATCAAATCCTTCTACAACGAAATACCGAACTATCAAGGTATTCAGCTGTTTGAAACTAATTCACCTTATCAAACGGCTTCTTATAGAGAACACTACCTGGTCGCACAATGAAGCTCTCAATATCGCAATCACGCTACTACGTAGCATACCACCAAGTGGATACTTGGCAGAGGACCTTTTCCTGGTATTCGTTTGGTTTCTCCAAAGGGACTATAAGCTCAAAGGCGTGGGCGATGCCGCAGCTGTATCTTCTCATGAAAAACAATTCTTAAAGTTTCTCTCAATCACAGGGTCGACGTCAGCATTTTTAGTGAGGAATGTTTGCATACAATTAACTTTGCACAGAGACCATTGGTTATGATGCACGGTGTCAGAATACTTGCTGCCAATGGCCGTATATACGACATGAAGTGTCTAATACAAAGGTAGCGGTTTATTAAAGAACAACACAAAGCCATCCAGGAACTGTAAGGAGTGGAACATGGAAAAGCATCCACTAGCTCAATACTACAAGTGGATCGTTAAACACGTGGATATCCTCTGTAACAGCGACCTTAGATGCTCATCAGATTACAAGTATGTCGTGATAGTCCACTTTGCATCACTAACAGGATCGAACTGGAACACATATTAAAGACATGCGCAGACCTAAGGATGCTGCCAAATGGATCGTTATTCAGATTATTCATAGAGGCAAATAAAGGAAACCCAGATAAGATCCTGCAGATGTTAAATGTTTTCATCGCTATTTTCCCTCAAGTACACTTTCTGAGGAAATACCGAGCCGAGCATTGCGTCACCGCAAACCACGTCAGTTTGAAAACATCTTACTGTAATTTATGCTCAGGCAGAGGACGTCATACTACGATGTGTCTATTCATCGGGGTTCGACCGGTTATCTATTGCATTCGCAATGGAGCGCAAAAAGCTTTTCGAACTGAAGGAATTTATACTGATGCTATTCCAGACTACGGTAAGAGTGTCAATATAAATTTACGGAATGAGTGCAGATAGCTCAACCGAACAACAAAACTAATTGGGAACGGCTGCTATATCACTTGCTTACGGAAGCGGAACTCGAGGGTAATAAGCACCATACAAGTGACAGCATTCCTCAGATGTAGTAAAAGTCTTAGAAGATCTTTTCAAAAATGAACTCCGTAGAGCAAAAAGTCTATTCACGAAAGAAGGTTGGGTCATATTGTTGTGACCATCTTACTATTGTGCAGGAACTTGGGCACTCTTCATTAGGGAGAAGTTAGTGAGGTATTACTTGGCAACAGCGAGAATTGTCTTATTCAAAGAACTAGAGACATATCGACAACTCTACAGAGCTGTTAAAGGGTGGGGGTTTGATGCTCGAAAAGGAAAATATATTTGCAGACTGACTGGTGTCTCCCTCAAACGGAAACACATGGAGGCCGACAACCCCGTGTGGCAACATTTTAAGAAGATACCACAGTGGAAGCTGCCTAGCACCTGGGACCAACCGGTGAATATGTAGTACACTGTAGCCGTTGCACGGGAAGGTTGAGTGATCGGAAGCACGTCTGCAGCTCATAAATACCCGTCCAGGGTTGCAAAACATCGCAACAATTTAAAGTACTATATGTGTTCTACGGGCTATGCTAGTCTGCGTTACATAATGTGATTTGATCTAAGAACGCTGTCTCCTGGTAATAGCCGATGGACCTATATAAAAAATCCAGCGGTTTCTTAGTCGCGTTGGCGACCTTACACAACCCTTAGAACACTTACGTTGGATAAACCATCATTATCCCCATACAATATACGTGTATACACGACACTAATGGCCGTAAGCCAGTTCCATGAAAACGCCGTACGTAGAGTAAGATCAACGGCGATCAGAAACAAACGAATTCTTCCAAAGTGACAACTGGGTCTCACATGGCCAAAAACATTGAATGCTAGTCGTCGAGTGGCCTAGGAGAGGGGTAGAATCCAGAGGTCGTGTACACAGACACACGAGTCTAGAACCACGAACCGAGTTAAAATATCAAGTTCGCACAAGGGCTAAAAACAACCGAACCGAGACATGCATAGTGGCTAGCTGGTCAACTAAAGGATTGACTCAGTGTAACTGTGTGCCGCGTGTGTCCAATGCAACAATGCCTGAAGAAGGTCGACACTCACACGATGCGATCGTACCACAACCCTAGACGCACATTCTCGAGTAGATTTCGTGTTACACGCCTCTGCAAGTTATACAAAATTTAAATTAACACAGAAAAGAAGATATGGCAGCAAATGACACCACATCTCGGAGACAGGCCCCGCGACGAATGTTCACCCAATAATACTTTGTAAAAGGGAACACCGCTGTATCCGTCCAAAACATTACGGAACAAACGCTATCCATGGTCCTTTAGAAGGAGGTGGCTGGCGCCCATTCGTGCGATAGCGTTCCGTGAAAACGGGATTGTGTGGGAATCGACCTACGCGGCAACGTTGCGGGACCGTAGCGTTGAGCTCACGCGTGGGCCACGAAAGGATTTCCAACGCTCACACATCTACCGGCGCCGCACACGCCCAGAGATGCTCCTACACACGCGGATTCTGGGTCGACATCCAAAAGGTGCGGGTCGCGGGAACGAATATAGTAATCGGCGTCCCCGCATTGGAAAAGGAGACAGAAGTCAATCACACTACTCTAATCTGTCTTTAACAACGCCAAACTATGGATCCTAACCCCGATACTGTACAACAAGCGGCACAAGGGCTCCCGCAGGGTCAAGAACCCGTCAAAACCGAACCACCGCGGGAGCCTTCGCCTGTTTTCAAGCCGCAAAATCCTCAACAGAGCCCGCCTCAAAACTTTCAAGTGCCTGATCCCAAACAAGCGTACTACCAACAGCAGATGATGTACGCAAGGATGATGGGTCAGATGCATCCGCAGCAAATGGTACAACAACAAATGGCACAACAACAACAAATGGCACAACAACAACAAATGGCACAACAACAACAAATGGCACAACAACAACAAATGGCACAACAACAACAGATGGCGCAACAACAGCAACAAATGGCTCAGCAACAACAACAAATGGCACAACAACAAGTGACCCAGCAACAACAACAAATGGCACAACAACAGATGAATCAACAACAACCGCAGCAAATGGCTCCACAACAGCAGCAACCGATGAATCAACAGCCGCATCCTATGCAGCCGGGACAAATGCCACAGGGGCCAGGAGTGCCATATCCTAACATGATGAGACCTCAACCTGGTATGCCTCAACAGCATCCTCAGGGAGGGGGCTGGTTCTATCCCATGGCCATGTACAACCAACAAGTTATGTCAGGTGGTCAAGTGATGCATCCGCAAATGATGATGAACAATCCAGCTGCCATGATGTCCAAGTTCATGCCTCAATACAACGCCTATATTAACCGAATGCAACAAAATAGCCAGGAAATCAAAACGGAGCGTCCTGCGGGGCAAGGCGAAGTAAAAAAGGAAGAAGGCGAGGAAAACGCACAAAACCGTAGCGCAGAGGAATATCCAACCGCTGTAAAGACTGAGGATATGAATTCTGATGCTGCTAAATTATCAGGTGAACAGCAGCTGCAACAACCACAACCGCCGACCCAACCCCCCGGTGCTCCATTTCCCATGAGATACGGATTGCAGCCTCCTTATGGATACGGAATGAATATGCCCGTTAATCCCATGATGTTTTATCAACAGCAGAATAGGCTTTTGGTCGGCAACGCCATAGACGGGATACCAGCATTGCGTATGGCAAATAGTCGCTTTCAAAACGTCACACAGATGCTTGATGCTCTCGCACAACAGCCTAGAAAGAGACAACAAAGAAGGGCGACGCCTAGGTACGGACAGGAAGATGGTGATTTTAAAAGCGTTGTCAACGAGTATTTCACACCGGATGGGAGAAATGACAACAGCGATGATGAGTTCCTAGTTGGCAGAACAGTTCGAGACATGGACACCGGTGCTATTAGGCGTAGTGGAAGAACCAGAACCAAAAATTCGTTGTATGCCGAATACACTGAAAGTGATGCGGACACATGGGAGGAACCTACTGTTAAGTTATCTGTTCCAAAACCGAAGAAGAGACGTGAAGGACCCATACAGGCTAGAAGGATACAACCACGGTCAGCTACAAATCCATACTCCAAAAACAATTACGTTACTTACGAGGATAGTGATGATGATGAATCGGCAGATGAATTTTCAGAATCCGTTGGTGATGTAGATACTGGCTCCGTCGCGTTGCGCCACAGAAAGAGGCGTGTAAACTATGCTGAGTTAGACCATGAACAATGGAGTGGTGAAGAAGACGAAGAGGATGAAGATGGGGAGGAAAGGGACAGGCAGCAAAGCTTGCAACAGGAATCCCAAGGTGGAATAGATCGCGTCATAGACCACCGGGTAAACGAAGAAGGTGTCACAGAATATCTTATCAAGTGGCAAGGATATGCCCATATCCATAATACGTGGGATGTATATGAAACACTCAAGGATTATTTAGGCATCAAAAGATTAGACAACTATATTAAAAAACTAAAACAACGTGAAGAACGCGCTCGATATATGACGCCTGATGAGATTGAATATGAAAATATTGACATGGAACTACAGAGGAGAATCGATGAAGATGCTCTCAAGGCGGAAAGAATTGTGACTCATTATCTAGATAAAGAAAGCAACGTGAACTATTACATGGTCAAGTGGAGGAGTTGTACCTATGACCACTGCACATATGAAGAGGAACAAGTTATGTTAGACCATGGCTTCGGTGATCTCATCCAAGGGTATCACGCTAGGGAAGACCGTATATGTGGTGAAGCAGCAAAGAAGATGCCGTGGAACACACACTCTCTCAGTCTTACCAAATTCGAGCCGTACCATGAAACCCCGTCTTTCCTCGCGAATTACGAAACACGGAAGCTCAGGGACTACCAACTTATTGGTGTCAATTGGGTCGTGAACCGTATGAAGCGCGGACTCAGTGTACTTCTAGCTGATGAAATGGGTCTTGGCAAAACTGTCCAAACTATCACACTCATTGGTCATTTCCTATACAAGGAAGGACTCATTGGGCCTTATTTAGTCATCGTACCCCAATCTACCATCGATAACTGGATGAGGGAATTCGAGACCTGGTTGCCCCAAGCGAATGTTGTCTGCTATTACGGCAACGCCAAGGCGCGTGAAATAATTCGTAATTATGAATTAGCCAGGGTACATGTCCAAGGTAAAGGAGAGCGATACAGATGTGACGTCTGTGTAACCACCCCTTCGATTATTAATGCGGCGATGGATCTGGACTTTTTGAGAAGGATCTCGTGGCAACTCATGGTGGTGGATGAAGCTCACCAACTTAAGAATAGGAACTCTAAGAGGTTCGTAGAACTCAGGCAATTCATGGCGGACTATAAACTGCTACTTAGTGGAACACCTCTGCACAATAATCTCGAAGAACTGTGGACCCTTCTACATTTCATCAATCCGCAAATATATCCATATTACGAGGAATTCCGTAGGAGATATGCCGATGTGGAAAACTCTGCAGCTATTGGAGAAAACAAGCAGAAGCAATTGTTGGCACTGCAACAGGAGCTTCACGAAGTGGTCTTGCGTAGGGTTAAGAAGGATGTCGAAAAATCCCTTCCGAACAAGGTGGAACGTATTTTGCGTGTAGAATTGTCGCCCATGCAATTAGAATGGTACAGAAACATATTGACGCGCAATTATGACCAACTTGCTAAGAATAGTGGAGGTTCAAGATCATCATTACAAAATATATGCATGGAACTTAAGAAGGTCTGCAATCATCCATTCTTGTGCTATGAACCTGAAGATCGCCAGACGTGGTTGCAAGGTCTAGTATACGGTAGTGGTAAGATATGTTTGTTGGAAAAACTGCTCGCACGACTCAAGGAGCGTGGGCACCGTGTGCTTATTTTCTCCCAAATGGTACGCATGCTGAACATCATATCCGAATATCTCACACTGCGTGGATTTAAACACCAACGCTTGGACGGAACGATGGGTAGAGAAGTGAGGAAGAAAGCAATGGACCACTTCAATGATCCAAATAGTGATGACTTCTGTTTCCTGCTATCAACTAAGGCCGGAGGTTTGGGTATCAATCTTACTACGGCTGACACCGTTATTATTTACGATAGTGATTGGAATCCCCAAAACGATTTACAGGCGGAGGCTAGAGCACATCGTATTGGACAAACTAAAACGGTACAGATCTACAGGTTAGTAACCAAAGATTCCATTGAACAAACTATCTTGGAACGTGCAAAAACAAAGATGGTACTCGATGCTCTGGTTGTACAGGGGTTGAACAAGAAGGGCAATGCCGTTGTGTTGGAAGATGGCGGATCCAAATGTGGGTTCTCTCGTGAAGAACTGGCCAAGATTCTCAAATTCGGTGCCTCGAAGCTTTGGAGCAAAGATAAAACTACTGCTCTCGAACGGATCCCAGGTGAAGAAAATCTAGAGATCGATCTTGATAAGGTATTGGAAGAAGCTGAAGTAACCAATGATAACGATGGTCTAGCATCAGATCTTTTGAGTACCTACACTAATATCACGGAGTTCAGATATGAGCCACCTGAAGAGCACTCTGAAATCAATTCTGAGAACAATAAGGAATTCTGGGATGCCACCATACCTCTGGAGGAACGTGTCAAACTTAAGAAGAAGAAAGAAGAGGAATTGATGGTTCTGGGACCACGTAGGACAAGGAACAAAGATCTTGGTGGAATGGACAACGAAGATTTCTCGGATGACGAGACAGATGTTGACTTCCAACCAAAACGTGAAACTAAGGCATCTTGGGATGGATCTGAAACTGAAGGTGATAAGAAACTTTCTAGAAGACGTGGTCCTAAACGTTCTCGTAAAGTTATTTTGACTGTCAAGGACAAGGTGAAGATCTATAGGTCCCTAGGTAAATTTGGTGTACCTGAAATGAGATTGAAAGAAATCCATGATGACACTAAATTGACCAAGGTAGACCCTAGGGTTATACTTAATGAGTGTCAGAACTTGATTGATATGTGCAAGACTAAAATCGCTGAAATCAAAAGTGAAGAAAAGGCTGATAACGCCGCTGACAGTGTTAGCGGTAAGAAACGCTCTACCAAATCGCTTAAAACTTTGGAACTCGGTGATGTTAAAATATCACCTGTGGAATTTATAGAAAAGTTGAAGCTGCTTGAGTGTCTCGAAGATTGGGGTAGACAACAGGCAGGACCCGGATGGGCCACCTCAGACAAGACCTTGGACTTACCAAACGAAGTTGTCGAACAGTTTAGCGACGTCAAGGAACCATGGACAAAGGATGACTGCGTCAACATGCTGAAGATGATTCACATCCATGGTTATGGCTACTGGACTTTGTATTGTAACGATAAGAATCTATGTGTTGGTGCTTTGGAGGGCATGAAACACGAAAAGGCTAAGATAAAGGCACAGAAGCTGTTAAAGGCTCTATATGATGCGAGACACCACCTCGTCAAGTCTAAATTACCAGATGTACCTCTAACAATTGGCGTGCCACCCGCTACATATAAAAAGAGTAATAAGCTTGAGGAGTTAATCGTTGATGATGACTCAGTGGTGGACAAGGACGATGATGATGAAAGCAATATTGAGATGTTACTTACCATGGGCAAACCTCTGAAGCGTGAGCATTATGCGGCCGCTGTCAAGTGGTCACTTAGAGCGGGGAGGGATCGCCTGAAACGCCTCAAATTGCTAAAGGACCAGAACCCTCAGGGTGAAGAGTTTATGAAAGAGGTTGAGGAATCGCTACCAGATCTTAGATCGTTGATCAACGCAGCTGTAACACAGTGCAAGGACTCAGCCACTGGTCAGAAACTCAAAGCCGCTTGCTGGAGATTTGTGTCCAAGTTCACGATGTTGCCTGTAGAGGAACTAGAAAAGGAAGCGCAGTAATGCTTTATATTTTTTAGATATGCGCGGTAGTAATTTATATCGATGCCACTGTCATTTAGGAGGGAGGGGGTTCAGTCATTTACAACATTTATGCGGGGAAAATCATTAGGGCGGAATAGAGAATCACCATACTAAGCTTAACATCTATATGTAGTTTCACAGTAACGCTGATCTCCGTATTTTTCACATGCAGGCCGCTGGAACGGTGCACTATCGTGAAGTATCCGAAATTACCGAGACATGCCTTGCAAACGCCTCAGCCGCCTGGTCGTCGGTTACGTCGTACCGCGCTCAACAAAGCTCTGCTAATGTGATTTCTATATGCTTTGTACTTTTCATTTTTGTGCTACTCTATTTAGTCTGGTGCCTATAGTGAATCGGTACGGGGCTGCGGAGTCATGTTACCATCCGCGTTTCTCACAACAATGGCCTGCCATTTAAATCCCACCAATGACGTTTATTACTTTCTAAGTGTCCTGGCACGGTGTTCCAAGGGTCTCTACACTGAGAGTCGCTAACTTTTTTCAGCTTCACGCCCAACGAGGCGACCGACTTCTCATCCAGTAAACGATGAGGTGGCACCATGTATTTTGATATATCGGTGTAATCATTTTGAAGTGCCGTTATATGGTCCCTGGCCAGTGTAAAATCTTCTGTGTCCAATGTGTCGCTGAAATGATGCAAGAATGCCTTCTTGGCGTACAAACGTTCGAAATTGGAAATGGCGCTCAATAGAAATGAAGAAATGGAACAGTCATGTATTATTCCATACATACCTTTCGGTTTATCAGTTAGAGTATCTTGAGCAAATGCTCCAGGAAGCGATATTTGTGCGGCATCTCTCATCCAACCGATCATGTTGTGTCGCAGCTTAAGGCGCTTTATGTATTTTAAGGAGCTGCTGTCAAAGTCAGCATGTATAGCCATTGCCATAGGAAAAGTCTTTACTTTCGGTGGTATTGGGGATATACGATTTGAGGGCCGAAGCAATTCGTTGATCAGCGCTTCAGTGGTGACGGGTTCCTTGGTGAAATGCTTGGGAACCATGGATGGACACATAAGATTCGGCCCTGGAAAAGGGATTAATGTGTTCAATATGGAGCTCATGTTGAAACCGGGGTATCTATTACTAACGGTGGCGAGGCCTATTTCTTTCATGTGAGTGCTGATGAGGGCATTCTCTGCATTGAATCCAGCCTCCTTGTTCGGTATGTTTTTCGTAGATTCACGTAATATTGCAGCTGTAGATTGTGATGTTTGACGCAAAAGAGCTTCGTTGGAGAACAAATTTGTCATTGTGCCCATTTCGCTCAGGTGTTTCAGACAAAATAACGTATTGTAGGGGGAAACCGCGGCCATGCTATCTTGGGTTATGACGTTGCAAATACGATGTATTTTACCGTAGCTGTCATTCAACATGTCGAGGATGTAGCTCCCCAGACCACCACCTGTGCCTCCAGAAAGCCCAAAGGTGAGGTTGAAATATTGAAATGATTCGTCACAAGTCTCCAAGTTGGTTGCAAACAAATCCTCGATGGCGTCATGATACTGCGGTCCATAATTGAAATAGGCAGTGCACCAGTTGTTTCCTGTAGCTTCAGTGCCGCATATGATATTTTCACCGTCAATGTGGCACAGCTGTTTTCTTTGCATGATTTCGGATATCGTACCGAGGTCCGTATCTACCAAGATACAACGAGCCCTAAGCTTACTGACAAGACTATCTAATGGTTCTGTCAGGCCGTTTCTACAAGGTAAATCGATATCTGGGTGGTAAACAAAGCTTTGGACTTCCTCCAGGGCTGCCGCTTGGTCGTCATGGCGTTTTCGCAATGAATTGAAGAATATTTCCCAGAAACAACTGGCTACCTGTATTCCGCATTGCCCTAAGTTTATGCTGAGAATTTCTTTCATTTCGTATTTATATTATGATATAAGACGTACGATTTTATGTGATACTACCTGCAATGAAAATTCTCAAGAAATTTTCGGTTCAGGTATTGTTGCATCTCCAAAGACTTACAGGACGACACGTAAACCATATCACTACGCCAACGATCATGCAATCGCTTACACAGGACATGACCACCCATCCACTGGGTGCGGTAAATTAGTCTAACACAAAAAAACTATCATGGCAAGAATGCGCTAGTTTACGCTGCGAGACTGTATTGTATTAATGTTCGCTCAATGAATTGATGCACTTACCGTTCTCTGCTTTCACGTGTTTTGTACCTGCAGCCAGTCAGTACCGTGGCCTCCTTCATCGTATTGCAGACTTTGCATTAGTAACACAATGGTAGTGGTATATGAACACTGCTAGTGGCTAATTTAGCATTCATTGTGCGTTTTGCGATGTGCTGTTTGGTGTGGCTAATTTGTGAAGTATCTCAGCTGTTCCTTCTATCAAAACCCTTTGCTGCTTTTCACCATCGGCAATATAATTGCTAAGGGAGTCGAGCAATTCCGCTATGGTATAACTCTTCTTGTCCACAGTGATGGAGTTTTGTTTCTCTGATTCCGGAAGCAGATGTATCAAGTGGGTAAGGCAGTCGAATGCGGTCCTTAGGCTGTGCAGACCCGATTCCTGAAAGATGTTAGGGGCTACCTATAGGTGGCCACCACAACTACAATTAACAGATCATATAAGACTAGTTACGATTCTCACAAATGAAATATACAACTTTGAGCTACTTACCATAACATCTAACAGTTTTTTGTTTTCGTCCGATACTTGCTGCGCCGTAGGATTGAATATGAGGTTCAACGGCTCAGCGGGCTTGGGTTTATCCTCAGACTTAATCTCTTCATTTTTGTTATCGGTAGCTACCACCTGTTCAGGTAACGATATACCATTGTTATTGGTGTGTGTCTTAATAGGTTGGAACACAGTCGAAGCTCTTACAGAGGCCGCTGCTACTAGCAGCAATAGCAAATCGATTACGAACCGGCAATGAGCCGCCATCGTTATATCTATGTGTCATGATGTAGACAGGGATAAGATGGGATAAAGGGCATCATCTCGCGATGCTACAAGGTGCAGATGGTAGTCCATACTGCCCTTGAAAATTACATGATTACCGTATAACCTTTACCAGAAGGTGTGCACAAATCGAATATGCAACGCACATGTCCTTGAATTGATTCGCTGGCCGAGCTATACCAACGGGGGAATTTTTCAGACGACGTGTCTAATGACTGGTAACACATTGCAATAAATAATACGGAGGTGTATTAACCGTATAATAAAAACTTTAAATTTTATGGTTTGATTGTGGTTTTTCCCCAGCAGCGATGCTAACTGCCATGGTTGCCGAGCATCCAACCACCAGGGTCACCCGATTCTCATCTAATTCGCCACAACCACACATGAACTCGATTATCGGTAGTTTTCAATTTTTAGTTTGATATATAACAATTTTTTGTCACTTGGGTGGGTTTGGCCTGTGCCTTCTGCCGTCTGTGTATACCTTGTCTTCTGATGTTCAACTATTATGCCGTCGCTTTTCGATTACACTTTGGAGGATCGTCTATCCAGCATAAGGGTGAGTTCAGTTTCGTGATAGAAAGGTCCTGCTTTCGTGTAGCGACATGTTATTTGAATCAGTTGTAACCCACTTCGTAGGATGCCATAGGACACAGCGATTGTAAAGAATGTAAAGAAGCGCAATTGTCTCGTTTGGAGACAAGGGCACGCCTTTTTAGCAGAGGCAAACGTGCCTTGGAAACACATGGCGATGACGCCGATGGGTTTTATGATGCAAGGGAGCCAGAATACTACCCCTTCGGGAGTTGGTTTACCTCATTAAATCAATATGTTTATCAGGAAAACACCATCACACGCTTCGCCTCGATTCAGAACAAACACAAACTATTGGGAAATTGGGCGAGTGCATCATTGCTGATGATGCTGAATGTAACTGGTTAAAGTGTTTCGGCAACTCGTTGACCGACCCCAGACCGGCAACCAAGAGGACGATCAGTAATGACGAATCTCCATCGCAACCAAAGGTTGATGATTTAACGGCGTTCCAACCACAGTCACTTCTATCTTCGCGTAGAAAGAAGCGACGTGTTGAGCCTGCCAATACAACCGTAGATGGATCGTCTGAAGGTCTTTTGGACGTGGACTTGTCCACATTGAAAGCTCACAAGAGCTGCTTGCTCAAGCCTAAAACTGTTGTGCCGCCTCCAGAGCCGGTAGTTGAGGAGGCTCCTACTAGCGTAGAGCCTGCAGCCGCTCCGGTGGATGAACCACCTAGTAAAGATGAGGTGCCGCATGTGGAGGTTACTGGCGATACAGAAGTGAAACAAATAGTTGAAGTTCCACAGAAAACGACAGATATTAAAGAGAGTGTAATAGAGATCAATGCTCCGGAAACACCTTCCGAGGCGCCACCCAGAGTTGAGCAGGCACCGGTTACCGTTCATACGGAACCTAGACCGGTTGAAACAGGAAACATTTTCGGAGCTTCGACCCTTGAGAAGTTGAACTTCTCGATGCCTGTTGGTAACCCGCTGTTTGCGCCAAAGGCCATAGACGCAAGCCAGTTTTCATTGGATAAGGCGCCTCCAACGTTTGTATTTGGAGCACAACCAACCACGCAGGTTACCAGGGCTGTACACCCACCTATGCCAGTGGCACCGGTACCAATGGCAATGCCTCCACCAGTGGCTCAGTTCAATATCCCCGGCTTTGCGGATGCTCAGTTGGCACAGCCAGCGATGGCAGCAACGAACACATTTGCTGCTAACGCCTTTCCAAAGGCAAGGAGAGGTGGTTTGCGGCCTAGGAGCGGTAGGCGTTAACTTAGGAAGCCGGGAGCAGCTACCGCGACAGATCTATCGCAATAATCTAATATGCATATACGTTCATATTTTAAAACCCAATGGATTGCGAATGTGGCTTTAGTTAAATTGCGCTCATATGTGTAGCGTTATGTATAAAGTATCGTGTGTTATGCGAGCTGAGTTATGCCATCCCACCTAGGGTGCTATGCTCGCGTCCACAACGCGCATTCACCGTTGTTGATAGGTAAAAATGATACACCTCAGCGGGTGTTTACTAAATGTGAAACGTCTGAACTATTCAGCGCGTTTCCTACGACCACCTGGATTCTTCAAACGCGCCGAAATGCGGGAAAAACCCAGGCGAAAAACAGGTCCTTTTGAAAATCCAGTGCGGCGATTTGTACGTCTCAAGGAGAAGGAGCGCATTTTTTCACAAGTTCCGCTGGAGAGGTAAATTTATCACAATTGTGTCATCACGTTCTCAGGAAGGTACCGGTTGCGAAACCTGTGACTACACAGCTGCTTAAAGCAGTAGAAGGGGTACCTAATGTCTCATCGGAAGTGCTAGAACGCCGTCTGGAGTTTCTATTATCACCCAAGGCAGTTGATCAGCAGCTGAGCGCAAAGCTGCGACCGGGCTTGACACCTTATTTGGCTGAATTATACATGTGGGAGCGTCAGATGCGGGATCTGCGACGAATATACCGAGCTCAATATCTACAAAAATTGGACTCAGTCGTCGATGCAGAACGCTATAAGCAGTACCAGCAGTATTTGAACACATCTCAAGGTACATAGGTTCAGTTGATCTTGACTCTTTTTCAGAGCGCCGGGATAAAGCTGAGCTTAAACGGAGAGCTATATACGCACGTGTGAAGGAACGTGCGGTAGGTTGTAGCTCCCTTTATTGTGACGTCTGTTACAGATATTGAGGGACACAATGCGTATAGAGAAACGTGTATCGCAAGCAATACAGTTGGAGCGGTTGTCCAAGAGGAAGATAGAGAACGTGTACTTTCTGCACAAACTACAAAGAGGGTTTAATCCACCCAGCTCGGAGGCGTCGTCAGTGTACGTACCTGATCGGTGAGTGTGCTCTGATCGTTGTTGTTACCGCTCTCAGCGATATCTCAATTGTTGACTTGGCAAAAAACCTCGGTCATCCGGTTGAAGATGCTAGTAACATCAAGCGCAAAATAAAAACTGGACGCCACTTTTTCAGGTACGTGTTAAACAGCTATGTTTAATGGAGATTGAAGGGAGATTCTAAAAGAGTCTTTTGAGCTGATGCCCGAGGATGCCGAGCGTTTTGATGTTCATTCCGAACCCTCGAAGACGCCGTCGGAGCGCGCTGAAATCGCATACAAGTTTTTTTCGGGTATGTGCAAGGATTACTTGTGGAACATTGGCCTCAGATGACGAAAAACTGCGCTTGCTGGAGACCAAAATTGCCATGCTAAATGAAAAGATTGATAGGGATTCCAAGTTGTATGGGAAGACTAAAGATGGTGTATATATACAGATAAGGGATCACCTAGACGCAGCGCGAGTAGCATACTTGGTAGGTTAGACACATTGTGTTATTTATTTCATAACAGGAAAAAAACCAAATACGGTCGTTGAAGTCAGTATAATATAATTAGTTACCACTGTAGTGTGTTTGATTTGGAGTGCTTTGCGTTATGGGTGGTGGGAGCCGTGCCAGTAGTTCATTTCCAGATATTTTTGTCACGAGCAAAAATGAAGCTTAAAATAAAAACATTAAATAATCAAGAAGCGGAGGTGGAGGTGCCCGAGGGTTGCTCCGTGGAGGAGTTGATGAAGATCGTGGAGAAGCATCTGCCTAGTATGCCTTCCGATCGTCAAAAACTTATCCATTCCGGCAAAGTACTGAAACGAGAGCTAATGTTGTCGGATTATTCTGACATTAAGGATGGCGATAAGGTGATTGTAATAACTTCGAAGCAGGTATGTGTGGGTCACTGTTGCGATTGACCGTATTTTGGTCGACTATTCTGACAAAAAATTCAGACGGATGCATCGTCCACACCTTCTACGACAACAAAAAGCTCAAATGTTCTGGCAGCCGAGCAGCCTGCCGCACAGCCCGAAACTTCGCAACCATTGGGAACGGCAGAGTCGAAATTTGTTATCGGCTCTGAACTAGAGATGGTTAGTTGCGTAATACTGTAGCATCTAATTATGTGTAATGGATATTTTCCACATGTCAAGCATAGGAACTCTGTGTTGTGGTATAAATGTATACATTAGAACTATACAAAACGATACTTTTCGATGGAATCTTTGAGAGTTTGATATATGTTCAGAATATTGCGCGTATATGTGAGATGGGATTCCCAAGACCATTGGTCGAAAAGGCTATGGCTGCCGCATTTAACAACCCGGATCGAGCAGTGGAGTTTCTGTCTACGGTGAGTTGTTTCTACCTCTTAAACTAATTAGATATATCAGGGCAATATTCCAACAGCCAGTGACTTTTTTGGCGGTGCTAATGTGCCCGAAAACCAGAGTACGGAAAATGTATTGGGTAACACCACTCCGGTAAGTTTAGTACCAGCTACTTTCTTGATCATGAGATGATACACAATTTTTTCGTAATGTTATGACATTGTCACAGGAGAGCACTTTGACGTCGATTCAATCGCATCCTGGTTTCCAGCAGTTGAGGCAGGCTATCCAGTCAGACCCACAGATGCTTCAACACGTTTTGGAAAATATCGGACAGACAAACCCTGAGCTGCTTCAGAGCGTACTAGAACATCAAGATGAGTTCATGGAGATGCTTAACGGTGGCGTGGATGTGTTGCCGTATGCTGTAGCAGAAGATGGCCCTAGCGTTGTTCAGTTGACAGAAGCGGAGATGCAGAGCGTGGAGCGCTTGGAGGGACTAGGGTTCCCTCGAGCAGCCGTCATTGAGGCGTTCTTAGCATGCGACAAGCACGAAGAATTGGCAGCCAACTACTTGTTGGAAAATGCAAACGACTTTGCGTCTGAGGATTAACTTAACCCTGGCACGGCCAGACGTGTGATCAACACCGGCGTCCTATTAAGCTAGTTAAGACGTTGCACATCAAGCTTGTACTCTATATGTTGCGTATTAGAAGTGGTCGAAAAGTGGTTTAGCACGTGTTTTAATGTGTATCGCTATCACATATGGGGTCGGACTGCGATGCTTGCGTTGAAGCGTTATGGAGCATCCGTTGTTGCACATCGTGTTTCTTCGTTCTTCCACGAAGAACAGACTCTGGTGTAGCGCATATATCACTCCATTTCGCTGTATAGCATTAAATTTGCTTTGAATGGTAGTGTGTAACTTTTTGAATCAGTGCAGAGTTCGTCCGTTGTTTTGATATAACGTCGGCCAAAAATATATTGGTAGTGATCAAATAACAGTGCATTACTTGAAGCATCTCGCTGTGCGGTCACAGCCTCGTCTAAGTTATCTTTCTGCTCTATATTTTTTAACCTCAACATATTTCACACGTCGATGGCGCCTAGTAACTTGCCTCCTGAGGGATTAAATGGGCGCATATCTGAAGTTCACAAGTCCGACGGGGGAGCTGTACACGCCAGTCATGGAATGACAAAAAGAGAAGACGACATTAATAAAACCACAATGCCGAAGTCTGGAAACGGTATTATTCCTAACGCAGGGATAGACAGATCGCCACATTCGGCGGCAATTGCTGGTTTGGTTGATGAAGATGGATTCGAACGTGTTATGACCGCTGCAGAGCGTAAGGCATTGCGCAAGAAGGCAGCCGCCCTTGCCCAGGCAGATCACGCTTCACAACAAAATGTCGCCAAACCCAATAAGGATAATTGCGAATCTATACTGAATAAGTTTAGAACTAAGTTAAAGAACTATGGGATTGATTGCACAGTTATACCTATAACGTCGGATGTGGCGATTACATGCGAGGCCTCCATTGAGGAACTTAACGATCTCATCGAGGCGCTTGACGCTGCAATCAAATCTGCATCAGAGGGTGTTACTAAACCAATACAGTTCACAACACTGGAGGAAGTCGACAAGAGGATACGTGATACCACAGAAAATCTTAAACGTCTAAAGACACAACGTGGCAAGGGTTCCGGACCCAAGCCCGGTGAAGTTGAGACAGTAGCTCGTGAGAGCGAAGTTTATATTGCCTATTTGCGTGATCAACGTGTGGTAGTTGAGGCTTTCCAGCGCATGAAGACATTCAAAACGAAATTGTATCAATACAAAAAGGCTGTTTTGGATGCCATTGCCCTTCGTTCAGCTGCTGCTAAACGCGCCAACGCTATTATGGAACAAGCAGCGATGACTCCTGAATCGAAGACAGTGCGACAACAGGAGTACATTTGTGGTATTTTGCGCAATTTGAAGGGTGATAAGGGTGCACCGTTAGACCCGTCCGCTGTAATCAAAACCGAAGTGGTTTTAATGGCAACCGCCAATCGTTTCCAACCACCCTACAACTACCTTAAACGCATCAAAGAGCGTTTTTGTGTACACATCGACCCCGTGGACTCGTTCAGCCAAGAGGTGGCTGCTTTGCGTATATGTGTCCATGGTGAGAGTGGCGACGTAGAGGAGTGTATCAAATTCCTTAAGGATTTGGACTTCCACTGGACTAAGAAGGTTAACGTAGATTTTGAACGCCTAAAAAAGGTGTTTGGCGGTATATCGGGATTATCAAAAATTGAGGAATCGTTCAATGTACTCACTTTCTATTACCAAGGTGTGCTGGATCTCATTGGCAGCCGTGATGGCGTCAATCTAGCTGCGAACTACATGGAAGAGAAGATTGCCACATTTGATAATGATGCAAGTGGTAAAAAGGTTGAAAGCACCAGTGTCAGCAGTGCTCCAGCGACGTTGGCTGAACACGAAGCTCGTCGTATTCAGATTCGTCATGACTTTTTGATTTGTAAGGCACTTTCCACGCGATTCAGACCATGGGTACGTGCTATAGAGGCCGATCTTGGAGTCATCGTCTCTTTTGACTTTTCACCCAAGGATGGCAAGGGTGCTCTGAATATCAATGTAGACAGCAACTACAAGTCCGCCGACAAATCCGCAGCAGACTCTATAAAGGCCGCTGTTACACAAGTAGAGGATTTGATAGCATCAATGGGCAGCCTCGAAGTTCCTGGAAGTTCAGATGAAGAGACGCTTGCATTCCTTTTTTCGGAGGATACGTTGCGCTGCAGATTTGTTTCCCAGGACTTTGGTCTCCTTCGTTACAACGGATTGGCACATGTTGTTGGTAAGAAGGGTATTTTGAAGGATGCACTCGTCCGTGTGACTACCTTGTTGCGTTTCAGGCACCATAAACCCAAGGAGCTCTTCGTACCAATGGTAAACGCGTTACTACTCTCTAGTTCTACGCTGGCGGCCGTAGAAGACTGGACTGGGGTAACTGTTATGACGCGTGAATCGATTAATGGTTCTGTACTCGTGATATACGGTGGGACTGAGCAGCAGGATGAATGTGTGAAGCAAGTCAACGATATATTGAGCACCCATGTGGAATATCCCTTCGATTTGTCTCCGGCTCACATGGCGGTTTTGTCCGACAACAAGTACCGCATCATACGAGACCTTGAGCAAAAGACACAGGTCCACGTTGTTATGAAGAAAGATAACAATCGGTTGGTGTTCCATGGACAAAAGGAAAAGGTGGATGAAGCCGTGGATGTCCTGAAGGCGTTCACTAATAATTTCATTTGTCTAGATCATACTAAGGTTAGTGAAGTAACACTCTCCGGCGAGTTTTATGCGTGGCTGCGCGTACCCAAGCGTCACATCGGAGCGGTGATAGGTAAGGGTGGATCGACACTTCGTGAAATCATCGATAGCTCCGGTCTACGCAACATGTTTGTGAGCCGTGGTGACAGTAGTGATGATATCGTATGTTTTGAGGGTGACAAGGGTGCTGTACAGCGCGCCTTGGAGGTACTAAGTCATATTTTGGAGTTTGATGGTGTGAACCAGCAGGATAGTCCTGTGGAGGATGTTTTTGTCGGCAAGTACAGCAGTTCTCACTCAGTGCTGCGCCACAATGCTGCTCCCATAAGCCGCCGCCAGACAAGCGTACGATCAAACGGCACTAACCCGATCGTGTTCGACTGCCGCGACGATGATTTTCCCGCTCTAGGCAGCAAAATGTGATTGCTGGGGTTGTTGGAAGCTTGGGTTCGTTAGTCTCGGCTTTGTAATGTATATACAACACCTTTTAGGCATCGTTTACACAAGTTTGGCCCTCCTCTTCGGGACATCTGGGAATTAGCCAACGGGTAAACGTAGTGGCTAGAGTTGCAACTACTACCTCGAAATTTACCATTTTTGTGCAAGTCTGTTTGTTCACTATGACCCTATTTGGTTTGTGAATACACCGTATCTTGCAACATGTGACAGCCGCAGATTATGAAACTCCACATTATTTCAATCATTTTACTTTGCATGTTGTCACGTTTCTGTAACTTCGCATAGCTGTGCAACGCTATGAGAGGCCTTGTAGGGGTATATGATTGCCGAAGTGAGTGACTTTTGCGCCATCTCCTGCGCGACCCGAAGCTCGTTGATGAAAGTGTCCTTTTCCCCCCTGCTCCACTCCCTAGCTGTTTTATTAAGAGTTTTCTACAACAATTGGTGGTATAATTGAAATAACCGCTTACCTGGAAGGTGTCGCAGTCGTTGTCGAACGAAGCGCACTTAAAACTCCTGACTAGCCTAAGATGGCTGCGTAGTAATGTTAAAAAGTTTCTCCTAGCGAGATGCCAATCTTTGATTATATAGAGCGAATGTGCCAGAAATTCTGCGAGTAATCTTTTAAGTTGTGAATATCAACTTACTGATGGGTTGCTGGTCAGCAAGCTCTGCCAGGTGTTCGCAATACTCAAGGCACTCTCTCGATGGCTTCGGCTCTTCACGCGCCTGTTGACATATTATCGTGTTCGTGAATTTGTTTCGTAAAAGGTGCGATCACGTACCTTGACCAGGTACATAATGTACGAAACGTCCGATTGTTGCTTTGGCAGCTGGTCTTGTGTTGCCATTAATTTGAAGTCATTATATCGTTCGTCATTGTTTATCGTGTCTGCGATAGTAGAGAAAATGGCCTTGATGTCACAAATTAGCTGGAGACCAGCCTGGTTCATAATGTATCCGTACATTTTTTTGTCCTACCCGTCGGTCGAACGCCTCCGACTGCTCTGCCGTCAGAGTACAATTAACCTGTTGAGACTCTAATTTTACGAGCTCTGGTATGACCTCTTGAACGACGAATGACCTATGATATATATTCACAATCTTTGTGTCGAGTTACCTCTTCGGGTCGATTGGTTTTTCAAGCTCTGGTTTGTACTGTATAACGGTGTTGACTGCAGGGTCTAACCGTTCCCAGTATTTCAAACGGAGCTCCTTATGAAGTTGCTTGTGAAATTCCGATCTCCTCTTCTTCTCCTCACGTGATGTACGCTTGGTAATTTTCGGTTTCCTCAGAAAGGGCCTTAGAGCGGTATAGGCTACGCCGTTGTGTCTATTGGTGTCGCGAGTGTCTGCGCCCAAAGGACATAGGAGCAGCACTGTAACCACTGCCAATAGTGCCTGTTTGGGTAGAAACATGGGTGTGTGACCCGTCTTAAATTTAGTTGGTTCCGATCCCTGGGGAGCATGTGATGTGTTGATTGTCTTGTAGTCCGTGCGTGGCAAGCCGCTCATCTGATTTCCACGACACACCAAGTCAGTTCACATTTTTTAATTTAAATGTGAACGTTTATATTATTGCGCTACGCCAACGGCATCGCGATACGACCGTTTTCGGTATCGACCGCGATGTCGTCAAGAGGGCGACCGGAGCGCAATCGCATCCCTTCGGACCAACTGGTCAATTTCTCACGTTATGTAGCTCCGCCAGAGGTGTGCATATTGTGGAACTTATGACAATGTGCAGGATCCGCCCAAAAGCGACACCGAAGATGTCAAGCCACGGGTTAGATCGACACAGCGTAACTTGCGTTGCTATATTGCGGATATCGGAGTACCTTTTGACCAGTTACCGATTGCACGGCCAAACCTCACCGTTGGTATGTTACGGGTTGAAGCATTTCAATGTAAGCAGACTGGAACACGATCGATCTGGTCGACCTCATGGTAGATGAGGATACACCAGTTACGTGTCCTATATGTCTCGATGAGTCTCTCTCTGCACCTCGCATAGCACGCTGTGGTCATGCTTATTGTTGGTTGTGCATTTTGAAGTATCTCAACTTCGATAAAAAAACGGAAAAGTAAGTTGGATACTTTGTTGTCTGATTCAACGCAGGAGACCATGTCCGATGTGTTTGCAGTTTTTATTTAAAGGTGACTTGAAACCTGTCCGTTTCCAGGTGTGTTTAAGTCCATTAGACACCTCTATATGCGTTATTTTATTGCGTAAGCGCCCGGATGTGTTTTAAACCATCTTGTTGCTATTTTGTGCGTGTCGTTGTTACTTCGGTCTTATTCATATCTTATTTTCTTTCACGAAGTAGCAGTTGCCGTATAAGAATTGGCATTCCGTGTTATTCAGTGCGTTTTTTGCTTGTACTAGTATGGTTTGTGTTCTGTAGCAAAAATGCTTATTGCTTCATAAGCTGAGTATTCTAGTTGGTTTGCTCGTGTTTGTCTTTGCCTTATCTGACGTTTATTAGGTCAAGAAGAAGCCTACGGTGCTCTCTTTTGCGCTGTTATTGCAGGAGGTAGACGCACACACTGCTGTTCTGCATCCAGACATATGCGAGCTCTTGTGCGGAAACCGTCGAATGCGTGATGGAAATCAGATCGCATCATTCAATTCACTAGACATTCAGTTTTGCGATGTTGCGTTTACAGATCAACTGATGTTGCGTGAGCTTCTGAAGCGAGATTACCTGGACTTAGAGCAGGTCGCACTAAGCACCGATGAAGGCGACACCGCTACTCACGAAGCGGTTGGGGAGGTATGCATTATCTCATAATGGTTCAATGGTTACAGGCCCTGCGCCAACTTAACGATAATGGCATTTCTATTCCAAACAATGAAGAATTCTCATTTTTAGACGGACTACACAACATAAAGGACTCAATTCTGCATTTACGAAATGTATCTGATTCCTACGTCTATGGGAAAACTGATGACCGCGAAGAAAATACGGACAGTGGAGGGCGCAAGAAACATTACTGCTTTTACCAGTCTATAGATGGATGCAAAGTGTTACTACACCCCCAGCTGCTCAAGTGCCTGTGGCACTGCTGTGGCAAAAATGTCAACCAACTACCATTGTTCCTTGTAAATCTCCCAGTTCTCAGTCTGGAAGAGATCGTGGTTACCAGTGGGATGTGCCGCCGCTACAATTGGTTGAATCACTTCCGCATGGGTTGTAAGGTTTACTTTGCGCACGTGCCGTTAGAAGGCTACGTATCTCCAACACAATTGGAAGATTTTATGATAAGCCGTCAGATTAAGCTCGACATGAAGCTGTCGAAGATGCTGCAGTTGCAGGAAGGGCCCTAGCATGGCCGATTGTTTCTGCCGCACTGCCCGCTGGGTTTTATTTCAAAGCGCCCGCTACAGGGCTATTTTAAAGAAATATACTGACGGTTTTTACTAGCGGACATATGTTCTAATATTAGTAAATTAGTCGCCTGTAATGGAGTGCGAAATGCAGCACTTTCAATAAGCAAACAATTGCCCACAGCACGCCATGGACAGCTATATCGTCACTACCACTTCACGTACCATATACCAAGTCATATGTCTCACATGGAGTCCCCGGGTACGTCCTTCTGTTCGCAGTAAGCGTAGTGCAGGTCGTTGATGTCCTTGTAGTTCACGATTTTAGTCCACCCGTTTTCGTGGACATGATATAAATTGGCGAATCCACCAGAGTAGGCGTCTCTATGTGCGGCCTGATAAATCGCCCTTGTTCCCAACTCAACTGCTTCTTCAAGGGACATGTCGCTGCATAGCATAACCACACGCCGGGTAAACCATTTCTTACCTCCTGTAGCCCTGGTCGATAACACCGTAGGCAAACAGCGACCCAGAACCAACGCTGAACAACTTTCCGCTTACGCGTTCACCCTTATCGCTGATGTAGTACAGTTGTGGTCCCTTGCTTCTGTCCCACCCAGCAATCATAGTACCCGCCGACAGTCCGTAACCCCTGAAGTAGAAGAATATGTTAGCAAGCATTTGAGATGCGTGTGCCACAGTAACCCGTTCCTATAATATCCATTAATTCAAACATAGCTAGGTGTGTAGGATTTCATTTTCGCCCAGCGGATAGCGGACAATTACGTATTTGCCTCGGGAATATGTTAGATCTTAGGAACGTACCTGAGTTCGGAGTTCGTGTAGCCTGCAAAGTTTAGCGACATGTCTCTCCCAGTATGTACAATCTGCAGCTCCTCCAGCCATAGTGCCAAGCAGATACGAGTTAATTTCGATGACCTTGCTGATGTTCTGCGTCGCTATGATGGAACCCATCGACGCCCTAGAGTCCACTGCAAGTATGACACCCTTGTCAAAGATGAATCCAAGCGTAGTGGTACCCTTTTGGAAATTATACAGGTCTTGTCCGCTAGCTTTGCTCATAGCCTTGAGGTGGTCTACCTGTTGGAGGCAGATGGGATTAGTCCGAAAGGTTCACTCTTACCCTCTCTAGCGGATACAGCTGAAAGCCATTTTTCAGAATTGTGGTAGCGCTTCCAGAGGAAGCCATGGCTTCCTCTCCGGGGATCTCCCTGTCCACGTCGGTCATTGCTGCCTAATAGTTTGGCTTCTAAAACAAATATAGCAGCGATGCCGATATGCGTCTGCTATTTCCCTATAACAAGACGCTCTATTTCCGAAGAATTTGGCGTCTGCGGTGGATTACAGCTTTTTATATCAGTTGTGGAGCCCGTCGCAACCTGCGCGCCTGACCCCTAGAGTGACGGCTCTTGAATGATCTATTCCGTTGCTTATCTCATTTATTCGCTGATAAATAATAAATTTCATGGTGGCGAATCTCTCTCTGAAATGGTGTGATCGCTTTACTGGTGTACCGTCGTATTGCCATTTTCAAATCATCTCATTTCTCCGTGTTGCGGCAAGCATCATAATTAGATGATTCTTCCCTCAGAGTTTTCAGAGTTATTATGTGCTATGGTGTTGCGATATGACTGATGTGTTAAGGGTAAGTTGTGTTCAACAATCCCCTCTGCATAAAACGCTAAGAAGGTCTGTCTTGTCCTCCATATTTAACTTGGACGACCGCACCCGCTCGCTATAGTCGTCATCGTTCAAGTACTCGTGTTGCTCCTTTATGTGTGACTTGAGTATTTCACGTATATGTTTGTTACCCGCATCGAAGTGAGTGAAAGCGGCTAACGTTGCGATGGCGTCATTGGTGAAAAATCTTCCAGTGTGTTTTATGGTTAATTCTACGGTATTGTGGTCTATATCTTACGCGCTTACGTTCGATTGTGTCGAAAAGCGGTTTGTCATAGAAGTCCAATGCATGGAACCTGCTCGCCACCAGCGCCAGCTCCTGCGTGAGGAATGATTGAATGTGGTACCTAATGTGGCCGGCCAGTTTTTCCAAAAAGGCATTGTCCCGTTCCTGCACAAGCATATAACCGTATGTAACGTTCTGTGACTGGTTGTGTCGATTTTGGTATGTCTCGTCTATTTTGAGAGATCAACCATATTTTGAACCTGATACCCTCCGCCAATGTGAAACCTTGTTGTACCAGCACAGCACTTTTATCATGCAGTCACCGAATGATTGCCACTTCACTGGGGGGGGTCAACTGCCCAGCTTTTAAAATGTTGAGCTCACCTTACACTTTGCCACCGCGTTGAGCACCATGCAAAGTTCCGTTGGAGTAATAAATTCGTACATTCTCCTATCTATTTCCGCCTTCAAACATTGATACAAAGTATCGTCCATGAGCTCTGCTTTTGCATATGCCGACATTATCATTGCGAGATGACCCTGTTCATGCGTGTCGTGTGATAAGGGGCTCAGCTACCGAATTCTTTATAAACCTACCGAACTGAAAAATGCAATCAGATGTATTATCCTATCTTTAATCATTGTGTAAAGGTGCGCGTCAGCCTTGCCAACCTTGGTGAGGGCGTTCACAAGCAATGCGATATCAAGCGGTGTCAAGGAAGCTATTGTCTAAACGTGAAAACGCTTCATTACGAACTAACCTCTGTAGCACTGGCTATTACGGCATTCCATTGCACATCATTCGTCACTCCCTGACGTGCCATCAGCCTGGCCCGGCTGCCTATGGATTGTGTAGAGCGGTTAGGTCTGCCCATCTCCATTCCCGGGCCTGCGTAGGTATATGCATTTGCATATTCTAGAGATTCTCTGCCATAAGCCAGATTTCCATATGTAAACAGTGGCCACGGAACCGGTACGTCGAGCGGCGAACGTGATATTCATCAATTACCTGAAGAATCCTGCGCCTCGGCGAAGGGGCGTCGCATGGACGCACGATCTCGCGTCGTAAAGCGACGCACATGCACACATCGCAAGCTCATTTATTATATTTGTTTAATCTCTTGAAATATTATAAAGGTGTCAGCGAAGTTGTGACTATTACACACACCAGTTCACTGGGCGCGAACGTGTAGGTATATTCTACGGCATATTTCTCCTGTCATGCGGTCTTCCTTTTCAGTGCAATTTTTATGACCACGTACAACACGGACAGCAGACCCGCAGTTAGGAACACCATCTTCGACATGGATAGGGCCGCGGTCTGCATACTCATAAACAAGGGTCTTACACCTTGGCATTAATTTTGTCCAGGACCGCATCAGACATCTAAAAACTCAAACACTGCCAAAACTCACCTTATTGTGCATGATTTTCGACATATTATCGAATCCTTGCTTCACATACCCTTGAGCCTCATCCAAACCTCCGCGCTGTGCAACTTTCACACGATGATATTTGCGGTCTTACTAAGGTGTCTAGCCTTGTAGTCGAATTTTTGAGCTCTGAGTGAATGTCCGTGCTGACCTGTGCCGATTGTGAGATATCGAATAGAATCGCGCGTCCTTTTGCGACATTCCCGCCGCAACTTACATTTTTAAGCGTGTCTATTTTGCCCTCTAAGTCTAACAAAAACACATCATCGTTGCTTTGGTCCTGGCGCCTCTGCTGTGAAGTGACCTGACGTCCGTCGCCAGCATACATCCTTGATGTCATGTTTTTGTGCGATCGGTTATATTACACTTCGACATAAAATACAAAATTTAAAGAATTCTCATTATCACGAGTTTATATTATGTCGCTGGCGTAGTCTAACGCAGGCAGCACGCGTTCGCAAAGAAGCCTGACCCGCTCTGGCGCAAATTAACGTTTCCTGAATTGAGTTGATTCACGCCACACATCAACGATCTGTCAATGCACACTCAGTAACTCACTTCTCATTGAGTTGACGCTGGCTTGTGGGCCCTTTTTTACACCGTATACGCCTGATTCGACATCAAACATTCCTCGCATAACGTTGTCATAAATCATAGTTGCCGTTGTTAGGAACGCTTCCTCCACGTTGTAGTCTCCTTTGGCCGACGTTTCCATATATATGAGGTTGTTTTCGTCCGCGAAGGCCTTGCCTGAATAGCGATGTTAGTAAGAATTAGATATATGACGTATATTTCAAACGGCGCGATACTCAAAAGGATATCGTAGCGACCCACAACCAACACCACCCATAGATATGAGTGCCTGTTATCTGTGGAGTGGGTTCCTTATGCCACCGCTAGAACAGAGCTAAGCCGCGAAATAACAAGCGACAACACAGTGCCATAACGCAGTTATAATAACACACGAAGGGAACACAGCCATGTAATACTCACCTTCGTCATATTCTACTTCGCGTCTGCTCACATCGGTTTTGTTTCCGATGAGTATGATGGTCATGGTAGGTGATCCATGGTCTTTGACCTCCTCAAGCCATTTTGTGAGGTGTTCGAATGTAGATCGACGCGATATATCGAACACCAGCAGCGCCCCTGCCGCTCCTCTGTAGTAGGAGCGCGTGATTGAACGGAAGCTCTCTTGACCAGCGGTGTCCCAAATTTGTAATTTTATGGTATTTCCCTTGACATTAATAAGACGTGTACCAAATTCTACTCCTATAGTGAGATCATGGTCAGGTTTGAACCTCTTGTCGGTAAATCTCAGCAATAGACAACTTTTTCCAACTCCTGCGCAACATGACTCTCGGACATCATTGCGGTTATGCATTGTTTTAATGACACTCATAGGCACAACTCAGCCACGTCCAAACAGAATTAAGTGAAGGTTCACCATGGACCTATCAAAAGAAAGAAGCGGCACAGTGCCAAATCGATCACCAACATACTGTCTATTGCTGCCTCGCAGCGTTCCAAACACCGTTAATCACGTATTTATCGGCGCTGCAATGTCCACTAGCACCGCAAGACTCACTAGTAGTACATTATGCCCATTGCAACATCTATCGGAGGATCGGTCTCAGTGCGCTGCAGCGACGCGCGGTGTTATGGGACTCACCTGTATCCCCGATGATGATATACTTAAACAGATATTTATATGATGACATTTTCCCACATTTCTTGATTTCTGAACGTACTAGGTGTCGACTTCCAGAACGCCTCGCTCCGTCTGGGCTCGTTACGTACACATCGACGCCTGTGTATGCAGCTAGGGGCCTTCCGCCGCCAGCCTGCGGTGTTTGAGATAGGATTCTTGATCCCTACGCTAAATTTGTAGATTCAACCGCGTAAATGGTTATGTGAGGTATTATTTTAGGCTAGAAACGTGGGCAATTGGGTAATTAGTTCGACCAACACGCCGCGTGTTCGGTATTCGGTCTTTTTTTACTATTATCGCGTCGCCGGATTCTTACCAATCAATTCACAATGATGTTATGTATCCATTTGATGGTCGCTTAGCCTGTCTTTGGGTGCATATGTGGGCCGTTTTCTCAAAGCGTTGCGTGTGGCCACCGGAGAGTGTACTGGTGTGTACATGTTTCTGCCAAATTTGCGCATTATAGACAACAAATGTCTGTCACTTGCTCTGAAAGCAGATTAAATGAACATTCCACAGGACTGATGCTTAGTGTACCTGTTTGGTCAACTTGTAGTAGGCTGGAGTACATCGTGTTAAGGCTATTTACCCAGCTGTGTTGCCTGTAGCCCCCGCGGTTATTGGAACTTTGTAGTTTTGCACTAACGGCGTGCCTTCTATGGTAGCATAAAACGCATGGTATAATAAAGGCGAGGTCACTACCACGCAACCTCGTTACGTATGCTGGCACGTTTACCATAACAACATCGTGTCGTACTGTGACTGGAATAATGTGTATCGCGTTTCTTATTAACAACTTAATCGTTAAACCTTTTCTGATAACAGAAAGAAATTTGGCGTGAAGTTAGCAAGGTTATTTACTATCGCTTTGAGCCAACTTTCTGGAACGTCGCCTTGGCGAAATTCCGTGACAGTATTTTTAAGCAGCTTTTTTAGCGTCAACATGGACATTCAGCAGTTTTTGATCCAAATACGAACAGTGTGAATTATGCCATAAAGAATTGTTTGTGCGTTGGTTAGCCATCGGCAATAATACAAGGGTATACGATAAGAATGTAACGTTCTCCACAGTAATGAAGCTAGGTAAACTAGTATTATCGACGCGCCGCCATTCCATCCTTTTTACTATATGACATATCCGTCCTGCTTCAGCGGATCGTTATGCCACGTGTCACGCCAATAATCGTGCTACAATGACCCAGCTATCGACACGCCAACGTTACCAGATCCTCGGTCGACGCTCGTACGCATGTCAGCACTTAGAAGAGGTACATAACCGTCGTACATTTATAGAGACCTTTGCAGGCTGGCTGAGGATTATGCTAAACGTGACTGTGGGCTAACGAATGTAGTAAACGCTATCTCGTGAGATCTCAAACGATGGAGTAACTACTCATAATCATACGATACGAACGTTGATGGAAAATATTTATTCGACAAGGAAATTTTTTTAGACGCCTTTACGTCCGTGATTGTCTTTGAGGCTGCTGTTGAAGCTGGATGTGTTGGCATAGGAGCGAGTGTCTGCTATCACATTTTTGTTTCGTGCGTGTATTTGAAGCGTGTGCAAAAGGAAAGATCGCCGTTCCACCTTTTTCCAGAGGGCAGACGAGAGATCCCCTCGCTGTTCCCGACACGTGCTGTCCCTGTGTGGCCCAATAAATGTCCACGTGCTGCATGGTAACATGAGATCTGTTTGGCACAATTTTTCAACTACCGATTATTCACTACCTTTTGTTGCGAATAGTTGCCGACCTCATTTGTGGAATAGGTTGTGACTGCGTTCGTGTGTGTTCGGATATATGTACACCGGCAGCTAGTTTTTGCGTCACTGCGCTAAGTATTTTGCTGTCTCTTAGCTGCCATAGCTTGATTCTAGCTCACGAAGCGTTGTTAGTATTGATACAGGTTGCTTTCGTCTCATCGTTGCGATTTTTTCTTGCTAGCCAAAATCTTATATTTCTAGAGCGGTGACACACGGTTGCCTGACTATCACCAGCCAGTAAGAATAGCTCTTCGGAGTTGTAGCCGTTGAGATCATCTCCTACAAAACATTTGACATTACCTTTCCGATCACCCTTTGGCTTAGGGGTCAATAGACCTGAATGACGTAGCGCTCCGTTTCAGATTTGCGTACGAAGGTAGCGCGAAGAAGAATAGATTCATTGGCAAAGCGTTCTACTTGACCGATTCGTCGCAGATAAAAGTGAAGATTCATCTGACAAGGTCGCCCGTGTCCTCAGTGTTATTTTGATCGACACTTCTGGAGGATTTTTAAGTAACACGTAGCACCAAATTCACAAAAAACGAAGATTAGACACGGTACCACTTGTATTGTTTGCGCGACTTAGTGCGACGATTATGACCCGCACAGCAAACTTCAGCGTTGGACTAAGGACTTATTACACTCCGAACGGTCAATTCGTAGGAGCGGAATATAAGCACTCCTATCGATAAATAGTGACACCAAAGCTTCCATATGTCTTCGTCGTCGAGCGATCGGCCGCCAAAAGGGGCAGATAATTATGGTGGCGACGCCAGTCGCAACTTTAATGAAAGCGACTATGAGGCGTTCAAGATATTTGCTGGAGGTTTGAACCGCAGCACCACCGCAGAAACTTTAAGAGACCACTTTGGACAATACGGTACCGTAGTCCATTCAGAAATTGTAGCCGATAAAACTACCGGCCGTTCTCGTGGGTTCGGTTTTGTGACCTTTAGCAATGATGCGGCGTTGAAGTCCGTTTTGGCTACCAGCCACAAAATTGACAACGTAGTTGTTGACGTAAAGCAAGCAATAAAGAAAGAACGTGCTCGTGATTTGGTTCCGACACGTGAGGACGTGAACCGTATATTCGTTGGCGGTATCTCTGATACCGTAACCGAAGAGGAGTTTAAAGAGTACTTCGAGAAGTTTGGTCCCGTAATGAACTACAACTTTATAGTAGACAAAGCGACGAACAAGCCGCGTGGATTCGGTTTCATAATTTACGAAAACCCAAGTGATGTTGACAAAGCAATTGGTCATCACACCAAACTGGGGCGCAACTGCGAGGCAAAAAAAGCACAGCCACGCCCCGCTCTAGCCAAGGGTATGATGCACCCGGGACACGATAACTTTGACTACGCCGCGTATTACTATGCGCAAGCAAATATGATGTACAACCCTTATTTCGCGCAAATGTACGCGAATGGCCAGATGCCTTTTTTCAATCCAATGTACCCATACAACTGGCAAGGTGAAGAGAATGGCGGTGACGAGATTCCTAGTGGTAGAGGTGGAGGAGAAGACGAACAACGTAGCGGTAGGGATAAGCGGTATCACAAGTCATCCGATCACTATTCAAACGGGCCATCTCGCGGTAATCACCGCAAGATCCCCCGTACAGAGCCGTATTAGCCTTATCATCGCACACCATTCTTCCACTTAAACGTCTGATACAAGCTGTACGCTATAGGGCCGCTGAGTTAAGATTGAAGCGGAATTTCTTTTACTCTGAGCTTAGGATATAGGCATGAATAAACTGTAGCCACAAAACCCCATCAACTCAGAATGTCAATTATACACATTAAAACTTATCTAACATACATATACATGTATTTGTGTTGTAGCCTTACAGTCCTAGGCCTGCGTTCTCATATGCGGTGTCTTTGTCTCCTTGTGAAACAAATGGTGTTCCAACTACTTATGTAGCCAAAGGTCTAGTAATACGAGCATTTTCTCATTCTCTACCTTTATCGCCATCTATAAACTCCATAAACGCATCTGAAGGCACCTAAATGGAAACAACTAAAGGTACTCACAACATTTGCATCTTGCTCAGAACCTCCCACCGAGAGGCTACGCCACCATGCTGTTTAATGTAACCACAAAATGAGCTCTCAGCAACTTAAAGCTTTCTAAAGGGATAACGCTGAAATACACAATGGAATTTCGTCCTCGAAGTGGGTAAGGAAGGATATTACGGTTTTTGGCATCGTCACTGATTCAGGGCCACCTGCTACGATACGGATGGTGATAGAGCTATGTGTTGTTATTCATTTGTTTGTTATCACGCATATCAAATGATATATAAGTGTGATGACATGCGCGCGTCTTTATTGGCAAAAAATACGTATAATACTAGGTTAACACAAGAAGCAAAAATTACAATTAAAAATTCATCCCCAAGATATCCCAGTCTCAGTGTTTCTAAGCACCGTGGTACCATTTTATATGGGCTAAAAATACGTATCATGGTATAAATGGAACATTTAAAACCCAAAATGCTTAATTTGTTGTCTCCCAGTTGTCACTTACCCCCGTCTTCATATATAGCAGTGTTTTTTACCATGCAATTAACTATTAGATGAATTTATTGGATAGAAGGAGTAACAACCTTTAATATAGTGTTACTGTTATAGATTGAAAACGTAACCGCTGGGCTTATTTTTATCACAACGGCCAGAGTGATTCTGCCCATTTAACCGGTATGCTGTCATTAGTACCAGTGCTCATTAAATAACGAAACAGTTATACTTAGAAAGTTATATTAGAGTCAGTATGGACTCTGATTATTTTACATCGATCGCAAATCAATGTTAGTCCGGCACCGTACAGTTCGGCAAATAGGCCTGTTTCTGTAAGAAGGAAGCGATTACAGCCCAGTTAGCCCATTAGCAATCGTAAAGTCGAGACCTTTAATGATATATCATTTCGTGGTAATGGCTTTTTGGAACGTAGAGCCGGTGGGGTATGTCTTAGTCCACAGTCACATGGTCCATAAAGAAAATTCTTAACATTTAACCCTTTAGGTAAATGTTAAGATTACGATTGGGGGTTTAGGCAACCAAAACCTGTTGCTGAAATCACCATATACTTTAATTATCCTCCCCGTCGTAGTGTACTGGTCGATGTAAAATTGGCTGCGGGTCTTCGTCGATGTATTCGAAGTCTCTGTCAAACGGCTTACCACCGTACAGTTTCTTGTCAAGCTTAGGAGGTGGACCACGTCGTACACTACTCTGATCAACATTTGAGGTCGTCTTAGCCTCACCATGTTGCATGGTTGTTGAAGCCCCGGTGCGTCTCTCCGATAGAGTTTGAATTCTGAAAACTCCCGGACTGACCTCCTTCATTGTTCGCTTCAGTATGGTCCAATCTGATTGATTATTAGCATCATCGTCACCTGATACCGTGTCCTGGTTTCGTCGCAAGCTTGTTTTTTGGCCGTTGCCAGGCATGGTTTCACCAATGTCAGATTCGGTCGCTGTTTCGGTTTCCTTTCTATTCGGGAGGTCATCTTCATCTTCATCAACATCGCCATCATCCGAATCATCATCGATGTCACCATCTAGATAGCCAAGCGGTTCGTCCTCGCTATCAGCACCTTCCCCAATAGTCTCACATTCCCCAAGCTCTATCTCTTCAGCAGAGCAAGATGATGCATGAGATCCCCTACGACTTATTTCACCTTCGTTTCCGTCGCCAGCCTCGTATGTTACTCCCTCCTTCTCACAATGACCTTCCGTTTCGTGGAATATGTGGTAATAATAGAACCGATTCACGTATTTACACTTATCATCGGGTAACTGCGCTAGTTTTAACATGTCGTGGAAATTGATATCCTCTTCCAGCCTTTCCTCCAAGGAAAGTGATTTGTACGCAGTTGTGTATTCGTCGCATTCTGGAGAGTGATCACTTGGCACTGTCTCGTATAGAACGGTGTGTGCGTGATATTGGACACCATGAGCTCCACCGTGCAGTAATCTTCGCAATCTAGATGACGAATTGCGTTTATCCACTAGTATTCTGACCTTGCATTTATTATCACTGATTTGGGGGCAAACTCGTACGTGATAGTTGCGCTTCTTCCTAGCATGGTCACTTATGGTTATTTTTTCAACGTCAAAGCAGTTGTTTTCATTTACGGTTACATTCAATGGTTTGTAGTGTTTATAATTCTTTTGCCACGCCTCCACAGAATCAGCAGTTGCAACGATAACAAAATTGAATACGTCGAAATAGAACGAGTATACCCCTTGGACCTTTGCGCCCGTCGAAGCGACGTACAAGACCTGCTCCTCGGACAGTTCCTTGCTTGAAGTGTTGATAACACGCTCAATCTCATTTCCCGTGGTGGGCAGGAATATTTTACGCAAAAATTGTTCGGCTGGATTCAGTTTGACGACGATGCCATCGGTATCCTCGTTTTCGCTAACATCCAGTTCTACCTGTTTCGCTCTGGTAGGGACATTAAAGATGAAGAGCAGCAGAGCCGCAAATTGTACTAATATTACCTGCATCTTTAACACTCCTACCAATTAATTTAACCGTCAACTTATTCCAGCCAAATGTGTCCAGTATTACGCCACTTATTGGTTTACATGAGTGGTTACATTAAGTCTAAACTATTAATTATTTGAGATGTTATTCACCCCTCAAATCTCTCACAAATTTTTAAATTACATATTATCAAAAATTATCATATTTACGCCATTCTGCCACTTTAAATAAGGGTATGCATTTTCCTAACACATCTTCTCCTTCCATTTGGAGGGCGCCCAGCTTCCAGCGTTTCCCTGTTGTGGATAACAACATTTTTGAAAATTTATCTTCCTATTATGACGTGCTTCCAGATTTTTTGTGGCTCTCCTCGTGGCCTTCCGGCCGATTGCTTTGCCGTCGTTGCATCGGAATGCCCTTAAGTTCATCATGATATTTCAATATCAGTACATTCGTATCTTTTCTATCTTATTGTGCCGTATTTCATGAGTATATCGCGCAACAACTGTATTATGCGAGTTGCTTTTCATTCATGTCAGTGACGAAATATGGGAGAGCCTCTTTATTCACGTCGTACCATTCAACGTCTCCATAGCCGGATATGTAGCATTATACATAGCGTAAAAGTGAACGCGACATATCATATTCGCACTAACTATTCTGCCTTTTGATAATTCTAACATGGACCCCGTGTTTTTCGGTAGGCCGGTAGGACGCCCCTAGTTACCGCCATTGCATAAGACATCATAACTATTATTTTTTTAAGCTTTAAATATGAGTTCTGTCCCTTACTTAAGACATCGACATTATATACCCATGCATCGCATTTTCGCGTTAGAGCATGAGCCTCCACTTACAATGGTGATTTTAATAAATCAGTTTAAAATAAGATGGATGTACATCTAGCTCACTTACGGCGATTTACGTCCATTTCTTATAACCCATTCAATTTTTATGTGTTGTAGTTTTGCATTTTGCTGCTACCAGTATGGTCCATACGTGGCTTCGTCGTCTACACTCCGAGTGTCGCCCCGCTTCAGTTACGATGTCAATCGGCTTGACGCCACATTCCGCTTCCAGCTTTTCCTAACTTACGTTCCCTTGTTTGGGACGAGGGTGCGACTTCCACATACCGGCATCATTATGTCGGAATCAGTTTCGAGTGGTAAAAATTCCTTGACGGTTTCGGGGATATCTTCCACGTTCTCTATTTCGAAATATTTGCCATCAATTTTCTGGAAGTAGCTGATGCCGTACGTCGATCCGACGAGGATAAAGTCACCGTCAGCGTTTTTGTTGATCAATATTTCGTCTATTTGATCGTCCTCGTCATCCTCCTTGCATCTAAAAACGTCCACATCACCGTTCTTGATGGCTATTAGTTTGTAGCCAGGCTTAGGCGCCAGTGACATGACACTTACAGCCTGGAAGATTAGAGGTTGGATCTCGTAGTGCGTCGAGTCGAGTTCATCTTCTACGTTGAAAACTAGCTTTGTTTTTGGTGCGCTCAAAGCATTCGTTTCATCGTTGATGACATCCTCGGCCTCCGCAGCGACAATGCGAAGGAAGAACGCAAAGAAGAAGGCCAACGAGCTGAAGGCTAGTCGCATTGTGACGATGGTTATAAAGGGATGTTGAACGAATAAGAGGGGTTTAAAAATACACGCAAAATATAGGTTCACAATGCACCCTTATTAATTTCTATAAAGCAGTTTTATTGAATAGTGCGAGAGATTCCATGTGTCGTGCATCCACTGAACAATACGGTGTCAGGTTTCTATTATCCCTTCCGTTGCGACACATTACAAAAATACGACATATATATATATATTGTTATTTCCACTGCATGTATTTGCTTCGATGAGCGGAACTGCGATGTGTAAAGCGTGACTACCTGGGGAAGTTGTTTCCCGTACCGCAATCTCATTTCCACAACCTCTTTGCCATATTTTTACATATATTACATGCTTTTTGTCATGCGAAGCAACGTATCCTCTGAGCTCACATGACCGCACAGCATCAGGGGTATAGTACCGTCACTGTGCGCTCATACATAGTGAGCTGATATTTACGTTGATTTGCGTTAAGTTGATGGTCATACAACAGTACTATTAGCCCATGGCGTTTGAATGCCGATACACACACTTGAATCTTAAAGCCGAATTAATAAACAAAAACACCATTCAGTCCACATAACCAGCATACTACATTGATGTGTACACAGTTGTCTTCGGCATACAGCCGCTTGTTAACAGCGTTAAAGCGTCCATGGCAACACGTTTGGTCGCATTCTAGGCCTTGCTAGTTCCGTACTTTTTCTTGATGTGCTTCGGTATCTTGTGCTTGCGTCGCTCTCGATTATATTCCTTGACCATTTTCTTCCAATCCCTTGGATCGACACCATCGGGTATTTTCCCGGAGAACTTCGGCGCTTCTTTAATAGGCGATTCGGAGTGAGCATCACGACTACGCATTCCCGTATCTCCGACTTCATCTGTTTCTTCGTCTTCTTCGTAGTCGTCTGTGTCACGACCATTGTCCTCATCTTCCGATGAACCTTCTTCGATGACGGCATTCATTGCAATAATAACATTTTCTGCATGTTCCACTGCACTTTCAGCGAGCTCTAATGGCATCTGTGAGATGTTCATTGGCAGTTGTTTGTCGAAATTGACATTCTTCATCCACGATATACGCTCCTTACAATCTTCGTTTGCAAATATCGGCCCAGTTAGAAAATCATACACTGCCCTACAGAGAGACAAATATGCCTTTCGTTTTTTGATGACGAGTCCCAGAATATCTTTTGAAGCGCCAAATTTGTTAAATCTTCTCATTTTCTCGACGCAATCAATTGAATCGCGCTCAATTTCGTCATCTTCAATGCTCCAAAAGCTCTTGGCACTGCCTAGAACCTCTTCCTGCCAAAGTTCGTCTTCAACCTGTGGAAAGGGCACTCTGGCGTTAGCCTCCGACTTTAGGTCTAGGCCGTCCAGGCTCCGTGCTACGATGAAGCAGAACAACTGTTCGGATGTTACGAGGTTAAGTTTATTGTAGGGGAGCATTTCTTCGTTTTGGCCATGATGCATAACAGCGACAGCTTCGAAAAAGCGGGTTACATTTTCACAATCCCTTTTAAGGAACGGCATCGCATTAGGATGGTCGTTTTCCAGTGCCTGTGAGGTGTCGATGACGTACAACTTACCCTTGGAGTAGAGCATGTTGAAACTGGAAAGGTCACCATGGATCAGTTTGCACTCCTGGAATAATGTTCTCATTATACTTACAGTTTGTGCATATATTGTCTGCCACTCGAAGAGTGGACGAGGGCCTAGGTTTTCCAGTTTCGGAGCTACAACATCACCATCTAGTATGAGGTCCATAACTAGGATATGGTCCCTAAGCGCTATTGGAGCTGGGCAGTATATGCCTGACAGCGCAATGCGTCTCAAATTTCTGAATTCCTTTTCCGCCCACTGGGCGACCATTTTCCTGGGATTTTTAGTTCCCACATAGGCACGCCTGAACCTGAATTCACCTTCGATGTATCGCGATCTGTCCTTGAATACCAGAATAGAGGTTTTGTATACCTTGATAGCCACCCTTGATGGGCCATGCTCATCAGATTGCAGATTTGTTTGGCCCACATCCGAGCATTTTAGCGTCGATCCGATGCTTGTTTTGGCCAACCTATTCGTCAGGTCGTCTGCTGTTGCACCTGTCGTTTCACTTGGTGAGGTTGGTGACAGCGCTCCTCCGGCTTCCCCAGAGCTACGCTGCGAACTAATAACACCAATAACTTCTTCTTCAGTGCCGCATGGTTCAGTTTCGTCTATTATTGGATGCTGAGTCTCCGCCTCGAACACATTCGCCTCCTTTCCCGTGCTGATAGTACCGTGCATATAATGGAATACTCCCTGTCCACACAACTTCCTCAACCGTACATAAGTGCGTTTGTCTAGCACCTGTTGTACTGTAGTTCTCTTATCCTTGGTCAAACCCTTTTCATAATGATTCCTCTTGTATATCTGGTTGCTTCGGAGAGTATCCTGGTTCTTAGCGCTGACAGCGAAAAAGAAATTTGACTGTCGGAAGTCCTGATGCCTTTTGGGAGTCTGTCTAGGGGCAATTTCAGGCTCCTCGGCATCGGACGCTGAGGAGGATCGTGAGTAATCTATATCCACCATGGCGTTGCTACATCAGTGTTGCGATAAAATTTTATTACCCTTTTAGGCAGTACATTTGTGTGAGTAACCATTAGATTTGTGGCAGCATATTGCCGCTGCTGCCTGGTCGTACCGCTTCTCATCGTCTAGGGCCGCGTGTTGTGTGGTATCAACGTGCTGCAAGCTCCTCGTGTTATCGACCAATCTTATACATCTATAAAGTTTTGCTATTTCCTATTCAGGACGATTCAGGAGCTTCGCTGAGTTGTCATCCGGCGGGGTCCCCTTCATCAATTTATCTGCCTCGGTTTTGCCAGCTGGGCAAAATGGACTGCTTTTTGGCCGCCTTTTGATGCGTTGTACATCTCTTTGAGGGCTATAGCGCGTAGTGGTTTTACATTTGCATCCAATATGATCGGCTCCGTATTTCTAAATGAGGCCGAGAAGTCTTCAGACGACTTGGAGTCGTCCGACGACCAGCACTGCGAGGTAACTTTTAAATGATTAAATCTTACTATTATCAGATGCCTTGGATCGAGTGGTATTGCAGTCTGAAAGGTAACGAATATTACGTTCAAGTAGACGCGGATTACATCCGTGATGAGTTTAACCTCGTTGGTGAGTAAGATCTTTCGAGCGTTTCATCCATTGTTAGGACTACAGCATCAAGTTTCTTACTATAGCCACGCAATTCGTATGATTCTGGACAACTATGACGATTTCGACTACGATTGTTACGATGATAACGACGGGGATTCTTTTGGTTCACGCTCCGATCGCGCGAAGCAGCAGATCATCAACACATCATCGCAATTGCTGTACGGATTGATCCACAGCCGTTTTATAATAACGTCCAAGGGCATGTCCTTGATGATGCAGAAGTTTAAGGAGAAGGTCTTTGGAACGTGCCCAAACTTCAGTTGTGAGAATGCGGCAGTTTTACCAATCGGCATCGTAGATGCCCCTGCTTATGACAACGCGAAGATATTTTGCCCTCGCTGCAATGTAAGTTGCTCTGGCGATTTTATATATTTGGCTAGGAAGTCTATCACCCACCTAAGAGCAGCCGTTTGTCCCTGATTGACGGCGCTTACTTCGGTACCACATTCGCTCATTTATTTTTGATGGTACATGACGCACTGGTCGCACGTGGACCTGCGTACTACTACGTCCCGCAGATATACGGTTTCAAGGTAAGCCCCTCTGTGAAAAATCAGAAGGAGTTGCCACAATCCAACCAACAATAGATTACTAGAAAGTTTAAATGTGTATTTCAGTTATAAGTTTAGATGCCTCTCTGTCTAGGTTCTGCTGGTATGTCCGCACTGTCCTGGTTATGGCGGTGGCTGGTACATTTGAAAAGTCCGTTGCTTTGGCTGACTCGTCACTCTCACTGTTGGCGGTCTTGTTTTCCTCTACGGGTGGCGTTTGTTTTTTTGGGCTATCTGTGCCCTGCAAAATTTTTGTTTCCTGAGCATATGTGTTTCCTGTTGTACTATTTTGTCCACCTTCATTGCGTGGAGTGGCTTGCTGCGCTTCACTCTGTTTTTCATGATCATTGTTACCTTGAATATTGCCGTCGGGTAGATTGTTTCCTCCTGCCTGATTTTGTTGTGTCTTGTTCTCTTTTTGACGTGTAGTGGCTGTAAAATTATTTCCACTTGTGTTGTCGGAAGTAATTCCTCCATTCAATTGGCTTTCATTTCCATTATTTACAAGGCTATCCCCCGGCTTTGCAGTTGCACCAGTCGATAATACGCTGTCCCGAACCTGCGCAGAGCTGTTTTCTCCACTTGTCTGCACTAGGCTTTGAGTGTTTTGGGGTTGTGCAACATCTCCTCGTTTCCCGTCGTTCTTTGATGTTTGTTCATGGGTCTGTGTCTTGGCAGGTTCCGCATGATCCTCGTTTAGTGTGACCGAGAATTCTTGAGCCAACTTCTTGAGGTCCTCAGCAAGTGTTTCTACCCCGTCATTTACGAATTTCTTAATGAGTTTTTTTGCAGAGTTTATATTTTCCGTTACGTTAGCAGGTATATTACGATGTTCTTCGCTTCTATAGTACTCCTCCATGTCATCGCAATGCTTTTTTATGGATGCTTGTATGCTTCTGATGTCGTCCTCCACCTCTTCACAAGCCTCATTTAAATGTACAAGCTCTGTAGGATCCACCTTTTCTTTAGCTTTAATGAGCTTCTCTTTGACTGCGTTGTGGAAATTGTTCATGTGAAAATCTACGTTGTCCTTGAGGTCTTGGAGTTCCAGCAAGATCTTTTCCAAACGCTGCGCTTTATCACCGGAATTAGCGTTGGGTCCCGCCCACTTTCCTGCACTGACTTCTAGCATCGTCAGGTTATGGTCCCGGGGCAGTTTGTTGCGTAAAGACACAGCTTCCGCGATTCTCCCTCGTACCCCGACTAGATACAGGATGTAGGCGATCAATATCTTCATTTTGTGTGTTTTGCAAAAACAAATCACTTATTTTAAAGCTATTCTTGAATGTTTTAGTTGTGTTGTTAAGCAGTATAGAGTATTGTGAGACTTTAAAAATATTTGTCTGTATGTTCCAACTGTGAGCAGGTCTTGTCTCACCGAAGTGTTCAACTTTATTTTTATAACAGACTCACGTCGGATATGCACCACGACTCACACAAAGAAGCGCTATAAGTGCCTATATGATGATTCGTCGCGTAACTTTGACTCGTTATTGCAACCCATGGTATGGGCTTTGTATCATACGACTTTACAAGGACCCTTTGCGGTTCGTTTACCACCCGTGACCAAGCATTAGGCTTGGCAGGTGCGTTTGAAGACAACACATTATTCAGAACTACCCGCGTTGTCGTATGCTGTGATACCATCACTGTCTCGCACAGGCTTATGAGTGTTCCACTATCGCAAACATCTTGCACCCTCTATAGTGTGTATCAAAGACTGTATTATTGTGTCACCCCAATTCACTATTAGTTCGCTTAATGTGTCCTCTCGTCGTTCATTGGCGAGGCGGTCTTCATGTCACTGCGCCTTCTGAGGGCGCATGATGGGCTTAGACTCTGGTACTGAGGCCGAATGCGATTTACGTATAAGTTCAGATCTATTTAGCCATAGTAATCTGGTTAGCTCTCATGAGGATTTAGCTTTTGTCTGTGCGTGCGCCTCAAGTGTGGATGGTAGCGATCGCGAACCAGAATCCGAGGAATTTCAGCCCTATGTCACTGCTTCTCAGCCTAGCCAACCCATGTTTCGCAGCGCGCTTGAGTGTATGCTAGATAAGTCCACGTTGTCTGCGGGAGATAACTTGAACAATATCTCTACGTGTCTTTTCAGCGATATTCTACGTGGCGCGGGGATCGCTGAGATCAGTGGCTCCAGCGGTAGTGGTAAGACGTCTTTCTGCCTTTCTTTTGTGAACAGCGCTTCTGGTGTGACGCTGTACGTGGACACATCTGGGTCGGTGTGTCTGTCCCGTGTGTTTGATACTAGCCGTTTCCTTTACTTGCGCGTATTCAACAGCGAGGAATTGGACCTAGTTGTGTCCGACTTTGCTCATAGGTTATCGGAGGATAGCTACCTGCCGTGTTTCAGCGACCTGCGAGCACAGTCGGTCACCACGTTGGTCATTGATTCATTGTGGCCTTTATGCTTCCTGGACCCTTTACAGCTCCGCAAGTACTTGATTGGGCTATATTCTACCTTGCGTGAAATTTCGTGGCGGCACTGCATAGGAGTATTGGTTTGCAACAATGAGTCCACTGCTGACGCCAGGCCTTCTGATTCAGACAAAAGCATGAATGCGGGTTCATTAACGGAACAATTGCGCTCTCGCTGCTATTTACATATCTCACTGGAGCAGCACGTTTGTTCAGATAAGAGTGACGGGAGCACTTTAGGTGAAAGTTGTTCGGGCGGTGCTTCTCTTTTACTGGACGGCGTTTCCACTTCTGATCGTGTCGTACGTCGTGTAATGAATATCACCAACGGAAGCGATAGCACCTCACGTTCTGTGGACTTTTGCATCACGAAATACGGCATAGCTAGTTACGCCTAATGACGATGAAAAAACGCTCCTCCGGAGACGAGATACCATGGCGCACTAGAGATGTGGAAACTTTGCGTCGCTTTTTGATTTCGGCTCAGGAGCGTGTCAAAACCGCCGATTCTACCGCTGCCTCTACGACATTAGGGGACCGCCTACCCGGATTGGCGTTGTCGTCAGATGACGGCTTGTCACGTCAATTTGCTGGCATCTCTCCGCGTGTGGCAGACCGTGATGCTGATTCCCAACCATTGGACTACACGCACAATGCGCCTCCACACAATGCTCATCGCCCATCTCAAGCTATTGACAGTGTCAATAGTGTGGAGACTCAGGCCAATATTTGCATTTTGCGTGGACAGACGGGGAGTGGCAAGGTCACCGCCGTGCGTCGTTTGTGCCAGGAGATCGGTTTGAAGATTATTGAGTATGACCCCTTTGAAATCGATGTGATATATATGTCCCATAGTGAAGCGTATGACGCCATGACGGCCACGTTCTTGCGTTTCTTGGACACAGTACGTCGCAAACCAGGTCTTCGCGTATCGCATGAGAAGATGTCTCCATCTAAGCCACCAGAAGCTTTTTCCCGTCGTGCCAAACGCATTCGTCTGGCTATGGATCTCCAGCCAGCTGTCGTTGCGGTAACCAATGACAACACTTCATCGCAGGAGCCTCACGTGATCTTGTTGAGAGATATTCCACGAACGTTGACTGGAAACAACAGCGATTGCGCCCGACTAATCCAAGAGGTGACCCGCAGTATTCTGAACGGCGAGGGTTGCAGTGGAGGTGTGACACCTTACCCGTTGATAATATGCGTCAATAACACTTCCAGCGATCGCCAGTTACTGCATAACATTCTCCCTTATAACTACAAGACCCATCCACGTTGCCTGAGTTTGAACGTGAACCAGATTACTAAAGCTAAGGTGAAGACTATATTGCATCGCTATTTGGATTCCCTGAAACGAGGACGTAACCCCTTTAACGACCGTCTTGTTGATTATATCAGCACCATTAGTTGCGGTGACCTGCGCTTTGGCAAGTGCAATTTACACTTTTATTCTGGCGTGGATCACACTTCTGTAAAGTCACCTAATGAAGACTTTGATGTTGTGCGTAATCACATGTTTGAACGCAATTCAAGTGCTATTGTGTTCAATATTTTAGGCAAAGTACTGGTCAACAAACGCGTACCTGCTGTTCTGTGTGTGGATTCTAATTCTATGTCTAATGTAATAGAAGCCCAATTTTCATTAGATCGGTCGTCTATCATTGAGCGTTTCGGTTGTTGTTTCAAGGTGTCGCGTCCCGTAGAGATACTCGCTTGTGAAAAGGTCACAAATGCCTGCTCTATTACAGAGGATTACTCTGATGTCTTGGAAATTCTATCATCGCTTTCAGATGATCTTAGCGAGGCAGCTATTAAGGTCGAGTTTCTGCCGCAACATGAGGAGAACGATTTGCTGGGATCTTTGAGTGGCGCTGCGGTCACTGGCAATTATACGAACTTGTATCAGTCATCCTTCTACAACTCTGCTCTGGGTGACATGCCAATTGGCGTTCGTTTGTACGGTCTGTGTGAGCCTTTCGATGCGTCTAAACCCCAATCGCTTTGCAGATGGCCGATTATTACGGGTGACACATCGGCCACCCCTACCCGTCTCCCACGCTCTGCCCAGTTACCGGTTGTAACACGCCCTCAGATCTACTACAACCCTGACGAATTGGTTGAGAGCAGCAATGTGGAGAGTTGTTTTTTGATAGACAGCCTTCTCGAGAACTATTCAATTTACTACGAGTCTATCGACGATTGTGCAGCACTAACTGCACACCTATGTACAGCTGATGTCTATATCACGGGCCATCGTCATGCAGGCGCAGCTGGTGACGACACAATGGATAGCGCCCATATTACGTTTGCGTGTCTATGTGTTCGGGCTGCGAGTTGCAGCAACTTAGGTGGCATTGAATCCTCAACTGGATTTCGGCAATTCACTAAAGGGGCTTGGCAATCTGGATCACGTCACGAGATGAATCGTATGAAAGATCTGTATGATGGTCACATTCGCGATTTGAATTCGAGGAATCAGACTCCGTCCTGTTGTTGGACCGGGGCCTACTTGTGCAAGAGTCGAGCGTTCGTCGAGATTGTACCGTTTTTGTACATGCTACTAACTAGCAACCCTGCTGGAGAGTCCAGTTGTTATCAATCCCCTCCGGACCGGAGCCTGAGCGGTTGTAACATAATGACAAAGTCTATGTTGGAACGCATCGACATGCTCATGGAAGTGGACCGGCACTCAACTCTTGAGAAGGTGTGCCCTACTGACATCCCATTTGATAGTGTTATGGATACAATGACTCCGAAATTCGAGGAGCTTGTATCTGAGCTCGGCAAGCATTATGAGCGCCGGTCTGGTCGACGCTGGGTGTAGTGTTCGGGTTTCTTGTGCACGTATTGGCGGGGAGTGCTATCTAACACTGTCATTTCTGTCTAAAATAGTTTTAACTGTGCTGTTTTTTCTGCCTGACATTTGCCCGTCGCGCGTTGGTGGCAGGTGTCACGCCCACGTGTTGCCGTCTTAACCCGCCTAACATTGCTCTCACGACAATAGTTTTTGTACTTTGACACTATTTTTTCCAGACCCATGTAAAGGTCTTTCGGATTAGTACTCGTGACGGCTAGTTTTCAGGTGAGTTAGCAGGCCGTGTTTGTGTGGCCCTTGTTTTACACTTTATTTAACTTCCCCTAGGTTTTCTAAGATGATTGAGGAATCGTTCGAGGGTGGTGACGCAGGTGCGTCCCACACTATCCCCGTGGCTGCCGGTTCCATTAAGATGAACGGTTTCGTCATGATCAAGGGAAAGCCTTGCAAGGTCGTCGAATACTCTACCTCGAAGACCGGTAAACACGGCCACGCCAAGGCTAACATTACCGGTGTCGACATTTTCACCGGCAAGAAGTACGAGGATGTGTGCCCAACGTCGCACAACATGGAGGTTCCTCACGTGAAACGCACTGAGTACCAGTTGATCAGCGTTGACGACGATGGATTCGTGTCATTGTTGAACGCTGATGGAACATGTAAGGATGACCTTCAACTACCCCGTGACAACGACGGCGGATTCGATGAAGTGTCCAAGCAAATTCAATCTCTTGTTGCCTCTGGCAAGGAGGTCTTGGTGACGGTACTTTCTGCCGTTGGCCAGGAGAAGATCATTCAGTGCAAGGAATTCTAATGAATATCTTTCTTACTCCTGTCATTTAGTCACATAATTTTCATGATAGCTGGGCGTAACTTCGCGGTGTGGTGGGCGTCGACTCCTGTGTACGCGACACCGGCGTGACCGTCGGTATGTTTACCACATATCTCACTTTATCGCACTTATCATCTTAGATGGACGGGATTGCTGACCCCGTCAGTGCGGCTGTAGCCGAACTAGTCGGCATGGCCGATATGCTTCGGAGGTATGTGTTTGTATTCCTTGGCTTCATAGCTCATTTCTGCTTGTTATGGGCCACATATATGGTTAGACGCTTAATGACATTTTAGGATGAGGGAATCTTGCTGGAGCAAGTGCATACCCGGGGTTAGGGACGCGAGTCTGGAGCCCGGTGAGCAGAGCTGCGTGGACCGATGTGTTAATAAGGTGTGTAATTTATCTAACATTCATCACATTGTACAGTTCCTAGATGTGCACACAATGGTCGGTACTCGCTTGCAGGAGGCTTCTAAAAGCGGACAGTTATGAATGTTTTTGCTGTGTTACTGCTTGCATAATCTCTATGCCACAACTTTTATTCAAGTCGTTTGGCAAAACATTCTATTACTCATCATCATCCAAACTTGCGTTTGAACCATAATCGGCACCTGTCTATGACCCCGCTGAAGCTCAGCTCTGGCCTGACGTCTATGTAGACCGCGATAGGCTCGTTATTTGGCGCATGCCCTTCATAGAAGTCGATAATATACCTGAAATAATGACACTACACCATAAGTGGCATTTACCTGACGAGCTTCCCGCATCTGTCGACAGTCCAATCATGTCTGTCGTACGGTAGTTTGTAACCCATGAAATGTTTGATCCTCGCTCGTAACGATATTTCGTCCTTCTTCCCAATGAAATGTGCCAGAACAGGATTCTGACACTGTTCGGCGTGTAAATCCTCGTACTCAATGATCCTTTCCCATGCCTTTTCGTTGATAGCATTGTGTATTTGGACAACTGTGGGTATTACCTTGGCTTCCACTTTGTGCCCTGCATATTGTCAACTCAGGTAGTTACCGTATGTGCAAACACGTTATGGGATCAAATATAGCCATATAACACATCATCTTTCATGTCTTACCTTTTGCAAGTGTTGAGCGGTAGAATTGTCGCTCCGAGGGATACATCCATCTGGCTTGCTTCCCCGGAATGTTTGACTGCGTGCGTGTCGCACCCAGATTCTTCAAATCTCTTTCTGATACAAGCGGAGTAATGCTTGATGCCGTTTGAGCCGAGCTACAGCTTGAATTCGTGCGTATTTTGTCTACGTTGAACTGCGCCTCAATTGGACAGAATTGTCCAGGTTCTGCCTCTGCACTGCTTTTCTGCTCTTGCGGTGCCATTTTCGTACTTCACATATAACTACATCGAAAGTGCGGCTTGTATTACGATGATACGTCGGTTTGTGCCCCTTAAACGCTGCATAATCCCCTATGCTTCTTCATCCATCATATGCGGTGCATCACTCAGTGTCGTCGAACGCAGCATATACGAACGTCACCTTTTCAAGCGACCTAAGGGCGCTTAAAATGGACCTATAGTCACAAAAGTAGCATATTTGGTAGGCAATGTGCGACCTTGCGGTCATCTGTTATCATAGCAGCGACATCATTGTAACACAAAGTTGGTGGTCAGTAAGTATGGGCAGAATCAGAGACACATTACTTTCCTTGAAGCCTTTTATGGCTTAAATTCGTAGATTTTACAACATTTAGGCCGCGGTTTAGCCGAATCAATGGGGGCGAGACCCCAAAGAAGTACTGTGTAGATTTATTTACTTTTTTTCGTAACTCAGTAAGGCCGTCGTCGTTTTTAATTTACGTTAGTCGAACTTAGGACCTCATAGAGTTGAGTATGTGCTACCTACGCCCAGCGTTATTGGCGCTGGGTTTCAAAAACATCGCGGCTCGCTCTAAATCCCAATAGCGTCCGAAAGCCAACATATAATTACACATCGCACCGTTCTACAGCTCTACAGAAAATTGTATCGCTGTTGTTTTATTAAGATCGCATTATAATGTCGCCACCCAGCAAGAAGACTATTAAGAGTCGCACCAAGGGCAAGAAAAGCAAGGTTGTGGCAGCGAAGGATTCGCAAGAAGGCACTAGCGATAGCTACAACTTCGTCAATTTGCGCCGTGTGAGCGTGCCCGCCAATCGCTTGACCCCGCTCCGCAACAACTGGGAAACTATCGTACGTACGGTGGTGGAACACCTCAAACTACAGATTCGTATGTGCACTAAAAACAAGGTGGTTGAAGTACGCCCTGCCTCGGAGAATACAGATCTGTCCCTACTTCAGAAGGCGCAAGACTACTTGCGAGCGTTTATGCTCGGTTTTGAGTTGAAGGACGCTGAGGCTCTGATTCGCCTAGAGGACATATTCATTGAGAGTTTCGACATTAAGGACGTAAAACGCTTGAGCGGTGACCATCTTTCGCGTTGCATTGGGCGTATTTCCGGGAAGGACGGGAAGACTAAGCACGCGATTGAGAATATGACCCGTACTCGCGTTGTTTTGGCACAGGACCGCATTCATATCATGGGAAGTTTTAACAGCATAAAGATGGCACGGCATTCTATCTGCAGTCTCATTTTAGGCAACCAGCCTGGAAAGGTCTACAATAATCTATGCAACATCTCAAAACGGTTGCGAGAAAAGCTGTGAGCTGGTTGGCACTTGCCATTCCAGCTTTCGTGCACCGTCTAATACACGCTTAAAGTTATCATTTCATGTCACACATAACCATGATTTTAGCATTGACGTCGGACCCCTAAGGAGGTCATTTTTTGCCCCTGGTTCGACGGTGCGGCAAGTACTCGTGAAACCACGATGTGTAGGTGCCTCTGAATTGGCTGGTTGGAGGACAGTGTATGCCTTATCTCACTTATACGGCAAATATTTATACGTATTAGGCCTATTGATGCGTCTCACATCTTCTGAGTCTCTCACTATTGTCGCCATCTGAGGCGGTCAGATTCTGTCTCATGTGTATCCCGGCCCCATCCGCGGCGTTTGCTGAACTAATATCCAGATTAACGACGTTCATTACACAAATATTACGTCTATACACGCATTTTACGTAAACTCCAAGTGGGAATCTTAGCCTGGGAGACATTATCGGTGTCTAAGCGGATATTGGATCGGGACGTTGTCTTTATATCGCCCGAGTTTCGCAAATATCAATCCCACAAGCCGGTTCAGCCAGTCTGATAGGTATCATCACACCAAGGTATGTTCCGTTTACCGTTACGTATGTGTTAATGTGGTTGTGCCGCTTAGTTTTTACGGTCCATGTTTTTTTTGGTTACGTAGCGAAACTACGTTCCAAAGTGCTTTTCGCAGTTGTGTTTTTTGTTTGTAATGTTATTTTAAATCATGGTCATATATCTTCAGATGATTGCCTGTGTTTCGGACAAGAAGGCGCTGGCCCTGCTGGTTGCGACCAACATCTTTTACTTTTCGGCTTACATTTTACGCGTACACCCATTGCGTGTGTTGATTAACGTTGCTACCTGCGCTATTTGCCTGGGTGGCGTTTGTCAGATGGTCTCGGGGCACACCCTGTGCGGCAACAGTGTTGATGAAGATGAACATCGCGAGTTCATAAAGTCGGAGTGCGTATCAGGCGTCGTACAGTGCTTCCACAGTTGTCTCAACAATTTCTGCAGGGAAATTTATTCTGTCGTTCTTTGGAAATCACCCGTGAAGTCGGTGTATTCCTTAGTCGCTCTTTATATTTTTGCCTTTTTCGCAAGGATCTTATCGCTTTCTGCGTTATTTTTTGTTTCGATATGGTTGTTTTGCGGTTGGTTAGGCTTCAGGGAACATTATTACCGCAATGTTCACCCACAGGTAAAGCCTGTGTACGATCACGTGAGGGAGGTGGCTTTCGGCTTGTACTCCAGCATTCCGAAATTCAATGAATCACAGAAGTTGTAGACATTCCGTATCTAATGTTTTTTCATAGCGGTATGCATTTACTAATTGCGTTTCATGTGTGTTGTGTGATTGATCAATCTGTTTAGTGATGAGGCCCAGCCTCAACTGTTGCGTCACACTGATGTAGAGTACCTCGGCACCGTATCAATGTATAGTACTTGGTACCCTCGTGCTCTGTCTTAAACAGATATATAGTGAGTTGTAACAACGCTGGGTACAGTCTAGTATCTCCGTCCGTTATTCGCTGTGCCCAGCATTACGTGGCCTAGCATCTCGTCGACGGCTATGCCGTCGCCCCATGGGTTGTGCAAGAAGTAGTATTCGATACGTTTCATTCTTTAGGCTATATCAGAAGAGCTAAAATAGCACAGGCAGACTTCCCGGAGCTATGTTCTGAGGCCTCGTCTGGTAGTAAGATGTGCCGGCATTAACGACTAACGAACCGATGGAAACGTTACACCGGACGAAGTCACAACACTAATGTGAGCTCCTTTTGTTCCACGTGTTGTTAAGGCACGTAGGATGCACCTGGAGAAGAGCGGCAGACCGCCTCTTTCTGTCCAAATTGAAGTCGTTCCGAATAATCATTTTTTCCGTCTATTATGATAATTACCGCGCAATTTGCACTAATACGTCTGCCACAAAAGTGTAGCCACGAGTTAGCCACTGATCCTCCACCGAGGCCATGTGTGACGTTGACCATGATATCGTTTGGTGCGTCACGGCAATCCAACAGTACAATCTGTTACGGTTTATCGTTGCCTAGATAACAGGTATGCCACCCATTTCATTGGTACGGACGCCACGTGTCGGTCAACATCTTTTCGTGCTTTGGTGATCCATCCCTTCTGGATGTGCTACTAATGCGGTTATATATGGGTGTTGACAGCCGTAGGTTTTACTCAACTGTAAGATGTTGAAGTATCCAGCCATTAGACGCTATATTTGGGCCTATCACGCGGCCGAAGGTTCAATTACTTGCGTTTATAGAGTGCTCACACCTATAGCTACGGTATGATATCCGGAGGTATAGCTCAGTTTCGCCCATGAATCTACCATAACTGTAGGATGGCGATGATTTACGCTCATTATAGACTACCATTTCCACGCAAACCAGAACTGAGGCTTAACGCCCTCCACTGGCAGCAATTATGGCCTCATTTATGATGAGAAGCTCGCCCTAATTTTGGTTTCTTCCTCGTCGAAAAAACAAATTGTTTCCGTATCACGAATACCCTACAACGACCCTTTTCAAACTATGTGCTCGTTTGTGGCGTTTACCACAGTCATCGTGGAGCAGATGAGTGATATATTTGACCGCCCAACAGCATCAGAGGACCGACGATCCAGGATTATTTGGACCCCCAAAAGCCACAAAACGTTCATAAGATAACGTTTCGTCGCTTGAACCATCATTTTTAGCCGTGTGTCGGTCCACAAAACCCGCCGGTGGACCATCTGTTGTCAAGGTTTGTGTAGGTGCAAATACGGTTTCTTCTGGATGCTCATCACGTTGTGGATCGCCATTTTAAAATTGTGAAGGCTGATTGCTCCGTTCGTGCCATTTGAACCGTTAGTTTCCTCGTATTTTGCCTTGCTTGTCATATGATCGCTAATTGATGATCAAATTCGAATTTGTTTTCATCTCTTTTGTGTTTTGTCTTCAGCAAATTGTATAAGTCGATAAAGATGGTAGGAGGCATACCTGTCACTAAATCATTCGATCCGAATGTGAGTCACCCTTTCATGTCCAACACGTTCAAAAGGAGGGACCCAAATGTGCATTTTTATCTCCCAATCGAGTGCCCGTCTCATAAGAACTGCACGGATGGATCGTGTCCGCTTGCACATACGAAGCTTGAGATGATGTTCCATCCAATAGTGTACAAGACCCGTAAATGCAAGATGTCGATAGGCGGCCTTTGTAAATTTTCAAGGCAGTGCACTTTTTACAACAACGATTCCGAACGTATGGCGGCCCAATTGTTGTGGCTGGTTTGGGAGAAGACGTGGGACCTTTGGAGGACCAATATCGAGATTGTGCTTGGTGCTCACAACAAACTGAACGGTCCAATTACCAAAAATCTGTCAATGGTGAAAAACTACCGAGGTAACATGAAGCAATTTTTGAATACCATTAACGGCACCGACAATGGAAAGGGTCTTTTGGATGGTAGATTGGATTCCATATTACGTTCTCAATTTTCTGCATCCCACGGCAACAACGGTTCCGAGGGCGCCCTGAATTTTTGAGCCAGTATGGTGTTGTCAAACAACGGAGTCCTTAGTTCACCTGTAGATGTAGCCTTAAAAATTAGGAAAATTTTGTTTGTAGATTACGTTGGTAGTCATGCTTTCGACCGACCCGATACCAGTAGCTACAATTCCCTACTCCTGTAACGCGAAGAATGCGCCAATAAGCTGTTCCGAAGCCGCTGTTGGAAGCTGCGTATGACGCGAATATACATGCATCGCATATTACTAAATGTCATAGCAGCTTGTCCATCCGTTTATACTAATATGTTACATGAGCCCGTATCATTGCACAGCATAAGGCTTCGCAGGTGATACGGCACGCTTCGGATTGTTTTGCAGGATGTTAGTTTTCGTTTTGTTGTCGTAAATTTCTCTGTTTTTTATTGGTATGCAGCAAGCAATATTGTTGTGGATTATTTCTTCCACTGGGATTGCGTGTGTGTTTTCCTTCTTTATGGAAACCCGGTGTCGAAAGGTTTAATATAACTTGATGATGTCATTTGAAATGGTGAATTCTAAGATTTCCTTTGCCTCATTCTCGAATTTTTCGGTGAAGGCTGTGACCTCGTTGGGTCTTGCGATTTGTTCGCTTTAGTGGGTTTTTGACGAAAGCAGTCTGTACGCTAATCCCATCATACTTGATGGTTCTTGTGTGTTGCCATCTGCTGCGCATCTCATTCACGGAAGGGTTTAGCCTTAAATTGTTACCACGCTGCAAAGCGCCCAAAACTAATATACATTACCCGCCTCGCTGTAACTTAACCTAAACGTAGTAATTATGCAGTTTTATAGCAGTTGACCTTATTGGTGGACGTTTTATATAATTAAGTGGTGCAATTTTATCGTTAGCCATCTTTCAGAACTTGTGAAAGTTACGATGGAAGATTTTACGTCCGGGTTCCCTCCTCCTCCATTTTTTTACAAAAATTATTCGTTTAATGACGATAGTGATGTAATTTCGACGGTGTGTGGACCTGCGAATTTGTCCACCGCAACTTGTGGATCCGATGCGGCTGAGGATGGGAATGTAGACCTGAGCGGTCTGGTTTCGGGTCCAAGCCATCCTCCACCGCCCAAAGGGTCATGGTTTTGCTTTGGCATTGAAGAGAAGGTATGGATTCCGTGGTTACTTGTCGACGAATCCATTTTCAGCTTACGCCTGATGCCCATGAATTGGATTCGGAGACCCTTATAACCGTAGCAGATGCCGACCCGGATCCACGAGTACACTTTAAGGTGTTGTATGGAGACTTTATGGATTCTCTATTATTGTATTTGGGTCGTTTGAAGGACGTACGTGAGCATATTGTGTTTGTTACGCTTTGTTAGATGGACCCTGATTCCGTTTCTGATATCAAGCGTTTTCTTAAGGTTTGTTGACTAACTAGCTTAAATTCATTGTAACGGTGCCACATATCTCCTCCCGATTGATACACGAAATGTAGATTTATATGAATCTTCAACATATGCTCTCCTCATTCTCTCAGAGGAAGGCAGAGGACGATGTCATTCGAATGCTGAGGTAAGTGGTTACTTGTTGAGGATAATTATAAATGAGTTGATATGTTCTTCATGGATTACTCAGAGACCAACTAAGACGTCGACGCCACTATATCGACTCTCTAAAGGTGTATGTTTACTACTCTGCGATTAAAGCTTTTGTAGCGTCTTGGTGAATATTAACAAATTAATATTGGATTCAAACTAAAGCAAATGCTTTTCTGAATATTTTTTAGTGATGCTTATCTCTGTGGTCATGCTTCGTGTAGCATGGGAATGATGTATTAGGTTGGTAACAATATATGTGAATATCGACTCTGTGTGCGGCATTCTAGCGCCATATATCCTTTTTGTATATCGGTTTAGTACAATTTGTATCATAGAAAGTACTACTCACCTTTCCTAGGTTTGTCGATTAAACATTACGTAGTGTAGCACAATCGTGCTGAAACTTCTGTGATGCCAATGTCGATAATATGGCTCATTTGGGGTTAAAAAAGGAACTATTGTGTATGCTAATGTAGAATAAGGTATCTCAAATTTCAAGATAGTCTTATGTGTTTTGTCGCAGTTTGGCGTATGTATTTCCCCAAAAATTGCAACGTGACACTTCTCGTCCCCCGAATATGATAACGACGAACATAAGTTTCTGTTGCTTTGTGTCGTAGTTACAGCCTCATTTTACGCTTTTTATAATGTGGTTGCCTCTCTGAAATGAACCGAGCATTCCAGACTTGGCGTACTATTGCCGTACTTCTGCACGGCATATTAGGTCGAAAATAGGCGATATTTTGCAACACTTGCTCGTTTTAGCATTTTTGAAATATAGTCATCTTAGTTCCATATTACGTCTTCTGGAGATAAAGGCTTGCACCTTTGTATCACAAATAAACGATAAAGCAAAGACTCCAATTAGGGAGGGGAGACCAGCAAGCACATATAACCGTACAATGCCTCTTTACTTGTGATCAGTCGTCAAACTAGGCAGCACGCTTTCTCATCACCGTCGACAACACACTATTGCTGCCCAACAGAGGAATAACAGTGACTTGATATAAGCTCTAATATGCCGAAAAATGCAGCGTTTCATTTAATTCGTCGCAGATGCGTCATGACGACCTTCTCTTGATAGTCTTGATTTTGGATTTGCTCAGCCTCATCGATCAACGCATTGGTTGATACTTAGCTAAGGGTGATTTCTAAACGTTGCCATAGCGTTAAATGAAGTGCTTAAATTAGTTCCT